TTTCTTCTCATCCCGGTGCTGCGCGACACTACGCTACGACGGACGCGATGCCAATGCCAAGACAGACCGTTGCACAATTGGAACCAAGTTCTGCCGACGTAGTTGACAATTCACACAGATAAATCTTGGCGGGCCTCCGTACTCCGTGTCTGCTTCGCTGAGGGACGCCTCGATGCAGGTCAAGGAACACTTAAGCATCTCCTAATGGCCTGTAAGCGTTTCTCAAGGTACTATAACCAGCAGAGCAGACTGCATGCAGTGTGACTTCAGTATACTACAACTGGAGTTCTCGAAGCCTTCCAATTCGGGGTCTCTTCGCCGTTAAATCGACCATTCAACCAAGCATTCTGGATACTTTTTTCCCCCTTCTCCCTACTTCCACTACTCCCCCCCGAAAGTGTTGACGGTTCCCGAGCGCTAGAGAATGTCGCTAGAGACTACCCGCGCAGCAATTACCGCTCTTTAAGTGACATCATCTCTGCCCCTTGGACACAGTTGACCACTGTTTGGTTCTAGGCTTCGTATCAACGCCTATTGGTGGGCTTGTGAGAGACTTTCAAGGCTTTTAACTCGGCACCGAATATTATGCCTCCTAAGTGCGACGGCGGCAGTTCCATATCCAGACGTTCATTCGTCTAAGCTTCCGGATTATCATGAACGTCGTTATTCCATATTGTGGCAGCTTATGCGAGAATAGCGGGAACTATGACTGACAGAGGTGCATGTAGACGGTAGTGCAGTCCCTTATTTGAGAAAAGTCTAACTGGTTTCGATGTTCGGTCTGTCAACTAGCCAATATCGATGTTCTCTTATCTTATGTACATCGTATAATTGAGCTGACTTGAGCTCGTGCTTATCTTATTGGCTCCCTTCTTTGGAAATAATAATATTGAATTCCGCAAGAAAAAGGCGAATGAGAAGACCCGGGCGGGGTGAAGACTGCTTAGAACTCTAGAGGCCTGACTAAAGATTTAAGCTAGGCGCTAGAAGGACCGAGGAACCTGCACAGAATTTGACTAAACGCTATCTGGCGTAGTCGGCAAGAACCTTAACCCTAAGGTAAGGTGTCCAGAGTTAAAGCTAGCGGATGCGAGTGAGCATGTACACATTCTGTACTACTGATGCAAACTAGTACTTTAGGTTGTTGGTAACTTGGAAGTATCAGTCTACGATAATCCATATTGACCTTCTTAAGCTTGGAAGTTGCTATTCAGCTCAATATTTGCCCGGCAGCTGCCGCCTCGAGCAATTCCCGTCGACCCGCGGGACCTTTAGTCAGAAGTTAGAACTCATCCGCTTTCTTTTAACTTGAACTTAACAACTTCACTTGACGAACCAGTTGAATTTGCCCAATTCCATTTTCTGTCCTTGACCTTTTCAGTCACCGACTGCTACCATTGAGCTACCCTGGCCAGCCCTGGTCTTCCCCCCACATTTGACCTAACTAAATTCTATCAGCGGGTTAGCATATGATTGGTGCGCGCCATATCCTTACAATGAAAAGAAAAGAGAGAAAAAAAAGCCCCGGTCTTGCTCTTCGGTTCGTTCAATGGCCGAAAAATGTCACAGCGCAGGTCAAGGTAGACCGGTCCAATCAACTCCGACCGAAGGACTTGCCATGACTGCCATGGCCTTGAAGACGGCATGAATCAAAACACCTAATTTTATAAGACTCTCCGACCCGTGTCAAGTCGGCCATGGCGAAGAAGAATCGCTGGATGAGAGTAAACGGCCGCTCGAATAACGATCGTCTCGGTTGAAAACCCCGGCGGTCGCCAGACGCCGCCGTTGGAAATCACTCATATCGCCTCGGAGACCGCTTGGCCTAGCCTCCAACACTTTTAACTTATCATTTCTCGACACCTACTATGTACGTATGGACGTGCATGTTCCAAGAGGCCGGGTCTATGACGGCTAGCTCAACACTGGGCTAACCGCATGGACCGTTGGACCTCATAGTACATATCGGTAATACATGGATTGTAAGTAACCTTGGCCGGATCTTTCTTTCCACGAGGGGGGCTGCATATTTGCTGATAAAGAATAATGCAACGGGTTTTTACCTCGTGAATATCTATTCCTTGAATCTCAAGGTCAGGTTCACACCAAGTCAGGCTCACCGTGCCCCGGACTGCATTCGGAAATTTGAAGGGGTGCCGAGTAGCCGCCGCCTTTTGAGCCGCTGCTGGTCTACATCCTGCATTGGACGTAGGTCTCAGAAATGTACACCTTAATACCATCTTATGACATCTCCTGATCTTGCAAGCATGGCTGTGCTAGGGTTGCTTGAGCTTAAACCCCTCCCCTACTGGTCTGTTCTCGTGTTTACCGATACGTTATCTATCAATTTTATAGAATTTCGTGTTGAATTGTTCAATGTCGTGGCACAATAGCCTAAGGGTTATTGTATCACTGCTCACTGATACCTATCCAACAGCAGCAATAACTATGAGGTGCATGCCTGGTATTATGGATGAGATTCGAGTAGTGGACAGCAGGCAAGCCGACTACACGATTGTCTCAGTAGCGATTTCTCCTAGGCACATTTAAACGGCTAGCAACCCTTCCGTCTCGAACCGTGTTTTCTGATTGGTGGAGATCCAATCATAGTTAACACGCAACGTTGCATCTCGTCCACTCTCCAATCAGGATTATCCATTCTATTCTTCAACCCAGCTCCAGCTGCCGCTAGTAGGCGAGTGTGGAGGTATGTTCATGAATACCGCTACGTACAAGTATGCTAACGCATTAAAATCAAGATGTGGCTGTTATGTCAGCTGTATCTTCTCTGGCACGAGGAGCTAGCATACGCCTAGATCCAGTTTACAAGCATTCGCTTCACACACGGCACATAAAACCACTACTCTAGGCGAGGAGGATCTAAGTCCATACTAGATCAGATGAATTTGAGGCTAAAATGTCACCGTCTCATCATCAATCGAAAGCACGATTATATGTGCTTCATCTCATCTAAGAGCGCTTGTTGCGTTCCAGATGAGGCTCGATTCCGTGTCCCTGTCATGACTCTATTCATAGAACGCCATGGACCCTGGTATCGGTCTAAATTCTAATCACAGACCATTATGCGCACCGTGGGTCAACATAATTCCACCGAGCTCGCGCGAATTGGCAATAATATGCGGATAGCAGATCACATAACGACAACATACATACATACTCACGTTCACGCAACGTGGTTCGGAAATCCTGTGTGTCTGTGTGTCCTTGTCTACCGTCTATTTGATCCCACTTCGATGTGTCAAAGTGCACCGACCATCAAGTAAACAGGGAGTCGATCAAGGTCGGGCTTTATAGGCCCATCACCTGATAAAATCCGACTGGTTCGTTGTCATCCTACCATACAATATGTGGTATCAACTCGATCGAGTTCGGCCAATCCTGCGACCTTGTCATTGTCTTCTGCATGGTGGCTTGACCTCCCACTCTGCAGGCAGCTAGCTAATACATGTTTTCCCAATCTTCCCCTCCAGCGGCTCAGGTGCCAGAATTCCGCTGCGCGCAAGTCACGGCTAGCAATAAGCACCTTGTCGCGTGCCGTTTCCCTGCCAAATGAGAGCAGATAACTCTGGTATTTCTAACATGGACAGGGCAAAAGGTTTCTGATACCATGCCGATCCGCGAACATTTGAAAGAGCCAGTCACTCCAAAGCCAGGCAGCTCGAGGCAAACGCGGGGGTAGCGCTGTCAAATGCTGCAAGTGATGATCCCGAACCCAGACGACCAGGGAAGGATGCTGTGAGAGCAAAGGTCACGGCAGATGAAGTACTTTGTAGATTTTTTGGGTCATAGACATTTTTATTTTTATCTTTGTCGTCTTGATAATACTGCCGGCATGACTTCGTCGTAAAATCCGCATGCGCCGTGCCCGGTGGTCCACTTCAGGGATTGCAGCAAGACCCTCGACGTTTGGACAGATTATCTACCTTTAGCTACGGCTTTCACCCAGAGGCGCAAAAGGATCATTAAGGCCATGGAGTTGGTGTGCAACACAATGACTTATACCGGGCTTTTACTTCGGCGCCTCCTTTAACCCTATTTCATCTCGGAAGACCGGCGTGGCTGAAAGTGGTTCACCATCTGAACGCCTCGCCCTACACACCACGATGTGCGGCGGCCAACAAGAGTCTGACAAATTCTTATTAGACGTGCCGAGACATCTATCAGAAATTTATGAATTCCAAAAACCCGGAAAGGACCGAAGCGCAAGGCGCCGAATCCTTATTTTGTACGCTGGCGCATAGGATCGTACCGTGGGCTTGTCTAGGCGCGCCACTTGCGAGCGCCAGCCGAGGCAAAAGGAGCTGAGATCCATCTACGAACACTCCCCTTTCAGCGCTCAGCCTCATTACTGTGCAACGAACCCTAGCTCTAATTCAGGATGCTGACGATCTTTACTCCTATTAAGCACCGAGCGGTCCGTCTTGCCCGCAGAACAACTTGGACGGTTCCTGCTATCTATACAACTACATTTAGCACCGAAGATTTCACTGCCGAATCTCCGCAGCTATCTTGTCTCCCTAGATAGTAAAGATTCGAGATGACATCAAGTTGATGTTCTTTGTACTGTCGTCGTTGGCGAGCTGTGAGATGAACGGAATCGCTATTTCATGCCAGTTGTCCTGGGCCCTGATTCCTTCGCGCCTATGATATATGCTTTCCCCTTGCCCATTCGGCCCGGCCTATGATTCCTGGGGTAATACAAGGATCGCCGCATCGATCAAATGCTATTCGATAGCTTTAGATGCTGGCGATAATCGATATGGGCAAGGTATCGTGCACGTCAAGTTGCCGGGCGGCCACCCTGTGAAGACAATGTCCGTTTCAAGAACAAGCTTAATTTAGTCGGTGTTCACATGCAACCTCGCGGCTGTTGAAGCCCCTCCATGGATCCCCTCAGGGGTCGAACGATTGTAACGTATTCATTGCAGGTACAAGCAACCACATAGCTCACTTAGCCTCGGGCGACCCCAAATCTGAAGATGGGGACTGACGGAAGAGCTATCGACCGCGTCTCCGTCGAGGTATGTTTCCAACTGACAGAAAACAACGTCTAATAATGGCATAGGTACCCTTAGTCTAACATACTTGACGTAACCTTGGTACACTCGTCAACACCAATGAAGCTCGAAGAGTTGCCAAGGTATCTTCATTTCGGTAGTTTTCTTACTACCCTCCTCCTACATCCCACCATATCGTGGAGATCGATCTGCACGTACCCCGGCATCGAGGTCCGTTCAGACTGGATGTGCCACTACATTTCCCATTGTCTGATGCCAGCATACCTAGTTGTCCCTAGTCGAACGCCGCATGTCTGCGTAGCTAGGGTGACAGGGGCTTTGAGACATGGATTGGTGGCGAAGTGTGGCCTAGAAGCTGTCACAACCCCTGACAGATATTCAAACATATCACCTCTCTATCGATACTGAGCCAAAGATCCATCTATTAGTTTGCAGATAGAACCATACCTTGGAAACGTTGAACCCCTCATGTAGAGGACAAGGTTTCCCGGCTCCAGTTTTGGAGCTTTGTATCTCATATGTAGTCGCCGGAGGATATACTGATTGGGACACCGTCCGGTAGTCAGTACCTAGGTTTCACTTCCTGATGGACATATACTCATTAGCAATCATCTCTAATGAGGTCCAGGTCCACCTTCAAGGTTATCAGGTGAACTCGTTCGATCCGACATCGCGAGCGTTGGTATGGCCGCTGACATCTGTGCTCGGCGTGGAAATAGGGGTTATCTCCAAAGTCCTCCGTGGCATGCTGCTTCATCGAAGTCTGAGATAGGATTCTCTCGGCGTGTTGCCAACATACCGCCAGCTATTGGTACTCTAGCCCTTCTCTGATGAGGATGGACCATGAAGAAGCAACTTGTGTACCCAACACTACCCCTTTCTTTGTGACACCTTTGTTCCAACGCAAGATCTATCTGCTATGACGTTTGTCTTCACATGTATATCCATCTACCTATCTTGCAGCTATAGCGAGAACTTCGACAGAATAGGCAGCCACGTTCCCAAATGCCGATGCCCTATATGGACAGAAGTGGTAGGATCGTTATAGTGAAAGCTAGATAAAAAGCTATATCTACTATTATTGCGGTCCCTTAGTTTACTGCCGTGTTATTACAGTCTCCTATTACCCCTGACTACGACCCATAGCTCCATATCGAGTGAGCTAAGTCTCGCCGTCGGTCACTGAAGTTGTTTTAAGAGATCCACAGTAACGTTGAATACATGTCTAGGTAACCTGCGAGTATCTCCCCGTAAGGCGCCGATATTACTGGCCCCTCTACGAATGTAGGGGTTTCTTGTTACTGGGGGATCCCCCCATCGGCGTTCCCTACGAAGAGATTTGGCGGCTATCGGCCGCCGCGAGACAATGGAGACCGCGCCTATAAGGCTCCTGTGATGAAGCCTGAAAGAGGAAACGGCATGGGCAATCCGTGGACGAGATCGGTTAGATAGCAGAAACAGATTCGGCAACGCGGATATCCGCTAATAATCCCAAGAGTTAAGACCCCTGATCCTTCGCGCTCCCTCCGCGCCACTCGGGCTTATTGATCCTTCTGAAAACCTGGTGGGCCGTCCACTCTTTTTCCTCTAAAGACGATCGCAGCTTAGAGTAATTTAGAAAGGAAAAGAAACATTTGCTCCATCGCAACTCCATTGCTCGCATATCTTCCTTAACTATTCGGAGATTTGGGAGTGCCATGTGTTGGTTGTGAGTTTGACCGCCAGATAGGGAGACCGCGGATGGGCAAGAAATGAGATCGTGCATCATCGCACATCATCGCGCATCGCACCACGCGAAAAGAAATAGAAGAATATCGTGGGTCCTCGGTGAGCCGCTTTAACTTATGATATTCCGTCAGAAACCAACCAAACCCCCACGAGAAACAACGACGATGATGAAATTGTGCGACCTGCATAGGTAGCGACCTATTCCGCTCGCGTCTTCCAACGAAGGAGGCGGGGAGCGCGGGCAGGATTGTGGGCAAACTCGCTCCCAACCGAGGTTTGAGATTGAGAGGAAATTAACCCCATTTAATTTTCCTGCTCCTACACTACACATTCTTGTCGTCGAAAAGCTGGGTTGGGGTTTGGAGTAGGTACCAGTTGGGAGGATGGGAGCGTTGAGGCTCATGAAGAAGTTTCAGTCCAACTTGCATGCTGATGCCGCAACCCGTTGCCGCGTCCCGCGTGGTAATACAGGATTTGTCGGTTGGGGATGGTTAAAAATAGCTCCAAATAGCTCCAGGTACCTTATTCTGCGGCGGCTGCGCTGGTCTTTTACGTCGTAACGTCCTGCAGGGGGTTCCTGCGTTCGGGATGGATTCAAGTGAGGAGGAAGCCAAAACCAAAATAAAATGACGATGCTGTAATTATCTTTTGACTCTGTCTCATCTTGTCGATACGCTGTTGGCATAGCTAGGGGAGCTATCTATCCATAGCTACAGCTCCAAGCTTCGCCGACGTCATCCGAGCGCTCTGTAGATGTCACTGAGAGAGCAGATCCCCTTCGCACCTATTGAAGTCCAGACGATAGGATGATGGCTTTCGTCGGCGATAGCGATTTCTGCTTTCACTCGATATGTCCTTTTGATCTCCTTAGACGACTATTTGCATTTTTGGAGTTCTGCAAGGTCGCCTTTAGGGCCATTGGTTGCATTGTTTGTGCCAACTGCATACAGGAAGATCTTGATTGGGGTTTTGATGAAGCGAAGTCATCTCGGTTTCCATTCTTAAACATCGGAGACGAATAATATAATTTGTGTGCGCTTTCTTTTCCAAATAGTTTGCGGCGTTCGGATTCTCCCGAAACAAAGAGGCTGAATCGAATGCGATCGTCTTGTTTTGACAAGATTGTTGGAACTGGGGAGCCACAGGAGCTGCTTAGAGACGGGAAAGGTTGGGAACAGGTAGGTAGCTGGTTCGGCTACTGAAACGAGAGCGATTCAACTCTGTTGGCGTTGGTTGCGTGGTTTTCTGCAAGTATTCTGAAAGTACTTTGCGCAATCCACAGATAGACCTGTGATCGCCGATGCTATCGTTGACAAACCAACATATGGTCCCAAGAGCTGGAACCTCTCTAGGACGCTTTGACGCATATGGCTCGATGACGGTAAAAGTGTATGTCATAATAACTTAGCCCGTTAGACTATCGTCTTTATAATATGGCTTGCCATGATAGATAGAAAAGCCAACCGTAGGTATGTCATTGTAGGAGAATGACTGGTATATTCTCTTATCCTAAGTATCAGTTAGGCGTCCAGGGGTCTGTAGAGCCATGTGAAGAATCATTGTATGGATTCCTAGTAAGAAGAGTACTTATTAGACCAAAATCGAGAACGCTATCGTGATCCTTTCCTTTCGAACTTCGAGTTAATGAAGACGAGGTGTAAAGCTCTATAGGCTCCTGGAGCTATGACTCCCAAGAGCTTCCATGTCCCAATCGTTTGCGTAATGACGGAAAACTATGTAGGCGAAGTCGAATTAGCGATAGTTTTTCGAATAAGTGTAACACTACGTCATTGAAGATTGGTAACATGGCTGTCGATGGTCCTTTTCCTGGAGGAAACTTCACGATAGCGGATTGAGATATGACATATGATCTCTGAGTGTGAGCATATCCTCCGGGAAAGCTCTTCAGGTCGGCTTTCGAGGTGAATAAACTCCTTTAATGACCTGACTGTAGGAGTATTAATGTTAGAAACAGTATTAGAAGGGAGTGATACCTAGATACCTAGTTACCTAGATAGCATTGTGATCTCTCCTCTAACCCTAGCTCAATAACAGAGCAACCTTCGTAAAGTTAAGCTCAAAGATGCCTCCGATAAATTTGTAGAGGGTCATATTTTGCGATGGGAAACATCGAGGGGTTCTGTCATGGCCTCGTGTCCTGCATAGAGAATTGCCCTAGTAGCATAGAATGAAACTTGAGCCCCCGAGTTACTCACATGAACAATACAACCGTTCATATAAGCCCGATACTCGTCGGAACTACTATACTCGATCTTATTCCCCATTGCCCAGGTAACTGTAATGGCCGTATGAGACAACTTCTCTGCGATGACTTCGTTAGACTTAGGCTTCGATGTTCGTCTCAGTATCACCCTAGGCATCCGCCACGCAGAGATTGCAAGTTCCTGAGCCGCATGTTGAAATCTAATGACAGATGAGATACAATGTATATATGTTGCCTTGGCCGACCTGTTCAGTGTAAAGGAGTCGCTTGATAATGTACTCGGGATATGGCTTGGAACTGTAGAGTGTGATCATTCCGAGCATAGGTTTGGGCTAAATCTATGAGGCCTTTTCAGAAAATAAGGCGGCTTGCCCCGGGTTCCTATTCGACTTTGGGCCTATAATCATAGTGAGGAAGCGTGAGAAGTCGAAAAGGAAAGAAGCCATGAGCCTCCACGATGTATATTTGACGTTCTTGCCTCGGCCACACGAAAGTTCTTAGGCAACATACATCATGGCAATACACCGATGGTCTCGTCAGGGTAACTACCATGAGGTACTATCTCTAAGCCGCTGCTTATTGAAATAGAAATTATTGATATATGAAAAGATTCGTTTTTAGTATGATTCATGACACATGGTTCGTAAAATGAGGTAAAAGATTCGTTGCTCAGAACAGCAAGCTCGTCTCATCTTACATTTTAGCCACCCTATCGGCATTCGTCAACGCGTACCTACCATACAGTTGCGGCAGAAAACCCCCCACAAGGCTCCCGAGCAACAAGCAGGAACTTACTCCTTTTTCTCCAGCTCATCCAAGATGGCCTTCTCTAAGCTCTCAGGCTTGCTGGTGCTGGCCCAGCGCTCCTTGACCTTCCCGTCCCTTCCGATGAGGAACTTCTCGAAGTTCCACTTGACGCGCTTTAGGCCAAGAAGGCCGGGTTTCTCCGACTTCATCCACTCGAACACGGGCTCGGCCTTTTCACCGTTCACGTCGGTCTTGCCGAAGATGGGGAAGGTGACGCCATAGTTCACCTGGCAGAAGTTCTGAATGTCGTCGTCGGTGCCGGGCTCCTGGCCGCCGAACTGGTTGCAAGGGAAGCCGAGGATGGTGAAGTCATCCGGGTGCGTGGCTTTGATGTCCTTGTATAGCTTCTCGAGCCCAGCGTACTGCGGGGTGAAACCGCACTTGGATGCTGTGTTGACGACTAACACAACTTTGCCCTTGTAGTCGGCTAAGGACTTCTCGGCGCCCTTCTCTGTTGGGTGGATGGCAGCGATTAGTTTGACAATTTCACCTTAGGATAGGCTCCATGCTAGTACTTACTGTCTTTGACCTTGAAGTCATAAAATGTGGTAGCTGAAGCCATTGTGGAAATTGTTTTGGTGTTGATGAAAAGATGATGCCTCGAAAGTGATGGGGTATATGCTGACGAAATCGGAGTCGAAGTCGAGGTCGCAAAGCTAACGATGATGCTGTCGTTGGCGGGGTATCTAGAGTTACTATTGGATGATACGAGCCGTGTCTGTAATCCCAATGAGGTCACTTTGCAAAGATGATGATTAAGGGTTGAATGTACGGGATGCCAGCCCCTTTTAATAAACAATCTCATGAATATGGTTGTTGATTATTCTGTAGTTTTCCTTTTAACTTTTTTCCGTTTTTTCTTTTCGTTTCTTTCTTTAGCCTCCCCGTAGATCCGGTACGAACAGTTCGGAAGGACTGAGCTACCTGTTACACTAAACGCTAAACGTATCAAATCTTGAGCCTCGGCATGGTTCGTCACGGTCAGTGCGTGAAGACATGTGGATCTACCCGCTCTGTCCGACCAATGACGTATTGATAGCTCTAGCTGCTGGTAGCTAGCTCCCGGAAGCTTGGACCTCCATCGTATCATGAATTCCAAATACCTTATCATTTACATCACATGTTTTGTTAGTCAGACAAGACAGAATTGACTACAATACATTATTGTCTCTCGATAATCCCTGCCTTTTATTGAAAACGTCGGGATTCACGACGTCAATGGCTTGATGCTCGAATACTTAGCTTGAACGTAGATACATACTTGACGTGGTACCAATCAGCGGGTAGATCCGAATGAACCTCGAAGTCGGTACTTCCTAACTTACCAATCCCATAATTTGGGTAACGGGTAACTGCTACCTGCTGTAGCTGTTAACATCCCATTCCTTACTTCGAACTTGCATTGCAGCCAAGCCATGTGAAATCTTAACCTAGCTGCTTTAGTCGAGACGAAAAGGTCAATCTTAACTTCCGTCCAATCCTCCAAGACCTTGTTTACCACTGATTCGGTCATGTCAAATACAATAAAATGGACAGTCGTATGCCCCAGCCACGACATATCGTGATCATAGGTGAGTATGTCTTACTCTATTTCCGCTATTTGTGTTCCCTACCATGTCATTGTTCGTTGTACTCTATGGTTATTGTCCGTGAACCCCTCCTTGGTTCCATATACACACCGACCTCCTAGTTCCCCGTCCACCGGTCTGGGATCAACATTGGCGCATATCGCATATCACTACGTACATATGGTAGCACCTAGTAAGAATAGGCAATAGATCCACTAATCGTACTTCCCAGGGGGTGGTGTCATCGGCACAACAACAGCATACTATCTAACCCGACATCCCTCCTACAACACCGCCATCCACCACATCACGCTCCTCGAAGCCACCTCGCTAGCGGCTGCCGCATCGGGGAAAGCGGGCGGACTTCTAGGTCTCTGGGCCTATCCGTCATGTCTAGTCCCGCTCTCCTACCACCTCCACGCCGAGCTAGCAGCCGAGCACAACGGCGCCGAAAGATGGGGATACAGGCGCCTCGGGTGCGGACAGCTCACGGCCTCCGTTAGGAAGAAGGTCGCGCGCGGGTCTGCCCAGGCTAAGAGAAAGAGCAGAAGCAGTCTCGGCGTCGCTAAACAAGAGGAGCAGGAGGACGATGACGACGAAAAGGACCAAAAGGACGGCAACGGCGACGGCGAAGGCCAGGTAGAGTGGCAGAAGCTGCCCAAGCAAGACGAGAAGGCTCGCTCCCTGCTCCGCGACTCCGTGCTGCCGAAGGACCTCGACTGGATTAACGGCAGCCTGGTGCGCGACTACGCGGAGATGGGGCTGCCCGGCTTCACCGAGACGGCGCAGGTGCACCCGTACCAGTTCACGACGTCGATGGCGGCGCTCGCGCGCCAGGGCGGCACCGAGATCCGCGTCGGCGCCAAGGTGACCGGGATCGGGCTGAACAAGTCCTCGAGGGCAGTCGACAGCGTATCCTTCGTCGACCGCGCGACAGGCCAGACATCGACGCTCCCGGGCGTGACGGACGTCGTGGTGGCGGCGGGCCCGTGGACGGGGACGCTGTGGCCGCGGACCAAAGTCGAGGGCCTGCGCGCGCACAGCGTCGTGTTCGCCGCCGACGTCAGCCCCTACGCCGTCTTCACCGACATCAGCCTGCCTCCGGACTGGGTGCCCGCGCACCGGGCCGCGCGCGGCGAGACGCGGCGCCGCCACCGCGGCAACGTCGACCCGGAGATCTACGCGCGGCCCGGCGGCGAGGTGTACGCGTGCGGGGAGCCGGACGCGAGCGCGCCTTTGCCCGAGACGGCGGACCTCGTGCAGTGCGACGACGCCCAGTGCGATGACCTCGTCGCGTACGTCGGCGCCGTGAGCCCTGTGCTCGGCGCCGCCGGCGTCGCCGCCCGCCAGGCCTGTTACCTGCCGCGGCACGTGCGGTTCGGGAAGGAGAGCGCGCCGCTCGTCGGCCGCACCGCCGTGGACGGGCTGTGGGTCGCCTCCGGGCACACGTGCTGGGGCATACAGAACGGGCCGGCGACCGGGAAGCTTATGGCGGAGTTCATCTTCGATGGCGAGGCGAGGAGCGCCGATGTGGCGGAGCTGGATCCGAGGAGGTACAAGGTCTGAGTGGTGGTGGTGTAAGGGAACGAACGGAAGGGCATAGAAGGGCGGGGAAAAGAAGGGGAAGGGGAAAGGGAGGGTTGCAGGTAGAGGGTAGAGATACGGGTACTCACGTGTAACGGAACAGCGAATAAGGTTTAAGGCACTATGACGACAGAGCGCATGGGATGATGGCATTTAAGGGTCCGAGGGTTTAGGGGTCCAAGGAGGGAGGGGTTTACGTATCCATCCTCTCAGCCTGTAGGTACGCTTAGCCCCTTGGCTCGTGCGTGGGAGAAAAGTAGGTGTGTACTACAATATGTGCGCAGGGTCTGACGGGAAGCCGAGGGAAAGGGAAGGGAGGGATAGCATCGGTACGTGCCGTATCCACTGACACGTCGATATACACTAGAAAGAGGCTGAACGGATCGGGAACGTACATCATACTTGCATGCGTGGGGTGTGGGGAAGAGGGGAGGAGCACAAAAGCTCCTGACCTACATACATACCTGCATTTTCTGTTCTACCTTATGTATGTACATAGGTGATGACGGGCTGGAAGGGATGAAGTCCCGTACCTCTTACTCTACGTATTATCGCGATACCTTAGATAAGTAGCTTGCGTATGCGTTTGCGGCATTAAAAGAACTATGCTACTATTGTTGAATATTTTTTTGCCGCCGTCAGCGCCAGGGTGAAAAAGAAAACGGGAAAATGATAGAAAATAAATATAAAAAAATATCCAGGGGTAGGTGATCAGCCCTTATCTTGTCACGATGGGACGGTCCGAGCCGTGTAAGCGGGTGGCAGCAAGCGAGTTGGTAAACAGAGGGCGGGGAGGGGAGGAGGAAGGAGGGCGGCGTACACGTCGAGGGAAAAAGAAACCTCGTGGGGTGGTGTCGCCAGGGATTAATACCTTACGGATCGCCGCGACTATATTGGGCGTACCAGAGGTGCCCAAACTGGACGGGACCCTAGACACATGAGCAAAATGGAGCCCAAGAGAGACAGAAAAGAAAAAGGAGCCCTTTCCTACGGACTGAGGCCATTTTCCCAGTATGCCAGTTAAGTACGTATGTAACCCGAAAATCCTTACTCTTAGTATGTAATCTATATCATACACGGGGGGGGGGGCACATGCCATGCCATACGTCCTAGCGAGGACGCGAGGTGCTTCGCAGATCTACGACCTCCGAAACTCATAGATGTATGGTAGATGGTGTCTGCAGGGTCCTATGGAAACTCGAAAGTGAGACATGTGAGCAAAAGCGCTGATCACTTTCAAATGATCGGGAGAAATTTAAGGGAAACCTTTGGGATGGTTACACGACGAGATATTACATTCACTAGGACCACATTATTGACATGGAGGATATTTCCAGAGTCTTAATGAATTTGCCATGCTAACGAAGACATAGAAGACATCTTCTTATGGCCGTAGTGTTAGCGAACCCGAGTTACGAAGGTACTGGCAACAGGACAAGAATGTGATCGGTTGGTCTTTGCCACCATTTTTCTTCCTTCCTCGTGTGCGATTTGATATAAGTTCTAAATAGCAAATTTTGGAACCAGCGAATCTTTACCATGGCCTGTAGATCATTAAGACCAACGAATGTTCTCAGTGTGTGTTCATTGTCCAAAAAGGAGCAAGGTGAGACGTCAAGTTCCGCGAGGCGTATCATCGTTTGCATGTCCGTATGTGAGACCACCTACGTCAAGTGACCTTTTTTCGTTGAGAAATTTGAAACTGAGTGTTCCAACCCTCCAAGAGCCTCATCCGTCACGCCGGATTCAAACCCCGCACTTTCCAAGAATAAGTGTTTGACGGCCACGCGGCTAATATTGACGGCATATAGCCAGTCCTCGTGGGTCTCACAGACAAGTTCCCGGTAACCCGTTTTCTCCCATTCACAACGAATTCTCCACTTCCATTACTTCCTGTATGCCCTCCGCGATGGACTGGATCTTGGCTTTCTCCAGACGCTTGAGTGGGCGCCGAGGGTAGCCACCATATCCAAAGTAGCTCTGAATTGCTTGTTTGGTACCTGCGATTGCTGCCTTGGTCAAGAACCAATCACCTCGCGAGAGAACCTTTTGCAATGCGATCGCCTCCTCAATTCTCCCTTCCGAGTATAGATTCCATACCTTGACGCAAACCTTAGGCATCACATTTGCGCCACCCGCGATGATGCCGCTTCCCCCAGATACTAGCGTTTGGACTGTGAAGTCGCATATGCCACCAAATGCCATGTAGCCACTGCCTTCGGAGGAGGGAGTTTTCGCATTGGTAGCTAGTGCTACTCGGGTAAGTTTGCCGGTACTGCCGCAGGTAAATTTGGTTCCAATGATGTTGGGGTGTTCGGCAAGCTTAATAATGAGATCCGAGTCCATGTCAATGCCAGCAACAGCGCCGGGATAGTTGTATAAGACGATTGGGAGTGGGCTCTCATCTGCCAAAGCGGTATAGTAACCAACTATAGCCTCTTCGTCCATCTGAGCACGGAAGTAGCTTGGGGGTAGTATCAGGACATAGTCTCCGCCAGCCGCTGCACAGAGCTTGCTGAGTTCGACGGTCCCCTTCACGCTCCCTTCAGTAGCCCCAACGATGATGGGCGTGGTGGTGAAACCTGCGGCATCCAAAGCTTCTCTGGTAGCACGTGTCACTGCTACCTTCTCCTCGCGTGTGCAGTGAGCAGCTTCTCCGTTAGACCCCATAGTGACCAGTCCGGCTAGACCGGCTTTGGCCAGACGCTCGGCATGCTTCTTGATGGTGGGTATGTCGAGCTCTTCAGTCTCTGGGTCGAAAAAGGTCATGGTGGGAGCATAAATGCCACATGGTAGTGACCGTCTCGTGGTCGTGTGACCATTAGCTGTGCTGCTGCTTGAGGCAGTCATGGTTTCTCTGACTGAGTGGCGATAATGTGAAATTGAGAGTAATGAAGATATTACCGTCTAGCCTGCGGACCGATATATACCGAGGTAGAGATGATGGTTGGGAAAAGGAGATAAGCATGAAAAGGGGCGCCGGGAAAGGGGAAAATTGAGGCAAAGAGAAAGAGGGCTTGTAGCTATACTTATAGGATTTGAAGTAAACATATAGTGGATGGGAAACATAGTGTTTTCTTTCCATAACCTAATATCTTTCGTCCTCTGAGTTGCATGCAATGCCTTGTGGGGGGTGGGTCAGCAGCGTAGAGAATAGTTTAGTCTTACTAGTTCCAATTGTTTTTTGCTCGTTGGGACATTGGTCCGAAGGAGGCGACATTGGTTGCGTCTTGGACCCGAAACGCCCCTAATGAAAAGGAGCTAATGGAAACGGATTGGTACGGAATCGCACAGGGCTCTTCCTCTACGAGGTCTAAACTCACAAGGTTAGGCGTAGATGAGCCGAAATACTTAGCGGCCCTAGGAGAGACGGGCCATTTGCACCTCGGACTTATATCAAAGCAATATATCGTATATGGATCATAGGACTCACGCAGACAGCCCGATTCCTGAGTTTGCAGGACATTGTGCAAATATCGTCGGGCTGTTATACGGGGTAGAGATTGCGTTTCGGCCTCGTGGTTGAGAGAAGCTGCAACCAGGAGCTTGAGCGAAAGCAAGGGTCTAGAGACGGTTGAATGTCCCCTTCAAAGAGAATGCGCACCTTATTCGGCAGCTGCTCATGCAAAGAATAAGTTGAGATACCCGTAAATTCGCGTTGAACCAGGATAGTTGCGGTGGCATTTGTAACGGCACCGCGATTGGCCAGACCCGAGCAGAATCTCCGGGTGGGCTCAGAAACTGGGCTGATGGAAATCGGGGGGGATCTGCAATGGAGTCGGCTGAAGTTGAGGGTGTTAGATGAGGGCACTCTGTCGTCACCAGCGCCCGTAAGATATTCTAGAAAGTTAAAGAAGCCGTGCCTTGCGCGTCGAAAAGATTTATGGCGGCTGATGGGTTGTCGAGGCGAGCTGTGAACGTGTTGGTACTTGAAGCGGATGAAGTTGGTAAAGACGTCATTCGCGTCGACCAGGTCGTCTTATGACCCTCCAAATGGAAGCATCGGGAATTAAGAGTCCTTTTTTTGGAGACGACAACGAGTGGAAGATGGTCGAGGTATGCCGTTCACTTGGCAGGATCAAAGTCTGTTGGAGGGTGACCTTTGGCGGGGCTAGGGACATGAGAAGCGATTTGCCCTGGGTCAGAATGAAAGCTTGCCGCATTATGTGGAGTAGACGAAGCTGTTTCCAGATCCAGGGCATGAATGGTTTGAACATAGGTTCCTGGGAGATGTATTTTCGTGCAGGGAGTACAATACGACTATTGGGTAGCCCTGGAAGTCTGTACGATGACCCCCTCGACTCCCCTGTTGAACCCCCTCGGACTAAGGGCCTTACCAACATGTGGTATGAGGTAGGTGGTACCTCTTGCCGGTGGGTGACAGTAATAATAGAAGCACTTATGCCCCGTTGGGTGAACCAGCAGTACGTATATAATAAACTGCTGATTTTCTAAATTTCTGGACGTCTGGGGTAGCGGCCTACATGTAGTCAGTCGATTTCGCTTCATCTGCAGGCCAGGCCAGATACGGCATAGACCTTACGGAAGAATCATATTGCAAATTTTTCCTCCAGTGAAGAAGCAGAAGAAGGCTTTGATGTGGCCAAGACCCTCTCTCCAGGTTTATCCCTTTTCATGGGACTTCGGGCAATATTCCACGTCCACGTTTGCGGGCATTCATAATCCCAGTACGATCAAACCATGGATGCAACTCTGCGTACCTTTCAACTGTACAGGGTTTGCTCGTCTTGAGATATCGTCGGACTCTTAGGAGAATGCTTTAAAAATGCGTGCGCTGTTGCATTTACCCGGGCAACATTGCGGTGATACCTTTACTTTTGACCTTCCTCATTTTGGATATTGTATGATGAAATGGTTAAGGACGAGATTGCAGTACTTAGAAAAAAATCTACATTGTAGAATTAGCCCAATGATAGCCCGATGACCGGCTCGCTTTTGAAGAAAAAGTAGCCCATCAAACGCGGGGCAATCACTCTCGGGGTGTTCATCAGCAAACTTTGGTGGGGGCGGGCCATTGTGCCTTGTAATAGGCGGGGGCGGGGTAGCTTCATGTACCTCCACTTAGTACGCAGTAATAAATCTCGACAACTCCAGGCTAGCAGCTACCTGTAAGCCGAAATTTACTGCACTTAGGCCATCGGAATTGGATCTCCAAATTTCCCTTTTATTTCTTCTTTTCAAACTTACATCATGTATCCCTTTCAAATCGGCTATTACCAACTTGATGAAATAATGGGCTTGAACACACTTGTTCTTTGAGCCTTGAGCTCTGATGTTCTTCATTGACTATACATGGTCAATTTCCCCTCGATCGAGTGCCAAACTCGTGCAAGCAATCCCGTGTGCAGTTCGTCGTCGTCTCCTTAGTCTTATTTGCGCATCTGCATTTCCACAAGAGTCCAAGCTTCCCGAGTGCTGGAACGGAAATTTGATAGCAAGTGGTCGACATCACCTACCACTTCATTTATTCAAATATACCTTTTAATCATCTATGTATAAGCATGTAATGTAGCATGATAGCTTTGTCTACCCTTTGATGTTGAAGTCAGGCGTAGGTAGGGATTTCTCCAATTTCCCCTCAATTTTTCCGTCTATGACAATCGAGTATTCAAGCTAAGGTAGGTCGGGGTAAAAGGTAGCTTAAACTTAACAAAACATTAAGACTACAAGGTTACATGTAGGTTAAAATGCAATATCTCACCCCTTCTACTTTTTGTCTCCTTTTTGTGATGTTCGACGCTCCTGTATCTGCGTGAACTCGCCCCCTTTTCAGGTATATTCTGTATCTGTAAGACAGAACCTCATCATAATGGCAACGGAGGCGACCAAGTCCGTCGTTGTCCCAACGACTTCCCCCTCTCCATTGAATGTTTTGATGGTACGTCTCTCCATGGCACAATTTTGTTCAATTGCCTCCGGGAACTGACACTACCCAAGGTCGGGACTGGAGAGTATACCACCGGGTTTGTTGGAGGCGGTGCTTCAGGGTCGGATAAGAAGGTAGGTGTTGTTGGCCTATCCCTTTTCGACCTTCGGAGAAGAGGAAAGGTGGATAAGTTGAGTATGGTTGGTACAAATGGAACCAAGTTCCCAGCAATCAGTAAGTTTGCACCTTCATCTCTCATAGGTAGATGAAGAATGAGCATTGACTTGAGCAGGGCAACATCTTGATACCAACATCTCCAAAGTCTACAATGGCTTGGACTGCTCTTTCGACTCTTACCCTGCGAATGACGTGAAGGACCCCGACGCATATAAAGTTGCCATTGACGCCTTAAAACCAGGCGCCGCGATAACTATCTTCACTCCGGATACAACCCATTATCCAATAGCTTTGTATGCAATTGAGCGTGGGATACACGTTTTGATTACCAAACCTGCTGTGAAGACTCTTGAACATCATCAAACACTCATTGAAGCCGCCAAAAAACACAATGTCTATGTGTACATTGAGCATCACAAGCGCTATGACCCTGCATACAATGACGCCAAGTTCAGAGCCCAGAAGTTGGGCGATTTCAACTACTTTTATAGTTACATGTCCCAGCCAAAGTCGCAGCTGGAGACCTTCAAGGCGTGGGCTGGTGTCGACTCCGACATCTCGTACTATCTAAACAGTCACCACATCGACATCTGTGACTCAATGGTTTCGCAGTTAGGCTTCGTTCCCGTCAAGGTATCAGCTTCGGCAGCAAAAGGCATCGCCACCACCCTCGGATGCAATGAAGCAACAGAGGATACTATCACAGTGATGGTCACTTGGCAGAAACAAGGTGACCCCAGCAAAATCGCCACAGGTGTATACACAGCATCGTGGACGGCCCCGCAAAAGGCTGGTGTGCATTCTAACCAGTACTTTCACTATAGTATGTAACATTGAAATTACCTACCCCTCTTGTCATAGGAAATTGCTAACTTGTTGAAGTGGCCTCCGGGGGAGAAGTCCGTATCAACCAGGCTAAGCGTGGATATGACGTCGCGGAGGATGCCGCAGGCCAACTCGTATGGTACAACCCATTCTACATGAAATACGCACCGGACGAAGAGGGCAACTTCAATGGCCAAACCGGCTACGGCTATGTCTCCTTCGAAAAATTCGTAGACGGGTGCCGAGCAGTCAACTCAGGGGCGCTTAAGCCCACCGATCTTGACGCGAGAGGGCTTCCTACGCTGAATAACACGATAGCGACAACGGCTATCCTCGAAGCGGGGCGACGAAGCATAGACGAAAACAGGGAGATCAAAATTGAAATCACGGATGGGTTTTGGAAGCTGGTGTAGATTATCACCGCTAACGGTCTAGCCATGTAGGACTATTGAAAAGAAGGGATGATGAGCTTTCTAGGATAGGTTAAGCAAAGTCACTCTTTAGTGGTGATCGCGACTACATAAATGGTAGGGAAATAGTTCTACCATAACATCCAGAGTGTCAACTTTGAGAAATACGGTTCTTCAAAAGGTGCTTCCTTATCCTCTGGCCTTAGGCGCCCCCTAATCTCTAGAGCGCGTTTCTTACAAGTTTCGCTATCTTCTACCAATCCCTTCTCGGCGTAGAAGATCGACAGCTTGTACAGGGCACGAGCAAGTTGACCCTCACCCTCATTCAAAGACTCCGAAATGTTGATCAATTGCTTCAGAAGCTCGCTTTAATAATATTAGCTTTGAGCTATGCTCAGTGGAGAACAAGAAGAAATTCTGTACTCACATGGCCGAGGCTGAATGGCCTTGCAGGTACAAGATGCTTGCCACATCATACAATGAGTCGCTGGTCTTCAAGCGATTACCTAATAACTTTTGCCGGAATGCGAGGGCTTTTGATGCTAACCGTAGCGCATCATCCACACGACCTTGCTTAAGTCGAATGCGGGACAAAAGTACCATATCACCAGAAAAGCGTGGGTTACCTGTGCTCAGGAACGTCTCGTCCGTGAAATCTTTCAGCGAAGGGCATCTCCCAAGCATCTCCTCCGCTTCGTCTGGTTTTCCCATGCGTAACAGCAAGCTCGACATATTGCTGTATGAATTGCCGATTCTGTCGCTGTTGGTTCGAAGTCGGATATCTATCGCTTGTTGGTGTGTAGAGTACGCTTCTTCTAAGTTGCCCATCTCAGTGTATGCTAATGCTATGTTGTTAAGACTGAAGGCAATGAACGAGTCATCCGGCCCAAGTCGTCTCTTCCGAATTTCTAGGGCCTCTTGAAATGGTTTCAGCGCAAGCAATGGCTGGCACATGTCTAGGTCAATCAACCCAGCTAGATCAATAGCACTTGCATACGCCAAAGTCGACTTGTCCTCGAATGTCTGAACTGCAGCATTGACTAGACTTCGTGCAATATCATAGGTCTCGCGCTCGTAAAGATACCTGATGTTTGGTAAGTCCAGATTCATGTGGCGGACGATAAAGGGGCACTGACCAGCTACAGCGAAGGAGCAGTTCTGCATATTGCTGTGCGTTACTTGGCTGAATATTATGCTTTTTTGACAATTTAGCGAGGTGGTCGATATGTGGCAGACATTTTTCACATTTTTGCCAGGCATTGATTTGATGACCGATGTCTTTGCTCCAGGTATCAGGGAATCCCCATGATAGAAGTTGGGTAACTACATCGAAATATCTCGGCCGATCCGGTGAAGACAGCCTGCGAATTGCAGCAGATTGTATTAGTCTATGAACCGTGATAACTGGTTTCTCCATTGTCTTGTTAATCAAGGCAGCCTGAAGGAGAGGTTGTTCCGCATCGCCAAGACTGTATAAGTTAGCAGTTGAGCAAGCCTGAGGAGAAACATATGAAATCATCTGAACCCACTCCATCTCATCCGCAACAAAGTCAAAGTCGGGATCAATCCCGGATCCTGTTTGCGACCCTTCCAAGAATATAGCTTCATCGACTCCATCTGGATCAAAGAAGACTAACATATTCAGCAACTTGGTAGCATCTCCTGGGAGTTTCTCAAACGAGACATCCCACACAGTACTCAAAGTGTGTTCATAGTCATCTTTGATTGTCTTCCTGGAGTCAATTTTTGACGCGTTACGCTCATAGAGGGGAAGAAAGTCCTTCAATGGCAATCTTCTCTGTGCTATGAAGCCTCCAATCTGGCTCAATGCAAGAGGCAATCCTCCTAGAGCTTGGGTAATTGCAGTTGCATGCTCCGTATTTGACGCAACGGTCGGATCAAGTCCAATCTGCTTGAGCAACATCAAGGATCCTTCTATTTCGTTAAAGGGCTCTATCTGTATACATTGAGCAGCAGGATTATTTGCGACATCGAAGTCCCTAGTCGTCAGGATAATCGAACCATGGGAACTTGTGGGCCATGCTACCTTGATGGCTTGCAGATCATCGGCGTTGTCGAAGATAATTAGCCAAGGGGTTGCTAAAGACTCCGTCAGTCTGATTCATGTTACGAACAAGAAGCTATCGCAACATACATGTGATATTTAACCAATTCTTGACTTTCCATATTGCAGCTGCCGAGTCTTGGATTTCGTCTTTGTCTTGGCAAAGTTGCAAACCTTGGGCTACTTCTCGGAAACTCTGGCCGATCGTAATGATATTATCGGCAGCAATCCAGAGGATTACGCCGTATTTATCTGCATTATGGTGTGCATACTGCAGCGCCAGTTGTGTCTTGCCAACTCCGCCCATCCCAAATAATGCTATTGATCTAGTTGAAGATGATGATTGTGCTGGATCAAGGATGTTCTGGATCGCTGACAAAGTCGCCGAACGGCCAGAGAATCTTCCATTCTGCAGGAACGGAATATGATGGTATTTTATCTGATGATTGTCGTCGCTTCTCTTAGTACTAAGACTGTCCATAAGCTCAATTACTTCTTTGTACTTATTTTCATCCAGCCTCATGCGAGCAAGATCAGCCTCACTCTCAACAATGGACGAGATTCTCTTGATACGCATATTGGTCCTCGAGAAATCGGTATGGAACTTCTCCCAAGCGTTTCGCCGTAATAAAACATGCGGGTGATCTTGAAAGAAGTGTATCGTCCTGGCATAGAAGCAAATCACTTCTGTGTATACATCAATCAAGGCAGTCTCGAGCTGGCGACTCATCGGCAAAGTATCTTCGTAAACTCGAAACCTTGGCAGAGTCAAGCTCAGTTCTTCAAGCATATCCAACACATCTTGAAGAGTATCCCCTGCTGAAGCAGCTAATGTCAGTATGAGACGAATGCTCCCCCATACCACTGCTGTCAATGTTGCGTCTGCCCCGAATGCTAGAGCTATAATTGCGGAAAAGTCGTCCACGAATTTGAACTTCGGCGCAAGTCTATTCAGAGATGCTAATGTCTGCCTATCTCGTGACGGTGTGGCCTGTATGGTGTTCACATGGCTCAAGAGGTCGTCAAGAGAGTGAACTTCATTTATCGCTTGGTAGTCTTCACTACCCCCTAGCTCTTCCCGATATCTCTCTAGGGCTTGATGCCATAGTGGACTTTTATTTTCGATGGACCTTTTAAATTTAACATTGGTTTACTTTGATTCATACGTAGATACTATGAGGTGGGTATACTTACTTCTCCATCTTAGGTAGTTTTGGTTACCTTAGTACCGCTAATTAACCCGCTCTTATATTATGTCCTCGCGAAGATGCCTTCTATCTAGTAGGTGAGCGTTTCTTGAATTGACAATGAACACTGAAGTCCCCTCGATCATGGTGCGGGGTGTCGGGCTAGGGTGTAAGGTGTAAGGGTTGTATTGTATGCAGCCTCCGAACGCCACCGATACCAACGTTCGGAGTGATACGCTCTGTGACTGGTGCTTCGGCGCTTACGCATCGGTGAATACTGCTTTTGCGCGCGTCATCAACTTGGGGGTAATCGCCATTATCCATAAGCTATCTTTAAGCCAAGCCAAGTCTAGAAGAACTACTTAAGAGAGTATTCTAAGATGTGTATTGCATATAAGTTTCTCAGTATTAGCGATGTATATCATCGGTGCTTGATTACCCACAGCCTACCAATATATGTATGTGATTGAACGTGAATCGCCAGAGAGAGAGATTGAGGCGAGGCTTAAGAAGCCTCAAACAAAGTTGGCTGACTCAAACAAGACAATATTCTATTTATGTCGTATGAACCAATTGATGACCTGACATGGATCGTATCAGGTCTAACCAACTGGCCCCCAAAAGCCTCTACTGACCTTCTCTGACTACTTACTCTCCATTTCATGGTCGATGTCTCCGGAGCTGATATATCATAATTTCTGTGTTAATTAACCCATTCTCTCACTCTTTAAACTTATATTTAACACATGTATTCTTTTCGTAGACTAGTCCGGTTCGTGCGGTGCGGTTTGCTGCTCTTTTCAACAATTAATTATAATAACTTCCCTTTTAATTCTACTACCTGGTACCTAACGTCAAACTTGCTCGCAGTATGGGGGCACGTCAGCCAACGAAGAGAGAATCACGCGAATTACTGCTCGGTAACTTACCATGGTACAATTATTGGCTTCGATCACAAGCCAGCCAGCAGCCCAAAGAACTATATACTTGTATCGAAGACTCCGATGGTGAATTCAACGATAATTTATTCGGCAAAATAAAGTCCCTCTATCTTAAAATCTCGGATGCTGTTGTCAACGAGCCGACTTTGAGTATCAATGACATAGTTCAGAGACTCATAGAAGATGGCGGTATCATCGTGTCGGAGGAAACGCAGGGACTCAAATCAGCAATAGACTTAGTTTTCTCAATTATTGGTTGGCAAACTATGCTTTACCGGCCGGATGTGTTCTCATGTCCTCCATCAGAATTCGGCATCGCTGACGAGATGGACGGCCACAGGGGAGAAAGTCACATCTGTTTCAGGCAATCCCGAACAGGAAGTAACAAAAGGCTTCCTGATTTTCTTCTGGGGTTCGGGTTGATGCTTCCACCGCGGAATTACCATACTCTCGACGACCCTGAAGAGATTAAAAATTTCAACCGGCTCAAGTCTATTGATCACTCAACTCTAAATATGTATTTATTGACAACAATTGGTGGTGTCACCGTGAGCTGGACTGACTGCCTAGCCTGCCATCTCGAGTTAGACAGCAGTTCCCGCCTTCTGTACTTGTTTCGTTACCCATCCTTCTGCACGGCAAACATGAAAAACCAATCATCAGAGGGTAACAGCCACTCAGTGATCTATTCATGTGCTTCGGATATCCCTAGTAACAGCTACTGGGCTACACCGCAAGATGTTACGGAGTTGCTTGAAGAGATTGTTCTCTCTTACAGACTCCTGTTTGGACAGCACCACAGGTCACGGAAACTTCTTCGAAAGCTTCGTCCGTTTGATCATGTACCACCGAATGGTCGCGACAATTTTCTGTCCGATGTCTGCGAGGGGAAACCACTGGACGCCTCATTAGGGATCGTAGAACGCGATAGTTATGAACTCGCGCGGGATTTTCCTCACTTGAGGGCACGGCTTGTTCGGCTTAACACTTATCTAGATGATCGGAAGCCACGGTCATGGAGGGAATTATGGCTCGATAATCGTGATTCGGCGTCATGGTTGACGTTTTGGGCAGTCATTGTCATTGGTGGTATAGGACTTATACTCAGTTTCATTCAAGTAGCCCTTCAGATCGCGCAGGTAGCGATGTCCGTACAGCAGCCGAACTAATAATGTTTCCATAACTACCTAGATTTCAAAAATTTGAGACCCTTCTCTAATTCATTACACGCTACGTTCGCACCAGCTCTGGATAACGCCTGCTATAGTGGCATCGTATTCCTTCAAGGTGACTGTTTCTCCATCAATGAATGTGTTGGCCTGCACATTCAATAAGGGAGGCGGTTTGTTTTCAACAACGGTCTGTCGCCACTCCAGACATTCCTCATCCACATGTGAAAGGTCTTCGTAGTACTCCCTACAAGTTTGGACGTCGGCAGTGCAGCGATACATGTGAAGGCGTAATAACATGTCACCAAGAGCCTTCTTTCCATGACTCTTGATTCTTGATCGATCAACCTGAACTCTGAGCTTCTTAGCCCCTATATCGTGGTGGATTTCAATACACCCATGACCGTGTCTGAGCAGACATCTAAGGATAGAAAAATGAGCCTATGATCTGTTAGCATTTATTTCATGCGATGCCTCGGCAATTATGATACCCTGCTGTGAGCTTGCCCCCATTTCTGCAAAATAATGTTAGCAAGGACCTTCGTTATGGTGATGGTAGCTCACCGATCCTTCGACATTGTAATTCGAAAGAGCTCGAAGGCCATCAACTCCAAGTTGCTGATATAGATTGTAAGTCACTTCTATATGTTAGTATTGAACTTGAATATGCGTAGGTGGATAAGCATATTTACAATCATCGGCTCGAATTTCCGATTGATCTGTGAACCCGAAGAGAGCTAGTAGCTCCGGATCATCCATAAGATAAGCCCCTACCAGTTCGGCTCTACACTCGTCCAGCGTCGTAGCTAGATCTCCGAACTCACCAGTCCATGTCTGACCTGGCTTGTACCATGTTTTGATGGGCTTCCCGTCAAGAGGGCTTATTGGCGGATTCGCAGGATCGAAGTTGAATTTATTAGCAGGTTCCTCAATCATCATCCTACCCGTACCATGACCCAATAGTTCATGGAGCACAACCCACCAATAATACGCAGGATACTTATGTTTCTGGAATAGCTCCATTTCAGAATCTTCAATGAAGGGCCACTGCATCGCGGTACTTTCAGCCGTCATACGGTTCGCAACGATGACGTTCTTGAACCCCACATCTTGACGGATATCGTTGTACTAAGAGTATTCTCTGATGAACATGAGACCAATGAATAATCTAGGGAATACTCACATTTGGAAGGTTGATTCCTGGAAATATGATACTGGAACAGTAGGCCAGTGCTTCTATCGTAAGTGTCCGGCCTTATCACAATAATAAATATGACACGTACTATGAATGCTAGAGAAGTCGGGTGGGTCGAACAGGGATTTCTCGAAAGCCCCTTTACCATTGTTTTCGGGGGTAGCCCAAGGCAGTCGCTGGATGAATTTGTCGGAGTTCTCAACTAATTTTGACAACAGTTTCGTTTCTTCCGCATTAGCGATGGCAACCAAGCCTTCAAATTCGGCACGGATTCCAGCCGGATCTCTATATGGCTCGACAAACCCGAAGATATTCTCAATCTTCGGTGCTTTATCGGTGATCCATGTCCGCTGAGAGTCGCGATACGCATCGAGACTTCCGGTTCGAAAACTCTCGATGTATTGAGCTATGAACTTTCGCTGGGCGTCGTTTGCCGCATACGTAGCAGCTCTAGACAAGTTTTGGCAGATCTTTTCCAGATCATCAGCATGGTCACCCCGTACTAAGCTGACCCTAGCTGTCGAATCTGGGATATCTAGAGGCAGTGGAACCTCTGATATCATAGTTGAGGCCTGAAGGACCTCGAATGTGTCTTCTCCGGTTTTTCGAACTCTGGTGTTCTCGGGTAGAATAGAATGCGCCCCCATATGTCTAGAGACGAGGGCGATTTCTTCCTTTTCGATGAATTCCCCAGGGTAATAAGAACTTTGAGCTACTGGACTAGGATAGCCGAGAGTGAAAGGTGGAACCGTCATAATGGAGTCTCGGAACTCCAGATAGAGGTCCCAGAGCTTGAGTGACCGGGCAGCAAGTTTCTCTATCGAACTAGAACTGATCTGTGGAACGAACTTCTGATCCCCAGACCCCTTCAGGGGGTTAGCCCCTATTCAGGAGTTTTAGAAGTTACCGGTACGCACGTAGTAATTCCCGATATTAGACAGGAAAGTGGCTGCATATTTGAGGAACTCTTCGACGTCTTCTTCGACGATCCCATCACCCCCAGAAATTTGATTCCAGTTGCCATCACAGGATCTATACAGCTCTAATATGAAATCAAAAATCGGTATGGACTCCGGTGAGACCTGGCGAAGGATTATCCTTGTACCAGACCAAGCGGCTCTAATAATACTTGTTAACGAAAAGTTAGACTGTAGTCAACGACTTCAACTAGCCTTGATAGAAAGTGGCCATATAGCTTTTCCTGCTCGGAGAGGCGGTCGAATAGCGGGGCAATGCCTAGCCTGTAGATTTGCACTGGCGCGGCCATGCCCATTTGTATGTCTGTTATGGTATACTTTGAGGAAATTTCCGAGTGGAAGGCGGGGTTGAATGGGCGAAGGAACTAGGTATCTGTCGTGTCACTCTTCGATAACAGCCCTACGTATGCAGCAGCTTGATAAGCTGACCTCTGTGGCTGACCTCCTTTCTACACGATGATGGTAGATAGGTACCTACAATATCGACATAGTAAATGCCACTAGCTTTGCCTACCTGTTGGTCGGCTATGTTGAATCTGCCCAGTTTAAATACGCAATCCTAAATTCTGAATCTAAATCTAAACCATATATAGGGACAATCAACTGAATACCAGCTGCTTAAGAACATGGCCTTAATTGTTCCTTCAAATGCGTAGATTTCTGCTTGTAGTAAGACTTATGACATTGTTATACCCTTTTTCCTACGTCTATAACATATAAATAATATGTAAATTCATTTGCCTCTGCTCGGAGACGTTAACAATAGGGGCTGTTCGAAAAACTTGGAAAATTATCACATATCACAATGAAAGGACATCAAATCACATGTCTATTGGTGCCTAAGTTGCTAATACAATGGTACAATATGTGTGTAATAAAGTGGTAGGTTCCGCGGCAATCTAGTCGAATCACACCACCCCGGCCTCAATCCCCTCTCTACATATCGAACCTACCTGGTATATAAGCCCCTCGTTGCCCATAGGTTCATTCATTGTCCTTGGAGAACTTGATCAATGACAGTATACTCGGTCGCAATACGCGGCCCGATTATTAGAGTGCTCTCGGTATGCGCCGTTATGGATAATACACTATGTGTATCCTGCGCCGAGATTTACTCCTAGTCTGCCTCCAACCAGTCGTTGATCGTATGCACATCATGTGCAATCTGCATGTTCGTAAGAGCCGGGACTAGGTTGTTGTATTTTGCCGAGGAGATTCGGAGTCACCCGCCAAGAATCGGGTTACTCGAGATCTTGAAGCTTGATATATGAGCTGGTCGCGTAATAATAAAAAACAGCCGTTTTCCCTCAACAATAAATCTTTGGAGTTTTCGCTAAGAAAATGTGAGTTCTTGAAGCCCGTGCTTTGGCTAGTTTGAGACCAAACCGGCCTGGCGGCTTTTTCTTGCTTCTTAATACGTGTCGGACATCCGGTCGCGTATCTAACCTTGTCTCCCATCCAACTTGGACACTTGTGACGATGTATATGATCATCGTCTCGTGGCTTGTAAGGAGCGCGTGGGACTTCTCCCCAAGGTTTACTCAATGACCAACAATGATCTTTTTGTGTTGGTATTTCTGCTTCATGTTCATCAGATGATTGAGTTCCAATGACCACGATGGCAGCGGCCATGATTGATTATGATTTCATTCTCTCTCTGTAAGTGCTGACACTTGATAGATTCCGATGATTCCGATGATGCTGGACTTTGAATCTTAGTTTGATCTAAGTTTGTATTTCAGACTTAGATCCCAAGATTAGACATGGCGAAGTTACCAGTAGGCAAAAGCTTCCACTCAGTTGGAATGAAGATTCTGGGGAACTAAGGACGATCGACAGGGGACAAGAAACTGGGGATTAAGCTGGGGAACTTCTTAGGCGGGGAAGCCGTACGGGAAGCTTAGGAAGCTACGATTCAGTCCAGTGGGCCTAGCGTGGCGCTACGGCGTAAGGGGCTAGCAGAGATGCGGCGATAAGAGATAGGCGAGGCGTGCTGGGGCTGATAACGACCGGAAGAATGATATAGCGAAAGATTCTACCAACAGCAGTAACCCGAACCGGTCAGGAACACCCGCCCACCCGACAGTTAGGTCCATTGACTTTAGGGATTTTAGGATTGGAAGGAGACCGATGCGAGTCATGGGATACTACGACCTTGGTTCAACCCAGCAAATTCAGGCGCCGTTTACAAAAATTAAATCACTCTGCGAGTTTTTTTTATTCTCTCTTTCTTCGGACAGCATCACAAGCCCGGCACACAATTTTGCGGAAAACCGCTCGACCCTTTTCCCCCATACTCCCTGATCGGAATTCATTTTCCTCGTTGATGTTCATATCACCTTCCGCCGCATACTCTAGCCTTCCAAGTTCCGTCTAGTAACCCTGTCGACGGGATCCCGAGGTTCCCCGAGTTCACGCGCTATTCACTCCTGCATCGGCGTTCCTTAACCGAACGATCGTGAATATTACTCAAAAAGTTGGTCAATTCGGTGCGCTAATCGATAAGCCGACTTTCTCACGACTCACAAAACTAATCCCTAAGCTTCCCTTTGTCCGCGCTTCACAATAACCGAGACGCCCACCTTTAACGTCGCAAATCGACCACGCCAAAATGTCGACCTCTACGACTGTGAAGGAAGCGGTTAAGGAGAGCCTCCTGGGCTCCGAGGAGCCTGCTAAGTTGTCTTCTTCGCATCGCGCTTCATTTTTAAACAATGCAATCAAGGATGAGCAAACCGGGGAGTTATACATGGGACCTGAGGAATTCATCTCAGCCATTGCGCCACCTGAACAAGACTACGTGAGCTACCAATGTTCCTGCAAGCTAATGAGTAACTTCTTGTCGCTAACTTTTACCCTTCCTTGTAGCACAAGATCGGTCGTGACCAGTATGGTCTCCTCTTTCGTGTAGCTGACCGTCGAGGGACTGGTAAGATAACAATTGGCGATTGGGCGGCCTTCGAGAACCTCCTGACGAAACCCGATGCCGAATACGAGATCGCATTCCGTCTTTTTGATATCGGCCGTACCGGGATTGTCAAGTATGACGACTTCAAACGACTCTACGAGCAAAACAAGGGACCCGACAGTATTCCATTTGACTGGGATTGTGAGTGGGCAAAGCTGTACATTGGGGACAAGTACAAGAGACATGTCCTCTCTTACCCAGAATTCTCCCAGATGCTCCGTGGTCTCCAGGGCGAGAGAATCAGGCAAGCGTTCCAACGTTTCGATAGGGATAAGGATGGTTATATCGAACCAGAGGACTTTGCGAGAATTATTCTAGAGACGGCGAAGCACAAGTTATCTGACCACTTGTTGGATAATTTGACAACATTGTGCAATGTCTCCGCCAGCAGCAGGATATCGTATGCCAATGTCCGAGCTTTCCAGAACATGATAATGGAGATGGATTTGGTGGAGCTCATCATTCGCAAGGCTTGTCAGAAGAGCGCCGATGGGAAGATTACGAGAACGGAGTTCTTGAACGAGGCTGCCAAAGTTACTCGATTCTCTTTGTTCACCCCTATGGAAGCAGACATCCTCTTCCACTTCGCCAGCTTAGACGAACCATCAGGCCGATTAGGTCTCTCAGACTTCGCCAAAGTCCTGGATCCTTCATGGAGATACCGCGGTGTTGCCGAAGAAGCCGCAGCCCGCCGAGCCCAAGGAAAGACCAAGTCTGTAACACAGGGTATTCTGAATCGGGTTGTTGAGTCGGCGTACAACTTTGTCCTAGGAAGTATGGCAGGTGCTTTTGGCGCCTTCATGGTGTATCCTATCGACCTGGTCAAGACACGAATGCAGAACCAGCGAGGTGCCGATCCGGGACAACGCCTTTACAAAAACTCAGTTGATTGTTTTAGAAAAGTCGTTACGAATGAAGGTTTCCGTGGTTTATATTCGGGAGTCTTGCCCCAGCTGGTTGGTGTCGCACCAGAAAAGGCCATCAAGCTTACGGTGAATGATCTTGTTCGAGGTTGGTTCACAGACCCTAAAACAGGTCATATTTCGTGGGAATATGAAGTGTTGGCCGGTGGTAGTGCTGGTGGTTGCCAAGTTGTAAGTCTTAACTCGGACTGCTTTTGTTGGTGATGTGGAGTTAGGGTTGCTAATTTTATGTTTCCAGGTCTTCACCAATCCTCTTGAGATTGTTAAGATTCGACTACAAGTTCAGGGAGAAGTTGCGAAAGCTACTGAAGGCGCCCAGAAGCGCTCTGCGATGTGGATCGTTAAGAACTTGGGTCTCGCAGGCCTTTACAAGGGTGCCTCTGCATGCTTACTCCGCGACGTTCCTTTCTCGGCCATCTACTTCCCCACGTACAGCCATCTCAAGAAAGATTTCTTTGGAGAGTCCCCAACCAAGAAGCTTGGCGTCGTCCAGCTTCTCACAGCCGGTGCCATAGCTGGTATGCCCGCTGCATACCTTACCACTCCGTGCGATGTGATCAAGACCCGTCTGCAGGTCGAAGCACGTAAGGGTGACACAAACTACACCGGTCTCCGACACGCCGCAACCACGATTATGAAGGAAGAAGGTTTCCGAGCTTTCTTCAAAGGCGGACCGGCCCGTATCCTTCGATCATCCCCGCAATTTGGCTTTACGCTTGCGGCGTACGAAGTTCTTCAGAGCGTCCTGCCATTCCCCGGCAAGGCAAAGCAGGAACAGATTCACACCGGTGTCGCGGACGTTGTTGATACGATCAAGGAGAAGGACGTCGCATCGCCTCACGCTCGTAGCCGAAATGCTTTGAAGATGATCCTCGATCTCGATGAGAATTTCGGTCGCGTCAAGCTTCCAGAACACCAGACCTGGAAGGCAGTGCCGAAGCTCCTCGGTGGCGGAAAATCATGATGTTCCAATAGAGAGGACCTTACATAGTCCTCATTCCCTTCAGTCCCAATTTTCTTTCGAGACATTTGCATAAAATTGGCGTTTGCGACCCTTGGCTCAGGGATCTTTTTACTTGCGTTTTGCGTTTTTTCTAAGGGCGATCAGAGAAAAAGTTGATGGTCGTAGCCAGCTATGGCGTCTTGTGTAACTAGCTAAGATCGGAAGATCACGATTGAATGATCTCTAGGGAGTCATATTGAAGAGCTTAAAGAGGGAAGATAGAACCCTCGGGTTTTGAACCCCGTTCATACCCCCATAGACCGCGAATAGACGAGTCTCGCTTTGCAGCATTCTATCCAACATATTGATCAAGCCATCGCCCAGTTATTTGTAAGCTCCAGGATAAGCATATACGTAGCAGAGCGTGATTGACTGACCTCATCCCGAATCACATAATCCAGGCATCCGCCTCTTTTCCTGTCGGCGACTTGAGTTCAAGGACTTCAAACACACGATACTTATCCGCTTCCTCGTGGCAAATCGTTTTGCAAGTTTGTATGTAGGTAAGTTTTAATACATATCACCCTTACAGTTGCTGCTTGATTTCGGATTATATGCAAAAGCAAAAAGGGGCGGGATGTAAAATGGATGAGATTAATCATCGCTCAACAACTAATGAATTACAGTTTGCTTGCTTGAAATTGAAGTCGTTGCTTGTTTTGAGTTGGCAAGGGACTAAATATGGGAATAAGGTGGAATGATCTCGACATATCGATGTACCCGCCGCATATGCATGCTTCAAAGCTCCAGCTCCAGCTCCAGCTCGTTTCCAAGCGATGTGATTGGGTTATAACCATATTCCATAGCTTACCTAAACTATCCTTCTTGTAGTATCCATACCGTTTCAAACTCCAGGAATTTAGAATCAATAATATGGTTATAGAATGATAAGTGCCTAGTAGATTAGCTTAGCTAACCTCGACTTTTGCAGTGAACTTATCTATCAGGATGACCATACATTAGTGAAGCTGTTCCTTGAAGTCCACGGTCAAATGGTATCAAAATAAGATTATAAGCGAGACTTATGGATGTCTTTTAAGTTGGTTCACTGATAAACTCGGGGGCAATTTATAAGGGTAAACAAATAAGGAAGGCGGTAGGTGCGGAAGAGTGTATTGGTTAAAACCCCACGTTGAAATTCTGCCGCCAAAAAGTGGGGTAGTGGGGTAAGTAAGACTCCGACAAGGACTTGGATGAATCGCGGCTTCTTCACGATTTGAAGTCAAATATCACCTGACGAACATAGCTCTTGTTACTAAGGTATGATAGATATTCTCTGTATACTCGCGATTCCGGGATTGGAATCTAGACAGCGTCGGCGGACGACTTTGAGATTTGCGCCGACCAGAGCGCGCTGATTGACGACCTAGTGAAACTTCAAAACTTGAAGCCGCCAAGATGGTGAACATAACGGAGAAGATCAAGGAGTAAGTTGAATTCCGTGTATTCTGTAATGTTGCTTCATATACTTACTATACATAGGATTGAGGATGAGATGAAGAGGACGCAGAGTAAGAACCCGTAACCGATTCTCTTGGATGGCCAATGTTCTAACTTTTTGGTTGATGTACAGAGAATAAGGCCACTGGTAAGGTCATAATTACCCCCATAATGAGAATATCGTACTAATATCAGTTGCAGAATACCATCTTGGACTTCTGAAAGGGTATGATCATATTCAGGAACATTGTGGGATTCTTCTAATGATGAAAATTGGGTAGGAAACTCGCACGCTTACGAGCGCAACTTCTCGAACCTGGTCCTGGAGCGGGTGGTGGGGGTGGCGCTGGTTTCGATGTCAGCAAGAGTGGTGATGCCCGAATAGCACTGGTGGGCTTCCCGTCGGTGGGCAAATCGACATTCTTATCCAAAGTCACGAAAACGAAATCCGAAGTCGCATCCTATGCCTTCACAACTCTGACTGCTATTCCCGGCGTGCTTGAGTATGGTGGAGCAGAAATTCAACTACTTGATCTGCCCGGTATTATCGAAGGAGCCGCGGAAGGCAAGGGTAGAGGGCGACAAGTTATCTCGGCTGCCAAGACAAGCGACCTCATCCTCATGGTCCTAGATGCTACCAAGAGAGCAGAGCAAAGAGCTTTGCTAGAAGCTGAATTAGAAGCCGTCGGCATTCGGCTGAATAGGGAACCCCCGTAAGTTAAAGCTAGATCTACTTCCACTCCTAATCCAGAAGACTAACTGGGGCTAGGAACATATATCTGAAAGCTAAGAAAGCTGGAGGGATGAAAATCAATTTTCAGTCGTCGCCGAAACATCTAGACGAGAAGATGGTGTACAACATCTTGCGAGACTACAAGATGCTGAATTGCGAGGTCCTAGTCCGAGATGATGAGGCAACAGTCGACGATTTAATTGATGTCATCATGAAGGACCACCGGAAATACATCAAGTGTCTTTACGTCTACAACAAGATCGACAGCGTCTCGCTCGACTTCCTAGACAAATTAGCACGCGAGCCAAACACCGTCGTGATGAGTTGCGAATTAGATCTTGGTATTCAGGATGTGGTGGATCGGTGTTGGAAGGAATTGCAACTGATTAGGATTTACACGAAGAGGAAAGGCATAGACCCTGATTTCAGTGAGGCGTTGATCGTACGGAATAATGCCACCATCGAGGATGTTTGCGACCGAATCCACAGAACTCTGAAGGATACCTACAAGTATTCGTTAGTATGGGGTGCGAGTGCTAGACATATTCCGCAGAGGGTTGGCTTAGGACATGTCGTGGCAGACGAAGATGTGGTCTACGTAGTTAGCGGGTACAAGGCGTAGCATAGCATCTTCAATCGTGCAATACTCCCTGAAGAGAGCATAGGAAGGCAACCTATGTTTTAGTTTCGTGATTCATTCATGATGCTGAATTATCAAAGCATCGAGTCCCTCCTATGTTACATCTTAAGAAGGGATCCCCTGTTCATGACCCAAGAGCTAACTCCCTTCCACCAACGCCATTGCACGTCCCTGTACCGCCATAACGCAAGAGACAAAGTCAAATCATCGACCAGAAGAGAATAACTCAGAACACCGTCCAGTAAACCGAAGGCACCAAAGGGAACAGTAGGATGTATCTACTGGGTAGGTCGGGACTGGTCCTCGGTCGGGGGGTCCTTGTCGTCCTTGGAATCCTGAGCGCCCTTAGCGTTCTTAGAGCCGAAGACGTCGTTGGTGTCGAACTTCTTGGCGGAAGTCTGGGCGAAGAGCGACTTGGGCTTGACACTACGTAGAGACCATAGTTAATACAATCAAACTTTGAATGTGCGATAGGAATTGCTAAGTAAAAGTGTACTTACCGGCCGGCGACTCGGCCCTTGAAAGCGTTCAACTTGGCGGTAGCGGGGCTCATGATGCTGTCAGAAGGCGAGATGTACTGCTGCTGTCTGTTGTTGGCGGGGCTCATGTTAGCAATGATGAGACTCTGGGGATTCTGCATGGGAGGAGCCACAGCATTGCTAGGGATGCCAGCAGGATTGGTGTAGTTGGTGATGGGTGTAGGACTAATGAGGCCGTACTTCTCGTCGGCCATCTTGGACTGGAGCATCTGACGATGGTATTCTAGAGCCTTGGCACCAGCGGGTTTGCCGTTATTGTTGGCAGTAGTAGCGTCCTGGGTCTGGACGGGGACATTAACATCCTTCTCGGACAGAGCAGAACCCATTGTGTTAACTGCGTGAATATTGACTAGTAAAGTTGTCTGTTGTTTATTGCAAAACTGCAAGATCGTAAGGCGTGTTCGCGGGAGGAGAGCGGATCGTGCTGAGGAATGCGTAGCAAAATTGGCAGGTGGGAGATAATCAAGCCGACAATATTGCAGAGTTGACAGTGGTTGGCAGAATTCAACAACAGGCGATGCGTTACAAAGTGCTGTGAAGTATTGTAGGAGTGAATATTGAAGGCGATAATTGCAATTGCACGAGAATGAATGATCTCTGGAGATGCACAGTCTTTGCGTATCCAATGAAGAATGCGACGAAGGACTTTGTATTTAATTGTGCATGTGAAATGATCAACGAGTGTTTGCAGTGGGGATTTTTTCTTTTCTAGAAAAGAATGAGCCATGGATCAGTCAGGATGTGGACCTTGGAAAGAAAATACAGAAAGCACTAACCTAGTTGACCAGGTAACCATTTCAATGGGCCCGTGAACGGCAGTTGTTATGCTACTAAGCCAGGTACCAAGGTAGCTTTATTGGTGACAGAGTGGTTGCAGTTTACCAGCTACTAGGGCAGTTACCAGGGGCAGTTGCCCAGTAATCTAGGTACCCCACATAAAACGTTTAAACCCCCGTAGCGTGACAATAAGGTACTACACTACATGCCTACCAGGCATAAACATTCGGGACCCCACAGCTAGGTACGTCAAACAACACTTAAACGTCCCATCAACAACTTTTCCCACCAAATCATTTCAATATTTTATCCCGGCAATGCAACACATTCCCGGCAATTTTCGAGAGCCATAAGGATGACTCACTTGCTTGGCTTCGTTTCTACCTAGATACAGAGGTAACCTTGGAAATATTCAAGAGTAAACAACAGGCAACCATGCATCTCCCGGATCACCAACTGCCTCTACGGCTTATCGTGTATGAATCCTAAAAACAATAAGCTGTCCTCACGGCATATTCGACAAATCAATAAACAATCCGACCTACCTACCTACCTACTAAAATAAACAATTAATAACTTACGATCATCCTCACCTTTGAACGGTTCGTTTCCATCACTAGCCATCAACCGGGGCTAGAACAAAACGAACGCTTTTGTTCTTCGTGATGTGTAGGTATTTTTCAACATCGGTCTAATCTCAGTCAACATATGCCTCGGAGTTGGCCTCTACAAAGATGTCAACATGGAAGCCCATTATGAGGTTACGTAGGGTTACAAAGCTTCCATCGGAGCCAACACGCGCCGCTACCAGTACATGTTCCGGTTCTTCGGGGTTGTCCGAGGACTCAAAGCATTGAAGGGTAAGTCCTACCTCCAATCACCCTTGCCGTGTTCCTATGTCTCCCCCGTTTGAAAGCGACCGTTTTATTAATTAGATTGTGCAGAGTCCAGATCACCTAGGGCCTGGCCCTTGGGATGTTTCTTGTCATGGTTTTCAGCCACCCGTACTTTACGACCCCAAGAGTGAGACCGACCCAGTCTCTTGTGATATACACATGCTGAGCCGCCTCTGCCCTTCTGCGGAGTCCTCTCGGGTCAGAGGGCGTGGGTGAGAGAACTGAGCAGGTGAGCATGAATCTCCTTGGCAACACGGACAGTAGGAGAACGGGACGATGGAGGCGCTTGAGCGCCTAAGGTGAATTTCATCTAGACGATGTAGGTGAACATGGATGGGAGGACCTGAACGACTTAGCGGGATATACTTTCACCAGCGCAGAGTGGCATTCTAAATGCCCTCATTACGACTGTGCCAGTCTTAGAGATCGAGGCACCAGCGAAGCCAAGGATGGCGGCAGAAATGAAATAAATAAAAAATTAGGGAATGAACGATATTGAGAAAGGAACTGCTAAGGTCTAGCAAGTGCTCCTCATGCCACATCATGGAGACTAGTTGTGTTGGGGACTGATGGTTTTGGCCTCAAGGCAACCTCTGGTGGCATACCGTAAAGTCTCCTATTCAAAACTTCGAAACTCGGGGATCAATACAGTCACCTTCTACCACACATACATACTGACCGACCCTGCTGTGATGAGCTAACAATATACTCGAACATCTACGTGAAAGTCTGGAGAAACTAATCTAATTCTAGGCGCACAATGCCTCCAGTGCCTCGTGGCTTAGCTGAAAGCATATAATAAGGAGGTAGGGTAAGGTGGTAGGTAAAGGATAACAATTACTCATAACGTATGGAACAAGGTAATATGCGAAGCTCTAGATCACCCAAGGGCTAATATCGCGGTGGTTCCCAGGTAGTTATACGCCAACCCGACCCCTATCATCACACGGAACGCTATGGTATTCCGTCGAATGTTCACCGTAGTGCACCCAATTTTGAATTGCGTCGTTCTATATGCGCAATCCATGGTCCATCGGGAGCCCATGTAAATGCCACAAGGCTAGATTCTGTCGTTGTTTTGCTATGTCATATTAAGATCGATTTGTTAGGTAGCCTACGCGATTTAATGGTCAATAGAGTTACTTACCCATGCTCATTCAGGATATACTTCTCACGGAGCGGAGTGGATAGCAGTTTTGCCTGCTCCTATCTTGGTTCCACCCATAATGTAGGGGTTTCCTCCGTCAGACGGCACAGTTATGATGGTCTAAGCCCGCATTTCTCTTGTGCTGACGAGATTGTGAAGCTCTTGTCAAATTGCCGGCACGCAGGAGAGTCTCGAGGGACATAGGGGTTGCGCACAAACTGTCAGTTAAGTTACCACGGACAGAGTGGAAGTTGCATTAGGAACATACGATGAACCCGAAGTAGCATCCGGTGACATGTTGAAGACGTCTAGAACGTCCAGATGCCCACGGGCGAATTTAAGCTAGAAAGGGTTGATGACTCCTACGCGTTTGAAGGCCAATGATGGACTAGTCTTTCGTGTAGGTGCTATCTTCGCTTCTATATCACAACTGCTCTGTCGCGGCAACGACCCCGACAAGCCTCACGACGTCAATACTTCCTCGGCTGGCACCCTAGATCGATCGATCTCGACAATTATTGCGAGCATCTTTCCAGAATTGCCCATCATAGTCTTCTATTTCGCTGAGAGGCTGATAGTTCGTATTGGTCTCATACTTGCATTCACGGCTACCTTCGCAGCGATATTAGTATTGGGACTACAGTTCAAATCGGATAAGGCTCTAGCGATCATAACAGCGTGTTCACACCCCTCCTAACCTCTTGGTAAACGTATTCTGATCTGTCTAATAGTATTGCTGCCATATAAGTCGTTTATGTCGGCTCCACTGCGAATAGTACCAGTTCTTGAAATTAGAGATGATCTATGCAAATTAGAAAGGCCGTCAGTATACTAGTCCATCTATGTTACGCACGTTCATGAGTTAATAGGTCAATGGGTAATATGATACTTCCTTAAGTATGATGGATTTGATATTCACTCCTCTCAGTCACCAGTGCCTGGATAGGCGCAAGTTGGATACCCGTAGTATACCAACGATATCTCAGGATGTAATATCATTCTACCAATGCTGCTGCTTTTGAATAATCCAGGCCCCCAAGGGCTTTGCAAGCTTTTGAAGAATATCAATTATTGGACAAGGGAAAACATTCATACAAGGAACTCGTTCCGAAATGCGCTGGAGACAGATGCTACTACATTGTACCGCCCAGATAAGAATAAATCATTTACCGCCCGAAATGGATAATACAAAACGTATCTATGCCAATAATGCTCCTATATCCGAGACTTGATATTTGACCCAGGTTGGAAACGCTTCAGGTTGTGTTGCCTTAGTAGCTGCTCCGTTTTCTCAGTCTGACCGTGAATCTTTTGCGTGACTTGCTTGCCCCTTTTGTTTTCATTGCGTCCCATTTGCTGCAAGTGAACCTCGTCTGGTCCGTCTGCCAGCCGAAGTGTTCGGGTTTGCGCCCACATATTCGCGAGCGGCGTATCCTGACAGATACCCGCTGCGCCGAAAGCCTGAACGGCGCGATCGATGACGGTCAAGGCCGTCTGCGGGACGAGGACTTTGGCCTGGGCGATTTCCTTCAAGCTTGCCTTGGGGCCTAAGTCGTCCATTTTTACGGCAGCGTTGAGGACGATGAGCCGTGCCGCGTCGATTTCTATCCGCGACTTAGCGACCCATTCGAGGATTACCCCGTGTTCCCTCAGCTGCTTTTTGAAAGGGGTCTTCTTGGGATCATTGATCCTCATCAACATCCATTCGAGAGCTCGTTCAGCAGCGCCGATGCTGCGCATAGCATGGTGGATGCGGCCTGGTCCTAAACGGCCTTGGATAATCTCAAAACCTCGCCCCTCGCCAAGGACCAAGTTGCTGGCTGGGACTCGGACGTTCTTAAAGGAAATATGACCATGACCGTGTGGCGCGTCGTCGTACCCGTAGACATTGAGCATGCGGTGGATGGTAATACCCTTTGTGTTTGCGGGGACGAGGATAACGGATTGTTGCTTGTAAGGATCCTTGTTGTTCGCGTCCGTCTTGCCCATGACAACGTAGATCTTACACCGAGGATCGCCGGCACCACTTGACCACCATTTCTTAAAGCCATTAGTGTGATATAAAACGCGGAAATTTAGGGGGAGAACACACAGATCCGTTCAGGACATAGTCATTTCCATCCTTCGTGATGCTAAGCTGGATGTTTGTCGCGTCGGACGAGGCGATATCGGGCTCGGTCATGAGAAAAGCAGACCTAATCTCGCCTTCCATCAAAGGCTTCAGCCATTGTGCCTTCTGCGCTTCGTTGCCGTACTTGGCTAGAACTTCCATATTTCCCGTATCCGGCGCTGCACAGTTCGTGGCTTCGGGTGCGGTCCTCGACTTGCCTAGCCACTCGGCCATCAAACCATATTCCAAGTTCGTGAAGCCTGGTGATTCCTTATAGTGGCCCTTAGGGAAGAACATGTTCCATAAACCCAGCTTTTTCGCCTTCGCCTTTAGGTCTTCGATAATAGGGGGATGGTGGTCCCATCGCGCTGAACCTTCGCCGATCTGGGCTTCGAGGACGGGATCCGCTCTGGTTGATTCGGTTGTTAGACATATTGGTGATAAATATAAAGAGCCTTTACGCTTACGGTATACACTCCTCGTCGACAAACTTGGCCACGATATCTAACGTCTTCTTCGCCCTTTCGCTGACGCGATGTTTCACCTAGACGCTTTGTAAGCCGATGCATTGTTTTGAGTCTAGCGTTTCTTCTCACAATGTCTGGAATTCCGGAAGACATGTTGGGCAGTTGTATTTAGCTTAGATTAATTAATTCGGAATAGTGAAAGTGAATAGCTATCATTTCCAAGAAAACTAAAATCAATTGAGTTTGAAGCGACGTAACTACTTATGGAATTAGGATTCCGAGGTAATGGTATGATGCGAAAGGAACAACGACCGGCCCTTACCGTCAAACCGAGGTCCACTCCCTGCTAGCGGGGTACATCTATCCATACCTATTGCGGGCAGGAGCTCCAAGCCGAAGCTGTAGCCAGGGCTGCCAGGGACAAGCTTTGAGTCTATGAGCTGAACTAACAGGCCATAGCGTTGGGAAATAATCTGGGGAAATAAACTAACTCCTTTGTTACATAAGCTTAATCCATACATGTATCTTGCATTTATATTATTATCCGATATTCTACTAATGAGTACCTAAACTTTGATAAAAAAAAACATTTGGACGTTTGAATTTGTAGCCTCGCATCAAAAACTTGGAAATTCCCAGCCTTATCTCCAAGAACACCTCAATAACCACACCGCCCATCATGTCCGAAGAAAGAGAAGTCGAACAGGCGCAATCCACCGAGGTGGCCGCGCCGGCACCCAAGAAAGTCAAAAAGATCATCCGCAAGAAGCGGCCGGCGCGGCCTCAGGTCGACTCGTCCTTCATCACCTCCGAGCCGCCACCGCAGACGGGCACGATCTTCAACATCTGGTACAACAAGTGGTCGGGCGGCGACCGCGAGGACAAGTACCTGTCGAAGACGCACGCGAAGGGGCGGTGCAACGTGGCGAAGGACAGCGGGTACACGCGGGCGGACAAGGTGACGGGGTCGTACTTCTGCCTCTTCTTCGCGCGCGGCATCTGCCCCAAGGGCCAGGACTGCGAGTACCTGCACCGGCTGCCGACGATCCACGACCTGTTCAACCCGAACGTCGACTGCTTCGGCCGCGACCGCCACTCCGACTACCGCGACGACATGGGCGGCGTCGGCAGCTTCATGCGCCAGAACCGCACCATCTACGTCGGCCGCATCCACGTCACCGACGACATCGAGGAGATCGTCGCCCGCCACTTCGCCGAGTGGGGCCAGGTCGAGCGTATACGCGTGCTGAACACGCGCGGCGTCGCCTTCATCACCTACACCAACGAGGCGAACGCGCAGTTCGCCAAGGAGGCGATGGCCCATCAATCTTTGGATCACGAGGAGGTTCTCAACGTGAGATGGGCGACGGTGGATCCGAACCCGATGGCTCAGGCCCGTGAGGCGAGACGCATCGAGGAGCAGGCCGCGGAGGCTATCCGGAGAGCACTACCGGAAGAGTTCGTAGCGGAGATCGAGGGCCGCGACCCCGAGGCGAGGAAACGAAGGAAGATCGAGAGTAGCTTTGGCTTGGAGGGATACGAGGCCCCGGATGATATCTACTTTGCTCGCGGGGCGCAGGCGGTTAATCCAGCAGGAAGACAGGGTTACGAGTTGGAGCACGAGCAACGGCTAATGATTGAAAATGGCGACGCGGGTGGCGGTGATGGGGCCACCTCTGCCCTCGCAGCAATTGAGGCGCCGCCACAACAGAACGCAGAACAGGCAGGAGGAATCTTTTCAAGCAGTGCATTGGCAGCATTGAAGACTGCGAAGGTCTCGGCAGCTCCCAAAGTCCAGGCGGCATCGTCAGGACCATTAGTGGCGTATGGTAGTGATAGCGAAGATGACGAATAGGCGTTCTAGACATTACGGGATCACGATGTGTTCTCAAGACATCGAATAATGAATTGTATATACAAGCCCACGCGCATTCTATAGATACCATTGCTCGGCGCATCAAATTGAGTAAACTTGCATTCATGCACTGCACTTCATCATTATCGTATACACACATATACACAAACATTTACACATACATACATATATCCATATATCCTAACCCAAATTGAACCCATCTTATCCATCTTAGCTATTGAAAATCCTCGAATACAACAACTCGTGCCTCCCAACCCACAGATCCATCACCGGCACGCTCTGCCCCGCCCTCTCGATCGGCGTGCGCCACTCCCTCTCGATCGCGGCCTCGAGATACGCCTGGACCTCTGCGGAGGCGAGTATGCGCTGCGCCTGGTAGGGGCCGAACTGCCCCGCCCTGACCGCGGCCGAGACCAGCGCCTTGACGTGGCTCAGCATGAACACGTAGGCCGTCTGGCGCAGCGAGAGTCCGCACAGCGCGGCCACGGCGCCGAACAGCGGCGCCAGGTGCGCCGATACGAGCGGTGGTCCGTCCGTCCTACTCCCCTTCCCGCTCCCGCTCCCATTCGCTGAATTATGATTGAAAGAGGAGGAAGAGAAAGAAGAGGAGCGCAACATCTCAGCAAACGGCCTCAACCTTGCCCCCGGATCCGCCGTCGCCGCGACGCTCTTCTCCCAGATGCTCAGCAGCGCGCGGCCCTGGGCGACGGACGCCCGCCGCCCGACCGTGCACACGATCGCCGCGTCGAGCGCGTCGTCGAGCGCGGCCACGTTATCCGGCTGCGGGTCGCGGTGGGCCGCGAGCGCGAAGGGGAGGGTTGAGCTCGCGTAGCTCGATAGCGATAGCGGGAGGAAGGAGGAGAAGGAAGAAGATGACGATGATGATAATGATGAAGAGGAGTAGGAGGAAGAGGCGCGGGCCCGCCGCGTGTGCGCGAGGTACGATTCCAGCCCGGAGCTGAAGGCGAATGATCCTAGCGGCAGCGCGGAGTCCGAGAGCAGGAGTAGGTAGTGGTGCGCGGATTGCGCTGATGGGGACGGCGATATGGTGGCGGTCTCTGATTTTGCTAGCCGTTCCTTAGCTCTTCGGAGTCGAAGTTCCAGATCTGCGATTTCATTTTCAAGGACCTCGCGGGACCCTTCGTCTGTGGTTGAATTCATCATCTCATAATCAAAGGGAACACTGTATGCAAGGAAACGTGTTTATCAAGGAATTCATCAATTTGGCATTCGGCAAGAAACCTTAGTAAGGCCTTGCAATCAGCTGCGCAATTGGCGCAATCCACGTCGGCAACGCGGTTATCAGCACAGCAAAGTTTTAGTCCGTACAAAAAAGTCTTACAAGAGGTTATCTTTAACCAGTAACTCCACACAAGCACCTCAGCTCATTTTCACCCCGTCCCTAGCCCTAGTGAATGCCCAAATCAACGACGATAAAAACGCCAATTGCAACGTAAAAGGGGGCCCAACGCCTGTTCAATGCAATGTATGTAACCATCAATGCCATAATCCTTATCCTTAATCCGTGCCATTCAAACATCTCAGTCATAATAGCAAGCAGTAGCCTTAGAACTTGACGTTCTCCTTATCGCGGCTACGATCCCCGCTGTTCTTCTGTCTCTCTCGCTTCTTCTGATCAAGACGAGCCTGTGCCGCTGCTTTTCGTTCAGCAGATAGCGTTGGTCGAGAGGCATTCATAGAACTGCGCTCGACTTCGGGACCACCGACTCGAGCAAATTTATCTTCCACGAGATCGAAAGTAGGTGTCTCACCAGGAAAAGACAAAGGTCGTTTGGATCGAGGTTTTTCTGGACTTCGAGCTCCATGCATTTCGGCATCCTTATCTGCACGGGCCGCGGCACGCGCTTCGGCAAGCTTTTGATTGAAGAACTCGTTAGCACGAGAACTTCCGCTACGGGCGCGGATTGAAGTGGCGTCCTGGTTCAGTCGGTTCTGAAGGACACTAGACATGACTCTACCGGTGTCATGCTGCGACAATAACGAGTTCTTCGTCTTAGCGGCGGGCTGGGACGGAGGATCATCCTCCATGATTGAATTCTTGAACTTCTTGTCCTCCGCCATCTGCTTGTTCTTCTCGTCACTCAGCTGGCCTTTCATGTCCTTATAACTATCTGACCAGTCTGTGAAGAGCGAGTTAGGCCGCCTTCCAGAACGACCGCCCATCTTGGACTCTTCCACGTCTCCGAGTTGAGACTTCTTAGTCTTCTCAAGATTCAGAGATTCGACTGAAGCCGTGCGTCTAGGGTAGCGTGCAGCTTTAATCCCCTCATGCTTAGGGGGCTCGGATGTCTTGCCAAGAGACCCGATGTTGGACACCAAATCGCGGGTTGCTTTACCCCAGGGCTTCGCGTCTTCGAGATCCTGAATTCGCTCCTCTAGCTTCTTGATCTTATCGTTCTTCTCCTGCAACACTTGTATAGCCTCGGCTGTTCGCTTCTTGGCGTCGTTCTTCAAAGAGTCATAATTATTCTTGAGCTCCCGCATCTCGAAGTCCTTACGGCGTAACTTGTCTTGGGCCTCACGCAGATCAAGCTCTAGATTCTTCGTGCGGTATGAATCTGGCTGACCTCGCCCTGAAAGCTCGGTTGCTCGTTTCTCTGCTGCACTCAGATCAGACTTGAGCTTCTTGACTTCCTCACGAAGTCTGTCCATGTGCTTCAATTCCGAGCGTGCTCGCCTAAGCTCGCGTTGTACATCAATCAACGTCTTTTCGGTCCGAGGCGATGTATTGATGTGCCGCTCACGTTCAAGTTGGTTAGAACAAGCGTCGCCTTCATGATTCTTGAGAGTGGCTGTAAGATCTTTGACTTGCTCTCGATAGCGCGTGGCCAGAGCGGTTTGCTTAGCTAACTCCTCCTTCAGAGACCCATTCTCACCATCGCTGCTATGTCTTCTCTTATCCGTAGCCTGAGTAGTCATAGCAGCCAATTTTTCCTCCATCTTAGCTACCTTCGACTGTTCCTCTTTTAGCTGCTGGGCTAGCTCTAGAGCTTCAGCATCTTTCTTCTTAGCATAGGACTTAGCCAATGCCTTGAATTTCACCATCCGCTCGAGATCGGCCATGGCTTCGTCGCGGTATCGAGTAAATTCAGCTTTCCAGAATTTACCTGACTCTGAGTGGGGCTCGTTAAGATCCACTGTCGAGTCACGATCCTCAACCTCTACATCAACGTCATCCTCCCACTCGTCCTCTGATTTTTCGTCAAGAGTCCTCAGGGGCTCTTGCTCCTCTACTATGCTAGACGGTCTCTTCTTGCGTGATCTCTCTAGAGCTTGCTGTAGATTTGTCCTCTTTCGCTGGCGAGCAGAAGCCGAGGGGCTCGAGTCCAAACTACAGCCGGCCTTAACATCGTGGTTGAACGAAACGCGCTTCCTACGGGCAGTTCCAGTGCCTGGTGTCAACAATATGCTAGTAGGTTGTTTGGTAGGGGATTGTAGTGGTTGCTTTGTAGGTGGGGGTGAATGCATGATGGGTCCAGTCGCGTCGTCAGCTTTGCCATTGATTTTGTCACTAGGCTTGTTCTTCTTTGCTAACTTGGCTTGCTTCTTCTCGTTAGCCGTGGTAGCTTCGGACGCGTTCGATGTCCCGAAAATGGCGTTCTTTATCGCACGAGCTGCAAAAACAGGAGCCGGTGTATCGGGGGCCTCGATTAGTGTAGTGTCATCTATTTGGTAATTGGTATCAGCAATAGCAATAGTTGGTCGAATTATAACTTGTACCACGTCTTACCTCCACCAGACGCGTCGTTCTTCGTGTCGTTCTTCACGTCGTTCTTGCCGGTCGCACCTTGAAGGCCTTTCTTAAGGGCCCATCCGAGCATTTTGCTCGAGGTGCAAGCTATCCCCAGAAGAGTGTATTTATTGACGAAAGGCTAGGTATTGTGTAATTGTGGATGCGTACGTGAATTGGGCGTGAATATTTGCGTAGATGTATAAGTGTGGGGTGGTGAATTGAAGACTTTCAATGTTGTTAACGAAAGAAAAGTTTGGATGGTCTAGTGTTTACTTCGGGAAGTAAAGTTAGAAATCCAGGCCAGGGCAACGTCAAAATACTACTAGGTATTGCCGCTACTGGGATCTCTTATCGATAATGGCAGCTGAAGTGGGGGCCTTACAAGTGGGTAGGTTGCTAGTACGAAGTCACTTACTAAATATTTCACGACGATCACTTGTTTGCCCTCTATATGAAAATTTTTATTCAATTACTCCTGCTTAGAGGAAATTTAAACTAATAGGTACCTGCAGAAACTGAGTTTTTCGGTCAAAACTCTAGTAATTTGAGTTGAGGAACGAACCTTTAGATCTACACATGTATACATGTAAATAGAAACTTAGGTGCTCGAGCACTCGTTCTATGCACCAAATGATGTATGTAGCTATCGAAGTGGGGCGTTAGGACCCAATGTATGCAGCTGAATTGGACCCCACCATGAATTAATGGCAGCTTCACCTGTCACCTGTCACTTGTACTCATTGACTTGTTTCACCGCTACCCAACCTGCTTTGATATACAGATTTTATTCTACATATGCTATCGTTGCTGCAATATGGCCACAACTCAGTAGACCACGTGCAGCTCCGGCTGCGTGAGTCTCCATTCGTTCGATCCTCTTTACCGAACGATCTGCTGAAATATCAAAATGGCTTGGAAGCCGACTGGACCATGGAAAGGGCCCAAGCAGCTCAACACCAAAACTAATGACCCAACTTATCCCGGGCTGAAGCCCGCCAGCCCGGATGTAGGACCCAAGACGCAATACACTGACGTTCAGAATGAGGAGATTATGGTTCTCCAAGCCATCTATGGCGACGACTACATTGAGCATAAAGCTGCTAACACCGCATGGAAGAAATCCGAGCCATCTTTCGATATTCGCGTCAAGGCTTTGTCGGACGAAGAAGTGGCTATTACTCTTGGAGTTGTGTTCACGGCGACTTACCCCAGGTCTGCTCCTTTGCTTAGTCTAAAGGACGAGGAAAACTTGAAGGAGTCTACGGTGTTTAAGCTGCAGAAGTTTATCGAGACGAAGCCGAAGGCTTTGGTCGCGCTGGAGCAGCCAGAACCCATGGTCCATGAGTTGGCACAAGGTCTCCAAGATATCCTTGAGGACGCTGCTCAAGCAAAGGCTCAAGGACTAGATTTGCCCTCGTTAGAAGAGGAGAGGGCGGCTCATGAGGCCGAGTTAGCCAAACAGGCCCGAGAGCAGCAAGAGGAAGAGGCGCGTAAGAGACAGGATGCAATGAAAGAGGAAGAAAGAGTGATGCAAGACATGATACAGAAAGAAGTCGACCGGCAACGAACAAGGGTCAAGGAATCGAAGAAGAAAAATAAGACGCTTGCGACACCAAGTAATAATCACTCTCAAACCTCCCGTATCTTAGAAGCTGGAAGAATTGAGTTTGATCAAACATGCCAAGTTGCCGACTCCGTCGGAAATTCGTTTATCTTCAACGTCGTTACGGGGAAAAGTGAATTTCGCAAGGGACAGGTAGCGGCTACGTACTGTGTCTGGCCTGAGATATCCGGCGGGAGAAACGGGCCAAGCCTAGTTCTTAAAGAATTCGAGTTACGATCGACTTCCAAGGAATCCGCTCAATTCAAAAAGCAGTTACAAGCTTTGGAAGGGGAGTTAGAGACTGTTAAGAAGATATCGCACCGCAACATTCTCGAGTTATTAAATTTTCGTATTGATCGAGATCATGGAGACGTCGATTCAGCCACGATGGCCTGGACCGCCCGAATCTTAACCCCTCTAGCAGACAAGGGCCCGCTAGAAGAGCTGCTTGATCTTGCGGGACATCTTGATGTCGGCAAAGTTCGCTCATGGACCGCGGACCTTCTTAATGCCTTGGGTCATTTGCATAGCCATGGTATTACTCACCAAGATATTCATCCCGGAAACGTGCTTCTTTTCAGAGAAACAACAGGCGATGTTATTCCTAAGCTTTCGGATATCGCATATGAAAGAGAATTGTATCGTATCTGCCGTAGGTCTCAGAAAAATGCGTCTGCGAACTCTGCAAGGTCCACCTATTGGCTGCCACCGGAGATTGCTGGAAGTTCACGGCCGCAATTTACCCAAAAAACCGACATATGGGATCTCGGAGTCGTTTTCCTACAGATGATATTTGGTCTAGATGTCTTCCAAAAATATCAGTCTCCAGCTATTCTAATGGATTCCCTCTCCTTGTCCAGACCCCTCCACGAATTGGTGGCTAGGTTTTTCAAACTTGACCCTAAGAAACGCCCAAGGGCGTTTGAGTTGAGCTCCAGTGAGTTTCTGGCAACAGATGCACCTGTCATTGTCGATGATACCCCTTCCGTCTTTTCTCGTTCCCAATCTCTGAGTTCCTTAACGCACGCGTTTCCTACAAGGCTTAGGCGTGATTCTTCCACGCGCGGACCGACTTCTTCTAGATATAAGGAAGATTTCGTCGAAGAAGCACGATTAGGCAAGGGTGGCTTTGGCGAAGTTGTCAAAGCCCGTAAGAAGCTAGATGGTCAAATTTACGCGATCAAGAAGATCAGCCAGCGCTCTCAATCAAGTCTTACCGAGATATTGAAAGAGGTGAGGCTACTTTCCCAGCTAAGTCACCCCGCGGTGGTGAGATATTATAACACTTGGTTGGAGGAAATACCCGACTTATCAGACTCGGAAGAGGACACATCCACCGAAGATCTTAACGAGTCCAAAAACACCAATTCCCAAGGCATTGATATCCAATTCGCCACTAGCACTGGAGGGTTGGACTTCATTTCCTCAAGCCACCCCAATATCGAATTCGGTTCAGATGAATCAGACACTGAAGAAAATGACGAATCAGAAGAAAGCGAAGATGATGACGATGACGAGTCAGATGTTGTTTCTGTTATTAACGACTCCATGCCTTCGCCTACAAGGGTCAGGAGTAGTCAACAAAAACACTATAGAACCGTTATGTACATCTCCATGGAGTATTGCGAGAAGAGGGTGAGTTATTCAATTCAAGTTGGTACTCCCTGGGTAAGCTGCTAATCCTGCGAACAAGACGCTGCGAGATCTGATTCAAAGGGACCTTTGGAAGGAAGCAGAGGAGATCTGGCGTTTATTTCGGCAGATTTTAGAGGGCTTGGTTCATATTCATGGGTTGAACATAGTCCATCGCGACCTTAAGCCGGAAAACGTCTTCATCGGCCTCGGCCCTGATGGGGTGAACAATGTTAAGATCGGTGACTTCGGATTGGCTACTAGTGGCCACTTTGCCGCCGACAAATCGATCACAACTAATCTAGATGTCAGTGACTTGACGAGAAGCATCGGAACATCTTATTATGTTGCCCCCGAAGTCCGCAGGACTGGCGCAGGTTCATATACATCGAAAGTTGATGTAAGACACGCCGCCAACATATACCTTGTAACTACTAACTAACTCGATCGAAGATGTATTCTCTAGGTATAATATTCTTTGAGATGTGTTACCATCCCGTTGTCGGTATGGAAAGAGCGGATAAGCTAGGAAAACTAGGAAATTCATCTCTGCTCCCCGATGATTTCCAGCCCGGTGACAAAGTAAAGTCGGATATCGTGCTTTCTTTAGTCACCCATGACGTGAAAGAACGTCCTAGTAGTATTGAGCTTCTGAGAAGTGGAAAGTTGCCCATCCAGATGGAAAATGAGACGACACGCAGGGCGCTCGCAAGTCTCACAAGCTCTGCCTCGCCGTATTACCCAAAAGTCGTCTCGGCATTATTCTCGACACCCGTGGAACCGACAAAGGATTACGCTTGGGACTTAACAGCACCAAACCCTACCGCTACGGAATTATTGTACCAAAGTGCAGTCAAGGAGGAGTTGATATCCGTCTTTCGTCGTCACGGTGCAGTGGAGGCACCCAGGAGCTCGATCTATCCCCGATCCTCCCACTACTCTCCAAATCAAGATGTCGTCCAGCTCCTGGACCAAAGTGGTACTGTAGTACAGTTGCCTTTTGACCTCATGCTCGGGAACGCTAGAGTTTTGGCAAAACATACGAATTGTTCGAGGGTTCGAAAGTCTTTCACATTCGGCAGCGTTTATCGTGACAGACGAAGCGGTGCCCAACCACTGATGATTGGTGAGGTTGATTTTGATATCGTCTCTACAGACACATTAGACCTAGCTTTAAAGGAGGCTGAGGTCATCAAGGTTCTGGATGAAATTATAGACACGTTCCCTTCGACGTCGCCAATGTGCTTTCATCTAGGCCATTCCGATTTATTGCAGCTCATATTCGATTTCTGCAATGTAGATTTAAGCGCAAGGAGGCAAACCGCCGAGTCTCTCAGCAAGCTTAATATCCATTCCTATACTTTTCAAAAAATTCGAGCGGAGCTTCGATCACCCATAATCGGAATATCAGCTACGAGCATTGAGGACCTGAAACGGTTCGATTTTCGAGGTGGGCATTTAACTTTCACCATTCAACAGTTATTCAAGCAACAACTAACAAAGCACCAGACACACCAGCAAAAGCATTCGCTAAGCTCAAGGCCATATTCGAAGGCAGTCGAATGTATGAAAAACTACAGCCGACATTAGCTCATTTAAAGGACGTGGTCGAGTATACCAAACGCCTCGGAGTCCACGCGAAGATTTACGTCAACCCCTTAAGTAGCGTCAAAGAGAACTTTTTCTCCGGCGGAATGCTATTCCAGTGTCTCTATGACAGGAAATTCAAAGATGTCTTTGCGGCTGGCGGTCGCTACGACAGTTTAATTAAAGCTCACCAGCCAAAGATAGGCGAAGGACCTCACGCAGTTGGTTTTAGCTTAGCATGGGACAAATTAGCACGGCCGCCAAAAAGCGGAGGGAAGGCTTTCTTGAAGAAGCCTGAGGAAGAAATTCCCGGGATTTTCAACACGAAACGAGTGAGTCTACTTTAAATCCTCTTTTGAATGCTATAACAATATCTAATTATTACTTAGTGCGACGTCCTGGTCGCTAGCTTCGACGCACATACTCTTCGCACGGCCGGCATTGAAATTCTTTCGACGCTATGGTCCCACGACATCAGCGCGGAGCTGGCTCGGGATTCACGATCTCCGGAAGAACTAACGTCTAGGAATCGCGATGAGACTTACTCATGGATTGTAATCATCAAGCAGGACAACGTGCTGAAGATCAGGACCATGGACCGCAAGGAGGTGCCGGACGTAGAGATTTCGGCCTCTCAGCTCCTTCCATGGCTACGTATTGCCCTGCGCGAGCGCGGTTCTGCTAAACAATCCGAGTTTGCTGGTGGCGCAGCGCCTATCGCCTCAGGCGCAACCGTATCACCAAATCCAGACCAAGAGGTGCGCGTCCTCGTGGCCGGGACGCGGTCGAAAAAATTTAACCGGCTGGTCGTCATCGAGCAAGCCCAGGCCAACGCCGCGAGGCTCCTGCAGACATTCTTGGACGGACCGATCGCCGCTGTCGAGACCTCGGACGTCGTCCTCGATTTAATACAAGAAACCGCGCTTTCCGATGCCGAGACCTGGCGTCGGGCCGAGCAGTCAGTAGACAAGAACGAGAGGAGGTACGTCCGCGAGATCCATGACATGTTACAGGCGTGGCGGTCGGCTTGGGAGAATAAGGATGGCAGCCGCCATGCTTTTGTTTACAATTTTAGGACTACGAAGTGCATCTGCTACGACCTTGGTGCGTGAATACGGGCGCGCCGGATGGTTCTGGGTAGGCGAGGGTTCAATGGGTGGGAAGGAGGTGGAATGACCTCAGTGTTGGGTCTGGTAGGTAGGGGAGAAGGTGGGAGATATATACCCTGAATGACTATTTCTACTCTTTGCGATCTCGAGTCTTCGCGTGTTTACCTTACTTGACTAGAGCCCATTGACTTGTCTACGTATACGAAACAGGTATAACCTGCACCATTCACAATGATTATTTGATGAGTACCATTTGATCATCGTGGGACTTTTAGAGCTTGGCGCGCGGCAGAGCGAAGGTGACTCAACTTGGAGTTTCGAAAACGGGGTATTAGGCCAAACATAGTGGGAAGAAGGCAACTTATGCATGAATTTCTAATTGACAGTATAGATACAGGGATAAACTTTTTACGGAGTCGAGACAGCCTTTTTTCTATTGTAAGTCACCTACGATGGGAGGCAGCAGAATATTCCGAAGTATTCTACATATGGCCTAAACCCTCATGCCTAAACCCAGACCGATGTGTAAGTACTACAGCGCTGCAAAGCGAGATGTTGTACAGTGGAGTAGATGCATGTAATATCACGTTTGACCAATGGAGCCTTGCCTCCCCATAAGTCTTTGTTGATAACCTTGATTTTCCTTTTCCGAACCGCCCTCAGCCTCATGTTCCCCTACACAGTCTCGGCGTCTTCTTCTGCCGGCTTCTCCTCCTTTCCGTTTTTCCTTCCGAAAACATCTTCCCATAGTAAGGGTTCATGGTGCCCTACGACGTGGACGGGGCGTGTCTTTGCGCTCTCCAGCTCCTGCGCCCTAAACTTGCGACCGGCTTTTGTACATTCATCGAGTTTGCCACGCCACATCTTGAACCACTCCGTCTCTTTATTGCCCGGATCTTCGAAGATCTTGCGGCGTCTGGTTTTGCATTGATTGTAAAGTGTACTGGCTCGCTTGCTGGCAATTTCTTCAATGTTGTACTCTACACTCCAGCTATCGCCCTTGCTCATATTCTCGGGCCTAGGTACGTATTGGCCGTTGACCTTATTCTTAATTGTTAGTACCATGCCTAGCAAATTCTCATCTACCTCTTCTTCAGCTGGCGCCGAGGTTTCTGAAGCCGGTTCTGAGGATGACTGCTCAGTAGAGTCCTCTGTCTCCCCTACTTTCTCGGTTTCAGACTCGGTCGACTGTGCCTCAATTTGTACCCCCGGTTCCGTCTGGCTCTCCGGAGTCACCTGATTAACGTCATCCGTTTGAGGACGAGCCTGCTCGGCTTTGGTGCGAGAAATCAGCTCGCCGAGAATTCGCTCAAACTCTTTTAGTTTCGACGAATCATCCATTGAGCTCTCGGGTTCGCTGGGAATAGGCCTTTCGTCGATCCCTTGGGCTATTCGCACAATAAGATCCCTTAGCGGAGACATGGCAGTGGAAGCGTTAAGGTCTCTCTTGGATTCTGCTGTTTCCAATTCATCGTCCATGTCATCAGTTTCGTCGTCATCTTCATCCTCCTCCGCTTCCTCCTCTAGAAGTTGGTTCGTTTCCACAGGCTCCTCTGTTACTTGCTCGATAGACTTATCGAGTTGCTCTTCAACATGAGCTTCCGCAACTGATTCTTGCTCTAATGCGGTATTATCTCCGTGTTCATCAGCACTGTCTATTTGGCTCTCCAGAGGTTCCGTGGTCGTTGATTGCCCTTCGTTCTGTTCAACTTCAGATTCTGATTGTGACACCAATACATCCTCGGCTTGTTCGGTGGTCTCTTGCTGTTGATTATCCGCATCTTCAATTTCAGTAGATTCTTCGTGGCCTCGAGCCTGTTTCGCATCGGGCTCATCGCTAGAGGCTAGTTGTTCATCGTTGGATGTTTCTGATTCTTGTCCTGGTTCCTGAATAGAGGACGAGGAATCATCTTCATCCACGTCAATTTCCTCTCTCGTTGATCCCTCCAGAGATGATACCGCGGGCCTGGGGGGCATGCTACTGGTGATGGCAGCGAGTAAGGCATCCACGTATCCTCGCGCTTCTGCGGAGGATTTAGCATGAAGCAGTCCACTCTGTTCTAGCGCATCCTCGATGGCCTCTCTTACGGCGCCAACACCAACCTCGTCATCATCTACCGCATTCTCGACGACTTGGCGTACTTCCTTCCAAGTAGCCAAAGTCGACATTGCCTGGGCTAGTGAGGTTTCTTCCACCTCTTCTTCCTGCTTGGGGGCGTCATCAATTTCCACGATAGATTCCGATTCGGCCTCGGCTTCCTCTTTCACTAAACCAAGTATTCCTCTCTCGAATGCTTCAATAGTTGCCCTGTTAGCGCTTTGAACCTCGTCTATGTCAGCTTGGGATACGGGCTTCGCAAAGATATACATGAATGGTGTGTCCACTGATGTTCTAGTCTCGAAATGTATCCGTAGAGATTGCTCCGGCCACTTCTTAGTGGCCCGGTCTAGAATATCATTAAGTAATGAAAGACTCAGCGCATATTCCCTGTCGCCAAGTGTGGTGTCAGAAGTTCCATGCAATGCGAGATCCATTTCACTTAGAGGAATATACTGAAATCCAAAAATGCGTTGGGTGTTGTGGAATGCGACGAATATACCATCCATCCTACCCATACGAACTTGAAGGGAGTACTTCAAGAATGCAGAGCGGATCATGTCGTAGTACTCTCGTTCGAACGACTCCCACTGGCCAAATCGGTTGCGAATCTCGTACCCAAGGCCTTTATGAAACCCTTGCGCATCCATACGAATCGAGATGACCGCTCGGGTCTTAAGATCGAACATGCCAGACCCTGGCACTCTTGGATCATGTGCGTCGAGTTGCGAACGCATCATGAAGTCGCGGAAGCCGGTATAGTGAAATGCTTCATCGGCGTTCCGTTCTTCCTCGGTAATTTGATCCGAATTAATGTGTCTATATCTCTCATACTCCTCCTTGGTGAGTGTGAGGAGTTTCTCCATAGACTTTCCGAGCATACTCAAGATATTTGCCGTGTCGAATTCTTTATCAGCATCTATCGCGTAAGTGCCATCTCTCCAGTTTAAGAATATTGCTGATGGTCCCCTCATGATTCTTGTATATTGAAGAGAGTCTGGTTCAAACTGCCTTGAGAGCATGCTTGTATTGATTTCTCGCCAGGATGACAAGAGATAATGGAAATGGGAAAGCATGGAAGTCATGCTTGAAGTTGAACCTGTATATTTCTTGGCATTTTCCTTTGCAATCCGAATCAGGTTGGTATCCTTGGAAGAGGTTACATATTGCTTTAACGCGTTGAAATCAAATTCCTGGATCGGCATGATCTCCGAGAGATACGGATCAAAATTGTAAACCCGAGATCGAGGATCTTGGAGAGTATACACGCCAGGGTTGAACAAAACCCTCTCAAGCCCGTATGACAATGCCGGAACTGGAGGCCGGTCTGCTTGGATAGGGGTCATGTGTAGATCCTTGGCACGAATCACATTGATGGCTAAGGGGGCTTTCGCGGGCTTTTGCGTTTTCTGCGCTTTCTGAGATTTATCGGATTTCTGGGACTTTTGTGCCTTTTGGGACTTCTGCGATTTTTGCTCCTTTGATTTCCTTTTTGAACTTTTTGGCGGGGTTTTGTCCGTGGATGGATCCTCTACAACCTGGAATTTGTCCTGAAGCTCAGGCGTGGCGAATTTTAGAGAATTAATATCATCGTCGGCGGTGTCTGGCAACGACTCCTGGTGGTCCTTTTCGTCGCTTTTTGACGCCTTTGCCTGTTCATCCTGAGCCTCTGTAGCTGAGTCCCCGGCAACCTGTTTCCGCGCTTTCGATCTTTTGCGCCTTGCCTTTGCTCCGATTGGTTTCGGGTCCTGAACTTCTTCATCTCCAGTTGTAGCAGCCGTGGTGGTGGACTTAGACTTGGCTTTAGCTTTGGGTTTAGCTTTAGCTTTAGCCTTGGTCTTCGTCTCAGCTTGGGCTTTGGGTTGTGAAGCTGAGGTTGCTTGGTCAGATTGGTTGTTAGATTTCATAATTTGGTCGATATTGATGTTCTGGCTAGCAAGAACGTTCTTCAGAGCTTCGAGTGCGCCTTGCAGAACCTGTAATTGGCGTACATCTGCAGCCTGGGTGGCCGCTTTCTTCGACAGAGGCTGGACATCTGGTTGAGACTGATCTTTTTTGGAAGACTTATTTGCACCCTTTTTCTTCTTTTTCTTCTGGGATGGGTTCGACGATTGAACCGCTATATCACTAGCCCCATCCGCAGGCGTGGTTGGGGTCTCAACCGGCTGCGCAGCTCGGAGAGGTGTGTTCGACAATAGTCGGCCATGATATCTAGGAATTAAGGTGGGACGAAGCACCCGCGACCTTGCCGATTGGGTAGCCGCAAAACATGAGGCGCATACATAGGACGTTCCAATACGGCGTGCGCTCCGACTGCTCAATTGAAGCATTGCAAGCACTATGCGTGGAGGACTCGTTAAGTCGTCAAACCGATTAATTGATGATATGGTGGAAGTGGGACAGTGGTAACTTTTTTTTTTTAAGTCTGAAAATTCTGGATCATTGAAGGCGAATAGCAAAAAGTCTTTATCGATAGTGTACTTATCCGTGATAAGATAAAGAATATTCCTAGATTCCGGTACTGGGTACCCCACTATACTAGGTACTAGGTGCCTAGTAGCAAGTGCGACAACAAGCAATTATTCAACTATCCAATATCACCGGTCCTATAAGCAAGGTAGGAATAATAACGGGCAATCTTACTCTCTCACTTACTAAGTAAAACACTTGAAAGAAAGAAGAGGACTGAAGTGTCTCGTCTAATCCACTTACTAGTACCTCGATCTTCTTATATGAACGGCTAGAGGTTTCTAGGTCATGGGTGCCGACATGATACTTCAAAATGGCTTTTCCCAACAAGCCAATCTCTCACCTATTAGGTTCTAACGGTAAAGTAGAGACTCATCCGTTCAAATTTACATACGAAAAACCATTCACTAACCGTCATAGGTCCCGTCCATGCACTCACATACTCGCATTCGCCGGGAACATATATCCTCGCCGGCTCCGCAGACCGGACCGTGAGGCTGTACAACCCGCAATCTAACACAACCATTCACCCCAGCTCATCGCACATAACCAGGACCAGCAGTAGTAGTGCCGCCTCTCCGGTAATTCCGCAAGGTCTCCTAATCCAGTCCTATTCCGGGCATGGGTATGAGGTGCTCTCGCTAGACGTGACGGCGGACAACGCGCGTTTCGCGTCTGTGGGCGGGGACCGCACCGTCTTCTACTGGGACGTGGCGACGGCGTTGACGATCCGGCGCTTCGGCGGCACGCCGCAGAGCCACACCGCGCGCGTCAACTGCGTGGCCTTCGCCGGCGAGGACGACAGCCTCGTCGTTACCGGTAGCCTGGATACCACCGTCCGGATCTGGGATCTCAAGAGCAAGTCTCTAAAACCGATCCAGGTCCTAAATGAGGCGCGCGACTCCGTGACCGCTGTTGTCGTGCGCGGATCTGAGATTGTCGCTGGCAGTGTAGATGGCCGTGTTAGGACGTACGATGTGCGCATGGGACGGTGTGTGACGGACGTTATCGGCCCCAGCGTTACGAGTTTATGTATGACCATGGATGGTAAAGCGCTTCTAGTCGGGAGCCTGGATAGTAAACTACGACTGATGGATAGGGAGAGCGGAGGGTGCCTTAAGACCTATTCCGATCCGGGTTGGAAAAACGAAGACCTACGTGTCCAATCCATTCTAGGTGGCAAGGAGCAATATGTAGTAGCGGGAGATGAGATGACGGGCAGCCCAGGCCGGAATAGTGAGGGTAGGATATGGGCGTGGGATATCCTAACCGGAGGATTAGTAGCTCAAGTCACCGTTCCCTGGGGACCTCCCGGCCACGAGCCTAAGAAAAGCATCGGCAAAGATGGTAAACCGAAAGAACGGAGCAATGTGATCAGTTGTCTCGCATGGAAAGAGAATGGGTTTGGAGACCAATATTGTGTTAGCGGCACGTCTGGGATTGTCACTGTATTTGGATATCCCTGATTCAGGAAACCCGTCTCCGGATTCGAAAGGAGTTTTTGCATCGGCGATCACGTTATTTGATACTTAATTGAACATTGACACCAAGTACTGGTGATCCTCGACATTGATTCTATGCAACACCAATTGGTTGGTAATACCGTGTCGACTTTCGAAAACAACCCCTTTTCTATGTATCAAGTGCCCCTGTCCTACGCCAAAAACACCGCATGCCGATATGCTTTCCTTATCCATTATGGGATATCCCAGACATTAGTACAGCATCGGATCATATCGTGCAGCCATAGTATTCCACTTATTCAAGATTATCCCTTGCCAGCCGATTAGTACATTCCTGCATACTTGAACCAGTTGGGTCGGCAGTCCTCCTTATTTAGCCAGGCTTCACCGTCGGTGAAACGACCAGTCACGCAACCTCTGCATTTTGGCGAGTTGGGACAGTTGAAGAAAGGAATGTGCTGGTATCCAATATCGCGGAACCTACGAAATATTAGCATACTCAAGTCAACACTATAAGACGGCTTTACTAACCAATGAATCTTGGTCTTGTCCTCGAATAGACCCAGCGCAATACTGTGAACTGGTGCGTCGCCCCATCTTTCGTAGAAGAAACCACCAGCACGGTCCAGGTGGTTAAAGTAGTCTTCATATGCCTGGCTTCTCCAGAAGTTGATATCCGCGATCTCAAAATTGGTCCAGAAGTGGCACGTCGAATAACCATTTGCTTGGTCCCAGTGGACAGGTCGGCGTTCCTTGTCAGTCAACCAAGCCTCGGCTCTGTTCTCATGCAAATATTCGGGGTGTTGAGCAATGAACTTGTTCGTCTCTGGCCACAGAGTCGGGATCGATTGGGGCGCATCGTAGAGGGAGATAGTGAAGCCGTATGTCTTGTTGTTGTCCTGCATGTAACGGAATACGTCGTAGTCGATATCACAGAAGAAGTGAACCTTAGGCTCGACACGCCAGTAGTACTGTATCTCAGCTAATGCTGGGTGCTTGTAGAAAAGCCCGCTGTTCCACCGACACATCTTGTGGTATGAGATCTTGTTTGCGTATTGGATGTCATTCTCTTCGAGGATCTTTACGGATTCCTTGTATAAGTCGTCGTTGATCCAGGATGGAGTATCCCAATGCTCATTAGGAATGACCTCTATGATACCACGTCAGTAACGCACTTGGGTAATATGTACATGACCCAGCTTACCATATCGAGTTTCAGCCTTGGTTGCTGCTCTCGTTCTTCGCTTGAATTCTTCGGTGAAAGGGACATCGTTGAAAAACGTCCACGGATAGTTGAACTTGGAGTTCCATGTTCGCTCCAGATCGTGCATAGACTGCAACATGCCGTCCAGCTCTTCGTTTCGTACTAAGGCTAGGATTGTCGCATTGATTCGTGCGGTGCCAGCGACGCCGGGAGCGTACCCCTCAGTGGCGCGTACAAGATTACCCTCTGGTTCTCCCGTAACTATTGGACTGTTAGACACGCATGATACGGGCAGGAAGTGGAATAACGAGGACTCACGATCTAGATTAGGGTCTCTCTCGATGGTACCATGGAAATCGGCGGAGGGATTCATGCCAGTATCAGGGCGCCATATTGTGTATAGGAAGAAAACGCAGACTACGAAAACAGCGAGCGCCAGAGCGCGGACGGGCCTCGCGATGGCCATATTGAGGAATTAACGTTGTCTGGTCATTAACCTTGTCGATGTTGGAGAGTAATTATCGAGGATTTGTTCTAAATTAGAAGATGCGATGTGTGATGTGGAAAGAAGGTGAATTCGTTACGGTCGTAATCACGGTCGTGATACTGCGGAAAATCAATTAAATGGTGGGAAATGTACAGATGAAGGGAAGGTTTTGATATCAACTTGTGACTTAGCGATGGCTCCTAATTTGACACTCTACATCAAATCTCGAATTGTTTCATTGGGGCAAAGGAGAAATCGGAAAATCTAAGCAACGCCAACGCAATACCTGTTTTACAGATACAGATGTACCCCCTAGTGCCCTAACCTAATGCCAGAGATGGGGTGGGTCCAGCAAGCGGAAAAGGGGAACTACAGTGCTAAAAGAAGAAGAATGGGCGATCCTGACCATTATTCCACACTGTATGACCTATCATCCCTGCAATTAGAGGACGCGTCAACGCGCATCAACAGCCAGTTTTCAGATTAAAAAGGTATGATAAGGCTTTATTGCGTACATATGCTTATAGGCAGCATATATAAATATAGAGTATACATTCTTCGGATATGAACCTAGATGAAGTTCCATATGCATGAAATCAACAAACGAAACTTGAACTTCAATGAATATGAAGTCGCTATTAATAATATTTCATCTCACAATATATACCTCAACTCACCTAGTGAAAACTTTATCTTAAATGTTGGCCTTGTGCTGACAGATGAAAAATCATGGCATTCGCCGCCACTTTGAGCACGCTAACTGAAGAATTAGTTGAGGTCATCACCTCAACGTCAAGCCAGGTAGGCACAGTACTAGGGGTAGTCAACTATATTGTCAATCAAGCACACTTACATAGTAATAGTCAGATCCTGCCCGCTTCAATGTTCTCAAGGAATCAAGCCTACGAAGCATTCGTTACCACAATTTTCTACGCACAAATCAGTTTGAAGTTGAGAAGAAGCTCGACGGCTTCGAAGAGCATTTCCGTGTCGTTAATCGGGACAAGGTAGCTGATGCTTTAAGGGAACGTCGAGATGCGCTCGCTCGCATCTCTAAAAGTTGGACTCCTGACATTCTCCAGCTACTATTACAGCTCGAAGATCAACCTATTAAAAAGACTAAGCTAGCTGATCTTGAGTTGCTCAAAGAGCCAGAACATGATGCTAAGCCGGCCCTTAAATGGGCTGATATTGCTAAAGAAGATGGCTGGGATCAAGACCGCGATATATGGGAAACGGCCAGATTCGATGAAGACAGCTCTAATGATGAATACTACGACGGTACATCTGACATATCAGCTGGGGATGAGCTAACATCAGTATCGTCTGCTGAGGCACAACATCGGAAACTCCCCACAGATTTCCTTGTTGACTCCCAGGATGAGGGTGGACTAGACCAGGTCAGGGAAACACAGCTTTGGAGGAATGCCATGCCACCAAAGGATGCAACGGGTAGACCCCAGAAGATTATCATGTCAGAATTCCAGGCAGTACGCGAGACGCTTTTCATGCTAAATGGTCTGGATAATACCTTGTTTGACGCACAGGGAAACCCGTCTCTCCAATTCCAATTAAGGTACACATCATGGGAAGTTTACAAGGCGTTGCTAGGCTCACTCAGCGAAGCGGGCCGACAATTGTACGTTCTCCGCGAGTTTGCGAAGCATCCCCAACACGTACCGCTATTACAGGTCTTTCAAGAAGCTGTCCAAAAACGCCTTCAGTCATTTGACACCGAAATTTCGAAGTTACAACGCCGATACGTAGATATCCAAGAAGATGTCGTTGTCAGTATAGCGAGAGTCCTAGATGATGTGAAACCTCATCTACAGCCCCTTGTTTGCCTTTCAGATATTGTTCACCAGCTCCAAAGATCAAAGTACCCTCACCCATTTCATTACTTGGAGCTTCTTTATGATGCTGCTGAAATTGCTCAGTTGGAAGGAAACAACGTAGTATACGAATTCGTTGCTAGTCTGTTCTTTGAATGCTTCCAAGTTTACCTTCGATCCATTCGTCTCTGGATGGAAGCTGGAGAGCTCATCGAAGAAGATAAAACCTTCTTCATTTCTAGCTCGTCAAGCCAAGTTCCCAAGAGTCAGGTCTGGGCAGACCAATTCACGCTAAGAAGGACATCCGATGGCGCATTATATGTGCCGCGATTTTTGCAGCCAGCGGCGTCCAAGATTCTCATAACTGGCAAGAGCGTTGTTGTTCTAAAGCTTCTAGGGAAATATCAATCAACTGGTGTTCAAACGCCGGAGCCGTCTCTAGAAGTTACTGGGAATTTTACATCTATCTATGGAACTTTTGCGCCCTTCTCCGAAATCTTCAGTGATACATTCAAGAAATGGATGGAAAGCAAGCATCATGCTGCTTCTACGACTCTTCAACGAACCCTGTTCGAATCGTGTAATCTGTGGTCGGTCTTGAATTCTCTCCGGCACGTGTATCTTATGTCGGACGGTTCACGATCTGATTCGTTCATATTCGCAATATTCAACAACCTCGACCTTCTTAATGCTAATTGGCACGACCGATTCAACTTGACCTCATTGGCTCACGAGGCGTTCGGTGTCCTATCTGATGCTCATCAGATAACTGTCAATGTATTTGCAGAAGGTCTAAAAAGCGATGTGATCGAAATCCGAAGATCTGTCCGCGCAGGTCTACCCTTTATTAAAATAATTCATCGCCTATCCTGGCCAATTCGGATTATCTTGTCAGATGAGAGCCTTTCTCATTATCAAGCAGCATTCACGTTCCTGCTGCAACTCCGACGGGCCACTTACGTCCTCCACAAATATCGGTTTGTATCTGACAGCATTTCGGGCACAGCAATCACATCATCAGACCAATCAGTTTACTATGGACTCAGGGCAAAGTTCCTCTGGTTCTGTAATATCCTTCACTCCTATCTTAATACATTGGTTCTGGGACCACTTACGACGCAGCTTCAAGAGACGCTTCAGCAAGCGGAAGATGTAACTGCTATGATCTCTTCACACAGTGCATTCACAAAACGGATGATTGGTGAAATGTGCTTAGGTAGCAAACTTGATCCTATCAGGCAATGTATTCTAGACATGTTTGATCTCACCATCAGGCTTCAGGATGCGCGCCAATTAGAAGCCGAAAGAGAGCAAGAAGAAGTCCAAGAGCTATCGCGATTATCGGTGATGTCTTCACCGACGAAGCATAGGAGGTATCTCAAGAGTGACGAAGAGGAAGACGAAACATTTCTTTTTGATCAGGACAAAAGCTCGATGATGCAAGACAAGGAAATGTCCTTTACCGAAGTTCTCGGTGAGATCCGAGCCGACTTCGATCGGCACTTGAAGTTCATTTCCAGTGGTCTGAGAGGGGTTGCGAGAGCCAGTGGAGATGCTGCTGCAGGAAAATGGGACACTCTGGCCGAAATGCTTGAGGTTGGAATTCAGGGGCGTCGGTAACCACGATGACCTGATAGGCAGTTCTGTTAGGTGCTGCTAGTAACATACTGCATAGCTAGATATGTATGTATAATGCACACGCTACCTTGTTTGTCAAATATAGGTAATGGATCAGTCTACGACGTCCACATATTTATATTGGACTCCGCCGTATGTGAAACTACATCGAGATCCATCATAAGGTTATAATAAACTCAAGCTGCTGGGCTGACTGCACCTCGGCATCATCAATTGATTAAGGTCTCCAATGACATATCCTTTCTCAGATTGTACAACCCGAAGCTCCAGCAAGTCGCCTGTAACGCTGAAAGTTGTCTAACTTCACCAGTCAACCTTGAAATTAACCTAATCCCGTATGTAAAATATCCGTTTGGTGTTGGCATCGATGACAGGGCATATACCGAGATCTTCACCGTGAACTATGACATTGAGACGCTAGGGATGACAAAGAAAGGAACCCGATGAAAGTTCAGGTCCGAGCAAACGACGTAGCCCCCACTGATATGATTCTTGGCGTGCATCATATCATGGGGAAGTGGGCCAATACGAAAATGAGAGGTGATAAATACGTACTCAAGTGACTCTGTACCTTTGTACCTATGTATAGAATTTGAAAGCCTCAATTTCAGCCGCAGTCAGGGACGAGCTTCCTGGATGAGTAAGAAATTGAGGCTGAACTGTGCACGTGACTCCCGCCACATCTTTAGATCCACTCTATTTTTCAGTTCCTAGACTGGGTGGCTCTCACGGCTATTTGCCTTGTCATATTATCACATCACGACCATTCTCATCTCCGATTCATCATCGCATAACATCGTATATGAAAATAGCCATTTCAAGGGCTGCTCCCATATCAGAATAACGCACAATGTCTGAACGAAAAGTCCTTAGTATGTTTTTTTTTCCTCTTATTTATTGATGTACTAATTACTGACCGCGTGCAGCCAAGTACTATCCTCCGGACTTTGATCCGAGCCAAATCAAGAGAGTCAAGGGGCCCAAGACTGCTGGTCCAAAAGTTCAGACTGTCCGTCTAGCAGCTCCATTGGTATGTGAAGTCCCCTGCATTCTTGCCAATTCTGAGAGGATATTTCCTAACCTAATCGCAGTATGTTATATTATTTGTTTATTTGAGACCAGCCTGAAATTGAAACGAATACTAACCTTCAACAGCTCGATGAAATGCACGACATGTGGAGGTATGTTATCGTCCATCTAGAATCTTGCTCAACATCCCTGCTAACAATCTATCTAATAGAGTACATCTACAAAGGCAGAAAGGTACGAACTTTTCACCAAGCGCCTTGAAGCCACCTACTTACATGGATGACTAGTTCAATGCGCGAAAGGAGACTCCGTTAGATGAGAAGTATCTCGGTATCCAGATCTTCAGATTCTACATCCGCTGTACAAGATGTAGCGGACAGATCACGTTCAAGACCGACCCTAAGAATCAAGACTACGTACGTCCCAGCCCCAGTCTCCTATTTTTACTATCCTTCTAACTCCAGCCTCAGGCCTGCGAGAGCGGCGCAAAGCGTAGTACGGAACCGTGGCGTGTTGGCCGCGACGAGACAGACGAAGAGCGTCTTGACCGTCTGGAGAAGGAAGAGGAAGAACGCAACGCCATGGTCGAACTCGAGGCCAAAACCGTGGATGCCAAGCGCGAGATGGCCGTCGCGGATGCTCTTGATGAGATACGCACCCGAAACGCGAGACTGGAGCGCGCCAACCAGGATGGGGTGGAAGTAAGCGTTGCGATGCCGGCTGATACCGAGGCAGAGCGCCAGGAGAGGGAGGATGCGGAAGCCGCGAGAAGGGCTTTCGAGTTCGCGAGGCAGGTGGAGAGTATCACGGAGGACGTAATTGACGAAGAGATGGAGGATGCGGCTGCAGGTTCGGCTTCGAGCTCGGCGGGTACGCCTGCGTCGAGCAGCAACGGCACGCCTAAGCCAGAACTGGCAAAACCTGCAGCCTCGGCAGCGGGTGCGACGTCCACAGACATGCCGCCCCCGTCTTTCAAGCGTGTTGTCAAGAAGAAGAAGGATCACGCGGCTCTCCTCGGTATCAAGAAGAAGCCGTCTCTTGTATAACCCGATCGAGCTTTCGATCGGTTACAACTACGATTGCCAAGATTCACAGCATAGCAGGCGGTATTGGGACGGCGTTCAACCATGGCATATAGTTTGTGCTTACAGGTACCAATGAATTGAGATACGTACCTTCAGTCAACCCCTTCTGAAACCCCTTAAATTTGATTGGTTATGCTTGCGGCAGAACTTTTAGAGTGGCTATGTACTACGTAGGCCCTGAACAAAGTCCCGAACATTTCAATAACGTGAGATATTATTAATATGTGTTTCTCGGCTCTATTTACACTTCAAGAGATGCCTAGGTAGGCACACTTTGCACGTTTTAAATTTCTTGTCGAGCGTACCGCAGCCATGGCTTAGACTTGCAATAACGTCTCGGCATGTGGCCGATGACGTTCTGGCCCCCCCTTCTAGTGCCGGGGGGAATCCTGCGGCGAAGGGCTGACCTAAGCCATCCAATCCTACGCAATTTTGTCCCGTGCGGTTTCCTACGTAATCATTCATCATATCTTGATTCTTTTCCGTTTACTGGTGACTTTTGCGCGGCAAGACCAGGGAGGCCGTTACGTTCGCGTGCCATACAGGTTTTTTTTGGTGTATTATAGCTCGGGCTATTATCATCCATGGCTGCGCCCGGGAGATGGTCGGGAGGGGCGCGGAGAGCATGTTCAGCGTTGCATTCAACGAACTGTGTTAATCTTCAAATCTGATTGGTTGATATTGAATAAGGGGGTGAGGGAGCTTCTCATAGTTGGGCTCATTCGACTACCGACACGTTCTTGGTATGGAAAATACAACATTTACGCATATAGTGGGAGACTTCAATGCAAGATGCACGGACTAATGAACTAGATGTCTCAGACCAAGTATCTTAGCGATGGAGGATCAAGATATTACTGGCACGGGTGATGAAGACAGTCATGAGATATTGGAAAGTGATGTAGTTGCTAAAGCTGATTGTATATGATCGTCCCACCGACGCGGGATCATCGTCAGATATCGTACTCTCATACGACTGCCCTGTGGCAAATCGTTCATTGATTTTGGTCTGGACTTAAAACAATTATCGCCATCTTGTTGCTTGGTGATGGCTTGGCCATTCGTAGATGTTGCTGAGCGGCTCCTTGTGTTCTTGCCTCTCAATTGTAACTCCAACCGACCTGACTCCTCATCGCTAAGACGTGGGTGACTTGTAGTCACTGGCCCTCCATGCTGTAGTATTGAATCCCTCTCATGCGTGTACATCGCTTTCCTCGGGATGTCCTAAACGCCTCGCGTATAAATAATACGGCTTCAAAGCTCATCCGAGCTGAGCGTATGTTTTGTATGATTTGTTTGCCGTTAACATGACGGCCTTATACTGTATATATGTGTGTGTACGTTTCCAAACGACGTGTGTGCTTTGAAGTTGTCATGAGAATGCTTCAAATGTTAATCAATCTTCCTCAATCATGATATTCGACTTCGCCTGGACTCCTCGACGACGAAGAGCTACCTGATGTGCCGTTCGGTAAACTTGTGACGTGGGAACGTGGAGACCGAATACTTCGTCGGCTTGTTGGCATATTTGCGGCTTCCATCTGTCTTTTGGTGTGCTGGTGCATTGAACGGGCGTAGCTTAATAGATCTACTGGTGGAGGAAGCGATGCTGGCATGGACATGTTGTAACTGCTTCGAGACGACATTGTGAAAAGTTGGTAATGTGCGGTCAAGCCGACTAAATGCTCGAATTAAGATAAAGGGTAGTTAAGTTGTAGAGTTGTAGAGATTATGGGGAAAGTCGAAGATAGTTCGTTTGGTAAAAGAGTAAAATCTCACGATTGATACCTCGAAACGTAATAACGACGACGGAAGGGAGCGTAAGATCAAAAGGTTTTATAATAAGAACGAAGATGGGAAAAGAGGGGACGGAAGAGTCTAGTGGGATTCGGGCTAGAATTCAAGAACGTGTTGGGTGTAGGGTGGCTTTGATAGACGGGCGAGAGGGTCTAGTTAGTGTACTGTACAAGCGGTCGACTCCCACGACCCTACTGCAGACAAACAGACTAGGAGTGCTATCGAAGTGAGATATGCGGTGATCGACATGTATGGACGCCGTTTTAGTGCCGGGATGGGAAACCAAACCTGCAGGCTATGGCGTAAGTGAGAAGCGACAGGCCAATGACCGGGCCGGGGCCATTAGACGTTCGCCACGAGCAAGGCTGATGATGCATTGTGCACTAGACTCGCAGAGATTCATTACTACGTAGTTGATTGCCCATGTCACCACACCATCAAATTGGAAAGAAGGAAAGGGGTAATGCTTTAGAATTCGCATGTCATTCTGCATTCGGACACCACTAGCGGGAGAGGACATAAAGGAAACGGACGACTTGGGGACTTCTGGGGCTCTTGGAGCTTGAGGGGAAAACATGTCTCGCCCGTGAAAGACTCCACTTGTGACGATTGGGAAAGACCCTGGCGATCTTGTCGTGACCATTGGACCTTTGAAGTCATCGCATATGTCATTCTATTGGCCACGGTTTGGCTCATTGTACCGAGACAATAGTGGAGGCGCCCCCGACGGACCAAGCTTATTGACTAGTACCGTGATGTACCTAGTAGTAGTAATAGGTATGCTGGTGTGTGGACATGTGGACATACCTAGTATTATACATGGCCATGGGATAATATGTACACATATCGCGTATGTACCGATTCAGGGTCCTGGCTGACCATGAGCTGCATGAAGTGTTTGCGTATCAGCAATATACTTCAGCTCTCATGAGAATATTGTTTTTTTCGAAAAACAGTTGGATAATTGCTCGAATTGGTCGATAGGACAATAGGTAACGAATACCTAAAGTCACACACAACCATGAACGTATGAGTTATGAAGTTATGGATGTGACGTCATGGGACCGCTGTAATAAGATTGAATTTCGGCGAAGAATAAGCACGTGCAGGGATGGCGGTATCGTGGTACGCAAGTTTCTCAGAAAAATTCGTAGGTACTCGGGTACTTCGCACTTCGTACTTTTGACTTCCAAGGTTCGTATTCCTGTTCAATCTGTCAATTTACTAGTACTCAAGTATCTAGGTGGTATTTGGTTTCTCGCTTACCAAAAGGTCAATATAAGTGCGGTAGGTAAGAGGCGTCCCAAATTCAAGAAAGTTGTGTCACTTTTGTTTTCTCATCAATCCCCAAAAAAGTGGTCCGGCAAGCAGGAACCGAGCGGCTCCAGGGACAAAAAAGCAAGCTAACTGAAGGACCCCTAAAAGTCCGGACGGTTTTAGAACTTGCAGGACATGTAAACTCGTAGTAAGCTGCCCTTTTCGGATTTATTGTTGGCTCGATAGCAACCCTTGGTATGGCTAGTGCCAATCGAGGACGAGCAGATGTTTCCTGAGGAGATCCCTTAGGAAATCCGGGATACCTTATGGGATTTCTTCGAATTTGCATTGCGCACCTTCAGGGTTATCGTAATTAGCAATTCTATATATGTAGCGATCGACAATGCGCACGTCTGCTGTTCGCAATGTCGCCTGGTGGCCCATCACCCCATCTAAAATTCCTGTAGGTGCGGGCAGGTGAGCCGAGGACGGCGGCACATAAGCAACCGGAGGATAGGTAAGGGTACACAATATTATACATTTGATCCGTAGCACTGTATTATCAAATTGGGCTGTCGGCTGCATTCAAGTTAATGTATGCGTTGCAATGTTGGAACTAGTAGATCCGGGCCAAGCGGGATGCACGTCAGTCAAGAACAGGCTGACAGGCAAGCGAGCCTGTAAAAGAATGAGGTCCGTTAACCGCAAGCCAAAATAGGGGTCCAAGGGGTACGGCAGATCTGCCTAGCGGTACCGGTACTAGGTGAGGTATGGTTGCAAGCGAATTGTCCTCGACAGAGATGTGTCTAGACGCCCAGACGCCATAGACAAAATGATAGGTTGTGAGTTGTTTGCTCTTGTTGTAAGTAAACATGTAGGTGTGAAGTTGGCAAACAAGATCGAGAGCGGTGACGCTCCTACAAAGTCCACTCATACTTCCGTAGCACCTCCTACAGATATTCTCAATTCCCCAATACCTACGTGCATAGGTTCCTATAGCGCAAGAATTATTATATTTCACTATGTGTGTGTACCTATATAGTAACTACATAAGTACTTACATAGTAGTTGACACATTTAACTTCCTTCATCAACACACACATCCATGGATAATAGGGTAAAACTAGGTAGCATCTATCAAAAGATGGTTGTGAACCTTCCCTTCTATTTAGGTTTTTTAGGCATCTCCTGTTTCGTCGGGGATTTGTGAGGTAAGAGTTGGTCTGTGCTCTTAACTTTATCAGCCCATGAACGGGAAGCCTAATGATGTCAGCTACTAGTACCGAGATCCTCCGAGGTCTCGACAACTGCTGACTAAAATTCGTCTTCTCCATCAAATTCCCTACCTGAATCTCTTCAAAGGCACGTACATATTCTTCTGTTTTCGTACCCAAAAGTCCAAGTCCGTTACTTCAACTGTGCTGGAAGAGACTCTGCCTACCATACCAACATCAACACCAACATACTCGCACTAACTCCACAAATCCTATTAGGTTGACGCCGGGAGGGACAGAAGAGGCTGCATCCGCCCGCCGTGTCAGAGGCTCGATTCAGGTTCTCGCCACTGAAAAAAGCCATCTAAAGCCTTCGCTGCCAGATCTGACCTCACTCATCCCCAGCAATCCCACGTGATGACGAAATATGAGGTGAATCATCACGTCGTTGGCCAATATGTATCCCCCAAACAGTCCGGGACCAGCCACCCATATGTAATCCCTCCGTCCAGCTGGTATCGTGAGGCGAAACTGTTGAACAGCTAGAATTTTGATTGTGTTCACCCTCGTGAAGCATGACATATGAATCTGACATCAGACTAAGTTCTGACTCTCCCATTCGTATCGTTTCGCTGATTGTATTAGACTCAATATCGATCGACTCATCTGCATAACCTTCGTTCATGCCGCTTTAGTCGAACGAGAATCTCCTTTCCACATCGTAAAACAAAGAAACTTTGGCCGTCGATGATCACGATGCTCTGTCTGGATCCGGTGGCCTAATTCGGAAACTGTACGTCACACGATAAGCTAACAAGCCCTCATAATAACGAGTGACCTCATCCAATCTCTATTTGTAACCATCACCCAAATCGACTTTATCAAACCATTGTCCATCTGTGTGACAGCCAAAGAAGTTGGAGGGATTGCACAGATCATGCCTTCGCGAGCTCGTCAACAGAGACTATCCAGGCCGTTGAGTCGTTATATGAGTGCTCGCCCCTATTCCTCAAAATAGCCCGGCACTACCTAGACACCGACAGACAATACAGTGATACGCACCGTGTTTCTCCAATTTGTTGCCCCGAGTTCTTTCATTTAGAAACACATTAGCCCAAGCTCGCATCGATGCATTGGCAAATCGTCACTCCAGAGCTATGTCCCTGCGGAGAAGCTGGCTGGAGTCACGGATAACCACTTACAGGTTTTAGGGCATTCACACCGCAAGTTACAAACTAGGTACCTAAAGTACTAAGTCAACATAACATCCAATACCTACCTACCTAGTAAGTTTCATAAATTCAAATGAGAACTTGTGGCTATTAAAATCCCGTTGTCACTTGCACGGTGCCTTGACGAATATGGAGGTATTTAGGTCGTACGATGTAAGACGTCGCTACTTAACCCTACCTTTCAAGAACATCATTTTCCCCCCAAGCCGATCGGCTCCCTAATTCATCCTCTTACACACGGCGTGTGATTAAATCGATATTTGTTGGAGAATATCCGTGGAAGGGACTCCATCGCTACAACAACATAACACCCTTGCGTCTTTTCACCTTTTTCCCTTTTATTCGCCGTACCAGCTACATAGGCATCGTGTACTGTCAGTGCGCACCTTAACCAGAAGGCAAATTTATCATTTTCACGATGAAGGATACCGTTTTCGATCCCTAAACCTTCCGATCTTATAGAGACTTCGGTACCCGAACGGATCATCCATACGCAGAATCGTACGTGCCGACTCATTGCGGATGTTCGCGGGTGCGTCGACCCACCGCTCACTCCTTCCGGGTCGCACTTACCCCGTCTCCTTCGTTTTAAAGCCGGGCCGGCCGTCTTAAGAGAGTATTTCCGCTTGTACCACTACGAGGGATGGCCATTCCACGTGTAACCTTAAAGCGGTATGGTACAGTTTTGTCTCTATTTAGTGGTATCCAAGGTAACACCCCTCTTTCATCACCGTCTTAGGCCTACTGCCTAGAACATCTATCCGGTCTACATACCTGATAGGTCCAGATCTCCAACAACCTATCCCTCCTTCAGAATAGACCTCCAATTATCACGCTGGGCTAGAGGAATCTAATCATGGGTGATGGTATTACTCCCAAGTTACTTGAGCTTTCTTGCAAAGATGATCCCTGTTCTCATAGGCCGCTGCTATTAGAGTCTCGAATCGCTTGAATTCGTTCCGTGTTAGACCAATTCTGCTTCAATAACACCCTCCATAGCTGCCGGCTGTTTCCAAATATTAACTATCCTTAATCCAACACTACTGAGGAGATCACCCCACTCCTTTACCGTCCTCTCCGCTGAAGACGTACATGCCAACATCGTCAAGTCGGATGTAGTTGTACGCGGTGACGGCTTGATATTTTCGACCATGCATTCGTGGATCAACACTTTCGAGTATCCTTTTTCCATAGCAGCAGCGATGACTTTCAAAATCTCCGCTGCACTGTCGTCTGGCCAGTCGTGGAGGACGGTATGTAGGAAATACGCTCTGGCGCCTTTGATGGGCTGCGGAGTGAAGAAGTCATACGGGTGCTTTGAAATAATCTTGTTGCTTACTTGCACGTCTTGGAGAACTCCAGGAAGGTCTTGCAACACGAGACTACCCTCTGGAATGTCTGGATGCTTAAGCAGGAACTTCTCCAAGTCGTGACCCTTGCTTCCACCAATATCAACTACCAACGCTCGACCCGGCTTAGCATCTTTTATGAGCGTATCCGAGGGATACACATCCGGCCAGGCCACCATGTTCCCTTTCGAATGGCACTCCATCGCATGCGTGAACTCCTTATTGCGCACTGGGTCTGCTACGATGTACCCGAAAAATGAAGCGTCAGATCCTTTCACGTGTTGTATGACACCATTCTTATCGTCAACTGGATTCTTGTATCCCGTCTTTTTCAGAAATGGTGGCATCCCGCCAAACACTACTGTGGTTATATCATGGTATAGCGCCCCATATAAGGCTGGAAAGGAGGGGTCAGTTCCTAGGGTCGTTGCCCATGGAGTAGGCGAATATGTGTCTTCCGCCGTCTCTATGAGAAGATGCTGCGCTGCGAGTTGCCTCACAATTCGTTCTTCCCATTGGTGAGAATCAGCTAGTATAAACCATCATAAACGAGATTTACTGACTGATAAGCGTAGGATCTGTATCCGTAAGTCTAGCAAGCTCGACGCTCGTTTGTGGCTTACTTCCATTTTCTACCCATTTCTTAAAGACGCCGGCGTCGATGAGAGTCTTGGTGGCAGCATTGGTGCATGGATTTACCCAGTTATGATTCCACGCGATATCCCAGGGTTTTCTTACTCTTACTAAAGCATCAACAATTAGATCTTCCGCTCGCGACCGCTCGTCCTCATTTGGAAAAGAGTCAAAGTCAAGATCCCGAAGAGCGGCGGATAGGCGTTTTAGAGCTGACATGATGAAGTCCTAGGAAATGCACAATTGTGGCATATAAGTGATGCAATCACAAGGAGAAGAACTCTTCGAAAATAACTATTGCTCGAAATTCTATGGTTGGTAAAACACGAAGCAATCAGGAAAGGCGAGTGCTTGCTGGTAGGGGCATTTGCTGGAATCTTTGCCGTAAGGCCATGGATCGCCAAGGATATGATCATAATTTAGGAATGCAACCATCTTCCTTTGCGCCTTTTTATCATGTAGTTCTCCCCATATGCCGTTGTAGTATCCACTGCAAGGACGAATCCTCCGTATGATCAATATGCATCCTTCCCGTCCAAAATACGAGCTTCTAAATGCTGATTGGCTACAGACTCGCTAGCTGTATGTAGGTTTATAGACCATCGAGCTTTTATTCGGGTTAGATACGTGGGATCGCCTCTTAAAACCCTTGTACTAACGTGTATTAAATCAACTAAGAGGCGGGAGAGTGGCTTGCGGAAGATCGTCACTACGTATTTATGCACATAAGCAACGGCACACCATAAGTTTGGGAGCATCTTATTGCGCCGTTAACGTGCTGACACTCGCAAAAAAGAGCCTTGTCGGGGACAAGATGTAACTGTTAAATCTGCTGCCCAGTCTAGGAAAAGGAAGGCTGTCCTCTTTTACAACATATACCACAACATGTCCCTATGCTGTGTTCCTCGCTGTCGTGGCCATGAGTTAAATACCCGACTACCACCTCCCTTATGGCTAAGAGTGTTACTCAAGATCTAAGCGGGCGCCTCGCCGACGGCAATAAATTAATTGAACGAAACTCGGCATTTCTGCTTGTTGGTTCATAAATCACCCGATGGCCGGTTTATGGCAAGAAGATGACTACGGCATCATCGCGAAAAAGGGCTGTTGGTCTATGGTATCCATTCTGACAGGTCAGTTTTGATCGCATCACTTGTTGGTTTAGCGCCATAATTCGAGTTACTTACCATATTGTCGGGTTTTCTAGTCGTCATTGGAATGCGAGTTTACTGTCGATTATCATTTGGTCGAAACGCAATAGGCGCTGATGACTGGATCGTTGTCCTGTGTCTTATCGTCGCTTATGTCGATTGCATATTTACCACGATCGGCATTGGTTATGGCCTCGGGAAGCATTACAAGGTACTAGATCCAGCCGACGCTGTCGAAGCTTTGAGATGGTCAGTCATCGCCTCGACCGTCAACGTCTGGGTGTTCTCACTACCGAAATTTGCTATCGTCGCAATCCTCAAGCGTATTCTGGACTTCAAAACCAAAACTGCAATATTGTTCTGGGGTCTATGCCTCACCTCCCAAGCCTGCATCTTTGCGACATCCGTCTGGTGGGTCCATCAGTGCTCTCCTGTTGAGTATGGATGGGACAAGTCTATTCAAGGGAAATGTGCGCCAGTCAGTGTAATACAGAACCTCGGGTACGCCACAACAGCGTACTCGGCGTTCCTAGACATGTTCTTCGCCCTCTATCCGGTTCCGTTTATCATGAAGTTGAATATGCCTCTCAAGAGCCGCATTGCTATCTCGGCAGCCATGAGCCTTAGCGTCACGGCTTCTGCGGTGTCAATTTACAAGTTAGCGATATTCAAGCAGGTATTCGATGTGCTGGCGAAAGACCCTACATGTAAGTCCTATCAACGCCATTCAAGCTGAACTATCTGAACAAAAATAGATCCCACCCCCTATTTCTTCATGTTGGGTTTTGCTGAGGGCTTCGTTCTCATCCTCGGCTCCTCTTGCCCCACGCTGGGACCCCTTTTCCGAGCAGTCAAGCGAACCATATCCACGAGTTTAAGCAGCAAAGGCGACACGAGTAACTCGAACTTGGGCCAAAGCGGTCCCCAATATAGCGATCCGGGAAGAAAGTGGAAGAATCTAAGGGGACATCGACTTACGGACCATCAAGCAACGCTAGCTAGCATCGACGCTATTCCACTCTATCCTACCACGACTGTAACTAATAAGGATGATGACCATATTCCTGATACCGTAGACACACATTAGCATATATTTTAGAGTAGGTCGACTTTATATTATTTACATCAATTTTGTTTCTTGGCTGTTCAGGACGTGTACTGTGTATGGATGGGAGCTGACCAGACGGTAACATAACGGTAACTCGCGATTGTTAGTTGTAATAGTAGGTTAACATACCTTTCTCTTCCTAACCTATCCACGGGATACACCCTCCCAAGATACTCTACGAGGCAATCACTTATATATCACTTATATCAGTAAAGACTACATAGGGACCACGGTACTTTATTAGTGTTCGATCGGTTGTGCCGTTGCTATGAGAGTTTTATAGTAGTTATAGCAAAGTAAGTACCACAAGCCTTGATGGCTCGAACTATCTTACAAGACCGACGGAACGTGCAATACAAAGAAACAGAAGAAAATTCTCGTGAAGTGCCCATTCAGGGGCCAACGGACAGAGCGGTACCTAGTCCTATAAGGGTCGACTCAAGACGATGCGATGAAGAGAGAAAAGGAAAGGAAAGGAAAGGATAGGGAGAAGCAGACAGGTTACTGTTTCACCATGCCTTAATGAGGGACTGGTATACCATAAATCGCGTCCCAACCCGCCAATCAGAGAAATCAGAGCCGACGACCACGACGGCAGTGTGGATGAGCTCGTTAATCACCGCCAACATCGTCGTCATCGTTGGGCAAAGCCACTTCATCAACTGCATGAGAGATGGCGTCCCAATCGACATGAACGTTCGTATATTCGGCCAAAATCCGATCCATCTCGGCGTTTGGAATAGGATCAACCTCCAAGTTCCACTGGAAGTCTTTGAAGGGATCGTCCTCGACTTGCGACGAAACAGGATCGGGTGAGCGCGGTTTCGAAGTGGGCTCTCGTCTCGTCTTCGTCTCATCATGCAAACGACCAACCTCCTTGGGTTCGATTCCGCCAGGCCGACCATCCTCATTATTCACCCGAGGCGCGAACAGGCGGCGGAGGGGCGGCGGAGGGGGGCTCAATTCTAAATCGGCAGCAACGTTCGCTAGGAAGCGTTTAACGTAGTTAGTACGGATAGGCTGGGGCATTTCCAGATGGTCGAAGAGATCGGGCGGCTGAGAGTAGATGAGCGAGCCCTGTCGTGCATGGGTCCGAGATCCGGCTCCACTGGGAACCTCCGGCTCGAGATTGCCAGCAGGATGATCTTCCTTCCTCCCTTTTAGGAGCTTGGTGGTTCGTTTGTTCTTTCGATGGGGCAGAGAAGAGAGATCTAAATGGTTGTTGTCGTTGTGTGCTAAGCTAGCCTGCCTCTTAACATCGGACGGCAACGAAGGGGTGTCTGCTTGTAATTCATCAGGGGATGACTGGTCCGCCTGGAATTCCAATAGTGATTCTCGGGCCGCTGGTGCCTCGTACAGAGAGCGTGCTGTGCCAGGGCGGGTCTTGGTAAGGGTCGGCTTTCTGGTCTTCGGAGCGCAACGAGGACGGGATGGTTTTCCTGACTTGTGGTGTCCCAGTTCATCCTCGAAACTTGGTTGCTCGGTAGTTCTACCCTCGGGCTCAGAGCCAGCTAAATGAGTGTTAGGAGAAGGACCCGTCTCCTTGCTGGTTCTGCCACGAGTGGACTTCCTTTTTTTCTTGGGCAGCTCCTCTTGCTGGGATCTGTCGCTGTCACGCGTTCGCTTGTTGCGACCGCCATCAGATTTCTTACCGCCGCGCGAACCAATACCACCACGTGAACCACGAGGCATTGTGTATTTAGACGTCTCGTAACCTACTTGGTCAGCTAATCATATCATGACAGATATAAAACAAGTATATTTGAGTAGAAGAAGAGTGAATATTCTTCGACTCACAATAGTAAGGAGACGGGTGTTTCTAGCAAGGCCGTGATGTTTAATTGGCCTTCAGTGTATCAGGAGTAGCAACGTAGGCGCAAAGGGTAAGGGTCATGTCTGAAGCCGCGGACTTTGTATAAAAAGAATTGCAACCAAATCGACAGAGTGGACGCAAGTGACAGGATGGAGTGAAGAAAGCTGTAGCATGAAGTTGTCAGTGATGCGGTTGTGTACAATATATGAGTATGATGGGCTACAGTATAGTAGCAGGTTGAGCGATGAGGAAGGTGGTGAGAAAGGAATGAGTATTAACATACCTAGAAGTTTTTTTATTTTCTCCGAATACGAAAACAGATGGCGAGTAGGATTGAGGTTTATCTTTCCTAGTATTTTAATCTAGGAGATCAAGACACTAGTAAGTGCAGTTAAGCATGGCATGCGAGCAAGCAGCCTGTTGATGATTTTTCTTGCCAGACTCTGGAAGGTGACAGGAAACGTGATGAGAAAGGTAACAAATTGGTGATTAGCCACACAGCACGCAAGAGATTTGTTGATAATATACCCTTACAGGCTGCCATTATAGGATACGGGGAAGATGGCACAAAAGGAACGGTTGTTCACGTACCTGTGAGTTCTTGCCCTGGACTATAATAAAGCACGTCAGGAAAGGTGAGATTAGCTATGGTTTCTTTTGTACCTAGTAAATCGCAGTCTGTAGACGATGTGGTAGCTTGTTCAGAGTCGACTTCTCCAGTGGATTGTAGTTGATAGAACTACGGACGAAGATGAGGACGAAGACGAAGACGAGGGGAAAAACAATTGTTCGTATACTAGATGGAAATCTTTGAATCTACTAGAAATGACAGCAGGGAAAATGCAGCACGATGAGCTGGGGAACGAAAGTAAAATTTGTCTATATAGGTGGTATCACTAGATCACTTGTAAATTAGCATTGTGCATGCGTTCTAGCTGAGCCCGCGTCTAATAGCCTACCATAAAACTTGACGCCTTAGTTAGATTACCTAGCTCTCATCCAGTATATTCTATAATTTTAGGAATCACAATGTGTGCCATCAAATGAAGGAAGGGTTTGGGTTGGGCGGTGATGGACCCCAATTAAATGATCCTACAATTTTGCTCGTGTTCTTCCCCCCTATGTGCGAAGTATATTCATTAATTCCAATCGATTAACCAACCCAATACGCTCACTATCCTATGAAAATATTGTAGTAAATTTGCATTGTTGGTCGATGATTTTAGTCGTTGAACTCTTTCAGCCCCTATTTCTAATTAGTAGGTAGTATACAAAATCGGTATAGGACCACTGAAATCACTACTCCGCCGAGATTATAATAGACAATAAACTTTTTTATATTCGAAGATCACCTATACGACAATGTCCATCTTATTCAGTCTATAGTTCCAGAGTTGGACCTAGTCATAAAATACCAAGCACCGCACCTCTATGCTCTGCCTCCCAGGCGCGTCTTGAGGAGTTTGTGGATCAACGAAGGCTGTATGTGGCGTCCTTACTGCGATTCCATCTTTTCCCTGCGGTTGCCCTTCACCCCAAGAGTCGTAGCACTTCAATAACAATACCTCATCCGGCGTCATATCCTTCTGGTAATAGAACTTATGGGCCGTGTTTGGTGCCACGGACATCGTCTCTCCCCGTACTTCATACCCCTCTGTCGAGTACCACTTAGATTCGTCGGGACGTACTTCCTTTCCCCTATCATCTTTGTCCATTGCGAAGTCCTCGCGTTTGGGATAGAGCAAATTTACCGGGACGAAGTCATCTAGCTTGGTCGTGCGCCAGTCGATGACAGCTAATGGAAAGTCGCTAGCAGGGTTTTCAATGGGTCGCCACACGTTAATAATTTGGAATCGACCCTTTAGAAGCTCCTCAGCTTCATCTGCTGGGAGGTGTCGCCTTACGCGAGCTTCGGCTGCGGCAGGTGTCTGGTCGACATGAACTTGTTGAACTGGGGCTCTTGCCGCTTCAGGGGTTCGTCTCCGAATAGTATGATCGAATATGACGACCTTCTTAATGCCGGGTATTCGCTTCTTCAGCAAATCTTCGACCTCTTGGTAGTATCCACTACGTATCGCGGCGTCGTCCGTGAAAGTTTTCTCACTGGCTGGTTCCTTGTATACCGCGAATCCCGACTTATCGGTAGAAAATTCGCTTTCATGCCCCCTAAGATTATTTACTGAGCGCTTGTGCTCAGCTAGTTTGAACGAGGTAGCGTCGGCGTCTACCTTGACCCACGGCTTTGTCCCTTCTGGAACTGCCGACATATCGATATGTTTGAAAATGGCGGTTGTCATGTTGGCTCTCTGCGATAATCTGGGGAAGATGGGTTGTTTCAAATTGTTATATACTGTTCGCGTTAGAGTTCGTCGAGCTACGGTTGGCAATAAAGTCATGAACCAAAGAATATTTTGGATATTGACACTATGTGGTTCACAGTATTTGAGCGATGCGAAGTTCCTGGTGGGGATGTTCAGGGGTTGTATATTCTTATATACTAATAACTAACTACTGGAATAGCTGCTTATCCCCTACTTAGGCGTTGTCGTATGGTGGCAATCGATAAACGCCGAAATAGCATCATTGAAACGATAGAACGAATTAGAATATTAGTAATTGGGATTGCGTGCTCCGGAATACAGAATTGAATGGCGAGCCTAGACTTTACCCCGATTATATTCCGAGGTTATTTCTAAGCGTGGGGAAATATAGTCCCAAGCTCTTTGACTAAAATTAGTAGCATCACTGGGCTGTTGCATGCATACAATAATACTGATACACAGAAGGGTTGTAAAGATTCTAAAAAGAAGGTGAAAATTGTAAGATTTATGAGACAAGTATATAAAATCTTCCCTGAGTTCTCAGTAATATAATAATATTTAGCTAACCTTAGAAATTTTGAACTGATGTTTCTAACTAACAATGCACGCTTTTGAAAAGGGGTAAAAGGGGGAGGACTCAAGAGGTGTTACACCAATCAGGGGCATTAACCTAGCGCACTCTCACCAAAGCTCAGTATTTCCTATGCTATCCAAAGACAATCAATTATCCGACATTCTTTTTTCTTACTTCCGAAACATATCGGTACGTTCCTCGAACTCAAGGGAAAAGAGCGGCAACGCTAATACTGAAACCGAGCCTAGAAGCGGGTACACCAACATATGTCCTACGTACTCCGGCGGAAAATAACGTGTTAATTCACACTGTATACACTGTGCATTGAACCATCACATCATCATCAGCGATGCCCCACAATTCCCGCGCCGGAAAAAGTCAATAAAGTCATCGGTGGTCGCTTCCTAACATCGCATCACCTGTTAATCGGCCGTCCCCTCTCCATCTCTCCCTCGCCTTTCCCGACCCAGAATCCAACAACCAACCATAATGGCGCCTCCGGAGATCACCGTCAAGGACCTGACGTACACCTTCCCCGACTACCGGACAGGTATCCGCGGCGTGTCCCTCAGCGTGCCGCCGCGCAGCCGCACGCTGCTGATCGGCGCCAACGGCGCCGGCAAGACGACGCTGCTGCGGCTGCTCGCGGGCAAGCGGCTCGCGCCCGGGAACAGCATCAGCGTGTCGGGCGTGGACCCGTTCAAGGAGGGGCTCGAGGGCGTCACGTACCTGGGGCTGGAGTGGGTGCTGAACCCGATCGTGCGCACCGACATCGGCGTCGCCGAGCTGCTGCGCTCCGTCGGCGGCGACGCGTACCCGGACAGGCGCGACGAGCTGCTCGGGGTATTGGACATCGACGTCGCGTGGCGCATGCACGCCGTCAGCGACGGCGAGCGCCGGCGCGTGCAGCTCGCCATGGGGCTCGTCCGCCCCTGGACCGTGCTGCTGCTCGACGAGATCACCGTCGACCTCGACGTGCTGAGCCGCGCCGAGTTTTTGGGCTGGCTGAAGCACGAGACCGAGATCCGCGAGTGCACGATCGTGTACGCGACGCACATCCTCGACAACCTGGCCGGCTGGCCCACGCACCTCGTGCACATGCACCTCGGCACGGTGCGGGAGTGGGGGCCCGCCGAGCGGTTCCTGGGCCAGGCGACGGGGCAGAGCACGGGGAATAGTCGGTTGGGGGAACTGGTGCTGGGGTGGCTGAGGGCGGACTTGAAGGATCGCGGGCCGAGGAACCAGCAGAAGATGGGGACGGAGGGACTGACGTATTCACAGGGTGGTCTTGGAGGTTACGGGCTTGAGAGCAGCGAGTCGAAACAGAAGATTGGGTTTGGTGGGGGTTCTTAGGGCGGGGTTGAGCAAGAGTTGTGGATGCGCGTTATCAGAGATGATGCACTTAACTTGCATGGTGTGGCACTCTTTCAACATTTAGAAGTTGTGATGATGGGCATTCATGGCGGGAAAAGGGGCGTTTTGGTCTGAAACGGAATAAATGAACTAGCATTAATGATGGAAGCACTCGAAAGTAGCATTGGGAAGCTCCTTGTTATTTAGAAGATACCCTTTCAACAGGATAGACCTGAGCATCTATAAGGATTGAATAAAGTCCAACGAAGTATTAGATTTACATGATCAAGTCTGGCTTGTGCATTTAATTCGTATTTTGGTTACCTATCGGTCCTGAGTAGACCCATAGTGGCCGGGCCTCATGGATATTGTGAAACCGTGTCTTAAGCAGTTTCTGCCATCATCGACCTCCTTTTCATTACGTTCGTCATCGTGTTATACATCAACTCTCCAACACCAGCCATGCTCTGCCGTTCTAGATAACTTAGTACACCGAGGCGATAATCATCCCAACCCACTCTAAGCCCACCCCTACTAGCTAGAGCATTGAGACTGGCACGTGTCACGGGCCCGGCATGCCTAGTGCTGAGTTCGCCCTCGTTTTGCCGTAACTCTTCGTCTTCTAGCTCGCGGAAGTGTGAGATTGCCGAGAGGCACAAGACCGGCGAGTACGATAGAGAGAAGAGCGATGAAAGAGAAGTGCCCATGTTGAGATTGTTGACGTACGACATGAAATCATCAGTAAGTGATCTAGATACCAAGCAGCCGTGGGCGTTGACATCACTATTGTTGAAAGCACGCGATCGCCAAATACAATTGCAGATGTCCATGAGAAACCCATTAAACTCGTTGATGTATTCCGAGGTATATGCGGAACGAGACGTAGCCATGGCCTTCTGAAATCCTGCTTTATACTTCGACAGTATTGAACAGAGTCGAGCCAAAGTGCTTGGGGCGAAGCTGAAGTGAAGGATATATACCAACGGGGAGGGCGGTATCATTATCCGAGTATGAAGTAATAGCTTTGGATCCGAAGCTAGAACCGATGTCTGTTCATAGAAATCCAGAACCTTCGAGTGTGTGGAGGCTGTAGGGGATGTCTGAACAAGAGTGAGACAGAGGTCGTTGACGTGAGTTACTAGATCAGCAATGATATCTGATGCTTGGCTCGATTTCTGCTCAAGCGATGCTAGGCAGATAGTCCAACGTCGGAGCAGAGTTGTATAAAATTGAAGTAAGTGTAGTTGGGAATCCGTGGTGTTGTCTAGGATCTTAACTTCAAGGGGCTGTAAAATGCCAGTTGATAGTTCTAGGATGAATTAGCCTTATAGAATCATAATTGGGCTTACATTTCTTACCTGAAAAGCTAAGTAATGGCAAATATGATAATATTGCTAATACCAAATCTCGTCCATCGTGGCCGTTCCATATCTTGAGATACTCGTTAAAGAAGGCCAAAAATATTGGGGGAAAGGTCTACGGAGAGTGTTAGCTAAGTCCATCCTGCAAGTCACATTGATACATACCCTAGTACTGGAAGCATAGGATTTTAGCATTTCTAAGCAATCATTGGTGTCTACGGCACCCTCTCCACTCATTAAGTCTTGCCCATATGAAGCTAACCAACTACTGGCCCGTTGGTGAGCTTCGCTGTGTGGTTTTAGGGTTAATAGCTTTTGGAGTAATGGGTCTCCAAGAACTGCTATCAACTGGTTCGGTAACTCAATTCGTTCCAAATTGTTTACAAAGCCGTCTACGTTCTCAATCTCCTCGAGTGTTATAGAGTTCTAATAATATTTTCAGCTCAGATTCAACATCTAATAGATTTAGGTAAGGCTCACCTCCGTAGCGTTTGAAGTATGCACCTCCGGGAGTTGGGTGGAACCCTTGCCATGTGTCCTATTTCGAGCCACTCTAAACGCTTCTAGTGGTCGTTCTGAGCGGTCTGCTGTTCGCGCTGCATGGGCCTGTTGGATCTCATCCAGCCTCTCGCGCCATTGAGGATCTGGGTGCTGTGAAAAGTATGAGTGACTACCTAGAGAGCGAGAGTAATATGAAATCAAGATGTATACCTTGAAGGTAGATGCCTTAGCACGAGTTACTTCGCCCACAATAATCTCAGGATAATAGTCTTTGAACACCCGGAGTAGTCCAGTCACTGCAGGATCATTTCCCGTTTGCCTGGATAGAGATAGACTAGAGGAGAGTAAGCGGTAATAAGAAGCACTTCAGACTGGGGTACTCACAGGCTCTGAATTCTATAAGGCCGTACATGTCGACGCCGCGTAATCAGAGCCAATAAATGGCACAATTGTTTCCTAGAGCTGTCAGTAGGTCATGTAACAGAAGAGTATATAAGATCAACAAACCTAATTGCGGCGGTATCAAGAAGATTGAACAGAACAGAATAGGTACGTGAGAGGATATTCTGATTATCAATAACGTGGTAAATCATAACAAGCCATTTCAGGAGTGCCCCTTGAATGGCAAGAGACGGTTTCAACTTGCCATGTCCAAGAGAACCAATTATCCTAACGACAAAGTCCGCATTCACAGCAGCAGCAGGGTATAGATTTCTCAAAATGTTTCCAAGACTAGCCTGATCAAGATAGCTCGGAGTCGTGAGGAGATCTATGAGCTGGCTTAGGTCCTCTGGAAGGAGACCTTGCTCATACGATAGCAAGGCCAACTTTTCCACATCCGGTTTCACGCTACTACCACGTTGCTTCGCCGTTAATTTAGATGCTTCAAGAATTAGCAGACTATTATTGCTATAGTAATAATCATCTGATCGGTAGACTCTTACCTGCAACCACATCTGAGAGTGTATCTCGAAGGTCTTGCATCCCCTGAAGCTCTTCGTCATCATGATACCCCGACATAATAAGATGAGTCAATTGCGCAACGAAATTAAATCAGCCACCGGGGGAACGTGCCGATAGCACGAAGCGGAACGAGTATCTTGGATGCCTGGTTCTGTACGCAGTATGCTCAGCCTTAGGTCGGTTCATACTGAACTTGACGCGTTGTTGAGCTGGCTTAGACGTGTTGAAGAGGAAGTGAAATGATTGGACAAAGCCCTGGGAATATTAAAAATGTGGGTTTTCCGGTACTATGTACATCCGAAGTTGAAGTGGCCCACAAAAGTGACGCTAAAACCTCCCACGGATCCCGAAGCTAGGGTTGCTAGGCTGCTAGGATACATGGATCCTCAGAAGTTACCTAAACTTGCAGCGGATCTTAGCGCCAATCCTGGAGCTGTAAAAGACGCGCTGCGTTCAACATTGTACTTAGGTATCGTCTCTATTGTCTCGATGATTATACGTCGTTTTACGAATTTTCTGAATCGGGATTCTTGATTAACCGTGATTGGCCGAACTACATCACCGTTTCCGGGGCTCTTACGGCTCTGATATGTAACCTGCAACTGTGCCCCCTGACAGCAGTCTGTGACGATAGTCACCTAGGCGTGAAGTGGTAACAAATAGCGAGATCGTTGCCAATCTTCTACTCCGTTTACTCCCTACTATGGTATATCTTGCGAACCTTCAAAGTTTATAGTAAGATTTCAATAACTTCGTATGTTTACGCCATCAGGTTGGTATTCTTGTCATAAGTGGATATTTATAAGATGTTAGTACTACTTGACTCCCTATACGATCAATGATAAGCTGCATTGTGCCTTTTGGGTCATAGAGTATACACTTAGTCATACTTCTTGTGCTACCCCCATGAGGTACCGACGGCATACCAGATTAGCTCAATCATGCGTTGATAGACACACAGAAAGTTATCAAATGTAATTCCGCGGGTCTTAAGCTTCATATACTTAAGATCAAGCTTAGTATGTATGTACATAGTTCGAAGACTTCCACGCCTTATAGCGTAATTGGTGGGTCTAAGTATGGCGAATAGGGATAATTCCGGGTTTGTTTATACACCAACTGCAGCAACATTTGCTTTTTCGAAGGAGCCTCAACAACTTAGACTACCCCGGGCCGGAGTTAAGAAAGAATGGTAACCAAATAGGTGGAGCGACTGACTGTGTAACGTAAGCGCTTATACGATATGCGTAGTACACAGTTCGAATATCGCTTTTAAGTCTTATATAGAACTATTTGACATAGCCTATGTCGTTATACCTAGTCTTGGGCTGTTCATGTGCCGAAATTGCTTCAGTCACATATGAGGTACTTAGCAGCTAGGTACATGATAAATTGTAGAATTATCGGCTTTTGATACAGACAAGACTCCGATCTGACGGTGCACCAATCCTAGAGAGAATGTCATCCAGGTATCACAAAGAGCACCAAAAGAGATAACCACCTGTGTGTGGTGGCCGTAAACATTGACTCCTCGTAACTAGTAGCCAATCTTTTCAGCTTTCAAATAACATATCGGGGCCGAGAGCGAAGTATAATAATCAAAGTATACTGGACTGTATATGCAACGAAGATTAAGAAGTGACACAAGCGAAAGGTGATGAGACTAATCAGGAAACAGGCGGTTTTCTCTTCCGCGGTTAGAATGCAAAGTGGGGTGGATAATCGTTACTTACATCCGCAGATCCACGGATCTCTGTCCAATCTTGTCAGGTCTCACAAGGTCACAGGAGCCGCGGTAGATAATAGTGGACGGATTTGTTATCATAAGACGGTAGTTAAGAACCTGAGACGGCAACTCCGTAGATAGATGCGTAGATACATGACCAAAAATGCGACGTCGTTTATGTATTGTTCTTTTAGGAAAGATTTATTGGAAGTTTCAGGTAGGCCAGATAGAAAAAGGAGTCGGACTCGCGGTGATATGGGCGAATTGGGGGCTTTGACATTGTTTAAGAAACTATAGATAGGTATGATCAATGTCGCCCAAAAGCGTGATGTCTTCGGGAAAATGCGACGTCAGGTAACTAAGCCCTGGAGTAGGCGGATGTGTTTTGTACATTAGCGTATTACCTAGTAGCGCCCGGGTGCATTAGTGGGATCAATTCTCCAGATTGAAGGCAATCGCACACATCCTGACACCTATGATGTAGGTACCTACCTGAACCATGGAAGTTGAACCTTGCGAACCAGCGGACTTACCCGTTGCGGTACTTGGCAGGTACTACCTGCACATGGCATGGTAGGCATGGTAGGCGTGGTGGACATGGTTAAAGCGCAGAAAAGCGTAAAGCCGGACGGAATTGTCACCGGCTCTTTCCCCCTTGAACAAGATATGGCTCCAGGTCATCGGTTGTTCCTGCGACCTGCGAGCAACGTTTGAACCTCTTAAATCTTCAGCAAGTTTGAGTAACCCTGGAAAACTCCAACGCTCATCACTTTCCTCCAACTTGTTACATTGCATTGTGCCGCCAACTCACATGTTTCCTTCGATTAGGCCGTCTTGTAGGCAGAACAGGCCGAGTTTCCAATCACCTCATCACGTCCGAGGTCACGTTTGCAACATGCAGGCACAGACGTAATATTCGGCGAGCTGATGGCCTCGAGGTTATCGTCAAAGTGTTACGCACATGGATGTGTGCACTTGTACGACTTGACGACTTGAGAAGGGCCGTCATGATTCCGTAGACGAGGAAATATGTATGTACGTGTGGTATAGATGTACATATAGGTACCATACCTGGTAGGTGTCTACCCTGTTCTGCCCTGCACGTGAACGTTAACGACCTATCCATAGGTACGAAGTACAGGGGGATACTACCCAATACCACCCCCCACACGCAATCGGCTTGCTGCGAGCAGTTCTGTAGGCGTCACTAAAATTTCCTAGGCTACCGGGCATTGTAAGATGAAGGTAGATGCATACTGCACCAGCCATAAACAATACACACGCATCCACAAATACGCATGCGAGGTCAAAGCCCTACTATTGGACTCCGAGGGCGTATAAACTTGAGCGACATACGCCGTACTATTCTTTGGCTGGCTCTTGAGGTCCATTATTCATATAGTACTTGCTAGACTTCTTGCGTAACCATTCGCAACGGAAGTACGTTTTGGCTCAACAATAATATCATTATCTACTGTTAATAAATAAGAGCTAGTGGGTGTGTTCGGGTCAGTAAGCGTCTCTTCTCACTTCCACCATTTCATATCTCTGTCGTTGCATCTGTCTGACACTGATACCGCTGATACTCTACAACAGTGATTTCAACGTACAACAATCCAACCCTGTACAATACCAGAAGAGAGCACGTACACCTACGTTGTCAGCTTCCTTCTGTCTCTTTTCAATCTAGAGCGGAGACTGGTGGAACTCGAACTTCACCGCCGGTCGCTCTCTTCCCGGGCATCGGCTTTTTGTTCCATTTATTGGTTCCGATCAGGTAATTTATAAGGCTTTGCCGGTGGCGCCTGTATAGGTATGTAGGTATGTATGTGTGTCAAGAACCGCATGGCAAAGAATGGAGCTCTACTTCCCGTACAAGGTAACGGGAGCTGCTTACCTAGTAGGTACTTATCGCATGATCCTGCAGGGGCTCACCGTCATCGTTTCCCAGCCCTAATCACCGTATCTATACTAAATAGACTTATTAGATGTTATCACTTTCTGCATACAGAGGCATCCGGCAACTTATTCGATTTATTATCCCCGTCCCCGGTCCGCTACTAACCTCTAGCTGAAAGATCCCAACTTAACCCCGGCGCATCACAGGCAGCGCCACATCCTTCTACTTCTTACATCGGGTCAGTGTGGAACGTTCCATCCCGCCACAAGCCTCAAAGCTCTTTTCTAGAACCCAGTATATGAATCGTCTGGCGACTTGCTTGATGATGCTAATGCTAATGACATAAGCAATTCACATTCGGTGAGACTGGTGAGTAATTTTGGAGCGACATGCTGACAACATGGAGCGGATACCCCTTCCCGAACTGGTTTTAACCTTCTGACCCGTTCTAATATATAATCTTAGGAATACCCAACATTCATGGGGGGCGAAGTGTATAGTCGAATTTTTGTAGCTCTAAGAAATGCTTCCTGGCCAATCCACCACTACGTCCGGACACCGAGGAGGCTCACGTCGGTCTCAGGTGACTCTCATTAGGGATCACCAGGTTAGTGGCTATTGTTATAGCTCAAGCGAGGAGATGGCTTGTTTCAAATGTTGACATCGCCGTCATCGTCGTCTTAACTTGCTCTTTACGATCCCTTCAAGCTCATATCAAGAGTGTGTCACTGATTCGAAGGTACGATATATAGGCTTGCATCCCTCTTACGAGGATACTCGGCGACGGCGACATCGTCGTTCTTCTCACACCAGTTGTGGCACCTGCTCAACCAGATGTTGGCGGCGGCAGCGACCCATTCGAGCCTTTTGGCCGAGCCCTGGCCGCGAGACATCCGTGGATTCGACATGTTCCGTACACATCTCGGAACGGGATGACAGGTACACATGCTGGTTTCATCAAGCGAGCTAAAGCTGTTGTCTTTGTCATCTCCGGGCCGCCGAGCGCCGGCCAATCCTCGCAAGTCGAGATGGGTTTGATGGCACGGATGATAGGAGAGCAACGACCTCAAATTATCGTGGCGTGCCAAAATGTGCACGACCTTGGTCTCATAGAAGCAAACTTTCCTACGATTGTCCAACTGCCTGGGTATACGTCGTCTGACTTGCAATCTGCGGCTGCTGTTCTTTTTGGCGAGGTTACAGCTACATCTACAGGTACCACCGGACTAGACGTTCAATCATTGATGATAGAGCCGAAATTCTGGCCCCCGGAAAATTGGGACGGTCTTAATGTGGTACCCGTGCATGAGCTCTGGAATCAGTGCCTACCAGATCAGTTTCACTTAGAGAAATTCCCCCTACAATCTTTGCTCCAACGGGATGGCTACGCCATGCATTTCGTTGTGAGACTCCCCGAAAACCGCGAGGTCGTCGGGTTCTGTGCGACTTATACTACATTTGTGGATAGAGAAGGCGAGAGGCTAATTGGGTCACTTGCTATGATCATCGTTAAGCCGGCGTATCGGCGGCGGGGGATCGGACTTAGTCTGTACGATCATGCCCTTAAGCAACTTAAGAGGATCCGTGGAGTAGATCGAATTCAGTTGGGCTCTACGTTTCCCCGCCTATTGAGCGGAATACCTGCGGCATCTGCGTCCGAAGGCTGGTTTCGAAGGAGGGGCTGGCAAATGAACGGTCAGGCTCCAGGTCGTGGTCAAGATATATGCGATTGGATCTTGAACATCGATGATTGGCCCAGTAGCGGCCTCTCGGCAGCTTCCGCCGGACTATCTTTCCGGCAAGGCACATTCGACGATTTTAACTTGATTGCGGATTTTATAGAAAAGGAGTCCGCTCGCAAAGATCATACTGGCTGGTATGACCAGTACATGAATCTGGCAAACGATGGTCGCATCAGCGATATTGTTCTGGGGTTGGAACAATCCCAGATTATTGCCTCCGCGCTGATATATACGCCAAACGAAGCTAGCTCATTGGCACAAGACCTTCCTTGGGCGCGAACGATTGGATCTGACGTGGGGGGTGTAGCGTGCATTTGCATTGCAGGTCAGTAACAGCTCGAATCGCCAGGATAATTTGGAGACTGAGCTAACATGAAGTCAAGATGGGAATCCTGCCATGACGACTAGTAAGGACACAGCTATGATCAGGTTACTCGACGCTTGTGTTACCATACTCAAGGAGCAAGGAATGAGACGAGTTTTCCTCGATGCGGTGAAGGGCGGTTATGAAGGATTTCAGTCCATGGGTAAGCTCCAAGATCCCAACTACGATAGTCTCAACATTAACGTCACCTTCTCAAAGGGTTTCAAAAATGGGCGATATATAAAGATCTATGGCAGCCAATGATCTAGTAAACATGGCCTAAACGATTTCACCCAGTTCACCGAGCGTACGCCACGACAAAATTATACTTATCTGCGATAAATGCACCATCCTCTCCAATCGCGTCTCATCTTATCTCATCTCAGTCGCGCTATATAAGGCTGTTTCAACTAATTTTCAAGTGGAACATCAGCTCGTCCATTCATGAACAAGGGTTTGAAATGGAGGCAGAATGAGAGCAAGGAGATATCCCATTATCGTGAAGTACTATGAGCCAATCCCTAATATTACTTAGGAATGCCGGAACTGGTAGCTCGACCATTCAGTTCCGCGATGCATTGTCCAAACTTACACGGCCCCTGCTACTCGAATGAGACTTTACGTCGGGACGGATATAGACTTGAAATGTTTGGGATGGGTTGCACGAAGTTGACGTTAGATCAACCACGAGAAGCCACGCATGAGGTCGGCTCATTTGGATAAGCACCACGATACTTGTCGAGCAATATCGTCTGACAACACGACACCACACAACTAGCCAATTCAATCAACTAGTAAATACGTTGATGACAAGAGAAGGGAACTCGGTACCCTAATTCTTGATTGACGACTCTCCCAAACAGCATACCTTATTGGCTTGACCTAATGTTGAGTAACGAATTGAGTATCCAGGGAACCAGTGCTTACGAGGTTCGACTTGGGAGTTGCAGTTCTGTCATCTGTTAATACCCCAAGCTCCTATCTATATTATGGTCTCCTCAGTCCAGGTATACCGAGTCCCTAAGCACTCATGCACTCGTACAGAATCAGACATGTTCACGTTTACATTCAACAACTACTTTAAGATTCATCGTCATGCAATGTAATCATAGGGCATAACAATCCCTTCAGACGCTGAATTACGAAGCTGAGATGTAGCCCTTAAGCATCCTAGGTCGCGATAGTCGAGTCTAAAAGCGGCTGAAGCGGACATCGCAAAGTCCTATAACTAGTCGTGCGCCATTGTGTTCTTTTGGTGTCCGTGATGATACCTTAAAGTCGAGCGGGGATTTGTGGGGGCGGAATCCTTCGCAATAGCTGCCCAACTTCGCAGAGATTGGTCAAGTGACAGCTTCAAAGACCTCGAAGATCCAGGAGTGAATGATTATAATTCACTAGCTTATGTGGGAGATATAATATTGATTGGAGGGGCCTAGATGCGGGGGTCATAAGCGAGTAAGATGAATCCAGAACGCGATTCATGAAGGGCTGTCGTTTTTCAGATGCTTCCTGTAGCATTCTTGGGTCTATTCCCAAGGAGATTATCACCGTTTCCCTTACACAGCATACAGGTTGTTCTTTTTAACCGGATGTCTTTTCATACCTTTTCCCCTCCCACCTGCCGGTTCATTCTACGATACGTTGAAACTTACCAACGTTCCTAAGGTCAACGACGGTTGAGACCATCGTACCAGAAGGGACAGAGCGCGCAGATCAATGATACCACCCCAGCAACGCCTACAAGATCCGATAGTTGATGGTCCTTGTGTAACCTTGGGTGGCCAACTCATTATGCAGTCTTGGTGCGCAGATTGCATCCACACTATGCTTCAGATCAGCATGATTTGGTGAGCCAGAGGGTGTCACAACGGCTGACCAGACACTACGTAAACCAGGTGAAGAGTACTACTCTCTGTTGCAGGAGGGCGTACTGTTTGCCGCGACTACTCCCGCGCCAATTACGCAGTTACGGGTTGTCACACGAAGTCGCTGGGCGTTGCAATGCATTGGACGGATCCTATGCAATTATCTTACCTGCGTGTACAGGTTAACAGCCTGCGAGGCTCGAGTTTGTCCATCTGACACAGAATATAAGCGCAGCAAACCCGGATCAACCCCCAATTCTGAATCTCGCAGGGCTGGAGCGCGGAGTGTGTGAAAGATCCATCAGCGTCGAACAAGGCGTAAGTGGTGCTTCCGCGTTCACGCGCACACGAACAGATGTCGTCAGCACATTCGAAATATGTGCTATAAATCTGGTACCGATCTCTTACCCGTTCTAGCTGCGCCGGCGTACTTAGAGCCGAGCCGCCACGCGAGACATGCGTGTCTCAACCCAGTGCCGAAGCACAAGCTAGCCACAAGTAGTAACCATGGATCTTACCATATTTAAATCTAGGGATTATTGGCGGGAGATCCCTCCCACTAGAAGGCTAGCGGGCTTGTATGAGCTTTCTTACACGGTGAGCAGGCACCGCCGCCTGTGCTGAATCTTACTAGTCGAAAGAGGCTACCATAGTAAGCACTGAATCATGACGCCCCTAAGCCGTGCTCGATAAATGGCTACGGATCTGCTAGCCTTAGAACGTTCATGGTAAGTAGATCGGCTTGGCTTACAAGAAGGTAAGACATCCAGGCCATAATAATGGCTGAGCGGCCAGGTACTTTAACAAGATCCCAGCAGATATTCGATCCCAAGATTACAATATCATATGAGGAACTCGATCATTTACAAGGGCAATAATAGAGCCAAACTGACAAAACTTACAAATAGACATAAGCTTTCTAAGGTTGCTGGGCAGTTACCCTTTTATCTTACCGACTCGTACGAACGACGGGGGATGTGTGAATGCGGCACGTCGTCGTCATGCAGCCCAGTTTAGCAAGTGCTTCTTCTTATTCCCGTGCAGTGGTAGTGCCGCCAATAATCCATCAGACTGTTTCTGGGAGAGGTTCTCTTATTGGGCAATATGCAACTCGCATTGCATTGCAGGAAGCTCCGCGTCTGCACACATAGGTACTTGCTCTCAGTCTACCTTACCTACAGTGCTTCCCACTTGTCCTACGTCAATATTCATTCATCCATGCAGTGTCTGGTTGGACAATGCGCTCCCCCAGGTAGTTTTTTTTCTCCTTGTTCTTTAACCTATTACCTAGGTACTTTGACTTGGTGACGGACCGAGAGACGCATAGTAAGCTGTCCTCACTGTTAGACGGCGGGCGCTCTCCTGTATCAAGAAACACACCGCGGTGGGCTGTTTCTACATCAGGTCGACGTTGTACGGGGCACACATAATCGCCGTCCTATAATCCGGGCAGGGCGGGAAAACGGCGAAAAAGCTCCTACGATATATCAACCACGGTTTGCGATACACGTGCCGTGTTATACTGGTCTTTCGTCAGACTACTCTCATGAAGTCGATGGAACGGAACGAAACCATGTGACCTACTTTGGCGCTTGCCGCTGCCGCGATCCACACCGGTTTACTCATTTCTGATTCTTCCCTGTTGATGATCATCTCATCAGCTATGTATCAGGCATGTAGACGTCGTAGGCCTACTGCACGCTACACGCTCTCGGCTTGATTTGTGTAACCACCCCCTTTGGAATCAACTCCCAAGAAATCTCTTTTATTTCCTTGTCCACCTGAAATGCCTCGTACCAGATACCTGCCTACCTGTAGGCATGTCTCGTAACAGGCTTGTATTTATTTATTATTTTTTCTCCGCGGTGCATTCCTTTCGTAGTTCTCCTGTCCTACCTAACTCCCAACGATAGATCCTCCGCCCGCCCGCTCGCCCGCTCGCCCGTTCGGATATGCAGGCCTCGGTAACTGTCTTCAGCAAAGCTAGCGAGCCGAGCGCGTTTCAACGGCGTGAGCGAGGCGAAAGTAGATAGATCGGGAAAGCTGAGCACATACCTGGTAGTATTACATCAAGATGCCTTTGTCTAATGCCTATTCTAGTCAACCTACCCCTGCCATCGACCAGGTTCATTTTTGTACGCACGTTTTCTTACCAACAAAAAAACAACTTTGATCTTCGACAACGCTTCATTTTTTTCTTCTTCATTACACAACTAACCTACGCCTCTCCCCGTCGTACAAGCTTAAATATTACCTAGTCTCTTGTACTCCGGACACGCGTTTTTCTCCTTAAGAAAACCTGGAAGTTGGGCGTCGAGCACCTATCAGGTAGCCACATTCAATAAACACAAAGTAGCACCATCCCAAATTCTGTAAGCCCTGAGCGTAAAACCCCCGGTCCTGGGAAAACCTAATGCGCACATCCTTTAAGTCCTACCGGGGGGAACCCTAGCGGAAGATCATATAATCAGGAAAGGAAAAGAAGAGAGAAGGTACCTCATACTAAAAATATGTATGCGTGTAGTGTATATCCGTCGCTTCCGTACTTGGCTTCCCGATCGGCTTTTACGGCTCTCACCTAAGAAATCGCGTCCCTCCGTCGCCTTTCTCCATCCCAGGCCGAAACCGCCGAAAATACCCACATGTGCAACGCATACATACCTACCTACATAGGTAGAGGTACCGTAATGCCTAAAAAAAGACTCCTCTCGTTCCCCCATGCTTTGTGTAACCTTCACATCTGTAAGGTAGGGGTTGAGTCACATTTGTGTAACGTACGGAGACTCGCAACCTTGGAAGCGCTTATTCCTTCTAGGCTTGGGTCGAAAGTATACACCGTCATCTCATCATCAGTCTTATTGATCTCGAAGGCGAAGAGATCACGAGAAACGAAAAGAAAAAGGAAAAGGGAAAAAAAGTTGTGGCGGCGTGCCTTAAATTTCTCTTTATAGTATAATGCGAAGAGTGAGCAAAGTAAGTAAAAAGGGATCAACTTTTTTTTATTTCCACCCGGAAACCCAAAACCACCCTTCCCAACCTCTTCCGCTTTCCGCCATCCCGTATAATTTTTTTTTCTTTTCCTTTTCGTCTTCGGGGGCTGAGTCACCGCCAGCGTCACCGCCGGCTCTCGGGAGGCGGGTTCCGCTGGGCGGATGACGACGAGTCCCCCCTTAACCATGTACAAAGTGGAAATTTCCGGCAATATATTCAGTCAGAAGTATAAAGGTGAAACAAGTAAAATAGACAAATAACTTCAGTGGTATCCTCCCAAACCCAGGCGCCATGCTTTTGTATTTTCTCGGAACCCCCAAAACCGTAACGTTTCGTAGATAATAATCGTATATGCGTGACCTCCGGGGAAGATACCCGAAGGTTCGTGTTTGAAGATACAACGATGCGTGTTATTACGCTGACCATTTAGAGAAGTCTACGCTATCGACTAGTGCGTCTAGCCCATTAACCGTCATGACCTCCGTATTATCTGTCGTTGCGGTAGAAAGCATGGATGAGCGGTGAGAGTTCTGCTCACTAGAAGCGGAGAAGAACGTGGCAACTGATGACCGTCGAAGGCTACTGAAGCTATCTCGAACCGTGTTACCTGACCTAGCTGCCTCTAATTGTGCTGCAGCATTTATAGCGGGAGGAGGCCCGTACCCTAGAGCGGTTCCTGGTGGGGAGGGCGAGGGCCCCTGAGGCGCCACCTTCGGACCATATTTTTCTCGAAGTCTCTTGATTTCTCGTAATCTGTTACGCCATGGCGAGATGTGCTCGCCGCCTTCCCGATGGGCCCAGACCAGTGAAAATACCGACGCATTCAGCGCTAGAAGCCGGATGAAGTCGGGTAGAGCCCTCAGGCTTACGATCTTAGTCTCGGAAGCTGGCGATATCTCAGGGAAGCCAGGCTTGCTCATCAAACGAACTTTGTAGAACGACTCTTCAACGTCTTTCGGTGTCCTCTGCCTAGTAGCGACGAACGAAGCACGTGACTCCGGAGTGATCACAATGTTGACGAAGTTGAATTCGGATGGGAACGTGTCAAACTTGAAGGGGAAACCAGAGTCATTGAAAATGATATTAACAAAGTCATTCCCGATATGACGCTTCTTGAGGGTACACTGAGGATCATGCTCCAGATTGGTTGGCATTTGCGTAGTGACGTGGAACACGATTTCCGTCACCCTATCTCTCCAGCAGAATGTATATTTCCCATCCGAGTCGTACTGCCGATCCAAGCCTTGGGTATTAAACGTGGCACCGTTAAGTTTAGTCAACGTACCGAGGCCATTTAGAAATTCTAGATAGTCCTTGCTCCCGGTTATGTTGGCTAGAATCTCGGATTCGGTGGTTTGGTTTTCCCCGATGTATATTACGCCAACTTTATGGCCATCCACTGTCGAATTATGGTCGAACATTCTGATAGCCCTGTTCACTACCTCGTCGTCGGGTAGCGGAATGGGACGTGAAAGGTCGCTTCCTTGGGGCATGGAGGACAAGAGCTGCACTAGTAGATGATTCGGCAGAACGCTGTTCGAAGGCGCTGTATAGCCGTCTCTCGCACTTTCATTCATGGGACGCTGGTGTGCTGGGGGTGGCCTGAATAGCTCTCTAATTGTATAGGACGAGGTTCCAGACGGTTGTCGTTTCGTAATCTGAGCCCAACCAGTTGCAGTGGCCTGCTCGATTGTAACGATGCTATTTCCAATCAACCATCTCTTCTTAAGTATTTCCCCAAATCTGTCCGCCGTAAACAAAGGGTCCGCTGCGGACTCGTCAACATCAGCGTATGCAACCTTTTGCATGAAATCCATTGTGAGCTGGGCTTGCTCGTCCGAAACCTGAGGTCCATCAACATCTGTAAACAAATTCTTCGCAATCCAGCCAACGTGATTTGCGCGATCTGGAAGCTTCAGCGCCAGAAACCAGAATACAATGACGTGGTATGCTAGCGTGTACACATATTGAGGCAGATCGTCTGACGTATTCGGGTTGGGAAGATATTCGCTTATCGCAGGAGCTGATGTGTCGCTGATCGAACTCATTCGATGCGCTTGTTTCCTTCCTCGTACGTATTGTAGGTATCGAAAACAAATTCCGAAGACAATCCGATATTCGTCCTCTCGGAAATTGGCATACAGGGAAGGCAATCTGCTGAGGCAAGCTAAGAATTCCAGAATATGCATTGCGACGTGAGGCTGAGTGATAATTTGCGCCATCTTCTGCAGAATTGTGACTAAAGCCTTGCCGGTTGACGATGGGAGTTCGTGGCAGCATATCGTAAGCGCATGTATACAACATTTTGCACTTCGTTCCCATGTTGCTATGCCGTGTACAAACGCCCGAACGATTTCGTCTTCCTCTGCCTTCTGAAAGTATTGATGATAGCTGAGAATCATGGTCAACGTGTGGAATAAACAAATGGCAACATCGGCTTTGCGTAGCCCATAGACATTTGGTGGCTCCTGGAAGCCGTTGGTTTTAATCTGTTCACAGATGGTTCGTCTTAACTCCCGGAGCTGGGGAACAGCATCCCGGAAAATAGCATGATTGCTCAACTGGGATGGTAGGTGAACTAGGATAAAGCTATAAACTTCCCAGTCACAACCTTGTCTCAGCAGAGTCAAGATGGTTTCAAGCCATAACCCGGTTCGAAGGGTTGTAGTTTGTGCCGAATCATCAGCTTCGGTAGATTCGTTAAAATCGCTACAGTAAAGTACCGTGCTTGCAGCCCGAGATGGAGCCTCTGGCAATGCATCTGCATCAGAAGCAACCCATAGCTGCTGATATGCATTCGCAGCCAACTTGCTGCCACTAGCTGACCTGAATGGATAACCTCTATCTTGCATCTGACCCTGTCCAAGGGATATACCACGAGACGACCGTGCAGATCCAGCAGTCTCGGCCCTTGAGATTCGAGCAGCATATGATGTTTCTTCAGCAAACTTACGCGCCATTGATTCTTCGGTTCGGCATAAAGAGGTGGCAAGGTTTGTTGATTCAGTATGAGAAGTAACGAATATACGATTAGCCCAGTCAGCTCTTAATCGAATTAGTAGTTGCATCGCAGTGATACGAGCATCTGTCTCGCTGAGATTTGACTCGGCTATGGATACCAAGACGCTGAATAGACGTATTGATTTAGTGGCATCGTAGTTGAGTACACGTAGAAACATCTGCACGTATCCCCGCGTAACTACATTGGATGGCGTTTGAGCGGTAACCGACTTTAATTGGTGAGGCGTCAACGGCGGCTCTGGAGTAAGAGAAAGCGAGGAAGACATAGGGGAACGCGGTCTGTTATTCCATATGATTCCCCGGAGCGTATCGACGATGTAACAGAAAAGAGTGTGGTTCGCGATGCTGGCAACAGAAGCAGCGAACGACACCACCTCCTGTAATAATACGATATCTGTCTCACCCGCAACATCCGCCAACAAGCGCTCAATCAACTCTGGTATGAAATCGGGCTCAAACTGATCATTGAGAAGTTCAATCATGTCGTAAACTTCCGTAAAGGCTTGCAATGCCCGCAGGCGAACGTCAGTTGATCGTTTCCTGTCTGCTAGAAACGCATCCAATACCAGGCTCAAGTTAGTCTCCCAGAAAGGATCTGATGGGGAGCAACATCGGAACTTCTTGAAATATTCGAGGACCAGTGTTGCTGCGGAGTCGGGAAGAGCATGGTGTATCTTAGTAAAGAACACGATACAATCTTGTCTTTGAACGAGAGGATTAGGTTGTTCCGTCTGCACATTCTCTGGCTTTAAACCGCCGACGTCCGCTTGGTCCGGAGATACGCCCTCTTGTTTCAGCGTAACAATAGCACTAGGCTCATCCGACAGTATGTTCTCGATTCGACGTATGAGCTTAACCAATTCCCGAGCTAGCATGCTCTCGGCAGAATCGGCCTCTTCTGGGCCCAAGAGCGAATGAATAGAATCCTCGGTTTTGGCCAGTGATGTGGTAACCGCTCCAGCACACGTGACTACAACATCGAAGACAGGTGTCCAGTCTTCATCAACCATCATGTTATTAATATTGCCTTGGCTGTCGCAGAACAATGCGTTTGTTAACCGCAATATATCGAGATGTATTTTCCAAGCGGACGTAGCCTTGACCACTGTGGATAGGCCATCGACTAGAAGGGCATAGGGAACAGCAGGATATCCTTTCTCGGAACTCTTCGACACAAGCTTGGTGAGCACCGATAAGGCACCCCTGACTTCTCTGACGACCTCCTTCTTCTTATCCGCATTTGCCGGAAGACTTGTTAGAACATCCAGAAGTAACCTTACAGTAGTATGTCCATTGTGTGACCGACAGAGAATGCTAATAGTATGCCACGCATCCTTCTGGAGACTAGGAACGAGACAGTGGATAGAGCAAAGAACATGAACGCAGCTCTTCAACTTATCTCCTGGAATCGCCCCGAATGTTACTATAGCATCCATAACGCCGATACATGCTTGTAGATCCTCTTCAACGCTAGTATTCATGCAGATATCCAGCAACTTGTCGATCAGAACTTCGGCGGCATCGTCGTCGGCGACGTTAAAATTGAATTTAATTACGTCGTTAATGAAGCTGAAGAGATCCGCAAAATTCCTATCTTCCCCGGTAACCAGACTTTTCCCTTTCATCCGCGACCCTTGCTTTTTCGCGGCGCCTCGTGCAGTCCGAACTGCGTCAAATGCTTCTTCAAGCCATTTAGATAGAAGCGGGAAGACATCGTAGTCGAAGCCGGATAGATTCCGAGCATGGTTCGTCAAATCGACTAGGGCAGCAAGTTGTAAATAGAAGTCTTCCGGATTGGCCTCAGCAGATATCGTCTGGAAGTACTCATTACGCTCAAGATCGGTCGAAGAGGCATGTTTTACGCATTCCTTCAAGAGTTCCCAGCCAGCAAGTCGGGTCGCCTTTGGATTCGTCGGATCGACTAAATCTTTCGCTGCATACCAAATGTCCAAGACGGGATTAAGGGGATAGTCTGCCACGGTATGCCGCAACGCATTAGCGGCACTAACTCTCTCATTCATCGACCCATTCTTTAATAACTCGAAGGCTTCGCTGTGCTGTGATGGTAGGCCACGGAGGATACTCGGCGTAGTATTAAGGCGTTCGGCGATCTGGGCATTGATGGAGGTACCGGACGATTGTACAGGAGCTGGAGGGGATTTAGTCAACTTAGCAGCACCGGCAAGGCCTTTGAAGACACTAGCGAGTCCGCTAGTATTCTTGGAATCGTGAGGTGACGAGGCATCATCTCCGGGTGACGGTGACATAGCTACTATCTGCCTTTCTTCACCGGCCTTCCGGCCCAGAGAAACTATGCGACGGAACATATTAGTTTCCGAATCATGTTCGCTAATGTCGAGAAGATGTCTTCTTGGTAGGATATTGCCCAAATAAGAAAAGAATATAAGTTGGCAGAAACACAAAAGGACATCAAAGAGGTGATGGCGGATGATGACATACCACATATGTGGTAAGCACCTAAGCAATCAAATCCATGGATAGACGTGGACTTATTGGACTTATTCTGTACTTACAAGCAAATCGGGTCTTGCATAAGGGTGGGAATCAAAAATGAAAAGACGATACAAAAGGCCAAGCAAGAAAGAATAAAAATTTCAAGCATCCATCAAGTGCAAAAAGCCGGCCGACATGAGACCCGTGACACACTCTTCCAGAAATGGTCCAACTGGGTACTGGTGGCTGTATTACAGGCTTAATTTCCTCTTACACCCTCTTCTCCCAGCCACTACCGTATGAGTAGTAGTGTTGATGACGATGGTGGAGGTATTGGCTGAGCTGGTAGAAACGAAAGATTATAAAGGGCTCGATTTGGATTTGTTTTGGGTCGTGAAACGTGGTAGTACATTGGGAGACGCAGGCCGGAAACTCTTTTTCTTTTTTTTCTCGATGACAGATTTCAGGGGAGATCGGGATGCATTGAGTTGAACAAAATTACCGTACATAAGGAGAAGATCTTGGTAGCAAGACTGAACAAGATTGGGGACCTTGTGGACTCAGAGGATGTTCGCAAAAGATTTCTCCACAATGACCATTTTCGTACACCTGCAGCTTCCGCGCCGTCTCTTTCTCCGTTTTACCCAATAGATATCCCTGTTCAACCCTAGCTCTATGCAGATTGTGCCAGCTGAGGTGTACTAATTCTCTCACCTTCTAATTGCACACCCTGGACCGCTTATCAATGGCCCCGATAGCTGAATTAAGCATATCAACCCCCACTGTTCCCCTCCCTACCACGATCCACAATCAAATACCTTCTACGTTCACGGGTAGCCTTAACGAGCCTTAACTGCCTTACTACGTAGAAGCTTCGATGCACAGGCCACTACCCAGCTAGGGTAACTGGGATTTCCTAGCATTGTTCCACTGCCGTTGCCTCGTCGTCCAACGGGCTTGTCAATAGGCAACAGCCCTGCAATGTCAATAAAATAATAAAAAAATTGTACCAAACTAACTCTACCTGGGTACATACACAAACTACGTCGGCGCAACCCAAACAACTTTCAAACCCTTTACCTACAACATACTTCCCCAAACCACAAACGTCAATTCTAGGGATCTCCTTTTCTTACCACAACCAACAGCCATCATGGCTTCAGATTTGAGCCAGATCGCCCAGCTGTTGGATGCGACTCTTGATCCTATCCACCACAAGAAAGGTACGTGAGAGCTCCTCTACAGCCCCACCTTGTGGTGGTGGTGGTGGTGATAGTGGGTGATGGTAAAATATTGGTGTTGTTTGACCATTCTCACCACCACCCGCCGTAAATCAGTTGAAAGGAACACGATGGCTAACTTTGAATCCCAGCCGAGGGTAAACTCAAGGAGGAAGAAAAGAAGCCTCAGTTCTCGCTTCAGCTACTCAAGATTGTTGCAACCGAGAGCCTTGAACCTAAGATCCGTCTTTCAGGTGCACTCTGCTTCAAAAACTTCATCCGACACAACTATGTCGTATGTCGCTTCCCTACACCTACGATGACACTGCAAGACGCTCGGTACTGACGTTCATCTCGTATAGGACGAGGATCGAAACTACAAGCTTCCCCTCGACGAGGTTAACACGATAAAGCAGGAGCTTATTGGACTCATGATCGCCTGCCCCCCCACCATTCAAACACAACTAGGAGAAGCCATTAGCATAATTGCCGACTCCGACTTTTGGGATCGATGGGATACGCTCGTTGCCGACCTGGTGTCACGATTCTCGCCTGATAACTACAAGGTCAACAACGGCGTGCTAGAAGTTGCACACTCCATCTTCGCCAGATGGCGACCCCTGTATCGCTCTGATGAGCTTTACACCGAGATCAACCACGTACTCAACACCTTTGCCGGACCATACCTAAATCTTCTAAGTGTGAGTTCGCTCAGCTCCCTATCCAGCTACTCCTATATTATCTCAGACTAATGTTAGTGTAGACTACGGATCAACAGATTACTGCCCATGCCAACGACAAGACGGCCCTGAAGAACTACTTCGATACACTGAGTCTACTAATAAAAGTATTCTATGACCTATCTTGCCAGGACATGCCGCCGCAATTCGAATCGAACTTGGAGCATATCTCGACTCTACTCCACAAGTATTTGACATACGAGAATCCGCTTTTAGCAACTGACGACGATTCGGAAGCCGGCATCATCGAGATAGTCAAGGCCGACATCTGCGAGGTTTTGCAGCTCTATGTAACTAAGTTCGACGATGACTTTGGCCGGTATACGCAGGTGTTCATTGGTAGTGCATGGAACCTACTCTCGGCCATCGGACCGGAAACTAAGTATGATAACCTTGTCAGCAAGGCATTGCACTTCCTAACTGCCATCGCTGCCTCCCCAACGCACTCCGCCGCGTTCAACAACGAGAACGTCCTGAACCAGGTCGTAGAGAAGGTGATTCTACCTAATGTGGCTTTAAGAGAAACTGATATCGAGTTGTTTGAAGACGAGCCCATTGAGTTTATCCGGCGTGATCTCGAGGGATCAGATACGGATTCTCGACGAAGAGCGGCCACAGACTTCTTAAAGCAGCTTCAAGGCAACTTCGAAGAATTGGTCACTAGTGTTGCTGGAAGATATATCAACCACTATCTAGAGCAAGGCAAGACAAATTGGAAGGACAAGGACACGGCTATTTCCCTATTCCTTGCTGTCGCGGCTAAAGGTGCCGTGACCGCGGCACACGGTGTTAGAACCGTAAATACTCAGGTCAACGTAGTCGACTTCTTCCAACAGCACATTGCGAATGACCTGATTTCGGACGCGGGTGTTGAGCCAATCTCCAAGGTTGACGCTATCAAATACCTGTACACCTTCCGAAGTCAATTGTCGAAAGAACAGTGGCAAGCAGCATTCCCACCCCTTGTCCAAAACTTGGGCTCGTCGAACTATGTTGTCTATACCTACGCCGCTATTTGCGTAGAGAGACTTCTGTTCTTGGCCGACGATTCAGGTGTCCGCTTTTTCGGTAGGGCTGACATTGAGGGTGTCGCGAAAGATCTTCTAGACCACCTTTTCAAACTCGTGGAAAAGGAGAACTCGCCCGCAAAACTGCAGGAAAACGAGTTTCTCATGCGCTGCATTATGCGCGTACTAATCGTTATGAACACTGGCATTCTCAGCTTTGCTGATATGGTCCTCGACCATTTGGTAGCAATCACAAACATCATCAAGGCTAACCCGAGCAACCCCCGCTTCTATTACTATCACTTTGAGGCCCTAGGAGCCGTTGTAACGTATGTTCCACCATCAATTTATCTAGCTCTCGGGATCTTAACTAATAGAAATATAGCCACGCCTCGTCTAGCGGAACGGCGACACTTGAAGGTCGCTTATGGGAGCCCTTCAATCAAATAATCGCAGAGGAAGTGAACGGTACGTAAAGACGTCCCTTCACACAGACTTTAAGCATTAACATATTACTTTCTAGAGTTTATACCATACATATTCCAGATCTTGGCAAAGTTGTTAGAGCTAGAGCCATCCGGAACCCTTTCCAGTAACTTCCAAGCGCTGGTGCCTCCCTTGATGATGCCAACGCTTTGGGAAACAAGAGGCAATGTCCCTGCTCTTACACGATTACTAGCCGCGATAATACCTAAAGCGTCCGGCTCTATTGTCGCAGAAAACCAGGTCCAGCCAATTCTTGGCATTTTCCAAACCCTCCTTCGCAGCAAGAAGACGGAGCAGAACGCGTTCGACTTGCTAGAATCTATCGTTCTATTCATTCCTAGAAACGCCCTTGAGCCCTACTTCAAGGAGATCTTATCTCTCCTCTTCACAAAACTCCAAGGTTCTCCATCCGAATCGTTCAAGTTGCGATTTGTACGATTTTACCACCTCGTGTCGGCCAGAGTGGATGCCGGTCTAGGTACTGATTTCTTCGTCAGCCAGGTAGACTTGGTTCAAAACAACCTTTTCGTCCAGATCTACCTAAGCATCGTTCTTCCGACTTCAGATTTGCTAAACCGCCCGGTCGATCGCAAACTTGCCGTGATATCCTTCGCCAAGTCAATGGGAGACAGTGCCGCTTTTGCCCAGCGCTACCAGAAGGGGTGGCGGTTCACATGTGAGGCCATGCTGAAGTTGCTGCTGAATGCGCCCAAGGTAGCGAGCGGCGCAGGTGATGATGTGGTTAACGAGGCAGACGTGGACGACATTGGTTTCGGCCTGGGTTTCACTGCCCTAAACACGTGCAAGAAGTCTATTCAGGATGTCTACCCCGAGATCCAGGACGTCAAGGTTTGGGTACGCCAGTACTTGACCGATGCAAATGCTCGGCACAACGGAGCCGTTGCGAAGTACATCATGGAGAGACTTTCGGATGAGGGTAAGGCGGCTATGGCGATCTACGTAGGTTAAGTTTGGGAACCGGGGTTAGGTAGGCGAAAAGTTCACGACATGATCACTTGGTGGATGGTTAGGTAAGCATACACGTCTCTGAACACTTCTGAGGTTTGATGGAATGTTCTCGGAGATCTTGATCCTAGGCGACGTCGCCAGGTATGATATGGATGAAAAGGCTTGCGGACAGCCATAAGTAGATAGCCAATACAAAAATGCAATCGCAGAACATTATCATGCCCGGATATATCAAGTGAATAAATAATAGAACAATATATACGAGGAAAATGTTATTTTTGCTTGCCACAGGTTATCAAGGCCCACAAGGTTCGAGATATGTTCAATTTACTGGTGTCTCATCCAGGCAAATTGTTACATTTACAAATAATAGCCCTAAATTCGATTTTCGAATGCTCAAGCCAGCAATTTCCAGGCCAGCACCACCCGTATTTTGAGAGTCGGTAGCTTTTTCTTGGAACAGTTCTATGACTGTTATTATCTCTCTACTCTCCACATACCTACCTAACCATGGCTCTTTCGAATATGGCCATTGTAGGTATGTCTTCGAATATCAGAGTTTGAATGATATTCTGGGTTCATATTTCAGACACGGCAAACGACAAAATTCAAACGAAGCCATTGAAATTTGACCCCTGCCATCATCACCTAGGCCGGGGTAATCATTCCTTAGCGTATCACCATTAACGCTGTGGCTTCCATTCATAACAAAATCTCGCGTACCAGATATTCCAAGTCAACACCTAGCTGTCAGTGATATAGAAGCTACTCCGTTCGCCCCTACAAACGAGCCTTCTTTCGATATAAACGGCCGAATGGTCCTGGTCCCACCGGATGGAATTTTCTGTCGAATGCCAATAAGTCACGACACGCTCTGCTCAAGTGTCATCGACACAATATATCCAACCAACCCAACCAACCTCCATCATTATATGCAAAGCCCACTACATCAACGGCGGGCCTACGCATGTGTTTCTTGAACGGGTCACTCTAATGATAATGTCGTTAAGGGCTAATATACTAGTAAAAACGTCCCTTTTTGCATATGATGTAATTAGATAGGTAGTGTCGCCATATAAACATTCCCTACATACATAGTGGTTCATAGTCGTTTAATCAAGCGACTAGTGGTAATTTGTGTATCGCTCATTACGCCAATCAGTAGTTATATGAATTGCGATGGCTTACTAATTTCTTGCCTGTGACATGTAAGGGTTTTGTCACGTATTAATATGACGTTTCATTAATAGGAATTGAGGGATTCGTCGTTATCTCAATGCCTTAGGTACGTACGTAAGACGGTGATGATTTGACGAGTTGACAGTATTCCTACGACAAAATGCGGTGGCTGCTAACAACGTAATCGGGTACCTGACTTAGAAGGCGGGACTTTACCCGCTGATGCCCCGCCGTCAATGCATTAAATATTCTTCGTTAGTTGTCAGCGCTATTTAATAACGCGCGCGAAATATTCTGATCTCTGATCTGACGGATATTGAGGGATCTCGAAAATAGAAGCCTGATGTGGTAAAAGAGTAAGAAAAGAGTAAGGAGTCGGGGGGTTAGCCAGGCAGCTACTGGGCACTTCAAACAATTACCGCGCATTGCTGTATTGTTTCGGCGAAGGTAGTCGCTCGTCGGGGTTCCATACCTTCCCCGCCTTCCGCATAGCTGACAAGTATTCCTCGGTCCCGGTGCAGCAGGTCCAGTTGCTCGATTCAGCCCAATCCGGACTTTCCATCCAATCAGAGTTCGTGTATGCGATTTGCTGTAATAAGCCATGTAAAGAAAGATCGACCTGTTGGAGAGCCTGCAGCAAAACTAAAGTCTCCGACTTTCCGCCTTTGAGTCGTCACAATCGGCCGTGATTCCTTTAAAAATAGGAATTGCGGCCCCAACAACGGACTGGACAAGTCCGAAAGGCGAGTATGACATATCACTCAGAAGCTCCATCCGATTCCATCGCAGGACTGTGGCGCTGTCTTACATGTCGGCTCCCAAACATACATAAGGGAGTGCCATGCCGTAATGGGAGGCACGACACCTGCATCTATAGCTGCATTGAGCATTGAAACTTGAGCGACATAGACGAAATAAAGCTGTAGCATTGACACCGATTTATCATAATCGCTTACCTACTTCCTGGCTTTTATATCCTTGTATTTGGGGCAATTCCGGACGGTCTAGAAATCCGAAGGTCTGAGAAAAAGGGAAAATGGCTTCTAAATCAGTCGCTCTCATCACCATGAGCACCCGAGGCACTCGGGTCGGCCCATCGGTATCCTCCTTCGTCGAGAAAATCATAGAGAAGCCGTTAACATCGGCCGGGTTCACCATCGCGAACGTCGACCTCGTGAAGTTCAACCTGCCCGTCTACAACGAACCCGTAGCCCCAGCTAGTACGTCCAGTCATCCAACCAACCACTAACAAATCCCCGTCTTCTATAACTTGTGTTGGACAACAATATATATCTGCTTTTTAGGGGTTTCTGGATCTCATATATCTAACCTAATTTACCAATTCAGTGGTCCCCGACAAAGCCCAGTTCAAGTACGAGCACTCCCGAGCGTGGAGCGCCGAGATCAAGAAGCACGACGGGTACGTCCTCGTGATCCCGGAGTACAACTACAGCGTAGCGGGCGGGACCAAGAACGCGATCGACTACCTCATGAACGAGTGGAAGGGCAAGCCGGTCGCCATTGTCAGCTACGGGACCCGCGGGGGCACGAGCGCCTCCGAGCAGGTCAAGGGCGCCCTCAGCGGCATGGGGCTCCGGGTCGCCGAGACCCGGCCCGCCCTGGCCTTCAACCAGCCCGACATCTTCACCGCTATCGGCGGTAAGCTCGGCGACGCCACGCTGAAGGCTTGGGAGGCCGAGCAGACCGCGAACGTAGCGAAGGCTGCCGAAGACTTGAAGGACTTATTGATGCAGCCGAACACTCCGGCTAACGCTCTTAGGCCATAGATACCTGTGGATATGTAGCAGCAGGTTGTTATAGACGTGAGGATGTTGCACTGTTATCTTAGGCGCGGATATTTGCAAGGAGTACTGGGTTGGCCCTTTGGGACAATATCTAGATGATAGACATCAACAAAGCGTTTCGCAAACTACTACTTACGCTTCCGTGTATACAAATCTGCTAACTCTTGTACCTGCCGGCGTTCGGTTTCTGGGTCCGCACCCGATCTTCATATTAATTCATACGATCAGCTACAGGTACTCCCCATGTCAATCTGAATGCACCAAAAAGGAATTGAGCTACATGTGTGGGATTGTGTTTTAAAAACATCGTAAGGTTTTTGGGCATCGATATACAAAAATGAAGTCATGTAAAATATAGATAAGAGGTCTATTATCTAAATTGTAGGCCCATCGGTCTTATAAGGTAGATGCTGAATAACTCCCATCCATTCTACCTCCTTCTTGTAACCTACTCCCGCCTCTTGCCTCTGCTTTATATCGGTCCCTCTACGAAATGGGTTCGCCATTCTACATAACAGAACACAGAGTAGTCTCGCCTGGCCGAGTCATACTGAGACCGACCTCGTCGTCGCTTTTTCGGATCTGTTGAGTCTTGCCCTTCATGGTTTTGGGTTCTGGTGTTGATAATGCTATCAAGTGAAGCGTAGCGCTATGTGGTTTGTAAATAGGTGATTTAGTTTTAGTGGTATAGCTTGTAGTCGATTGAGCAAAGTTGATGATCACTGGCGGTTTTATAGTGTTTCCACACGAGGCCACATACTTTGCTACGATAAATTCTTTGACTTAAGGGAAACTCTTTTCTACCAGGATCGACCAGACAATCTTTTGTCTATCTCATAAAAGGTTTGCATTTGTCATTCTGGTTTCTTTTGTTCACTTTGATAAAGGAGAATTAGTTAACCAATAGCATAATTAAGATCCTATATAGGATTCTAGTCTGCTATATACGAGCGTGACCGTCACTGACGTGGTGTTCATTGTCCCATAAACCTTACCCTCCATTTGCGTGATGTCGTCACCTCGTAACTATTTGGTATCAAAGCCATATTGCACTAGCTTATTTGAAGACCTTTCCGGCGGAGTGCTTGTACTCCTTGCCGTTGTGAACAACAGGCTTGTCCCACGTCCACATGGACTGGACAAAAGCCTTGTCCTCCTCCTTAGTGGGATCTAGCTTGGTGAACTCGTAGCTCTCGTAGTCGGGAGCTACGTCAAAGACGGGGATGTAGTCATCACCTCGGATAACAAAGGCGCCCTCGATGACCGAGTCGTTGTTCTCGCCATACACGGACGCGCAGCCGAACAAATACTTGCGAGAAGCCTCAAGACGAGTGTTGAAACCACCGATAAGGTTGTTGGACATGAAAGTCAAAGTCAACTCGTCGTTGTACTTGTACTTGACCCTCCAGATAGAATAGTCCTTGAAGGGGACGTTCTCGAAGAACCACTTGATAGAGACATCCTCATCGTGGTTCGAGTAGTAGCGCTTCCACTCATCGAGAGCGAACTCGGATCGTGGTAGCAGATCGATGGGGTGCTTGGGCTTGGGAGCAGGTGCATCCTCTTCGGCAGCGGGCTGGGGTGCCGCCTTGGGAGCAGGCTTGGGCTGCTCAGGCTTCTTGGGGGCGACGTTGGTCAACTTGGGGGCGTCGAGAAGCTCGAAAGGCTTGGCGACGTCACTGTAGATAGGCTGGTTGTAGACGGTCTCGTACCATCGAGAAACGTTGGGGTGCTCAGCACGCCACTTCTTGTCGTAGAAGAATTGGAAGCCGCGAGAGATGATGCCAGCGGCAAAAAGATCAGCGAGGGTGATGCGCTCGCCAACCAGGTAGGTGTTGTGGAGAAGGTGCTCCTCCACAACGTCAACAACCTTAGCGGCACCCTTGGCGGCCTCGTCAACAGCCTTCTTGTTGTACTGGTCCCAGCCAAGGAGAGGGCGGTACCAAGCACCGAGCTTGGGGAGAACCTCGGTGTTGAAGAACGACAGCCACTTCAGGATAGAAGCATAGCTATAAAATATCAGCAATGTAGGTCTCGACAAAGTACCAGACTTAAACTTACTCTTGCTTCGTCTTGCCGAGGAGGGTGGTCTTCTCGTTTTGTGAGGTGACTGGTGATGAAATGTTAGCAAGTTCTCACGCCATTTTCATCAGGCTAAAGGAAGGATTGGTAGGCGATAAATCAGAAATTAGAACCATGATCAACAGAGATGTTTCAGATAGGGATAACTGTTAGAATAATGTCTAGGTCATCATATAAAGACGCAGTCGGTAGTACTATTGGTAACTAGGTATAACCAAATATAGGAATAACACATACTGTAAATGGCGATAGCCATGCACTCGGTCAGGACGTAACCATCGCTGCCGACGAAGGCGGGAACCTTGCTAAGAGGGTTCACCTTAAGAAACTCGGCGGTCGGCTTGGTTGTGTCAACCTCGACGACATCCAAGTCCAGGCCGTTGGCCTTCGCAACCGCAAGGATGGCGGTGGTGCGGGGGTTGAGCTGCGCGGTAGAAAAGTCATGTCAGCTTTTGAAGAAACGATAACAACGATGTAAATAGATAAATCCAATGCTTTCAGCTATTCAGTCACTCACCTCCTTGGTGTAGATCTTTCCGAACGCCATGGTTGCTCTGGAATCTGGAGCTGGTCGAGTTGAAAGAAGGAAGAGGAATAAGTGTTGAGAGAAGTTACAGCGTTGAACTTGACTCACGGGAATTTTTTTTTTCTACACGCAAAAGAGGGAGGCGGGGCAATTTGCGCTGTGGCTCAATTCAAGCAATCAGGCACTGACCCTGCCCCACCTATTAAAGTCTGGTCGAAACCCGAATCACGGTCCACCACCTTCCATCAATGATCTCTAGGGTCTAATTCGGTAAACGGAAGATCTAATCTACCGGCCAATTGAATTTTGGTGGAGATTCAAGCGCCCGCGAAATTGAAAAGTGCTTCGTACATTCAATTCCATACATAATCTCACCGGCTACGACGACGACGGAGACGGAGACGGAGCTCAGTTGTGCAAGGTCATGAATCAGATACGATAGACAAAATGTCCTCTCTAAGATATGGCTCTCGCTGTCTTAGAGATCTCCGGCCGACCGTAACTCGACAATCTCAATCTATAAGAGCTGCTACAAGCTCGAAATCGCGCCGATCGCTTGCAACATCAACAGATAGCCATGATAATGAATCGAGTGCATTCTATCGGCTCATGCAGGCTGCTAGAATGGATGCTGATTCGCCCTCACCGGTATTGGCTCACCGGCGTCCTATGCCGGTCTCCCCGTCATACTTCTCACGGCAAACAGAATTCAACGACAGTTTCGTCTTAGTCCAGGATCTTGCCCGGAAATATGCACGACTTCCCACCGCCGCCCCGAATCAAATTGAGCGGGTAGCGTGGAAGACGAAGGAGCAGTATCGGTTGTCAATTGGTGAAGCTGTAAAAGCAAGAGACTTCGCAGTCTGTATTAGATTGGTTAAGAGATTAAGTCAGATTCACCCCGACTTAATGCCCGAGGAGGTCATTCAAGGTATTAAACCGTTCAAGCGAGATATCAATATATACCTCAACAAAGCAAAGCAAATTCCGGTCGATAAGTTTGGCAGGTCACACGGCGTTGGCAGGCGGAAATCCTCAATAGCAAGGGCCTGGCTTGTAGAGGGGACAGGAGAAGTTCTCATCAACGGAAAGACCATCAATGATGCATTTGGACGAGTTCACGACCGAGAAAGCGCACTCTGGGGGCTGAAAACAATGGAGAGAATGGACAAATACAATGTCTGGGCTCTTGTGGAGGGCGGTGGAACCACTGGGCAAGCTGAAGCGCTTGCGATGGCCATCGCCAAGGCTTTAGCCGTCCACGAGCCGGCATTGAAGACACCTCTAAGAAAAGGTAAGTCAGACTATTAATCCCACAAATCCTAGGTCGCACCTTTCTAACCTAGTTCATTCAGCTGGGTGCCTTACGCGTGATCCGAGAAAGGTCGAGAGGAAGAAGGCTGGTCACGTCAAGGCAAGGAAGAGCCCCACATGGGTCAAGAGATAGAACGATTCAGGTATGGGATTTTGCAATGAGATCGACAATCCAGTGTTCTATGCAATTTCCGGGAAGGCCAATATCATCGAAATCGATAACAAGGACCATAACTTCTTTATGGACCACCATACTGACTATGCAGCGGATCATGTATATAAAGATTATGTATCATTATGTGTCTGCTTCATATTCTGGGATACCTATAAGACGCTAATAATGAGGTCCGACATTGGATTCATCAACAATGTTCTTCGCTCCTCACACCATGGGTTGACGTTGATTTAGTCGCAACATAAATGAATTGCCAATTCAGACTCCCCTGGGTCTATCTAACCCGCCAATCAGAACGAACAGGTACACAGAGACAGGCTAGGTACGGATCGATCAACCGGGAATCTGGATTGTGTTGTATCATGTATGACAGGCGGCCGTAGGACTGCACGACGCGAAGTAACAGCCCAATGCCGTGTCTCCACGCTCTACTATACCGCAAGGGCAAGTCAACCCGATCGCCAACCCCTGGGTAAATAAAACAGCCTTAAAATCGATCCTAACACGAAATTATGCGATAGCCCTATTCGCTAGGGCCTAGAAGGGCGAGGATAGGCGGAAGGATTGTCATTATGGAAGGGGGGGGGCTTATTAGACCAAGCATAGACATGCCAGCTTCCCTCCGCATTGAATGAATATTCTTCCAGAAACGAAAAAGCGATGCCGTATGCCGTATATCGACTAGCTTCAGACGATGGCGGATGCAGAATCCTTCTAGAAAGAATTCGCCGATTTGGGGAACTTGGGCACTATGTACCAGACCATAGTTCAATGCCAACCGTCGCCTAGAAAAGGGAGAACGAGACCACGGATTGTTTTCTCCTAGGTCAGCAAGTGCTCACCGCCTCTGTTAATTAGAAATATAGGGAGACGTGCTAACATTGCGTGTTGAGATCGTTGGTCTCTTTACCTGCGGTCTATGAGATGGGAATTAGTTAAACTTGCTAATCGATGTTACAGGCGGAGAGTACCTATACATACCTATTTAAGACACGGATAGAATATCAATTACCTACCACGGAATTTCTACCTAATTGACTTGGTTAATCCCGGGGTAACAGGTGTAACACATCTTCGCTGACGAGCTACGCTGTTAGGGATTTGGCCAAGGCCGAATTATGAATCATCGTGACCTGACTTTGGCCATGGACCAATACGAGGCGTGGTGTTTCTAGACAAGCTACATCCGACGGCTGTAGAGAAACCGGTGCAAGCCTCATTCAACCCGGATGAGGCTGAGAGTGACAACCCACACAACAACCAATACTGTAACATTAGTTACTCTATCTTGTAGATCTTTCCCTTTCGGTGATCCCTATACGTGCACGATTGTGTCGCGCAATTTAGGCTTTGCCCTGGAGAGCTTTCGCGGCCGGTTTGAAGAAGACAGCCTAGGCTCTAGCCGAAATAGCTAAGCCTGATAGATATCGAGTCTGGGAACGCTGGTACAGCATCCTGCAGATTGTCCAGTCGGAGATACACCCAGCAAATAGACTAGTACAGAAGGATCGGTATCACCGATGTTCGAAGAGCTGCATACACCCCCACGAAAGCCGGTTGATGCTTGCTGCTTCTTCTTAAGGATTAGCAAGGGGCTACTTGGCAAGTGAGTCGTGACAAGCGATGCCAATCCATAACAAAGCTAGACCTGCTAGACGAACCAAGCTCGCGTGGATCTGTCAGTGCACAGTTTCTATTTATTCCTCGAATCTCGGGGACCTGCGCTAGTCAAGCAAGCCCATAAAAATGGGGTGATTTTTTCATGACGAACAACACCAACCAGCGCCTAGGGGTAGCACTGGTAGAGGGCCAGTATGCTTACGTACATGCATATATACATAGCATGGTACATATGTACACACATACCGCATGTTAACCCTATCATCCGCCTTATATACCGTATGCGGGGGATACGTAACTCGTCCGCAAATATCCCGTACCTATCATCCAGCTACCTACCTAGGTAGCGATACACCGACCTTATAAAACATATATAAAGTATCTTGGATCGACCTGCGCATGCACGTGTACAAGAACGTGCTGATCAGCATATCAACATACCGCCAGGGTCATTTCCAAATGGGTCGAACCCGGTTTGCCGAGAGAGCGAGCCAAGATATCCGACATGACCTCTTGAAGAATTGTCTGCAATCGGTCGTTGAGATCCCCAAGCACTTGTGTATGAATGTGGGTTACGATGCAAAGTCTTGCCACTGAGGTAGCCATTAGGAAGCGCCAGCCCAGTGGCTTGCATACAGATCTGAAAAAAAAAATTGGTGATGGAACAACCCCGGCTGACTCCGGGAGGATGTCAGACGCACCCTTGTCGTTCTTTGACGACATCTTAACGCCTTGTCCCCAACATGGTTCAAGGATCTTATTCAGACGACCAAACATCCACCAGTTCTTATTAGAGGGTCCTTCCACGGCCTAATAGTTACACAGAACTGCTGTACTCAGTCCTCAGTCGGTGAGGATGCGCATACTCCAAGAAAATGTACCTCATGGATTATGAGCATCTTTTAGGAGCCATGTTCGCAGATATGGATGTGCCTAGGTAAATATCGATAAGCTACCGGACGCTCAGATCATGTCATCAGGAACATCGCAGGCTGGCTCAGCAACTGATCGGGCATCAATCGGTCTGTCGATGTGTTACGGGTTGTTCTCCAGGACAGCAGGGCTACCTGGACTGCTAGGTAGGGGATGTAAGATGGGCCAGCATCGGCGCTAATCATCCAACTCTTCAACTCCTCAGTCGAGACTACGAGAGCTAATTGTGTACTTCCATTAAGCCTATTGACCAATAGCCATCAGTATCGTAACACAACCTAAGAAGTTAAGAAGAAAAAAAAAATCTTCGTCGGCTTTGTTGGCCTCTGATGGTCTGTCGGTGTAGGATCCGACTGATAATTCGCCCGGCTCCTTTTCCCCAGATCGAATTATCAATTTGCCATGAGGTCAGGAGAATTGACGGCAAGTGAATTATCTGCTGACAAATCTCATGTCCTTGATCGCCAATTACCTATATGTAGGTAAGTAGGTACGTATATGAGTAAAACACAGCAATGCGACGAGCGTATTACAAGATCTGGGTAAGGCGAGCGAGGTTTGATAAATGGTTGGCTGAGGGAAAGTATAGAACAGGTAAGCAAGCCTTTCAACCTCTTGTGTTCTCCCAAATCTAAATTAACTGGTTCAATGTTGTACTCTGCCAGCAAGTTTTAGGGATATGAAAATGAAGAGGTACGTAGCATCGAATGCTTCAATCGAATTGATGTTATTGGTATTCGGATTATGGGTGTAAGCACAGAAGGTATGTTTAGGATGTTTAGTGTTTAGGACTGAAAGAAAATGCTTCGAAACGTCTGGACCGCATGCACGAGAAAACGGCAAACCCCGGATTCACAGGTCGTTCCTTCCACAGTCTACATTCCACATTCCACCTTCCGAGGCTTAACCATTCACTTGCCACTTCCAAGGTTGTTCTTTTCAATGCTGTTGCTGTTGCTGTTGCTATTCCATTACTACTGCTCTTGCCCTGTGGATACTATTATCTGCTCACCTACCTATAGGGCGTTATGTCCGCCGCGATATTACGGTACTTCTTGTGGTATGGACAGGGTCTAGAAGTCCAAGGTATCTCCAGGGCTATCTGCTCTTACCTTACCTAATAGACTTAGTCCGCATGTACCTTAAATTATCTTTAACCTTTTTCAGGGAACAACTTTGAGTTCAGATCTTCATCCCTGCCTCGCCGTTCTCGAAAAAAAATACGATTACAATAGAATAAATAGGTGCAGCAGGAAGCAATTATTTACCTGGATATTCACGAAAGGTCAATATAGTATACAGATTTCATATCCATACATGTCATGATTCTTCAGATCCTAAAAATGACCGATCGACGCCAGAGAAAATTGTTTCTCAATCAGCATCAGCCACACAACAAGAAACTCGGCGCACAAATAAGAAAAGCAAAATGTCGCCGTGTACTACCCATACCTTGCCAGTCCGTTAGTCGATAGGCGACCAAGGACATGTCCGTTTTTTTCCCTCTTTCTCTCCCGTCTTCTTTCTTTTCGCCATGAGTTCGTTCGCCGCTCTCCGTAACTCGATCTATACGCTCACCCGGAGAACTAGAGGATCTGAAAATCAGAAGTGATTGTAATACGGGCTGATGTCTATTAGAAAAAAAAATCATATACGACAAAGCACTAGCACAGCTTCATATGAGCCGCGGCAAGACGACCAAGGATACGGTAGTCATTCCCTCATGCTAAGCCGATCCGCACCAGGAACATGCGCCGTGACCCGTGACACCCTTCGAGTCAAGATCTCTATTTTCCCCTTGAGGCTGGAAGGGCTTGTCTTATAGCCCCTGACCAATATACCTTATCCCGTACCACCCAATAAGTTCTGTTCTCCGGGCTTTGGGCTCTGCACTCGCAGTCTTCCACATCACCCTCTCACCAAGGTATCTACCCAGGCTGGTAAGGTATCCATCTAAGAAGCAGCTTCAAGGCCTGGACAGATCACCCCGTCATGTCCCCGTAGAAGCACACCCCTTGGGGTATCGGTAAGGGGGGAATCATTCGGACCCGCTCTCGATTATCTGTGCGCACCGCGCAGATCTTGTTCACCCTGTCGCAGCCAGGCAAGCCCTGCCTACTTGCCAGGCCCCAGCTGCTTTTCCGCACGGCGCAAGTTAAGGCGTTGGTGTCGTTAATGTGTTTTGGAGGAGATTTTTGGTTAAAGCTCTTCTCTATTCCATTTTCATTGGAAGGCTCGTCGCCTGATCTCGTGTATTACATACCCACAGCTCTAATGGGAAACCATCACTCTGTCTACTCTAGAGTCTAATTGGGTCTCCACTCCCACCTTCCATCTACTACCTACCATACTACTTCAGACTACTCACTACTGGCTCCTCTGACCTTACTTCTCGACATTCACCTAATAATATATCATGAGGCAAGTACCTGCCGGGTCGCCCAACCCTTCACTATCCATGAAATCTTATTATCCACTACGTACATACATACATATATGTGTAATAGAAAAATTCCCCGGACCTCTTTAAATCCTCCGATGTCAACAACTCTATTTCACATTTACACTTACACTTACACCAGCAGACACACGTTACCCGACATATAAAGAGATCTTCACACCATCACTGCCTAGTTACAAGTCACCAGTCGTCTTTGCTACTCTTCTGAAATCATACACGAATTCGTTTTGATAACATAGTTTCTTTTATCTCTCTATTGCTCGCGGGCTTATTAGATCCAGTCTAATTTTCTATCACCCACACGGACCCTGAATCAGTCGAAAGTTGTGTTTAGTCGGGTCGGCACTTGAAGGGAAACGAAGCTAACTTAGGAAGCTCAGTTTACGACCAGAGGAAGCTGACCTCCCCCAAAAATTCGTTGGAGAACTTGAGACTTCTAGACTTGGTCCTAGTGCGGCTTGCTATTCAATTGAGTTCGGCAAGGTCACTACCTGTTGGTTTAGCAGTTAGTTGCAAAAGGTGCTGGGATTTACCCAGTACGAGTCAGGACGCCCGTTGACAAGTCACATATACCTCCTAACCTACTCGGGATTTTTGTGGACAATTCCATCCCAAATTCCTACATAGTAGGTATCTAAAGACAAAGTCAAAATTCTGGGACCTCGGGGGGGCATCGTCATCCCTACTCTCCACTCAGTAGAGTCTGGGTTGTTAACACATGACATATAGTTGGGGAGGGGATTGTTTGCATCAGAAAGACTTTTTCTTCCGGCATCAAACTTTCGAAACTCTCGACAACTCATACATAGTCGGCCTCCCCCTGGCAGGCGGGCCCTGACTTTCGTCCTGTCTGTCGACTTTCATCCCATAACTCATAACTCCTAACACATAAAACGCACCGCCTCGAGACGCGTCTCCAGGAAAAACGCGTGGTTACATGACTAGATCACGTATCCCACCACTTAACTAGTCCCCTCCACTAGGGTTTTCATCCGAAGACACAAGAGAAAGCATTGTAGCCTGGGGCATCCTTTCAACCCTCTTATTCCGGCCGGAGCTGGTCCCTGCTCAGGAAATCCAGGCCAGAATTTAATCCAACCTCGCATATTCTACCACCAACGGAACAGGTCGTTGACGGCAGACCGCTACTTATAGTGTTTTACTCCAAATTCTATCGCGCGCGCCACCTTCTCGCGGCGAAGCTCTCGGACGACTTGAACGGGCCGGTTGTGGCACGGCCTAAACGACGCAAGGTGGCCCTCTCTTAATTTCAGCTCCGTTGCCGGAGGCGCATCGGTTATACTCACCTCTTTGAGCGTCTCGCGACCCGTTTCCCGTGGCATGGATGACCACGGGCGACGAAGGAGGCCGAACGAACCGCCCATCAATGCCCCTTCTAATAATCCAAGATACCCGGTTCACGATCCTAATGCGCAGGGTAGGTCGTACGGCGCGAGCGGGTCTGACAGGTATCGGCCCGCGCCTCTAAATACGTCGCCCACGGCAGCTCGAGGCATAGGAGGTGCGGCTACTTACAGTGGATATTACCAAGAACCGGCAGCAGCGTTCTCCACTGCCATGCAGCCGAATACAATGACATACCAACCTGAGTATGGGCAAGACACTCGACAAACGCAGAGTTTCAGTACATATAACACGCCAATGATGTACAACGTGCCGCAAGCGAGCGCGCAAAGTGCCGTGTATGATGCGAGTCAGCAGTTCCCGTCACGGCAGCCTGCAGCCTTACAAATGATACAAACGGATGTAGCCACCCCCTATTTCCCGAGCGAACCGACCAACGCGGCTGCAGCGTCTAATCTGCAATCGCACGCGAGCTCCTCAGGCACGTCGGCAGTATATCAACAGAGTCCAGCTAGCCAGCGTACAATGCTCCAAAGCTATCCCAGTGGAATGACATCGATGGGCGGCATGGCACAGACGAGCGCATCCGACCAGACTATGGAAGAACCTGACTATTCGCAAACGACGGAAATGACCGAAGCTTACGATCATTACCAAACCGCTCTGAGGGAGGTCTTCACCAACATTCGAGGCGGGGTGCTGCAAGCTGCAAGTGAGTCGCTTTTGAACATCTCCGAGTGGTTACTCTCGAAAGTTGTGGAACTAGGTAAGTCCCTACCCAATAACTCTAAGACATTCGTGACGTTTAACTGTTGAAGGCCTCGCAGCGGACGATGAAAATCTCTACAGGGACCGTATCAAGATGTGGCAAGACTTCAATCACGCATGGCTCTCATTGTTCCAGAAACAGAAAGACTTGATGGGAGCTGGCCTACAGTTACAACGAGGACAGACGGTGATTAGCGAGGATGGGTTAAGGAAGATGGGAAAGGAGATCGTAAGGCTTTGCGATGGGATTGATCGACACGGTCTCGTTGATTACGAGTATGGCGTCTGGGAGGAGAACATCATTGCCAGTAGGTTCCGGTGCGGTGGCAGGCCGCGACGTTTCCTCATTGTACTCATTTTCGTTTTACTGACTTTTTGGACTAGTCATCGAAGAATGTCTCGACCTCTACGAAAATGAAGAAGAGGCCGAGCCTGGCAGTTCTTCTGTCGCGAATCCCGCGGGGACAAGCCATCACGGTCATCATACCTCTCGATAGGGGCCGCGAGCCGTCGACCGGAGCAGGATGTGGTAGGGCAGTGCCGAGGACATCGATCGGTTTGTGATTTGAGACATATACGGGGCGTTCCATTCGGTCGTGATGATTGTTTGCATATCAGGTTGTGATACCCATCGATTCCGCGTATGGCGCGGAAGCACTGTCAGCCCATCTTTCACGGCAGTAGGGATGGCGAACAGGGGTTAGGGAGTTCGGCAGATCACGATGTACCACCGAGTTGCATGTTGGACTAGTCACATGAGGTAACAAGATTAACCTCAGTTGATTCTGGATCATTTGTACAGCTGCATTCCGAGTTGTAATGTGTCGAGCTGAGCCCGGGTGCTGAGCTCAGGCTTTAGCTAAAAGGAGGGGCAAATACAACGACTAGAGTGGCAAGTAACGAGATGACGGCTGTCGAGGTGAAGGGGGAAAAAAATCAGGGGCATGAACTCACTAGAGCATGGGTGTATGGTTGTACGATGCTTGCGGATACCCTGGCAACGGGCGGGAACGAAGTAACGGCGAAAAGAAAGGTATAGAGTAGAAAGATATTCAGTGCTCTCACGAGCTTATTCACCCAATTTCGTTGGTGAGGTACGGACTACTTGATGTACATCGATTACAGAGGTATATACCCCAAACGCAGGTACATATGTAGTAGTACATTGAGCGGCATATTCAGTTACGACCTGAATGTTTCAGCTGCCTCCTTCAAGAAAATTACCCATACTCACATCTTGAACTCAATGATAATGGTACATATGGAAGTACATGGATAACTAGGTAAAAGGTCGCTTCCTGTTGCATTAGTTGGAAAACTCTCATTATGTAATGTGAAATATCCAGTATTTGGTTTAAGGTTAAGGTTGGTAGTATCCGATTTTCTTTTTATGTGAACTTCTCTTCTCTCATTACTTATCATTATAACTAAAAAATATTTACAGCTGCTTTCCCTCACTTGATGGGCTTTATTTTGCATTGATTGCTAAAGGAGGCACTGGATCGCCGTCTGTTACCACGGTATGCAGCTGGGTATGCTAGTAATATACCCCCTCCCCACACTTCAATCCCTCGGGTCTTCTCTCATCCATGGATATCTTATTAGCCATTTCAACTTTGCACGCCCCCGTAAAGCCACGCGTACCACTCCCCAGAAAGACATGGATCCGACTAGGACTAAGGTGGTTACAAGAGACAGCGTGGAAAAGCCTCGAAGCATAAGAGACTATTCGCATTGCCAATTGTGGCCAGAAGTTTCTACTGATTGGCCGGTCGCATAAGCCGCGGCGATGCAAGTCAATTTCGGAAGATTTCCGATTCAGCTCGACGTGTCTCTCGCAGCCAGCCTGCGAAGATCAATTTAGCTGCGATCTTCCTCGGAAGGTCCTGTCAGACGGTCGCGGCAGCCATTAACATGATCGGACCCGACACCATGGAAGAGTGGGCAATGGCTCCGCGCCGCCAGAAACTTCCTGGTTTGGGGTCTCTGATAGGTTCGCTGCTCTAACCCCGGTGTAGCTGTCCCATGGACGGGGGACCTGACCTAGACTCAGAGCAAACATGGGGGATGGAACAGAGATGCCGTGCTGCGAAGCTCTGCACAATGTGTGACCTGTCACATTTTTAGATCCGCGCCCTCTTCACTCGGGACAGGGATCCGCGTTCCGCTTTAGCCAACCGACAAGGGACCATGTTCAGCATGTTTAACTGAGTAATTATTATGGCCCCTTGATTTTATTGTCTTTTTCCTATTCTCTTCCTCCGTGTCGTCAGTCACGTAACACAGAGACACGTACGGATGGGTCCCTCTGATGTGTTTGCAGCTGAACCCGCTGAAACAACCTCAGCAAACAAGCGGGCTTTTTTATTGCTCATTCTAAAGACATTGAAGGGGTTCAAGTCTAGAGCATCGATATATTTGTACGACATCCCATGTCCCTGCTCGTGTCTCATCAACCGACGTCAACATTACCATCCAGTAAATCCATTCAACCCCTACCCATTCGTTGCCTAGGTGGTTGCTGAGGCCGCCAGAAACGCTAGACAAGTTGAATGTATCCATGTAGGGCTGTGTCGCCGCAAGCCCAGTACTACCCCATTCCAGACTATTGGAAAAGAGGCTGAGAGTTCCTGACGTCGCATCAGCAAATCTCCCGCGGGGACCTGAGCCCTGAACCACTGGATCTGCAACTTCCGCCACCGTCGCTGAGATCTGAAGTCGGGATTCGTCTCGGTGTCGATTCTGATAGCTCATCGCTCATATTTGAGAACATATAGTGATCCTACCACAACCAGCCGCCGCCCATACTTTTTACAGTATCTACTTGATAGAAGCAAAAACATCCCGCGAATGCAGCTACCCGCGCTACTCATCCTAGAATATTAAAAAGAGCCGTAACGGCCGTGATTACATCCCCCTTTCCACATACATGATCTAATAAACTTACCAGGACTGGAACCTTTGTCGAAAAATCTGCTGTCGCAACATGGGTTTGTGTGGTTTACGCACGAATGCTTGCTGAAATCAATTGTTTCTAAGTCGACATCTCCGAAAACCCCTTCAGATTGGACGGCCTCCTAGCCACTTGGCACCGATCAGGTCTAAGACGGAACGATACGATGAGGCATTCGTTGACATGGCTATAGAACGATACGAAAGCCTCGCCAACTAGAACGTATTCTTTAGCGAAGCTAATGCTTTCGATCGTTACGCAATATGCATGCAGGATTCATCTTGCATGCGTCTCATTTAATGGGATGCCGGTTCGTCACAAATGTCTTCTGACGGCACGCTCCCGCACCACCACCACCGCCATCACCTGCAGGGGATCGACTGTTTCATTGCCGGGTGCGGAGCCGGTCTGGATCTGACTAACGTAGAGCATGGCGGTTTTTGGAAAGACTCCATCGCCAATAATCCCTACGGAGTAATAGTACCGGTAGATTTTCGAATCCTCCCAAGCCTCTTTAGGGAGTCTTTCCTGCTTACGTCTCGGCGTGCAGGATCTTGCATTCATCTTGCTATAACGGCCGCACATGCAGCCAGCCGTGGCACAATGTGACACTCCTGGAAACAATATCACATCACTGCTGAGGATGTGTGGAGAACGAATTGTCCATAATTTTGCGAGTTCCAGAGTTTCGTACCAGTGTGCGTAATAGCCCCGACAGATGTGAATTATCCAATATACTGTTCCTGGTCGGACTTTTGAGCTGGAGTTCAGAAATATCCCCCCTACGGGCTTATAATCATTAGAGTTGCTTTTTCTTCCTGAAGTAGGACCGTTTCATGACCTGCCTCCTGGATCCCACATTCAATAATGGGACCTAACTGACATTTGAGATGATAGGCAGTCCTATACCCCCTATTCCTTTTTTCTTTTTTCTTTCGCAGGCACGCTCCAAGACATAAACCAGCCTTATTTTCAGTACTTCAGAGAATCATTCTGTTATGGTTTAACGTATACCTAAACATTCCATATTATAAACTGATTGACTAATTAGCCTTGGTTTCAGTATTGGACATAATGACAGGTAGTCAGGCGGACTACATAGTCTTACTCCTAAAACACGAGGATGAATTGACTTCTGCAGTTATCTCGGCATTATACTAGTTCTACACTGCTTATTTGGTCTGATTGGCGTTGCTATTCCTGCGGTATATTAATGACTTGAATAGGAGATAGTTGTTGATGAATGTTCTCGGCATAATAGGGTTACCAGCGGTTATTGAATCGCCGAAACTACACAGGCATTCGGGATAAATTTGTTCATATCATTGGTTTTATCTCGACTAAATGCCTATACGAGATCGTTCGCTTCATAGAGTTCCGTGTATCCACTAGTTGATTTATTTTACGGAATTTGGCTCGTCTCTAGTACCAACCCTTGTTTGAAGGGGACACGTTATCACACATAGCCAGAGTTCGTGATCGTAGACTCAACAATCTAGGGGTCATCCAAGATCCAACGAAACTGGCGTGCATTTAGTAATACTTAGATCTCTCACTACTGACATATCTACGGGAAGGTGAACGTCGTAACGAGCCTAGGAGTTGTTTTTGCTGACGATATAAACTACGTCTTGAAGGGACTGTGTTGCCTCTTAATATACTAGAAGGTGCTTTTCCTTAGTAATACGAAAGGTGACAAGTATGTAATTCACCTTGGATCGCTTGTGGGATATAGCATTAGCAAAAAGTAAAAAAAAACGTGAGTAGTAACAGTGATATAATAGCCATTGTTCAGCGTAGTATTATATCGAGGCAACTAGAACATAAACCGCTAGCAGAGAATATCATGTGAGAGAAGATGTACGAAGAGCCTTATATCGATGACGACTTTCGTAGGCACAAAGGAAATACATCATGTCAATGCTAGGGATGTCTCAATGAGGCAGAAGATTCGTAGGTTAGGATGAGAATATATCACGATGTGAAGAAGTTATATCTGCCTATGGAGTCCGCAGAGGGTGTAGAGAAAGGAGGAGAACAGGGAAGAAAGGAAAGGTGGGATAATATCACCTCATCTCGAATCTTTACCTCTGAGGCGGTTTGTTATATAGGATCTAGGATGAGTTTCTACTCGCCATATATATAAACCTTACTTCCCGAGTCTTTCTACAACCTTGGTTTGATCATTGGTCGCGTTTATCGTATGAGAACAGTAGTTTGTCTTAAAGCATATATCCCGTTGCTAATGTTTCGTGTCGTATATGGCTTTAGCCTAAGTATCAATGTCAAGAGAGATAATTTATATCGATTCGCTTTTGTTTGGCATGTCATGATAAGTTTATTCAGCCTACTCCCCCATGGTGAGCATTTGAGACTAATTAGTTAACATCCACTTTATGTGGTTTAACCATGCGAACCTACATCTCCTATTGTGTCAAATCCGAGCCACCTTCTCAACTATGTTTATTGACTATTGTTATACACTAGCATGTTTAGAACCAATCGACCGGGCCTGGGGAATTATCCCCATTCATTGACATATAGCTACAAACATCGAGCCCCTTGCCAAAGGTATAGACTTACATGGCACGAGCTATACTAGATTGGCCAATAATTTTCAAGATTTATAATATTATGCTAACCATTGGGAATGTTTTCTCGGAATGTCAATAAGCTATGACGTACCGTACCTTTTCGGGGGTTATAGCTACTAGGCAGTTGAAGAAATAGTACGCAGCATCTAAATATAAGCGACTATAATGCTGATCAACCAAGCGTGGCAAACGTTTAGTTAGTCTTCACCTTCTAGAGATGATAGGACTTAAGTACCGGAATCGTAACGTTTCTTGGTTATTCCATACTAACGGGTGACCCTCTTCGTGTGAGTGATTAGGTGAGGAATAGTAACCACTTAAGCTCATAAATATTTGGTGTATATCGTCGACGCCGACCAAGTTGAGACATCAAAAGTAAGGATTTATACGAGCTATGCTTGAATTTAAAAGCGTAGCGAAGCTTTGACTGCTGTTTCAACTTACATTTACTCATGCCAGAACCCCCAAACTCCATATGCGAATCAAGTCCGAATCATTTGATCTTCACGTGGCAACAAATTGTATCTGCTGAGCAAAGCAGACGTACTGTCCAATATAGATAGTGTCCCAAACCTCATGATTCATTACTACGGCTGCATTGTGGTATAGATAGGTATCTAAAACTGATCTGTACCAAGTCGTTAGCAATTCATGTTTCAATTCTCAACGCTCCCAGAATGTCCGAGTAACTCACCTAAAGTCATGCTCATGCTAACGTCGGTCGTCTCGACCATCTTGGTAAACTCCTCGAAGCTGATCTTACCGTCCTTGTCCAGGTCGGCCTCCATGATCGTCTTGTCGACGATCTGCTGCAGCTGCTGGTCCTTCAGGTTGCTACCCACCATCATCTTCAGCACGATGAACAGCTCTCCGTTCGAGATGTACCCGTCTCGGTCGATGTCGTAGACCTTGAACGCGAACCGCAGCTTCTGCTCCTTGTTGCCCTTGCTGCTGAACGCGCTCAGTCCCGACACGAACTCCTGGAAATCCACATCGCCACCGCCGTCCTCGTCGAAGATCGCTATCATTCTGTTCGCGTGTAAAGAATATGGGTCAGTCTCAAGTTTGCCCGAGGGTGAAAGACTGGTGATCGCATGGAGCTTCGCGAAAATCATGCATGGGACAGGAGTCGTACCTCGTGGCTAGGGGGTTTGACGATATTTGTGGTAAGCTCAGGAACTCATCTCGTTCGATCGTGCCTGAGTTATCCTGCAATTCAAAAGACGTGCTATTAGTATCGGTATCGGCGCATGTGGCAGAAAATGATGTTGGACGGGTCGTTTTGTATGTACTTTATCAAGCTTCATGAACCGCTTCCTAAGTCTGTCGACCTCATCCCGGTCGACTGTAAGGCGTGGTTAGGACTCCAATATCTTTCGTGCCTGGCAGAACCAATTACGTACAGTTCGACCCTTGCACGATGTTATCGAGCACGGCGCTCGTTGTATTGCCCATCTTGTTAGACGCTCCTTCACGGAGGCAGATTCGGGCAAGAAGACGGAAAAGATAGGGGCGATGAGCGGAGTAATTTCGACGTCACTATCTCTTTCTCGAGGACAATTCGATTGGTAGATATTTGTATTTCGGCGATGCAGTAAGATTGCTTGTATTTATTCGTCGGTTGGAAAGATGCTATGATCAATTTCGATCTTTCGATGATTAATGGTAGACGGCGGATGGATGAGGCTGATGGGAGAGTTGGGTTTGGGAATGTGGGTTGGTGGGGTCTTCCTAAGACAAGGCGACCAAGATCTGGACTGCCTGTTATGTGGGTCCCACGTTTTGAGTTCGAAGAGCACAGCCGCACCTATCATTGGTAAAAGCCACAACAGAGCAGTCGTGTCACATACATATGTACATATCAGTCATTGTCACACAATCACCTTCATTGGACGAATCCGACGTGGTACATTGTGACGAATACATATGTACGTAGGTAGGTGCTGTTAGATTTTGCTAAACGCAAATACCTACATCTAAACTTTGCAACATACGGTTAACAGACAAATTTGATATAAATAGAAATGTCAAATAGGTTACATTTCAGAGATAGGTTGCATAAAAGCGACCTTCTTTTGCATGAAGCATGGTCTATCTTATCAGAACTGTGGCTAAGTTTGCGTGTGGCTGAGAAGTTATGCATGTATATGTACCTAGGACTTGGAGGTCCGTGTCGACTGAGGTCATAGAAGTGTAAAAAGCAAAAAGGAGAAGAGAGTAAAAAAAAGAAATTGAACAATCAACGATGCACAAAAAACTTGAATGATGATGCAGGCACACTTCGAAGGAGTCGATTGTCGCATTAGAATAAATTACCTCGTTGCAAAGGACGATAGTAAAATTTTCAATAGAACGCATCTTGCGTTCATTTTTATTGGTTGGTAGCAACACGTACATAGTAGTCGCCCCTTTTACTCATCCCCATCCCATTGTCGTTGCCTTATCAATCGTGTTCGTAGGCACCTAACCGTGCAAGTGCAAGGAGATAATGAAAAGGGGGAATGTACGGTGGTAAGATAGAGGTACATATCCGGCGAAAGAATGCAAGCGCAAAAATGCATAGTGGCAAGTACCTACCTAGGCAACCTAAGTATTGTACCAGTTCGTAATTCGTTTTTTAGCGGGTGGACGGGCGCTTTTAGGCCCCGGTCCCCCTTTCCCCTCCCCCAAAGTTGTTGCCCAAATTTGAGCGATGCGCACCTGCACCCAATCAGAGCGACGGAAAGCAGAGAATTGACCAGGCCAGAAGGAAGGCGTAAGTTCTTTTGGTGGAGCAATGGGGCCCCCTTCAACCCCTCTGCCACCCTCTGCATAACCTGCACAACCACTATTCTGACTTTGTTGTTGCTCGGGCTGCCTGCTGCGGCGACCAAGCAAAAATTTGCGCCCCAAACAATTCAACGTCACCTCATCCAACGACGACACTTCGGCCATCAAAACAACCACCTAAACACCCTTATTAGCTCTTTTAAATTTGATTTTTCATCGTCGCATGACATAAACTTTTAGGTCCCCGAATTTTTTCGGGATTTTTCCGACCACAAACGCGACTTTTCCCCTACCATCCCTCCACACCGCCGACCGCCATGTCGACCCGGAAAGTGCGATACAAGAAGCTTAACACAAAGACGCCTCTGCCCGTACTCCGCGAAGATCAAATCGACCCCAACGAATATGAATCCCTCACAAATGAATCTCAAATCGCTACTGGCGTCGAGCAGGCTGAGGAAAATGTGAGTTATCATTACTTTTCTTACCTTTCATACGCGTATCACGTGATTTTCCACGTGACTTCGCGCTGGCTTCTACATGTGTTTTTGATATTGGTTTATATCAACCATATCAACCACCCACCCACCCACTTACCGTGCGCTAATGTTCCCGCCAATAGGAATACCATCTGCAAGCTGCCCTCAAAGGTGTCGGCGCCAGCACGGACAATGAAATTCCGGTGCCGCCGCCTCAGAAGAGCGAGGCTAGTTATGATGAGCTGTATCCCACCCCATATGTAGAGCCTAAAAGCTATATCAAATTCTCTGAAACCGTTGAAGAGACCCTTGGTAGTCTCTATGACATGACAACAGAGGATGAGGAGTATCTCAAGACCTACAATGCCAAGTGGACGGGAAATACCCAACTTTCCGAGGACGACTTCGAGCGCATCATGGAAGTGTTCGAGGATACGGCGTCGGAGCAGGCTCCATTTGCTGCGGTCGACAACACGGTAGTACCGTTTGACACTATGCTCCGCGCAATGAACCACTTAGTCCCCGCTAAGCTGATTCAAGCCCACGCCAAAAATGTCTATGAGTATTGGAAGACTCAACGACAGGCAAGCGGTAACAAGGCCTTGCACCCTGCAGTCAAGTTCGAGACTCACCAAGAGCATGACGATATGGACCCTTATGTCTGCTTCCGACGGCGTGAAGTCCGACAGACAAGAAAGACAAGGGCACGTGATGCGCAGGTGAGCGACAAACTAAAGAAGTTGCGTAAGGAACTAGAAGAAGGACGTCAACTCGTTCTCCTCTCTGGTCAACGAGAAGTGTTCAAGAGAGAGCTACTGAGCAACGATAGAATGATCTTCGGTCTGCGAACTAGCCTCAAGGAAACTAAAGTTCGTCTCGGCATCAAGGGTGAGGACGAAGATCTATTCACTCAAAGGCCGCAGAAACGGCCGAGAACAGAAGCTCAGCAACCTTCTCGGCCTGCTCCTCATGGTCAACTTCGGCTTATCGTCCGCCCCGACGGAGGAAGATCTGTGGAACCAGCTGATCTCGTCGTCCTGGCTGACAAACTCGCCGAGAAGGAGAACGAGTTACGCAATGATGTTGAGATGAAGATTCAGAACCATCGGAGATGGAATCACAGCTACGTGGACCTCACTGCTGACCCGTTGCCTCCTGTCCAAGAAGAAAAGGAGACAAGCTTCAGACCTGCAAAGACCACATACCTAATGACACCGCCGGCATCCGCGTCGGATTCCATGGATGTAGACGAGGCACCTCCAGCAGAGGCGAATGGTTCTCTCCTTCATTCTGGGTTCAAGGGTGTCAACTGGCATCCAGAGGACCACGAAGAAATGTCTTCGTATCGTCGTCGTATTGGCCGACTTGGCCGCTTGTTCGTCGATCGTCGGCCACCGAAACTAAATGGGTTCAAAAGCCCTCCACGCGAGGTGGACTATTCCCAGAGCGATCGGTGGAAGTATGATCAGGACGATGACGACGACGAGCAACCGGTGTATCAAATTGACCCTAACAGCTCTCGTCAAATGAGATTCAGGTCAACGATACCACCGTCGCCCTTCTTGTTTAGGAGACAAGGAGTGGATGCGGCGGCCCTTCAGGGAAGCGCAAATAGGCAGGCTCTCCCACAACCGCAAGCACCTTCGGCTCAACCTTCGGCACCACCACATAATTCGGCTCAATGAACCGCGAGTGGGTGCCGTAAGGCCTCGACGGACCTCGAAAGTCGACTTGGACGCCAATCGGATGCGTAATGCTCGGAAAATGACGATTTCTTGGCTTTATCCATGCGCATTGTTGCCTGTAAGCCTGTAGAGCTTATGCTTTATCTCGTCCTATCAATCAGCCTTCGACGACCTACCCACAGGTGCTCTGCTGTCCTGCCCACGAGATAGACTGATATGTCCACCGAGATATCAATCCCGCTCAGTTAGTTTACCCTTGTTCGCACCAACACTTGTACATACCTACCGCGAACATATGGGCACAGCTCTGAAAATGGCAAATCAGAAGATGGTGTTAGGAACCATCTTGCCGTAAATGTATATAGTCTTCAGAGCCACATGCATAGCCGGGGAGTTGGGAGAGCTGTTCCGGCGTTTAAGGCTCCAGGCAAGGAGGCAGCGTATGGAGCAAATATACGTTCCTCACTTTGTCTTTGTACCCCTTTTCGAAGTTTGACCTGGTTGACGTGATGATTGCATGTTTGCGATTTGTGTTCGTCTTCACTCCTCAAGGGATTATCGTCTGTGAAAGTCGTGGAGCTTGAGTGTCGATAATGATAGCATAATTCCTCTCAGAATTGAAAGATATGCCGTACTTGACGAATATCAAGATAGTAAGTCAGTAAGGGGCCATGGCGCTCCACTGGCGAGCAAGAATATAGTCAAGTATCGGTCTTTGGCGCAAATTGTCCCGCATCTGTGCAGCTTCGTAGGCGTTAGCTTTTCGTTCCGGTTTTAGCGTTAATGTGTAAACGCAACTTAGCGAGTCCACGAAACTTTATATTATTTGAACAATGGGAAAATAAATGCAAAAGAGCTTGTCTGGAAAATTGAAGGTAAATGTGGTAGAGTAGTTTAAAAAAGAAGATGCCGTCCGCTGACAGGCACACCGTGCGAACACAGTCCAAGTTAACGGTATGGATTGCGATTCGAAAAATGTTAATGAGGTAAGGATCACTCCGTTATGGACGAGAGAAAAGGGGATCCAATATGTTAGGGCTATAAGATGACAATTTCATATGATTCTAAGGAAAAGGCATGTCGCAATTTACCTAGGTATGTGTTGTATGGAAGCGCGCAGCTCCGAGGTGTCTCAAGATCGCTCCTCTCGGCTAGACTGGCCTACCTAAATCTACCGATCCATATTCTCGGTATGCAGAGAATATGAAGCAGGTAGCTGTAGATTTATATGCCCGCTGATAGACGATAGTAGTTATCTCGTCCGGGGTTGTGCGATATAAACTTGGATCTGGTGAGGAGTTGACGGAATCCCGCATATAACATGTAGGCGCTGGCGTAATCCGCCCATCTGCGGCGAAGCTCGTAGGATTCGGAGGACAAGAAAAAAAAACCGACGGTGATGCCTAAGAAGGGAGTCGCAGAAAAACAATGGATGTTCGGAAGGACGAGAGGGAAGAAATAAAACGGTTAGGAGTATGTGTCTGCAGGAGGCTTAAGTCAGCGACAGTCGGAAGACGATGTTGGTCTCGGATTACGGACAACAATGACGAACATGGATTCCTATACTCCCCATTCAAGAGACGACTTCTGCACGGTGATTCTTTTCGCTACTCGTATATGCTAGTATAGAAAAAAGAAAGGAAAAATGGGAAAGAGGAGAAATATGGCACTAAGGTTGTTAGTTGGTAAGTTTGTGGGAGGATGACAAGAGGTTGGAAAAGGTAGCAAGCGATTTGGTAATATGGTAATATGGGATTTCTCTCCCTGGTGCTTAGGACTGAAGGCTATTATTGAGGTGAATAAGGTGGTTGCCCCACTCTGGCGCAACTCGACGGCCAGCTGGTACCTAAACTTTAGGCGTCGAGGATCCACCACGTAGATTTAGCCTAACCGCATTGGGCAACCCAAATGGAAGCAGAATCGAAACAGATTTATCGATAAGGGTCATCAAGTCACCCACCAGTCGTCATTGGAAGAGGGGTCTTCCAAAGTTTCTGCACATGCAGATACACTTCCCGCTCTTACATTTGACCCCACAGCAAGAGAGCCTCATATCTTTTTATTTTTCTTGTTCAAACCCCTATACTGGCACGAAAGTGGTCTTCTTTTACAGATTTGAATTTTTCAAGGTTCACAAATTCCGGGATTTTCTTTTAGTCGCGGCATCGAGAAGCTTAAGTTAGTTAGTTATAATCGCCCTATTGGTCCATTCGCCACATCTAAAAGTCCGCGCTTAATTAACAGGTCCATTAAAATTATAATCCTGTCATACTCCACCCCACTCCCATCACCGCTGGCAACGCAACCCCCCTTAACGTCAATATACCTAGTATTAGGAGTACATAGTTTAGTAGTCCCGTCAAAACCCCCCTACAAGCGATGGCGAAGCAGCCCGGCCCCCTCCTCGCCATCGGCTGCGAGGGCAGCGCCAACAAGCTCGGGATCGGGATAATCTCGCACGACCCGGTCACCGGCAAGACCGCCGTCCTCGCCAACCTGCGGCACACCTTCGTCTCGCCGCCGGGCACGGGCTTCCTGCCGAAGGACACGGCGCGGCACCACCGCGCGCACTTCCCGCAACTGACCAAGTCTGCACTCGCCGCCGCCGGCGTGACCGACCCGTCCGCGCAGCTGTCCTGCGTGTGCTACACGAAGGGTCCGGGGATGGGCGCGCCGCTGCAATCCGTCGCCGTGGCGGCGCGCGCGCTGGCGCTGATGTGGGGGCTGCCGCTCGTCGCCGTGAACCACTGCGTCGGGCACATCGAGATGGGGCGCGAGATCACGGGCGCGCAGAACCCGGTCGTGCTGTACGTGTCGGGCGGCAACACGCAGGTGATCGCGTACGCCGAGCGGCGCTACCGCATCTTCGGCGAGACCCTCGACATCGCCGTCGGCAACTGCCTCGACCGCTTCGCCCGCACCCTGGCCATCAGCAACGACCCGGCCCCGGGCTACAACATCGAACTCCTCGCGCGCCGCTCCGCCGGCCGGAAGTTGCTGGACCTGCCCTACGCCGTGAAGGGCATGGACTGCAGCTTCAGCGGCATCCTCACGGCGGCCGACCTGCTGGCCGCGCAGATGAAAGAGCAGCGGGAGAAGATCGCGCGGGGCGAGGACGTCGCCGAGGAAGACCGGTTCGGGCCCGAGGACTTGTGCTTCAGCCTGCAAGAGACGGTGTTTGCGATGCTCGTGGAGATCACTGAGCGCGCGATGGCGCACGTGGGGAGTAATCAGGTACTTATCGTGGGCGGCGTGGGGTGCAATGAACGGCTCCAGGAGATGATGGGACAGATGGCGAAGGAGAGAGGTGGGAGCGTGTATGCGACTGACGAGCGCTTCTGCATCGACAATGGTATTATGATTGCCCATGCTGGTCTGCTGGCATATGAGACTGGGTTTCGTACGCCGTTGGAGGATAGCACTTGTACGCAGCGATTCAGAACAGATGAAGTTTACGTCAAATGGAGAGATTAAAATAACCGATCATTCAACATGCTCAGCTGTGATTACAATGACTCTTTCGATTCGCTGTGAACATCGTCTAAATAGACTTTATATCCCTTGCTTGCGCGGTTTTGGGCCTGCCTCGTATACATCCTTCTATGATTTCGTGTCATCGTATTGTTCTCGTCACAACCGGTTTTCCATAGCGCGGGCCATTGCGCGTTGAGCCTTCCACCAGCAACCTATAACCAAAATTGATCTTGAATAATCTGCCCTCGAAACAATGTGAAATACATGGCACTAGCCAGTACAAGATTCCAAGAAAAACCGCAGTCCCGTTCGAGGTATGTAGATATGACCTTTTCCTTAGCCTAATAGCAAGCACACGAGAGGTATCACCCTCTCAAGATAAACTCCTGTATAATGCGAAATAGTATCACCCGTGGACACTCGACGCAGTTCGTTTCTCTGAGAGCAGAGCGTTACTCGTTCTTCGTCGCCTTGTAAATAATTGTTGTTACATACTTTTTCATTATTAGTATCACGAGCCCAACCAGAATAACTGTTTGAGACAACCTACCTTGCTCTGATATCGAGTAGTAGCCGATACGGCAAGAACGTTGTTCTTGATACTACAGGTAGCTAGATGGTTTAGTATGGTGTGATTCGGCATGTTCAGTACACTATTGTCGTCCTTGATGAGCGTATTGTTATTCATAATCGGTTTACTTAAGAAACCAGGTAGACTGGGTGGTGGCGGAAGTCGTTCCAAGGCCATCGCGGAAAGTCTATATGCCGAGGACTCCTCAGGCTGATCGAAATCATCTAGATACTGAGGGATTTTCGAGGAGAATCTCTCGACTGGATCTATCACTTTCGGTTGTGGACCCTTGACTGAGCCATCGTGGGAAGGTTGTCTCGACGGAAGAGACAGGGCGGCTTCGTTGGATTTGGGCACGCCCGCATCCAGAGGTACATTCCTCGAGCCCGCGTCCTCACCACTTACCTCGATGTAGTTAACAAGGTTGTTTCCAAAATCCACGGTGGTGGGTAAGTCCGGCGAGGTCTGCATATTCCCGTCGACCAAGAATTTTATGTGATGCGTGCCTGGAAAAACGGGTATTATCGTCCGCAACACGCCCTCCTTATCCTTGCTATATCCGAGAAAAAAAATTGTTAGCAGTTAATGTCTACGAATTTCAATTACACTCTAAGCTTCACTTGACACTTGAGACCCATTTTTTTGGTAATCAGACTTCTGAGGCTGGGTCGACAATGGCGAGAATAAGGAGAGCTCACGCTGGAAGTAAACGCTGCTTTCGACTCCACTGAAACGGTGTTCCTGTGACGTAAACCTTCTGGCCACCCCGCGACCACTCTATAGTGGTTGGTATAGTCGGTCGTGTCTTGTCAACTCGAAGTTCTTCAGTATCATCTTCATCAGTAGCATTGCTAAGTCCCGAAGCACGTCGTGGTATACTACTCGTTTCGTCAAGAACCGGTACATCATCGACAGATTTGACGTCAGCGTCACTTGGGCCAACAATGGGCGATCCAGGAGTATGGATTTCTTCTTCAATTGGAAGCGGCAACCTCGGTGGACGATTGGTATGATACGACATATCTTGAATGCTGCTAGAGGTGGGGCCTGATATGAGACTCTCCTCGTACTGGGAGTCGTGGGCGTATGAGGAGTCCTGTTCCGAGTGGGAATAGGAGAAGGGAACTGCTACAGGTTTGGAGTGTTCATCCTTGAATCCGGCGGGCCTCGGCTTTGGTTCGGGAGCTTTAGGAATTGCAGAAGAGTTGTTAGAGCTAGTGGAGGGTGAGGAAGAGTTGAGGATGGAAAGCGGCCTCGACTGGGAGGTCTTGTTAATGATAGATGTACCGGTTGCCTGGATGGTCGAAGCCTCGGGAGAAGCTGGTGACCTGATCTGTTGGTTGTGTATTGATACCAGGTTCTTGGGTTCCTTCTTGGAAGATCGCGGGGAGTCGTGCGACGAAGCTGTAGTGGGGGTGGGCGGCTTCGAGGTTGAGGAAGGGTTATTACCCATTGTTTTGGCGTGGGGTGACGGGGGAGGAAAAGAAATTCCTCCCTCTAGTCGTTAGGCTTAGGCTTATTTTGGGTTGTTCGTAAGGTATTGAGACTTCAAGGGACCGAATTGGCACAGAATTGGATCAATCGCGGGGAAGTCGGAAGCTGACGGGCGGGATGCGGTACGTCGTGCGTCGTGGCCGTGGGCGGGTGCCGCAGGGCCAGGCGGTGTGACCGAGTTTCTCGAGAGGGGATTTGATGAGATTTGATGGGATTTGCTTCGAGTGAATCAAGCTGAGCGATACTGGACAGCATGGACTGACGGGACGTGGATCACCGCAAGCAAAAATTGGTCATGAGACCCTTTTGGCGTAGTTGGGGCTATGAGACAGCGAGAGGGATGTATGGGGGAACGATTGGGGAGACGGGGGAAGATCTAAACGAGGAAGGACGAGGTTCAGCAGGCTCAGATTCAAGTCTCTCGTCGTTCCATGATAACGACTAAGAGAAGAGACCAATCAATCTGCACCCCTGCTCCCTGCTTGCCTACTGCCCGCCTTAGTACCCCCGGTCCAAAGTAACGCATTGACCACAAAAGCCGAATATCACCGCAAGGGTCCAGTACCTATGTACCATTATCAAGCTTGGTACTTGATTACCTACTACATACATTCTATACATTTTATATTTTACATTCATATATGCAATCATTCAGCATACAGCTGATCTAATAATGCTTGGTCACCTTCCATATCATCCCATCTAGATACAACGGAATTAACGAACCCGGGAATAAACTCTCTCATCGTCACTTCTACCTGCAGTGAGAAGTCTTTAATCTATACGTGCATCGATGCAAGCAAGTCAATCTTGTCGAGGTCAGCGGTGAGCGCAACTCAACAACCACAGCAGATTACTGTCATGCATGTACCAAACATGAAAAAAGAACATCGAGCCGATCGAGCCGCGTTGCTGCACGTGGATTTACTTGGCTTTTCAATTACATAACAATCTTTCGTCTTTGAGTTTTGACCCCAAATATGTTCCAGTACTTCCGTACATCGTACATTTCCGGCAGCCAAGCCAAGCCTTAGTGTTCCAATCGACCTTTCCTAGCTTCCATTTACCCCACCGGATCGGACTAACGAATTCACCTTCCACCCGCGGAGTGGAGTCGTGCTCCGGTTCCACTTCGCTGTCCTAGCTGTTCTCGTCGGGGCAACGGCGGGTTGGGCGGTCTAACAATTACTCCCTAATAGAGCTAACAAATGTAAGGTACATTCCCAGGTAACCGGCAACTACCACTCAGCCATTGCATACCAAAGAGCTGGAGGGAAACTAAGGCCGTGTATGTGGTACCTGGCTACATTTGATCATCTGAAGCTGATGCCAAGAATGGAGCGTCACTTTTGTCATACCTAAGCCTTCTCATTCCGCCGGTCATAATATTCGGTCAAGGGGTAATGATTACCATTATACCATCATACTATTCTACTCTTGAACTATCCCGCGAATTCAACTTGCGTTGTCCACCGGTCAAGTTCGAAGTCGCCAGTTAGAAGCGAAAGAAAGAGAACAGCTCACGCCATCATCAAAGTCTTCAGGCCACGAGGCCAATTCATGACCATGGATTGGCTGGCCCCCTTGCAGACCTTTGGCACGTCATATCTGTATCCCGCGCTTAAGCTGTTGTCGAGGATGTGCTACCTTGTCACGATACCTCTACACTATCCCATATACTACCTCCTTTCTCTAGTCGTGTTTCTTCTATCCCCTATCTGGCACATGCTTCATGCTGTCTCGAACGCTGGCCTGGCTGTTGTGGGTTTATTCCCTAAGCTTAAGGTATCTACTTCTATAGCTCTCTCTATAGCAATCCCTGCAACCTGTGTAGGTAGATAGACTCCGTTGCTAATTTTTACATAGTACCTCTATATCTATGTAAGGATATCAATTGAAAAAACGTATATCGGGAATGGCTGTCGTACTGATACTGACACACAAAATGCAGCTCGCCTGCGCAGCTGTTTTAGGCATATGTGCTGGATGCGTATTGCATGGAATGTCAAGCTTTATCTTTGTCTCGCTAGGCGTTGATTCGTCACAGGATCAAGATTCAGACTATCGAAGATCCAATCTGGCAGCCTTTGGTGATGATGAGCTGGATTTTGACATAACAGAATCCGGGACGCGATCAGAGGGGAGCTCTAGCATACTATCTGGGCCGAACGTACCCACAAGGCGTGCAAAACCAAAGCAGGGCAAGGATGATGAGTACGAGTTTTTTGAGAAGCAGTGGAATCAGTTGAGGTCTCCTAATAAGCCGATGCGACGACGTAGGGGATTGCTTTCCCAGACGATCCATGAAGAAAGTAGTAGCGATCTTACTTGATTTCGGAGAAAGAGATCTTGAAGTCAATGCCTTTTCTACACTTGGGTCACTCACAACTTGCGAATCCCGGGGTTATCCATACCACTACGCCACTGCTCACTGGATGTAAGATGACCTAGGTAGCTCTACCTAGTTAACCCACGGATTTATGAATTGTTAAAGTTGTTGGGGAGAGATTCTGTGAGGCTAACCTCCTGATCATGTGCCCACTTTGTATTATACCTGATGGGACACGACGTTGAGGCTTTCAAGTTAGTATTGCCGTTGTTGGCCATGGAATCACACGTTTCATTGCGAAGCCCATATATGAGAATTGCGTGGAGCTTGACTTCTGCTAACTAGATACTATAGATAATCCCTACAATATGACGCCCATGAGAGGCCGAGTATCAGATAACTACCTAATGATGATCCATAGCTTCTAATGCTATCTAGCTTAGAAGCTTTACTATCGGATGTCCCGGAACCTATATAACCACTGTCCTATCTATGACAGCAATACCATGACACCTACAACGCCTAGCATCGGCAGCAAACTCACCATCGTCATACAACCCGCTCCAGTTGTAGTAGTCGATACAACGCTCTGCCCTCCCGACGCTGAGTCCACTGCAGATTCCACATCAACAACCGACCCCAATGTCGACGTCTCCTGCGGGACCTCACCGCTTGTCGAAGGAGATAGCGTAGCTGATGTCTTCGAAGCCACGGTAGACGACGGCGTAGCCGTGACCGAGGGCCCCGGAGTCGCCGTAACAGCCTGACCATCAACCCCCGACCTCGACAACACGGTTTGCGTCAAATACCAACTAGACCACTCAGACGGCTCGGTGAAAGCTGCTACCGCGTTAGCCAGCCCAGACACTCGCATCCACATCCGCATCCGCCCCTCAACTCATCCTACTTAATACCCCTAAAACCAAAAAGAAAACAAGGGGGAAATAGGTAACATACGCCTCTCCGTAACCGTCATCCCATCAATCGTCGTCGTAACCACGCTCCCGTACTCCAAGCTCGGCACGCACGCCGTGCGAGTCACCAACTCGCTGTACCCCTCGACGCACCAGAACATGCACCAGCCCACATTCTCCGGCGTAGCCTGGTTCATCACGTGGCACGCGCTATAGCACCCAGGCGCGGCGCTGCTCTGCTCCGGTGTCGCCGCGGTGTGCACGCAGTCGAGCTGGCAGTACGGGATCGCCGTCTCGTTGACGGAGCCGGGGAGCAGGCTACCCGTGGCGACGGCGATGGGAGCCCCGCATCCCAGCAGGCATGGCACGTCGTTCACGTTGAATGGCGACGAGCCGTCGAGCGTGTCCTCGCAGATGATCGGGTCCGGGATCGCGAACGCGGCGGGGACGGGCACCGTGAGGAGGGCCGTGAGGATGAGTTTCTTCGGCCGAGTCATTTTCTTTTGCTCGGATACAAATTTATCGACCAGATAAATGCTAGGTACCTTCGGTATGGCTATGAATAGTTACTAGGTAATACGAACACAGATATCTTGTCACCTACTACGGGAATTAACATTTTGAAGGCATGGTGCCAAGATCATGAGATATATGTATGAATCTGAGCTTCAGCTGAGTGTCGTCTATACGATCCTCCTCACAATTGGCCAAGTCTAGACCCGGAATGGTTACATTGTGCCTGCCTATTCTCCAGCGGCGCAGCACATATGGACGTGACTGCATGCATAGATACGAACCCGACAATGATGAGATGTGACTTCTTCCAGTAAACGAACCGTGTTGCCTTACGTCTAGAATGGTGGTAGGGCCGCGATTTCCATTCACCAATCCATAGGAGCGACTCCGAGAGACAACATCCAGTTACTACGAGGAAGTTCACCTCCACTTCATGTAAGCCCAGTTATCATACGAATCCGATTCAATTCGTGTATCAAGCCTATGCTATGAGACCAGCACAATACACCACGCGCCCAGCAGTGCGCATGTCCTAGAAATCCTCAGAACACAAAACGCCAACCCATCCGCCGCAAGCCACACCATGAGCTTACCGCACGTCATTGTTTGCAAACCAACCGTAAAGTACACAATTATGAGCCTCGGCCTCTTCGACCTCTTTGAGGTCTCTCCGAAACGCAGTATCTACCTAAGTGGGCGGGAGGCCTGTTGGACGAAGGGGGCCTAGGAGGTAAAGAAGGGTGAGAAGGACCTAGAGATGATCTTCTTGGTCCTTGAGATCCTCTGCGATTCTATCGCCTATAAACATCTCGATCCCTATCCCTGGGAGAACGGCTACGGCTACGGGTCTGACTTGCTCGGCTACGATCATCGTAATCTCGGTCGCGTCGATCCCAGTCATGCCGTCTGTCGTCCCGATCATCCCATCTTCGGCGATCGTCCCTAGGAGGCCGATCCTCTCGGGGCGGGCGGTCGTCTCGTCCGCCAGCACGATAGCTAGGAATGTAAGTGTCGACATCTGGTCGATTGCCTCCGCGGTTTCTAGGCGCTCGCTCCCTGTACGAGTCGTGGTGCTCGGCGGGATTATCCCATCCATTACCGGGATAATCGGGCGGAGGTGGGCGTTGCGGCAGTCGGTGGTCCATGTGAAGCGGATCTCGGGCCCACGCAGGTCTACGCGTGTCTTCACCACGGTATCCACCACCATGATGTTTTTGGTACCTACCATTCATCCTATTACCGTAACCGTCGCTTCCAAACGAAGCGTTAGGACCTTCAAACGCGCCGACGCCAACGGTGCCCCCTTTAGGAGCTGGTGGAAGAGCAGCTTTGCGGTCATGGAACTTCCTACGGTCCAGTTCGTGGCTGTCTTCGAAAGTAGGAATATCTTCTGGCTTTGCCGGGTAAGGTGCCGTCTTGAAGTAAGGATGTTCCAATGCATCGATGGCATTGATGCGGGCCTTCCAATCAAGCATCAGCAATTCTTTCAGCAGAGAGATAGCGCTTGAACCATGTTCGCGGAATCTTTGCGATAATGTAGAGGGTTTTGGTCGCGGGTTGAGTCCCTCGGCCCCAGGTAACTGTCGCCATCCTGGCATAGTCTGGTCCGTTGGCGTTCCGACGAGGTCAAATATTATCTCGAGCTGGTGTGCATCGCTCTCACCAGCTAGGATGGGTTTGCCAACTAGCATCTCGCCAAATACACAGCTAAAAAGCATGTTAATGGACAGTATAATAATAAAGCGGTTGGTGAATCTTACCCCACACCCCACATGTCAATAGCAGTGGTATATCTTTTAAGGTGTAATAGAAGCTCAGGAGGTCGGTACCATCGTGTGACAACAAGGCTTGTGTATTCCCGTCGTCCCTCACCGCCACCTTTTCCACGTTCCGGGACTGGGCCATCATAGTGTCTCGCAAGGCCAAAATCGGCAATCTGAAGTATGCCTTTGTTGCTGATGAGCAAATTGGCAGCCTTCATATCGCGATGGAGAATCTTGCTGTCGTGAAGGTAACGGAGGCCTTCGAGGAGTTGGAGGAGGTAGCATTTGATCTGGGGTACGGTGAATTGGACGGAAGGGTTATCGAGTAAACCAGACAGGTCGTGGTCCATGTACAACATCACCATGTACATGATCGGTCGCTTTCTCTTGTCGGCTTGATGATGTTAGGTTTGTAGAAATATTCGCATGGAATAAACCAACTTACTCATCTTGCTGTGGTGCTCAACGGCCATATCTTCCAAGCGCAAGACATTTTTATGCGACAGTAATTTAAGCAGCTTGATCTCTCGGAGTGCGGTGATGGGAAACCCGTCTTTCTCATTGTGCATAATAATCTTCTTGAGAGCAACTAGTGTCCCAGTTTTGCGTGACCTCGCCTTGTGAACTTCGCTATGGGGAAAGTAAGCATAAAAGACGGAGTGACAACGGATCAAAAAGCAACTTACCCAAAGGTACCCTCGCCTAATTTACCAAGAAGCTCGTAGTCGATGATTCTTGAGCATCCTACGAAGCTTTCTCTGGGTCGTTGGTGTTGAATCGCGAAAGATCGCGGCGAAGGAGCCGCGCTTGCAGCATTTTGCGCCATCTTCCACGCTATGGGATCGATATTGCTGCAAGTTTCTTCGGATGAGGCGACGGTGATGAAGGTTGGAGGTTATTAGAATCGTCCTGGTTGGGAGAGGAAGGTCAAGAGTTGATTGATGGACCTGGAATCGCAAACCAGCAACGCGCTAGCTTGCGATTAGAGTAAATGAATTATGTAAAATCTGGGCGCATTGTGAGAATTAACCCTAGACAACTATTTGTACGCAAGTCGACGTTGGCAGGTTGGGTATGTGTAGAAAGATATGAATTTCTGCGGTGATAACGAATTAGACTTGGAAGCTTCCAAGGTTCTGACGTTCCAAGGCGTTGAAGGTCCTTTGATCGCGCTGAGCTAGACCTACCAGGAAAAAACACCCGCCACAGCAAGCCTCAGGTCCCACTATATTGACGCATTGAATGCCTTAGGTGGAAGTACGTACATGGATACCTAGGTACTTTAAATGCTAGAAGCTTTAAAGTGGAGATTACCAAAATTTGGACGAATCAGACAGTCCACAAATCCTCATTACGTAACAATCATTTCCATCGGCTAATATTCGGCTTCATCAGATAGACGTATTCCTAAGCTCTCGGATGTACCGTACATGACTTTCCAATTGGCCCCATCACGACATCACTCCGGATCATACAAGCGCATTTCTCGGTCTACAGCGACACTTCTTTGAACAGCAGACTATCAATTCGAGCAGCAATGGCTGGTGATCCTCAGCCCACGCCTCCCGGCTCAAGGAAGATTCCTCTTTACTGGCCTATAGCACGAGCTCCCATTCCGGCCACTCCAGCCCCTCGCATCTACAGATACACTGCGACCGCCCTAGGCGCAAGCATGTGGTTCTTCGTAAGTCTCCATCGCTTGCCTCTGCTCAATACCACCCTACTAATTCCTTACGTAGTTGATGTACCGAGCGAAGAAAGATGGTGATTAATCCCGAACCCAAACCGTGATGAGCTATTACTTACCCGAACATTAGGCCCTGTCTTGATGGGCTGGAAGCACCCGTGGGACCACTAGACGAATATGAAATACAATGGCCGTTAGATACCCAAGGCCCAAGAAGATTCGATAAGCTCGATGAAGAGACTCGAGATGTACATACGCAGTAAACGCCAACCGACAGGAAGTTAGCATGATGAAAGAGAAGAAGAATTAGTCAAATGGTCTATTCGTTATATTCGTGTGCTATGGTATTGCTATTGCGTTTATTTCGGCTTCTCAAACAGATACTGGGCCACTCCCCAAGTGTCACCTCCCTCATAGGCGAACAATTCCGAGCAAGCCATGTAGAAGATCTTCCACCTATTATACCACATGTTTGCATTCTCGCCATATGTCTCTACTAGATGCGGCTGAATCTCCTTTGAGTTCGCCATCATATTCTCGAGCCAATGCTTGGTTCAAATTAGTATACAGCAGAAATAGTCTCGGGGATGGTCCCTTACGGACCCTGACGATTAGGGGCGTACTAACCTCGCATGTCTTTGAGTAGTTCATTCCATTGACCCACCACTGCTTCTTAACCTGAAGATCTTTCTGGAAATACAATAGCAGGTCTGCCGACGGCACTATATGAAAAACCCCGAGTTAGCACGTATTTTTTATGGGCAGCCCTGAATAGGGACATTGACTTTCGGACACGTACTGGTTCCTCCGGTGAAAAAGTTCTCCGTCATCCATCCCTCCTCAAAGTCGTAGGGTGTAGTTTTGTGAGCGAAGATGTGCACGAACAACTTGCCCCCTGGCTTTAAGGCCCTCGACACCTTAGCCATCAGCTGCTCATAGTTCTTCATGTGCTCGAATAGCTGGGAATGATGTCAGAAACATGTCAGAAACAACAATTCGTATCATGAAGGGGTAGTATTTAATATCGCTCATTACCTCTATAGAGATCACCCGATCAAAGGCCTGCTTCTTGAACTCGTAGTCCACGACATTGCCCGTGATGACGGTAAGATTCGACAAGCCCTTCTCCTTCGCCTTCGAATCGATATACTCCTTCTGCGTCCTCGAGTTCGAGAACGCGGTGATCTTGGACTTGGGGAACTTCTCCGCGAAATACAAGGACGCGGAGCCCCAGCCGCACCTGCGCACGTGATCAGTATTATATAGTATTTCAGCTGATAAGGTCCAAGGAGGCGTCTAGTTTGCTTACCCAAGATCCAGGATGCTTACGCCGTTACGGAGTTTCGCTCTCTCGATATACAAGTCGAGCATGGCGATCTCCGCCTGCGCGAGCGTCTCGCCGCCCTTGGGGTACAGGCAGCTGGAATACTTCATGCGCGGGCCTAACATCCCCGCCAAGACCCCCGTGCCGACCTCGTAATGCTGGGTGTTGGCAGTGGCGGTCTCAATGGCGATGGGACGGGTGCGCAGCAGCTCGATGTACTTCATCTTGCGCTCGTACTCCGACGACAGCGTCGACGTCTTGATCTCGGCGAGCCGCTGCGCCAACTGGCGCCGGATGCCAATCCGGATCACGCCGTGCGGGACGTATCCACCGTCGAGGAGCCAGTCTACGCCGATAAGTAAGCGACTGATTCCGTATCCAAAATAACGTGGTTACATATTCCTTACCAATATTCATGATGTATATAACTTGGGGCTTCTTTCGTATAGCTAGATAGTTTGATATATATGATACTGTATATGGTATATGAATAGTTGTTGTATAGAAGAATGATTGGCAATTCCCATGTCTCGGAGGACGGATATCAGGAATGTAGAGCGCTCGGTCTCTCACCGTCTCATGCACATGCAAGATAGCACCTAGGCATCCTAGTCCAAAATGCCCTGTTTCAAACGCCCGGCACTGCATACGTCAAAAGTGGGACCAACCGAGATAGTCTAAGTGTTACCACGTACATATAAAAAGCATCAACATCTTTAACAAAGAATTTTTGATCTGCTCGAAGCGGTTAATCATCTGGTTCGGCTTGAATATACAATGTCTATGAATAGCCTCAATGGCCCAAGCTGATAAAACCAAACAGATGTATGTTCATAGCACGAAGACACATTGAGTTAGCTGAGAAGCGCAGAATTGCTGGTATCTCTTTAGTAAAGTAATAATAGTAAGCCACAATGGGGTGTCAAGGTCCCAATTGTGACCATTTCTTGACTGAATCGATCCGATATATCCCAAATGCCTAGGTATTTTCATGCTTTCCGCTTGCCTTTGGGATCTCGCCGCCTTTCCCAAACCTGCAGATACGATTCGCCCAAATACAGCAGTTCTTTCTGAGTCTGCTCTACGAATAGATCTTGGCACACAACCCATTCATCTCTTCCCTTGTCCTTGAGCTGGACTTTCCACGTCTTCCGTTCCTCTCCCGAGTCAGCCACGTCCTCCTTAGCTCTAACAGCCTCATGCGTGACGTTTGCAACCAGATCGTACCAAATAGGTTCTCCTGGAGGATACTCTGCCGGGCTGGGTTCTACATAAGGCGATACATCAAGACCCACGCGCGCATCAAAAGTGACGATCGTAGGGTTGCGCTCTGATACAAATTTGTTTGTAGAGAAGCGCTTGATGTGGAATGTAAGGTAAGGCGGTAAAGGGTGCATTAGTCGATATCGTTTCCTCTGCGCTAGGTGCTCCTGCGCTTTGACACCGTCATATTTAGATAATATGGTAGTCAGGGGCACTTGCGGGATGATGTTTCGTTCCAGCTCGTCCTGAAATAGGGGCGCTGGTGGTAGATCGAGCGTCAAGAGTAAGAATCGACTGATTTCCGCCTTTACCTCTGCCGCCTCTTCGAATCGCAAGCGATCGTTAGCATCTGCCTTGGCCGTGATAGCTTGCGACTCGACTTTTAATTTCCCCTGGAATATCCTTTGTATGATACTGCTTCCCGGTTTTGTCCTGCTCCCACCCAGTCCCAGGTGCAAGTTGTTGAGAAACCACGATAAGAACTCGACAGGGTCAGATTGCGTTGTTAATGTAAACTTCTTGTTAGATCTTAACGAGATCTCTTGTAACAGTTCGTGAGGCGACACGTGGTTTTTGAAAGCTCGAGGGTTCCAGATCTTCCGGAATAGAATACCGCAACGCTTCACGAGCTCAGCGCGCGACGAGAGATCTTCTAGCAGGAAGAAATTGCGAAGGGGCGAAACATGAGATAGCGCCTGGACTACGACGTTGAGGTAATCGTTTTCCTTGATATTATTCATTCCCACAAAACCAGGCGTATACTCTTTTCCATCCAGTGTCCATGCGGTTCGCGCCTTGCGATCTAGCTCCATCACCTCCTGCTTCGTGTACCTCGGATCAGATACGTATTTTATATCGTCCAAAGATTTACTCTTCACTTCGTAGCCTTCTGGTAGCACGTAAACCTTTTGCGTCTCCATATTGATGAACACATGGTGTCCAACTTCGAGAGAGTGAAAATATGCATGCGATTTGGGGCCGCGTCCTTGAAAGTATTTGCCGCAGACTAGACACGCATAGACATTTATGTTTGACAGGCTGATGGAGCATAATTTTTCGAAGTCGAAGTCGAGCACGTTGCGATCGATCGTGTCTAGATAGAGATCATCATACCCTTCTGTAGGGGCGGACTGTCGTATCGGTGCCTTCGAAGGCTCATCCTCAAAATCGTCTTCATCGTCTAGTCTCCCATCTGAAACGGAGGTGCCATTCCCATTTAACTCAGGACCGTCGTCGACTCGCGATCTTTTTGATACGGGGGTGTCAACGCCTTGGAGGTCCTCTAAAGCTTCAGAGGCCTGTCTTTTCGACATGTTGTGTGGATATAGAATTCGTTTCGGGTCATCCAATTCCGGGAAAATATGGAAGATTTATTAGATCCTCAAGGCGTGAGGATCAGTGTTGGGTTGGATTGAATACAAGGCTAAAAAGCTGAGGGTATGGATGGGTGCAAGTCGCGATTTTGAAGCTTTCAAAGCTCAATTTTACCCTTGTCGGGTACGTACCTACTGCACCTAAATCTCTTATCCATATACGTGCCCCACCAGGCTCCAGACTCTTGGCACTTTCTCAGCCAATCAAATACTAGCAAAAACTTGCATAGAGCTATTCATAATTCACAAGCATAATCTCATGCAAAATCACAGGTCACAAGTTACAAAACAGGTCGTTACGGATATTGTCATTTTGTATTAACTATCAAGAATCATGTGTGACTGAACACTCTCATCATTCCGGGGTATCATATTTGTATCATAAGTCATATCTATTCCCGTATCACTTTGTGACTTGCTTCAACTTGGAACTCCTTGCTCTCATCGGTGTGCTTTGGCCGAAAGGTGTTCGAGGTGTACTTCCACCGCTTCCTCCAATCTTAGTCCAGAGTCGCTGAGCTGCTGGTGTTAGACCTGCTGTGACACGGGGACTACTTGGAAACTTAGGGACAGGCGTTTTGTCAACTCTTCCGGTCAACCCGATTTTGGCTGACGTTCTCTTGGATTGTGAGATCCGATCGACCATGCGATGGTGAAGGGCTTCCCTCTTACTTTGTTCCTTGATGATGAAGGGATTTGGGGTTGAATCTCCAGGTCCAAGGTCGATCTTCGGCGCCGTTGGTGGTTCATACTCTGGCTCCTCATCATCCACGAATGCGTAGCCGTTAACCCTAGGTGTTTCACTCCCTACAGTAGTCGATTCGAGTTCGCTTGTCCCTCGTTTTCCCGCAATAGCATCGCGAACGGCCGACAACGATGGGGATGATGGCACTGATTCACCGTCGCTAATCTTTGGCACCGGTAATCTAGTGTTCTCGTAATTTAGCCCCTTTGGAGCAGCTCGAGACTCAGCTTCCGCCTTCTGTATTCTAGTCTCCATCGAATCTTCTATACCTTCCGGAATAAACATCAAAGGATTCTTTGGCGTTGAGATCTTCACAATAGGTTGAGCGGATCTTTCATCTCGGTCCTTGATGGCTAAACGATCCCTCTTAAATCCATCATCTGTTAAGCTTCGCGTCTCCATCAGCTTTGCCTCGATTTGTTTTTGCTTCAGCTGCATTTTAGAAGGCATTTTATTCCCATTCCATAACCACGCATACTTCTCGGCCTTCTTCAAATTCTGTTTATCCAAAAGTTTGTAGAAACTCTCGTTGTCCTCGCTCGTGTATTTAGATTGGAAAGCACCTAGGCTCATATTCGTATCGATCTCGTCCTTCTCTTTCACGCCTGATATAGTAGATTCGGATGAGACAGATACTGGGGTATCTCCAACGAAACCCCTTGGTGTTTGCGCGCCTGGTGCTAGCGATGTTCCCCTCCTCGTTCTTTGGCGTCCCGGAGTCATGACTTGCTGAAGTCGTCGACTTGCGCTTGAAATCCATACTTCATCCTTCGATTCGATCGCATCTAGATATTCTTGCTGCGTTTCGCTCTCTAGAAGTCCAGGGAAGAAATCTCGGGCGATGATTTGTGAAAGCGCATCTGTATAGCTATCTTCGTCGAGTATCTTCTTTGGTCGCTTAATTCGCTTCGGCGCTGGCGGCGGAGGCATCAATTCCATATCAGTTCTCTTCCGGACAAGAGCTGTAGAAGCATTTTCCTTGCGATCCATGACTGCCTATAGCGCCTTGTTTTGCGAAAGGATGGTTCTTTGTAATCGAATTCCGGTGTTAGAGATGAATGATGACAGAAGGGTAACAGGCTGGCGGCGACAGGTAAAATGTCGGGCTATGTTTATCGATAGAGAGTCGAGACCCACAATAAGGTTAAGCCTCTGTGTGGATTAGCATGTGCCACTGACGTGATTCAAGTCAAAAGTAGGATATGACTAATCACAGTATCCGACTTATTCTTTTGCAAACCTCTCCTCATTTTCAAACCATCGATAGATACCAACCACATTTACGTCAATACGTACACTTCCCGCCTCCACATGACTTCGCACAGGTCGAAGGTGGTTCGATCTTGTCTACTAGTTGATGTATCTTCTTAATAATATTAAGCTTTACTACACTATATTAGCTAAAGGCAACTGTTTATGCAGGACTTAACAGTACAGCCATATATACAACCTTCCATAGGGATAATCATCCGTTCGTGGATAAACTAGTTGTCAAGTTTGACTCTAACCTTGTATATAGGGAGACGTTATAGTAATCATAAAACCGATTAGAATCGCAACAAATCTCCGCTTCCATCACATATTCACTCACACCGAAGGATGCCTCACTCTAACATGCGACCCCGTTTTAGCCATCTATGAATTAGACTTGTTAGTCGGGATAATCGTGGCAGTCATCAGACACATCACATAGCGAAGCTCGAACTCAATATGGTCATGAGGTCTTTGATTGACCTAGGTATGTGGAAGAAAAGGTATGTACAGTGAAAAAGCTAGTGTTACAGAAGTCTAGTGACGACCACGCAAGAGCGAAGGAAAAGAATATGCAACCCGCAGACCCCGCGAATGTCCCCAAATGTCATTTGTTCAACCGTCCCTAAATGAAAAATCCCCTTTTTCAATTCCGCCCAACTATCGTAACAGCGTCCCCGCCCCCTTCCCTAAAAAAGAAATCCAACGATGGGGAATAAACTTAAGCCTTGAAGAAGCGGACCATTCGCTTGCCGATGGCAGCGATGTTGAGCGTGGTGCCCTGGCCGGCCGAGCACGTGGTGCCGCTGGCCATTTGCATGGCCACGGACCATTGGCCAGAGGCGCACTGTTGGTAGGTCGAACCCATGCAGTTGAAGGTGCCTTCGGGGCTGCAAGCTCCAGTCAAAACAGATCCGGAGGAAGTGCTGGAACCGGAGCCAGCGCTGGCAGTGGGGGTAGCCGCGGCAGCTGAGGTCGCGGCACTGGAGGCTGCGGCGGAAGTAGGAGCAGCTGCAGCGGAAGTGGGAGCGGCAGCAGAGGGACTCTGGGTGATGAAGACACCGCCAGCACCGGCAGACGAAGCAGCAGACGAAGCAGGGGCAGCGGCGCTGGAGGCAGCTGCGCTAGTGGCAGCAGCAGCGCTGGATGCAGCCGACGAGCCCGAACCGGAAGAGCCAGAGCCAGAGCTGGAGCTCTTGCCAACTGTGCAGCCGCTTGTGCCGCAAGTGGCGACGGTGCCAGCGGAGGTGTTGTCCTCAACCGAGCTGCCGGGGTCGGCGAAAGCGTAGTCGTAGCCCTCGAGAGTGGTGGGCTTACCGGCAATGTTCATCACCAGCATGTCGGGAAGGGCGTCGAAGTCAGATTGGCTACCACCGGTACCAGTGAGCTCAAGAGCACCACAGTTCATGTACTGAAAAGAGTGTTAGCAAAAGTTAAAATTTTATGAAAGGTGAAGGGGAGAAAAATTACTTACCATTTCACGGTTGCCGACCTTGTTGAACCAGGTCCAGGCAATAGTAGCCTTTCCGGCGGGGATGTTGCTGGGGATGGTGTAAGGGTAGGTGAATGGGTCGTCAGCATCAGCGCTGTCGCCCATGTTACCACTGACACCCTTAGCAGGGCAGCCGCCCTCAATGGAGTGGATAACCTTCCACTTGCTGTCCTTGGTAGGGGTCGTGTCGTAGGTAATCGATACCTGGCACGAACCACCTCCGTGGGTGGCTTGGCCGACGAATGAGAGGGTCTGCTTAGATCCGAGGGCGAAGGTGTTGGTAGTACCACCGGTGGCAGAGTAACCGGAGCCGAACTTGCAAGGGAAATCGCTGCCACTGGCGTCGAGGGGCGAGTTGTTGAGAGCCGAGGGGTCAAAAGGAGCCGGGCTCTTCATCTTCATGTGGCCGTTAACAAGGGCAGCGAGCCCGGCCAAGGTAAAAATCGTAGAAGACTGCATTTTGAGTATGTGATGGTGAGACGTTTATTGGTTCCAGCCGATAAGATCTCTAAAGAAAGTTTGTGCAGGAATGAATTGAATGATCGATGTGAGTCAAGACTGAAGAGTCTGTATGTCTTATCTAATAAGGCTTCGAGTTAGTCTTATTATATCTACTTTACAATGCCACCTTGTTCTGTGGTTGAGAGTACACAAAGCGTTGAACCAAGTAGATAGATCTCGAAGAGGCTCTTTCTGATCAAATCATGTAGTTCAACAAGGTAATTGTGCAGCCTTTGGATCAAGGAAGCAAGCGAAACAATGGGATACTAACCTGAATTGCTTTGTTCTGGTGAGGGTGAACAGAGCGAGGTATCAGTGACAATGAGAGAGCGAGATCGATCAAGATGTTTCTTCGCGAGCCTAGACTCAAATGAAAGTTGATGCTCCTGGCGATTTGTAAAAAGTGAAGAAACTGAAAAACGAGGCCTGGCCTGTAAAGGAAGGAAAGACTTCTGTGAAGATGTCGTGAAGAGTGCTGCCACTGGCGTGAGGAGAGAAGAAACGAAACGACCGACTTGGGAGGGCTTGAAGCGATCGTATTATAGTCTTGGAGGATGGCAAAAAGAACGGAAGGCGGCAACTAGAGATGCACGATGATGGCAAAGAAAAGAATGTGACTAGCCTGGATGAGCTGCAGGAACAGGAAGAGAATGTAGAATGATTGGGTGCGGTAGGAATGAAGTAGAACACTTGCTCACGCCCATTAACGGTCTTATTAACTTACTACGCAGCGCGAGATCCACTCGAGGACTCAGTCGGGAGTAGATCGCTGTCTCCACACATTAGGTTCGGATGGAACGTAGCCAGTAGAGCTCAGCCATCTTGATCGCTCTCGTGGGTTTCGAAGCATGATGGTTGACGAAGGCGGACAAGGGCAGGGGGTAAGGGGGGTAGGGATGAAGTGGATGACAGCCTTGACAGGGAATGCAAGGTGGGAAAGGCGTTCGGGAATACACGATAGGCTGAATTACTTGGTAACCTCTTTTTTGGCTTGTTTCGTCTTGGCTTAACATGCGACCAAACATCTGGTCTAGATAGCCTTACTCACAGTATGACAGTATAGATTGACGTATCTTGAACAGTTTATACAGGGTTTTCTGAAAAAGCCCTTCTTTGTTCACATTTCTTTTGTTCAGCTGGCCTTGCCGGTTTACTGTTAGACCCCACTGTCTGGGCCGTATGGAGAAAAAGGGTCGAATCTTCAAACGACTCAGATCGACCTTGTTTGCTCCCTCAGTACTACCCCCCGCATTGGTCAACCGTGAGCCTGTGAAGGAAGACTTACATGCGCTCGCCTGCTGACGACTTGTGACAGAGAAATTAATTAGGACAGCTACAACTGCCTAAGCTGTACGAAGATGGCGAATATTTAGCAAAGGAGTGGAGAGAGGAATTCTTTTACGGCATAGACCTCGGCCGTTCCTGGAATTCAAGTTTCAGAATATACATAGCTCAGGGGATTTTCAGGCCCCACCAGCCTTTGGATTTTCAGCCAATCAGATGGCTAGAAGACTAAGTCGACTTGCCCTATTCGGACGAGTCCGGTAGCCAATCAAGACCCAATCATTTAGCTTGCGGCGTCACAAACTTTACCTTACGCTTGGTATTTCCACCGCGATTTCTAGAATAGTTGCGCAATCGCGCACAGGAACTTACCTAAGTTTGGAGGAGTCGTGAGAAACCGGGAGGTATCTCAAAAAGATACTCGTGCGCGTCTACGGAATAGTGTACGCCCGAAAATAACAGGACGAGATCGTCAGGAGGTACGAAGAATAGCCGTCTAAGAGCAGGGCGAAATACGGGAGACTTTCCGCTTACGTACTGATGGGCAAGGGGAATAGGGGAATTTTTTCGCTGCATGTCAAATGCGAAAAGGCTTTCAGCCTCTAGAATTCAGCAGGTCCAGGTTTGCGCGCGCCGGGAGATCTAATTACAGCCACTCACAGTCTCGAGACAGGGGTCACGTCGTTCCCCAAAAGCATTTTTAAGCCTTCCCAGGTTTAAAAGCTGCGTGCCCCCTAGCCCCTGGCAGGGGTTTCTGTGGCTTTAACCGTTGACAGCGATTGCATTTTCGCGAGAGGCAACCCCCCCTTCTCCCCTTTTCCCCGCCTTCACCAGACTTGTCGAAACCTGAAACCGTGCTAGTTTCAGGGATTGCCTAATTGGAGCCCTACGATGCAAGATTCGTCCATTCGAACTCTTGGACCAAGATGTCCCCTTTTTTCCTATCTGTGTCTAAAATTCTTTTTTCCATTCATTAACCGAATTACACAGTACCTCCGGCTGACTGGAACCTTCACCTCGAATACACGGAATAAGTTCCGAATTTAAAGTATTGTACGACTTAACTAGTCATCAGCTGTAGTACAGACATGGGTATAGAGATGCAAGCAAGAAAGCTTGAATTGTGGCAACCAATTATCTCAACCAATCGTGTCATACCCGGGCTGACCTGGGAGACATACATCGTACAGTAGTATCGCGTCCTTCGACTGACCGTATTAATTCAATACTAGCCAGTACAACTAATGCACGCACTGAAGTTTCTCACGTCGTGCGCCCCACGCGCCGTCTTCATACCCCAAAGTAGGTGACCGGACTGCACATGGTGAATCGGTGGCCACCGATCAGCTAGGAAGCGCCGAGACTTGGCGGATGGGTGTCAAATACCACCACCTCCTCAATCCGGGCTAGAAATATGAGGCTTTAACCATCACCGGCAGCCAGCTGGTCGGCCAGGCAAAGCCTAAGCATGCCACCTCCTTACAGAATGCCTAACCTAGAGTGCCTAAGACAGCAACTCGAATAATAGGATGAAGCCATTTGCCGTACTGCTCGTCTGTACTATATGGTTCAGCAATCACCAACCTTTCGAAGGAATATATTATACATACAATCTTGGAGCTTTCTCATTGCATCGCTTGTAATCGGCAGACGAGAAAATTTTAGGGTAATGCTTTGATCGGCATACGAGATAATGGTTCGGTCCTATGCTTTACGAGCAGCTCTTAAAAGATCACATGAACATGCGCACACCATACGATAGTATCGTCCGTATTTCTCAAGCTAGCACGATTATTACGAACTAGGCAGTGGCATAGGTATGCCCGTGTCCTCTTTCCAAGGGTTAAGTATAGGCTTCTACATGAATAGTAGGGCTACCATCTTTGGATGATGCGCTTCCGTTTATAATAGCACATTGGATCGATATATCGCTCGTAGGCATGTCTGTACCTCGACATATTACGTACACATGTTAAAATGGAGTGAGAGTGGATAAGTAAATCACCCATACTACTAAAAATTGAAGGGGACAAATCAGGCGTCATCACTGCAGCTGCCTCTTTTGAAGAAGACAAAAATACCTGAGGGATGACTTACTAGAAGCCTCCATAATTGATTCCCTTGGTTCTTGGCGTCAAAATAAGGCTTGTTATATCTCTCGGATAAATATGGGTACTGGTAAGAAATGGTCATCATCATTTACATATTACATAGAGGCTTAGCTACCTACGTCGGCGTCAGCGGTCTTGAAAGTGGGTGTTTAGATCATGCATGCATATTTACATTGATCCCTAAATCGATAGCTACCTGTATCTGTAAATGAGCTTGTAATAAACATGGGACGTAAAGAGCTTCAATAATGGTCTTATGTGCCACTGATTACCAATTAATTGGGAGTGTCGAAGGACTCGATGCTATAGGTTGAACGAGTTTCATGTTTACTGCCTTAAGATTGAAATAGGAATCAGTAGATGGTCAGATGGTAGTACTAAATGTGATGGTAAGGCGCATTTTTAAGCCTCTTCGGATTTTCCAAGTCAATCAACTCACGATTGGTCGCCTCGACTATAGCTAGGCCGACCTGGGTTTCAAGAACTGTTAATTCCAGCCGAGCTTCGCATAACGTCGTACGCGGCATACTATTTTCGACCGATACACCCCGGTTCAAGGCTTCATGCACCGATCCGCGAGGGAACCGAAACGAAACCTACTCGCCCATTGGGATTGGATCATGAGATGCATATTCTTCATTCTTCATTCCTTCTGCAGGTACTGGACTTCATAACTCAAACTCAAGAATAGACATATTTTGACTCCCATAGAAACGCCCAGATACTACTACTTCTTTGTTGGTCATCCAGGATTGTCTCGCGGCGATTATGGTCTAGCCAAGCTTCTAGCTGATCCCTAGTTGCCCGGAACTGTAATATAAGCGTCGTTTGTAACGAGTTGTAAGTCTAAGGCGGGAAGGCAATATTCGTAACGTTGCATTTCTATCGGATAATTTCCATATATCGCATAGAATATAATACGAAGATATCGCCACATTGGCATTGCCCTTGTTGCGGTAATCATCTCCTTCCTGTCCCGCATTAGATAAGGTACACGAGCAAGGAATATCATACAACTGGGCAGCTGCTGGGGGCATATAGACTTACAAACAGCAGCTTGCTTTTCGTCCTCATCGACCGCTTGAGGTGTGAAGTGGTCGGTGTCATCGAAGCCGTAATCTTCCCGTGTCCATTTCTTCATCTTCTCCCTTCGGAACTCTTCGAAATCCCATTCTCGGCCCTCTAGATTGTCGGGATGGTTGAAGACGTACACTTCACATTCGACCTCGTCGCCCTCAACGTTGCCTTGTCCCTTATCGTCTCCAGTCTTGGAAAGGAGGCAGGCTTTAACTCTTCGACGCTCATACTCGCTCCCTTCGAACTTATCAAGGTGATACATATTGGCAGGTGTCAAGCCTGTCACATACATTCCTCTAACCTCGTGATCTTTATCCGGTATAATGCCTGGGTAGTCCGCACCCTTTACCCGACTATAAAATCAAGAATCAGCTATGCCCCGGACGGCGAATCAGAAATCTTAATGCTTGGACTTCTAGTTGTTTGTACAGTGGGTAGAATTTAAGGCCGAAGACAAGGTCAATATGGAAAATCGACTCACCGTCGACAGAACCCGTGTAGGATTGCTGGCTTGAAATCATGAAGACCCCTCAGTACAGCAACGTTTTCTTTCGGGATCCCCCGATAACAGACCGTGAAGAACACCTCAGGGGCCATCTACAGAGTTGTGAGCAACTAATCGAGTACTACATATCTTCCGAAGGCAGGATCTCACAAGCGTCCCTGGTTATCATCAACATTGATGCAACAAGTAATATATAGTGCACGTTCATACTTACCATAAAAGAATGCTGCTTGAGTGCTGTCCGCCATCCGTTCCTTTAGAATGTGGTATTGGTCGTTTGCTAATTATTCTCTATATTTGACGATCACCTCTGTCCTTATTCGGAGATCTGTGCATACTACTGTATGCACAAAAGATAAATGGTATATATGTAGCCTTGTTCAATACGATCTCCGAAAATATTGATAATATGGACGGTTAGTCGAGATAAGGAGGGAAATAAATGTACATAAGTACTAGGTAAGTTTGACTTGTAGACTTCAATACCCGAGCTCTGGCACAAATTTAGTAAAGGATGTACTCATTAATGATGATTTAGGGCTAGGTAGTTAAGAAGAAAAGCTAGAGGATTTGACTTTATATAAGAGTTTGCATATCGAGCGCTGAGATTTTGGTATTGCCTATCCGTGACAATTCTATGTCCGATATCAGGACTCGCATCATGAAGAGTTCGATATTAAACCGAGTTACTCAGGTACGTACCCGAATAGCTCTAACCTTGAAACCTGGAAACTGCAGCTGCTAGAGATATCTATCGATAAGATCGACAAGGGTGTACATAATTCAATTGGTCAAAGCTCCATTAGTCCCTGTTCAAACCCCAGGCGGTGGCCCCAAGACGAGCCAATCAAATTGTCTGATAGTTTCCAAAGCTCGGAAAATCAGTAAGGCCTAGCGTTGTACCTGTACTGTCCGTTGAGCAGTCGCGCCCACCACCTTTGAATTTAGTTGTCGCTTCTCAGTCGCGACTTTGACTTTAACTTTTTGAGCAAGTTCTCTAACCTGTAATATTTAACCTCTGCCTCAACCTCAGCCTTACGCCCATTTTTTCCTATACAATATTTAAACACTTTTCGTGATACCCCTCAAATCCTTCATTTCTCTCTTTTTACGGGCGTGTAAATTGCACTACAGGCTTTTTTCTTGTTGCGTTACTACGATTTTCTCAACGCAGCATTCATTCCCTACCATCTCTGTCGCATTCACGTATGACAACCTATTCTACGAAGTACCTTACTCGCTTTCGCACGTAGTCAATAACCGATTCTCTATCGCGTAAAAACCTCATTGTCGATAATACTTTCATGAATTTCGCATGATAAACTCGGGTTATTCATGGTGCGCATGTGGGGGTTGCAGTCATGTCGGGGCCAGCGCTTGATGATATCGTCAAGAGGTTGACAACTCAAGAAACGGGTATGCTCGACTATCTACACTACCCTATCTACCGTCAACCCTATGTGATTTGTTAGCTTCTTGTATTTGTCGCTAGTTCGATTTACTAATGTTCCCTTTTGTAGAGCCCAGATCTAAGCTTGATGCAGCTATTTCCCTACGAGATAGCCTCGAACATTACACAAATGGTCCGCACTATGTCGTCTTTCTTAAGCGGTTGATGCCATTGTTCGTCCTCATTCTTCGAGGGCCATGTCTATTCCAGAGTACCTCTCCAGAGCAAAAGCTCAGAAATTGCGTTCTCGAAATCCTCCACCGTCTACCTACTCATCAGACGCAAATTTCCCCGGAGCCTCTTGAGCCATATGCCGAAGAGATCGTCGACATTTTGATGAGCCTAGTTCGGAACGATAACGAAGATAATGCCACACTATGCGTCAAGATTATATCAGACATCATGAGGCACCAGCCAAAGGTCCTCCATGGGAAGGTCCAGCCATTCTTGGATTTGATCCAAGAGCTGTTTGAGCAGATGGAGAAAGTCGTGCGAGAACAGCTCGATAACACCGCCATTCCATTCAACGCATCTGGACCTCCATCTACCCCTGGTAGCACGCAGACCAACTTCCAATCTCCACGGCCTGGATCCCCAGTCGCCTCTGTCACGGACTTGGGCCAAGATCTTCAACAGCAAAGTCGTCCCTTGTTGAAAGGAATGCAGTCGTTTAAGGTTTTGTCGGAGTGCCCAATCATTGTTGTGTCTGTCTTCCAGACACATAGGAGCATCATCCAGCAGAATGTCAAGGCATTTGTTCCCTTGATCAAGTCGGTGCTATGTCTCCAAGCCAAGGCCCAGGAGCAAGCTCATGCTGAAGCTAAATCAAGAAATACTGTGTTCGCCGGAGTGAGCCCGCACATCAAGAATCGAGCGGCCTTCGGCGAATTCATTACGGCTCAAGTGAAGACCATGAGTTTTCTAGCATATCTGCTTCGGCAATATTCCAGCCAGCTTACTGACTTTCTGCCAACGCTGCCCGAGATTGTTGTTCGCCTACTTAGAGACTGCCCGAGAGAGAAGTCAGCGGCTCGTAAAGAGTTGTTAGTTGCAATTCGTCACATCATAAACTTCAACTTCCGGAAGATCTTCCTCCCCAAGATTGATGAGCTTTTAGAAGAAAAGACACTGATCGGGGATGGGCTTACGGTCTACGACACCCTCAGACCGTTGGCGTACAGTATGCTCGCCGATCTCATACATCACGTTCGCGACTCTCTTAACCCGGAACAAATTCGCAAGACTGTCGAGGTATATACCAAGAACTTGCAGGATAATTTTCCGGGAACGAGTTTCCAGACGATGAGTGCGAAATTGTTGTTAAACATGGCCGAATGTATAGCAAAGATGCCTAACAAGATTGATGCACGACATTATCTGCTTATGATTCTCAACGCCATTGGTGACAAGTTCGCTGCGATGAACAGACAATACCCTAATGCCGTAAAGCTCTCTAAGCTCTACGCGCAGCAAGCTGCCGATCAGATTCCTGATACATACTTGGCAGATAAGGAGCATCATCCACAATGGGACGAAACGGACATCTTCACAGCTATGCCGATAAAAACATCCAACCCTCGTGATCGTGGTACGGATCCGGTTGCAGATAACAAATTCCTGTTCAAAAATCTGATGAACGGCCTTAAGAACACTTTCTATCAGCTGAGAACGTGCAATGCACCTCTTCAGGTTGATCCTAAGAACGCGCCCTCGCATTGGCAAGAAGTTTCGTACGGATTTTCCGCCGAGGAAGTTAATGTGATAATAAAGCTCTTCCGAGAAGGCGCCTACGTTTTTCGGTACTACGAGATTGAGAAGCCAGCGGCGGAATCGCAGTACGCATCACCAGTGGAATATATGGCCAACTTTTATATGGTGTCGAGTAGCAAGGAAGAGAAAGATCTCCTTGAAACTTTTGCTACAGTCTTCCATTGTATTGACCCAGCCACATTCCATGAAGTCTTTCAGCAGGAGATCCCTCGCCTCTACGAAATGATCTTCGAACATACTGCCCTCTTACATATCCCTCAGTTCTTCTTAGCCAGTGAGGCTACATCGCCAAGCTTCTGTGGCATGCTCCTGAAATTTCTAATGGAGCGAATCGACGACGTGGGGTCGGCTGATGTGAAAAAATCATCAATCCTTCTACGTCTTTTCAAGCTTGCATTCATGGCAGTGACCCTATTTGCGAACCAAAATGAGCAAGTCTTGCTTCCGCACGTTGTGGATATAGTCACGAAGTCGATCGATTTATCTACTAAGGCCGAGGAGCCCATGAACTACTTCTTACTTCTGCGTTCGTTGTTTAGAAGCATTGGCGGCGGAAAATTCGAACATCTCTACAAGCAAATTTTGCCGCTGCTAGAAATGCTGCTCGACGTGCTGAACAACCTGCTTATGGCTGCTCGTAAGCCAGCAGAGCGGGATCTATACGTCGAATTGTGCCTCACGGTACCAGCACGCCTTAGTAATCTACTTCCGCATCTTAGTTTCTTGATGCGCCCTTTGGTTGTCGCGCTGAGAGCCGGTACGGATCTCGTTGGTCAAGGGCTGCGGACCCTGGAACTCTGCGTTGATAACCTCACGGCCGATTACTTGGATCCCATTATGGCGCCAGTAATTGAGGACCTAATGAATGCGCTTTTCGAACATTTGAAGCCACACCCGTACAGTCATTTCCATGCCCATACTACTATGCGCATACTAGGGAAGTTAGGGGGTCGAAATCGCAAGTTCATGACCGAAGCTTTACCAGTAAATTATCAGAAGTACGCTGATGATCCCTCGAGCTTTGATATACGGTTGATAGGATCAAAACGTGATCGTGCATTTCCAGCCGAACTTGGTATCGACTTGGCCATTCGTAAATTAATGGAGATTCCGAAGCCATCGAAAGCGAACCCATCCAGACAATTCGACGCTTATTACAAGAAGCAGGCACTGCAGCTGATAAAGTCCCAGTTGAAACTACGGGTTGGTGTTGACCATTTACCAGAAGACTTACCTCGATTGGTTCGTCTACAGGCGCAGGACCTTCTTGCTCGAAAACCAGCTGCGGATTTCGCATTCTTCAACACGTCAGATCGTGAACGATCTGTTGCCAAAAAGGACGAGCAGGACGACGTCACGAAACGTCTTATCAAGGCTATCATGTACGCGGAATCCCTTCCTGAATTCCGCGAAGAGGCCGATGTATTCCTCATGAACCTTTGTCGGCATTTCACGATCATCGAAATAGGGCGCGGGCTAGTAGATATCAAGAAAGAAATGAGCCATTTCGATGTTCAAGCAGGAGAGGGACCCTTGTATATTGATACGCGTGTCCTGGCTGATGCAATTGTCGAATCACTCGCATCAGATCTGCCGGACGTACGCGATGCCGCTTTCCGGGCAATCCGAGCAGTCTACGACTCTACCGCAACTATCTTGGGTTCTGAAACTTATGTTGGCCGATTGGGATTCTTCAGTCATCTAAGTAAAACTTTCTGTCACGCCTGCAATGAAGAAGAATGGTACACAAAGACGGGTGGTAGTCTTGGTATTAGATATCTTCTCGTTGAAGTCGATCTTGGCGACGCTTGGATCGCCTTGAAGCAGATGGACTTCATCCGAGCTCTGATGTATGTGATTAAGGATATGCCGCAAGACTTGCCGGAGAAAACCAGGAGTTCCGCCCAAACCACACTCGAATCTCTCTTGAGAAGGATAACCGTGAACGTTAAGAAGGAAGACGCATTGCCCATCCCTCCAGTACCAGGCCAGCCTCACCCCAAACCTTCTCGGTTGACGCAGATCTGTGTCCTCTTCAATGACGAACTTTCTCACATGAATAAGCATGTTCGTGGAACAGCGAGGCGGTCGCTTGAAATCATTGCCGACGCAACAAAATCGGAAATCTGGGAGCTTTTGCAACCTCATAAGGACCGGTTGCTCCAGCCCATTTATGCCAAACCTCTGCGAGCGTTACCCTTTTCAACTCAGATAGGGTACATCGATGCGATTGCCTACTACATGGGTCTAAAGCCTGACTTTGTCGGCTTCGACGATCATCTAAACCGGCTACTTATGGAGTCGCTAGCTTTAGCTGATGCTACAGACGAATCTTTGGCTGGCAAACACGCCGAGTTTCGAACACATGAATCGATTGTGAACCTTCGGGTTTCTTGCATTAAAATCTTGAGCAAGGCAATGGGATTCGATGATTTCCAGAAGGGACAGAACAACCCGACGCGAACTAAAATCGTGTCTGTATTCTTCAAGTGCTTATACTCGGAATCCAAGCCTACCATTGAGGCAGCGAATGACTCACTTAGAGCGGTGCTTTCCCAGACCAATAAATTGCCCAAAGATCTACTTCAGCAAGGACTTAGGCCTGTCTTAGCCAATCTCCAAGATCCTAAGCGACTAAGCACTCACGGACTAGATAACTTAGCGAGGCTTCTTCGTCTCCTTACTACTTACTTCAAAGTAGAAATTGGTGCCAGACTGTTAGACCACATCAAGGTGCTCGCCGATCCGAACCTTCTTCAGCAAATCTCGTTTACGTTCTTCGAACAAAATAGCCAAATGAAGGTTGTCGCGGCGGTGTTTAACATCTTTCATCTTCTTCCGCCAGCTGCAGAACAGTTCAAGGAGCGGCTTATCGACACTTGTTTGGAACTTGAGGATAAGCTGCGCCGTACTCACCACAGCCCATTCCGACCCCCGTTGTACAAATACCTGAATAGATACCCGTCTGAAGTCTGGAATTTCTTGCTGAGTAAACTAGAAGATATAAAATACGGTCGATTCTTGGCTCAGGTTTTGCTCCACCCGGAAAGCAAGCCTCTAAGAGATCACGCTGCTGCTAATATCGACGGATTGATATCCTTCTGCACGCAAATCGTCAACGCTACAAAAGATACGAGATTCGTAGCAATCGTCAACACGATAAACGTCCTCGATTCGCTAAGTCGGAATCCCGGCACTCGGAGTTGGTTGGAACGGAAAGATACTGTCTCTTGGTTAAGACGAATCGGTAAAGATTTGGAGCGCCACTTACGAACGAACAGCCTCCCGCCTAATTTGCGTCTGCCTGCTGACCAAGCTTCTGAGCAACTCATGGGCATCTTCACAGAGGCGCTATCCTCGAATCCTAGGGACATGGATGCCCTCTTTAGCCTGGTGGAGTCGGTTACGTCCGAAGAGTTGCGTCTCACGCCGTCGTTATTTAGCTTCCTCTACAAACACGTTATCTGCAACGAGTCTATCGATTACTGGAAAGCTGTCGTACTTCGTTGCCTCGACATTTACGCTGGAAAGAGTTCCACCCAGAAGACCAAGTGCTTCCTGCTTCGCAATGTCGTCAACCCGATCATTGCTATGGATGTTATGCGACATTGGAACCAACCACGAACCCAGAGGCTAGTGGATCGAGCAGTCATTGAATCCATCAATGTCAAGATATGGAAGGTTAATCTTGGCGAGCCCCAAGATGACCTGGCACAGCCAGGAATCGATCATACGAGAATGGAAGTTCTCCAGCTCTCTGCCATGCTAGTCAAATATCACTATTCCATTCTACAGGATGCTAGGAAAGACATTATCAAGTTTGGTTGGACCTATATCCGGTTGGACGATGTGATCAATAAACATGCCGCGTATGTCGTGATCGGATACTTCATCGCTCACTACGAGACGCCTTCGAAAATCGTCAGCCAAGTCTATTATTCTTTGCTTAGAACAAATCAGAATGAAGGACGCGCTCTAGTCACCCAGGCTCTGGAGTTGATCGCACCTGTCCTGCCCCAACGTTGTACGCCGTTAGCAAGTGATCGTGGTGCGGTCTGGGCTATGGCACCTCGCCGCATATTGGCCGAAGAAGGGCAGAACGTTCAGCAGATGACGAGCATCTTCCACTTTTTAGTCAGACATCCTGATCTCTTTTACGATTCCAGGGATAAGTTTGCCCTATTGATCATCACATCACTTCGAAAGGTCTCTCCTTTCCTATCATCATCGACGGAAAGCAAGAAACTCGCGTTGAACATGATGTGGCTGATCTGGCAGTGGGAGGAGAGAAGAGTCGACGGTAAACTTAACGAAGCTAGAAGGGACTTATCTGAATCTCCGAATTCCCGAAAACGAAGACTCGACGGTGAATTAGTCACCTCCTCCCCGCCAGCATCTCGACAATCTGCTCAACTTGATAAGGCCGAATTCCGGATTCCTGCTGGATTTAGACAAAAGATGATCAAGTATCTCATCGAGTTTATCGCACAGCTGAATGAGAGATACCCACTGCCTTCAGCAAAACCGAGAGATGCAACATTGACATCCGGGCCTGCTCTTCCACCTCAGTCTACAGAGATGTGCAAGAAGGCAATGTCTCTCCTTTATAACCTCCTACAACCGCGGTACTGGGCCGACTTGGACGTTGACTTATTCCCAAATATCACTGAAGTAGTCTTAGCTAGTGACAGAACCGCAAGACTGCTCAACGCTGATCCCACTGATGATAATTACGACGAGAAATTTATAACTAACATCATCAACACCTTACAAGTGGTGAGAATCATCCTCAACTTTAAGTCCGATGAGTGGATCTTAAAGAATATGCCTTCGGTCCAAAAGGTTATAGAAAAATGTCTAAAGTCGGAAAACTCGGAGCTACAGGATTGCCTCCATTTAGCAGATAAGAAGTACGACGATGGACGTGACGTCAAGTCGATAATTCAACGGATCCTCGATGCCGTGCCGGAAGATGTGCCGATGGAAGACGCAGACGCTGAAGGGGAACCCGAGGCTCCTACATCAGAGATTATCACTTTCTTGTCTACAGTAGCGACGGAGTCCCTAGCAGCTTCGAATTACGTGTCTGGAGTTAATATTCTGTGGTCTTTAGGTCAAAGGAAACCCTCGGTCATTGACCAGCATATCATGTCCTTAATGAAAGCGCTGCAGACCAAACTTGCCAGGGAGCACGTCCAACACTACACGAGTGTGGCCGCGCACCAGCAAATGAGCATGAACAACATACGGCCTCAAGATCCGAATGCCCAAACCGGAGAAATGTCACAATATGAGCTTAACATTCAGACCGATCTCATGATCAAAGCCATACAGGTGACTGCGATGCGCATGGAAATCCTTGGAGACCACCGGCGACCGTTCTTAAGCGTATTAGCAACTCTAGTGGAGAAATCACAACACATCCCTCTCTGCGAGAAGATACTTGACATGGTAGAGGGCTGGGTCTTCCGATCTGAGGGAACATGGCCTACTCTAAAGGAGAAAACGGCTGTACTCCACAAGATGCTCTCCTTCGAGCATCGAAGCGACCCAACCATGTTAGGAAAATTCCTCGAGTTGGTCATACGTATCTATGAGGATCCGAAGATAACGCGAACGGAACTCACTGTACGCATGGAGCATGCCTTCTTGATTGGAACACGAGCACAGGATGTCGAAATGCGCAATCGGTTTTTAACCATCTTTGACAAGAGCTTGTCTAAAACGGCAACCGCTCGGTTATCATATGTCATTAGCTCGCAAAATTGGGACACGCTCGCTGACTCATTCTGGTTGGCCCAGGCCACGCAGCTCCTCCTGGGCGCCGTAGAGATGAATTCTAGCATTCAACTACACCAAGAAGACTTCCGAACACTCCCAGCATCGACTGTTTTTGGTACATACTCCAAGGACACCAGAGAGCCGTCCGCAATGGCTGATGATAAGTACGACACATTCATGGCGAATCACCGACGTTTTGTTGCCGAGTTAGGGGATGTTAAGGTTCGGGACATCATCGAACCTCTCACTCAACTTCAACATATTGATCCCAACTTATCACATGATCTCTGGGTAACTCTCTTTCCCATGTTTTGGTCTGCTTGCGCCAAGGAGGAAAAGACAGATCTTGAGAAAGCCTTAGTAGTATTGCTTTCTAAAGATTTCCATTCTCGTCAGATCGACAAGAGACCCAATGTGGTGCAAACCCTATTAGCGGGCGCAGCCAAGGCATGGCCCGCATGCAGGATTCCGCCACACATACTCAAGTTCGGTGCGAAGACGTATGATGCTTGGTATACCGCTCTAGTTCAGCTCGAAAACGCAACTATCAAGCCGGATGACGACTCACCTAAAGTACGAGAGAGCAACCTTGACGCATTAGTTGAGCTGTATTCAAGTCTGAAAGAGGATGATCTCTTCTACGGTACCTGGCGCCGCCGATGCCAGTTCGTCGAGACAAACGCAGCCCTGTCATACGAACAGAATGGTATGTGGGACAAGGCTCAGAGGATGTACGAAGCTGCCCAGATCAAGGCCCGAACGGGCGTTATTCCTTTCTCCCAGGGTGAGTACATGCTCTGGGAGGATCATTGGGTCCTTTGCGCGCAGAAGCTGCAGCAGTGGGAAGTGCTTCAAGACTTTGCGAAGCACGAAAACCTCCAAGACCTTCTACTCGAATGCGCTTGGCGAAGTATTGACATGTGGCAAACTCAAGAACAACGAGATAGTCTCGATATGCTTGTTAAAGGGGTCATGGATGCACCGACCGCTCGGCGAGCCTTCTTCCAGAGTTTCATGTCTCTGTTGAAACTTCATAATAAGCAGGAATCTACGCAGGACTTTGCTCGCGTCTGCGACGAGGCTATACAGCTTTCCATTCGGAAATGGCATCAGCTTCCAAAACGCTTGACTGCTGCACATATCCCTCTACTTCATAATTTCCAACAACTCGTTGAACTCCACGATGCTAGTGTCATCTGCCAGAGTTTGGCGAACACTAACCAGTCAAATTTGGATGTGAAGTCTGGTGAGCTTAAGCTGCTCCTTGGATCATGGAGGGACCGGTTGCCAAATATATGGGACGATATAACCGATTGGCAGGACCTTGTCACCTGGAGGCAGCATATTTTCGGTTTGATTAATAGTACATACTTGCAGCTTCTGCCCCAGCAAGGTCAAGGCGCAAATGGTGCTTCCTATGCATACCGCGGTTACCACGAAACAGCATGGATCATCAACCGTTTTGCGCATGTCGCCCGCAAACACAACCTGCCTGATGTGTGCATAAACCAACTTAGCCGAATCTATACTCTTCCTAACATAGAGATACAAGAGGCTTTCTTGAAACTGAGAGAGCAAGCTCGATGCCACTACGAAAACCCTGCCGAACTTACCAGCGGGTTAGACGTTATCAACAACACAAATCTAAACTATTTCAATGCCCAACAGAAAGCTGAATTCTTTACTCTGAAGGGGATGTTCCTGGAAAAGCTTAGTCAAAAGGAAGAAGCGGACGCGGCTTATGGCACTGCGTTATACTACGACATCGGTAAGGCCAAAGCATGGGCGGAATGGGGCTATTTCAACGACCGCAAGTTTAAGGAGGACCCAACAGATTTGAATTCTGCTAGGCAAGCACTTACTTCGTACTTGCAAGCCATTGGTAGTTATAAGAGTGGCAAGGCTCGAAAGCTCATCGCACGTATTTTATGGCTCTTAAGTCTGGACGATTCCAATGGGACCATCGCTGCCGGTTTCGAGGATTATAAAGGAGAAACTCCCGTCTGGTACTGGATAACATTCATACCACAACTTCTAACGGGAATGGCTCATAAGGAGGCTCCTAAGGTCCATGCGATCCTTCTCAAGATCGCAAAGGCGTATCCTCAATCCTTATACTTCCAGTTAAGGACAAACCGTGAAGATATGCTCGCCATCAAGAAGAACCAGGAAGCCAAGGAGAAAGCACGACAACGAGCACAGTCCGCGGCATCTAATAATAAGCTAAGCAGTTCGCCGTCACTTAGCAAGGACAATCTTCAAGCGAAACAAGACTCGTCTTCCAGGCCAGCGACCTCGAATGGTGATAGCAATGCACAAGTTAAGACGGATCTATCCGAGACTAATGGGGCTTCAAATGTCTCACAAGCTGGTGGCGCCGCACCCAACGCGGATCAGCAGTCGACTGGAAAGGATGGCGCGTCTTCTAGCGCTACACAAAAGAGGCCACCTTGGGAACTTACAGAGGAGATCATGTCTGTACTAAAGACAGCCTTTCCCCTCCTTGCTCTCTCCATGGAGACGATGGTTGATCAAATTCAAAAATATTTCAAATGTCCACCCGACGAAGATGCGTACCGTCTGATTATCGCGCTTCTCAACGATGGGCTAGCGTACGTAAGCCGAATGCCCGCCTCATACGCGAAGGATGTAAAACTACCGTCAGCCACCGAGACCAACATCACTCGCTTTGCTGAAACTATTCTTCCTGCCCACATCAAGAAGTCCTTCGAGGCTGAATTTGTTCAAGTGAAGCCGACGATGTACGAGTACATCCATAAACTCCGAAAGTGGCGTGATAAATTTGAAGAGAAGCTCGACCGCAGGAATCCAACGGCTTACTTGGAGACATACTCGCGACACCTAAGCGAGTTCCGTTACCAGAAATTCGACGACGTCGAGGTTCCAGGCCAGTATCTACAGCACAAAGATAAGAACCAGGATTTTATTCGGATCGATAGGTTCCTTCCCAATGTCGAGTTAGTGCGAGGTGTCGGCGGGTCTCATCGACGCTTGAAGATCCGAGGTCATGACGGCAGCATCCACTCATTTGCCGTCCAACATCCTGCCGCACGTCACTGCCGACGAGAAGAGAGGATTCTGCAACTATTCCGGCACCTAAATCAGACACTTGCAAAGAAGAAGGAAAGCCGACGCCGCGATCTGCAGTTCACAGTACCGTTGATAGTTCCTCTTGCTCCGCATATACGAATCGTGCAAGACGATACGTCATACATTACGCTGCAGGGAATTTACGAAGATCATTGTCGACGAAATGGGATGCTCAAAGACGAGCCGGTCATGTTTACTATGGATAAGTTGAGGGGTCTAATCGAGCCTAAGGGCGGTGTAAGTTTCGATCAACCTGACCAAACATCAACAGCAACTAACGAACCGATGCAGAAGCCCCCCGAGCAAACGGCGATGGCTCGCCTTGAGGTGTTCACGGCTATACAGGAGAAATGGGTTCCTCGTACTGTCGTCCTTGAATACTTCCAAAGCATATTCCCCGAGTTCTCCGAATTCTGGTTATTCCGACGCCGGTTCTCCTACCAGCTGGCAGCCCTCACATTCATGACCTACATTCTCTACAGCACGAACAGATATCCCCACAAAATCCATATCGCTCGGGGCTCGGGTAAGATTTGGGGTTCTGAGGTCATGTCGTTCATGGCACCCGGAAAGCCCTTTTTCCACAACCCTGAGCCAGTGCCCTTCCGTCTCACACCCAATCTACAGGCCCTGATGGGACCTCTGGCGACGGAGGGCATCTTCAGCTGCTCGATTATGGCAATTGCGCGCTGCCTTACTGAGCCCGAGTTCGAGCTAGAGCACGCTCTAACATTATTTGTCAGAGATGAGGTGATCTTTTGGTTCACGAGCAGCCACCGGACTATTCACCTTAATGAGAACCAACTGCGTGATACGGTACAGACCAACTGCGACATGATCGTCAAGCGTGCCGTGAGCCTGGCTCAGAGCCCGCTGGGTAACTTGCCGGCGAATCAGACCGTTATTGACCTCATTGCTCGAGCTGTCAATCCTATGAATCTCGCGCAGTGCGATGCTCTGTGGATGCCATATCTCTAATTTCATGCTTCATTCTGCTGGAGGTGGCTGCTGGGCATGGTGTCGAAAAGTCTCATTGTTAACGTAAAGGGGGACATTCGATTAGACATCTAGGCAACTAAGCTCATATGTTTTTCGTTCATTCGTCGCTAGTAATTGGAGGTGGGGGGGTTTATACGGCGAGGCAACTTCGCAGCAAGGCGTTAAGGAGGTTAAAGTCATTACAAAAGGTCTCACGGAAATCATTAGGTTGGTCGGTCGGCATAGGTCAACGATAGGCCTTCGGGGTAAAATGCATGTGCCCAACATAATACAGCTTCATAGCCAGCTGTTTCATCTAGTGCGTTTGTTTTATTGCGTCTTCCGCGTTATATTCGCTCCGTGTATCATGATAGTGCTATTGATGATAAAATTGCGATAATTAAAGATATCCGTAGTATTATAGAATGCATGTAACTCTCGGGTACTATGACTTGCTTCTTACAAGCAGATGTTACTAGTTATGTTTGACCTTGTAGTATATGTGCTCGAGATGGCAGCTATAACTGTTATAGCCTTAACATTATCAAAGCATGCCGCCCCCTTGGATATTCGAGAATATCGTATTTTAGCGAGTAACGCGTTCATATATCACCGTATCTCAAACAGCCTCGACGGTTCAAACTGCAACAACGCCTCGCCGTTCATCATGCCGTCGACGTAACACTCGCCAATCAACTGGTAATAAGTATACGGGTCGCTCCGCAGCGGCACCTTCTCCGCCTTCGGGACCGGGGCCTGGCTCCCCGGCTCGCGCCGCTCTCGCGGGCTCTCTTTCTCGGGCGTGACCGTGCCAGATTCTAACTTAATATCCCAGGCCTCCGAGCCAGGCTTTCCGGCGCGTCTGCGCTCCGCCGCCGCCCGGCGGATCTTCACGAGGTCGCGCCACACCTGGCTGATCTTGGCAGCGGCCTCGCGCTCCCGGCGGCGCTGCCTGTCCTCGCGCTGCCTTTCTTCCTCGGCGACCTCGCGCTCCGTCTTGGCGAAGGGCCGCAGTAGCACGGGCACGCTGCAGCCGTACAGCACGCAGACGAGGTCCCCGGGCCGCGTGTCCTCGGGGGCGAGACCCAGGCTCCGGTCCCGCTCCGTGCGCATCACGCGCCGGTTCCAGATGGCGGACTGCACGCGCCGCAGAACCTCGCCGACGATGCTGCAGTTGCCCCAGTTCACGATGTCCGTCGTGTTCAGCGAGTCGCCGCGCACGCCCTGGTTCAGCGCGTGCCGTACTAGACGCGGGTAGTACCGCGGCGCGTTCTCGCCGCCGGGCCCCCGGTCCGCGACCAGCGTGCGCCAGAACTCGTCGGGTAGGTCGCTGTTGTTGCTGTCGTCCGGGCCGCCACCGCGCCCGCGACCCCCGCGGCGCGCGAGCCGGATCCAGTCGCGCGGGATGTTGCCCTGCTGCGAGGGGTACTTGAGCTCCCTCACCTTGTCGAGGACGAAGCCCTCGACGAACAGGCTGTGGTAGTGCAGGCCGTTCAGGGCGGGGTCGCGGCTGAACTGCGTGACGCCGTCCTCGATGCGGAAGTTCTCCGTCAGCACGCGGGTGCCGGCCGCGCTGTAGACGCGCTTCGGCGGCAGCCCGACCAGGCTGTCCGCGTTCTTGCGCCGCATCTTCTGGCCCTCGCCGTCCATGCCGAAGGCCGCGCGCGCGACGGTCGGGATCCACGACGGGAGCGTGTCTTCGCCTTCGCCTTCCGGCCGCGCGGAGTTGGTTCGTATGCGCCAGTGTGCGTCTTCCTCTTCGCTGCAGATGCTGAGATTATCTGACGGCGTTGGTTCCGGAGCCCATGGCCGGCAGATGATGTCGAGGGCACGGGTCTTGTCGGACTTCTTGATGGCCCAGTCGACAAACTGCACGTATACGTCCGATAGTGGGAGTCTGTAATCCACGGGGTACGGGTTAGAGACGTTTGCTATCGCCAACTGCTTGACGAGTTTCTGCTTTATGTACTTCCGCCAAGTCCACTTTTCGATCACGTCTTCTGTAAGCAACCTCACGGGCTCTGTGTCTCTTGCGACGGCGAGGAGTGCGTATATAGTATCACGAGGCTCCGAGGAATCGAATGTCGTTAGTTTCGAGACGAGATACTCGAGACTGAACTGAGCTTGACGTTCGTTTCCTGAGAGCCGCCGAAAGAGGTTGTTTGTCTCCTCGACCAATTTCGTAGCGCTCAATTCGGAGATGTCCCCTAAGTCTGGCATGTGTCCAAGGACCTTGTCGTTGATAACTTCGGATATCCTGCGAGTGCCCGTCTCCACCTCGTTGAAAAGGGAGACGGCATCCGCAAAGTCCTTCCAATCAACGCTGTCCATCCCGCAGAAGAGAGTTGCTTTTTGGGCGATGGCAATCTCTTGCACGATCCATCGACGAGAAAACCACGGCCTCCTCATCAATGCCGATAAGGCCTGCCACTCTTTGACGATCTTGTCGTCTCTTATTAAACGATCCCACTCTTTCAGGTTGAGAACTCGGTTTTTCACGAACTCCATCGCCAACTTGCTATTTTCACCCTCGTCGCCAAGCCATACATAGACACATTCTGCCTCCCCGTAGATACTCGACATCAACGGCACTTGGAAGTTCTTTTCGTTGATGTTGTCTTGGTCCATACAGACAAAGTCGATCCAAACTCTGAATATTCTATGAGTACGAAGGACGCGCATAGCAGATACGAGACTCCTAGGTATTAGGAACTCATAAGGCTCATTAGACTACGCCAGCTTCCCCAGTCAACAATACTTCAATTCATCAGTTTCGTTTCCAGTTCCAGTTACTGACCTGTATTATATGTACCACCGTCTTATCATCATGATCCCGCCTGCCCCAGCACCACGAGAGCGCACTGTATGGTTCACCATCTACCTGATCTTTCACCAGGCGGCACTCGATTGTTTCATGAGAGTTGTCAATTATCTCCAAGACACGAATTTCCTTAGATGGATTATCCAAGGGACAATGGATCCCGTGTGAGTAGTGAGCCATTTCCAGCGATATTATGCGATGTAACAGGCCACAGATCGATCGCCAAATGGCGGCTACATCATGAACCCTTCTCGTATTCTCGTGAGTAGAGCTTCAAGCTTGCCGAACGACGCGAAATTCTTGTGATATATTACGCTCTTAGTAGAGCCTTGTTTGGGGTTGGCTTTGGGAAAGAAGAGTTCCTATATTTAATGGTACGTAGATGAATAGTTGAAGATGACTTCTCTCCCCGGCCAGCTGAAGGCCCCTCTGTCATTCGCCTACCTAGATTAGCTAAGATCGCTCACTGTAGGGGCTTGCTATAAAAAGCATATACTAGACCTTAAACGGATTCCTATTGGCTATGAGCCTACAGATGCATTTTTCTACAGAATTCCACTTGGGCCTATTTATTTATGTATAACTGTCTTCTCCATGGTAACTCTTTATCAACTTTCAAGTTGTATATATTTTGGCCCTTTAACCCCTTTTCCCAAGTTCAAACTAAATATGTAGGTACCTTTTAATTCCTACATAGGGATTAGTTTTGATTACACTTCGTACTTCCCACGCTGTCCCAACTCGTTAGAATTTTACACGAGTAACTATTCTTCTTCTTAATCTCGAATCCGTAGACTTCACTAGTACTAATAACAAATATTCGCTAGTTTTTAAGTATTAGAAACGCGTTGTCAATGAGGCAATTTGATACCTATGTAATGACTATATAAACTCGGCTTTAATATTAGGATAGGGAATAGGTGGTCGGAATAACAGCCTATATACTCCTCATCCAATACTACGCTACCAATGTAACTATGTTCTCTCAAAGCTACTCTTGAGGGGATGGAGATAGTTCTGCTATATAAGCAAATGCTATCTATATTAGGTACGATAATAAACCTCATCATCACCCGCTTTCGACCCTTCATACCAACGGTTGAAATAAATATGCACACAATGGAGCTTAAAGCACAACAACCGCCGTCTACTCCTAAATTAGGCGATACTTCTATCATAAACGAGAAACCTCTTACGGCCAAACAGGACAGTGAGCCTCGTAGTCACATGAGAACTAAGCTGGACCCCAAGGAGAGAGCCTTGGTGCGCAAGCTTGACTTCTATATCATGGTGCGTATCTTAGGGGTAGTGTCGGGGTTACAAGCAATGAAAGATACTTATAGGACAGCCAACTATCTGCGTCATGTACTTCCTCAACTACGTTGATCGTAATGCCATCGCTCAAGCCCGCCTCAACCACTTCGAGCGCGACCTTAACATGGCAGGCAATGAATTCAACACGGCGGTCAGCATGTATAGCGTCCCTCTCCTCATCAGCTAGAAGCAGAGACGTTGCGTTAACATCTATTCCGTAGCCTCTTCGTTGGATACGTACTCGTGCAAGTGCCGAGCAACATGTTAATCACGCGCGTCAAGCCTGGGATCTATATGTCCGGATGGATGTTCCTCTGGGCCGTAGTGTCTGCTTGCACGGCTGCGGTCAAGAGTTATAGAGCCTTAGTAGCCTGTAGGTTCTTTTTAGGGATAGCAGAGGCGCCAGTAAGAGACCTGTTCGGTATTGCCTCACGGCATAATGTGGCTAACGCTATCGAGTTCTATCCCGGTGCCACGTATATTCTGGCGATCTATTATACGCATAGCGGTTAGTCATGAACCGCTAGCTAACCCAGCGTCGTGTCGAAACTAACTCCTAATAGAGATGGCCGCGCGCGTTGGTCTCATGTACTCCGGGCAGCTCCTGGCAACCGGGTTCACCGGCTTGATCTCAGCTGGCGTCTTCGCCCGAATGGATGGCCTTCGAGGACTAGCAGGTTGGCAGTGGCTCTTCATCATCGAAGGGGCCTTTACCGCATTTGTTGCCGTGCTCGGGTTCTGGCTCTTACCAAATATGCCAAACGATACCCGCTGGCTTAGCGAGGAGGAGCGCAAATTGGTACATGCTCGCATGGAGCGTGACAGGATCAGCGATGTCCTTGGAGAAGCTAGTACTTGGGAAGGTCTCAAGCAAGCATTTCAGGATATAAGGACATGGCTCTTCTGTCTCATGCAAATGTTTCACCTCTCAGCCTGCTCTTTCAACGCGTTCTTTCCGACGTAAGTTCCTCGCCCTTCTGAGAAGCATGTTGACGATATATTGACCCTAGGGATCATAAACAAGCGTCACAAAAACCCTCGGATACAATACCACATTAACTCTCCTACTGACATGTCCACCCTTCGTGCTCGCAGCAGCTGGCAGCACCGTAGTTGGCTGGAGCTCTGGTAGACTAAACGAGAGGGCGTGGCATATCACCGCCACGCTATCCATTGCAATTATCGGGTTCGTCATAGCCGCGAGTACGCTTAACATGGCAGCACGTTATGTTGCTTGCTTCATTTTCCCCCTCGGCGCATTCTCCGCCAACTCCGTTATCGTCGGCTGGGCGTCGTCGACCCTGAGCCAGACAGAAGAGAAGCGAGCCGTGAGTTCGGACAGTCTTTACTCTGCATGCTTCTCACTCACAATACATCATGGCATTATAGGTCGTCCTTGCGATAACCAACGTCTTTGGTCACATTGGATATATATACGGCGCGTACCTATGGCCGGACAGCGATGAGCCTCGATATGGCATTGGCTTCGGCGCATCCGCAGGCTTTGCGCTCCTTTCGATCTTCTGTGCTTGGGTAGTCCGGATGTTGTTGATCCAAGATAACAAGAAGATCCGAGCATCGAATTTGGGGAGCGTCAACTTATACAGTTTCTAATAAAAATTTGAGATTTATAACTTCCTAGTCGCTGTAGGTATGTACGTAGAAGCGGGTCTCTCGGCTTTCGTCATGTGGGGGTCGGAAAGAAGCTGACAGGGGCTCCGATATCGATATGCGCAAAAAGCCATCTAAAATATTCAAGCACCTCTTCGTCTCGACAAGCCACAACTCCCACCACTCCTCGCTTAGAACGAGACCACTGCCGGTCGCGAGACGCCAGAAACTCAATTCACGCACCGGACCTAGCTGCGGTACATAGAAGCAAATCAGCGTCAAGAATGGCGACCCGGCGCATCGTTTCCGCACGCCCGGTCTTCGGCACACAACCTCTACCTCTGCCTCTACCTCAACGAGCCATAAAATCGCGGCCGTACTCCTCGTCCTCGTCGATCTCCACGGTCGAGCTAGCCTACGACCACCACCCTCCCCCGAAGGGAGGCCGCGAACCGCAAGATGCGCCCATAATATTCATGCACGGCCTCTTCGGGTCCAAGAAGAACAACAGGAGCGTGTCGAGGGTTCTGGCGCGGGATCTCGGGCGCCATGTCTACACCGTCGTAAGTCCATCCTTTTCATTCTCTTCCTCCCTGTTCCCTCCCCCTCCCCCTATTATCCAAATCCGTATACACACGAACAAAATCTAACAACCCCTCCCCCCCTCACCAGGACCTACGCAACCACGGCGACTCGCCCCACGCGCCAGAGCACACCTACCCCGCCATGGCCGCCGACGTCTCGCACTTCATCCGCGCGCGGAACCTGCAATCGCCCACGCTAATCGGGCACTCGATGGGCGCCAAGACAGCCATGACGCTCGCGCTCTCGTCCCCTTCGCTGGTAGCGGACCTAGTCTCCGTCGACAACGCGCCCGTCGACGCCGTGCTATCCGGCACCTTCGCGCGGTACGTCGAGGGGATGCGGCGCATCGAGGCGGCCGGCGTGCGCGCGCAGTCCGCCGCCGACGCCATCCTAAAGGAATACGAGGCCGACCCGGCCATCCGCGGCTTCCTGCTCGCAAACCTGTACCGGCCGACGCACGCGTCCTCGCCCGAACGGCCGCACCATCGCTTCCGCGTCCCGCTCGACATCCTCGGCCGCTCGCTCGGCCACCTCGGCGACTTTCCCTTCAAGGACCCCGGCGCTGCGCGCTTCGAGGGCCCCGCGCTGTTCGTGCGCGGCACCAAGAGCACGTACGTCCCCGACGAGGTCGTGCCGCTCATCGGCCAGTTCTTCCCGCGCTTCCGCATGGTCGACGTCGACGCCGGGCATTGGCTCATCTCCGAGAAGCCGGACGATTTCCTGCAAGGTGAGTAATTTTTAAGCTTAGACATAAAACCTTGTGCTGCGTGCAATTTGTACCCCGTTGACCTGTGCTTTTTTTTTAAAAAAAAAATTTGTTTCTGGATTGGGACTTAAGCTTACCGAGTATCCTGCAGCTGTTATCGAATTCCTCTCGCCGAAGGAGTAACGAGTAACGTTAGTAAGAACGAGCGAGATATGCACAGGCGGGAGAAGTACGAGCTAGGGAAATGTGAATAAATTCGTGTGCCATTGGGTTTGCATTGCGTTGCGTTGCATAAAGGGATATCATCATCTAGAGAAGGAGGGGAAACTAGGAACACTATGTACATTGCCACCTGCATCGAAGCCTCGGCGTTTTATCCTCGGATCTGCTTGTTATGCCGACAGACAAAATAGAGATAGGGTTAGTTGGTTAGTTGGTTAGCAGGGACAAGCGGAAGAGTAGTCGGACCCTAGACCTAGATTTATACCCCCCGCGTTGCTGGACACGGGCGTGGCGGCGGCTAGGAGCTGCGGTTTCTGAACGATCCGGTCCACGACCTCGACGAACGGCCGGCGGATGTTCTCGCGCGTCTTGGAGCTGACTTCGCAGAAGCCGGCGCCCTGCGATTCCGCGAACGCCCTGCCTTCCTCCTCGGTAACGGCCCGCCCGCCGCCGCCTGCGGATATCTTATCCAACTTGCTTCCGACCTTTATGACGGGATTAGCCGTGACCGTTGCTCGAAGAAGCATGTGATTATTATGGTGACTAGACGCAAGGAAGTGAGGGATACGATACCAAATAAAGAACGGCATCCGGCGATGCGTTCGATCTTGCCTCGTCGATCCACTTCTCCATGCTGAGAAAGCTCTTCCGGCTGGTGATATCGTAGACCAGGATAACGGCATGCGCGCCTCTGTAGTAGCTAGTCGACAGAGTACGGAAGCGTTCTTGGCCAGCCTTTAGGTGAAGAGGTTACGTTAAACATGATACGCTGTATACCTTATGAACTTATGTGAGCGGGAGTTGGTAACTTACGGTATCGAATATGTTCAGCCGGTATGCCTTGCCATGCACGGCAAGTTTCTTCATCTGGAGATAGTGAATTGAGTATTAGTCTCAGCCCTCTTCTTATCCACCCACTCATGTAGGTAGATGAGGGTAAACCGTTGAATTGACTCTCATCTCACCTTAAAATCGATACCGATCGTTGCCGTCATCGACTCCGGGTCGAATTGGTCATCGCAGTCTAAATCAAATTCTCAGAAGCCAAAATAATATCAACCGGGAAGGATCCGCGACACAAGCCGGAGAACCCGGAGTAGGATGCTCTTACATCTCAACAACACTAAGTACCCATCCTGTTAGCCTTAGCCCGAAGTGCCTTTGAAAAAGTCATATTGGATCTTGATCTCCGGCGGGCAGGCGCAATGCGACCCGGCTATCCGGAACCGTCGTCTCGGGGAACAGATCCGTCAGCGAAAGATTGGTAGGTGTACATACATGCAGACTTGCCGGCGCCAGAAGGACCGATGATCAGGACCTTGAGGACCGGGAGTTGATCCTCGGATACCATCGTTTCTTTCGTTATCCAATTCCTGGGCTTTCTTACTTAAGCGATTGATCTATTCCTCGTGAGGTCCCCGATTGTAATGCGCTGCTGATAATGACGAAGCAAATTGTAGACAAAGTATAGATACTATTAAAACAACGATAAAACGACGAGGTGAACGATGGAAATGATGCTTTCGTAGGTGAGAGGAAGCAACTGCCTTATCCTGTTTTAGGTAATGTAAATAATCAATTATGCTATATGTCATTGGCGGTATTTGGTCATGCGAGCAATCTAGCTCCTAAGAACTACTGGTAGGTATTTTACGGTGGCGGGTTTTTACTTCTGTTGGTTGCCAGGTACCTTCTGAAAGTTCAAGCTAATGGATCTCCTAGACCCTCCTACGTACAAGACTTTGACGTGTACCTGCTTGTGACGTACCAATAAATGATTGGCAGGACCCTCAATGTCGTGGAAAGAGCAGCCATGTCACAAATATCAGGTATTTAAACTATTCGTATGATAGATTATGTATGTACTTACCTAGGTACATAAGTAAAGACACTCCATGGGCGCAGTATTCACATGATATATAGTAGGTATGCATGTGAAATATGGAATCTTAACCAGGTGCATCAAGGAGCCGCATGTTAAGGACCTCAAACCTATCAGAATGGAGCAGTGTCCTAAAAAGGTTACTCATGGATCCATAAATGCAAGATGGAATAAGACAGCAGGAACAGGCATCATCAGATACGTGTAGGAGTATCAATGCCATGCGCATGCCCTGCTCAGTATCTGGCTTCCGGTTATTCCGATACCAAATAGTCTGTCAGGATATGGAAGACCAACATCAGATCACATGTCTATAATCACCAAGAAAACCATCCATAAATCATCAGCTAACCTTTCTCATTTTTTTATGTCCTGAGATGGCTGCTGTAATCGCAGCTACCATGCTGCGCCGAATGCAATCAGAAGTGAGACCTATTGCCATTGCACAAAAACCCACGCCGTCCCATGACCAGAGTTCATCATAATTAGACCTCCTCAAGGACTCGTTCCTTGAACTCGCGCTCGACCTTCTGTCCCTCCTCGTTCGTCGTGGACTCTCCGTGCAGGTTCATCAGGGCACCGAGGTCGAACTTGGGTGACTTTAGGAGCTTGACCTTGCGAATGTGGACCTAGGGAATTGTTAGTACAAAGTTTTACTAATAAAACACTCAACATAAAGAGTGTAGTCCATGATATCAAACGAAGCCGGTACGTACGTTCTGAAGGGGGTAGATGCCTTGGGTGGACTTCTCGATCTCGCGACCGATGACCTCAGGGATCAGCTTGGAGGTCAGTTGCTGCAAGGTGCAAGTAGCAGCCTCGCGCTGAATGATCTCCACCATCTTCTTTCGGATGGCACGAATCTGAGATGAAGCGGCATAGGTGGTCTTCTTGATCTGATTGGGTCGTCGCTTGGTGAAAGCGATAGCGAAGAGGCGTAGGAGGTATTCGTCGGTGGTCTTGACGGTGACGTTGGCCTCGATAAGAGATTGCCATTTTCGCACCAGAGATCGTAGCTTGTCGGAAGTGAAGTCCAATCCGTGGAAGTTGGTCAGGCAGTTCTTGCCCTGCACTTCGTCGACGCGTAGCTTGACCTTGCGGAATGCATGGTCCTCATCCTTCTGTAGATCGGCTAGGGAAACCTCGAAAATTCGGCCCTTGAGGGCATCGTTGGCGTTCTTAAGACCGGTTGTTCGGTTCACGAGGGTCTTGCCAACACTATACACCGTAATTAGATATTGGCAAATAATAGGATACCGGGGAGGGTTATTCGTACTCTCGGATGTTGAAGGGAGCGGGGGCCTAAGTATTGAAGTCAGCTATGGAGTCCATTGAGGAATGGAAATTTATCTTAAGATTAATTGTTGAACGGAGGGTATTGGCTTACCTTGATGGAGTACCAGTCCTTTCGGGCGAAAGGGTCCTGGGCCTTCTTCTTGAGGCCTTTCTTGCCCTTAGACAATCTCTTGTTCCTATTATGCGCGGATGGTTAGTACTGGATTTTCCATCGACTATTGACCATTGACCTGGGCGCTGGGTGCGGGGATGCGCAGAGCGCCCGAATATTTGTTGGTATCGAGTATTAAGGACTGATAAATATCGCGGTGATTAATTAGATCAAGTTTACTTACTTTCCAACCGCCATGTTTGCGAAGTGAATGTGGTTCGCAAGTCAGGACGTTGTCGAAGATTGTGTTGAAAGGAAGCTTTTGGTGTTGCGTTTGGATGGATCTGGCTGTGAATTCTAGTGCGGCCAAAATTTGTCGTTTGTGCGCGGAAAATCAGATATTATGGGTCTGTCACATGACCTTTTTCCTCTGGCAAAATAATCTTTTTTTTCGTAAGGCGCTACGCGATCGCTCATGTGCTTAAATTATGTACGTACTCGACAGACATTCTAGCCATGCGGGGTAACTGCATACTTAGGGGTTTTGTGGTTTAAAGACATTGGATGGCCTTGAATATTGAAGCATCAAGGATATTGTTATAGCGGATATTTAACTTACACCTTCGAGGCTCTATTTAGCACCACTTGGCTACCGTACTAAATTGGTATTAGAATTTCATTAGTACAACTCACTATCATATCAAATCATACAATTGAAACTAGAGAGGAAGGATATTTCAGTGAGATATTCTAATTTATTATCTCATTATTCTTTGATGTTGAAGTTGTCTTGGCTAGCTGTCGCTAGCTAAATCCCTCACAATTACTTCAGTCGCCTTGGTGCTGTTTATCCCGCAGATTTCTCAAGCGCTCGAAGTCCGAGCTGTCTTGAGATATAGGCGAGCTTAGAACCCAATCGATGAACAGTACAATCCTGATCCTGTCTTTTATATCCCGCCCTTGCCGTTATTAAAAAAACGGGTTATCCCAATGTTTCCCTTCATATGCTCACTTGCAGAGTAGATCCGCAAACCCGTTAACCTGTATCAGTTCCGTCGAGATCCGATCCCGAAACATCCAGGCAATTATAGATCCTGGTGTGGTGTACATCGAAACATATATCTTAGTACAAGCAAATAACACCCCGGCGCCGGTTGACCCTGTCGTCATGCTTTATCATTCGCTTCCATAACATCGGACCAAGGTAAAAAAAGAAAAAACGTGAGGTGACATGAGATTAGTGTTGGGGGGGAGAAAACTCGGGGTTCTCGGCGAACCCCGTCCCCCCTCAATGCTATGTCTCCTGTCAGATCCAAATCCTACAGTCCCCAGGCTCTAATTCGCAACTGCGAGTCAAGCCCTCTCTTCAACCGCTGCCTTCTCTTCATCTGGATGCTCGCCAACCTCCCAGGCGTCGAAGCTAGGGAAGCTAAAGTAGCAAGCCGAGCCTAGTAAATCGTCATGTCAGTACGGATGTCGATGAGCTTAAATCGCCCGCGGGTCGATAAGCGGGAACCGGAGCCGGTACGCACGTGGGTCATGAGTAGAATTTGCTATCTGAGACTCGCGGGCCTCGGCGGATTCTAAGCCGTAGCTCCGCGTCGACGCCGGCGACGAGTTGGCGTTGGAGATAGCAACTCGGCTTAGCAGCTCCGTTGCCCTTCGGTTCATATTTGGGCTCGTCAACACCCCTTTGCAAGCATTGGAGGTAGTGATCGAAGGTTCCGTGGCACACGCTCTGAGCAGGCGGGGCCGCCGTCTTTCCGCACTCTTGGGTCTTGGAGAAGACTCCCTTCGGGGTACGAGATCGGGTGAGTATCTGGCAGCAGCCATTCCGGATCGAGATATGAAGATTATGGAAGATGGTATGTAGGCTTATGCGATGAGGTTGTCGAGGAAACGCTGGTTTGGATTGCAATCTTGGGAAAGCTTTTCAAGCTTGCAATTTGAGTGGCAACTTTGGTGAAAACAATGCAGGTTAGAGGAGCATGCTCCCCATAGATCAATGGATATCTCACGCGTTTAAGACAGTAGGCAGTAGGGCAAGAAAGGCCGCTAAGACCAAGCTCTACCGGCTGTTGTGGAACGACTCCCCAGACACTCGGTGCGGGCATGCCACATGTCACTCACGAATGGGGACATTTCGCATGTGGTGGCAGCTCTATGGTCTCCGTCGGCCTGGCTGGTTTGGGCGTAGACGCCTGCAGCGCTGTTGGGCCGTTCTGCGCCAGTTAGGGACGTGGAGGGTGGAGTACATGCTGACAACTGAACCACTCATGAACCTGCAAAGGTCTAGTATCTCTTAACATCTGCAACCCATCCTTGCATACAATATCCCAGCACACACCTTGCCCTCTTGATGTACTACGTGGTAGCCATCCCCATTTTTTCCTTACCTAGACAGAGGGGATACGTTTCAAGTGGCCAGAGGCGGCGACCTGCCAGCTCTAGAAGAGGGTGTCAGCGGCCTGGAGCTCAGCGCGGATTCCGTGATGGCCCCCTGTATATTCCGTGCATCTATCTAATCAACCCACTGAGGCACCGCCCGCTACTCCTCCCTGCCAATGCATCTCATCCTGCCTCTGCCTTCTAAGGCTGATGTGGACGAACTCTGGATTGAAGCTGCAAGATTCCATCATATGAATAAATATGGCTGTTGAATTGACGTGCTACGACGTAGGTGGTTTACCGGATCGTTGCCGCTTGGACATGCTACAATTGGATCATCGTCGCACGCTGTGATTTCTGCGATATCACCGCAATCACAAGGCACGACATACAGCATAGCACAAACAAGACGCGCTTTATGGAATGCATACATTAGTCTCACGCGTGGCAATAGTAGAAGCGGGGGTTCCCAAAAACGAGATCAAGATTTCGAGCAGTACGTATCCCCCAATATACCCAGTCTCAATTCGACTCCTACATCGGTCATCGGCAAGCCAGTTCAGTCGGAGAACTCATCATCAGTGATCAATGCTGTCATTGTTATTAATACGAAGTAGCAGTGTTTGGATGGATGGTACTCACTCATCCCACATTCGGCCCTGTACGGCTTTCAATTCGTCTTCAGTCATTCTGTGACCGGCCGTGAAGTATCCTGCAAGTTATCAGCCATCCATCAATTTTGATGGCTACTACTAGGGGCAAGTAGGTAAGCCTTAAAACCCACCGGCTGTGATTTTGGCGTCTATTTCGACCCGCGAATCTGCGGGGATTAACTCCTCGGGGAGTTCTACCCGTTCGTGGATAGGGATACTATTCTTGGTTAGACATTTGCCTTGGTGTGCTGTACGGGAATCAGCTTACCCCTGGCCAACGATGGCATCGTGCTTCATGCTGCGTTGTAGCACATTAGCACCTCAGCACCTGATACGTCCTCTCCACTATTTGTACCCGAGTTACTTACTTGCTCATGCTTAGCATCTTATCAATCTTCTTTATACCGAGCCAGTGGAGGATATCGGGCATTAGAGCCTGGAAACGCATGTCTTTAACGCCGGCAACGTTTTCGGTTCTCTTGAAGTAATCCGAGGCGCGGTCTTCTCCTCGTTTTCTAGCATTGTATACAACTACCAAGTATGGTTAAGGCTTTAGTTTCGAGTTAGAAGATATGAAAACTTACGGTACTGTTATATGTTAACATCTCAGCGATCAAAAATTGGGGAGGTGTGAAATACCTTAGTGACTTCGCCCAATGCTCGTCCTTCTTTTCTGAAGTAGATGACAACGCCGCTGCCGCCATTTTGAGCTTCTTTTACGGCCTCTTCAATGCCGAAGATGAGATATGGTCTGCAAGTGCAGATATCGGAGCCAAACACATCACTACCGTTGCACTGCATTATATGTAAGCGGGACGTCCTCCGACCAATAGTCGGAATGCAGAAATTACCTCATCGTGAACACGCAAGGCTAACCTGCACTTTTCGTCAGACATCTTCGCCGGGTCTCCGAAGCAATAGACAGTCAGCCCGCCTACAAATGTCAGATTCAATGGCTCGGCATTCCTTTAGAATAGGAGCTTAGTTACCAATTGGGGGTAGGAAGACCTTGATGTCACCGCGTGTGATGAGCTATACATGTGAGTGGTTAGACCTGCGTGAGTTCTTGCTAGAATGGTGGACGCTTACTTCTGGATAACTTCCACCGGTATGTTCGAACAGAGAACGTCTTAGAACACCCTCATCTGCCCAGATCAGTCATCAATCGCCTATGTACTTCGCCTTGAATGCGTACCTATTCCAAACCTTTCGGCTACACCAGGAAGATACCAAACCTACTACCATTAGTATGATTACACATCTAAGAGTCGGAATAAAGGGGTTCCTACTGGTTCGACTGCGAACTTGGTTACAGCAAGCTCTCCACTCGCATTCAGACAGACTTTTCCATCAGGAACACTAGAATCAAGCCAATTCATGAGTAGATGCGACTGAACGTGGCGAGAGAGTTACATACAGTCGACCGCGTCGGACACTTTCCTCAAGCTCGGGCAGCTAATTCAAATTAATATGGTTTGCGAATTATGGGGGTTATATGGTTCTACCTTCATATGAGCCTTGGTAATCGCGATAGTTGGACGAATATCAACTATAATGGCTCATCAGCACAAGCTACGCTGGAGGTCAACCACGCAGACGATTACTTACCGTTATCTTTCTCTATAATGTCAGAGAAAAGCCACGGGGCTAAATGACCCCAGGGGTCCATGGCGACAATCTTTTTCTTGTCGCCCCATTGAGGAAACGGGCCAATAGGGGCAGCTGGCTCCGTGTTGGTGAAATCGGGTCTATCGGCCAGAACACAATTAGACAATATATTCAAGGTAGGTAATTTTGAACGTCGTCATACCTATGGTTGGCATTAAGCTGTTTGCTAGCGAGAGCAAGAGCATAATAAATGGAATAGGAGCCGCCGTGTGCTATTTTATTCAGTTACTCAGCCATTTAAACCCCTATTAGTAGGGCATAGCTTACCTCCGATAGCTACAACGGATGTTAGCGAATGAGCAAAGCAAACAGGAATCGGCAAACTTACCATTGCGTTTTCGGATCGTGGACGATGATCGGGAGACAACCACTGGGCCACGCTTGACTGCGTCTGAGGCACCCCATTGAAGGGGGATTGGGTTGATACCGATCTGCTTGGGATAGGTACTAACAAGGGGTTAGTGCTCGACCACGATATTTTCTCCGGGGACTATAGCCTACGTAAGAATAATACGGGACGTGAATCCCGCTTTCTCTGCCTCTTTCGTCGCAGATGGTGCTTTGGTGGCATCAGACTCGCCTGAAACTAACGTCGTCTGAACAGGTGAAGTTGGGATCCCGGCGAGGGGAGATGGCGATGCCCTACTGACATCGGGACTCGGAGCTCGGAGAGATGGGGCAAGAGCATCAAGTCGATAGGACACAGATTCAACCTCTGTTGCTAATCTACTCTGATTCTCCTGAATGGCCTTTAAAGCCTCAAGGACATCGGCCATGCCCACTTCACCGTCTTTCCCTGGGCCCGAGCTTGCCATTGTCACAGTAAGACGAATATCAACTTCAAAATGAAAAGCGGGAGATGGAATTTTATGAAGACACAGTAGCTAAATAAATGACTGCAAATTTGGAACGATTTTATTGTATGGTTTGACTCAATCTCCTTAAAAAAGCCAAGTTTGTGACTGAGTAAGGTGAGAGTGAGTGAAGTAGTTTAGTTGTTTAGTTAAAGCGGTATGGAAACGATAGACGGTTAAGGTAGATCGGTGGTCGGTATGTGGCTTTCTGGCTTTCTGGTATGAGGGTCCTTCGGGAAGGCCTAACTCTTTCGATGAATGTACCGAGTACTCGGGCCTTATACTCAGCTACTGCCGGACGAATTGGAATGACACCAGACAGACAAGTAGGAATATACATGTACGGATCCAGAGATACTTCGTCCTACATACCTACCCAAGATAAGGTGCCTAAAAAAGAAGTAGGGAAGTAGGCACCTGACTGCCTAACAGTGATAAAACCCACCCGGACTACCCGCTAGTTCGTACCTGCATCTACTGTAAACCTCCGTCTTTCCATGCCTAGCATTACCTTATCTGTAGTTAGAATGTACCTAGGAATGTTGTGAGGAAGCATCAGATACTATTCGGTATACAATTAATACAAATTATATCCAAAATTTTACGACTACCTAGGTATTGATAGGCAGTCGGTTATACACATATATTTTTCGGGATATTCAGTTTGTATCAGCAATGTAAAGACAACTATCAGTGTGGGTAGCAGTATGTGGATTTTTTCGACAGTGATCATGTGGAACGCCAAAGCCAAGAATTGATATCGGCAATGCAATTATCGTATCTACAGCTTATGAATGTATCAGGTATAAGGATGGTAGGGCATCCCCGCCTCATTCTCCACTGCCCCACCAATCAGCAGTACGTACATTTACGTACCTACGTACTTACTAATTCATTCGATAAACGATAAGATAACCTTATCATTAAGGCCTTTTGTAGAACCGTGTAACCTGTGGCTTTGAGGCTGTAAGTAGGCTGTAGGAAGAGTGTATGATTTGAAGTGTCGCGTAAGGTACATACTTAAACATGTGTCGAACTGACTGAGCTGGCGTCCTTTTGTGACAGAAATCCATGTTCTTTGTTCTGTCATAAATCTGTCAACTGTTTTGCGCGAAGCAGGCTATCTACTTAAACTGGGAAGCTGCCAGGGAGCAGGTACTTTAACCTTGTAGGTAGCCACGCGCGCCGATTTCCCCTACGCGACAGCCGACGTCATTTCCTCTGAAAAGTGCGAATACTTGACCGCGACTGCGACCGATCAATCAATCAACTTTCCTCAACTCAACAATCTTCGTCCAACGCCGCAACCAAATTGCGTCGCGATCAGATCAACGCGATAGATCGCAACAAGGAGGAACTTACAATTCTTTGGACTTAGTCCTACACCCAGTTCACTATGGTATGCACTACAGCCTTGTCCGTCAACTTGCCATATTCTACAGGCACTAATCATTCGATATTGCAGGGCAAGCGCAAGAAGAGTTCCCGAAAGCCTCAGGGCAAGAAGAAGGTAGTTCACCTCGGAGATACAAGATGGCGCCTTTAAGGACCAGAGACTTACCTGCATCGCAGAACGATCCGTTACCTACTGTCTTCACCTGTCTCTTCTGCAACCACGAGAAGTCGGTTACCGTTAAGATCGATAAGAAGCTTGGTGTTGGCGACCTGGATTGCAAGGTGTGCGGACAAAGATTCCAATGCGGTGTCAATTGTAGGTGAAAAGAATAATCATTGCCAAACTTGGTTCTAATGGATGTGTGATAGATCTCTCAGCCCCAGTCGACGTTTACAGTGAATGGATTGACGCAGCAGGTTTGTCGACCCCAACCAATATAACTCATACTAAAATCTCGGACAAAGTCACTGACTCAATTTAAAACCCAGACGCTGTCGCCAAAGATAACAACACCGGAGGTGGTTCCGCATCAGTTCCTGCCTATCGCTCAGGACCTAAACAGCCAGCTGCCGGTCGTTATGAGGACGACGCTGAAGAAGGTTATGAGGGTGAAGGCATTGTTCCTGACGAGGAAGAGGACTGAGCGAAGCCTAGATCTTCGATGAACAAAGCCCCCTCTCGCCCAGCCACTGCGGACCGGAACAATTAAGCATTCATGATGCCCATGATCTTCACGTTTTTCATACCCCCGGTCTGACTATGGCTATCTGCGGTTTTCCGTAAGTCATGTCATCTGCTAGAGTGGCTGGTTTGAATTGCTATTTGCATAATGAATAGAGCCAACATGGTCTCAGATGGCAATAAACACTGAATTCTACGTATTATTTCCTAAATTTGACTGTGCTTTGTAATTGTGACTATTGCCCTACATGGTGTAAAATCGATCACCGAAATCGCCCAGACCTGGAATAATGTAACTAGAATAATGTTAGCAGAACTTTGACATGATATAAGGTTAATCAACATACTTCTTTTCGTCAAGGCCCTATAGATCGTTTGGATTAGTACGGCATTACGAAGAAGGCAGATTGAAGTGTTCCTCACCTGGTCAATAAATGCTGTGACGACTCGAAGCTTGGGAAACTTGGTCGCAAAATTCTGCACCCCCTGCGGACTGGCAATTAAGTTGAGGAAGAGGATTCTTTCCTCTGGGACACCACGGGATTTTAGGACATCGACAGCCATAATAGCGGATCCGCCTATAGCAGCCAACAGAAGTTAGTTCTCGAGTGCGTGAAATATGGCACAGACGGCTGGCTATCTGACCTGTTGCAAACATTGGGTCGAGTAAAAGAACCCATCTGTCGGCGATATCCTCGGGCAGCTTGTCGTAAAACAGCTTCGGCTTTGCCGTCTCCTCGTCTCGCTGGATCAAGATTTTGCCGATCCTCACTGACCTACAGCAGTCTCGGAGACCCTGCTCCATGGCTTCGCCAGCCCGCATGATGGAGACACCGCATATCTTCCCCTGGAACATGAGCCCATTGTATGTGCGGCCAACAGGAGTAGTCACGGTATGCTCAACGACGGGCAGATGGTTCAACCCTTCCTCGACAAGGAGACGAATGATTCGGTTGGAGTAGAAGATGAAATCTGCTCGTTCCGTTTTCCTGTCGCGGATCTTCCTATTCCAGAGATTGTCTATGAGTGATTCGAGCACAACAATAGCATCGCTCGAGTCTCGCCCAACAAGGAAGTCACTCACGTGAGTAATGCGATGAGCTGTGGTGTCTGGGGTAACGTGATAACGTTGTCATGTTCGACCTCCGTTGAGACGGTGGCAATGGGCTTCTGACTAGGCGAGCGGTAGTCGGGTCCTACACATTGCACAGGGCCAGTCTGAGGACGGTTTCCAGATTCGGTAGCCATCTTATACTCTGTAGGCGGTGTATAGTGTAAGACGTATATGTGACGTCCCGATGAGATTGTACGTCGTATGGATTGTGTGCAGGGTTACAGCGACGCTTAAAGAGGTATTTCTACTTAATAAGGAGGATCAAGGTTATACAACTTGAGTACTTCAAGGGGCCAGGAAGATTCTTCACTATCTGTGATGTGTCTACGCGGATGTGTGCGTTTCGTCGCCGATTATCGAATAGAAAGTAGAGATATAAATGTTGAAGACTCCACAGGTGAAAAGACTAGTCTGCAATTAGGAGGAGTGAGCTTGTATATTTAGTATAATGTGGTATGAGACGTGAGAGGGCCAAATTCCAAGGTACTAGTGGAAAGTAATGAACCTCACTTTTCGATAGTCGGTATTAAATGATAGGCCACTTTTTGTAGAGTTTCCAATATAGCGATAATCTAAACCATAAACCCCCGTAAACCGAGCTGACTTGTAAGAAACGAAGGTTGATACGATAAGCCCTAATAGGCAATTCCTAAAAGCCTTGGCGCAGTTGAAGCCCCGCGTGTACTACTTGGGGAAGTATCTGGGTACTTACCAGGTTGTTTCAGGCTTCAGCTGGGGGCAGTGATTCGCTACAAAGAGCGTTCTTACCTGTATGTAGCTGAATTTGGTGGGTGGATGCTTCCGTCATTAGCAGGTAACAATGGAAAAGCGAGACCGACGCGGCAATATTCAATGCATTTGCATTGGAAATATGTCCCGAGCTTCAGCGTGAATCACAGCATCACCATCTCTTCAACAACCTTTTTTTGGGTGCGCCTCAATTTCCGTCCCTTGCCTTTTGACAAGACAATTCGACCATATTCCATCTGGAACAAAGCGCAAATCCATCGTGCCACCTTCCACTAAAAAAGCTAAACCGATACTTTCATCTAAATCAGTCCGCTGCAAGGCTACCACAGGCGCGTCTCGTATCTGTTTACCTGAACTTTATCACATTTGCACATTTCATCACGTTTGATATCCCACATCGTCTTGACCGCTATGAGCATTTAATCTTTTTGACGTTGGCAAGATCCCGACCACCGCCGCCACGAGGATTAATTAAGAGCTATCATGGCCACCAAGCAGGAATTTAGCGCACCGCGCAAGAAAGGGTTGATGACATATGGAAAAGCTGCTCGCAAAAGACAGCCAAAGACAGTTTTCACACCAGCTGCTTTCCCACCTATACCAGAAGATGACGATGATTCTCCCGTTGCAAAACACAAGGCTACCGTAACACATCGACGACCTTCTCTTCTCACCTCCCCGCAGCGCGATCCTGCTTCACCCTCCTCAAGCCTTGGTAGCACATATCGTAACAAGACAAGTCCAATTAGCTCAAACGAGGGTTTGCAAAACCCAGACCGGAAGCGCAAAATATCCCAGGTCTACATGTCGAAGGGGCGAACACAGGAACCTATCCAGGCCAGTCAAAAGAATGCCCCTCTGAATCGCATACCTCCTCGATCGCGCCCATCTACGTCTGCCGGCATTAGTACCAGCAAACCAATCGCATCTACCTCACGACAACGCGCCCGTCCAACTTCGCCAGAATTAATGGATATCGACACAGCTGAACCCAGCCTATCGAGTCCACCCCCGACCCCGACATTGCCAAAGCCGTCACGCCAGCCAAAAGCCACAGCAAGCAAAGGTTCTGCATCATCGGCGCCGGGCACAACTACAACAGGGAAAGCGAAGCGGGGCGATACACAGCATCAAATTCCTCTACGCTTTGCGCGTGAAGACATTGTGAAGCCGATAGCCTCACGTGCAAGTTCAAGTGCATCTTCAAACAGAGTGAATAAGGAGGTTGGACCTGCGCCTCAGCTAGCTCCTGAGAGTGTTTCGAAAAAGCGTAGGCGACGGTTAATTGATACGTTGATTGAGCAGACTAAAGATGAGGATGAAGAGGAAGAGGTCATTGAAACAGTTGACGAGGTCCTTGAAAGTCAAGCAGATTCAAGTCAACCTACTTTGAGTCATCAGGCCAGCGATATTTCAATGCTGGAGTCACAGCCATTGCCTCAAACCCCAAGTCGTAATACTGCGACATCACAAGCGACTAGTATCAGGACTTTCGCACGCTCTAGCAGTGCGCTCAAGTTTACGTACGGCCAAGGCAGAAAAGTTCTAGAAGAGGAAGGCGATTTACTTGAATCTCTCATCCTACCCGAAGAGTCGTCAACTTCGTTAAAGGGAAGACGTTTGGAACTTGGAACGCCGAAGAAAGCAGTTGCCGCCAAGGGAGCACTTGATGATGAGGACCTTGGAATTAATGGTTCGCCTAACTCAAAACTCCGGGATATTCATGAATTGAGACAAGCCGGAGCGAATTCCCGCGTGGCCGACACGATGCAAGATTTGGCCGACCAGATTGGTTCTCCAAGCAGCAAGCCTTCATCGTCTCGAAGAGCTGCATTGATACAAGTAGCAGAGAAAATCAAGGACAAGACATTTATGTGGCAATGTCGCGATCATGGTGTCGAGGCGGCATTGTTGAAAGATATGGGCAAAGAGTCTGATATCATATCCGGATACCTCATCTTATCTATCCTCGTGACGATACTCGCAAAATGGCCCTCGTCACATATACAGCAACTTGTTCGGCTCGGGAACCCCGCAGGCATGTTTGCTCACTTGCTCAGCATACCCAAGGACATGAAGGTGATAGCGCGCGACAGAAAGAGCAACTTATCTAAGAGAAGTCAAGCATCTCTTATCGCTACTCAAACTTCGCTGCGCGAGTTATCGATCTGGGATAAGGCTATCCCATCATATGTCTCGCCGAGAAGTCTTGTTCTCAAGTGTCTACATTTACTCATCGCTCATGATGTCAACGCAGCTAGAGATCCTGCCATCTTCTCTCCGGCTGTGACAGAGGCTCTCTTCTCAGTGCTCTCGGACGCAGCCGAAAATGCAGAGCACTGGAACTATCCGGTAGTAGCGGAAGCGATCGATCTTGCGCATGCTCTGGCGATTCTTGAATTCTATGCTGTTAGCATTGCGGAAGTGCAGCGCGTAGGCGCTAGTTGGGTTATTCCATATCTCCCAATCGTAGCTGACGTTTTCGGGGCTTGTTCACAAAACATAGTACCGGGTGTTACGGCTCAAGAGAGCGAGAGCAAGCTTCTCGAGGATGCTGTCTTGAAGCTCACTATAAATTTGACAAACAATAGTCTGGAAGCGCCAGAAATATTTGTGTCGAAAGGACTTGTACCTGCTTTGGCAGGGTCTATCTCCAGCAATTTTACTCGCATTTCGGAGTCGTTGTCTCGAGATACGTGGGTCGATGGGATCCTCGACAGCTTGGTCCTGCGGCTAGGGATCCTAATCAACTTTTCGGAGCACAGTTCGCTCGTGAGAGAGGTCATAGATGACTGTCACCATGAGGGCCAGCGACCAGTTGACGAACTCATCCGATTATTTTTCGAAAATTACCGGAGGACAGCAGAAGTAAGTCAAGCAAATGGTATGTTCATTACTTCCTACTAACAAGTGGCCAGGCCGATTCAATGGAGACCAGTCACCTGAATGTGGCCTTCGGATACTTGACGGTCTTACTAGGCTATCTAGCCCTACATAGGCCGGTGCGGCAGAAAATACGGTCAAGTCATTCGGCTAAGAGCATCGAACCGCTACTTGATTCACTTCGCGAATTCCTTACCCATCATAGGAAAGTGGAACAGAGTGTGGACGAAAGCGAAGATGGCTCACGAGGCCACAGTAGCTATACGGAGCGGCTTCAGGACCTGGTGCATCAATTAGAAGAGCAGGCTGCATATGATTGATTCGGAGGTGGCTTACATAGACCGAGCATGTCTCATGACACGGCAATTTTTTCTTGTAGGATCATCTTCATGCACAATTCACTGTCGGAGCAATATCAGCTTGGCGACGGGATACGGGAGGGATTGATGGGGTTTTTTGCCATCAGGTGCGTCGAAGAAAGGGGAATGGAGATGTCTGGTGAATTCTATTGGCATCACCTTAAAGGGGTGTTCCTTGGAGGATGTCAAAATACCTTCAAAACGATGATTACGTATGCGGGATGGGATGGACAATGGTGGATATGAAAGCAGCACAGGCATAGGACTATACCCAGGACATAGATTTGCGTTGAATCAAAGAGGAGTAGGAGTCTATAATTTGATATTACGAGCTTTCGCGGTTCCTCAGCTTGAGCCGCAGGAATGCAACCTAAGTTATGCCGCCTCTAGGTTACCGTATGTCACCCTATGTCACTTGAGGACAGGGTTTCTCAGCAGCTACATCCATAAGCAGCTAAGGTGCAACATCTACATAGCCCTAGCACCCTAAGTACGGATATGCATACACAGTAAGCGGCGCACATGGACTTGTATATTTTGCCGGAGGCTGGGTCCTGCCCCGCGGTCATCCACAAAGTCGATGATGGTGGATGAGTGGTTTAGCAAAAGGTTCCAAACTTAGCGGATTCAGGCCCTATTGGTCGCCCCTTATTGGTGCACTTTATGAGATATCGTTATGTCAAGGAAAGGTTATTAATAGGAACTGGATGCTACTAGATGCCTTAGCTAGCCGCGCTCGCATGGATACCCAGGAACCTAGCTTAAGTTGCTTAACCATGGTTAGCCGTCAATTGAACAATTACTCAATTGATTCAATATTGGCAGACTAGGTATATAGGTACCTTAGGTACATATGCATCTGCTAATCTCTACTAGTAGGTATTGATCAAATAAGCGTTGCTATATATCCGTACCCCGCCTACTGAACAATTCCAATTCCAAGCATGTGCTTGGTACAGCTTTTTTTCCCTTCTCGCTTTTCTTGTCTAGGAAGACTAGGGGGAAAAGGGAAGACCCAGGTGTTAAAAAAATTCAAAGGTCATCCTGTTTTTCTGGGTTGCTTGTTTTTAGCTGGTCTCGTTCAGCTCATGTACAAAACAGGAGAGAGGGAGAGAGAGAGAACACTGTGAAGGAATAAGAATAAAAAATAAAAAGAAGACCCCTCCTATTTCGTCCGCTTCTGACCTCATACATCCATAGCCCAAATGCTTCTCAATCTTTGATTCGAATGCGTGGTATCGTATCTTGGGTAACATCTGCTGCACGTCATAAACCACACACAAATGCGTTGCCTGATTCAAGAGGCTTGAAGAAAGGAGAAGGGAAAAAGAGAGAGAATTAAAAATAAAGGTGTGCACCATCCTACGCTCGGTCGTTTCAATGTTTCGAAATTGCCCATGTTCGATTTTGGAACAATAAAGCTATCGTGTTGACAAAATACCTGTTCTGAACCACCTTCACTACTATCACCATCACCGGCACTGTCACTGTCACCGTCACTTTTACACAATTACCCTCCATTTATAAGATCTAGTTACAAAGATCCAGTTACAAGACAAGACGAATTACGCATGCCTCCGCGCACATACCTCGCGCAGAGACATATACAACCCGACACTCTTATTATACATTTCTCATCCCCTCCCCCACGCCCGACCGCCGCTACATACCTGTTTATGCAGCAGCATTACTCCGTCGTGCTTATATGAAGGGGTACCTGACGTACCTACCTAGTTGAATAATACTTTCCAGCACCGCGATATCACGCTTTCTTAGTCAACCGCTGCCCCCCGCGTAAATGCCGTCACCGTCCAAGCAGAGGAAGGTGGCCATTGTCGGCAGCCGATCCGTAGGTATGTATGGCCATCGTGTCCAATGTCCCATTGTTCCTTGTCGTGTCGTGTTGTATTCACGTTCACATTCACGTTCATGTTCATGTTCATGTTCACCTCGCACGCCAATGTTCTACCCTTACGGGGTACCCTCTTCCCCTTATCCGTTACCCGTACCTTGCTACTTTCCATGCGAGCTTCCATGCGAGCTGCCATGGATCGTGCATACGGTACGATATGACATATAACATATCTCATATACACCAAATCTGACGGGCTTTTTTTTTTTTCGCGGATCACACGCTAATCCTGGGAAACCGTTTGCGTTTCGTCTTCTGCAGGCAAATCCTCCCTCGCCGTTCAGTTCGTCGACGGCCACTTCGTCGAGAGCTACTATCCCACCATAGAGAACACGTTCAGCAAAGTGATCCGCTTCAAGGGCCAGGACTATGCTACCGAGATCGTCGACACGGCCGGACAGGTAAATTTTGGGGCTTTGCTATAATTCTATTCTAATACCTAATGCCGGCTAGGCATTAAGGTGCTTATTGGGGGGGAGAAACCTTGATCGTTTGTGCTGACGAGAGGCGCTTTGCGCCGGTCTGTCTATAGGACGAGTACAGCATCCTGAACTCGAAGCACTTCATCGGCATCCATGGCTACATGCTCGTGTACTCGGTATCCTCGCTGCCCTCGTTCGAGATGGTGCGCGTGATCCGCGAGAAGATTCTGAACCACCTGGTTTGTCACACCCTCCCTACTTGCCCGCAAACATCTCTCCTCCATCTCCCGGGGAACCAAAACCCGTTTAAACCCCTGTACCCCAAGAACGCCACCATCGCCCGCCACCAAGCCTATCTAGTCTAGCTAGCACGAATTATCTATGTATGTATGTATGTACGTATGTAACTGACGTAAAGAAATTTCTTTCTAGGGTACGGATTGGGTGCCGATCGTCATCGTGGGCAACAAGAGCGACCTCCGGCCGGAGCAGCGGCAGGTCAGCCAGGACGACGGGCGCAAGCTCTCGGAGGAGTTCAACTGCGCGTGGACCGAGGCCAGCGCCCGCTACAACGAGAACGTCGGTAAGGCCTTCGAGCTCCTCATCGCGCAGGTCGAGAAATCCCAGAACCCGAACGAGGCGACCGACTCCGGGAAGTGCGTCGTCATGTGAGGGGTTAGGGGGGGGGCGTCGGGAACGAGACGACTCGAGACGGGGGGGACGAGAGGAGATTCGGGGATATATGGCTACGGCAATGGAAATGGCAATAGCTATGGCCCAATTGGGATTCAAACTGTTTCGCGGCGAGTTTCATAGGAATACGTAGGAATTGCAATGCGATACGATACGATAGTACGTTGGAATAAATTAGAAACGGGAGAAGGGCAAGTCGTCGATAGGGGTGATAGGCGACAGGGCTACTGCTGAAGCAACTACGTTTAAGGGTATGAGTAGGTACGTTGGCATGTCGTTACGTGGTTAGAGGTGCTGGTTTATTTATCTTCATTTGACGTTGCAATCTTCGATCACGCGCGCTTACTTATACGACCTGGTAATCTGGTCTGGCAGATGTCGGTGTTTCGTTGTGGGTTGTATGCATGTATATACTTAGCTGAGAAGCTTGAATTTGGTCAAGGAGTCAATTGGATTTGTTTACGCCATTGGATTTTCTTGAGTGGTGTATGTCTTCTTTTTTACAATAATTGAATCGTGTTAAATGATAATGCCATGATGTGAAATGTCAGATAGTGTTTGCATCTGGAAGGACGAAAAGGGGTAGGGTACTGGAGCTAAGCTGGGAGATCGAAAAGCGAAAGTCGAAGTTCCAATACGAGGGGCAGAGGGGCAGAGGGGCACAGAAGGGTACGTACCGTATTATGCCCCGCGACTCTGCCCCTCCACTTTAAAAAACCACCCCACCAAAATTTGGCCTGGTAACAGAACAGTCAACTATCAAGACAACAGACACTTTTACCTACTAGCTATCTAGGTACTCTGAGAATCCCTTATAATATTCCCTTCTCGGACCACGATCGGTATCCGCAACCATGCTCGACGTTCAGGATTTCATCACCGAGCGGGGTGGCAACCCAGAGAAGATCCGCGAGTCGCAGCGCCGCAGATATGCCCCGGTCGAGGTTGTCGACGAAGTCATCGCCATGTTCGAGGACCATCGAAAAAGTCAGTCGCCTGTTTGAATGTATAAGACTAGACTCCATACTGACTCTCTGCAATTGTAGCCCAATACGCCGCGACGCAAATAAACAGCAAGATCAACGACGTCAACAAGCAGATCGGTGCTAAGAAAAAGGTCAGATTCCTTCTGAGTCACCGATACTCGACACTCTATACACGTGCTACTACGCGTATTAGGTAATTACTGACCCTCACCAATTCCTAGGCCAAGGAGAATGCCGACGAGTTACTTCAACAGAGGGCCGACCTCGACAAGGAGAAGAAGGCTCTTCTCGACTCGGCCGCCCAGAAGGACATTGCGCTGAAAGCCAAAATCAACACCATCGGCAACATCGTTCACGACTCCGTACCCGTCAGCGACAACGAGGACAACAACGTTGTTCAGCGAACGTGGGCCCCCGAAGGCGTGAAGGTAGAGAAGAAGGACGTGCTCTCGCATCACGAAGTTCTCCTGAGGCTAGATGGCTACGACCCGGATCGTGGAGTGAAGGTGGTTGGTCACAGAGGTTACTTCTTGAGACAATGGGGTGTATTCCTCAACCAGGCTCTGATCAACTACGGCCTGGAATACCTCTCCAGCAAAGGATTTACGCCTTTGCAGACCCCCCAGTTCATGCTTAAGGACTACATGGCGAAAACCGCTCAGCTAGAACAGTTCGATGAGGAGTTGTACAAGGTCGTCGACGGCGAGGCGCAAAACGACAAATACCTTATTGCAACCTCAGAACAGCCCATTTCTGCCTTCCACGCCGATGAGTGGCTGATAGCTAAAGATCTGCCTATAAAGTACGCGGGATTCAGCACATGCTATCGAAGGGAAGCCGGTTCCCACGGTCGCGATGCCTGGGGTATCTTCCGTGTACATCAGTTCGAGAAGGTAGAGCAGTTCGTGCTCACGGATCCCGAGAAGTCGTGGGAAATGTTCGAAGAGATGTTTACCACTTCTGAAGAGTTCTATAAGTCTCTCGGTTTACCATACCAAGTTGTGGCTATCGTATCGGGCGCATTGAACAACGCCGCTGCGAAGAAATTCGACCTAGAAGCCTGGTTCCCCTTCCAGGGAGAGTACAAGGAGCTTGTGTCATGCTCTAACTGCACCGACTACCAGTCTCGTGCTCTCGAGATCCGATTTGGTGCGAAGCAGCAGACGGAGATCAAGAAGAAATACGTTCACTGCCTCAATTCGACGCTATGCGCTACCGAGAGAGCTTTGTGCTGCGTTCTTGAGAACTACCAGACCGAAGATGTAAGTAAAATACTAAGGATACCTAGTTAACGTTAAAGGTTCTCGATGCTAATTAATCGCTCCAGGGTCTCCGAGTTCCCGAACCGCTACGCAAGTACCTCCCGGGTGCTCCCGAATTCATCCCTTTCGCCAAAGAATTGCCCAAGGACACGACATCGCAAAAGGCCAAGGCTAAGGCGGATAAGGGAGCCAAGCAAAAGGTGGCTGCCGCGGGAGCTGCAGTGGCGGAAGTTGGAGAGAAGCTGAAGAACACTGTCGTGTAACGGATCGGAGTTTAAGGGACCGGGATATCGAGGAATGGCTTTTAGAACCAATGTGAACGAATTTCAAGATGATACTGATGTGCTTCTGTTTATACGATGCCTCTCAATGCTAATGCAGAGCAGTGGCTATCGTTTCTTTAAGTAGCATAGGAACTGCCCCGACTATGAAGAGAAGGGGATTTTCATGAATATTCAGATGCACCGAGAAATAGAATTTACCTATTGTCTCGTCATTTTCAAAGTGAGATCAAGTATAGAAAACGCGCTACGCGGGTCACAAAATGGTTAAGGCTAAGGATTACCTATCGGGTTACAGTTTGGACCCTTGTCTTGTGTTACTGCTTGAGTTTATACTTGGTAAGTACAAGAAACAAGACTCTTCGGCTCACTTACCTCTAATAATTCTCCAGTTATTATAAATACCGTATCTGAGGTACTTATCCACGTATAGAATAGGTATCTATAATGAAAAATTATGTTGTATATCTCTTTTAGGATGGGTTACCTAATGCAATTCATTAGCCTTCACATTCCAAAAGCCTCTCAGTGCCGTTTCCGATGACAATTATGAGCCGCACCCGGATTCCTTGTATTACACGCACGCCCACTTGTCCGTTTACGCCTAATTCCCAACCTGAATCTGCTATGAGTGACTTTACGTTTGATTATGGACAGTCACCAAACTCCATTTACGAGTGACCCAGTGTGTAATCAATTACGGACTCATCGGTGAATAAGACCGTTGTCAGGTCCTAGAAATACATACCCAAGTTGAAACAAGCAGCCAATCATCACCCTTGGCGGCTAGATCTCATCTGACGCATGAGCTAACCATACGACACATCCGACACATACGACACTACAGTACGACACCGCGCCTAAATAGATTTAAGTTGAGAGTCGAAACGCCCCTCGGAATTGTCCTAGTCTTTAATTAAATTTTCGAGAGCAAAGGATCGTCGGAAACGTCTTTGTTTCCATGTCCACTAAAGCGACTTGCCCATTTTGTTCTAAACAGTTTTTCGAATATGCCCTGCTAGTCGTGAGTCTCGTTATTACTACAGGGGTCCTTTAATTTCCGACACTTCTGACGCTCATCGTCGCAGCATATAGAAATCCAACATTGTGAAGAAGAGAAGTCACCATTCATCCCGGATGAAGGCTGGGAAGCGGCGGATTTCGAGGAATTATCGGGAATAGGATCAGGATCGGGATCAGGCACGCAAAGGGAAGTTGACGAGAAAGTCGACGAGAACGAGTTGACCGACTACTGCGAGTGCCCCGTCGAGGATTGCGGTGAAGTGATTCCCCTTAATCATCTGCAGAATCACATCGACATGCATGGCTACGAGCATGCTCAGCATGGCTTTCCCGAAGATTACTCAGAGCAATCAACGCAGCCCAGCACCGATGACTTGATGTCGGACAGTGATTACCTCCAGACGCCGGCGGAGCATACGCCAAGCATGTCCCCGGGGCCCGCCGAGGCCGGCCTCAACGGCCCGGGTACCGCCTCGTCCAACTGGAGGCACTTGTTAAACATCCCTCATAGACCAAGAAACCAACCGCCGCTCCATGTTGCCGAGGGGGTTCAGGTTAAGCAAGTTAAGAGGCTTGGCGTAAGTTTTCTCCTTGGTCAACCTACTTTCAGTCTCATCTATCGGATGAAAGTGAAGATATCGTATTTAAATTGACACTATGTTTAGAAGAAAGAACTCGGAACATACCACAAGGAGGAGAGGATGCCGGAATGGCTTTTCAATATGATAACCAAGTACAATTACAAAAGCTCGCAAGGTTGGTCTACTAATTCGCGAAGATTCAACAGTCCGTTCGACTTGTCAGCTAACGAATCTCATAGGGGCCATACCCGTCCTCGCGCAGTACATACAACAGAGTTCTAAGACCCAATATGCGTATCTCTGCAATCCCGCAACCCAGCATATCTCTAAACTAAGGAGAGAGGGTAAGTACGACCTACAAGTCTTTACACAGGCATATAATAATGGCCTTGCGTGCAAACGAAATCTGACCATTTTCTAGGTGGCTTCTGTGGCTACAGAAATATCCAGATGTTGGTATCATACATTGTCGGGACGGGTGCAGTGGGCGCCGCAGCCTTTGGCTATGAAATCCCAACTATCTTCCAAATCCAGGACATGATCGAGAATGCCTGGGACCGCGGCATTCACCCGGACGGCAGAATAGAACTCGGCGTCCTCAGACGCACCCGCAAATACATCGGGACTCCAGAGGTTAGTCCTATCAATTTTCCGTTTTGTGTCACAACTAACAACTACATTATCAATAAGGCATCAACACTCTTCCAAAGCCTAGGTATACAGTAAGTAGGCCCTTTTCCCGCGCCCCTAGAGAGAATTACAAGTGATCATATCATCGTAAAGAACTAGCGACTGACGTAATAGCAGATGGAGTTATACGGGTCTCAAGAATAAAGAGGGTGATGCGCCCACGGCATCAGAGCATAGATTATATGATTATGTCGAGAACTATTTCTCATCATGTCCCGGCGTCAAGACGCGAGGCAGTGTCCGCAACACAACCCGGCCTCCCCTTTACTTCCAGCACCAAGGTAAGTCAAGTTGTTTCCAATTTTGCATCACTTTTCTTTCTGTCCAAGCGAAGAATTAAGTCAAATGAGAACGACTATTATCTCATATAATGACGGGAAATTCTAACATGATCAAAGGCCACTCTATGACGATCATCGGAATAGAACGGACGGCCAAAGGGACTCGAAACCTCCTGGTTTTCGACCCATCTCACCAGGACCCCACAAGCATCACCAAGTACATTGGACACAGCATCGACCATTCCCGCGCCCACCCGGACGATGTGCTCAAATTTTACCGGCGCGGACCCAAGTACCTATCCGCGTATCAACATTTTGAGGTTCTTCAGTACGTCATCGTTCTCTCATTCTGTAACGTCGTGTCTTGAGCTAACATGAGATGTGTGATATAGATTGAAATAATATAGTTGAAGGCCTGCTGTACTCTTTTTCCTTCTTCTACCCAGTGCTTAGTCATATACCTGTCTGTTTCGATACGCATTTGCCTATTTGGAACTCATCGGCGTTACAAGGAGAAAGAGAGAATGGATTGCAAAATAGCCTAAGATAACCACATAAAGTAAACGTCGAATAGTTGAATTTATGAGATGAGATTGGTCAAATCTTTTGACGTTCACCTTCAAGGAGATTATCGTAGTCTATTGATTTGTTCGCCGGATTCTATAGACGGATGTCTTTTCTTTAAAGTCCTTCGCACATCTATGGTATTAACCGAGTCTGACTCCCGCCAAATCTTACGCAAGTCTCACTCACTTATTCCTTGATACCGCCACCTTCGATCCACGCTCGGAGTTTCTCGAGCGCCTTGAAGCGGTGCGAGATCTTGTTCTTCTCAACCTTATCCATCTCCGCGTAGCTATCAACGGCGAAATTATTGTCAGCACGTTCATCTATCCTTCATCGAGAATCCATCATCGGCTGTGGTGAATGAGAAGGGATTTGGATAGGGGAACTTACGTCTGACCCTCGTACTCAAAACACGGATCCCAGCCTGACAGGTTAGCTAAGCGTTAGAGAGAAGATCGATGTGAGGAACATACCGAATGTGGTTGGGCCTCTAGGAGGCACTATTTTACCCTGTTCGGTTTTAAGCAGTTAGATAAATATAATAGTTGCCTATGGTATTCTTTCATATTTCCTCGGACTCAATGGCAAATAGACTGGGATAGACTTACGTGCGTGCGTCCCTGGAATAACAGCACCTCCTGACCGGGTCCCTTGCAAAACCCAAAAGTCGCGACGGCCTGCGCGGATTTGTCGTCGTAGGCTGCGAGCAGATTGTTGAGGCCCACGTGGCCGATAGACTGCATGAACCACTTTCTATTTTCCCGACCGGTCGCATCAGCACTCGTTCTACTCCGCCCAATTCACTGATACGCTCTTGGATCCGATGTATCAATATATCCCTCCCCCTTTACATCACCCCTCCCATCCCATCCCCCCTCAGCCATCCGGCAAAATGCAGAAGAAACAGGGTGAGAGATATAGCGATACCCAATCCCAAGGTACTCATAGGGACGCTCGAGACGAAGAAGAGGCAGGATAAAAAAAATTAAAAAAAAGAAACTTACATGTAAGGCCCCGGCAGCCCGTTCAGCGCGTCGAAGCAAAGGCACGTATCCTCGACGAGGACGGGCCCGCCGACCGCCGCGGCGGCGGCGCGGCACTTCTCGGTCGTCACGTCCTCGACCGTGCCCTGGACCTCGGGCAGGTCGAGGGCCTGGTTGCGGACCTCGATGCCGGCCGGCTCGAGGATGGCACGCACCTCGAGCAGCTTGTTGGCGTTGCCCGTTATGAAGTTGACCACGGGCTTGGACATGTCGTTATTTTTATATTTTTTTTTCTTGTTTCCTTTTCTCCTTTTCCTTTTTTGCCTTCAGAAATATGAGTTATCGCAAGGATGGAATATTTTGAATAAAGGTATAAGTTGGTCGGTTTTATTGGTGAGTTTTCTAACCATAGTCGAGACTTTGCTCTCTGGTTTTAAATGTACTAGGTACCTAGGTAGGTAGTGAAAATTGATATGAGGAAGGCTTCGGTGTGACACACCCGGCGACATGTAACCTTAAGCCCAGCTAGAACGCTATAGCGGGCACCTGCAGTAGTTGAGAGGTTGAGACCACAGCTCTCCAGCGTCTCCTATTGGCACAAAATAGGCCGTAAACCGACGCCGTTTTAGCACTATATGCATACTAAAAATCCCCTATTATTTAGGTGATTGGCATACACCATTAATTATTCACTCTCAAGTACTAGTAGAAACGGGAATAAATCAGCAAATTTGTCGTTTTATGCCGGTTAGTATTTAAGAGAGAAAATGATGCCATAGCCAATAGTTTGCAAATGAGGTATCAGACTTATAGGTACCACGGGTTATTCATCCGTTGAATCAACAATAGGTAGCATCTCTAGAGATTATGGAAGTGCTTAGGAGAGTCGAAGATCATGGGTATCTCAGTCGCATTTACTATCTAAAATGTGTCCCGTTCCAATGCACCTTTCCCATCCTTTTCTTCCCTCCTATTCTCGACCCTGGAAAGGAAAGGGGTTGAAAGACTTTTCCTTACTTAACCTCACCCTATTGCACGTCTCCTTCCGCATGGTCTTTCTTCCATTGCTTAATCCACTCCTCGATGCGGTCAACGTTGCTCTCCATCTCATCCGTCGTGTTGCTCGTCAGCTCGACCACAATCTCCGGCTCATACGAGTCCCGCGCTTCTTGTAACAGCACCTCCATGATCTCTGAGTCTAGGTTCTCCTGTAGCTTTGCTTCGGGGTATTTCCTTGATATATAATTAGCAAGGCATAAACCCAAGGGGTATAAAAAAAGGGGGAGGGGAGAAGAAATTTACCTTGCGGACAACCGATCGTAAAGCGTACTAGAATCCACCCGCAACACGACCACTAAGTCAATCCAGCTCTCGGGGAAGATCTCGCAGCCGTGCCAGTCTATGACGCAGCCACCAGCTTTAACATTATCCTCCTCGAGCGCATCGAGTAGCTACAGTTCCAACTTGATTAGTCTTCGTCTTCATTTTCCCATCATACGTTCTCGAGACCCGGAGCCGGATTCTCGAACTCACCTTATCCTCGTCCACGATCCAACTCATGTACTCCTCGTCCCAGCCCTCGTGGCAATCCCTGTCCTTGACGACCTGGTTGACCGACACGTGCCTCAGCCCCGTCCTCTCGGCTAGCATTTCGGCGTGTGTCGTCTTGCCCACCCCCGGCGTGCCCGTGATGATGATGTTCGGGTCTGTACGCATCTTCTCCTTTTCCCTTTTTCTCGTAAAAGCGAGAAATGAAACTTGCCCCTTTCGTCGGGTTTACTTAAGTCCCTTCCCTTCCGACCGGAGTTGAGCTGGGAGTTTTGATAACAGGACTGTTTTTACAAACCCGAGTTGAAGAACAAGAAAAATCGGGAAATTTGAATATTGAGTATAAATGGTAGGACAATTTTTAGAAATGGCAAAATTTCCAGTTCCCTACAATTGAATGTCCGAGGTTTTTCAAGTTACGTACCTCTTTCCATATCTAAGATTCTCACAGTGAAACCTTAGCAGAGTTTTTGGCATGGGTCACGTGCACCTATCGCATTGCCATTCCACCCCCAACACACAACTGTCAAACTTTAACATTCCTCCCTGGACAACACTCACGGTCTAAGATAGTTAACGACTCGTTATACAGATAGCGATGGAACGGCATGTAAATGGCTTTGTAATATCAACTGAATATGGGATATCGAGCTGGGAATCATCTCGTAATTCATATGTTGTGTGGGGAGAATAGACAATCGCCAAACCTCCCAAGACTGTGTTGCGTGTTGCGTGTTGCGTTATGTGTGTGTGATCTCTTCGTCGCATGTACAAACCCATACACCTAGCTAGATGCTTTACAGTATCCTCTTCTCTTTTTGAATACACTCTCCTGGCTACACACGCGGACCCGGTCTAAAAAAAGAAGTCGTCGACAAAAAAAGACAAGCATCAAACGCCTCCGTCCATGGTCCGCGTGAGTCTTCTAGTTCAATCATGCCTTGATATCCATTAAATCTGTGTCCGTCTTGGCTCTCGTCCCAATCCTTGCGAGCTGCCCTAATGCTACTTACCGTCCATGGGACTTGGTGACGTCGAGTGCTTCAACTCTACACCGACCTGTCCGCATGATACCCCTACCCGCCCGAGTTTTTTGGATCCCGGCATCGTCAAGGGGAGGCGCCCAATTCCGATTTGGAACGGCCGGAAGCTTCTTCTGATATTGCCGCTCTACGCCATATCGTCCTCAGCTTCGTCAACCTCCGCAAGCTCACCATCACCCTCGTACTCGTCAGCCTCCATCTTCTCCTGTTGAGCAATGGCCTGAGCAGATACTATCTCGGCTAATCTCTTAAGTCGAGGTGTTTGTAACCCTGGCATTTCATGTTAGTAATGTTCCTCTCCTAAGGTAGATAATTCAGCTTACAAGATGGCGTATACGTCTCCAAGGCGGTGATTGCTCGGGGCTCTGCGATTTCATATGGTCCACTGTCGTCCATATCGACAGCTGCCAACAGAAGAACATCGCTCTTCTCCGTCACCCTGGATGCTACGGCCTTCATGATTTCTCCGTTGATGGGCTGCTCGTAATCGGCTACGAGGTACTGGTTCAGCAATTTCTGAATTTGGTTGGGGGAGAGCCTGCAAATCAAGTTAGTCACGCTGAAGTACACAATCACTCCACTGTACTTACATCCAGCAGATATCTTGGATGATCTCGATATCGTTGAGGGTCGCCTTCTTGAGTTGTAGGAGTTTTGTAGCTTGCTATAATAAAAGTTAGCTGTTGTATCAAACGGTCGAAGATTATAGGTCTGCCTACCATAAGATGTTCAAGCTGTAAGGTACCTTCGGGCATGTCGTGGCTCTTGCACCACTCCTCAATACGAGTGATGTTGTAGTTGATCTGCAGACCACGCTTCCAGGACAGGAAATTCCTCCGCATAAGAAGGTCGTTAAAAGCAGTGACGCCGACTAACTTAAGAAGCTCGGTGACGGTTTGGGTGATAATAGTATCCTCTAAATAGTACGCCTTCATCGCTCTGAAGACATTATTGAGTAGGCTTAGAAGGTTGTCCATGCTATAAGCAGGCTGCGAGTTCGTCGCCAACAGCTTGCCGAGGAATCTGTTACTTTCATTCGTGACGAAGCCGGGTAGCGACTGAGACTCGATAATAGCCGGGATGATCATCTTCTGCAACTTCTTCTTGAGAATCTTCATCCAAGTGTGATAGATGTTGAATTCTAAGCTCTCAAGATCGTGCTTGACGATCTCCAGCAGACGATCGTACTCGTAGTTGTCCGTCTTCTGGGCCTCGTACCAATCCTCAGCGAGGAACACGAACGAGAGCATCTCGTGCACGTTAGATAGCCAGAAGGCACCGGGGTTGATTGCGTCATCGCCGTCGTAGTGCATAACCTCCTGCTGGATAGACTGCATAACATTGGCCAAGAACCTCTCCGACTCCTTAACGAAGCCGTTGTTCCACATCTCAGAGGTGACGAGGTTAATGAGGTAGGAGGGGAAGAGGACTTCCTTGTCCGAGGGTGGCGGGTTAGTGTTGGGCGAGGGGATCTTCAGGTTCTTGATTAGACCCATGGTAACTTCATCGTTCAAACCATCCTCGTCAGCAAGCAAGTTCTCCAGTTCCATCTCGATAGTGTCGACTCCCGGAACGTAGCCGACGCCAGGACGGTGAGCTCCACTGGTAACAGCCATGGAGACCGGTCGGGGGTTGTATGCGGCACTGAAGCGGTCCATCATTCCGCTTGGTTCTGCGCCCGCGCTTCGTCGCTTCGGCTTCTTGGAAGACACTAGGTTGATGAGGCCATTTACAGGAGCAACACCATTGCCGTTGGTAATCTCTCCGTTGATAGGAGCAGATCGCTTGGCCAGCTCGAGTTCCTCGGACATTTGTGCGAGTTGCTCCCGCAAGGTCATCTTCTCGTTTTCGTGGAGAGTACTCTCTCGCTTGATACGGTCCAACTCGGCGTTTGCGGTCCGCAGAGACTCCTTCAATTCCCGTTCTTCCTCTTGCATTCGCTTGACGCTTGAAGTGGACTCGTCGAAGTTTTGCTGGAGTTTCTTCATGTCCTCTTCCATGGCCTGTAATTTGGCTACAGCAATACCAGCTTGGTTGGCTTCCGCCTGAAGCTCCTTCGTCCGGGTTTCGAGTGCGTTGTGACGGCTCTTCCAGGACTTGATCTGGCTTTCGTAATTCTCTACCTGGCTTTGAAGGGTCTTGTTCGCAGATTTCATAGTACCCAACGACTGCGTAAGTTCGACGACCTTGTTTTCCAATTTGTAGGAAATTTGCTTTAGATCGCGAGCCTCCTCGCGCATTGTCTTGTACTCCTTTCTTGCCTGTCTTCCACGCCACAAGCTCTGGACCAAGGTAACCTTCTTGCGGTAATTTCTCCACGCCTGGACCTGTCGCCTCGATCTCCACACGCGCTGGATGAGAATGACAGCATTTCCCACCCGGGTTTCCATAATCTCCTTCCTTCGCAGGTAACCCTTGGCAACGGCCTGCACGAGTATAACACTGCTGCGGATCCGCTGGAACGCCTTTCGTTGCTTTGATCCCTTCCATACTCTCTGGATAGTTGTTGCAGCTTTGACAGTACGTAGCTCCTGGGCCTTGACTCTGATCGCGCGAGCTCTGGCGAGTGATTGGAAGCAGACAATAGCCTCTCGAGCTTCAAGGTACTTGCGGCGGTAGTATTTGGCCTTAAGATTCTTCTGGATCAAGATGGCAGCCTCACTCATGCGGTTTTGGCGGAGGTTCTCCAAATGCGCAAGCATACCGGCACGGAAGAAGACCTTTGTCAACCCGAGCTGGTAGCTGTCGGTTCCGGTGCCAGTGAGCGAACCAAGAGCCTGACCGAGAATCTCCTTCACCAGCTGCCTAATCTCAGTCTGCCATCGGCTCGACGGGATTAAAAGATAGTATCGCAGAGCAAATTCCTCGTAGGTCCATCGTCCTGGATAACCAGCACAGCTAATGCGAATGGTCTCGAGAACACCGCAAGCTCTCAGTTGACTGAGAACCATGGGGCCTTCAAATTTCCACGCGGCCTTGGCCTCGTTAGGCTTGATACAACGGATATAGTGGACATTGGTGTTTCCAATTGTAGTCATAAGCTCAATAAGTGAAGAACGGAAGATACCACCGAGAGTTGGCTTGCGGTTAACAGCAACTCCTATCTTCCTCCCTGCCGTGGGCTTGGCGACTGCGGAGCCAGAAGAAGCGACATCCTTCTCGCGGACAAAAGATGCTGCGGCTAACACTTTGCTAAGGAATTTGTTCGTCGTCGCACGGAGAATTTCCATGTGCTCATCGGGCACTGTATCTCTATTCTTCTCAATGAAGCCTTCCGATTCGTATGTGACATCAACGGCATAGTGACAGACGGTGAAGGAAGATTTGCCAAATCTAGGCTTCTTGTAAAACTTGTTCTTGTCTCCGGAAAAGTTGTGGTGCAGCTTGGTGACAAACTGCTCGTCCGCGCCCATAGGCAACCTAGACTCTTCATCAAGAAGCGAAAGGATGCCCAGCCTTCCTTCAATCAAATCGATACACGGCTGATTATCAGAGAATTCGATGAACTTCCAGTCTATCTGCTCCCTCACGTATTCTTCTTGTTCCAATCTGAACACGTGAGAGTTGAACTGCTGCTGCAATTTTTCGTTGGCGTAGTTGATACAGAACTGCTCGAAAGAATTCTTGGCAAAATGTTCGAAGCCGTAGATATCAAGAACGCCGATGAAGGAGGCAACACGACTCAAGACTTCATCAGTCGCAAGACTCCTATTGATGACCTCCACCAACCAATCGAAAAGACTCGAATAGATATATTTGGCAACAGAGTCTCGAACAACGAGAGCTTGCTGTTGTGTCAAATTGGAAACGATCTTTTCGCCACGGGTAACCAGTTGCTTCTTGACAATCCATTTAGCGAAGTTTGTATTATCGATTCCAAGGATAGCACAAGCGCGCTCCAAAGAGGGTTCTGTAGGAGCTAGGACGCTGTCGTTCCTGGAGGCACCGATCTTAACGTTGCCCAGGTGCAGCAGACCAGCCAGGAGATTGAAGATACCCGATTGCTGAGACTCATCTACGCCGATGGTCTTAAGGGAGCTCTTGGTAGCTAAGAATTCGGCCTTATCATCTACCCCGTCGATGGTAGGTGAGTTTCCCTGGTTAAGGTAATCAAACTGCTCTACCGGCAAAAGGGTTAGCTCCTGTCGCTCCTTATCCGTTGCTCCGGCCAAAAACTGGTAGAAAATGTGGTAATTTCTCTCTTTAAGGGGCTGGAAGACAAGTCGTGACCGTTCGAGAAGGTAGGTCCGAATCCTAGCACCAATAATGTTCGTCTTGCTGTCAAACATGATTTCTATGTACTTTCCGAATCGCGACGAGTTGTCGTTTCGGGTGGTTTTGGCGTTACCAAAGGCTTCCATAATGGGGTTGGTCGCCAAAATCTGCTCTTCCGTCTCGCTCATAGCATCGGCACCTTTCTTAGATCGGCCTCCTGGGTTATCCGGCGATTCTCTCGTGGCAAAATACCTCATGATGTACTTTGCACTAACCGTCTTTCCGGCACCAGACTCTCCCGATACGACGACAGTTTGGTTTCTCCCATCTTTTACCATTTTCCTATATGTTTGGGTTAGCAATGCAGGGACTTGGATGACAAGCATCAGAATATATTCACATGAACGCCTCTTCAGCGATGGCAAACAGGTGAGGGGCTTGCGTCTCCCTCTGTCTGCCAGCATATACTTGGACCATGCCCGGGACATAGAGAGAATCGACCCGAGCAAAGGGATTTGTAGCTATTAGCACTATACCACTGTATGTGTAGATTTCCTTCTGCGCATATCGAAGACGGATTGCCTGGAGCACTATGTGCGTAAATCGGTCAGTAATCGAAGCTGGATTTGGACTCGCAGATGTCGGGGGGTTATTGCGTACCTGCTGGTTCGTTCAAGTGAGACAGATTCGTTAAATCATCACTTGCCTCCAACATAGCAGGGTTCATCAACGGAGGTAGCGACGAGTCGTTGGAATTTTGCAAGGCCTCCGCAGACACCGTTATCGTTTTGGTCTGGAGTTGCAGATTAGCGGTCAGCTATAGCTCGAAGACGCCGATAAAGGATTTCGATATAGCTTCGCATATTGAACATACCTCTTCGTTCTCCAACTTAAAGACCAAGGTGACCTTGTCACCATCTACGGTCTTCTTGACAACCTCGGATGCCACCCAGCCCTCGGTGGCATCTGGCTGCCAAGCTCTCGTACCGACATCGTAGCTATGCGACATGAGAGGCTGATGTCAGGTCGGTGCGAGTATAAAGAAATTCGGGTTGTTCGCGTCGCAGAAGACGATGTGATGGCGATATAGTTGTTAGGGGGAAGCGATAGCACAAGGCATCCGTGTCGGTCGGCCGAGGTTTGAGGATTTGATGTTTCGAGGTTTCGAATTGGGCGGCCACAAACGACAAACGGTGAGGTAAGTACTATCTAATCGGATCCTATAGCCACTAAAACTGGTACCTATAGGTTACAAGCCTACGAATAGAAAGGAAGGGGACCCAGAGTAGCAAAAGTTGAGCTAAGTTGACCTAGACGAAGCAGGTCGTTCAACTTGGATGATGTTGATATGCTGCCCACAACTGAAGGGGAAAAAAAAGTGTGATGGCCAGTTTCACCGTTCGCGTTGTGATATTGTGTACCGTTGTAATGCACAATGCAATATCTTAGCGATTATTACATGTCCACTACTGCGTACACACTACACTACAGCTGTACTTTGAATCGATGGGTATTGCTCTGTCAGAGGCTAAGCCTGAGCCTGTAGAATCCAGCCTTTCAATGATGGAAATTTAGGGGAGGTAGGGAATAAAGGGGAGCGCTTTTCCTCTTACAGATTAGTACAATGCCAAAAGACAGGGGGGTCCGTTAAAAAGGGTTCTCCACATACTCCAGCCATTTACAATTCTTTCACGTCTATTTTTTTTAATGATGGGCCTCTGTCAGGTGCTGGGCCATATGGGCTTGATGGGACGGGCTTGCCTTGTTCGGGTACGAAACCAAAGACTAAAACCAACCTTGGAACTTAATTGAGTGTTTGCTACTATGCAGTACTTTGACAGGCGGTGTGCTCCGCATGTTAAAACCATGTATAATATACTTTCTTCTCCTTTCTCCGTGATCACGAATAGGCACCAAACTCTTACCTACTCAACTTCCAGCTCCTCGCCTAGGAATCTAGCTCCTTTTTCTTGCAGAAGTGTGTGTGCGTCCTACCGGTTGACAAAGCGACCAATCTGCAGGTCCATTTTCCCATTTTCGTTGATGCGCTGTTGTGGCAGCTTAATTTGATCAAATCAGCTTGTGTCATGATGTATTGGAAGAATGTACCTGCATACATCAGAGTACTTGATGACTCCGGATGTGGGATTACAGCATACACATATGTCTTTGATGTATGATGCAGTTCGATGTTACCTAAACACTTGGATTCCTCTTAAGGACCAATAACCTATCCCTAAGTCTAAATATTTCAAAGGAGTTGCTGCCTCGAAATACTTGGTACCTAAGGTAAGAAATAAAACACTCGGAAAAGTTGTAGGTGCACCCGGTGTTTCGATCTACGGAACTCACCCTCCCTGTTCCTTCTCCTTTCTACTCCTCCTTAGGTAACTTCCATGCCATGTGTACGTATATACTATATACTTTAATCCTTGACCGTTTAATGAAATAACGGCCTCAGCACTTAAAGACTCAAGGTTTCTCCCGCCAACGTCAAGCGATGTACCCAAGTAGCTGCCGTGTCATATCAGTTTAATCCCTTTCCCCTCGTTTTTTTTTAATTCCCTAAAGTTATATGTATGCAACCCTGGAAGTAACATTGAACCGGAATATCAATGATCAATCAATGTTTCTGTATCATCTTCAGAAGCAGATATCTAATCGATCATTCGGTCATTCTGGATTCACAAACCGTCCGGGCGTATTCGCAGGGGAAGTCAGCCCGGACCCGATGCATAGAAACCCGACTTTAACAGCCAACCCCCTTCCCCGGATCTCCAACGCTTAACTTACATAGGAAAAACCCAGGAAACCGACCGTTTGTTTGTTTCGTGTCTCGTTAGTCCATAACCTCTCCTTCCCCTATACGCGGATATACGCGATCAGCACAAGCAAGAAGCTTGCAAGTCCCGACGGGAGAAGATGCCAAAGGTTATCTATCTACTTAACCTATCTATCAAGTAGATATAATAAAAATTCGAACTATTGCGAGCTCCGTGGCTTTATTTACTATGGTATTGTTTTTCCCACGTCATAGCACTTAGCAGCAACGTGATATAGCTCCCTATAAGGAAGAGGGAGCCGAAATAGCTACACAAGAAAATCGCGCTTAGTACAGTACATAACAAAGGCAATTCGGCATTCCGTGATGCTCGGTAATAATAATAAATTCCTAACCTCCATATAAAAGGGGAAGTCGATGTGAATTTCATGCTATCAAAAAAAACGATGCTTGAACCCATTGTACCTTGGGCAGTTTTCATGTTGAACCTCGCGCCGCCCCTTTTCTAACCATGCCTACCTAGGTGCTCATGCGACTTTTCCTGGGTATCCGTTATGGTTGAATCGAAGTTGAATTTTTATACCCGTCATGCAATGATTCTGTTTCCGTCTGGTTGAACGCCTTTCCCTTCCCTCCAGTTCCTGGAGTGTTGCTATCTGCCTCATCCGCCACCGCCTACCGCTCCATCTAAGGATTTGCTCTAGTAAAGCACGCGTGTCAAAATGCGAGCTATGCGATGTTAGTCCTTAAATTTACAGGCTGTAAAATTGGGAGATTGTGAACTGGCACTTACAGCCGAGCGCCTCAAGCGAGTCGGAGATTTCTTTAAGATCGCTGGTCTGGACGTCGCTGACATCGGCCATGAGATAGGCGAGCTGCAGAGATATGTTAATTTGAAACAATCAACCACAAGTCGAGTTTTGGAAAACGTACGTCTCCCCTACTATCACTGATCTGCTTGTCGACATTGTGATTGCCGAGAATTTCGTTGACTGCCAAGGTGTAAGTATCTAATGCAATCATGTGTACTGTTACTTCACTAACCCTTGCGAAGGACACCCGGTACGTTGTTATGGATATAGATGACCTGCGGCGAATTAGAGGCTATCACGGTTGTTTCGAGCGGCTGAAGGCTTCTTACTCGTGCGTGATCAGGCTCATCCAGCGTCAACGAACGCATGTTTACCTCAGGCATATTGACGCTGCCAAGAGTAATGCCTAGGTTGATGTATCGAACCAGAGCATCGCCAACTAAAAGCTCCCACGTCAATCCGTGAATTCATGGGCATTGCGCTGAGAATTCTCATACCTTCGATACCGATCGCTCTCTGCGCCTCTTCGGTGCTACCACCGATGTGCGGGGTAAGGATGATGTTGTTCAGACTACGGAGATCCTCTTCCCATCCGTTAAGGTTGTTGTTGAAGTAGTCGCCATTTGCGCGCGGCTCGCCTGGGTAGACATCCAATGCAGCCCCAGCAATCTTACCGCTGCGCATCGCGTTGATGAGAGCCGGGATGTCAACTACGGTTCCGCGGCTGGCATTGATGAGATACGAACCGTCCTTCATTAATTTGAGCTGTGCTGCAGATATCATGTTCTTAGTTTCGGGCAGCTCCGGCACGTGTAAGGTGACGAAGTCGGCTTCGCTCAGGAGAGCCTCTAATGTTGGCACCTGTCGGGCCGTACCCAATGCCATCAAGCTCACGACATCATAGTATATGACTGACATCCCCATAGCTTCTGCAAGGACGGACAATTGCGAGCCGATGTGCCCATATCCGACGATTCCTTCAATGCGGTCAGTGTTAACCCCTGGATTTGGCGTAAACACAGATCTAAGCGAGCGGCGCACATACCGAGGGTCTTCCCACGAATTTCCCAACATTTGTTGCTCACCTTATTCCAGGTGCCCCTGTGCATCTCATTCGATCGATCACCTAGCTGACGAGCCAGAGTGATGATTTCCGCGATGACAAGCTCGGCGACACTACGAGAGTTTGCAAAAGGCGAGTTGAAGACGGCAATGCCATGATGAGCTGCGTATTCCAAATCTACCTGGTTTGTGCCAATGCAGAAGCAGCCAATTACCAGCAAGTTCTTGGCTTCGCGGAGGACCTTTTCATTTAATTTGGTCTTGGATCGAATGCCAATGACGTGGGCATCTCTGCAGCTCACTATCAGAGCCCGGCATAGCTGGGTAGCTAGGTACGGCAAAACAAAAGTGAGAATACTCACCGGATCTTCTCAATTAGTTGGTCTTCGGGCAAGGAGCTCTTATGGAATTCAACTTGATAGCCCTGGCTAGTCAAGATGTCTCTTCCGCTCTGGTTGACATTCTCGAGTAGGAGTATCTTTATGTCCTGGGTGTTAAAGGGTTTGAGCTGCTTGGGTTGGCCGCGCTGAGGAAATGCCCCGCCAAAGCTCGATAGCGGGGAGTGAAAAGTTGTAGCTGATGGCGAGGTCGAGACCTCCAAGTGATGGGGCAATTCCTGGTCGGGCGTCCTCACTATGTTCCGTGCTTGAGCCATGATGTCGAATCTGGTTTATGAGATACTCTAGAATGCTGAAATAGAGGAATTGAAGAGGGATAATTATGCACCGAGTATATATATAGCCGAACGGAGATGTGAATTGACTCAGAGCTTCGAGCTCGGGAAAACTTTTTGCTGTCTTGCTAGCTTTGGATCACTTTAGGATCGCTTTGGTTTAAGTGTTATAAGACCGTTCTGGCTAGCGCACTCACGATTCGCTATAACAATTCCCCCCCTAAGCCCACATCCACATCAGCCTATCGGTTCACGTAATACATACCTTATGCTAGTTAGGAGACCCAGCTTTTTATTGTTCGATTTATTCGGTGCCACGACACACTAGAACTGGGAACGGCCTTTGAAAAAAAAAAGGAAAGAAAAAATTGTATTTTATGGTCAGATCCCGTCATCGGACATCGCTATAGTAACCCTGCCGTGACTCACGGATCATACGGGCATACGGATAACTTGGATAACTTGGTGCCTTGGGATGCTATATTCTCCTCTCCAGAGTTCCTTTGGCTACCTACCTACATACTATGTAGGTAAAATCCAAACTTTTTCGAAAGCTGATTAGAGCAACTATATATGCATCTACCTAGTTAAGGCGGTGAGTTTAGATGTTAATAACTCGTTGCAAATTTGCTTAGACTTACCTTAGCCATGAGTTGCGTCGCGGGGATAGGTATAATATATAATCTGGTCAGCAAGGTGTCCTACATTTCCATGTTCACGCTTCCGAAGGCGCACGGCGTGGCGTGGAGTTCTCCTATGCAGGGGATGATAAAATCAAGTCCTTATGCAACGTACGATGTACATATATGCGAGTCGCAAACTCCCATCAACTTCATGTGATTCTCTCTGTCTGAATGCATTATTGACGAGCCTGCCACTTTACCTTTCCCCTCCCTCTTCCTGGTGCCAGCATGAAGTCTGCCTTTTAGGGCCCACCTCCGATGTCTCTGTTCATGATATGCTGCCACCTGTCCTACCAACCAACTACTCCAGACCAGCCATATGCTGGAGGAAAACAATGAAGAGAATTATCAATCAATACAGAACGAGATTCCGAAAGCAGCCTAGGGACTGACGGGAGTGGCCAGTCTATTTTGCACTTCAATTCAAAGACCATGTGCTGTATCACCTCTGTAGAGCGTCGGCAAATTCGCAATATGAATTTTGCCATGTCTGATAGAACGACAGAAGGGTCTGAAAAAGGATGAGACTGTCATAACTCAACCTTACCTCCCTCCCGAGCAGGACCCATGACGTGAATTAAGTAGAATGTGTTTTCGAACAAGAACAGCAATTTAGCTCTGCTTGCACTCTTGCGCCTCCTGCTTCGGCTTCGCACCATCATCCTGCATCGCGATTAGCCACGTATTCTCCGACGGGTTAGTAACAAGCGGTTGACTCACATCATCATCGGATTCCTCTTCGTCATCATCACGGTCTTCACTAAGGTCGTCATCTTCGTCATCTTCCTCCTCGTCGAACGGCTCCTCAAGGTCGTCGAGCTCCTCAAAAGCCAATGCTTCACCAGTGAACCAGTCGATGGCTCGGGGAATCAACTTCTCCTTGATATCCTCACCAAGTTGGTAGTCTAGCTCAAGACGCTCTTCGATATCTGAAGCAGTATCGTCATCGTCGTCATCACCAGGTGCTTTCGGAGGCGAGAAGAAGTTGAAAAATGACTCGGTAGGAACAGTCTTCTTGACAATGCGGGTCTGCTTGGTGTCTATTTAGGTTAGTAAGGGGCGTGCATAGATCCACCTCAGATTTACTCACTCTTGTTTCTTTGCTTCTTGCTCTCGATACGAACAGTGAGGTCCTGGCCCTCCTTCCAGTTGATCTTATCACCCTCGGCGTGGTCGTAGATGAAATCACCACCATAGCCGCTCTCATTCTGATAGAAATACGTCTTGGTAATGGTCTTGTTAGTGAAAAACTCATTCTCGGCGAATTCGAAAATCAAGCGGAATCCCGGCTTGTCGAGGTATTCCATTCGGATGTCAGTAAGGAAGCGGAGAGCGGCTTCATCACGGTCAGTGATCATCTCGGCAAGCGAGATTTGGTTCTTCATGGCAGACAACCAGAACTCAGGAATGCCTTTGACAAGCTCGGTAACTTCGGCGGCCGCATCGTCGGTCGCCTCCTTCTTCTCTTCCTCAGCTTTGGTTTCGTCCTCATTGTCTTCCTCGCCGGCCTTGACTTGGTCGTCGGTAGGCTCTTCCTTGCCGTTGACGATTGCGGCGCGCTTCTCGTAGAGGGGGGTGAACTTGGCGAAGTACTTCTTCTCAAGCTGAAGAACCTCCTCTTGAAACTCAGCCTCGAGCTTCGAGTGATCCTTCTGAATACCCTTCAGACCAGCAACACGGCGACGAACATGTTGAGGTAAAGACTCTATGTAGCCGGAAGAGCGACCGACCAGAGAACCAAGTCGACCTTGGATCATCTGGACTAGCCGTGGGTTCTGGGCAAAGATAGACGCGGCGGCAGCGCGATCTAGATCCTCTGTAGCGCATATGAGGTTAGTAACAGTACACTCCCGAAACAGGCATATCAATAATATTTTATCTAGTTATCGACTTACCTTCCTTGATGCTGGCAACGCCCGGTTGTTGGGCATGCGAAGAGATCGGGGCATTGCTGGCAGGTGTATTCTGCGGAGTGCTGCGGAGAGAAATTAGACATCTGTGCTCTTGAAGGATATAGCTGAACTGGGAGGAAGTAGTGTTGGTAACACATACGGAGCAGGAACCTCTGCACGACGATTCTTAATAGGCTCCGCCATTGTTAATATTTCTGTCGCGGAAGTTACTGGTAATGATAGATTCGTAAATAAACGCGTCGATGTTTGATTGGGGCTTTTGCAAGTCGACGGCGAAAAAAATCGAGTCGGAGAAGAAGTTGAAAAAAAAAGTTAGGTACTGATTAAAGTGAGGTTATGCGTGGAGATAGACGCTCGAAATCACAGGTCGGCAACTTGAAGAACTTGCAGACAGTGCTAAAGTTGCAACGAGTGCGTGAGTGATGGAATTGGTTGATGCGAATGAGAGGGTTGAACTGGGATTAAGTCCAACGGCGAAGGAGGAAAAGGCGAAGGAGAAGTTGTAGTGGTGAAAGTAAAGTTGGTCTACACTGATGGGGAATTTGATGAGAGAGGGCAGAAAGACTCTGGACTAGTCTGGTGGGAGAGGCGAAGTGGGGGAAGGCACAACCCTGTCAGTGTTCCCCTCCAAAGGCTTGTACTAAGAGGTAGCAGGGCAAAAAAATAGAAGTTGTTGGGCGCCGTCCCTCAAATAAAATTTCAATGTTCCTAAGAACAATTTTTTTCTTCAGGGCACTTACACGTACTATTCGCCTTTGCCTACCTGCATACGCCGACCGGCTTCCGCAACTTGGGACTTGGAACTCGAGGCTTCCTACCTAAGGCATCATTGTCTTCCACAGATATCATATAGAGCGTACATAAAATCCGATGTGTACCTTATGATGTCCTATATTGTACACCTCTGTGCAGCCAAGCTATGTACGTGCGTGTATTGGGCGATGTCATATATCGAATGCAATCCAGTTCAGAGTTCAAGTCCAGTATTGTACTAGTACTTACCTACCTCTAGTACTTGCCCGCCCAGGTACCTGATGTGGGCTAGCACCTGGGCACTCACCTAAACCTGGTAGAGAGCGGTGAGGGTCGAAAGACTAGAAGAATTCCATGCCTACGTACAGTACATTAACCTAGATCTACTACCAAGGTATAGTCGAGGCTGGATCAAAGGCTTCCCCTATCAATGTTTAATGAATATATGCAATCGATATAATAGACGGCCTCTGTAATATGCCGTAGGTAGGTAGCCACGTCAACTTATGTAGAGTAGCGTCTGCTGCATGTAATACTGGTAGTGGTACCTTTGAGACGTACAGGCACATTTAATTAGAGAACCTTAAAAGTAATTAGTACAATTCGCCTTGCCTTTTGGGGCAATACGAATTCAACCCTGAACTGAACTTTCATCGAAAGGTTCTTTCTCGTTATCGTTATCACCAACTTTCTTATCGTTATCCTTATCCGGCTTTCTTATCTCCGATGTTCTTGAATATCTATCAGAGCTAATTGATGGATCATCCAAACTTCGTTGTGGATTATTCAAAGCTTGGTTGAAGCATCATCTTTGTAGCGCCATACAGCGCAATTCGGTGAAGGCTTAGCAACCAATTCGAGCAAAAATACCCTACCGGGCTCAGCGCGTACAAAGCTGGGTCACCCTTCAGACTCGTCGCATTCCATCGATACTCGAAGTCACTCGAGGGATCTGTAGTGTCTCAACACGTCCACATGACTATTCAGGATGTGCCTTGATCCTCCAATCTCCCCTCCGCCAGATCGATATCCTATAATCGTGAAAATTTGAGGCCGATACTTTGATTTCCGCTTTTACCTGCATACCGAATCCGTACAGATCAGCATCGATAGTCTCCATATGTCTCAACTCGATATCCGAATTTACAGAGAGATATATACATGACACGACAATCTATATTGCATATAAAATATATATAGGCGTCGACAATGGAGGGGGACGATGGCGCCGATGCGCAACCTAGGCGCAGTGGCCCCGTAGCCATGTATCGTATGGGATCTAATCAGAGTAATTCGAGTTTCTTTGAGGACGTTGAGATGGCGCAAGATGAGGTAGGCTAGCTCTTCTATCCAGCCGTGAGTTTGCTTGTTCTAAACTTTGGTAATTTCGCAGCTCTTCTCTGGTCCCGTTGCGGAAAGCTTACCCAGCAGCATTTCTGCCTTCTCCCATCGTCGTCAACGCGCGGACTCGACCGCGAGCTTTGCGTACTACACCGAGGAGGAGGAAGAGCCGGAACCTAGAGCTATCTTTCGCGAGGACGGGGCCATGACCTTCGATATAGACGAGACTCCGTTCGACTTCGATGAGGAAGGGGAAATAAGCTCTGAAGTTGAACTAGAAAATGGTAGTTCACACGAAGATTATGCTCTGCATCGGAGATCTTCGACGGTGTCGAGAAATTCTGTCCATGCCAGACTTCTTCGAACAGACAGCGGTGTGACGGATGCTAGTAGTCGTGGTCACAGCCGAGTCAACCAGAAGCTGCATATGGCCAATGAGGACCTCACCATTGTGATAGCCGGCTTCCGTACGAGCAAACTTGGTTACGCTGCCTATGTCGCCATGTGCGTCTTAACCTTGGGCCTCGCATATCTCCTGCTGCGATGGCTTCCGCAGTGGCAGGTGAAGCTGATTGGCGAGCCCTGTCCGCTTCACGATTGCCAATGGGTGGTGCTCGAGGTCAGTCTATCTTTTTAAAGTAATTTGCATACGCTCTGCAGTCTCGTTCTGATCTCCTGCTACAGAACCAATGGGGTGAAATGGCCATCCTGAATGTCAATACTCAACCATATAACCGACCCCTTTCCACCGTATTTGGGGCCCCGGAAAAGATATTTGCTCAACTACTGGAAGAAGACGCCGATCCATTATTACCTGAACTTCGAGTGCTCAATTACCGTTACGTCCGCTTTTTCTATCACCCATTGAAGGGTAAATTTGTCATCAGCAATGGGTGGAAGGATCCTGCGTGGAAGCGGGTGCGAGCACTTCGTGCTGGGATCGACGGCGAGGAGAAAGACTACAGGGAAAACGTCTTTGGAACGAACCTCATTGACATTGAGCAAAAGTCTATCCCACAACTGCTTATAGATGAAGTGAGTTATTTGCCGAGAGATCTTACATTGTGACTGACAGATACACTTAGGTGTTTCACCCTTTCTACGTCTTCCAAATTGCGAGTTTGATTCTCTGGTCTCTAGATGAATATTACTACTATGCCATTTGTATTTTTGTCATGTCGGCAGGCAGTATAATAGCGACGTTAGTAGAAACGCGTGCTGTTAGTATTACCTCATATCTACATGTCAGATCTATTCTTACTAATGAAATAGACAATGCGGCGTCTTCGCGACATCTCTCGCTTTGAGTGCGATGTACGCGTCCTTCGCAATGGTTTTTGTAAGTGGGTCACATTGTTAACCGGTGACATGTTGCTAACTGCCATAAGGGGCTCACGTCTCTTCGAGCGATTTGGTTCCCGGTGACGTTTATGAAGTCAGCGATCCTAGCCTCACACAGTTTCCCGCCGACAGTTTACTTCTTAGCGGAGACTGTATTGTGAACGAGAGTATGCTTACTGGCGAGTCCGTACCGGTTTCTAAAATCCCTGCCACAGATGAGATTCTTGAATTCATGAACCTTGGCGCCTCCAGCGTCTCTCCTGAGGTTGCTCGCCACTTTCTCTTCTGCGGGACTAAAATTATCAGGGCAAGGCGACCACAGGATAATAGAGACGACGAAGCGGTTGCATTAGCTATGGTGGTGAGAACCGGCTTCAACACTACTAAGGGTTCTCTGGTCCGCTCGATGCTCTTTCCCAAGCCTTCCGGCTTTAAATTTTATCGTGACTCCTTTCGATATATATCCGTTATGGGATGCGTCGCGCTTCTTGGGTTCGTGGTGTCCTTTATCAACTTCCTGCGTCTTGGGCTAGCCTGGCACTTAATCATTGTCAGAGCCCTCGACTTAATTACCATTGTCGTCCCACCGGCCCTCCCGGCTACACTTACCATAGGAACGAACTTTGCCCTGAGCCGTCTCAAGAAGAAACAAATATTCTGCATAAGCCCACAGAGGGTGAATGTCGGCGGGAAGCTGGATGTAATGTGTTTTGATAAGACTGGTACTCTTACGGAAGACGGTTTGGATATTCTGGGCGTGCGATTGGTATCCCGGTTAACAAATCGATTCGATGATGTGGTCTCGAAGGCGGCAGATTTGGTTCCTCCATTGAATCTGGATGCTGGGCCTGGCGACAAGTACGACATAAACCGTGCTGCTTTATTCACGATGGCCACATGCCATTCACTTCGATCCATCGACGGCGAGCTTGTTGGAGATCCGTTAGATGTTAAGATGTTTGAGTTTACTAACTGGACATTCGAAGAGGGTAGCCAAGGCAATACTGATCAAGAGGAGGATGAGCAAGGCGGCCTCTCTCCTTCAGTTGCACGCCCTCCCCCGACACCTCTGTATGATACGGATGAGTTTGGTGTTACACGGGGGCAAAATGTAAGTTGTACCATTCGAAATGGCCGTCGTGCTTGTCTAACGCAAGCCCAGTCTTCAATCGAACTGGGAATTTTGAGATCTTTCGAGTTCGTGTCCCAGCTACGAAGGGCTAGTGTGATCGTGCGAGCCTTCGGTCAGCAAAGCGGTAGCGTTTATGTCAAGGGCGCACCTGAATGCATGCGAGATATATGTCGACCCGAGAGTTGTAGGTTTCCTTCCCCGATTCATAATTCTGTCCATCCTAATATATATAGTCCCGGCGGACTACGATGAACTCCTGTCCTATTATACCCACAAAGGCTATCGAGTCATAGCATGTGCTACCAGGTATATAAAGAAGTTATCATGGGTAAAGTCCCAGAAGATGAAGCGTGATGAAGTTGAGAAGGACCTCGACTTCGTCGGCTTCATTATCTTCGAAAACAAATTGAAGCCAACAACCGCCGCGGTGCTCAAAGAGCTTACCCAGTCAAATATTGGGTCGATTATGGTCACGGGTGACAACATACTGACTGCCATCAGTGTAGCTAGAAACTGTGGTCTTGTTGAGAAGGACGCACATTGTTTTGTCCCACATTTTGCCGAAGGTGAGTTCCTAGAGTCAATCGATGTAGCTCCTCCGCTATCAAGCCATAACATTAGGTATTCACCAGGCTAGGTTATTAAGTACTAACGTGAGGATCATAGGGAACTCCCGTGACCCTAATGCTCTTTTGCACTGGGAAAGCATAGACGATACAGCGTACCAGCTAGACTATCGGACATTGCTTGTAAGCCAACGGAGTCCCTCCGCCAATATAATCAAGCTAACTAATGTGATTCCAGCCTCTTCCTGCTCCAGTTGACCGTGACGCATCGTTGCCATACGATATAGCTAATCTTAGGAATTACTCTCTTGCAATAAGTGGGGATATCTTCCGATGGATAATCGACTTTGCTCCAAATGAAGTCGTACAGAGGGTCAGTATGCCTTTTTCATCCCCTATTATATTGAAGAGCTAATAGAGTATTAGATGCTTGTCCGGGGCAAGGTATTTGCACGCATGTCTCCGGACGAGAAACATGAACTTGTAGAGAAACTTCAGAGCATAGACTACTGCTGCGGATTCTGCGGTGACGGGGCGAATGACTGTGGTGCTCTCAAAGCCGCGGATGTGGGAATCTCGCTTTCCGAGGCTGAAGCATCCGTTGCGGCCCCCTTTACGTCAAGGGTATTCGATATTCGATGTGTACCCGACGTGATTCGGTACGTTTAGTCTAACGTTTACATGAATCTAGATCAATGTATCATGGCATCGCTAACTTTGTGTCTAGGGAAGGACGGGCTGCTCTAGTAACTAGTTTCAGCTGCTTCAAGTTCATGAGTCTTTACTCTGCTATCCAATTTACCTCCGTCAGCTTTCTATACGCTTCGGCTTCGAATCTAGGAGACTTTCAAGTAGGAACATTCAACTGCTGGGATACGTTCTCTAACTAACAAACAACCTCTAGTTCCTCTTCATCGACGTCGTACTTATATTGCCAATCGCCATCTTCAGTGAGTGACAACAAAATATGTTACGTAACCGTGATAATTAATCAATATGACAGTGGGATGGTCTGGGCCCTTCCCGGTCCTAAGCAGGAAGCGGCCAACAGCAAACTTAGTCTCTCGAAAGGTCCTCACACCATTGCTAGGCCAGATGATCATATGCATTTTCATACAGGCCGTCGCATGGCTTCTAGTGCGAGAACAAAGCTGGTAAGTCTCGTATTCCTAAAGTTTTCTCACATAGCATTCATTCTCATGCAAAATATCACAGGTATATACCACCCCATGTCAACCCAGAGAAGTCCAACATCAAGAACTCGGAGAACACAGCCTTGTTTCTCATGTCTTGTTTCGAGTATATTTTCATAGGGGTGGTTATGAGTGCTGGTCGACCATTCCGACAACCTATGAACCAAAACTGTGAGTCATACTATATACCTATATACTTGCTTCATTCTCGTGCACCTTCCTGACCATTTATAGGGCCATTTATGACAACCATCCTCGCGGCATTGGTTGTAGTCACATACATGACCTTCTCGCCAAGTCATCAAATAAAGAAGATCATGCAGTTGACTAACATTAATCCTTCCTTCAAGACCACATTGTTGGTTCTCGGTGTGATGTATTTAGTTATCTCGTGGATTGGCGAGAATTATCTCTTCCAGAAGCTCGCTCGGGCATTTGGCCTGGCGAAGCTGGCCATTACTAAAGATTCGAAGAAGCGGAAAGAGTATAAGGTCATAATGGAGCGGATGAAAGCTTGATCTGGATGCGATGTCTTGTTCTGGCTTATAGTGGCCGTGGTTAGGGAAGGTTGTGAATTGGCCGATATTCTACGCTTCATGCAGAGTGGTCTACAATTTGTAAGTTTCAACCTCATGCCTGTTAGACGGTTTCCATACTATAATTCCTACCTGTATATATTATCAATAGGTATATACGTATCAACATCTCTGTATAAGGAGGGATTGTTATATTAAAGAATCTTGACTTTGACAATTCTTGCTGTTATGTGGGATTATACTTATACTTGGTTTGCTGCGATCACGCATCGGTACTACAGTAAGATCTTCGGCCAACAATATATAGAACGTCGGCGCCTACTTAAACAGTGTCATCGGTTCGAGTATTGCCTGCACATGCCGCGGTGGGCTTAGATGGAACGTTAAAATAGGGTATCAATTCCAGAGTGGGATATGATCAAGTCTCCCATGCTTTACCGGGCTATTTTACTCTGCCAACCCATTTTCCAGTCCTTCCTTTGTCCTGGACACCTCGAACACAACAGCGCCGTTTTTCCCTCCCTTGATCTTCTTCCACTTTCCTAGTCGATGTTCCTTGCCAACTCCGACCACAACACATAGTCCGTCCTTGCCACGATCACCTCGTTCAAACAAGGCGATGTCGTTGACTACGCCTTTGACTAACCAAGAGGACGGGCCGGTCCCGTTTACTCCGTTGACTACACCTTCATCGTCAGAGTCGTCCATATCCATGCCATTGTGTACAGGGTCTATGCCAGATGACGAGTTCCCCAACACCCCTACGGACTCAATCTTCTTCTTGTCATCGCTTAATTTCCAAACTCGGACACACCCATCCCAACTACCGCTTAGAATGAGGTCAGAGTAAGGTAACGTCCGAAGAGCGGTAATCCACCTAGGTTGCGGAGGAGGCACCACCTTAGGTGTTGGGGCCTCTTCGGCGGATGCTTCCGTCGGAAGCAAGGGTCGCTCAAGTCCATGTGCTTGTGCCAAGATGAAAAGTGGTTTCTTCTTTTGTATGCTCCATAGAGCTAGCGAGCCGTTGTCACTTCCGGTGACGAAGAGTTCGTCATCGATCATCGCAACACGATCCATACTACCCTCATGGGCTAGAGATCGCGGGTCGATGCCTGGCTTCTGTTTCTTATCGATTGCTCCGCCGCGAAAGACTAACTGGGTTTCTTCGACGACTTTCCATAAACGGGCTGTTCGATCTCGAGCGCCTACACTCACGCACCGTTCTTGTGCTAGCGCGTCGATATCAACCACAATATCTTGGTGGCCAAAGAGGGTTTCGACATATGCTAGCTCGTCTAGACTCCATACCTTCACGGTACGGTCCTTGGAGGCCGAGTAGAGCTGGTTTGTGCCTCGGCGAAACGCTAGGCCAGTTACGGCGTCGCGATGATGCATGAAAACACGCAGAGGCTTCAACGATTTCGCATCGTAGACAATCAGACGCTTATCGGCGCCACCCGTGACGATGAACTTGCCGTCTTGTGAGGCTGCTACGCACAAGATATCTGCCACATGTCCTTGGTAGCCCTTGTCCTTTGCTTTCTTCTGATTTCCCTTCAACATTGCGACCTTCGTTGGTTGTCGACGAGGAGGGGCGGGTGGTTTCTTGGGCTTCTTCTTGGTGGTTTGTGGAAATTGGTTGGCTGGAAGGTCTTGTAGCTTCCATTTGACGAGGCAGCGGTCTTTTGTGACAGTATATACGTATGGCGCGCATATAGCAATGGAGGTAGTCGAGAGCGTATTGCAACGGAAGAGTGTATGTGACGATTGAGCGACAGCAAGCTCTGAAGCAACCTTTCTATACACCTTTCCCTTGATTTCCGCTACATCCTCCACCAGGCGCTCTGCTATTATATCTCGGTCGATATCCTCTGCGTCGAAGCCAGTTTCGTCGACTTCTTGTCGGACGTTATCAAGATACCTTTCCGCAAGCCTTAACCTCTTCTCCGCTGCGGTCTCGCCTTCGTTCTCTGATTCTGAAGCAGATTCGGGAGCTTCATAGTTATCGACCTCGGCGTCACTTTCTGAATCGCTTCCTGATATGGACTCATCTCGTTCGACTCGTTTTTTCGGTGCTGGCGTAGGTGCAAGTTTTGCAGGGTTTGCAGGTCTTGCAGATTTTGCAGGCCTTGCAGGTTTCGACGGTGCCTTCGAGTACTTAGAGGTCGCGACACGCTTTTTAGGTCCGTCCGTGACAGGAGCTCGTTTTCGTTTTTTCTGAGTGCCAGGTATTGTGAAGAAGGACGACATAATGGCACAGTTTAGCTTGTCGAGTAATCAATACAATCGTGTATTGATCGTCTCGTGCTTTTAGAAAAATTCCATTCTCCAAAGAAAAGGTTGGTCCAATTGCTAAGAAAAAAAAAGTTCAGAATCTGCGGGACACGAGCAGGGGTCCAACGTCGGTGCAAAGATAGTGCCGTTACTTTCAATGGTTAATGTGGATACAAGGCTGAGAAAAGTGTGGCTTGTGCTTCCGATGTCCGACTTGAATCCCACCTGGCAGATCTGAAGCTCTAGGAAGGCAGGTGCTAGGCTGTAGCTACCTTGCGCGTCTACACACTTCCAATATCTACAACAATCCGAAAACGACAGCTCCTTCAACCTCCCCACACCACGTTTTTACAGCTCATTACAAACGAACCGAATTTCTCAAAATGTACGTATATTTATACCATATGCATTTCTAATCGAACAGGCTAACGTCATTCAACAGGGAGGTGTTGTTAGGAATCACTGGCAAGGACTTTACCTTAATCGCAGCTTCTAAAGCTGCGATGCGAGGAGCTACTATCCTCAAGGCATCCGACGACAAGACAAGGTCTCTGAACAAACATACACTAGTTGCCTTCTCCGGTGAAGCTGGCGATACAAGTACCTAGCCCTTCGAATGATAATGTGATATCAAGAGCTAACTATCAGCAGTTCAGTTCTCCGAGTACATCCAGGCTAATGCCCAACTCTACTCGATGCGGAATGAGACCGACTTATCGCCTACAGCATTGGCGCATTACGTCCGTGGTGAGCTTGCGTCAAGCTTGAGATCACAAAAGCCGTACAACGTCAACCTCCTGCTAGGTGGCGTCGACCCCATCACCCACAAGCCAAGTTTGTTCTGGCTGGACTACCTAGCAGCCCTAGCAGCCGTCCCCTACGCCGCCCACGGCTACGCGCAATATTACTGTCTATCTATCCTCGACAAGCACCACCACCCGGACATGACGCTTGTTCAAGGTCTCAAGGTGTTAGAGATGTGCACGGATGAGCTGAAGCGACGTTTACCTATCGATTTCAAGGGTATGACGGTCAAGGCGGTCACTAAGGATGGCATTCGCGAGATCGAATTCAAGGACGACAAGATTGTCAGGAGTGCGTAAGGGGTACAATATTCTAGCCGGCGACTGCATGTGTAACATTAAGATCCTGGGCTGGGTGGGAAAAGGAGCCGCAAGACAGCCTAATAATCAAGGCACAGGCCGGCCATGGAGTCAATGATGAATTGCGACTGTCTAACCTATGTCATCCGTCATTGCGCACGTGATGAGCCCCAACTCGCCAATTGCTAGAGACTAACTTCATAGAAAAAAGGGAGAGCAATGGCTAAAGAGGGGCAGGGTCACAGCGTGGATACGATATACAACACCGCAAGTACAACGAAAGCCTATATACATCTTAGCTAACATTAGCTTGGCTTCCTATTCCTTTGGAGTGCATCCGATGTCGACAAAGTAACCAAGGTCATAAATGCTGGCCCCCCCCCCTCGCTCATATTTTGCAAATATGACAAAGTTGTCTACGTAAAGGGAATCTGTTGGCCTACATTTATTAGCAGAGGCATCAGCCAGGTTTTATATCCTAATCATAGGACAGAGTTGCATATTGCCAACTTAACCCAATTTATGAGACCTCTTATACTGAAGGACTGGCGAGTATCTCTTATAGTACCTTTTTCCTAAATAGTGAGTCGGCCTCCGCCATTCGCGGATAGCAGCTTAAAGTATGTCAAGTCACTCATCAGGCGGTGTATCTTGGATATATTGCATTTTGGGCGGTGAGACTTCTGCATGATGCTACACCTGTTCACCATGCAGGCAGACTTCCTATTGGAGCACGGCAAGCCTTGTTGCAGCAGAGTTGCATTCGCCTTCTCTTACTTTACCTACTTTGTCCACTAAATCAACCGCTAGAACGTTTATACAGCTACAGTACGAGCCTTATCATAAACCTTAGCTCCTAAAAAGGTTTTCCCCTCTCTTGCGCCAACTGCCTGAGTAACCCACCCACGTTCCCAGTTCCACCCGTCAAGGCGCTAATACCTGGATAATTGCATTTTGGTGTTGTTAGCTAGTCATTCAACGGCAGAGCCGATGATCCGCCAACTCTTAGTACGTGTCCATGGAAGTTTCTGAGGGAAACTGCATAGAATGAAATATGGGACTACCCAGGGGTTCCGTTCAATACTGAACGGTTGACCCGCGCCTTCGGTGGCGCTAGATCAGGCACACATGATGTACTGTATTAGATTTACTTGACAATCGACGACGTGTATCTGCTACGCTTCACCAGCTAAGGCTAAGAAGGTTGGGCAAAGGGCAGCGTCAAGAAAATATTGCAAGTGTGGGATGCGGTCCCCCCCCCCATCCCTAATCGGACTATACCGAAATTCGGATAGGTACTTCAGGTGTTCACTCCAAAATGTACGTATGTAGAATAGGTATTGAACTCAGGCCCAAAATTGCCACTGTAATTATAGACTATTCCTGGCCCATCTCGAGATGTCATCCTGATGGCCATGCACTATTATATAGGTACCTAGGTATGTAGCTAGCAAGTAAGTAGAATAACTTCTAGAATATGCTAGACTCTTTATCCTTCTGAATTTCCTAGTGGCGAGATACTAGACAGTAGGAAAATTCAATGTGTGAGGAATCTAGGTTCAAACGTAGCACTTGCCAGTACATCGCAAGTTCTCAACACAGTCAAGTTGAAAATGGCGTAGCAATGTTATACTTTGGTACTTGGGAAAGTACCAATCTTAGTCGGGTTGGGCTGACCATTTGTAACTTCCAAGTTTCAATTTGCTCCAAGAATTGCAAGAGCTTTCGTCACAGGTAAGAGTCAATGGGAAAAATATTTGTCGCAGTTACCCAAACTAGGAAGGGATGGATATCCAATAAGTACCTACATGGCAGAATGCTGTTGCCAAAATATGTACAACTGTAAAGTTCAATGGGGCAAATACATACATACCATAGTACTACCCTCAGGGTAGGGATGCAATCAGGTAGGTACAGGTTACTGGATAACGTTAGTAGGCATCCCACTTTCCATGATACGATTGATACTACGATTACCACGCAAATACTAACAATTATCTCACTCGGGTATATCGATACGGATTAATTGCCCCTGGAACTTGGAAGTAACCCATCGGCAACTTCCAATTGGTAACGAGAAGCCGTACCAAAGTATCGTGCCTACCCCTTCTAGCCTAGATTTTTTTAAGTTCCTTAGTAACGGAACCAGACGCTAACGCGTTCTCGATTTTCGACACAACTTCAAAACTTCCTGAATTTTTTTTTTCATCTGATCCATTCTTCTTCTTCCCCCACAATCCCTTTGCCATCTTCAAACCTCAAACACACGGCATATTTCCTCATCCCTCATCTCCCCCCTGAAAAGAAAAAAAGCATTCTGCATTTTCGTTCGGGGTCTTCTCTTTCCTTTGAAGAAGATTTGGTTTTGATTTCTTTTCTCAAGGGATCTTGAAGGCATCTTAACCAGTCTATTACTACGTAGACGTGTGCCTCTGTAATCACTTACAGAATCACGCAGTCCAGAACGACCTGCATCTTTCATTCTCTAATAATTCTGAGAAAGGGTGCATTTGTCGCGGTTTCCCATTTCAAGGCAAACTAATACCACTTCTTATTACTTGATTTTATCTACTTCAAGCAACTAATTTCTGATCTTCCCCAACTATCCCTCGCCTCTCATTTCTCTTCAACTGAACCGTTCGTTCTTTTCGAGAGAAAAATAATCGGCTGGGTTCCGTACGAGAAAGAAAAGATTTACTGCCTGATAGCATTCTCTACGCATCTACCTGATCTACTACCTTCCCGACGCAACGTCAACATGGCCGATCAACTGAACATGGGTGGTTTGAGTCTGGGCGACCAGCAGCAGGCTTCCGCACCTCGTTCCTACATCCCTCCTCACATGCGAGGCAAGGTCGGTGCCGCTGGCAACGCTCCTCCTCCCATGCCTGCTGGAGGTCCTCCTCCTAACATGAATGGTCTCAACAGCAGCGCTTGGGCTGGGTAAGTAATCCCTCATCATAGCAATGATTTTCTAATTTTTTTTTCGCTCTCCCAAATACGCAATATTCCATCCAATTTATCGCATGAAGAGTTATTGGACTTTTACTAACGTGACGATCTTAACAGTAACAACAGCTTCGACGCTCGACCCGCTCCTGGGGGTTGGGACGCTGCCCCTAACTACCCTGCTCAACAGCGTCAAAGCCCCGGAAACTGGAATAACAATCGAGGATTCGATCGCAATGCCTACGGCAACCCAGCCGCTGGCGGCGGTGGCGGCAGTGGCGGTTCCGGAGGGGGTTATGCTAGAGGCTCGGGCGACGGGCAATGGCGCGATGGCAAGCACATTCCTGGTCCCCCGAATCCCCGTATGGAGCGCGAGCTGTTCGGTACCCCTGATGATCCCTCGAAACAACACACCGGTATCAACTTTGAGAAGTACGACGACATTCCCGTCGAAGCCTCTGGGCATGATACTCCGGAGCCTGTTCTCACCTTTAGCAACCCTCCCTTGGATGATCACCTGATCCGCAACATCGAACTAGCTCATTACAAGGTTCCAACTCCCGTACAGAAGTACTCGATCCCCATTGTCATGGGCGGACGAGATCTGATGGCCTGTGCCCAGACTGGTTCCGGAAAGACTGGTGGTTTCCTTTTCCCCATTCTCTCCCAGGCCTTCCTCACTGGCCCCTCTCCCATCCCCGCAGGCGCTCCCGGTGGTGGTTACGGCCGTCAGCGTAAGGCCTACCCTACGTCTCTCATCCTAGCCCCGACTCGTGAATTAGTCTCTCAGATCTACGATGAGGCCCGCAAGTTCGCCTACCGATCCTGGGTTCGACCATGTGTGGTCTACGGTGGTGCTGATATCGGTTCTCAGCTTCGCCAGATTGAGCGCGGCTGTGATCTTCTAGTTGCGACACCTGGACGTCTTGTCGATCTCATAGAGCGAGGTCGCATTTCCCTCGTGAACATTAAGTACTTGGTTCTAGACGAGGCTGACCGCATGTTGGACATGGGTTTTGAGCCTCAGATTCGTCGGATTGTTGAAGGCGAGGATATGCCAGGTGTTCAGAACCGACAAACCCTCATGTTTTCGGCCACCTTTCCCCGAGACATCCAGATGCTTGCCCGCGATTTCCTTAAGGACTACGTCTTCCTTTCGGTTGGTCGCGTTGGTTCTACGTCCGAGAACATCACTCAGAAGGTCGAGTACGTTGAGGATGTTGACAAGCGCTCTGTTCTTTTAGATATCCTACACACCCACGGCGGTGGTCTTACCCTAATCTTCGTCGAGACGAAGCGCATGGCCGATTCGTTGTCTGACTTCCTCATCAATCAGAACTTCCCAGCGACCTCGATTCATGGTGATCGCACGCAACGTGAGCGTGAGCGCGCTCTAGAGATGTTCCGAAATGGGCGATGCCCCATTCTGGTGGCCACTGCCGTCGCCGCACGTGGTTTGGATATTCCTAACGTCACGCATGTCGTCAACTACGATCTTCCCACTGATATTGATGATTACGTCCACCGAATTGGTCGTACTGGTCGTGCAGGCAACACTGGCCACTCAACGGCATTCTTTAACCGCGGCAACCGTGGTGTTGTGCGAGATCTCATCGAGCTCTTGAAGGAAGCTAACCAGGAGGTTCCGGCCTTCCTCGAGACCATTGCCCGAGAGAGCTCCTACGGTGGTGGCCGTGGTGGACGAGGTGGTGGTGGTGGCCGCGGTCGCGGTCAGAATGCGAACCGCGATTTCCGAAAGTTCGGCGGTGGCGGCGGCGGAGGCGGCGGTCCTGGCTTCGGCGGGTTCGGAGGTCCTCAGCAATCCGGCGGCTACGGTGGCGGCGGTGGCGGTTTCAATGGTCCTCCCCCCAGCCAAGGCTACGGTGGAGGCTACGGAGGTGGCGGTGGTGCTCCGGCCTATGGTGGTGGTGGAAGTTACGGCAACCCTGGCGGACCGAGTGGCCAGGCTTCCTGGTGGTAAACCCAACAACGTACGAGCAGGCCCGAGCATTCCCCCTCTTACGCAAACCGCATGCGGGAATGGGAATTGGGCAAATTTGGAGTGCGGTACATAGATTTCACGGTGTCATATTTCTCTTTTCACTTTCTCAACCGACTTACGCAAGGTTTCTTTTCATTCTGTTGTCATTTTTCGACACTCTTCCCTTAACATACTCCTTTCTACGGCATACCTACGTACGGCATGCCCGACTTCCAGCCTCCGAAGAGGATTGGCAGATTCGAGTTCTACGAGTTAGAGCTCTGGCATACGATAGACGGCATTTGTCTTTTGTTTCGGCTGCACCCCTCTCAACTTGATACCCATAGAAGACTGCGAGGGGGCATATGCGCGCAGCTACATGAGACGATTGGAGGTCAGGCACGTGTCTTGACCAACAAAATCACGGAGATATTCATCACTTAGAAGATAAGTGCTGCATTACGGTTTATCACAGCACCTTTAACGACGATGACGATCTCTCACTCGATGTTCCCCGTATTTGCCTTTTGGAAGCCGGCCGAGATCATTTCTCGTTTTTCCCATAGAATGGGGTAATGCGATATCGCATGGCCGCGGATTCGTGTTGATGGCATCATCATAGACAAAAGTGGATTTCTCGGTTCTCTGGTTGGAAGGACTTCTATTCGAGAAGACTCGCCATGGCGAGGGAACCACATAGAGGGCAAAGGAAATTATGAGCATAGAATAGTCATTTTCGGTGCAGGATCAAGAAAGCAAAAAACGGCGTCTCGGCGAGCAGGCAATAGGCTTCAGAACTCTCCGAAACGCGGAGAGGAATTCTGGGATCTGCTCTGACGATAAGGGCATAGGGAAAGGATTTTACTCCCATCTGCCATCAATGGTAGTGCTTTTGCGGACATTGGCTGAGACGCGTTCAGGCCCTTTGAGGTTCTTCGCGCTATGGTGGACTTTCAGAGAATCCATCTACGACGGACTGAGAACTTCCCAAAATAAAAAATGTTCCCCTTTTACTTGCAAACCGCGAAGAACTTAGCATCATGTGAAAATAGTATCCTGCTGATAGTGAAATGCGTTGTCTACATAATACGCTTAATTCGTCGGTTGATATTAACTAAAATCTCTACCTACACATACCTGATGGTATAATATTTCTAGTTGCCGTGTGCCCGTGTGATATTACTCAATAAGACGGGCCACCCAAAATTAGGTACCTACCAACTTCTTGCACGAAAATTATATCAAGATTAGAACTACCTACATAGGCATCTATGTAGCCATGAATCGCTCTTTACAAAACTTAAAAATCCAAAAAGTAAGTCAACTTCGATGTTTTCATACCGAATTCGTACTTGCCAGTTGATGAGTGGTCCAAGCTGTGGCTAGAATCTACATAGTATTAAACCTAAACCCCTGACGCGTCTAGCACCTTATGTAAGTATGTGGGTGTTGCAGATAAAGGCACTCAATTGTACGAGGTCTCCACTAAAAGTACGTACACCTAGGCAAACTTTAAGGAAGTGACGCGACGTGAGAGGTAGGTACGGTACAGTACAGCGTGAACACTTGGATTCAGCACACTGAAAATTTAAATTGATCATCGCATTTCAACGTCGGACACGGAAGCTTTGTCTTTTTCCTCCCTCTTCCTTCCACCTCACACTCTTCCTCACAATTTCAGTAATGAGTTGATGATGACATTTCGTCCGTAGCCTTTCATTATAGGCATTTTTTTTTCTTCTTCTCTTCCTCTCGTTCACCAAAGCCTTGCCACGAAGAGGTAGTCATCGTCAAAGTTAGATCTGTGCGCCAGTAGTCCCAATTCCCCGTATTAATCGACGCGGCCTCCCTGCTATCACTTCGTCAATTCTATTGTCGAGAAAACACATGATGGCATCGAGAGAAGGCACCCCCGAGCATAGCCGCTGGTCGCGCGCATCTAGTGGCGGCCCAAGGGATAGTACTCCAGGTGACAACCTTGAAGCCAGTATCATCAGTCAATCCGGACACGGAAATAAGCGACCGAAAAACAAGTCATCTGCAGCCGCGGCCTCAGCATCGTTCCCTACCGTGGGAAAGATTAGACATCTCAAGAAAGAAGATGGGGAACCGCTTTGGAGAAGAGATATCCAATACGACTTTCTTAAAGCCGTCTTCGACGACGACAACAAGGTCTTCACGAACAGCTACGAACCTATAGGAGATGGCAAGGAGAAGCAGAGTTTCGCGGACCTGTATATCGATACTATGGCCAGAAGCAGCAAAACGAGCAAGGTTCTTCGAGACAAATTGCTTAGTGATCGAGAGGCCGCAAAGAGCATGGCCATGGTCTGCTTGCTTGTCAACGTAGGCCGGATGAACACGACGTTGAACTGTATGGCACCTCCATCAATGTAGAGAAACGACACTTGCTAATGGTTTGCAGTTTTTCCTGAGATGCGAGCTCAGCTACGAACATACCATGCCATCCCGTCGCTGCAGGCGCACCAAGATGCGTCTGCCTACAAGCAACTACAAGACGCCCCAAGATTGAAGTCTATCCTTAAGGGAGCGGCTGAGGATCGTCCCGAGCCCCATGAGCTGGGCGAATTTAAGGGAAAGGATCCTCCTCGATCGAACCCAGTTAATCTCATTTTCCTTATATGCCAGCAAGCGTCTTATATCGCAGAGTTACATTTTCCTCCTGGCGGCGAGTTTCATGACCTCATCATGAAGACGAACTACACAAGCAAATCCCGTGCTAGAGCCTTTTTATGGTTGATGTGGTTCTATCTTGAGTCAGATTTTACGGAAGAAGGCTGCGAAGAAAATCCATTCGGACAAGGTGTCGACTATGGTACAGAGGTTGCAAACCAGGGAGTCCCACGAATGGAGGAGATGACCGCTGAAGAAGAAGACCGTGAGAATATTGACCCTCAGGAGGAGATTGACTTCGGGCGAGAGAAGCAGAACCACAGAGCAAAGATCATCGCAGCTGATCAAGCTTACTTGGCGGATCATCAAAACAAGCGAGGTTCTAGGGGGAGGATTATAGCCGACGAAGGTCCGACTGCTGCGATCCTCCCCCGGATACGGCCGTCGAAGCACGAGTCGGATCTGGACAGTACACGGTCTACTCCGCCGCCGAGGGCCTTGTCGCGCATTGGCGCTAGCAGCACCGGACGACGGGGCGGGGCGCCGCTGAAGCACTTAATCTTCGAAGGCTCCTCGCCTGCGGGACCGGGATCTCATGTTATTGAAGGCATAGTCCCTAGAAAGCCACGCCCTCCTACTGCGCATCAACTCGCAGTGGAGCGGAATCGGAACCAGCGGGTTGAGCACATTCTCGGCCGCGGACTTCGAAGACAGCATCATCGTGCTCGAAAATCGCGTCGACAGGAGGGCGCAATTATACGTGCCAAGCGTCGTCTAGCAGCTATGAAGGACGCACTACTAGATAGCGATGAAGAAGAGTATATGATGTCGCATAGGGAGCATAAACACCCCTTCATAGATCGAGGTTTTGGTGGTCTTTGCCAACTTAACCAGGAAGAGGACGATTTCGGCGAAGAGTTCGCATCGTACGCAGCCTCACTTCGGAGGGCGGACCGACGACTAAGGCGTTGGGAGGGTCGACCCGAATTAGGGGTCGTGTCGACAACTAAGAGACGTGTTGCAGCTCCGCCGTCGGATTATGCCTCACCGGAATTACAAGGCGACCATGGCGGTAATGATAGCCCAGAGAAGATGGACATAGTCAAGGCGAAGCCAAACGGCAATACCAACGGCGATGTCACGATGGAGGATGCGGACGATCTAGATCCTATGGAGAAGGAACTGCTAGGAATTGGCAGTGGGGGAGAGGAGGGTGAAGGTGAGGGCGAGGGCGAAGGCGAGGGCGAAGGCGAGGGTGAAGGCGAGGGTGAAGGCAAAGATGACTCGGACGACATCGATAATATCGGAAAGGCGTTATTGGGTCTCGACGGTTCAGATGGTACGGATAGTTCATAATGATCGCAGTGAGCAAGCATAGGACTGCATGAAGGTTGCCTTTGCCGTCATCGGTAACTTGCTGCTGCTTCCTGATTTCTTTGACATTTCTATCAGCTTGGTACGGCACAGTCAAGCTTTGTACATCTAGCAGGATCTGGGGAGTATACATGGATGCTTATTAAAAACAAGGGCATAGATGAGAGGCGATGATGCGATAGTTTTCATCAACACCTCCAAGTTGTGTCTCACAACGTCTAGGGAAAATAACAGTGTGTCACATAATATTACAACTTCTAGAACGTGGTACAGCGCCTGTGATTGCAATCAGAATCGTAGAATGACTAGTATACATGTGTTAAACGTTTTAGGTATTAACTGCAGGTAATTTGCATAGTATTTCTATAGAGGATTTTCTATAGATCTACAAGCAAAATACTTGCCAAGATTCTTATACTAGTAAGATACAAAAAGCTTATATGAAATACCTCCTATTCGAAGATATTTTGCTAATCCTGCCTGTTGCTAATTAAAGCGCAATACCCGTTAGGGTACGACCGCGAGCTTTGCGTAGCCAGTACTAATACATGGTATATTGAAATTGTTCGTGCGATGGTGTTTCCTTCCAGGCAAAGTCTTTCCTACCTATATGTAAGCAGATTGACTTGCCTAGCGGGCGAACAACAGCGTACATTTTCTTGATGTCATGTGTTTCTCTAAGTCTGCCGTGCGGCGTTACAAAAACCTACATAGGACTTCGAAGTCCAACGGGCGAATCAACATGCTTAGTTAATTGAAAAAGCTGTTGTCATCCATTATCTTTCTCGCAACAGAGGTATACTATACTGTGCTTAGATAGGTACATATCTGATCAAGGATTGGAAACTAAATACGGAACCAACTAGATCCGTTCGAAGGCGGGGGGCGCAAAAAGACTCGTGATATGCGAAAGTCGCATTATAAATCAGCAAACTCGGCTCTATACTACAATTGGGGGGACTAGAAGCAGGTTCTTTTTCCCTAAACTCCGCTATAGTCCGAGGGGCAAGGGAATGAGAAAGTTCGGAGTCGGCAGCGGAATCTCTTTGTCGGGACCGGTTTCGGGTTGATCGAGACTAGTAAGGTTAGAATCTGGCCAAGCTGTAGATAGTACAAAGCTTAGCATTCTCTCGCCCCTGCCACGATCGACCTGCCTAGTGTAGTAAATACTTAGGTTAGGTAGGTATTCAATAAAATAAAATAAAATAAAAAGCTGGCCCGCCATTCGCGACGGAATATACGATCTATACGACTCTGATTTTCGAAGACTGAAGTCGAAACCGGGTTAAGAGTCACAGACACACAGACACCCACACATGTCTAGACAGGGTCTTTACTGGGTCAGAGGGTGGCCTCGCAATTAACTTTTCCAAGTCGGCGGTTGTTATTTCAAATATCCCGAGTGGAACCCGGAATTCGGATTAGTGCGGAAACGGGTTTGGTAGAAGAGAACCTTGGAAAAAGTCTTCACATAGAGGCTTTCATTACTAGCATAGGAAATATATTCACGGATCTATGTAGGCATGTAAGTGTTTATGCATGAGGTAGGCACATCTGCTGACGACTCACAAGACTTCCCTCTATCGACCTACATACGATATAATATGTAAGCTAGTCGTAGCGAAGCAACCTAGGACGATGCAAGTCTCATGTTGGTGACTAGCTTACCGACATTTTGACTAATGCCTACGCCGGCATGCGTCACCTAGCAAAGTCCCGAGTGTTCAGTGTTCGCTTCACCAGGTCAGAGAGAATAAAAAATAAAAATACTACCTCATCGTGTCTTTCAGCTATATGCCGATTCGTATTATAAACAATGTGATTGGCCGAGGCTCTCTGATAACCCCAGGTCGTCGGCGAAGCTCGTACTAAATACCGAGCGATTGGTGACTCTGGGTGACTTGCGTATATAGTCGTATACCGTACCGCGTAGGTATGTACCCCAGCATAGTCTAGTCCTTCCGACGCCTGGAGTGGAATCTTAGTCCGGCAAGCGGGGCCGACAATGAAAGCATCATAGGCAGATAGCTCACTGCGTAGTAGATACTAAAAGTAAAGGGTCCTTCCTAATCTTGTCAACATATTTTACCGCTGCCAAGATCCCGATTCACTCGTAGTTATATCCCCTTTCATCTCTTCTTCTCTCTGCACCCCCGTACATAAACATATTCAACCTCTGGTTTAAACCAGACAATTAAATATCTTATGCCAGGGTTGAACAGTTAAAAGAATTAGAAGTATCTTTGTATGAGAGTCGGCTGACCAATCCCGTTTCACTTCATCGCTTATAAAAGTATTGCCAAGTCTCGAAATCTCGCCGTATTCGCCTTATTCGCCTATTCTCGCTTTCTTCTTAACAAAACGGAACCAATTGCTTAGAAAAATCATTGCTCAAACCCACCCATCACGTTTGGCATATACTTGTAGAAGCCTCCCTAAGACTTGGTATAACCCCCTCACCCTCGCACCACGCCGCGAGTAAGTGTTGAGCTGTTTTTTTGGGCCATACTATGGCAAATGAAACTGAGAATAAAGAAATAAAACCGGCGGACCCACTTGCAGATGTCGAAGCTACCGGCAACTCTGAGCCAGCATCGCCGGCCTCGGACTACGACGATCCCGAAAAAGAAATCCGAAAGCAGGAAGACTCGGACGAGAGCCAAGTTCGCCGCGAAGAGTTGAAACACACTCAAAGCCATGCCACCGACACAAGCACAATCACCCGCACTACCACGAGGACGTCCGTACCAGCTAAGAAGCCATGGTACAAAATTTTGAACCCACTACTATGGGGTTCGATACCGCCCATCCCCAAGGAGCGCGAGGTCTCCAAAGAGTATGGGGCTGGATTCTTCAGTAAATTGACTTTCCACTGGATGGCCCCCTTGATGAGTGTAAGTATCGTGCTTGTCCGTATTCGCCACATTGTATTGATAGGAAATATAGGTAGGGTACAAGCGATCCCTTGAGCAAGATGATCTCTGGTCCGTAAACCCTGATCGGACAGCCGAGAAGATGACGACTAAGACGAGAGAATCCTTTGAGAAACGAAAGAAAGCAGGTGATCAATACCCCCTACTTTGGGCACTGCACGAAACTTTCTTCTGGGAATTCTGGGTGGGCGGTTTCTGCCAACTTGCCTCGTCTATTTTCCAAGTCATGTCTCCTTTCACTTTGCGGTACCTCATCAACTTTGCCCAAGAAGCCTGGGATGCATCTCAGAATGGACAGCCTCCACCTAAGATCGGTTCAGGCATTGGTTTGGTAGTTGGTGTAACCGTTATGCAAATTCTCCAGAGCTTAGGTGTCAACCACTTCATTTATCGTGGAATGATGATTGGGGGGCAGGCGCGTGCTGTCCTCATCAGTCTCATTTTTGAGAAATCAATGGTACTCTCCGGCCGGGCAAGGGCTGGCGGTAGTAAAGACGCATCCAACGGCACGGCAGAAAACAGCCAAGGAGGAAAAGATAAAGGAAAAGAGAATGAAACTAGCGAAACAGAGAAGCCGGATGGTTCCAAGAAGGACCCTAAAATGGATAAAACACTCATCTCAGGTGATGGCACTGGCTGGAGCAATGGAAAAATCGTGAACTTGATGAGCGTCGATACCTACCGTATAGACCAAGCTTCCGCCCTGTTCCACATGACTTGGACGGCGCCCATCTCGTGCATAATAACTCTCATCGTCCTTCTTATCAATCTGACTTATAGTGCTCTAGCCGGCTTCGGGCTTTTAGTCATCGGCGTCCCGGCCTTGACGAGAGCAATTCGGGCGCTATTCATACGCCGAGCAGCAATTAACAAGATAACGGATCAACGTGTTAGCCTCACACAAGAAATATTGCAGTCTGTTCGCTTTGTCAAATATTTCGGTTGGGAGGGAGCTTTCCTGGAACGTCTAAGGGAGATCAGATCTCGAGAAATTCACTCTATCCAAATTCTTTTGGCAGTTCGAAATGCTATCAATGCTGTCAGCATGTCGCTCCCCATATACGCTTCTATGTTATCGTTCATTACCTACTCATTGACCGATCATGGTCTTCCGGCTGCACAAGTCTTCTCCTCCCTTGCGCTTTTCAATGGCTTGCGAATGCCTCTCAACCTGCTCCCTCTGGTTATTGGCCAAACTGTTGACGCTTGGTCGTCTATGAAACGTATACAGGAATTTCTGCTATCCGAAGAGCAAGAGGAGGATGTTGTACTACAACCGGAAGGAAAAAATGCGGTTGAAATGCACGATGCTACTTTCACCTGGGAGCGCACGCCAACCCAAGAATCCGAGAAGGAAAAGAAGGGTAAAGACGGACATCCGCAGAAAGGAACAAAACAACCTCACAAAGCAGGCAATGAAGAAAATACCGAGGACACAGCAAGCACACTCGTGGAAGAACGTGAGCCTTTTAAACTCCAAGATCTAAACATCGAAATCGGAAGAAATGAACTGGTTGCTGTCATTGGTACTGTCGGATGTGGCAAGAGTTCCTTGCTCGCTGCGCTCGCTGGAGACATGCGGAAGACATCGGGTGAGGTCGTATTAGGTGCCTCTAGAGCTTTCTGCCCTCAATATGCCTGGATTCAGAACGCGAGTGTCCGGAATAATATCCTTTTCGGGAAGGAAATGGATCGTGAGTGGTACAAGGAGGTTATTAGAGCGTGAGTAAATTCTAAGAATGATGAGGGTACAACACAAGATGCTAACCACGAATAGCTGCGCTTTGCAACCTGACCTGGATATGCTTCCCAATGGAGACGCAACTGAAATAGGCGAGAGAGGAATTACTATATCAGGCGGACAGAAACAACGACTAAATATCGCTCGAGCCATATATTTTGACGCTGATATCGTCCTCATGGACGACCCGCTCAGCGCGGTTGATGCTCATGTTGGCCGACATATCATGGACAACGCCATAATGGGTCTTCTGAAAGACAAGTGCCGAATTCTTGCAACGCATCAATTGTGGGTTCTTAACCGCTGTGACCGGATCATCTGGATGGACGCCGGCAAGATTCGAGCGGTTGACACTTTCGACAACTTAATGGCCAACTACTCGGGCTTCAGGCAGCTGATGGAAACTACCGCAGTGGAACAGAAGCAAGAGGAAGAGCCAGGCCAAGTCGAGGAGAAGACCGCCGATGGCGAGACGAAGAAGAAAAAGAAGAAGGCTCAGGGTTTGATGCAAGCGGAGGAACGAGCTGTATCAAGCGTGCCCTGGTCTGTTTACACGACCTACGTTCGAGCTTCGGGAAGTATCCTTAACGCTCCGCTCGTAGTCGTGGTGCTGCTGCTTTCTCAAGGTGCCAATATTATGACAAGTTTATGGTTGTCTTATTGGACATCTGATAAGTTCGGTCTCACCACAGGAATATATATCGGAGTTTACGCGGGCCTCGGAACGTTGCAGGCTTTGCTGATGTTCCTCTTTTCAGTTCTGCTAGCCGTATTCGGCACAAATGCCAGCAGGACACTCCTGAGACAGGCAGTGACGAGGACTCTTAGAGCACCAATGTCCTTCTTCGACACAACACCACTAGGTCGTATCACAAATCGGTTTTCGAGGGATGTCGACGTTATGGATAACAATTTGTCCGATGCTATGAGGATGTATTTCCTCACGCTAGCGATGATTATATCTGTGTTCGCTCTGATTATCGCTTTCTTCCACTACTTCGCGATTGCACTAGTTCCACTGGCTATTCTCTTCGTGCTTGCAGCATCATATTATCGGGCCTCTGCTCGAGAAGTTAAGCGTTTCGAGTCAGTTCTCCGATCTGTGGTGTTCGCCAAATTCGGCGAAGGCCTTAGCGGAGTGGCATCTATTCGCGCGTATGGGCTCAGGGATCGTTTCATCAACGACCTTCGGGATTCCATTGATGAAATGAATGCGGCATACTACCTAACATTCTCTAATCAACGGTGGCTGTCGATACGTCTGGACACTATCGGGAACTTGCTCGTGTTTACCACAGGCATCCTTGTCGTGACGTCCCGATTTAGTGTTTCACCATCGATCGGTGGTCTCGTGCTTTCGTACATCTTGTCTATCGTGCAGATGCTGCAGTTTACGGTGCGGCAGCTAGCCGAGGTGGAGAACGGCATGAATGCCGTGGAACGACTCGAGTACTACGGAACGCAACTCGAGGAGGAGGCACCTGAACACACGATTGACGTTCGTCCCACGTGGCCGGAAAAAGGAGAAATCATCTTCGACAACGTCGAGATGCGCTATCGCGCGAATTTACCCTTGGTGCTCAAAGGCCTTAGCATTAATGTCCGTGGAGGTGAGCGCATAGGTATCGTAGGCCGCACAGGGGCGGGCAAGAGTTCCATCATGTCGACCCTATTCCGACTAGTCGAGATCTCAGGGGGCCATATCTACATCGATGGACTCGACATTTCCACGGTTGGCCTGCATGATCTCCGTTCCCGCCTTGCCATCATCCCACAAGACCCTACGCTCTTCCGCGGAACTGTCCGCAGTAATTTGGACCCCTTTAACGAGCACTCCGATCTGGATCTGTGGTCAGCGCTGCGGAAGGCTGATCTGGTGCCAGCTGACGCGAATATCGACGACAAGGACCCAACACGGGTCCATCTCGACAGTGTCGTGGAAGAGGACGGGCTGAACTTCTCGCTTGGCCAACGACAGCTAATGGCGCTGGCGCGAGCCCTAGTCCGCGGATCGCAGATCATCGTGTGTGATGAAGCTACTTCGTCCGTGGACATGGAAACAGATGACAAGATCCAAAAGACGATGGCTGTCGGATTCCGTGGGAAGACACTGCTGTGCATCGCTCACCGTTTGCGGACTATCGTAGGATACGACCGCATCTGCGTCATGGATGCCGGGCGTATTGCAGAGTTGGATACTCCAATAAACTTATGGGCCCAAGGTGGCATTTTCAGGAGTATGTGTGATAGGAGCGGTATTAGGGTCGAGGATATACATAGTGCAAGGGAGGGACTGAATGAAGATGATGATGAGGCAAGGAGAGAGGGAGAGGGGTCAAAGAGCGAGAAGGATGACGAATTGTGAGGCCGAGTCGAGATGTTGATGAAAATGGGGACAGGATAATGTGATGTAAGTTTCTAATTATGGGATTAGGTCGGATACCTAAGTAGATTTGGATACACATACATAGCGATATTTAATGATATACGAGTATATGACACTCGATGATTCTGCGTATGAGAAGATTGTTGTATTGGTATGATACCTAAATAATCGAAGAGAGAGTTGGTCCTAGGAGATAGATAAGAGGACTCGAGGAACGAGCGGGCTTTCCGCGTGCAAGGCAAGGTCGAATAGCTTGAACCTTGTTACATCAAGGAAAGAGCTTAGGTCTTGGTGTCTATGCGTTCGTTCTTGGCATCGTGTACCGTGTCTTGGAAACATCGATGCTTGTTGGATGAGAAGAGGAAGAAGGGACAGTCAAGTAAAGGAGAAGTTGGAAGCGGCTGAGCCATGTAGGTGAGTATGTAGCATTCGTTATGTTATGCATGTGTAACACACGTGTTGCTATTCTTATAGGAGCCCACTTACGCAAGGGAGCTTTTCGTTATAGATTATATGATCGAATGTTCATTCGTTGGCACAGTCGCTAATTTGATTGCCTTTGTTCAAGGTTTGTCCGTAGTTTGATACGGGAGCTCTCAGTATCACGGAAACCGCGGTTGGTTATATTACCTACAAGGTAGTAGCTCGTACTAGAGCTTAGTAAGGCAATCATCGTCTGTATTAGGACACGAAGGATTCTGATCAGCAAGACTATTATGCGTATTTGCCTGAGTACGTTTTGGGGTATATGTATGGGCTAAGCTAGAAATGTCGTGCCTTATAATATCTACCTGCCTATTATGTCAGATTCAGACATATACATGTCTGGGCAGTGATATTATATACGAAGTAGCGCAGGCTGAATCAGACAAATTGATCAGACGTCACACCAAATGCCGTCTTATATATATACGCATCTCATTCGCCCGCAAACCGCATACTCGGTACAGAACTTCTTAGCCTTTGGTTCCTGCATTAAACTAGACATGTCGGCAAGAAATCCATCTGCAAAGCCATGCGAAGATGCAATGCAGATCCCCAACCCTTACGTAGCGTTTACAATTACATATTTGGGTAGTAAACATCTTTCAGAAATTCAAGTTCTCATGTAGTACATATGCACTGGTTGGCATTGAAACAATTGGATAGGTAGACTATAACTCCACGTGATAGGGCGTGATAGGGTATGATAGGTAATGACCTCGGGGCTTCTTCGTTGGACATAGAACTGGGGAAAAGATTATTGGATAACGAAAAGATTATGTACTGCACTCTTCGGCGATAGATATGTGACGTAGCTGTAATGTTGTCTGCCTTTTTCTTATAAAAAAGGCCCAAAAGCCCATAAAAAGTAGCTACCACCGTACCCCGTAACTCCAACTCTGATGCCTATTACAACACACGTTTTACAAGAAGCAATTGCTCGGCAGGCAAAGTCCGAAGGTTTTGTCCTCACCGCCAGGTGTAGGACTCTACTCCTTTTTCTCCCCCACCTACTACTCTACTGGGGTTGGTCCACCCGACCTCTTCTCTATATCGTACCTCGATAATGCTTTCAAATATTTTGCAATGAAGAATTTATAAAATGCCCTAACACCGTAGACCTCCATAGCCAGACTCCGTGGAAGAAAAAGAACTCTCGCCGGACAACTAATGCCGGGGTTGAGCTTGACTCCAGGTGTTCGGGTGACCGGGCGGTGGGAATTGGTTTTGAGGGTCGTCTAGCAAGTCCTCCAAAAAGGCACTGGGGGCTCGTCCACTGGGTGGCCGGTTAAGATTCAATGAGCTTGTACTCATGTTCCGCCGCGCCATATCTTGACGGGGTGCTAGGCCAGGGGACTCGGGTGGGGTGTGTCCGAGAGGGCGTCCATGGCCACGCGAATCCGGTCGAAGGTTTGTCAGGCTGATAGAATGACCATGACCTTGCTGTGGTGATCCAGCCCCGGCGGCATAGAAACCGGAGGGCAGGAAACGAGATTCACGATTGCCGTTGCCGGATGCCGTGGGAGCAGTGGGAGAAAAGAAGAGATTAGACTGGCTGGGGGTAGCTGAAGGGATAGGTCCTCGCGTTGTTCTCCGCACTCCTCGGCCTGGTATAGAACCACCGAGCGAGGCCGACGATGCTTGATCAGTGTACTTATAGAAGGGAGCTGGAGGCGGCTGGAAGGTCGCTTTGTCATTAGCAACTTGCTGCGCTAACGCCGCCCTCTTAACATTGCGATGCAGGAGCCAGGCGACGACACCACGCCATATCAAGACTGCGGCTCCGAAAGCACCCAAGATGGCCCCGACAGCAATGAACACGGTGCCTTCTGGCATAGTTGTTGGCTGCATGAACGGGGCATTGTTCGTCGGAGGTACAGTAGGGGCCGGATAACTGTAAGTGGATGAAGTCGAGGAGGTGATGGACGGAAGACTGTCACTGTCGGTCGTCGTTGATGACGCATCCGTCGTTGTGCTAGCAGCGGATGTGGTTGTTTGGTCAGTCGATGTCTGATCAGTGGTTGTTGACTCCGCGGTGGAAGTGTCTGTATTGGTGCTGGTGTCCGCAGTCGTCGTCGCGTCTGCGGTCGTCGTAGCAGCTGTGTCAGTTGCAGTGCTCGTCGCGGTATCTGCCGTCGATGTCGCATCATCAGTGCTGGTTGCCGTGTCTTGAGCGATGACGTGGGAAGCCAGCAGTGCGGCTACGGCGAATAAAATCGGCTGCGGGCGCATGATGGGCGAGTTCGCGCAATGCGGCTGAAGAAATAATTAAGCGAAAGGGCTCCCGACGTTATATTCGATGCGCGATCGCGATGGAAATCCTCAGATGTAAATTTGGTATGATGTCGGAGGGACGTTTTCCCTCTGTCGTGTTGTCGTGTGGCTTAGAGAAAAACGAGATGACCTGGACCCTTCGTATTTCCCGGACTCAGCTCAATTACGAAAGAGTAAATGGGGCGCCCCGGAACACGGGACGTAAAAGGATCGGATCGATTCTAGAAAGTGAAAAAGAATAATGTCTAGTGATAGACTAGAATGATACACTGATTAAAACGATTGTTGCATTGCTTTTTTTGTTTGCTGAAGACTTTCACGACCTCCCACCTTTTCGTTGCTTGGTGGATGTTTAGTTGGAGGGTTCGCGGAGTGACGGAGGGGACTAAGGGGACCAAGGGGACCAACAAGAAATAGGAGGAGAGGCTAAAATAAGCAAACACCAAACAGGCGTTCCTGCCTAGTAAAAAAGCAAATTGAGGAAGACGAGACGAGGAAAGGCTCGCGTTGATGACTACCTCCGCGCTAGTACTGGTACATACTTTTCCTGGTCACGCTAGCAAAACTATATACCAGATGATCCCGAAGAAAGTGTATAGTACATTGTACTTCGTACGCCATCGGCAATTTTTGGCAGGCCGCAGAGACGCAGTACGACCTCGTAGCACAGCGCACCGCAGACGCTAGTTACCATCCATACCATCCATAGTAGAGATTTTGGCCTAGCATTTCTGGAGTAGGCTACCAATCCTGGTGAACTTGAATTTACCTACGCAGTACGTATAAGCTGAATAATGAAATTCCACTCAGAGGCTTTAAGCTTTATCATTCGATAATATTAAACAATGATTCGTGAGGACCAGCCATTCTCTGGCTTGACGGGCAGGTCCAGGCACAGAATCATGGGGGATGTGGGGCCCAATAATTGTACCTCGATACTTTCCATGGTAAAGAATAAGCGCACAGACCAACACTGCACTACCTAAGATACGGACAGTACCCTTGAGAGCGGCTAATCTGATAATCCCTTCCAGGGCGGTCGAGATTTTCTAGAGTGGCAGATCGCCAATTACTTGCCTACATTCTGATGTGCACGATCAACCTGCACGAACCTGCCCCCGACATATCCCCTCGATTCCATTCCTCGCCGTCGCTCGGGTATCTTACGGGTCAAGCCGAATCGAACGAGAGTCCGCCATGGGTGTCGCAAAGAAGACGCGCAAGTTCGCGCAAGTACGTTTCCTTCCATCTGCCGCTATATAGAAAACTCCTTATCGATAAGAGCATGATCCTTTTTTTCCGGCATCACCGACTAACTCTCTCTTCCGCCGCCTAGGTCAAGCGCATAATATCGCGACGCGACGCGCGGCTGAAGGAGAACCGGGAGAAGAACGCGAAGGCGGCCGCCGAAGCGAAGCCCAAGGACGGCGCCTCCAACGAGATCGTGCGTCGCGAGGTCCCGCAGCTGCCCTCGCAGCTCTTCTTCCAGCACAACGAGGCCCTCGTGCCGCCTTACAGCGTGCTCGTCGACACGAACTTCCTGTCCCACACCGTCCAGCGCAAGCTACCGCTGCTCGAGAGCATGATGGACTGCCTGTACGCGAAGTGCACGCCCATCATCACGAGTTGCGTCATGGCCGAGCTGGAGAAGCTGGGCCCCAAGTACCGGATCGCCCTGCGCATCGCGCGAGACGAGCGTTGGGAACGGCTACAGTGCGATCATAAGGGCGTGTATGCTGATGATTGTATCGTGGATCGAGTCATGTAAGTCCTGAGCCGGCTGCTACGTGGACGTGTGATTGTGACATGGTAGCTAACCATTTTGTGTAGGAAACATCGTATATACATTGTTGCTACAAACGATAAGGATCTCTGTAGGCGGATACGCAAGATCCCCGGTGTCCCTATCATGAACGTAGCCCGAGGGAAATACGTAATTGAGAGGCTACCTGGTGCCCCGCAATGATTAGGAACTGAGTAGGATACGAGAATATGGATGTATATGCATTTGGAGCACGCATTCCGGCGTTTGGGCAGAGTTCTCCTAGACTTCACGGCATATCACAACGGCGTTTCAGGGTACCAAAAGAGATCATTAGTTGAGGCAAGCTACAGATACATTAAAAAAAAATCTTTGTTGCTGACTAGATGATAGACATGTTTTATGATTCATGTTGAATATGGGCAATCGCAATTATTAGCCCCTCAGCAAGTTCCTGGAGTTGAGGCCACCTGGGATGATTCTTATGTACATTGATAGCCTCGTTTGTTGAAGGGGTTCCTTTACCCAACAGCACTCTGAAAAGAAATCCCACCGCCACGGGTATAGACGGTGGCCAATTTCCTTAGCATCTATAATCATCGCCGCACTCAATATGCTTGCAACCCGTACCATTTTAACCACCAAAAATTGGAAGGTTGTGCTAAAACGCCGTAGCCCGCGTCTGGGTGGAAGAAAATCAGCTAGTGTACACCTCCCCCTTTTTTTTGGCCGTTCGCTGAAGGAACCCTTAGCATGCATATATAGCAAGATTGATCCAGAGCCGCGCCTTGAAATGAAGAGTATCATGATGCAGAAAAAAACCGCCCACTCCAGATAGATGAGTAAAAGAGATGCTTTTTTCGAGGAGCTCGAGAAGACGTCATTAGTTGAGGAATCCTTTGCAAGCTGCAGTTCCGCACAAGCAAGGGATACGATCTAAGCTCCCTATTTCTCGCTCAAATTTGTAGTCGTAAGTCAATTCCTCGTCTATTAAGAGTTCGTGTTAGTAATTTTGTTCATTGACCAAGTGTAGCGAAATTCAAACTTACTTTGAGCGATATCTCGTAAAGCATAAATGACAATTCTCTTACTGCCTTCCACTTTGATGATTTTGGCTGTGCAATTGGGCATACAGCTATGGTTGATAAATCGGGCAATGCCTCCTTTCTTTGTGGCGTCGATGACCGTGCTATCGTCGATACGGAAGAGGTAGCTGCTGCCAATGCCGCTCTTGAGGTATCGGTTCTCCCGAATCTCGGAAATGGACTGCCGAACTTCCTCGCCAACGTATTCAATGATCATATCATCTTTGTTAATATTCTCCATGGCGTATAGGCCCCAGTTGTGGATTGCGGAGCGAGCAAATTTGACAGGCTTCTTTCGTTTCTTCAGCTGGTTGAATCTCAGAACTTCCGAATCTTGGCCCAGGGTTCTCTTCTGATCGTTCAAGTCGGCGACGAAGCGCCGGTTATTGACACGGTTTGCTCGCGAATTGCCCTTGGCTAGTAATTTCTCTGCCGCGAGTTTTGCTGCTTCAGCCGCCGCCGCCGCCGTATCCTTGCCGTCCTTCTTCGCTTGGCGAAGCTGCCGCTCCTCTCTGGCCTTCTGGACTTTAAGGTGGTGGGGGAGATATTTGGATTTCTCCGAATTGAGAATTTTCTTAACACCTTCGGTACGGGCACATCCACTAGGATTTGGTACGTAGTAGCCTTCAATAATAAGAGACTCCGTAGGTGATGCCTTCTCCGCATTGAGCTCCCGCACGCGGTTGTGTCTCCATACCCAAAGTCTGGGATCGCCCACGTCATTCGACTTGAACCTCTTCTTGAGCTTACCGACATCAGGGTGATCCTTAGACTGGAGGTCAAGTTCCGGGATGGACTGTACTGACAAGCCGAACGACTCCGGCAAAGCCATCGCTGGGAGTACTGCATCGGAAAAGCGCTCGTCTTTGGGAATTACCTCGTCAACAACCTCTTGAACCACAGGCTTGGGTACCAGGTCCTCGGACTCTTGTCTCTGTTCTTTCTGCGATTGTCCTAGGGCTTCCTCGACGTATACTTCCTGCTGTTTCTTCTTCATGGCTTCACGTTCCTCGAAGAGCTGTTTCTTAGTCTTCTTCTTTGGCTTAGCTACGGTAGCTTTCTTTCGGCCCTTGGCTGTCTTCTCGACTAGAGTAGGAAGTTCGGTGGCTTCGGAGGTCTTGTCAAGATCGGCGTCGGGCATAACGATGTCTTCTGTTGGACTAGGGAACTCGTTTTCGAGTGTATCAATAGTAACACCGAAGAGCTCTTCGTCGGATTTCTTCTGTCGCTTGATGGCGGCTTCGACGTGAAGGTCGAGCTTCCGCTTCTTTGCCTTAACAATACCATCGTTGACAGGGAAACTAGCATCGGTCATAGAATCTTCATCGGCGAAGTCATTCTCGAACCCGTCGTCCTCCGTACTCATACGGCTCCTAGGGCGCGACTCTGATTCTTCGACATCACGCATAACCGAATCGCGATTCTCGGTCTCGTCTTCAGATACTTCGTCATCGCTGTCCGGAGGCTGTAGTCGATGGTGAAGCGATCGGAAGGCATTGTGTACCACAGAAGGCCTCTTACGCGCAAATGGGTCTGTAAATCCATAATTTCGCTGCGCAGCACCTTGACCTTTAATTTTCCTGATGCGTGGCAACGCAGCAACATCGACACGAGCTGTGCGACGTTCGATTGGGTCAGCTCGCGAGTTGGGTGTGCTGATGGGCGTAACATCGCGCTCTTCGATGCCGAGTGTAGGATGTGACGGCCCTGGAGGTTGTTCGAGGTTCAATTTGCGCCTCTTAGCTACGTGGTTCGCCGGGTCTAGGAATTTGTCAAGCGTGGGTACCGCAACTTTAGTCCTGATATGTCTGATTAAATGCTCCTTCATTTCACGGCGAACGACCTCAATAGCTTCCGTGACAGGGTCGAAGTTCTTGGCTCGTTGTTTCTTCTCTTCTTCCAAGACGGCCTCCTCATCGCGGCGTCGTTCATCGCGAGGTCGGTACTGGTGTTCTTCTCTATAGCGCGCATCCGCAAGCGATCTTCTGTCTGGCTCATTCGTTCGTGAATGGGTAATGGAATTGGAGGAACTCGAGGGAGCTACGCCGTGGAGCTTCATAGCCATTGTATAGGTAAAGAAGGCGCTACCATCAGCCGACCGGAAACACCTAGTGGCTTCTTCACGGCCAAGCGAGGTATTGGGGAAGATGATATAGTAGCCAGTGCGGTCAGCTCGTATGTCGTCAAATTGGAACGATTTCAAACGTTTCTTCATATGAGGTATCGTGGTGACCATGACTGGAACACTAGTGTCGGGAACGAATATGTACGGTTCGCCCTTGAGGGTAGCTGAGACAAGTTGAGAATCGAATAGCATAGACCCAAGGCCCTTAGGTTTGCTCGGAGGGGGCCAGGTGGGCTCTGCGGCTAATACGGGGCGCTGACGCTCAGCAGCAGGACCCCTCGGAGCGGTGGGAGGTGGTCGGTTCACGATTTCGGTAGGCTTCACTCTAGGACCCGTAGGCACTGGGGTTACAGTTGTACGCAAAGATTCCTCATTGTCCTTTTTGAGGATAGTCTCAAGCATAAGCCTACTTTTCTTTCCATCTCGGTCGAACTCTACCTTGATGCGGTTTGTCTCAATCTTCTTTCCATTCATAGAGCGGACAGCCCTTCTCGCGGCATTAACAGCTGAGACAGGAGGTTGCCGTTGTTGTTTTGAGTCTCGGTATCGGAAGGTTGCGAAGCCAAGGAAACTTCCGGTGTGAGGATGCATCTTGTTGCTGCTTTCAGCTATATCGCCGAAAGACGTGAATATGGTTACAACCTTGGAGAAGGAGATTAACGGGTTAAACCCGCTAACCACAATCTGGGTCGGTGGTCCAGGGCCGATAGACGTAGCAGGATCATATGGGTATGGTTTGAGATTATAAGGAGTTTGACGTAATCTCGCCTTAGGCAGATGGAAGTCGACATTTATGTAATCGAGCCAGCTGCCTTTAGATAGGCGAGGATCTGGAGGGGGAGCGTCATCTTCCTATTCAGTGAATTAGCCAAAGATCTCATATAAGTCAGATGACGCCCCCCCTCTATCCATAGATATAATATTGTATGTTGGATACGTACCAGCCCGATGTTCTTGTACTTGGGTTTCATTGTTTTTCTATCGCTCGAGGACAAGCTCTTGTCGGTTAAAGGGTCGTGTACACACTTGGTTCCCTTTATAGCGAGGTTTGGGTCTCGAGCCGGAAGGCGCTTAACGACACCAGGAACATTAGACAACGGTCCCGTGATCGTTGTAGAGCTCGTATTATCAGGTTTGCTTGTATTATGATGAAGAACGGAGGAGCGCTGCTTTGCGGGTTGCACATGTGAAGGGTTTGTGGGCGAGCCCATTGTGGTAAGAGGTGTGAGGTTGCTGTTGGAAGCGCGTGATGAAGCATTCATTGCAGCGGATGAATTGAAAGTAGTGAAGACAGAGGAGGTAGTACTCGCGTGAGAGCTTGCGGAACCAACTCCATTGAGGATATCTCCTTGCAAAGACTCGGTATCATCTGTCGGGGGGTGTGCGGCATCAGATAACGACGAATCGTACTTTGCGCCATCGCGATGAGCAGGCGTTGCTGTCTTAGCATCAATGTCGGTAGCTTCTGATGCTCTCGAGGACTTCTCGCGTTCCCGTTCATTAGCCTTGTCTCTGGCGGCGCGAGGAGCGTTGGGAAAGAACTCCTTATAACCAGCGCTAGGAGCCATGATTATTAGGGTCGAAGTCGGCGGCCTCGACTTATCCACCGACCATCATATCTCAAATCGGGAAGAATCAACAACAGCATTCATGAAGTCATAAGGATGTACGCGATTGATGATTGTAGTCGGAAAGTGGGTGTGGTGTGTGGTGGCAGAAGGATACGCGAAACTCCTGCGTCCACGCGACAGGATCGGAGATCTGACGTGTGGGACTTTCTCAAAAGAGCCAGGCAATTATGTTAACGATGCAGAGGTCCGAAGGGTTCCGGTGCGCTAAAAATTGTAGTAATATGGTCGCGGACAAATATGAAACGTGTGCCCGTGAAATTTGCGCTCGCGAGGTCGGGACTCTGTCTTGGTCAAAGAAAGTGGGCGGGAGATGGAGAATGAAGAGGCTGATGTCGAAAAGTTGAAATTGGCGGTTGATTAGCAAAGCCAGATTCTGATTTCAGGGATGGGGCCAAGTCCGGGGGGATTAGATTTGGCCACTAGCCACACCTGTGCCACAGTTCTATTTTGTTTTTGCACCCGATTTGTGGCTTATTTCGTCTTATTGTGCCTACTACTACCTTGTAACTGGATGATCGTTCCTTTCTTTCCTTAGCCCAAGTGTATTTTAACCATTGGTAGAGGGAAGGTTCGCAGCAGTGTGGCAGCTGCACGATACATATCACAAGCCAAAATAGTCCAAAATAGTCCACATACTTTCCCTACACAGGGGGATGGGATATGCATTACAACGTCACCGCTTTCTCTATTCGCTATTTCCCGCTAGAATGTGTCAATAACGGTGAATTGATAACGAATCGATTCGGCTCTACCGGTCTGTTCTAGAACTTGATGCAACTCCTTTTTACCTAGTCAGGCACCTGCTTCTGAAGTTATTGTGTTGATGTATCGTTGTATATCACGCCTTTTTCGCATTCAGAGGCTACCTAGGGAAAAGTACATAGAATGGTAAACGAGCAAAGAGATATAGCTTACGTTACGATAGTTATATACATACTTGCAACTGAGCGACATACATATAGATTTACATTCTAGGATCATCTAGTGAGTAAGTTAGTATGTCGAAATATAAATATAGGTATGAATAGAAATACACAGCACTGATCCCACCGGAACCTTAGGTTGCATTAGGTACACCAAATGTGATTCTTAGATTTGAAGTCGAATTTCCATACCAGCCGGACCAGCTCATTCTAAGACACTCGTAATGAAAAGAGTTGTGTTCTTCTACTTGCCTACCTACTTAGGTAGCCATCAATTAGATTTCCACGTCAATGAGGCCGACTCTTAAAATGCTACTCAAGGTTGTCGAGAACTGACGTGTGGCTCAGCTACTTGCCAGGCCTCCAAGCGGGAGCATACCTACTCAGCATTAACGATTCATTTTCTAAAACCAGAGCCTATAACCCCTTTTCGAAGAACGAATCTAGTGAGGATAATTCAGACTACAGTCACAATATGGTAACGTAAGGAATTAATTTGCATTGTCCCGGTTTGTAAAAATACTACCTAAATGTAGTCACTGGCCTATCAACCCAGCTTTTAAAGACTCTGCTGCAAATTGACAATACCAACTTGAGTTCTCAGAGCCTAACGCCATTCATGCACCTCATACATTGCTAAGTCGACCGATAACGCCAGACACTTAACGCCCGGGACGAACATCTTAGTTTGTCAGACGGAACTCAAATGAAGGATCCTCAACTACTGCGAGATCCTTGCCCACCTCACAATCATCATCGCTGTCGTCTTCCGAGTTGAAGACAGAAAGGAGTGTAACCCTATCCTTCCATGCCTGGTGCTCGATAGAAGCTCGTCTGTTGGCTTGTTGGGTGGAAGTAATAGTCTTGTCGGAGTCGTTGGACATTGTTGAATTAGTACGACTTAACATACGGTTCGGCTTGTTAGGAGGTGCAACCCCTCGTTGAAGCAAATCTGCTACCCGCCGCCCTTTGTTATAGCCGACCGTTGTTCGTGAATTCGCCTCCATCTCCAACGACGTCTTTCTAGGAATCGCCTGAGCCTGCGCGCTGGGCGGTCGCCTAGAGCCAAACGTGGACTTAAAGGTGGGTTTCGGAATTTTGCTGCCTTCTGCAGGCTTAGACACCTTTCGTTGTAGGGACTTAGTTTTGTCTTCCATAGACAGAGCACCAACGACGTTCTCCGATAGAATGCTTGAGAGCACTCCATCGACACCGGTCTCCTTAGCATCGGGATCTACACTGTCGTCCTCAAAGAGGGACTTCGTCCGGATACCTGAGACTTCGCCTCGGATGGTCCATTTCATGTCGTCCACTTCCTCCAACAGTCGCCTATCGGATTCCTCGAAAACTTCCTTGTTTCTCTTCATCAACTGCTTATCCTCCAGAAGAACGCCATTCTCATCGACGGGTTTGAAGTAATAGTCATGGTAGCCGTTAAAACAATTTTTGCGGTCCAATACGTTGAGATCAAGGGCACCATCTGGGAAGAGCTTCGACTTGTAAGGGCTACCCTTCGATTTGGGAGGGGGAGGGGCGAACTCGATTTCTTCCTCAGCATGAACGATCAATTTCTTCTTAGGTTGGATGGTTGTCGACCCATTAACCTGTGACTTCTCAATATCTCGTATTGCGCTCTTAACGTTTACGGTTTGTTGGCCATTGGCTTTTGCATTGGTCGTCTTGTCGCCTAGGACTGCTCTATTGCGTATATCTAGCAGATGATTAGCCTCCTTTCCCCAAGGTGAAGATGTGACGTTTTCCACGAGACATACTTGCGGGTGTAGCAATATTCGCCTTGCTCAAGCCCTTCCCCTTAGATATAAGAGTATTCTCGTTGCCACCTGTTTTGCCTCCGAGAACGCTCTTAGCACCACCGACAGCGTGCGTGCCATTCTCATCATTCAGCGGAACCTTGAGCGGTGTTTTGGCAAATCTTGCTCCCGGGGTCTGCTGACGCTTAGCGGCGCTATTTCGACGGTTGAAAACCAAGTTCTCCTGATCTCGAGCGGCTAACATGGTGGGCGAAGTGATTGCATAGAAGTATCGTCTGGCTAAACTGGCGCGAAAGACTAGACTAGTACTGAAGGGTTGTAATCAGGGGGAAATTCGTTGTGATGTGGTAAATGTCGTAGTTGGGAATGTTTACATCCAAGCCCTCGAGCACGGGCTTTTTAATTACGGTGGAAAAGGGAACGTAAAAGTAAAGCAACTCGAAGCAATTTGCATACAATAGTGCAAAGACTGTACGGATAAGTATTGGAGAATTATTAATAAATTGAACGATACCTAAGTTTAAGTTTGTATCCCCCGAACCAAAACTCTAGCTTTGAAGGTTATTCGTAATTGAGTTGTTAGGCAATAATTTCCCTCTAGAATGATTGCTAGAATGTTGTCTTAACCCTGTTTGGATGCGACGGTAGTTGCCAAAGCAACTCGATTTCCACTTCAGCTAACTTTCAGTTACATAAACGTTACAGTATGCATAATTACTAGCTCAAACGGTACGTGGCTCACCACCATTTCAACGTGAAGACTGGTGAGATTGGTCGGACCCCACTTGACACAAAGCCGAGTGCACTGTGCGGCCCAAAACAAATCATGAGACGGGTCACTCATTCCCCCTATCCCCTATCGGTCACTTTCCACTTTCCAGGGCAATGAGGGAAGGCGGGGCAATCTAGTACCAACCCACGCTGACTTTGGGCATATGAAATTCCACGCCTATCCATCCAGTTAGTTCGATTTAATCATTCAACGAAGTTTCCCTTTTCCCTTTATTCTCTCCAAACCGCCAGTCTGCATTTGTTGCCTAACTAAAAAAGCAATCATCGTCTGCTTCATCTGCACCTAATCAACTTACCCAACTCTATCCCCTTAGCTCCTATTCTAACCACTCTTTCAACATGGCGGACCGCATTAGAGAGGTAAGTCGATAACATCTCAAGTTCCCCCCTTACCCCACCATCGGTATAACGCGCTGTTAAAGAGCTTGGAGAAAACCCTCTGGGATTTAACAGCGCAGCTTTTTATGATATCTATCTCTATTTATATGCAACTGATATCTGCATGATTATCTACAATGATATTGACATCGGGTGTACTTCTAGAAAATGAACCAGCTCCGTCTGGAGGCTGACGAGTCGTCTCAAAAAGTCGAAGAGTTGCAGGCTAAGGTCAAAGCTCTTGAGCAGGAGAACCTCGCCAAGGAGCAAGAGATCACTTCACTATCCCACAAGAACGGCCTTCTAGAAGCCGAGAACGAGAAGATGGACACTACCATCAAGGATTTGAAGAAGGCTGCGGACGAGGGCCTGCAACACGGTACGCACAACGAAACCCTCCAACGTAGACTCCAGCTACTCGAGGAAGAAGCCGAGGAAGCGGACAAGACTCTTCGTGAGACAAATGAGAAGTAAGTCTCCACATAATCCACCGCAGTAAGACGTGAGAGAAACATGCATAGCTGACAACAATAACCTTGTAGACTTCGCCAGACTGACGTAAAAGCCGGCCACTTTGAGCGCAAGGTACAGGCTTTGGAGAACGAGCGGGACCAGTGGGAGGGCAAGTACGAGGAGATGGCCAAGAAGCACGCGCTACTCCAGAAGGAATTGGAGGACCTCCAGAACGAGATCGGCAACATCTAATTCCTTATTACGTTCGACGAGACCGCTGTCGCGAGACACTTGAAGGCTGTGCCTTAGGGGAAGCTTTGGATTTCTTTTTACCGACACCGGTACCGTGTCAACTCCTACACGGGGAGACATAGTTGACGACCGATTCGACCTTCGATCTCGAGAGGGACGGGAATTCTGCGGTGGCTATTGAGGAGAAGTCAAGTGTTTAGGACATGTTTATTGTACGGTGGACTTATATTCGGTATTTGCAACAGCAAAGCCTACAAGACGGCTAGACAATGCAGTAATCAACCACGTGGTTTCTTTCTGCTCTTGGAGGCTTTCTGTTTCCTCTGGCTGAGTTGTCTTTCCGACTTTGTCTCATACCTAAACTTCGGTTTCTTCTTTTTAGGTGGCCTGGTGTTCTCTTGACTCCCTGGAGGATGTTGGGAATCTCCCTTCGTTGTCTCGTCTTCGTCTTCTTCGCCCGAGTCGCCCTCTGGCCTAGAGCTTGACAATCCATCTTTAGACACAATTACAGACTCTATTGTCACCGTAGTGTAACGTTCTTCGTCGATGTACTCTTCCTCGTGGTCAATAGGTTCCAGTGCAGGAGTATCTTGAAACCCTCCCCATTCTTCTGCTTCGTCCTCGGACGTCTCCTCCCCGCCTACATAGCCGGCTTGCTGCGCTTCCTTCAGGATTGCATTGACGTTTTGTACATGTTCTTCGACTTCTCTCTTCCGATCTTCGCGGACCTATATATAACTCCAATTAATAAACCAGAGATCAAATAGCCTTATATCAAATAAGACGTGCCTGCTTTCTCAATTCGATCTTCTCCTGTCTTGCCCGTTGCGCAGCTTGCTCTTGCGCATTCTTGATTCTTTGCAATTTGCGCTTGTGAAATCCAGTGAGGTAGTCGGAACGAGCGTCGGTATCGAACTTGATCTCTTCGACTGAATGTTGAATTTTTCGCTTCTTTGGTGGTGGAGGGAGCAGACCCTTTTTGGGTCGTGGGCGCGCGAACATTCTTCGATAGTAGGGGAAAGACGTCGACTAAATATGCAGGACCTTAGAACTAAGTAGAGTCGAAGATGATGTATAGGTAACTTCAAGGCTAAGAGAGTTCGAAGTTAAAAGAGTTATCGCAAACATGGAAATGATTAAATTTTAGTGACCTGAACGATTGTAATGCTAGGTACATTTTTGCACTATCTGCTCGCCCCGCCCTTCCGTTAGCGGTCAAGTTCCAGCACGTCCAAGGATCCTAGAGAGCCCTGTAGGCCCCAAATGCCGCCGTGGCTGCACCTTCTGTGCCACTTGATAGGGCGGAACATGCCGCGTATCTCCGTTCTGTCCTTGCTGAACGAGCCAAACGTCAACTTGGAAAGAGCTTCAGCCTTCAGCCTTCTAAGCTTAAGCCTCATTTCCTTTCTTATCATTTCAACAACATCCAAATATTCACCCCGTAGGAGGCTCGATATTACCATGCGTCTATCTAGGACTGCCGCGGCATTGGCAGCTTGCTGCGCTTCCGCAAACGCATTTTCGGATTCATCCCCTTTCATCCTGTTCTCGACAACTAAGTATGAAACTCGACACCAGCATGCACATAGGATGTAGCTAATCGCGTATACCAATTAGACTGGAGCAGCCGGCGAACCAGGCGCAAATACAGTCCAGCCGAGATGTTTCTACCTCCGTTCAGAAGCTCCTTTCGGGATGCCCGACCGAACGATATCTCATTGTATCTCAGCCGAACCTCAACGCGAACGACCTAAGCGCGAAGGACGCGGTGCCGAATCTTCGTCGATCCTTGGAGAAAGCTCAGACCAGTTATACTATCGCAGAGGTGGCTGGACAGCTGAGTTTGAAGGAGATATCGGCCCATATCCAGGCATCTTGTGACGGGGTACTGCGGCCATTCATTGACGAACTCGAACTCGCTCCCCTTCCATCAGCCAATGGCGCCCGGACGCTCAAGGACAATGGTAACTATTCTCCGTAGGTATTATCAAAGGCGATGTTACTAATGCGATATAGACAGCGAACTCGGCATGGTTCTAGAGCAATACGAGAGAGAGGGTTCCTACACAATCATCTACGCTGGTGGCCCTCGGCAGGAGACTCCCCAGACCTACAGCGCCGAGTTCCCAGGTGCCGTACACCAGGAACTGAAGAGAGACCTGCATCTTATCCAACAGCGAGCCAAGAACAACAGTCAAAATCTCCCTCTATTTGAGAAGTACCAATACTTCACTCCAGGTCAGTTCCACAAGTTTATTACACACCTATGAACGCTTCATACTAACAACCAAATAGGCATCTTCACGGCTTTAGTCGCTGCTACCATCCTCATTTCTATCCTCTACGTCGGTCTTCTCGGCGTTGCCAGCCTCGAGGTTCCCTACGGCGCTTTCGACAAGGAGATGGGACCTGCTGCGCAGAAGAAGCAACAGTAAACGAAACATCTATACCGGAGCAGATCAGTCCAGTCCAGTGGACGATATATCGAGGCTGTAATTTACGTAGTGTACTATTGGGTCATCGGAGTCCGGGTAACGGGTAGCATAGAAGTTTTAAATGAGACTTCGTTCATGGCAAGGCATCGTTTATCAGATGGAAACAAAGCTGTAGATATATGCAACTAGAAATCAAATCGACCACAACTTTTCCCCTTGCCTGTGATATTTCCACCATGCACACTAATCGCATACCCGCCTAATGCTCGCGTTTTTCCTTGACTCCAGAACGCCTTCAACCTTTTAGCCGTCTTAGTGCTGTCGCTACCAATATCCTCGCCTGAAGCTTCGTTCATAGACAGCCGAAAAGTTTCTTTAGACTAAGTGACTCGGTAATAAGAAGTTGGCGATACCCTCCCGGACAGCGTACTCATGGCCGCAGTTTGCACATACGAGTTTGCCCTCCATGATCTGCGTCTCCATGAGCAGGTTGTGCAAGTCCTTAAGCGTCTTCTCGTCGCCCTGCAGCTCCTCCACGGACGGGGGCTGAGGCGGCAAGGTTGGGAAGCCGAGCTAGCGAAAAGTTTCAGTCGTCTGTTGAACTCATATATAGCACTGAGGAAGAATATGTAACTTCATAGGAAATGATATAAAGGGTTTTCTATCATCTTATACGAAGTCATGTGAATACATACCTCAGTAGCAGTGGTAGACAGCGCCGTCCAATCGATGCGGGGCAGCAAATTTATCAAGAGTTGGGCGTTCACCTCGATATCGTCCTGCACCAACTCTGCGTCTTTAGGGTGCAGCGGATATGAATTCGACGAGCTCTTGCAGGCCTTGACCGCGCAGGTCAAGAAATTGAGACTTAGGACCTTCATCTCGGCGTGTAGTTGAGTTGCGACAAGAATTTTGGGTTTCTCGCAAGTTTAGAATCTGACTGGCGCCAAAATTGACCAAAATTTTTATAAGTCACACGTGATAAGACAACCAATATCAAAAACAGACACAATGCATATAAATCACGTAGGAATCGAAATCATATCACAGTAAATGCATCATGAATTTAATGTCTTTTGCAAATATAAATCCAAACATCATCTATACCATCGTCTTCTCATAAGCGGCGTCCTGCCCGCTCCTCCGTTTTGACATGCGTAGGTAAAATGCAAAAGCAGCAACGATAACACCGAAGAAGAGCGCCTTTTGGAAGAAAGTCCACTCAGCGGAGGGAGCAGCGGTCCCAACCGCCTCGGGGATTGCGGTGTCTTCGGTGGAATATCCTGCAGCCCATTCGGAATTTCCGTTTAAACCTGGAACGGCGCGATAGACGTATCAGTATGAAAACGACGGAGGAAGGCGAGACGAGTACGGCTTGGGAATTTTGTGTTTATAGCTCAACGTGGATACCTTCTGGGGGCACCTCAAGCTCTCCGCTCTTAGCAATCTTGACCGTCTGTTCCGGCTTGTCGCCGGGCTTGGTCTTGACACCCTCAATCTTCTTGACAATGTCGAAACCCTCAAGGACTTCGCCGAACACGACGTGCTTGCCATCAAGCCACCTAATTTGCTGTTAGCTCTATTCCACACATCCTATTGTTCCAATTCCTGCACACGAGTCGGGGAGTCTTACGAGGTGATAACGGTGGTAATGAAGAACTGGGAGCCATTGGTATCCTTGCCAGCGTTCGCCATGGACAGGAGACCTTCCTTGGAGTGCTTCAGCTTGAAGTTCTCGTCAGGGAACTTCTCGCCATAAACTATTGAGACAGACAATTAGCACCATCCCCTCATTCTATACAAGGCCATTTCAACTTACTCGACTTGCCACCGGTGCCATCGCCCTTGGTGAAGTCTCCTCCCTGGATCATGAACGACTTGATAACTCGGTGGAAAGTAGATCCCTCATAACCAAAACCCTTCTCTCCGGTAGCAAGAGCTCGGAAGTTCTCGGCGGTCTTAGGGACAGTCTTTCCATAGAGACCCATGACAATGCGGCCAAGGGGCTCATCGCCGTGCGTAATGTCGAAATAGACCTTGTGGGTGATCTTTGGCCCCTTGGCAGCCTCAGCCGACTGGGAGAAGCAGATGGCGCTTAGACCGACCAGCAGCAGAGCGCTGACGAAAAGTCGGCGAAGGTTGAACATGGTGAATTGAGTTAATAACAGGACCCTCAGACAGATTTGAAGAGGTTAAATACGATAGTTGGGAATATCTAGAGGAATTGGACCTGTTTCAACCAGTGATAAAATAAATAGGAAAGGGAAATGGAAAGGACACACAGGCTCCAATTGAAGCGACGTTTCAACGTTTCAATGTTAGTTAGAGCTGTCGCAACCAGATGGAAACGGACCCCTGAACCGTCACAGGCTAGTAAGGTACCACCGGTTGAATGCGGGGTCCACTATACTAACTACTTGAGGCCTATCAGCTTATCAAGCGGAGTTTGGGTTGCTCAGATCAGCTCAGATTCACCATCAACCAATCATAAGAGCCGCTATTCGGTAAATTCATAGAAAGCCTCAATCTTTCTACCATCACCACAAATCTCAAGAATATTGCGACAGTACATACCGGCGCTCTGGTGCTAATTCGCCCAAGATGGTAGGCCCTCCAAATATTTCGAGTTATTTTTAATGGGATACAGCTATTAAGATATTACAGGTGCTCATAATGGGAGTTAACTTCCACGAGAAGAAGTTGGTCAAGGTAACTTTCTCACGCATCCGATTTCGCAAATTGGACTCCTAACGAGAACGAACTACGCAGAAAGCACTTGAAACTTTCTATGGGCTTGGACCACAATCCTCTGCGCGTATACTAGCGAAGTACACGATACATCCACAAGCCAGACTCGGCACTATTGCCCCGAAGACGATCACAGCTTTAACAACCGAATTGTCCACCATGACGATAGAGAACGATGCCAGGCGAATAGTACAAGACAACATCAAACGGCTGAGAGACATGGGAACGTATAGAGGAAGAAGACATGCTATGGGCCTGCCCGTGCGCGGACAGAGGACGAGGACACAGATCGAGACGGCGAAGAAGCTCAACACCCTCGAGAGAGGAGGGACATATTCCAAGATTTGAAGACATTTCCTGGACATACTTAGCTCATGAGTATAGGAATGAAACATGTCCCGAAATCGAGTTCATAAGAATCCTTAGGAAAGGCGTTGAACGGGTGTTTATAGCAGCTTCTGGGCCTCTAGGAATAGGAAGAGCCGAGAATAGACGTATTCTTTATAAGCTACTACTACTGTACAGGTAGTCTAGGGACATTATTCCCTTACATAATTAAACGTAGATGCCACATTTCAAGGACATTAAGATCTCATGAAATGTTATCTACAGCACTATCTTAAACGACTAAAAACTTACCAATTTGATCATATTGCCCCATGTCTGTATAATGACATATGACTATTTTAATTACTACTACGTATTTAGGTAGGTAGTGACATCTGATCAATTATTTTGGAGGGTCGCTTACCCCATTGAAAATGACCGCAGGCTAATTTACCAGTAAAGCATCATGGGATACAAGAAGTAGACGTCAAGGATCATGCAGAGTCGCTTAGTCTGACTCGCTAGAGTAGTAAACTTCGACTTCGCGTAGTTCTTCCAAGTCATCCTCCAGCACAGGCTCTCCTTCTGCCTGCAACTTTGCGGCTATCTTCTCAACGTCTCCCCAGACCCGTAGTATGTTACCACCTGCAATCTTGCCCGCGTCCTCGTCGGAGATTCCACGGCGCAGTAGTTCTGCGATTAAATCCGGGTACTTGGAGACATCGGTCAAACCCTCGGGAGCGGATGGGATACCATCGAAGTCACTTCCTAAGCCAACATGGTCGTATCCAATCAAATTACCAATGTACTCGATATGGTCGACCACATGGGACAGGGTATTGTTCTCGGGGAAGAATTCGGGGACGCCGTTCTCAGCCCCCTTATCGACACAACTGATGAAATCAGGAGCGAAGTTTACTAGAACAATCAGCATAGACTCAAATATGGGTTTTCTACGAACATACCCATGACGATCGAGTTCTTCTCTTTCACGAGTTGAAGTATATCATCGGGCACGTTGCGAGGATGCGGACACACTGAAAAAGCAGAGCTATGGCTAAACATGATGGGAGCTTTGCTGCCTGCCCACCCTTCGCTACCACCGAGGACGTCCCGCATAGTGTCCACGCTGACATGGGATAGATCGACTATCATACCGATGCGGTTCATCTCGTTGACTAGCTGTCTGCCCTTGGGAGAAACACCACCCCAGACCGGGGGAGCCTTGCCGAATGGATTTTCCCAGAGGGCCGCATCGGCAAATTTGTTACCGCAGTTATGTGTCAGCGTGGCATAGCGGACTCCCAGGGCATGGTAGCGCCGCAAGTTGGCGATCGAGTTGCCGATTTGGTGGAGACCTTCAATTCCCAGGGGTGAGACGAACTTGCCCTTCTTGAATGCCTCTACAGCAGACTTAGAGTCCAATGGAATTCCAGAAAATTCATTCGGATAAGCACTCTGTAGGCGGGTCATAAGGTCGATTTGCTGTAGAGTGAGCTGAACGCTAGGAGCGTAGTTCTCATCGGACCAATCCGAGCCATTTGCGGGACACGGCGTGAAGACACTCCAGAAAGCACCTCCGTTTTGCCCTTCCCTCAACCTGGGGAGGTCGACGTGCATTGGAAAACCACCCCCTTCGAACGGCTTTGTGAAGGTTTCATTATAAATATGGTTATTGTACATAAACCGGATGAAAATGGCTAAGTCATTGTGGCCATCTTGAAAAGCTATTAGTTATTTGCCCTGAATAGCCGGGGAGTTAAGTTAAATCTACCTATCAAAGGAGTTTCTGAAAGGATCTTTTGGACTCTCTGCTCAACAGACTTCGGGTTAAAGCGATCATAGGCTTTCGACAATGGGTGATGACATCGCGAGGTTGGGTGTAGCAATGTGCCTATGACCAATAGGGATGTAGCAATGAGGATTGCTTTCCTCGCAAATGACGGTCGAGAGCGAACGGGTGCTGCATCGTCGGCACTAAGCGCTGCTTTCTCGTCCATGTTGAAGATAGCAGTTTTAATAACTACCTACCTATGCAAGTATAATTAATTGTCTTGGGTTCTCACTTGGGTGTGTCCGTGTGACAGGAGAAGAAGTGACGGTTGAGGATAACCGGCAGCTTACAAAGCCTATCCCGAGTTATCACTGCCCGGCAGGAGGTTTCCAAGTTCCAAGGTTATCTCCAGTCTTAATCGGAGTTACGCTGCGACTGCCAAGTACCTAAGTACCTAGACCTGATCTGGTTCTATTAAGGGAACTGCAATCCGCGGGCCACAACTGCAACGTAATCGGATCTAACACATCATCATTTACATATTTGTATCCATTCTGATGTATGTATCTCACTACGAGCCCGCAGCAGCTTGGAGATATGTACATATATGAGGTGTGAGGAACGCATGTGCTCATCTATGTTCATGAGGTTGATGTTCTGTTTCAACGACGAAACTGACAGTCTAAGACATCGCCCAAGCTTTATGCGCCTGACCGCCTATGCGGTTATATATTCTAAAAATGGACGTAATTAGGATCTAATTACAGAGTACGAACTTGTTAAATATCGATAATCGAGAGGCCTCTCATGACCCCGGCAGCTGCCTATGCTGCTTACGTGCCGCTTAAGGCTCGACAGGGCCGATGCCCAAAAAGTTCAGATGAAACCATTTCTTACAGGGCTATTCTTTCTTGTTCTAATGTCGTCAGCGGGACCGGAGCGGTACGTGGATAGAATGTAACTCGCCCAGACCCGCCTCATCAGAACTCCAGCTACATGCACGCACATGCCGCAGTATAGTTTCAGTTGGAGGTACTTGCTTAAGTCGTACCGGGCGCTTGAGGTAGGTACGATTACCGGGTAAAATATGCCTAGAAATCTACCAACAAAGGGAAACTCCATTGCCCTAAAACCCCCCTGGAGTCTGCAGGTCCGACCTTGAACTGCTTCGACCAATGACCTCTTAAGCTTCAGCTATTTTTTTACTGTCCAAGCTTTCTTCCAGGTGCTTTATTGGCGGCGAGGAATTTCGTAAAAAAAGAAGAGCGAGAACAGAAACATATGGAGACAACCGCAAGCCGTGTTTTATCATTCATTCTTTCTGTACATTTTCGCATACGCATCTAGTCGTCTGTCTTTGTAGCATACATACATCCATACGTCCATACATCCATACATACCTATACATACACGCATCCACAGTCACATCTCTAATCTATCAGATTCTCATACTCGTTCTTCTTGTTCTTGTTCTATTTCTTCTTCTACTCCCCCCAGTTGTTCTAAAATAAGTGATACGACCAGCACGACCTCCCATTTTGTGATACTAGTGATACCCACCTCCGCCTCCGACTTGTAACTTTCTTCTAACCGCCCGGCCGCCCTTGATTCTTTGCTGGCCTCTGGCTCCTATTCTGCCATTGGTCCTTCATCGCTTTACGAGCCAACTCCCACTTTTGCGCCTTATTATACATTTACCCGCGAGTCAAGACATAGTTGCCTCCCGTTTTGAATCAGCATTAAGGACGCCTACGCGGCTAATATCAATCGCTGTTTTGAGAAGACTTGCGTCATCACCATGCCGGGGTTCACAGATTCTTTCTGGTCCACGGACTACGCCGCAGGTGAGCGCGATACAAACTAACATCTATATCTATTATCGTACCTGAAACTAACGATGCCTAAGGCCTGGGTGTCCTGTTCACCAAGCTCCAGCAGGGAGTCCAGGAGGATCGACAAATTCTTACGATCGCCCGAATGCGAGCCGAAGCTGAGGAAGTCTATGGCCAGCGACTTGGAGATATTGCGCCCGCAGCTGATAAGATTACCGGTGGCTTTTCGCGTGACGACGGCGCAAGTGTGCGAAAAGTACGAACTACCTCGTTCTTGGTACCCTTTTTGTAGGAACAAGCCCACTAACCTTAATTCTTATTTGTCTAGGCATACGATGGTGTCCGAACCGAGATGGAAGATGCGTCGAGGAACCATAAGAAGATTGCACAGAGTATCAGAGACTTGGTCGTAAATCCGTTTGCGCGATGGTGCGACGCCCACGAATCTCGCATTCAAGACTCCCAAGATGAGTTGCAGACCCGTATCAAAGCCCACGATCGCCAAGCCGAAGTGGTCAAAAAGCTGAGAAGCAACTACTTCAACAAGTGTCGCCTAGCTGAGGATTTGGAAGAGGAAAACAAGCTGGCTTTTCAAGATCCGGAGACGAGTCCTAAGCAAAGCCAGAACATACCCGAGATCAAGGTTTCGACGAATAAGGAAGAGGAAGATGATGAGGTATACGAGATCGGCGATGAGACGTACCAGACTGAGCAGGTTAAGAAGATACTGGCTCACATGCTTAGCACGATAAAAATGGGAGAGACGAAAGTGCCTATCCTTGGTACATATTTGAACACATCGTCAGGTTCTGACATAGTCGAGTACATGCAACGGCATATGGGTTCGACCAGCGTCAGCTACGCCGAACGAATCGGTCAGGATTTGGTGTCGAACGGCTTCCTTCGCCTTGTTGGCAACGTTGGAAATAACTTTGCGAACAGCTCGAAACTCTTCTACCAGTGGCGACCGAAGGCGTTCCAACTTTCAGGGGTGCCGGAGAAGAAGGCCACAATTTCTAGGACGTTCTCCATGCCGTCAGAGAATGGAAATGACTCTCCCGTGGGCACCGTTAGCGAATATCTATCTGGTTGGAATGTCCTCGGCAGCCAGTACCCCAACGAGACTCCCCCAGAGCGTCTCCGGCGCGAGGCGAGGGAGGCCGACGATAAATACAAGGCTGCTGTACGAAAACTCGACGAGATGCGCTGCGAACTGGAAGAATCCATCTTTGTGCATCTACGATTCCTAGAGCGTTGCGAGTTGGATAGACTGAAGGCTATCAAAACCGTTATTCTCGATTTTTCCGGTACTATTGGAAATGTCATTCCAAGCTTACAGTCTGCGGTGGATCGCATGGTTCTTTACCAGGAGACAGTGCAGCCTTCGGGAGATTTGCGATACCTGTTGGAGAATTATAGAACAGGTCGCTTTGCCCCCAAGGTTATCACGTACGAGAACTATTACAACAAGGTTGATGAGCAGACCTTTGGTGTAGATCTCGAGGCCAGAGCACGAGCGGACAAGAAGCGCGTCCCCATCATCATCACTACGATTTTGACGTATCTGGATAACCACTACCCGGATCTAGAAGGCGATGAGGCAAGAAGGGGAGTATGGCTTACAGACGTTCAACTTCCCCAAGTCCACAAGTTACGAGCAAAGATCAATAATGGCAAACCCTTCTCTCCTGACGCGCTCTCCGAATTCGACGTCTCTACTGTTGCGCATCTGCTGAAACTATATCTCTTGGAACTCCCTGGTATGATTTTACCCCTTTATCCTATCCAGGTAATTGGACTATTTTTTACAAAGACTAATCGGGATTCTAGATTCGCTTGTATCCTCTCATGTATATGAGATCATCAGGACCATCTACCAAACTCCGACAGCAGACACCACCGACGAAGCACGTATTGCTGTTCTACAGCAGACACTCTCACAACTACGCCTTACAAACATTGCAACACTTGACGCCTGTATGAACCACTTTACGAGACTAATCGACTTGACGTCAGCGGATGAGCAATACGTAACCGAACTTGCGACAACAATGGCTCCTTGTATCCTACGACCTCGTGTCGAAACTTCGTTGACCATGGAGGAGAAGCACGCTTACCGCTTGGTCCGCGATTTATTCGCACACAAAGATGCCATTTTCAGCGAACTAAAGCGCATGTCGAGTCTTACTCATTCAGGATCACTCAACAATAACAACAACAACCGACCACGAGCCATCAGCACGGACGAGAGCAACAGGAGAGCCCACATGGAGGAAAGGCAGCGTGCTCTCCTAGAGAAGGCAGGGGCGCGTGGTCGCGCCACCAGCCCGGCTCCCGGATCCCGCCACCGACGTGACAGGAGCACTGGCGGACCCGAGACCAGGTTTCCCATCGCCAGCCCTACGACGGCGAGCGAGCGTCACCGTAGTAGTCTCGGCAGTCTGAACACGGTAAAGCGGTCCAGCCTCGAGGTCCCCGATGGGAGCCCATCGTCAGAGACCAACGGCACAAGCGAGGACTCGCCAAAACAACATGTCAATGGCGACTCATTGATTTCAAAACGGGACAGTCTCGGCCGTAGCGGTGCGCGCTTCGTAGGCGGACGACGAGTCACGGCATCCAGAGCTGAGTCCTCGGCACTGGGAAGCGCACCTAGTACGCCCGTCAGCAAAGTTGCGGAACCGGACCGCGGCGTCACGCTCGTGGACGCGCCCATGGACGACTAGTAACGCGTGGGTCGGCTTACGAGATTATACGCCACGGATGGGTAATTACCTGGATAAGGATGGGGCACACGCCCAGAAGGAACACTTGCTTCGTTATACAACAGGCCTAGATGGATGTTTGTAAACGCGCGAGCTGTAATGCTTAATGTAAACATGTCCGCCTGTACGAAACCATTGTACTATGCTACGCTACGGCCTTTACGACACGGAAGAGAAGTAGATATCCCGAGCTAGAGATGGGTTTGCCTAGTACCCACTCCCTTTAAATAGGCCATCGTCATCTCTTTCTCACTTGCTCTCTTCCGAACCCCCCTTTTCTATGTCAGGTCCACTAGTTTCTTCTTTCAAGTTTTCTGGAATCGGTGCGGCAATTGTGGTTTGGTTCCCTACGACGATAGCACGCGCGTTTGTCGCGTTGTTTCTAAAATGGTGTGCGGCGGATTGGTGGTTTAAACAAGTGGTGGGCGCGGGGCCCAAGCAAGGCAAAAAAACAAAGCATAGCACAGGCTTGAATTGCTTTCTATTTATTTTTCTCTTTTTTCCTCCCTGCGCATACGCTTGTACGTTGACATGACATATTCGAATCTTGATCACATTAATCTTCACCATTCGCCTGCCTTAAAAACATGCTGTGTTTCGTTCGTATTGTGTCTGTATTGTTGCGTAATAACTAGTAGGGTCTTGCGTCTCAGGGGTCAGGGACTCCCTACGTAGATAGACAAAATGCTGTGTACACATGGGCATCGCAGTAGGTATATATAATATGATGTTTCAAACCGTAATGATGCATCGTAATGGTATTCCATCTATGTACCTATGAAGCAAAAATGCTCATGCCTATGCCCATACCCTACACACATGCTCGCGCTCATTCACACACACACCTCCACTTCAACCCGCCTCCGCATCATGGAACTCGACCGGTGGTTTCGCCTTCTTTTTCTTGGTCTTGGGCTTAACCACCGCCGCCACTTCTTCCCCCGCCGCGCCAGACCCTTCGTCTATCGTCGCCACCTTCTTCTTTTTCTTCTTCTTGACTTTCATCTCCGTCCCCGCTCCCGCGTCCCCATCATCTCCCGCCACGCCTTCTCCGTTCCCCTCAGTCGTATTTGCGTTTACGGTAGTAGTAGTAGTAGTAGCAGCAGTAGTAGCCTTCGGTTTCTTAGCCTTACCAGTCTTAGCGCCGGATTTCTTCTTCTTGACGACGACGGTGCCGGCGGCGTCGACGCCCTGCGCGACCTGTATCCGCTCGTTCGCGCGCTGCATCTCGAGCCGCAGGCGCTCGACCTCTTTCACGGCCTGCGCCATCTCCGCCTCCTCCCTCTGGCGGGCCTCGGGGTCGAAGGCCCTGGCGCTCGATATGTTGTCGTCGTCGTCGCCCTCGAGGTTGAGCGCGCCGATGCTGGTCGAGTCTACGCCTAGGAGCGACTGCTTGAGCTTCTTGCCGTGGGCCTTGGACGCTGCCGCCGCGGCGCCAGCGCCCGAGCTGTTCTCGGAGTCGTAGTTGCGGTTCGGCGTGCTCAGGCCGCTGCCCGCTAAGTTCTCGTCCGCCGCGACGACGATCTTCTGGCGCGGCGCGCGCCGGGCCGGCCTGGCCGGCTGGTGCGGTTGCGAGTGGTCGACGCCAGCGCTGAGTTTGTCGAGGTCGAGCTCCATGATAGGGATCGAGTCGACGTCCAGGTCTGGGCCGTTTGAGTTCTGGAGGATGTTATGTATAGGGGTTGAGGATCTCTGGATGGAATTGCTTTCCTGGATGTAGAACGGGTCGTCGCGGTTCCTCTCCAACCGCTCGGCTTTCCTTTTCGCTAATATGTCCGCGTCTAGGTACGTCTCCTCGGTAGGTTGTTGGTAGGAACCAGATGCCTCGTCACGACTGTCTGCCAGCTTGTTGATGGCCGGTTCGGAGACAATACTAGTCGGTGGAGGTCGCTGATAGTAGTAACTCTCAAATTCATCCGTTTCGTCGACCGGGATAGATATCGACTCGGCGGATGCGAGGAGGAAGTTCAGGTTTGGATTAATAGGTTCGTCGAGGTCTAGCCCTTCTGGGAGAGGAACATTCTTCTGCGCGGCTTGGGCGACTGAATTTAATTCCCAGCCAGAGAAAAGGGATGGTATTGCCTGTGTAAGGAGTAAGGGAGGATCTTGATAGACGGTTTCCGTCGAAGCCTCCTGGCTTGAGGCCGCTTCAGCTGTAAGTTTCAGCAGCTCTATGAATTCTACTGCTCGTTCTTGAACTTCGAGGTTCGGGTGGAGTGCTAAAGATTCGAAAGTATGGATGATGCGAGCCATGAGAAGTGAAATTTTCGATTTACGCTCGGGGGTCCAAGGAGTTAGTTGGTCTCCCGTAACCAGAGAAAAGACTTTCATACTCGCTTGAAGACAGGCTGCAAGAGACTCCGGAGATGGGGTCTTCGGGATGAGTTGTAACAGAGTTCCAAGAATATCATCTGGGGAAGATAAATCCGAAGAAAATTCCCCGATGATCCAAGCAACCGGTTTTAATGCTCCCGAAACAATAGGTTGTCCAATCGGTGTCTCGCCATTCAGCTGAGATAAGATCGCCTCCGCGGCTCTAACACAGATAGGACGAAGAGCCTGAACTTTGACGGTAATATTCCGCAACTCCCCACCTATTCTCTCGGATATATCCCCGTCATTTGATTTTGCTGGGACTGAAAGGGAATCCACATCACCGACAGGCCTTGGGAGCGGAGCGTTTCGAACGAGTTGTGTCAGTATATCAATATACCACTCGAAATCTGTTAAGTATCCATAGTTATTCTGAGAACACATGTTTAGTATCCTTCCGATAACGTCAATCCTGTAATCATCTGGAAGTGGCGGAGCTCGATTCGCTGATTTCGATACGGGGTCACTTGTTTTCTCGAAATCTTCGTCGTCCGAGTCTTCTGGGCTCATCCGTGAAGAGCTCGCTGCCCTGCGGTCTGCTGAAGACGAGAGCTTGAGTTGTCTCATGAGACGACTCACAATGGAGACTAGATTGTCGCCACTGACCATGCCCTGTACGAGATCTAGTGCTTTTATACGAATAGAGATGTCGGTGCTATCTATGCACTCTAAGATAACGTCTTCCTGTTGGGCAACTAGCCACGGATGAGTGATGACGATCTGATTGAAAGCGAGCAGCGCCACGTATTTCACTATAGCATATTGAGTCAGCAAATCTTACTCGTGAAAATCATGGTTATCCTTACAATTTGGATCGCCATCTATCATTACCATGCCTCGCAGCTTGTTAACACAGAGAGATGCGATCTCTTCTCTTCCATCTGCATCTTCGCCGCTTCCAAGGATACCACCTTGGATAATGCCGCTAATACACTCATATAATAAGGACATGGCCGGGGTCGTACGGATGATCTCCGTCAAAGGGGGTAACAGTTTTCGAACAAGCCTTGGCTCAAGCGGCGTCAAGGTAGCGAACTAGATCACGGTCAACCTCAAAGACAATACGGTAAACAATCTATGTTACCCACCAACTTGATCAATTTTATTGCCATCCAGTTGTTTCCACTATCGACCAGCAGCTCGAACAAGCGAGGCGCTAAAGGGAGAAAGTCGTGAGGCCGCCGCCATCCCAGTTCGCAGATGACATTCACGATAGCAGCCGTCACACTGGGGTCTTCAGCCCTATCCATGAGTCTATCCTTGATCCTCGGCCAGGCGGCACGCAGAGTTTCGGGATATACTAAGGCGAGCCTATAAAGTGTGACAATAGTCTTTTTTCGAAGGGCAGGATGGGTATGGTTGAGTCGTGGTAGGAGATCGGGTAGAACAGAGAGCGCGAGGGACGGGGTGATAACGTGCGGAAGGGTCACGATCGGAAGAGCGATGGTGGTCGTCGATGCTGCAGTCAAATCCTGGAGACGAGTTCAGTACCTCCCTTCTATTGAGTATCTGGATATCTATCGCAAAATCGCAAGCTCGCAAGATCGCAAGATCGCAAAACGGAGCCCCATACCTTCTTGAGGAGATTGGTTGCTAACATGAGAACCTCCGTATCAGGACGAAAGCTCTGAATAGCGCCTAGATATCCCACTCGCTTTTGATGGTATTTGGGAGAAGCCATAACCTCGAGTACATTGAAGGAAGCCCATGACATATCGTGCCCGAACATTTCGAGGTATATTAATTTTAGCAAAGCGGTCGCCTTGAGATCTATCACAGAGAGGTCTAAGGTTAGCTATAGTATTACTAAATCCACGAGAGGTTATAGCTAACCCAGGTCCTGGCTTCGGATTTCTGCACGACATTCTTTCAAGCAGTTTTGCATGTACTCTTTCTCGTTGCCTTTATGGTTCCTTAGACCTCGAATGAGGTCGTATAGCGACTTCTCGAACCTGTAATGAAGGATAAGATTATTAACGGCTGCGATCTATTATGGCTGGGTCACATACATGGTTGCCCAAATTGCACCCTTGCTGGTGCTGGCCGAGTGTCAGGGCAGTTTAGTAGAACAATCAGCTGTAGGTATTAGAATGCAGGTTCAAGATGTGCCTCAAGTAATTGATCATCTTGACAGCGTGATAGTAGCTGAACAAGATGTAGGCGTAGTAGGCGCAGTGGATGTGTCGTTCATCTAGGAGGTCGAGTCGTCGTTTGGTTTAATGCTGATTGGCATATTTTGTATGTGCAAGATGCAAGATGCAACATGAATGAGCTTCAAGGTTCAGATGTCAAGTCACGTCAGCGAACTTCGGCGCTGTTGATAGGCTCATACCTAGGTGCCCTAAAGCTATCCCCCACCAAAGTCTAACTTTAAGAGCTCCGACATAGACGGCAGAAGAAAGCCTCCGGCTCCGTGCTCCACATTGAAACTTACGTAAGAGCTTCCTACTATCACATTCATATGTCCACTTCCTCTCTGACCGCGCCTTAACCATTTACATCGCCTCATCCAGTTCAACCAACTCAACAAACTCATGCTAGACACTCAACGGACAACATTCTCTTTTTCATATAAAGCATCGAAACTTACATTTCACTGAAAACAAGAAGAAATTGGGGTTAGAATTGGGTCATTACTTCAAACATGTCCTCCTCATTACTTCATCCACCTAGTCACTTACCTCCAGCTACAGCCTTGCAACATTCACAGCAAGCTCCGACTATACTTGGAAATACTACCGGTGCCATTTCAAGCTCGCTTTTTCAGTCTCTCCTCTCAGCTCCGGAAACTCCTGAGTTGTGGACTACGTACGAGAATCTCCTATTATCATGTCTCCGGACTGGAGACGACGAATCAGCACATCAATGTCTAGGGAGACTCGTAAACAGATTTGGTGACGACAATGAACGCATTATGGCATTGAAAGGTATACTTAAGGAGGCGGACGCCGATGATTCCGCTTCATTAGATGCCGTTTTGAAGGAATATGACCAGATTTTACAAGACAATCCCACCAATATCGTGAGCGTCACTATTCATAATCTTATACATTGATACTAATACTGTCATTTTAGCCCATACTGAAGCGTCGCGTAGCACTTCTACGGTCTACTGGACGGATTTCAAAGGCTGTCGGCGCTTTGATATCACTTCTTGATATCTCACCTACGGATGCGGAGGCATGGGCCGAGCTTTCCGACCTTTACTTTTCTCAGGGGCTATACTCACAAGCCATATTTGCGCTTGAAGAGGTTCTTGTCCTCCAGCCAAATGCTTGGAATGTTAGTCTTCCTCTCTGCATACCCCAAGTTTCCCTTCATTAACTTGAGTCATAGATGTATGCCCGTTTAGGCGAGATATTGTATATTGCGTCGAAGTCGTCGGGCAACACAGGTCAATTAGTCGAGGCCCTCAAGCGCTTCAGCCGAAGTATCGAGCTGTGCGATGGTTATTTACGAGGTTATTACGGCCTTAAGCTAGTGGGTTTCCCCGGATATAAAAGCACATGAAAAATGACTGACTTGAATATCAAAGACTACGAAGCAGCTTCTAAGCAACCCCCAGGAAGCATTGCCAAATCGGACAGATTCCGATGAGTTCGCCGTACCTGATCGGACCACGCTTAACAGACTTGATGAGATGGCTACTGAGAAGCTAGCGGAGATCGTGCGGCGCAATTCGGCAGGAGAAAGGAGCTGGCAAGGATACGACGAAGCAGAGATCAAAGCGACCCGAGAGCTGCTTGAGGATGGTTCAAACGTGACCATTAGGTGAAGAGCTGTCGTTTATGATGGAACTGCTGCACGGCAGAAACTCAAGTGATCCGCGACGATGCCCACTTTAGCCTCACTCACATGGTCGAGTTCCTTGCAAGGTGTTGCAGGTCATTGCAAGTCATTGCAAGTCATCGTGCGACTAATGAAAGGGAGTTGCATCTGGCATATGCAAAAGGGCAAAACCACCAATTGGTGCCTTGGGTGGATTTCGTATCTAGAGGCGGTGGGACTTTAGGCATGCCGACGTGTCCAGTCTAAGCATGCAGTATGCTGGTTTAACCAACTACTCTACTGGATGGCTGTTCCTACAGTATGAATAGCACGTGGCACCAGTCGCGCGGATTTGGTTGTCATGAATCGACAAGGCGGCAATTGCAATTGAATGAGCAGGAACCCAGCATGTGGCTAGCATTATCTGAGCCGTAATATTTGGCGTGTATCTAGATCTGGGCGCACTACAACCGCTTAAATACCGTATTATAGCATGTATTTGGGCAGCAAAGAGTCACATCGTCAGGCATCGTCTAGCCGAAAGGAATCGAGGTCCCACAGCCAGAAACATCTAGGATGGGCTTAGTTGCAGACAAGTTTCTAGATCCATCTGCCATTTCCGCATTGGTCATAGTAGGGTTACTGTTCCTGATGCTTCTCGTCTGGGATTGGCTCTCTCCAGTTACAATGATGAAGATGTCTTGAACTCGCTGGCAATCTGCATAACCACCTTAGCGTAAGTCATCGCAGCAAACAATGCATTTGTCTCCATACCACCTTGAGGTAGGTATCTACTAGTCTCCTACGAGACCACGTATTTTTCTGATTTCAGAGGCCATGATGAATATGCCTAAAGATCGGAGGGTGAGAAAGTAAGAGGCCTTATTAGTAGTCGTGAACGGCCACAATATTTCAGCTATCGGCTGGAGAGCTTGAATTCATCGCAAAACAGGAAACAATATACTGATCACAACGTCGGCCCCGTCTTACAAGAGAACTGCCAGTCTTGGAAGATTCCTAGGCCATAAACCGCCCCCAGTGACCAATATTTGGTGATTCACCTCCAGTGACAGGAAAAGCTTACGTCGGACATGCGTTACTGGAATAAAGCCGCGGAAAGGATGACGGCCGGTCTACTGAACGCCAGAAACGCCAGGTTCTCGTCCCAATGTCTGCCACGGCCAAGCTCCGAAGGCCCCAGTATAAAGATGGTCCCTTATTATGGGTGAGATCGGATGATCGAAAAAGAAGAAAAAGAAGATAAAACCACAATCAGGAACAAGAAGGTTAAAAGACAGCTGGAGATTCGAGAGCCATAGGCGAACGATATGGCAGAGGAAGGATGTCACAGGACAGAGGCAACCAGTGAAGATAATGCTGTCGTGTTCGGTGTGAGTTCTGGATCGAGATCATTGGAGGTCTGCAAGTCTGCAGTTGTCTGCCCTAGCAACGCGCGCAGCGAGCGGTGTGGACCAAGTTCTCTTCCCTCCTACTCCGTACCATCAGCCCGCTTTAAGCCCAGCCCAGCCCAGCCCCTCATCGTCCACTTATTTGCCCTTCCTTCCTGGATTCCTTGTACACAGTACGGGCTTCATAACAATAATAAGCATCCGGACCTACTCGAATTCCACCAGATCCAAATCGGTTCCGGGATATTGACAAGTTGAAGATACCACCACTGTTGTTCCTGTTTTATTATTGTTTTTATATTTATTTTCCAACACATATCTATATCTACCTAGGTATATTTCTCTTTGCTACTGCCCTCCTCGATACTATATACTATAGATAACGCTATAGTCTCTTGCAAGGGGTGAATAGGAAAATAGGAAAGGAAGTGGATCACTCTTAACTTCAGCAGAGAATACACTATATGCGCCAACACGGCTTATTCTGGTGTACCGGTCAATGTACGTTGATATCCTTTTTGTATCGTTCAATTCGGGATTTCAAGTTGCATCTATTTCTTAGTAGTCATGTTATCATATCAACACAATCATCCCAAAGGTCAAGCTAGTGCTGCTACTGCTGCTGCTACTACCACTGCTACTCCTCAGCTCCCCGTTCGGAGGTGGGATCTACACGACGTCTTATGATGAAGGTTCTGGAGTAATGATGCCTACATGTGCTCCGTAGTACGGGTACGTGTATGTGTCTACCGTGTCTACCATGTCCACCATGTCCGTCTAATATTATATGTGTGTTCTGCGTGTGTAGGTGTAGTGTGCAGAGTGTGCAGAGTGTGCTATGTATGTATTAGTTCAGCAGCTTAGCCCCCATTTGGCCCTTGGAAAACCCCCTCTCTCTCCTGGGCTGTGTCACCCGTACATAGTACCCTGTTCCCCCTCGCTGACGACGGGATCGTAGGCTCTATTAGGTATTAGTGGCACTATTATAAGATCCCGACCGCCTTCCCTGTTTCCTGATCCCTCGGTCTCTTCTGACACACAATAATAAAAAGATTGTGGTCGGACGTGCTTGGTCGGGCTTGCGCTGTGGGATTTGACAGTGCACGCCGTGGACTCCCGTTTTAGCCCTTCGAGGCGAGAACGACATTCTCTCGCATAAATATTTACGGTGACATACGACAACGACAACGACGACAACGACGACAACAACAGCAACAGCAACCACGACAGCGACGGCGACGGAACCCACGCGGTTTCTTGTTTCGGAGTACTAAGAAGGGTAAGTGCTGTCTCGTACCTTCCATTGGTTACATTGTATGTGTTTTGGAAAAAAAGGACACCGGTTTATCGCATACCTTCTACGTACATACCTAACCCGAGTTTCGACTCACCCCGCCCAGCACCCACTTTCTACACTTTCTACCAGTTGAAATTCCACACAGATCACACACATTGGACACACATTGGAAGCTTTCCTTACCGGGCAGAAACCCAATTCGATCCCTTTGCGCCCAACTGATTCACTTCTCATTGGAAGACCCGGGCAAGGTCCCCCCCCAGACGAATTATCTACCGCCCAATTGTTCACGGCGGATATTTCTACTTCTACAAAATCACTTCTAAATTTCTCAATCCTAACCCAAATATATCTTTCTGAATTGCTCCGCACAATCATACACAATCGCACAATCGCACAATCGCACACTCTCGCGAACACAAAAATCCACTTGCATCTTTCAACAACACCAATAACATCTTGCGACCACTACTGGCTGCTATACTCACACCCTTCGCTACCTACTCCCTGCTGCTGCTGCTGCGTAAAGAGCTACGTTGGTTTACTGACAGCATCGATCCTCAGAGACACGCTGGTTCCTTCGTACCACTTCCGTTACTCGAGGTCCGGTGCCTATGCGCTCGCGACACCGATAACGACATCGTTTAGTTCGGGAAGCTGAACTACAAATCAATCTATTAACGTAACGTGAGGTTGGTAACCCGACTAGCCGCCGACCTCCCTTTGCTCCGACTTTCCGAGGCAGGTCGTGGAGAGCAGAGGGTACCTTAGCAACAAATCATCACCAATGTCGTGAGTGGCGATCGTCTCCTACTCTGTCTACCTGTTCGCCAATTGACCTCACTTTAAGTAGTCGAAGGCAGACGCATACTCCGTATCCCAGTATACGCCACCACAGCCATACCGGCCCTATCTCGATCGACAATAGCTACACAGACGACGAGGACGAAAGGCCCAGTGGAGGGTCGCACGATCAGGAAGACGACTGGTCGGACGAATACAGCACTGAGGAGGACGACGAAGACGATTACGAGGAGGACGACATAGATCCAGAGGACTCAGCTTCAACTAATCCCGCCGCAAGACGTCACCACCCGGACGTTCGCGCCCCTGCACGTTCTGCATCACAGCAGCACAGGAGCGTCGCACACAGGCCGCCTTCTAATTACGACCCTCGGCATCCGCCGAACACATCTACCCTGGATTCTTCAGAGTACAACTACTACCCCCGGGGGGGCGCGTATCCGGGTGACCCGTACTACGGTGGTGCCCCGGGTGGTCGCGGTGGTTACCAGCAGAGCCACGTAGGCGGTTATGGTCACCCGTACGCCGGAAATGGGCAGGTTGTGCCGTATGGCCCTAACTATCAAAACCCATTCGCCCCCTCGCCCTTGAGTGGAAATGGTGGGAATTATTTCAATGGTGACCATAGGTGGCCGCCTCCAGGTAACGAAATGATGCCCTTCGCCGGCGGCGCTGCCCAAAACTACTATGGTGGCCCACCATATCCTCTGCCGCATGGGATGGCACAGTATCAATGGACCCCTCCCCCACCTCCACCGACTGATATTGGTCAACCTCGAACCCCAGCTCCGGAGCAGCCTCCTCCTCCTCCAAAGGAAGACCCCGAAAAGGAAGCCATGAAGAAGAAATTGGCGGAGATTGAAGCCGAGCAAAAGAGGAAAGAGGCGGAGGCTAAGCAGAAAGAGCTCGAGGCCCAAATTAGGAAAGAGGCAGAGATGGCATTCCAGCTCAGAATGGATCAGATAAAGAGGGAAGAGGAGGCCCGGGCCGAGGAGAGGAAGATTGCCTTAGAGAAGGCGAAAAAGGAGATCGAGGAGGCTAAAAAGGCCGCGGAGATCGCAGCACGAGAAGCCATAGAGCAAGAAAGGAAGGCCGAGGCAGAGAGGAAGAAGAGAGAGCAGGAGGCAGTTGAACTAGCTGAACGGAAAGCACGCGACAAATTGGAGGCCGAAAGAAAAGCCGAAGCAGAGAGGCAGAAGAAGGAGGCAGAGGCTTTGGCTCGCGCAGAAGCCGCCGCCCAGGCTAGAGTAGAGGCCGCCATCAGGCAAGCAGAGGAGAAGAAGGAAAAGGCAGCGAAAGAAGCAGCAGAAGCAGCGGCACAGCGAGAGAAGTTTGAGAAGGAAGCTAAAGAGAAAGCTGAATTCGAAGCTCGCAAAAAGGTCGAGGCAGAAGAGGCGGCCAAAGTCGAGGCTGCGAAGAAGGTCGCAGAAGAGGTCGCAAGACAAAAGCGATTAGAGGAAGAAGCAAAAATCAAGGCCGAGCTCGATGCCCGTAAAAAGCTTGAAGACGAGAAGAAGAAAGAGGAAGAAGCCAAAGCCGCCGAGGAGGCCAAGAAAAAGGAGGAGGATGCGCTCAAGAAGAGGCTTGTAGAAGAAGCCAAGGTAAAGGCCGAGCAGGAACAAAAGAAGAGTCTTGGTAAAGACAAGGCGCCCATACGATTCAAAGACGCAGTCGGGAGGAAGTTCAGCTTCCCTTATCATCTATGTCAAACCTGGCAGGTAAGTAGCAGATGCGCATCTCTACCCAAAGCCACATGCTAATTCATCTCATTTAGGGTATGGAAGAACTCATCAAGCAAGCGTTTATCCACGTCGATGTCATCGGTCCCCATGTACAAGCTGGGCACTATGATCTCATTGGACCAAACGGTGAGATCATTCTTCCCCAGGTGTGGGAGAAGGTGATTGAACCAGATTGGGCTGTCACAATGCATATGTGGCCAATGGACCAACGACCTGCTGTTCCAGGGATGGCACGCCCTCAAGGAGGACCGCCAGGTGCAATGCCGGGTCGGTTCCCACCACGGGGCGTTCAGCTTCCAGGCCATCGTCCAGCCGGCGGGCCCCCTCCTCCTCCGGCGGGTCACACCGCTGGTATGATGGGTGGCATGGGAATGGGTGGCGGCATGCCTAGACCGGGACATCCACAAGCACAACCTCATATGACGCCGGGTGTGCAAGTCGTGCAGGTCAACAAGCCTCCTGGACCTAAGAAGGCGAAGCCAAAATCGACCGGGGTGCTCGGTTGGATAGGCGGGGGCGCTGGAAAATCCACCAAGACTAAGAGGTCAGTAGTAACGTCTCTCGTATTCTGCGTCACTTAAACTAACAGATCGATTTGTGATAGTAGGCCCAGACATTAAAAAATTCTATTCCTTGCGATGAATTTCAAGGCACTGAGACGAATACTTTTCTTCATCTCTACCCAATGCCTATCTTGTTGGAACACCAGTCCTCACCTCAGTCCAATCTCTCCTATTTCGTTTTCGAGGAGTTTTGCGTGCTGGCCTTCGATAACTGATTCTGCATTATACCCCGGCTCGAGATGAGATTCTCTTTCAAAGCGGCATTTTCGCGGGCTTTTTCCTTCGAGCACTTGTTGTGGGCAAAGCAATAATTTAGGATCAAATTCCACCACTTCGATGCGGTAGACCTGTATAATTTCGATTACTGCCGGATTTTGCATTTACAACTATACTATTTTTCACGTCGGATGATGATGTCTTTTTACGCCGAGAATGATGGGATGTACGAGAAGGGAAGACAAGTATATGGATGTTTCAAGATGGCGAGCATTTACTTGAGATTTAGCTAACCATATTCTCGGACGGCGTCGTGAATGAGAAAGATTGGGCGAGACAAAGATACATCGGACTGATCTATTACATATCTAAATTAGGAGTTATCGTAGGCTAGGTATTGAATTGAATTGAATTGAGAATTAAACTCGATATGGTCTTTTTATTGATGGTGAGATGGATTTTGGTCTAGGGTCTCCATGTCTTTTTTCCTTTCTCTTTTAAAACATATATACAACACATTGGATATAGTCAAGCCTAGGTTATGACTAGCCAGTGCTCGTAGGTAGGTCTCTGCCGGATTTCACCCAGCAGCAGAGCAACTCTCGCCCGCTCGTGGGATGGCCCGTCAACTCATATTACATCATTACATCGTACAGACATCAGCGATTCGCCTTTGTCGATCAGTCACCGCAAGGCTTCCGCGCTCTTCTTCTTCTCCCCTTTCCCCGGGTCCCCCAAGATCCGCCTCGCGCGCTCGACGAAGGCCTCCACCATGACGGGCGCCACCTTGTCGGCGACGGCGGCGCTGACGGCCATGTACAGCGGGTTCGCGAACTGGTACCGGATGCTGAGCCGCACGTCGCTCCACCCGGCGGCGGACTCTTCGCCTACCCCGCCTCGTCCCGATGAGGCCGGCGTCACCGTCCACCGCGTCACCAGGCTCTTGAACACGCCGCCGTCGTCGTCCTCCCCTGATCCCGGGCTTGAGGTTGGGGAAGGGGAAGGGGAAGGGCCGGGGTCGACGAGCCCGTATTTCCGTAGCTCCGAGGCCGGGATCAGGGTCCGCGCGTCCCCGCTGATGGCTTCTACGATCCCGAGCGCCGGGACGCAGAATAGTCGGCTCGTGTACGTCTCCTGGAAGCCGCCCCAGCCGGCGGTTAGGTCGGCGCGCGTGGGCCAGCGCCGGGAAGAGGGGCCCTGAGGATCTTGGGGATCTTGCGAGGGAGAAGGGGAGGAGGAGGAGGGGGTGGTCCAGTGAGTCACGCGCGAGGTCTGGCAGTACGGTAGGAAGGTGACGTAGGAGTCGACGTCGGCGATCAGGTCGTAGAGCTGCGTGTGCAGGTAGGGCAGGCGCCGGGATGCGGTGAGAGTCTGTGGTGGAGGCGCCGGGAGGGTTATGAAGGTGCGCCTGGGAAGTTGAAGTTGGAGTTGGAGCGTCCGCGGTGTGGAGAGGAGCCGGCGGGTTGGCGTGAGGGTGCGTGCTGTCGACATCGGGAGGTGGGTTTGGGGTTGGAACCGGAGGGTTGAGGAGAGTTCGAGTTGGGTGGTTAGTGGAAGGGAGGTCGTGAGATTGGTGGAAACTCTACAAATTCTATAATGATTCCATTCTAGCCTATTTTCCCTTCTATCCTTCTAAGACTGAAAGCACAATGGGTAGTATGGTAAGATGTAGACGCTATATTCAGAGAAATATGCGATTGATTAGATACGGTGACGTCTGAATTTGGATCAGCCACAGAAAAAGGTCCGCTCCGATTAGATTATCGATAAAGACTTATCGAGCCAGCCACACACACCAGCTCCGCCTTAAATTTTCCCAATTTTCTTTGAGTCCCCTCCAAATTTTTTTTTGCATTGTTCGTCCACTTCTCCCACGAGCTCTAGGATTTACACCTAGTTCCTAGCATGCTAGGGAGGAGGCACCTCCAGTTGCAAACTTGTAGATTTGTGAAAGGCTTCTGCCGACGAACGCCTGCATTACGATCCTTCGCAATGGCTTCTGCGACAGTTGATCATGCAGCTGCGCCGGTTGATGAGTTGTCGGCTGAGGTCAAGGCGCTGACGGTGCAAGAGGAAAAGGCGCCCGCGACTGAGTTACCTCCGCACCGGAGTCATGATCCTAAGAATAACACAAGGAGAAGCGATCCCTTCCAATTCGGACAGCGCGTCCTCCAGGAAGACGACGACATCTTCGAGTTCAACGCCTGGGATCATGTGGAGACTGACGACGCCTATAAGGAATACGCAGAGCAGCAGTATGCCATGCAGCGAGAGTCGCCAGTCTCCGACTTCGACAAAAGTGAGTCGACATTTTCTTTTCATTACTCTCCTGGTGTTGTGATGATACCCCAAAATGCATAGTTCATCTGAATCTCTCTGATGACCAACTTACATCAATTCTTTCGCTCCCATCTGACGCATCTTACCTATCCAACTTCGATACTACTATCTTAAGTTGAGATCCCTGCTGACAAGCTTGATTGCAGATAGATTCAACTCAGACCCTGCGAAGTGGTGGAACCTCTTTTATAAGAATAACACTGCTAACTTCTTCAAGAATCGCAAGTGGCTACAACATGAGTTCCCCATCCTTGCCAAGCTTACCGCTGAAGATGCCGGCCCGGCCACAATACTGGAAATAGGTGCTGGTGCTGGCAACACAGCGTTTCCTATCCTGGCAAGCAACAAGAACCCCAAGCTGAAAGTGCATGCTTGTGATTTCTCCAAGAAGGCCGTTGAGGTGATGCGTAGTCATGAAGAGTATAATACCGACTTCATGCAAGCCGATGTATGGGACGCCGCCAGCGAGGAGCTCCCTCCCGGCCTCGAGGAGGGTAGTGTAGACGTTGTCTTTATGATCTTCATATTCTCGGCTCTGTCCCCGAAGCAGTGGGAGCAAGCCGTCCGGAACGTTCATCGGGTGCTTAAGCCAGGCGGCGAGGTTTGCTTCCGCGATTACGGCAGAGGTGATCTAGCACAGGTCCGATTCAAGAAAGGACGATACCTGGAAGAGAACTTCTACATTAGGGGTGACGGCACGCGAGTCTATTTCTTCGAGAAGGACGAGCTCGAGCACATTTGGTCCGGAGCATCGATAGTTGATAAAGAAGGAGCAGAGAGTGAAGAGACTACGGACACTGGGGAGTCAGAGGCAAAGATAGAGACGAAGCAGGCTTTGTTTGATATAGAGCAGCTTGGCGTCGATAGAAGGATGGTGGTAAATAGAGCGCGGCGGATCAAGATGTACCGCTGCTGGATCCAAGGCCACTTTCGAAAGAAATAGAGAATATCTTGTCAAACGCACTACTTCCCTCCGTTATGTGGTCTGGCCTTTCGCCATCCGACTTTGCCATGTGACAAGGTGGTTACCAATGCTACGGCTTCATCGTTTCTTCCCGCAAGCCTACGCACCTAACACTTCAACGAGCCGGCGCCTCTCGGATGCATCAAAACCTACGCCATCCAAGTACCCGTCGACACCGCCGTACTTGACGTCTATGTGCTCGACCACCTTCGCCACGAAATCCGGCGACGCGTCCCCCCACTCGGCGGTCAACCCGATCTCCCGGATCTCCGCGAGCCGCGACTCCCGCTCGGAGGAGAGCCCCGCGCTCGAGAGCATGTAGTCGTGGTCTATCGCGGGCGCGGGCACGGAGAGGACCATGAGAATCAGGGCGACGACCAGGCCCGTCCGGTCTTTGCCCTGCGTGCAGTGCACTAGGAGGGGCGTGCTGGAGGGCGCGAGGAAAGTTCGGAGGGTCTTTTTTGGGGATGCGTGAGCGGGGTGGATATTTGTGTGATATGTGGGTGTGTTTGAGCGGAGAGAGAAGGGAGTGTGGGAAAGTAGGGAAGTAGGGAGGTAGGGGAGAGGATACTTACATCGGCGATCTCGGCACCGGACTCGTCGATGGTGACGAGACCGAGACCGACGAGGCCTCGCGGAAGGAGCACTTCTTGGCTTATGAGGCTGATGGCTTGGGTGCGGTAGCCGAGGAGGAAGAGGAATATTAGTTTGCTATGCGTGGTGTGGAGGTTGTTAACTAACTTGTTATACGTATATGTACCTATCTATCTTCCCCTGCGGCGGCTTCGGAGGCGCGGGGAGAACTCACAAGTAGTTACACCACGAAAGCTGGCTCACGAGGAACTTTTCGAACCGCCGGCCCGTTACCTTGATCTGCTGATATCGCAGGCCCGGGATCTGAACGGATTCCGACGGGGCGTTTGGTTCTGGTAAATTGGTCTGGGAGGCTTGGCGTTTCTCAGCTTGCTTTAAGTGTTCGGTCCCGTTTGGATGTTAATCGGATCTCTTGTGTAGACGGACGGCGACAAAGGTTTTCGCTTACTTGGTCCGGAGATCCACGACCGTTTTGATGCCAAACTCATCTCTGAGCCTCTTGCGGTCCTCGGGGGACGCATCGTCTATGAGTTAGGGCGTGAGCACACCAGGTACATGTAAGGCTCAAGAGCGCAATTCAATTGCTCTCACCTGGTCTCGCGGATCGGTATAATACGCCTTCTCGAACTAGCCTAAGCCGATGGTTTAATTATATTCAGCCCAAGCCCCCACGATGGATAGGAGCTTTGGCTCACTTTCGGCCGAGATAATCGTTGACCGTCTTTCCGACGTCTCGGAAGTTGAGGATGTTGTCGAAAGTGACTGACATCTTATTCCATCAGAGGTACTTAGGTGAATTGGTGATCTGATTAACAAATTTTGATAGAGCAATAGGTATGTACAAAGGTAAATATGTATTTGCACATCAATAATACATGCACTTGTATGGAAGAAGTGCTACGGATGAGTGAGTACGGCGGTGCACAGGTGTGGCTGATATCTAACGTGGCGCGTCGAGGTCATACAACCCCCTAGTTTGGCCGCCAAGACGAAATAGAACCCATCATCTCACTTTCTCTCTATGATTATCTCATTTGTTTCAATCGAATAATGAAAATGTCACATTGAGAAGCATCAAGACAATGGCATTATGCATAATATGGAATTTTGATTTGTTTAGCTTGACCCCCTGAGCCAAACGAAGGAATGGTTTCTAATTCACCTAAACGCATACTTAGACGAGCTTACTTCGTTCAACTCAGACTAATTCCATTTCCGATCTGGATCAATTCAAGAACCCAACAACTTAGCCTTGCGTTTCTGAATCGTGTGGTAGTACTGGAGCAAACCCGGAGTGGCACCCGGCTGATCCTTGCCCTGGTAATTACCCAATCCTCGGCCGTTGAAATGAAGTTTCCAAGCTATCGAAGAGTTAGGATCCTTTTTGTAGATAATACCACAAGTTTTGAGGAGGGAGGGAACTTACTACTAGCTTCGAAGCAAAGGTAGGACCAGCTGTCGTTGAGATAGTTTGTGTCGGTGCCCACTTTGATTGTCTTTACCTTACCCATCTCGCCAGGCGCCGGACGCAGTTCCTTGAGGTCGGCCGCGAGCTTCACCATTCCGGTGATGAAGGACCGGGCTATCTCTTTGGCAAGGCATTCGTGCTGGCCGTAGCTGAAAGAGGTGACGGAATCCGTCTTACGGTGCGGGTCAAACTCGTGAGGGTTAGGTACCTCCGCTGGGTTACGTCCGGCCTCGCCCTTTGATATAGTCAGTAACTTCGCTTTTCGTTCACAATAGAAGCGGAGACCGTCTTAGTATCTTGAAAACTTACAAGTAACATGACTACAAGGTTGCCGGGCTCGATCGTCTTTCCTTCGAGCGTGGCGGGCTGTGTCGCGACCCGCATGTTGCGCTGCGTACTCGTGAGACGCTGAGCCTCGACTACGTAGGCATAGAGTTCCGCGTCGTTGTTGTCCTTCGCGAGTTTCTGGACTTCGTTCCAGATATGTTCGTTCTCCTTGCGGAGGAAGAATTCCATGACTTCATAGTACTAGGAAATAGTTAGCACAATAAACCATGTTCAGTTTTTGTCTCTAGTACTCACAGCGGTAACTGGGACGCCGATGCCACCGAAGGCGTTGAGCCACATGGAGTCGGTCACTTTCTCGGCCGAGTAACCCTGCGCTAGCAGCTCCTGGACGAGCTTGTAGCCGCAGGAACGCAGCGAGTCTTTCTTGAGATCGCGCTTCCGGGCTAGGTCGTTGACTACATTGGAACCTAGGCTAAACAGGGTGCCAGAGTTGTGAGCTACCTCGTCGACGAGTTTGCGGGTCGATTCGATGACAGCCTTGGCTCCCTCCTGCGCGCGGCGGCGACGGTTCCAGGACTGGGCCGGGTCTGTATTGTTCACGCCCCAGGTACGGATGTCAAGGAGTTTTCCATACAGCTTGGCAACACCGAGAGTTCCATTCGGATTCTCGTCGGTACGCAAGTCGAAGTAAAAGAGGTCGGCGAGAAGCTGCGTGTTCAAGGGGATTGCGACGTCGCGGATCAGGTCAATCTGATCCAATCCTTCCTTAAGAGTGAATCTCTCCTTCTCGATCAGCTTAAAGCCGACGCGCTGTACGAACTCGTTGACTGCAGTGCTTAAGTTCGGGATCTTGCGGATCGCCTTCAGCGTATTGGCACGATCGTCGAAGTTACGCTGCTCATCACCTGCTAACATGTACCAGCCGAAATCCTTTTTGCCGGGGAACAAGTTGTTGAGGGGCTGAAGCCAGGGCACTACAAATTGCTTGGGTTGGCCGAGCACCTGTTTGATAGCCTCACTAGTCATAACCACGACTGTCTTTCTTGGAGGCTTCGGGTCGTCGAGAGTGTACTGGTCCATAGTACCAAGCTCTTTGGCAATCTTCTCGTTGGCCTTCTTGGTGTACATTGGTTGCATGACGGCCACCGAATTAAAGGGGAACCAGCCGGGAACGCCACGCTGAATGAGTTTATATAGCATCGACCCGCCCAGAGTCTTGTTGTCAGACTGGACCTCGTTGTAACCCCAGCTGGTCAGATTCGAAACCGTGTAATCGAGAGTGTTGAACCTATCTGACCGCACGAGCGTGACAGCATCAGACAATACAGCTCTACCTACCGAGTAGGTGGGGGAGATGCCACAGCCTGTATTCCGGATTGGTTTGGCATCCTCGATCATAAGACCAGGGTACAATTCTACCATATCAGGGTCGGTATATAGCTTCTCCAGGATATTGGCGATCTCTGGTTCTGAGTTGATGTCGGTGAACTTTTCGTATCTCTTAAGTCCAAAGAACTCCCGGAATTCGTTCAGCGACGCAACCTGCCATTTGCGGGCCTGGTTGATACCCAGAATCTCGATGATCTTGAGGGCCTTCGGGATGGTGCGGGCACCGAAGACGCCGGCAGGATCATCCATTCCCTCCTTGAGAATGCGTACAAGGTCTTCGTCCTTGAATTTACCATTTTCCTGGCGCTTTAAGTCGTCAAACGTGCGCTTGCTAGGATCCTTGTCAATACTCTGCTCAAATTTAAGCAAGGCGAGGCCGAAATCCTCCAAACTGACAGTCGACAAGTCCTGCGTCTTTCCTTCGGGGAACAGCTTAAGGAAGAAGTTGTTCATCCAGCGCTCGTCTTTCTTGGAGATACACGAATGGAACCTGTACAGCAAGTTGAACTCGGCGCTGACTTGGTTGCCGACTCCGCGCGGTGCACCTTCGCCATCAAACGCTTTAATGTCGACACGTGGATCCAGAGTCCAGTCACTCTTGGAGTGATGCGTGTTCGTGATGGCGCGGAGGTAGTCGTGTAGGGATATGTTTACGTACAGCCCGCCGACGATTAGACGAGCCACGTTGAAGAGATCGTGGTCTTGTCTAGCAAGAGCTCGGGCCCTCTCCTCCGGAGTAGGCTTGTCCTTCCCGTCACACTCAAGCGTGAACCGGCCGTTCTCATTGATCTGCAGCAAGACATCGCAGACGTAGTTGTGAAAACGGCTGTAGAGGACTAGCATAACATTGACTCCCGCAGGTTGCCCGAGTAGCCGTTTCTCATGGAAGGTGTCAGGCTTCAGCTTACCCCCCTGCATAGTACGGATCTCCAACTGATCCTTGAGAGACGAGCCATACAAAGGTGCTAGGTCAAGATATGACGACGTGTCGGACCTGTTAGGGTCTGTACGGTTCGTGCGGAAAATATCATGAATGATGATGGACGCGTGATAAAAGAACATAGCTGAAATGCCAGCTGGGTTTTCTATGAAATGCTGATCATCACGAGCCATCAGCAGGTCGAATAGCAGACCCGGATCAGGCTTGACACCATGAAGACGTTTGGTGTTCCTGACCGTCTTGGCATAGGGAGCGCCTGCCCTTCCTAGGTTGGGTTGGATTGGATTGTTATAGCTTCCATCAGGCGTCCGGTAATGATGAAGACCATCGGGTGCTTGGGGGACATGCTCGCGCAGGGTGACGTCGCTGTCCGGTACCTTGAACTCGATGGAGTCGTAAGTCTTAGGGTTGGAGTTCTGAGACTCTTGAGAGTTGACAACCTCATACTTGACATCACCGCCGAGGTAGCTCAGTGGCGGATGTTGAAGATTGTCCCAAAGGGTGTCAATGAGCGTGTTGGTGAGCTGAGTCCTGATGTCGGAATCGGAGGGTAGGGATGTAAGGATTCCGATCAAGAGTTCGGTGTTTCTGTTGCTCGTTAGCGCTGCTTGGTCTCAAACACTGCTTCTTGCTTACCCCTTTTTGTCATCAAGAGGTCCCTTTGATACTAGTTCCTGGAGGAGATCAGCGATTTGCTTAGGAGACGCCTCTTTCCGAATGCCACTACAGTCTTTCAAGATATCGTTTGCAAGCTTCAGTGGATCAGCAAAGATATCAGACTTCTTATCGTCATCTCCGTACGCCTCGCCGGCTTGATACTTCGTTTCAAAATTTGACATGGCTTATTCTGACTTAGTTCTGTCCGCATGAGGAAAATAGCAAAGTACACCAAACATACGAAAACCCAACCATCTCTATATATGGCCAACCCTGTCCGGAATCTCGACTTAGACGATTGCGGGGGTCCTCATCTCTCGTACCCTTAGATGTTCAACAACGCAGCACTGCCCTCTTTACTTTTCTTCTCGATCCCCAGCAGGAAGGGCGTCGGTGGCTTCGGCGACAGGTTGTGGATCTGCAGCATTTTGCTGAAGCCCAGGTCTCGGCTGGCATATTGAACAGGACGTTACCGCAGCATAAAGTGCCGAAACAGTATGCAACCTGCAATGATGAGGGCTGAAAACCTCCCATGGCCACCAATTGGATGAATTCTATAAGGGATCACGGCGTTTCCTTTGAGATCACCTGAGCAGTGACCGCATAGCCAGTCCTACACCGGCACGGGGAGGAGGAGGAAGCTCCAGTCGGTAAGAATAAATTAAGATTAATGAATGCAGGTGGCGTCCATTGACTGCTGAAACTCCAATGAATGGTCATCACGTCGCCAATGATTGGCTGATATTACTTACCCCATACAATAACGGCCATGAACGACAGTCTTACATCTGCTAGTGTTACACAGCCTTATATTAATGCGGGCATACACGAAATCTACTCAGATGAGCCGAAGTGGCTTGTTATATAGCAGCTGGAAGGACCGCCGAGAAGCTAGGCTCGCCACCCCCGAAGGGATGAGGGTTGCCGCGCCGGCTCCATGCTTACCTAGGTGCATATCGGAAGACTTTACGGAAGCCCAGTGGAGATTGAATGACGCGTGGCGACCTGAACTACCAGACGAGGACATTGATAGCTCGAGAGATCCAGATTGACTATAACATTACTTTTCTCTAATGCTGAGGGGTCGGTGTGTAGCATATCCATATGGTGTTGCTGATCCGAGAATGAGCAACAAGGTTGTCTCACAATCACATCATTGATTACAAGGAATAAGCAAAAGAATTATTGGCAGAAGCTCGGTCGGCATGTTCAATGTGAGTGTGTTGACATCGAGGAAGGGTGGGTGGTGTTTGGTAATCTGTAGCGCGGATGTTAAATGTAGTTGTGAAGCCATTAAGGGGGGATTTTCTTACTTAACCACGGAAGTCTTTGACTTCAGATATCGAAAGTACCCCTTCACAGACATAGTATATTCCATATCTTTACTGTCAACATGCCTTCGGCCACTACCAGTTTCGCCCATGGTGAGGACATCGAACCCAACACTCAACATATGGAGAACGGTACCACTACTGCTGATAATTCAAACGGGGGCCGGATACCCAAGAAACTCGTCCTCTGTTTCGATGGCACTGGAAATTCCTTCACTGGATCGAACGCGGATACCAATGTGGTCAAGATTTTAAGCGCTTTGGATCGTAACGATCCTCACCAGTTCCATTATTATCAAAGTGGGTGTCTTTTCTAACCGTCAGATGATTCGCCTCTTATGGATTCATTAGCTGGTATTGGTACGTACGATGTAAACGATACCTCGGTCAACAAGTCATGGTTTGGCGAGTTACGGAGTTCCATCTCGCAGACCATCGACCAAGGTATCGGGACAACGTTTGACGCGCACGTTATGGCCGGGTATCGATTTCTGATGCGGTACTATGATCCTGTAAGTAACCTACCTGATAATACGAGCTCCCGTCACTTACAGTTTACGAAGGGCGACAAGATCTACATGTTTGGGTTTAGGTGAGCACGCGGAACTCCTCATTCCTTTTCGTAGTCTATTTCAAGACACTCTAGCCATTCGTATCTGCTCGAATGGTGTCGGGGGATTTATAAGCACCGTCCTGCTCAAAACATCCTAGGGAAAACACATTCTAACCCATGGCGTGATATAGTCGTGGTGCTTTCACGGCTAAGTTCCTAGCACGTATGATCAACACCGTGGGACTACTCTGCAAAGGTAATGAGGAGATGGTGCTCTTCGCCTATAGACTTTATCAGCGCTATCTAGCAGGCGAAACAGATAATTTTCAGAAGGGAACCATGACGGCTAACACAACCGGAGGTGAGACGGAACCGCTGCTGCAAGACAGAGTGCTCGGGGACGACGCGGACAATACGGACGATAGCCATCACAAACACCATAAACACAAGCATCGGATGGCACGTGACGAGATCACTGCTTTTAGTAGCACATTCTGTCGGAAAGAACCGACAATGCACTGCGGAAAGCTTGAGGAAACTAATATCAAAGTTTACTTCCTTGGTATCTGGGATTGCGTGAACTCGGTGGCGATCCTAGAGCGCAAGACGCCGGTACCTGTGCCGGTAAGGGGCACTGCGCATTATGTTCGGCACGCCGTCGCCGTTGACGAACGCCGTGTTAAATTTAAGGCCGCACTTCTCGCCCAGGACATCCGCATCTCGACACACGACCATGAGGATATTAGAGAGGTCTGGTTTCCAGGTTGCCATGGCGATGTCGGCGGCGGTTGGCCCGCTACCACCGGCCATCCGCTGGACAACAACGAGCATATGACCATTTGGGAACGCATCAAGAACTTCTGGACGACCCGAAAGGCTAAGGAGCCTAGCAAGGATGTCTCCAAGGACCAATTCCAGATGAGCGATATCCCGTTGGCGTGGATGATACGAGAGCTTGAGCTGGTAGGTGAGAAAGATCCTTCTGCAGCAGTCAAATGGAGTGAGGGTGTCAACGGCTTCAAGAAACGGTTCAGCAAACAGAAGAACAAGGATCAGGCCCTAAAAGGGTTCATGCATGATTCGCTGCGATTCGGCTATGGCACGGGCTTCATCGGCGTGTTGCTTTGGAAGCTGATGGGTAAGCATATGTCGACCATTCTGCAGGTCCCGGCGATGCTAACTCGAATAGAATGGATACCGTTAATCACTCGCTGGGAGCTTGACCACGATCGGAACGAGTGGCTCAACGTCCGATTCCCACTCAATAAGGGTAATACGCGCGACATCCCACACGATGTCGTCTTACACGAATCGCTGCTTTGGCGCTTGAAGAATGACCCCACCTATCGACCGAGGAATAATCACGGCGGATCGTTACCGCCATGCTTAAAACACGATATCCAGGTCGAGCTTATCGACGACCAACCGCAGAAATTGACAGACATTGATGCCGGAATCGATGCCTTCGAAAGCTCCAAAGGTCACGATCATGAATTCCTCCATCACAAAACATACAGGCTCGTAAAATCAGACGGTGCTGATTGAGTTCGCCTGGGACGGGCGAATGAAGCGAGGGATGGTAGAGTAGAATGGAGGGATCGTATCATCGCAAGCTGCCGGACAGCCGATTGCTTGCGTTGTAGTAATTTCTTAAAAATCGTCTCTTAAAATAATAATTCGTCGATAATCAAAGAGTTAAAACCGGAGTAGCTAGGTCTATTCAAGTTATCCTTGCCGTATACAGTTAAATGGGTCTCACAAGGTATAAGCATGTAACTTGCCATATGTATCCGTCGTAGGACAATGACGTAATGGTTAATCTTTCAAAGCCTCAGATGATGATGGACACAATAATGAATCTTACTTCAAGTGCTACCTGCCTACATGTACTTAAGACTTAGGCATTGTAATTTCCCTTCCTTCAAGTTACATCCGTACAGCAGGATGTATGTATATGTACCTAGGAACATAATATACCTGCCTAGCCTACTTCAGATAGAGACGCTGAACCATATTCTTTCAACCCACTCAATTGACTCTTAAAACGAACTATTACCTTCTTGCCTACATCAAATACGGGCTATCCTCCAATGTTATCTAGTACATCAGATCGTCGTCGTGTAATTGAGCTAGCGATGGTTAGGTGGTTTATAGAGTCCTTTAGCCCATGATAACTATGATAACTATCATAGCTACATCATTCCACTTCCAATACTATATCTATTTCTGTCCCGCGTCTTCCTCATCCCGCTCACCTTAAACTCACCTCAAGCCCACCTTACTCTATACCGTGGACCTTATATACCTTACGTACATTACCCAATCAATCGTTCGAAATACCAGATCTCGACCTTTTCGTTGCATTCTGCCTCCACTCAATTGTGACATCTATGCCGATCTTTTCAGAAGACAAGGGGCTTTGAATACGGCGCATACACGTACCGACAGAAGCTGAATTCTCACCGTTCCCAGCCACTTAACATGGACCCAGCCAATGACACACAAACACAGGAAAGTTTGGAACGACAGCTACATGATGACGACACTAAATCGATAGGTAAGCTTCCCGTCGCATACATGCAGAGTCTTCATATTATTATCATTTTTATTTATTATCACTTCATTTATAATATTAGCACTTTTTCCCGCGGTTTCCTTATTATTCCAAGTTAACAGCCGATTTTCTTTATTAGTCCACTCCGGAAAGCTCGTTTATGCCAAACCTCAAGACCTTCCGAGCTTTCCGTCTATTGGCCTTTTAGAAAAAGGATCCGCAGCAAGCGCGGCAGCTGCCTTAGGCTGGACCACCAATACGTCGCCAGAGCTGTGGAGGCCGGATAAGTCCGCCCCAGCTTCAGCTGCCGCCGTCATGGCCAAAGATTATAAACTGCCTCCTCCGTGGGAGCCAGTGCCGAGCCAACACGGCGCAAAGGCAGCTCTACTGGCATCGCAGTCTGCTATGGGCCCAAACATGTCTAGGAGACCAACCGTTTCCGATTCTGGCCTATCTGCGGCAAACATAGCTTTCAGATCCGATACTAGCATAGCTAGTACTTCGCACTCAGCTAGTCTTGAGCATCGCAGGTCACTACTTGCTGCAAGGGGTGCCATGGCAAATCGCCAGAGGGCCATGTCGTCACCTGTCCCGAAGGAATCGTATCCGGACGAAGCAAATGCTGCCGCAAATGCCCTAAGTGCCGCCACACGGGCTCACAGGCCAGTGCGATCTCCGACACTAAGCGAAGTGAGCGAGAACGCAGGCTCTGTTCCGTTTACAAATATGAATAGGCAGATGTTCACATCACGGCCGCCTGTGAAACCCGAGGTCGATGATCAGAAGAGAGCAGATGTCCTTCATGCATCGGCTCTCGCAATGGCCAAGAAAATGTTTACTCAGCAGCAAAAAATGATAGATGCGAAAAAGGCTCATGACAGCAGCACCTCACGGGAGCACACTGACGCTCTTAGTAGCGTTAGCGACGATGCGCAACCCGCACATCTTACTACTCTGCAAGACGCCGCCTATAAGCAAGCTCAAGCGCGTCTGGCTAAGATGCACGACGAACATTTCAAAGATAGGGAATTTCAGGAATACTACGGAGCTAAGCCATCTAGCAGACGTTTTTCAATTAGGGGTAAACTCAGGAAGAGAGCCTCTAGCGATGGTGACGTTATCGAAGACCGTAGACGTTCGCAACACATTAGGCAACAGATGACTCTATTCTCCAGCAAGCTGTCCGAAGTCAACGATCAGAAGCGGCAGCACGATCAAGATGCATTGCTTGCCGCAGCCCAGAGGAACGTCCATGAGCGCCTGAAGGGAATAGATGAGAAGATAGCAGCTGAAACGGGCATGATGCCTCCGTCTACCTTGACACAATGGGAGATTAAGGCACACGCAGCAGCTCAAGCCGAGAGTGAGCAACGTATTAGTCAAGCACACGGGAAAATTGATATTGGCGCGGGGAAGTTCATGGAGCAAGAGGATATCGACGCAATTGCTGCGGCTAGGGTGAAGCCTGTCCTAGATGAGATCAATGAAAAAGTCGATGAGGAACATGCAAGACAGACGGAGTTGCGTCTCGAAATGGAGAAAAAGAAGGAAGAGGAAGAAATTGAGAAAGCCCGGCAGAAAGAGATCCAAGAAATAAGTAAGAGGCTTAAGGGTTAGTAGCATACCATGTCACATTTGTGTCATTCACTAATCTTATCCACAGAGCAAGACAAGCAAGAGCAAAAAGAGAGGAAAGCAGAAGAGAAACAAGAAGCTAAGGCGAAGAAAGAAGAGGACAAGGCTGCTAAGGCTGAACAGAAACAGGAAGCTAAAGCCAAAAAGGAGGAAGAGCGGGCTGCCAAAGCAGAACAAAAGCGGCTAGCTAGGCACGAGAAGCAGAAATCTGCAGCTGATCGGCACAGTGGAAGTCCGGAGGAACCCGAAGTCGAAATAGGAACGATTACGCTGAATACTGCAGGACAGCCTGTCAATGTCCCTGCGCCAGAAGTTGACGAGGTCCCTACTGAAAGCTCTGAAGATGAAGCAGTCGACAGGGAGTCTACTTCACCTACCGAAAGGCTATCAAAGGGCGGCGTGAAATCATGGCTCAAGAGTCGGTTCTCTAGAGGGAGGAAACCATCAGATGAGGACAAGTCTAAAGATAAGTCGACCGCGAAGGGCTTCATCGGTGGTGTAGCCCTCACTGGGTTGGACCGCTCAGCAAGCGCAGACAACCGCAGTGCCAGCGAACGTGCCATAGCGATGGCCGGCAAGGAACGAGAGCCGCGTCAGAGACGACATACAACAAATTATTCCATCGAAAACGACGGAATGAGTAGTAACTCGAGCGAGGACGGATGTTTCCGTGATGATGCAAGAGAGATGCCGAGAACCGCGTTGACGCCTCCTAGACCTATTAAGGACTCTTCGTCGAGCACGAATCACAGTCCCAATAGGAATTCAAAGTTCATGGAGATGGTGTAAGGCGGTTGTTATTTCTTCTTCCCTCACTAACCAGGATGGTGTCTGGCGCCACTGTATTGCCATACACGCCTTGAGTGTGACCTGAGATATCTTCAAAACTATCCTTAAGAGTGTTATAGTGGTATTTTAATATTCTATTTTCCAAGCTCATTCTGGGGCGTTGAAGGCTATTGTTGTCTAGTTAGATTGGGAAGAACAATGACCGCAAGGAAGAGGTATAGGATGGATACGTTGGGTTTAGGCCTGGTTTCTATCTGAGTTGGTATTAGTCGGGATCTTGGCCTGGCGTTTGTACAGGCGGTGATCAGAGATCAGGGGGGTACTTCGGTTTGATGTTCTAGCACAATACCCCCTTTCCTTCTTAACAGGTTTGGAATTTGGAAGTCGTTTAATTTGAGATTCATTTAATGTTACAACTCTTATCAGCCCCAACGGCCAGATCCCAAAACATATCTGGTGTTATGCGTATTGATTTAGTGGACGATTGAAAACACGGAATGAAATGATATGTGACTTGATCAGGTAAATGTACGTATTAGATTTAAGAGATTTTTCTCATCTCCAATATTGCTACAATGGTATGCAAGGTGAATTAATTGGTCCCAGAATCCAGTAATTCCAAATAAGGTAGCCGAACGCCGTGTGATAATGGTAACAATGTTGACCTTCCAACCGTCTCTCTAAACGTGGCAAAGCATTAGAGCTTACTCTCCTCATTGGTATCGCTCAAAACCTATTCGTTGCACACCTATCCATCGTCAAGTCATCCTTAGGGTATCTATTCCCGATCCGCAATCCTCCCAAATTACCATTAAGTTAGAAATCCCTTTGTTCCGTTCTCGTTTTATGATGCCCGCCGTTGCCATGGTGACCTCGATGACCATCTGTCAATGTCCGCTGGCTATCCTGAGTATCTCTGGCGACATCGGGGAGGACGCTAGGATGCGTCGCATAGTAAGTCTCCTCCATCTGGCGTGCGCTATTGGTGGAGAGGCGAGCATTGCGCGTGGCAACGGCCGGCCATAGGTCGATGCAGAAAGAGAACACGTAGAAAGAGAAGACGAATGCGATGACCCACTCGAGGATCGCGGCCTTATCGTATTGGCCCTTAAAGTTCGTTGCTATAAAGGCAATTGCAAGGATGAGCTCAACAACGACAAATGTGAGTTTGACCCAGAAAGATATCCGGAGCACGCGATGTTGGCGGTTCTCTGCAAAAGACTTGGTTAATATGATGGTCGGGTAGCTTAGTTGAAGACAAAGAACTCACTATGCCCAAGACGCTGATACTCCCAACATATGAATATGGCTGATATTAAATACCCTGCGATGAAGAGTAGCAGGAAAATATCGTGCAGCCGAGGGTATCGCAAGGTATCAAAGCCAGACAGAAAGGTCAAGCCTATGGTTCCGATGAAAGCGAAAACGATGGTCAACCCACTCAAGACTTTCTCGCCGGTAGAAGTGTTGGGCACCAGGCGGCCGCGGTGTCGTAACCAGCGGTCGGCGCCAAAAGACAGGTCAAGAAAAATGGTGGTTAAGCAGCAGCCAACGATGAATAAAGGTTTGAGGTTCGATGCACCGACATCTGAGATGTATGCTATCGTCTGGCCGTCTCCCATAGACGCGTATATTACGCGATGCGTATCTACGATCCAGTGTAATAGCAGACCCAGAAGGGTCGCCAGCCACACGAGGCCGGATATGATGGGAAACACCTTTGCGACGATGTTAGCTATTCGGATGCGATTCCAATTGAGTTAGAAGTGAAAAATGAAGCTATTACTTACCCAATACGATAGATACCGCATGGTTGGATTTTTGGTTTCGCTAAGAAATTGAAACTCTACGATGTCTAGGTGATGGAAAACAGGAAAGGCTCCGAGAATAAAATACCAAAGTAGGGTTTATTACGGGAATGACGACAGCGCGACAAAACTGTCAAAGAAATACGAATTGCGGTGACAAGTATGAATAAATATGTAGTTAATGAGGCTACGCGTACCACTACGGGTACATATGGATATAATGGAAAAGACTAGAAGAGAAGGAACAAGCTATAGTTAGAATTCTAGATGATGAACGTGAAGGTGGCCCAGCTAAAAACAAGCTACAAGCCTCAAAAGAGGACATCGACTTATGACTTCATTTCTGGCCAAGTCCATACAATTCGGGCAGCAGGACACTACCGACTCACCGGGACTTACGGACCAGGAAGATAGATTCGGACTTAGTAGAAAAATTGAAATTGGACTCGTCATCGGCGCGAGAGGCGGTGCGTTGCTCGCATCCAATACGATGGTCGAATGGTATTAAAGTCGTATGGATTCGTACACACGCTTATTAGACATACGGTTCACTTGACTCAAATTCAACACGGGCTTTCCATTTCTCTGCCATGTACTTTTTGCTTATTGCCGTTTGCGACCCGAATCGACAAATATATGACGTCAACCGAGATCTGCTTATGGAATGAAGCCACTTGCATCAGAATGTCAGAGTGTCTTATTAAAAAAAAGTGACAGCCAGGCTGCAGGTTGCAGGAAGCTTGGTGCACTAATGTACTGGTACGTACCTGTATCTCGGCTCTGAACGCCGATAGTCACATGACCAACTGAATTATCCTTGCACTAGATGCTGTATTGTGGAGATGATTACACACCCTCGACAGGGGTGCTAAGCCATGCAAACACATGGTTGTACATTGTAGCAGTGACCTAGCTTCATCCCACCAATCAAAATATGACTGTCCCTTTCTTAGGATGAACCACAACAGCCTTGCTATCCATTTTCTCAGCCTTCTACAACTACTGCTCCACGATTTCGAATCGCGAAGCTTCACGTAGCAACCGCGACGATGGCTGTGTCTCCTCTTGTTACGCATCCCCAGGATGCTCTGCAAAACCCGAGATCCGTATCGTCGCCTTTGAAGAATGCGACTTCGGCACAGGCATCGTCCAATGGAACACCTGTGTCTGCGGCGGTCGCCCCCAACCCATCTGCAGCAATTATGTCGCCTTCTTTAGACATTGCAGAGCAGCTGAACGAAGACGAAAAGCGTAAATACGTCAAGGGTTAGTATCCCGATTTCAATCCGTTGCTTAAAGTTTGAGGATAATTTGCTAATATGGAAGTATTTCTACAGGCAAGAAGCTCGGTGAAGGTACATACGCGAACGTCTACCTGGGATACCTTAAGAGCGACCCGTCGCAATATGTCGCCATCAAGAAAATCAAGATCCAGACCGAATACACGGAAGGAATGGCGCCCGACGCCGTCCGCGAAATCAAACACCTACAAGAACTCTCCCACCCGAACATCATTACCTTGCATTCCGTCTTCTCTTCTAAGGACCAGAATCTGAATCTTGTCTTGGAGTACCTTCCTCTGGGTGACTTGGAGATGCTTATTCGCGATACGGACCGCGTTAGGTACGGTACTGCTGATATCAAAGCGTGGATGGGAATGCTTACAAGGGCCGTGTGGTTCTGCCACGAGAACTTCGTCCTGCATCGAGATATCAAGCCAAACAACTTGCTTATAGCCGCCGACGGGGAGGTCAAGCTGGCTGATTTCGGTCTGGCTCGAAGTTTCTCCGACCCGTACAAGATCATGACTTCAAACGTCATCACGAGATGGTACAGACCACCCGAGCTATTGTTCGGAGCGAAGCATTACTCGGGCGCTGTCGACATCTGGTCCGTCGGTTTAGTGTTTGCCGAGCTAATCCTCCGCGTGCCATACATCGCCGGAAACACCGAAATACATCAGATCAGCCTCATCTGCCAGGCAGTCGGCACACCCACCGAGGACAACTGGCCCGGAGTGAGTAGTTTACCCGGGTATACCAGGGAGGGCGACGTCTACCCGGTACAGGGCAGGGACGCCTACATGGCCAGGTTCGGCACGGTCGGCTACGACGGCGTGGATCTCTTAATGAAGACCCTAATCCTCGACCCCAAGAAGCGCATCACAGCCTTCGAAATGCTAAAACACGAGTGGTGGCACAAGGACCCCAAGCCCTCGCGCAAACAAGACCTTCCCAAGAAAAAATCCGGTGCCCAGGACAAGGTTGGCGACGACTTGAAGAGAAGGCCTGGCATTGTGGACGAGGATAAAGGGAGCAAGGTCGCTCGGAAGCTAGACTTTGGCGCGATGAAGTAGGGGTTCTAAACGTTGGAAGTCTGTTGAAAAGCCTGGTTAGTGCGAATATTAGGCCGGCCGGCTCATTTGGGCGTACGAAGACATGGCATTACTGAGGCGTACGGGTTGGATTTAAGGCATGGAAGTTAGGCGTTAGTTGGGTCAATGGCAAGGCAGTCACGTAGGTAAATGGACGCTGTTACAATGCAAAAGTTCGAACCCAATCAATTGTCAACGTTTGTGGAATGTGTCGTGATCGTGTTTGTGGTACATAAAGTACAGCAGCCCCGTATCAACATATAGGCTTGGTGCTATATACGTAGATTCCTCAAGGCTACCTTGGTAAGCAAGTCGTAGACATTTGTCTATAACTCGCCCCGCTCCCGCATCTCACGACGCTCAGCAACACGCTTCTTATACCGGATCTCGGCCTGCCGGCGCTCACCACCGTCGATCTTGTGACCCCGGCGGTCCTCCCACATGCCCTCGGTGACGGCGACCCGCGCGCCCTCGCCCCCCGCGAGCGGCAGCGCGTACGGGCCCACAATCGTCTTCGCGCCCTGCACCTTGTACCCGCGCACGCGCGATATCTCGTCCAGCGAGCAGTCCGCCAGCTTGCGCCCCTCCGGCACGTTGACGACGTACTTGCGCGGGCGCGCCGCGCTCGTCTTATCTGCCGCGGGAGCCTCCCAGACCGCGAGCGTGGCGGCCCCGTCGTCGGACACGTGTTGCAGGTCCCCGCCGACCCCGTATTGCCCGCGCCGGAACCGCTGCCGCCATTGCAGGAGGTAGCGCCGCGTGCGCGGCGGCTCGACGCCGAGTTCGCGCAGCTGGTCTGAGGTCAGGCTGAAGAGCGCGTCCCAGGACGGGAACTTGGAGGCGTGCGAGGAGAGGCCCCGGCCGATTACCGTTAGGAATGTGTTTACGTCTGGGATGAAGGGCGTTGGGGAGGGGATCGCGGGGGCGGGGGCCGTGGTTGAGGAGGAGGAGTGGCGCTGCTGTTGCTGTTTTTGTTGGTGTTGCTGCAGGGTTGCTTGGAGCGGCGAGAGGAGTTGGGTTGTCGGCGTTGGGGTTAGGGCCGCGCGCAGTTGTTGCGGGCGCAGGAAGGGCTGGATGCGATGGTTGGTGAGCGCCTGGTCAGGATGGAATATATATAGGGATTTTTTGAGGGGTGTGGGTTTACCTTTATGCGCACCATTCTGGCTGGAATAGCCCAATCCTCTCTGATATTTGGTTTGACTTTATATATGACCCTTGGATATGACGATCCACATGAGAGAAACTGACTTGGTAGATTGCGAGTAGGTGTATAATGGCTTCACAATCGTATCAACCCACGCCATTCGTAGCTTGAAGCTTGGAAAATTCAATGGAGATGTCGGTAAAGGAAATTTGTATCCTCCGATAGGCCCGTGCACAAATGTCCTCGAGTATCTGTATAAATATCCACATTCAGCCCTGGAGGTCCAGGTCAAACTGGGATCCGACAGGGCTTAAACGGTGGGGTAGTGCACTAAACCTTTCTTGGTTAAATTGCTGCACGTCCCGCACACGATTATGAGTCAAATTAGTGGGGTAGAGCTCTTATCGGGACTGGAGGTATTATCTTGCCCCTCGAAGAATCCAAATTGTTGGTACTTTCGTTTACCTTCATTCTATATACATCCACTGCCATAGCCTTACTCTTCGTCACGGTCGTTCCTTTTTCTTTTTGTGGGAGGTAATCTGCACGACTACGAATTCCAACTTACCTTCCAACCCTTTCCTTTTTTTGTTGTTGTCAAGTAATTGTCACCCACACTTTCAAGTCACTGATCCAACACCTAAGTCGACGGCGCTTCACGGCGCATGATCTTGCTTCACGATGAGTGATTCAAGTGATTCAAGTAGCTTCACGGCTAAAAAACGCGCCAAGCTTTCGAGGAAGAAGTCGCAACCAGAATTCGTCCTAGTGAAAGGTACGTTAAAATTTCAATGTTAATCTATTCATTGATACCGCTAACCGTCCCTAGACCCATTCCCTATCGACTTTCTCTGCTTCTTATTGATGATTCCATCTGATGATGAGACCGCCGAACCTCCCCAGAAACGTCGCCGGGTCGAGAACCCTGACGCAATCCCTATCGCTAAGGATACATTCTCCATCGGGCGACCCATTCAATCCGAAATACATGTCTCAGAGCCGATTGCGACGGTGAATGCCCATCACCATCTCAAAGTAACTCATAACAAGACAAAGCGTACCTTGACCGTCGCTTCGGTCCCACGATCTCCCTATGGCACCTTCAAATCCGAGATAAGTTTGGGCCAAACTAAATTCTCCGAGAATGTGACAGCAATCCTAGAGGTCTTGGGTCGGAGCAAAGATGATGAAACACAAGATGGGGCGCTCTGGGTAAGCGTCATGGTTGAACTGGAGAGAAATACTAAGAGCGATGAGGTGCGATTTTATCTGGAGCTGAATTGGAATTCGTCTACGGACATCCTGCGCTCCCAGCGTCCACTCAGTCGCATGGTCATCAACACATTCTTTGGAGGTCCAATTCAGGAAATCTCCCGTGAGAAGCTATCACCTTGGGCATTCTATGATGCCGCATTCATCTCGGAGAAGAGTCACTCGGACCCCTTCTCTCTCACGCCCCCTAAATTAACATCAACATTGTTTCCCTTCCAACGTAGGGCCTTACAATGGCTTCTAAACAGAGAAGGCGTCGAGTGGAAGGATGAATGTGCCAATGGAAAGCCTGGTCTAGAGCCAGTCTCTGAGCTGCCAACTTCAGACCTTCCATTGTCGTTCAAGGAGGTGGAAGATGCGAACGGACAACCTTTTTACATGAGTGATCTCTATCACGTCGCGAATAGAAACATCGGACCTTTCCGCAAGAGCGAAGCCGCCATAAGAGGTGGAATCCTTGCCGAGGAGATGGGTCTAGGGAAGACAGTCGAAGCTATCTCCCTCATCTGCACGCACACTCATAAGAATTCCCCAACCTCATCCAACATACTACCACACAATGGCCTTGTCAGCGGTGCGACTCTGATTGTCACTCCCTTAACATTACGAAACCAATGGATTTCAGAGTTTGAAAAGCATGCGCCACATCTAAGTGTAATGGTTTATGAGGGCTTGAAAGGATTCGACGAACGCCTGATTTCAGTATTAGCTGAGAAGGACGTTGTTATCACGACCTACAATGTCCTGCAATCCGAGCTTTACTATGCTGAAGTGGCACCTGACCGTTCTTTACGACATGAGAAAAAATACGTGCATCCTAAGTCACCTTTGGCCCAAATCTGCTGGTGGAGGGTATGCCTAGATGAGGCTCAACAAATCGAGAGCGGCATCAGCAACGCTGCCAAGGCTGCAAGATTGATACCTCGCATCAATTCTTGGGGCATTACAGGAACTCCGGTTAAAGAAAACATCAAGGACCTGTGGGGCTTGTTGGTTTTCCTTCACTACGAACCCTTTGCCTCCTCTACAGCCTTATGGGAAGGGTTAATCACTTCGCATAAGCATCTGTTTGGGCCTCTTTTCAATCGGATCGCTCTAAGACATACGAAACGTGCCGTTCGTAGTGAGTTAACATTGCCACGTCAGAACCGTTATGTCATAACCATACCCTTCACTACGGTCGAGGAGCAGCGTTACAGAGAGCAGTTTTCGTCCGCAATGTTTAATATCAATCTCGACGCGACTGGGGAACGTCTGAGGAAGAATTGGGGTGCTATAGATCCACGCTTGATAAGATCGATGCAATATGCTCTTGCTAATCTACGACAAGCAGCTTTGCATCCCTCACTTGGACCCATGCGTCATTTTGGCGGTCGAGTAGCCCAGAAGAAATCTCTACGAACTGTCGATGAGGTACTGGATGCCATGATTGAGCAGTCCGATCTTAATATCAGGACTTCGCAACGAGATTTCTTACTCAAAAAGCTAAAGGTAGGGCAGATCCTGGAAGGCCAACATAAGATAAACGAGGCTATTGAGATCTGGAAAGAAGTTCTGGACGAAGTCGAGGTTTATCATGTAGCAGAGTCCCGGAAGCAACTTCAAGAGGAATTAGGTAAAGCGAAACAGACGGATGCCCAGAGTACTACGAGTCACCAAAACGACGAAGATGTTGACGATGAAGGCGCAACAGGACGAGTTGGCGAATGTCGGCGCAGACTTCGAGCAGTCCTCGACATCCTCCATAGAGCCCTTTTCTTCATTGCCAGCGGCTATTACCAATTAAAGGCCGACGAAGAGAAAGTTGTTCCCCATTCAAAGGAATATGAAGAATTAGAATCAAAAGAGGTCGCTGGATATGAAGCAGCCAAGAGAGTCCGCCAGGAGATTTTACAGGAGTCTCGCGCCAAAGTCATGTCTTTCATAGCCAAGATTCGAGACAAGGCAAATTCGCAATCGTTTGCTGAAATTCCCGAAATCAAGTGGCCCGATTACCATGGCCTGGAAAGCCTAAGATTTCTGAATAGGTACACCATGCTCGCTGATACTCTTAATCTACAAGCAAATGTGGTTGATGAATGGCGGGAAGCCATCATCCAGATGTTGATTCGACCGCTCGTGGACCAGGAGGATGAAGCAGAGGTAACGGGTGAGGAATACGAAGACTCGACGAAGCTTCAGGACGAATTGATGGTCTACACGTTAGTTTTGAGGGCTGCCATTGCGGACCGACAAGATGCTGTCTCAGGTCTACAAAATGAGCGTGTCAAATACGACACTCGTTTCGCGGAGAGACAAGCGAAGGACGGGCAAGGCCATGCTCCTGAGAAAGTTCTGGAGTTACTCAGGCGACGCGAGGATCATAAGCCAGATCGTGAATGGGGCTCGTTCCGAGGTATCATTACAAGCCTAAGGGAATTGGTGACAAAACTCCGTCACGATGCCGACAGCGGGAAGAATCGCGCAAGGATTGAGTTAGAGATTGCCGAAAGCCAGCTTCGCCTCGTACAGAATCACAGTACTGCGCAGAGTAAGTCCGTGGCGGCGTTGGAGTCGGAACTCAATACATTCGTCGCTGCGACAAACGCCCGCGTGGAATATTATAAACAGCTTCAAGGAGTCTCTGATACGGTTGCTGCGCTCGATCAGGACAAAGTCGGCATGTTTGAATTGGTGCACGCGCGGGGAGAACTGGCCAGGCTGAAGGACCAGATCGATGCGGTGCTACCTAAGCATCGTTATCGTAAGCTCCTTCCTCATAACGAGATTTGTTTGAATCACAACTAACTCACCTTGTAGTCCTTAATCTCAAAGAAGAGGGCCAGAGCGCAGAGGAAGTCTGCGTCATCTGTCAATGCCCCTTCGCCCTAGGAGTCCTGACACCTTGCGGTCATCAGTTCTGCAAAGAGTGCATTCTGCATTGGTTTAGAACAAAACGCAGCTGTCCCGTATGTAAGACGTTTCTCGTGGTCGGGATGCTTCACGATATCACCCTGAAGAAACCGGAGTCGAGAATTCGCCAGGAGCTCTCAGGGGGCTCGCAAGAGCAACCAGGCGCCACGGGCTCGCTTTCCAAATTAAGGAAACTTGGTATATATTCCGAATTTGGCAACGAGAAACTGGAAGCTGTGAAGAGTATCCAACTCCCAAGCTCACGGAATTCCACGAAGATTAACATTCTTGCAAAACATTTGATATGGTTGCGAGTGGAAGACCCAGGAGCCAAGTCTGTGATCTTTTCACAATTCCCAGCTTTTCTTGATATACTAGCCGGAGCCCTCGAGCAAAACGGGATCGGGCACACATCCTTTAAGACGAGGAACGGCATCAAGAAATTCAAGGAAGATCCCGCTATTGAATGTTTTCTCATGGATGCCAGAGCGCATGCCAGCGGATTAAACCTTGTCAACGCAAGCCATGTATTCCTCTGCGAACCACTCATTAACACGGCTCTAGAACTACAGGCAATCGCTCGAGTGGATCGGATCGGTCAGGAGCACGACACCACCGTGTGGTTGTATCTGATAGACGGCACAGTGGAGGAGTCAATCTACAACTTATCTGTCCAGCGGCGGCTCGAACATATGGGCAGCAATGGCACGAAGGAAAAGTTGAATAAAGAGTTATCGTACCTCAGCCTCGAAGCGGCGAACTCGCACGAGCTTGAGAAAGCAACGCTATCGAAGCTCATGAATAAGGACCAGAGCCTCGGCGAGGTCGTCCCTGCCGGCGACATTTGGCAGTGCCTGTTCGGCGACAGAGCCGACTACGAAGAAGGAGAGGCCGATGCGGACGACGCGAGAAGGAACAACCCCGCCGTAATGGGGTTCCTCGCAGGGGAGGCCGCAGAGGCGAGGCGTGCTGGGTCGGAAATGGAGTAAAACCCATCCGCTGTGTGGCGTGTGTATATGATGGAACGGCCGCCCGGGACAGACGCTGGATAATTGTACATGTACGAATACGCTTCCAGGAATAGTCACCGGGTGGACTTGTTACCCTTTACGTTATGATTTGGACGAGACTACTCAAGACGTGGTGTTAGGGAGTTCCTAGGAGAGATACCACAGCCTTTTGCTACTTTGCTGGTTTGCTAGGTCTAGGCAAACTTTTGTAGGACTGATGAATTTCAGAGAATGACAATATGAGAGGACCGGTTTCCCTTTTCTAATGCGATTGTGATGTGATTACGCTATGTATCAGCTCTGCCTTGGATAGGTAGGTACTTACCTAGGTACGTGACAGGACTCTTTCACACTATGACCTATCTGCCTTGATCCGTACGAGCTAAGCGTCGATACAGCTCGGTATGAGATATGAGGGGTGTATGGGGATATCCTCGTATAGCGCCGGGCGAATAAAGTGCTGTCCATCATGGTCTGTCTAAAACACGTAGCCCGACATAGGTGACTCTATGTATTATTACTTTCTTCCTCGCATCTACTAGTTTACCTAGGTATACTAGGGTGTCGAGGTTTCGAAAAGGTACCTAGTCATGCCCCTATTCCGCTCTAGGGCCCTCCTTGCCTATGGGAAGCTAATATTGCATACTATAGTACATGAAGCCATCCTTAAATAACCAACCAGACCTCCGGATATCGTGCCCGGGAAGACTATGGGTAAGCACGTACGCAGGTTGGTGCGCTACCTAGTATGGAATCGGTGCCTCGCCCCCTTTTCTTCTCGTGGTTTTCCACCTTCCTAGCTTGGTCAGCTGTCTGACAGGGCGCGCCTGGTCATTTAAATTTAACCTTATTCGGGCGCATTGCGTGCCTTGGGTAGGTTATATGCCGAGGTAAGATGCCTCTATCTTTTATGTAGGTAGGTAGCTATGGATTCTGCGCTAGTAGTAAGTGCTCCCGCGAAGGATTGGGGATACCTACAGGTGTATTATCAGATAATGGGTGAGACACTCATATCTATAGCAACGGAATAAAGGAAGCTCGAAGGCCCCCGAAACCCGTGATACGGGCGTTGATGCTGTGGTTGTGTTGTATCGTGTTGCCGTATGGTGTAATGATTGACATGAGCCAAGATGCCGAGAGCGAACGTGTCTTGGGGAGGAGTCATGCCGGGAGTATTCTCGCAGTTTCCGCTGCTCGGCGCTGTCGATATTATGTTAGGTAATGCAACGTATATACCAAACGTAGGTTAGGGTATCGTACATAGGTATGTAAGCTGATATTGTACGCATCCACGAATGTATCCACATATGTATGAATAGTGCGTATGCGTAGCGTGTCTGTGTCTCTGTCGATCGCCGTTGTTTCAGCTGAGTCGATCGGAGCCAGCTAGCCCTATCAATGCATATAATCCGCCCCAGACGGATGACAATGTGTTACCCAAGGCAGCCTATAGGAGTCCTGCGACGCTTAATCTCGCACGTGGGATTCGCTTCTTTCTCTGGGCGTCTCTCTTTCTAGAAGCCTGCCTGAACGGACCGAAGGAACTTCTTTTGTCATTCCCTCCTAGAACCGTAATTTATTCTCTCCCCCCCGCCCCCCTTTATGATTGGACTCGCGTTCGTGTGGCTGCAGATAGATAGTGTTTAAGCATCTATGTTTCACAATCCTCCGTTCTCCCGCTCTCCGAGGTTCACGTCGTCCAAGAGCTTGACCGAGGGTGGGACCCCTTTTCGAGCAGATGATTAGATGGCATAGGTCGGCTAGTTTCAGGTCGCGTGGTCGCGTGGTTCCCCTGCGTCATGGCATTGTAGGTAGGGCTGAGTGACCGAGCTGATCGTCCGACCCTTACACAACGAGTCTATTGTGACCGCATCCATCCCCTACATAGATACCTAGCTGATAGTTCGTAGCTCGGGCTCGGTTATACTTGTCGTATCTGCGATACGTCGTAATAATGAGGCTCATCTCATGACGAGCAGTTTTATGTGCGCGAATATACCTACCTAGACAAAGCGCTAGCTTCGTCGTTTGTTGCTGACTGACTCTTCGATACACCGCAAGTTGTTGGAGTTCGGCACGTCACCCGGATCCGTGGCTCGGGATCTGTTTGTCTCACCTTGAGGCCCTTACGTCGTAAAAGAACCAGAAAATAGGCAGATATTATTCAGGAATTAGGTAAAGTAGGTAAGTATGTCTATTTCTCCTAGAGCATCTAATAATGGTACATTTTGGCTAAAATGGGTATTACTGGTAAAAAAGCAGGATCAGAGTGTAGTACATGCTTGCTGTATAACAAAATCAAATAAATCAAAAACAGGAAAGAACTAATGCTGTGACGCCTTCTAATAACCCATCGTCACATATCATGACCGGCCGTATCCTGACCAACCGGAAGCCCGCAGGATTCTCAGCCTCAGGCTTTCTCACTTTAAGAAAAAGTCCTGGGAAAGGAAATTAACACGGTGGAGGACACTGCTTCATGCGTCTTTTCAGCCACTTCTGCATATTCCCGGGATCTCCCTTTTCACATACTTCCTGTATCTGGCTCCTAAGTTTGGTGGTATGAGCTATGCCCAGTATTTGGATTTGAGTCGTAGTAGTAGGGCGGTATATCTTGATAGGAGAAATCATCCCCGCCGCTGCTATTCGAACTACCACCGTACCTGGTTGCCTGGTATTGTTGACTGGAATAAGATGTCGTGTAGTACCGCGGTGTTTCGGTTGGCGTGTTGTCGCCTCCGCTTCCACCGCTACGCCTACTCTCGGTCTCGTAACCCATAGCTAGCACATGCTTCATACTCATGCTTCCCCATGGCAGTCCAGAGAGATCTATCCCGTCGTCTGCTGCGATCTCATCGGATGAAGGGAGCTGGTAGCTGCTGTGCGCATTTTGAAGGTTGTGAGATTCTCTCTCGGCTTTCTCTTTCTGCTCTTTAGCCTTCTCTCCTATTCGCCCAAGGTTAGCCATGTCTCACCAGAGACTAGGTACATAGCGTCACGTACGGAACTTGCGTTGAGCAAGTCGATTTTGGATCCGCCTCCTCTCCTCTGGTTCTGTGACGTCGGCCCAATCATCATTCAGTGGCCTCGATCTAGACTTTGGCTTCTTCGGACTCGGTTCGGGTCTCTTAGAAGGTCGTGAAGCCATCTTCTTGTTTCGATGCCTCCGTTGAAGCCTAATTCCGTCCTAGGTCGTTTTCTCCGGATATAGGATACAAGATGAATATATCGCCGTTAATGCCGCCTGTTATTACGTTATGCGATCTTGGGTCAATAACCGTCGATATTTGAACTGATAGCCGAGTTTCAAGAGATGTAGTCGAGAGGATGGTGTTGAAACCCCTCGTGATTAGCGCATCAACCTGTCATATATATTCTCTCATATGTAAGGTAGAGAGGTAGATTTGGTAAGCTAATGGAGTCCTAAATGGGCTATACCTCTATTTGGGGGCCGTTTTTCCTCTACGGGAGGTGATGTAACTTTGAAACTAGGTATCTTACCTACACATAAGGCTGATGACAAGGGTCTGAAGGGTATATCTCACAAGCTATTGTCCACATTAGGTAACCATAGAACACCTTTTGGTATCTTTGGCGAAGCTGGGGTTACGACTTGCGACTAACACGGCTTACGGGGTATGGCTATACCCCTTCAATCTTGAGGCGGGATGACATAGGTACTACTCGTCTACTATAGTCAAGCGTGTGGACGATTAAGATGTGAAGACGGTGAAGTAACAATGGAACAACCTAGACTCAAGCCACGATTGTAACCCGATGGTGACGTGCAGGTGAGTAGTTGTGGTTAGACAATGCAGTACATAGTCCGATCCTACGGTAAGAGAAAAGGGGGGAGATCAGACGAGAACACAGAGCTAAGCGATGATTATACTGGTCCATCACCTACGTTTCTTGCATCCCGAGCAAATAACGCCTAAACGCCCACATCATTGGGTCTTAAAGCCACACCGATCTACCTTAGTCCAGGGCGAGGAACCGTTGAAGCTAGAGATACGATCGTCAGGGCATAGCCACGGGTAAAAGTCGATCTCATCAGGACCCATGGGGAAGAAGGGTACTGTGGTAGGATGCGAAATACGGTCTTAGTCTAGTCCGCAAAGGGAAACGACGTGTCATGGGCCAGATGCTCTTGGCATTTTATCGAGACATTCGCACAGATCGTAGGGCGTTAAGGTACGCAGATTAGTCTGCAGTAGTGTAGGTGGCTTTGATATGCCGTCTTCAGGTCCACTGTTTGAATGGAGTCAAATTTAGCGATCGTCGACTAATGGTATCCGTTCGTTTATTTGAGGTGGGCGAAATACTAGTAAGCCTGTCTATTGTGAATGGAACATGAGAATGCCAAAGAAGATGATGGTGTAGTTTTCCAGAGGTCTGTTTTAGGAACTGTCGTTGCTTGAGGCGAGAAACCCGAGCAACAGATCCCGTGGCGAATAGAAGCTGGCAACAGGCGAGCACGCAGATCGGAGGGGAGGAGCCCATCAACGGAGCCCAGAACGACCCCAGAATAGGGGTCTCGATAATATGTCGCTTATTAGATTTTTTCTCATAACTCCTCCAATAACCTGCTTACATATGCAGCACTCGGTTATCTTCTCTTACTGCTCCTTATTGTGCGTGCCTGTAACAGGATACGGAATCATTTCGAGGATCTCGTGACCCTTGTTTTATGTGTGGTGAGGTTTGAATAAGATAGTTCCGACGTAGCTACCGAGGGCTTATGTTATCTCTCAAGCCATGTCTCGGCCTCTGCCGACCGCTAACGGAGATTGATGAGACGGTCATGGTTGTCAGGCGCCGTTTGGGTGCAGTTGTTTGGATTAGATGTTGTTGCGAATGATCCCTCGTGCGGCTGAAATTGACAAGCAGATTATTCCACCTCCTTGACCCTGTCCAGGACACTAAACAAGTGCCATAGGTATCATAATTAGGAAGTGATCGTCCTTGACCTCGCAAAGGTACTACGCAGTACCGAGCAGGGTGGTGTATGCTAATCACCACCCTGCTGCATAAGTATCCGTTCGAGTTCAGATTGAGCTTCAGGTTCCCGGGAAAATCCTACGAAAATAAGGATATATACTATGCTTAATTGTCAGGTAGAACTATACCATCCATTACTTACTAGCCATGAGATTCGCTAGGCTGTGTGTGGTCACACTGCATGCTGCGAGATGGAGGGCTGGACAATTTTAAACCTGCCAGCCCTAAAACGATAAACATCAGGTTCCTCCTGCTCAGCTATCTCGTAACTCTGTAATATAGTAAACACCAGGTTTTTGTCGATTCTCCCGTACGGCCATGCAAACTATCGAAAGTGATACCGAGAAAAGGGGATCGGGTTGACACCCGTGACTATGGCGTGAATAGAGCGATGATTCCGCCTTGCCAAGCTGCTGGTTGAGCACTAATGATGACCTTCCGGTGATGGATAGGCCGTCAATAACAAATATGCGGCCTTTGCTACAGTATTTAGGTAATGTCTAATGTCCGAGACATCGGCGTCTGCAAGTAACCACTTATTATGTCGTGGCTGTCTTGCGGTGAATCTGCTAAGCCCATCTTTTGTCAACACCGAAGAGCGGCTCGTAACGTTCGATTCTATCGTATGGTATACTATAAGACCACTTAGAGCTGTGGGAGATCGAAGTTGAGCATATGTATATCATCCATCAGAAAAGAACCGTCAGCTTTTCCAATGTTTAGACGCTGTAGCCGTCCCTTTGCAACTAGTGTCCTGCAATAATAAACAGCAGCCAATGATCGGCCGACACATTATATAAACAAGCAGCGTAAGCAACGCCTGGCTCGCGCATGCAGACCAATCACATCCCAGGTTGACCAAGAATATGGGTGTCCCTGGGCAGCTGCATTTGCCTATATCCTGGTTATACTGCTCCCCGCGTCAGTGAGTCAGACGGCAACCCAAGGTTTGCTCAGAAGGGGGTGCCTCCGATCTAGAAGGCATCTTATTCTATGGCGTATCTGGTGTAAGCAGTCTACTCTACCCTGGGGTATCGCGGTCGCCATTGGCTCGCTATAAATGACGTTAAAGGGGTTCCCCGGCTATGAAGTGGTGAGAACTAAATAATTCTAAGTGTAAAACACGTTCCACCGACAGATACCCGAAGCCTGAATTTTCTAAGCTTAGGCAAGCTTCATCTCACGCTCTTTGGCCGGTGATTGAGATCACACCGCCTCATCGAGATTAAATCCCGGTCATGATCAGAGTATAGACACATCGTCAAGCGCATTTTATCTCCTCGACATCTGCCATAGAACCCAGCAGTCTGGAGATGGGCAATCCGGCAACGTAGTGAAACTCGAACGTGTAAGCAGTTTGCCGAAGATAATAATAGACAGGGCTATGTTACCGGCGTTTCGGTGTGTAATCTAGAGATTCGGACTGGATGTGCCACTAGCCCTACATGGAAGACCTTCGATGCAGGTTCGATGCATGTTCCATTCCAATGACATAGGTCGACTACCGTATCCAGTCTTTCCAGGGGGACATGGACTATATTCAATTAGAGCTGAGAGGAGTGTAAGCATATGGTGGACTCTATGAATCATCAGAGCGAGGTTGTCGACATGAACAGACGATGACTGACGCTCCGGCTATTGAGGCCTCTGACCGAGCTAGACCCATCGCCGCATCTCATTGCACGAGCCTCGGTCTCACCGATGTGTCACTGAAAAGTTTCGTGACGAGTTCTAGATTTTTTTATTCTTCATATCTGAGCGCTGGCCTCGTGGTTGGCGTTACTAGCTTATATCGACTCGATATGCGAAAGACGATGATTCTGCGTTTCGTAGCGTACCTTTACATAACTTGGCACTCAAGCCCGTACATCGCTCTCTCTACATCCCTCTTGACCTGGTACCAGTCGGCCCTTCTCTCAGCAAATTCATACACTTCCTCGGCACGGAATATACCGCCAAATCGATCGCCGTCGGCAATGATAGTTGCCATTTCTTTGGCATGTCGTGCATCGATGAGGTAGATCTGGCTTAACTCTCGTAGCGCTTTAAAATATGCTAGTAGATCTGGGTTCTTGAGCGTCCGGATATATTCGAAATACATGGTCATATCCGCAATAAGTTTGATCGCGCCGTCAGTGCTTATGCGCTGGCGTTTAATATGCTTGCAAACGGCAGTGAACAAACGAAGTCCGACTTCGCTGTTAAACACATCGAGCATGGTCTTCTCCGTGCTCCCAACAAGCATCTTCGTATGAGAAGCTACGAGTTCGGTAACGCGTTTGGCTGTTATAGTTGGTCCAATATCAGGATCGGTAGGTGGTGTTGTAGCCTCTGGCGATGGTGGTAGTGGATTGAAGTCAGTGGGAAGCTGTGTTGTAGCGCAGAGATATTCAACTTCGTCCATCAAAACGTCTATACCTTTGTTCAGGCCTGCGGCAACCATTTCGTCCAACATCTGCTCGAATTTCTTTTTTGCTAGGCCAGCTGGGTCGAGAAAATCGTTGCGGTCTGCAATCTTCGTCGCTGCAAGCTGCTGTTCGTAGAACACGTCTACCATCTGTGAGATAATATCGCCCACATTGACCAGCTCAATAAACATGACAAGCGGTGCCACTCCTGTCTGGCTATGATCGCTTATCTCACGGGGATTATAGCGGCCAAGGTGTTCTACTGCTTTTGAAAACCCGTTCTTAACGTGTGTTTGGCCAAGGATTTTGACCAGCACCACAAACATTGCTTCGCATTGCTCCCGGGCTTCTTCGCCGGCCTGACCGCCTAGCGTAACAAATTTTGATGCTCTACCGAGGCTCTCCTTTGCAGCACGCACTAAACTAAGGGCGACCTCGATGCTGAAAAGACTTCTAATCCCTTCGAGCCGGTTCGCCATTAGCGCAGCTTTCGCTTTAAGTTCATCGTTAGGTGCTTCAGAAGGTAAAGGGGTGCCGTTCCCGTTCCGTTCCGAAGCCCCGCCGAGTCCCGGTGTTTCGGGACGGGATGGTACAGGTGTACCGTTGACCGACGATCTGATTGTGGAATCCCTATTACTAGTTGATGTCGAAGCCGGTTTACTAGTCCCAAAAGGTGAAATAGCACTAGGCAAGACGGTAACCGGCATCATGACAACTTTCTTGAAGGAACTTAGGAAATCATTCTTGTCGGCCTGTCGGTTGAAATTGCCCATATAAAATGATTCAACTGAAGCATCCTGCTCTGAAAGCTTCTGTTCCCAGTCGTCAACTTCGCGCTCGGCATACTTCGTGAAGCTATCTAGCTCCTCTTGCAAGTATAGATCCAGGTGTGGCTCGAAGACCCTCAACGCTATGTACTTTGCATGCTCTTCCAGGCTCTCTTCTGAACCCTTCGATGGAACTAACGACTTGATAAAATGCATGCATTGTTCAAATAGGCCAGATACTGCTCTTAGATAGGAGGGCATATATCGATCATGGCATTCGTCCAACAGTGGAGTGACGTACTCCATGATGATTTCTTCCCGGATTTTGTCCACAAATGCCCAGAAGACACCGGCCGGCTGTGGAAAGATGCGGCCAATCACGCCGCTCTGCTCGTTTAACTTTTGGGCAAGTAATTCGAAGAACAGGCGAGAAGGCTCAAGTGTGACGTCGTCGTGGGCGACTGTGTTAACGCACTCCATCGGATTACCTAGGAGTGCACGATCATTGAGAATCGGATGCTTGTGAATGAAGAGGTCCACGGCCGCATTACCACCGTTCAATGTGTGCATGATGTGTGCGTACCTCCGCATTCTGCCGTCGACGTCCCAGAATTCGTAACCCTGTTCAAATTCTCTTAGGACCGCACTTTCAAAGATAGTCATCATGTTGATGAGCTTGGATTCTCGCTGCAGATAACCCTGGGTCCAATCACTTTTTCCGAAAATCTGTAAGTTAGCCAACATTTGTGCTTGTCTCTCAGGATCTCGAAACACTTTGAAGACAATCGGTTCGGTATGAGTCTTCGCTCGGGCCAGATCAAAATAGAACGGCGCCAGAGCGCCATAAACCTTTCCATACTCTTGCCTCGCATGACCCCGTATACTTCTAACGTTCTTGATTACGTCAAGCAGTGCAGCCGGGTCTTCATATGGTGATTTGGGCTGAGATGAGTTCAAACTTAATGTTTCGAACCCGTCTAGTCTTGATTCTCGAGGCTGCTCAGCCTTCTCTTGCTCAGCCTTTCGACGCTCTTCTTCTAAGGCAGCATCAAATATAGTCAAGCTTGATTGTCTCGCAGCGTTCGGGTTTGCTCCGCCGTTAGCGGTTGGTCGTGCCGCCGCATCGCGTTTTCTTTTCACTGCCTCTTCAAATCTCCTCCTAGCTTCCAACTCATTCCAGCATCCCATGCTCTTTAACCGTGCGACCCATCTCGTATCATCGTAAACCATTTCACACATTCGTTTCGACGTCCTCGCGAACCGAAGGAGGTCCGGCACTGGTAAGTAACTGAGGATCGACTCTAGAATTTCTACGGTTCAGGGTAAGTAAGTATACGTCTTACAAGTAATAAGGCGGTCATCCTTACCCGCTGGCAATGCGGTTTTCGTCTCTATCATCGATGTCGCTCTTAAAGTGCTTAAAATACTCGGCTTTGGCGCCGTGCCATTTTGCGGCGCTCGTTTGAAATTAGACATCGTAGCTAATACTGTTGCGGCTCGTTGTGGTAGGAGATACTCGGGGAATTGTTGAGGTCATACACAGCTACATGAGGTGAATTACGTATGACAATAATAAATAGAGAAGTCCGAAGCAACAGTAAGATATAGTTGCAAGATAGTGGTAATTAGATTTAAAAGGACTAACTGTAGGTTTTAGAGAAGATCCTCCAAAATGGAAGGAATAGCTTCTAAGGTTTGTCGTTGTGTTGTTCCTAAAGTCAATTCATATTCCAACCCACCTTCCAACTCACAAGTGAATTGACAGCTGAACAAGTGAGTTATTGGCGACTTGTAGAACGGCCTGAACGGCCCATATCCCTGCACCTTCCTTGCACTATCCACACCGCCTTTATCTAAATGTACTCCCCGCGGCAGAATTCGTTAACTTTTTTTTTTTCGGGCCAAATATTCACTGCAAAAAATTGAACTGTTATTCAGCAACGAAACAACTGCAATGAATTTTCACTCTTCTTAGCATTTCGCCGATCGCAACCTAATCACCTCAAATTAACCCTAAATCCACTTACTCGTTTGCTTCTCGCCGTTGATTCCCTTCAGAATGGAGGCTGGAGATTCGGCATCCTGGCAGAAGCTTGACCCGGCCAAGCTTCGTCGTGAAGCTGAAGCCAAAGGTAATAGCCAGTGTGTAGTCAGCGATAATATAGGTTGCTAACCCACTGCAGAGGCCAAGCTGAAGCGACAGCAAGAGCAGCGACTTGCGCGAGCCGAAGCCCGAAAAGAGAAACGTCATGCCAAGTCCGAGGCCAAGCAAGCACGAAAGGCGAATGTTGGCCGTGCCGCGAAATGGAACACCGAACGCAAGGCAGCCGACAAGCTGAAGAAGTTGGCTAACCGCGCGCACAAGCAAGAGAAGCGACGCAGGCGTATGCGCCTACGTGCCCAGAAGTTAGAAGCGCAAGCGATTAAGCTGATGGCCGAGGCCCAGAAAGCTAAGGCCCATGCTGATCTCTTAGACGCACAAAAAGAGGTGCGGCATACAAGTTTATTTGATCGAGCATATTCTCTTCATTTACTAACTATACGTATAGAAGGAGGAAGCTGAGAAGAACAAGTTGCCGAATGAGATCAAGAAGATGGCAGCCGATCCTGAGAACGACGACTTCATTCCTCTCGACAACGAACCCGCTGCCGAAGCTGCGACATCGGAGTCTTCGAGTGACGAAAGCACTGCGCCTCCCAAGAAGGAATCCAAGGAGTCTAAGAAGGAGAAGAAGCACAAGAGTAAAGAAGAGAAGAAAGCCGAGAAACGCAAACGCAAGTCTGAGGATGACGCTTCGCATGAGACCACCAACGGCACAACCAATGACGACGATGCTGATGACGTGGAAGTACCTAAGCAGGAAAAGAAAAAGAAGAAGAGAAAGCTAGAACAGACTGCTGAGGAAGCTGGCTCTCAAGACGAGGCGGCCCAGGTCGAGGCGCCCAAGGAGAAGAAGGAAAAGAAGAAGAAGCGAAAGGAGAAGCACCATGCCGAGGAGTACGTGTCCTCTACCGCAGCCGAAGGAGGGTCGAATACTAACGGCGGTGAGCAGTGGAACGCCCAAGCCTTAGAGGGCGACGACAAGAGGAAGGCAAAATTTCTTAAACTTCTCGGGGCCAAGCCTAATGGCAGTAATACAACAGACGGCCAGAGTAACTCTGCTACATCGAAGGCTTACATCAATCAAGTGCAGCACGATTTAGAACGTCAGTTCGACGCCGGGATGAGAATGAAGCACGATGGTCAGGGGCAGAAAAGGGGCCTAGGAGCATGATTATTTGCACAATGTTCTGATGTGAGGACGGCGTTAAAAAGGTCAGGGGTCAGTTATACCATCTGAATTGGCAGCTTTGCTTGCAATCGCAGGATCCAGGGACGCTCACTAGATTAGTCTAGTTGCTCTTCCAATACCAATGCGAAATCAATCATATTAACATATCGCCCTTACAAGTCGTAATACTCATCATAAATTTATCCTTAAAGTTTTAGACCAAGACTTCGTACGAATAATCGTATGATGACTTTTATTGAAAATAGACGCAGGACTAACGAGACCTATATTTGACCTCCGGAAACACGAATTGTTCTTGTAAAGCTAACGCTCAGGTATCATATGGTTCTCCTAGGTGGTTATACATGTGTGCGCGTTGAATGCCTCATAACTTGATAAGACATCACCCACTTAACCTACAGCCCGGGTTCCTCTCGTAAGCCCTAGCTATAAAGATCCCAGTAAACTCTTCCCAATAGATAACGCTTTTTTGTTCTCGACCAGACCCGGGTGACGACGCTATTGATGCTCGATAAATGTAGGTTTTCATCGGAAAAAGATGCGCGAGATGACTTCGAAAACCAGGCCACCGAAAACGACAAAGCCAAGGATACCTGCACGCGCGAACACGAGTTAGCCTCCTCTCTCCCGAAGATCTTAACGAAGCGGGGATATGAATCTAAGGGGAAAACATACCAAGCCAGAAGAGGGAGATGGGCGATTTGGTTTGTTCCTTGCTGCGCTTCTTGATGTCGTTCTCCGACTTCCCGCGACGGGCGTCCTGTTCCTTGACGAACTTGGCGTTCCGCCTTCGCTGCTCTAGTGTTTGGGCCTATATGCTTCAATTAACACTCGGTTTTGATGAATTCATAGCTCTATAGGCATACCATTGTGTATGTGTATAAAGAGAGGTTAAGTAATTGAATGAAGAGGCGGAAAGCGTCTAAGCACGGAATGAAATCGGAGGCCGGAATTTAGGGGGGTCTAGTTAAGGGTCCGAGTTGATCGTTTAAAAGCAAGAAATTAATATAAGAGCAGAGTCGCAGTTGAGTCCCGTCCCTAACGCGGTCTTATACGAATGACTCAAGCAAATCGCGACGGAGATTCCAATTGCATCTGAGAACAGATTTCGGGAATCTGAGAAGTTGGAGATGTATTCACTTTCTCATATGGACATGGTGTCTGTAAATACACCTCCTATCGATAATGGAATAGTTCGAGGTCAGGGACCTGCCTACCAATTTAACACGAATGCAGGTGTCACTTACCTGAATTAGTTAGAGTTATATTATAAATGGACCTTCCCGACAGCCTCGTGGACCGGGGGTTTTAAGCCACTTACATAAGGTTGGCTTAGTCACGATTCAAGTGACATCCCGAGGTCCTGGTGCTCATAAAGCCTTATGAATATTTATGAACACAAGATAGTTATGTAAAGAAACGGTCTGCTACTGTCCCCCCCTGAGACCAATCAATGTAAACAATTTAGACACTTCTCAAGAGAATGAAAACCCATGTTTTCTTAGAAGTATACTGACAAGTTGAATTGAGGTCATACATGATAAGGTAGTTTCTAGAGTTTCCTCAAATCTAAGTAGCTTCTTGCGGATAGTAGTAGAAACTAAAGTAAGCAAGCAAATAGGTAGCTGTGTGTTTTAAGACAATGGCTGTAATCATAGGTTAGTTCTTTTCGAAGCTATCTTAAGCCCCCACGAAAAACCTCAGTTAAAGATGGTTAAAGATGAAAACAGCTCTGTATCTTTTATGTGAATGATGCCATCTGCCTCTTACCTTGATAGAGATTACCCGGAGTGTTACATCACCAAGCTTAGTACGTGACGCTAGTCGGTCTCTCAAGATAGCAGTGAGCACGCATTAACACGCTTAGGTTTCATTCGGAAGGTCAAGACATATTATCGTATATTGAGATCAAGGTGGCTAAATTAGCAGACACTCACCGAATCTTGGCTGAGGTAGTTCCCCGCGTTAGAATATAGAAATTCCATGCTGCCTATCGTTTTCCATAGATATATAGTTACCGCATATCCCAGGGGAGACGTGGGAAGTATCTCGTTTCTATCATCTCCAAGCTCGCTACCGTGAAAATGCGCTTCTTACACTTGCTCTCCACAGGCCTCCTGGCGCCGACCATTGGCCTTGCTTACCCGGCCGTCATCAACAATGGAGATCTAGCCAAGAGAGAAAACTTGTGCAATTTGAATGCACCCCCTGCTCTCTGCGAGCCCGATCCAACCGTATCCGTGGAAGAAACAGCTGAGAGGGCTTACAAATTCTATCGTGCATTTGTGGTCGACGGTGACCCAAGGACGATGTTTTCCCTCATTGATTCAGATTATATAGTGAGTTAACAGCTCAAATCGAATTTGATGGCATAGGGCAGGTGTTAACTATTGTGTCTACCGTAGCAACACCACGCTGGGTATGCGTCCGGACCCAACACCATTTGGCCCCTTTTCTGCAGTGGAAGTAAACTAGGAAACGAGGCAAGCACAGCTTGGTGCTTCGATGCTAGCACGAATATGTCGTACGCACGATACTCGACTACAGACAGATGGCGATGGGTCGATGGTTGTGTCCACGAGCACGTAAGTATCTCGAATTATAAGAGGAGTTATATCACTCTAACTGTTCTATTAGTGGGACCAAGGCGAGACGATTCCATCGAGCGACAAATGCTTCAAATTGAACACCACTGCAAGCGTGCATTAGCGAAAATTTCTATCAAGGTGTTGAATTGGAAACTTTAGCTATTAAGATGGTGCCCAAGTTGAACGACTGGGCTTGGGAACGTATTGTTTTATTAGCAAACTCGTAATTTAGAAAAGAAACGTTTCTGTTCAACGGAGTCCCCCATTGCAACCAGGACCCTTGTATTAGCTTCGTAGATCATGATGGGCAAGAAATCAATGCATCTAGCCGCAAGCCTTCTGAGTCTTGGATGAGAAACCCGGTTGTATGTATGTACTTTGTAATTATGGCCGTTAGGCTATCATTCGTATCCGATTCCTGCTTGAGATATCCTTCATATTCTAAATGAGTGACTCTGTTTTGCGAATTTATGGACGATGCACTATGCTAGGAGGCGTTTATTATGGATGATTGGAAGAATTATAACGAGTAGAATTGAAGCTACAGAATTAAGAGAGGTATAAGATGGAAATACTAACTTGTACTGCTTGTATTACATTAGGTAAGCTGGAATGATTAATTTGTTACGTTAAATGTATAATTTGCATAAATTAATTATGTATCACTGTATCAATCTATGTACGTACGTATGCAAGCCACTATCACTTCTGCCCCACATTCAAACATGAAGCTCTACTATGTAGACGCCTATCGCAAAAGACTCCCCAGATTCGATCCACGACGCTTAAAAACACCCTTTAACAAAGCCTGAAATGATGCTGTCACGAACAGCGCGACACCTAACGCCCCTCCGCACCTTCACAGCGCGACAAGCCTCCTCAGCGCAGTCAACCCAACTGCGACAGACATGGGCGCGCTTCTCGTCGTCGCAAAGCTCCTCCCCTCAGGAGCCCTCTCCCAATGTCAGTCAAGCCTTCTTGACACTCTACCTTGAGCCCAATAGCAGCGGTAGCTCACACTCATCCTCCATCTTAGTCACAATTCTACAAGACCTTCGGCCGGCCCATAGCCAAGGTGTTTCTACTAGCCATCTTCACGTACCAACTGGCGTACTACTTTTGGGTGCGGTTAGAGCACGATGAAATCAAGAGCGAGATGCGGGCGACCATTACCGACCTCGAAGCGAGGATAGAACAGCTTGAAAAGGCGCGAAAGATTTAGCAGGCACCCTAGCTGGTTCTTAAAGTAGGAATAGGCCGATTATGGCCGTTAATAACCTCTCTTAAAAAAAACAATCCGTCTGCAATGGCGATAGCAGCACACATTAATCCCCACGGCTGCATGCGCGAGACAGCTGGAATGTTGTGTGCGGTATACACCCATCGTTCTGATAGATTCGCAGCAGGTAAATCGACAACATCCAACAAAGTCATCACGCGGGTATCTAACATTAGGAAGGTAAATGGAGAGTTCGCCTAACTGCGAATATAGTTCATAAATATTTGACTACACAACGGGCCAACGGTGCTTGCTGGAAACAGAATAAGGGACAATATCAACCCAGAACGCCTACTCAATGCTATCATTAGGCGTCTCTTGCTCTTCGTCTAACATGACCGTAAATAGTGCGGACCAACTAAGCCACGACGCCTTTATTCAATGACCTTCTATTCCCACGTAAAGTGATATGCTTATAGAAGCACCATAAAAAGTATGCTTGCAGCGCCGACAACTGCCAACCCAGGAAGAGTAAGCGTGTCCGCTCCAGCCGGAAAGTGTGCAGATCCGGGATAGTTGCATGACAAACTGCCGCCACCAAGATCTCGTCCGTAACTGGTATTAAAGCCGAAATCGGTCACCGGCCGCGGACAGGTAAACTCCATCGAGGCCGGGCAGCTCCGCACCAAGTCGTAGCACAGGTCCTCGCAGGGCAACAACTCCTTGTATGGACCTGGCTGAACGGTCTCGTCGATTACGGGGTTCCGAGACGAGTTGTAGGCCTGCCAATCTCCCCATTGATCTATTAGGCTCTGATTCACGAACGAGCCATTTGCGAAAGGAGACGCGATATTGCGCATCTGCAAATAGAGCCGGTTAGGCTGCGAGAAGTCCTCGCAACGTGGTATTGCAACAGAGCAGAGCCAATTCTTGTAAGCGGTTCTACAATCATCGCAATCTCTAGCCAAAGAATACTGGGCAACCGAACTGGTTTCGCAGGGAACTTGTTGCAGGACCTTGTCAAAATTGTCGTACATGGTTCGTGTATAATTATCGTAGAATTCGGCAAGGGCCGTGCCATTAGGGAAATTGGTCAAATTCCCCGGAACAGCGTACTGAGTTTGATCGCAAAATGTCATGTTAAAGATGAATGTACATGTTCCATCTTCATTTAATATTAGCATTTCCTGTCGAGCATAAAAACTTCAGATACTTACCAGGTTTAGTTTGGAATGTAGTTGGCTCAAATACAACGCCACCGCCTATACTCGAAGAACCGGTCTGTCGTTTTGAATTGCTCGCCGTTCCTGGCGGACGAGCAAGAAATCCAGTATAATTAGAGCTGGCGTTGAGACCTGTGACATAGAACTCCTGTCGTGTTAGGTTCTGGTCTCCTCCGTTTTTTAACCCCATGGTTATCATTCCACTACTCCCGTCATCCAGGTTCCTAATCTGAGCATACCCTTTCAAACCACAATAGGAGTTGCGCATCCCATTGATGACGTTATTATCCTGGTTGTGGGCAAAAACAACATAGGGCATTGTAGTGATAACTTCATCCGAGGAATTAGTTAGATAATTTGTCTGCAGCAGAGCCGCCGTTGCATCGCTGTCGACCCATATGAGGTCAGTTTCGCTCGTGTCGTTGCGATACGAATAGTAGTACTGGTCCGTCGAAGCAACAAGTTCGAAATTGTACTGCTTCGTAGTATCGAAGTACTCTGTTGAAACACTTGGGGCCGAGATGCTCATGTAAATGTCTCGATCTAAAGAAACGTTGTACATGACGGCGCCTTCGGTGAATACAATAGCATCCTGCCCAGTCGTGCCCTGTTGCGGGCCAGGAGAGGTATTGTCAGATGACGTCGACACATATAAGGTGAGCTGCGGAGGGTCCATGGTAGTCTGTGATGATAAGCGCCAAGGCTGGTCACAAGTATTTGCGGATATCCATAAAGTTTTTGTCGCTCGCCGAGAAATTTCTGTATCAACAACGATGTCCTCGTGGCCATGGCCTGCCGAGGCCGTTTCTTGCGTGCCGTTCAGATCTCTTCGGAGCTCCAATGGTCCATCCGAATCTTGCGTCTCCCTACTTGAGACTGAAGACGCTAGGAAAACATAGCCCATTGTAACGCCGGGTGCTAAATTGCTCTTTGTAACTTGATTGTTGGCTATCGTGGCTACATTCTCCGGGACCCTCCCTATTATGCTCCGGTCAAACAGCGCAAACTCCGGCTCATACGTCGAGCTTCTGAAGTCCAACTCCTCCGGGGACTCGGCATCTTGTATTTCGTAAGCCAATTCGGGAGCATCGTGGTCGGCGGAAACAGGGTCGAACTCGACGGCCAAAGCGAATTGCGGGGAGAATAGAAATAGGTAGATAACGAGTAAAAGACAGGAGGCTATCACGGACGCAGCCAGTCGAGACTGTAATGGACTGAGTTGCATACTGGGAGCATAGCCCCGTAGGGCATCTCACACAAGTAGGATTGTGTCCCAGGAATGATAGAACTTGTCAAATCTAGACTCGCGGGAATCTGTCAACTAGAAAGGATCATGCTAGGCGCTAACACGATAAGTACACGTTTATTCGATACGTTCGCTTATATTTCGCAGCAATAAGATGATCGCGTGAGAAAAGGCGTATGTTTGGTAAAAAGGAAAGGAACTTTGGAGCTTGACTAATTCGCTGGTAGTAGATACAATTGGTGGCATGGGCTTATCAGGAAGGAGGGAGAAGAGACGACGTAAAGTCGTCGAGGCAGGAGTTTCACATTCTGGAAACACCAATGCTTGATCTGCGATACGTACCTGAATTCCACAATGAAACTGGTTAGCAAGCTGCAGGGGTGTGGTGCGGAGGGTGGGGGCTTCTAATACCCGGTGGTGCAGAATTCGGGAAGTCCCTACGCAGTATGCTAGGTAGCCACAATCGCAAGCCACAATAGGAATGGAAGGCTTCCTGTTAGTTCCCACTTTTAAATACATTTGCACATTGATCTACGGAACCTAAGAAATTTTATCAGAACTCAAAGCATGCCCATCATTCGCCTTCTACTACGTACATATGTAATTGCCTAAATCTGAGACAGCCACGAGATCGGGTAGGGGAAAGAAACCGATTGGCACCGACAGTTTGTCATAAGCTCACAAGTATTCCTCGCAAGATCCATCCAATCATATTGGTATTCGACATTACGCGGTAACAGATCATGTCACCCAACATACATATGTACCTACCTATGTAGGTACCTAGGGATCGCTTTCGCTATCGCATTCGAGGTCGTACATAAAATATATGGGATCGGCGACTTTACTGTTGCTCATTGGGGACAGGAAATCCAGGGTCTTGGCTCGCAGATTTATCTTTAGCTTCAGCTCACCTTCTATAAAGTTATCAGATCGATATAAAAGACTTATCTCATTCTCATCTGTTCTCTGTTTTCTATTTCCTACTTTCTGCCGGTTTCCCAGGCACGACACGGATCCAGTTAGCACTAGCCCATCCTGGCAAATACTACACCACACTTTCGTATAGCAGCCACAGGCCTATAGGAAGCGATGGATTGTGGCAAGTGCTTGCCATGCCGCATGGAGTTCGGCTGGGCAATCAAAATGGTTCTTGGGTCACCGTCTCATTATCCCCAGCCTAGTCTGGGGCTCTCTGGTCGAATGGCCTCAAATCGTCGACGAATTCGAATTAGGTCATCACCTTAACTAGGTTATGCGACACGCTCGATGAGAGACTAACGATCAAGCCCGCTCTAATTTAGCCCAGTGAGGTTGTCGCGAGTTGTGAGACTTGTAACCCGCTTACACGCTATATCGGATGTCAGCAGCGCCAACTGTCGTTTTGTAATCTCGGTATCAATAAACGACGGCAACATGCAGGAACAACGACCACGCGGGCCGCGTCTATATCATAAAAAGTCTCGCACTGGGTGTTTGCGATGTAAGCAGAGACGAGTCAAGGTTAGTTAAGAGGATTGTGACGAATTACGTCTGTTCAATCGCCCATCTCAACTCGGAAACCGATCCGTTAGCAAATTTGGATTTGTAGAGCTCATTCCTAACGTCCCGCTGCAGTGTGATGAAGTTCGCCCTAGCTGTAGCTCGTGTTCAAGACATGCAGTCGAATGCTTATATCCGAATGCGAACCCAGTGTCTGCAAGAACGGCGCAAAATACGCGGCACAATAGCGGGATACCAAGCCATTCGCCTAACGGGCAGACCGCTTCCAGCCCGGTGTTGACGGATGACGCTTCGCAGCGAGCATCCATTAATGCTTTATGTTCTCCTCAAAATGAGAACAAATCAGCCTTTCTGCCTCAGGGTGTGAATTTTTATCCCTCTCCAGGCTCACCTCTTCCGCCTTCCCTGGATGAGGGGACAGATGCGGACGTTAGTATCCCCGAAGGGCCATGGAGACGTCATTGGGAAATACGGTTGATACATAACTACCATCAAAATATGGTCCAGCCATTCCCTATGGCACAGAATCCAGAGGTCCTACACATGTGGAAATATGATATTCCGAATTTAACCATGCGTATGGCCCAAGAACACAACCGCTGTAGTTTGCTCAACGTATCGCTTGCCAACTCGGCTCTGTATCTTTGGACGAGAAGCACAGACCCGAAGGAGCGAGATGAGCTCTTCAAGTTACAGCAGACTTATCAGATCATGTGTACTAGAGAACAGCGCCGCGATATCGACGAGCTGAGTCGCATGATCTCGGAAAATGCTGACTACATCTGCTTTACTAGTATTAGGATTTTGGCGCATTCCTTAGCCCTAGTTCAGACGTTGATGATAGATCCTTGGGAGCCCCCAATTCAGTGGTTGCATATGGGCCGAGGCGCTGGTCAGGTATTGGACATGGCGAAGAAGCTGCTTGATCCCGACAGCAAACTCAGTATTAAATTGTTTGCCCGGAGTAAGCCAGATATGAGCAATCCGAGGGAGTTGATCTACTGTGATCACAGCGCGTTAGATTGGCTCTTGGAGCATCCAGCTGGCCCTGAATCGATTGCGGCGCAGGAAGATCGGGAGCTAGACGACGAAGACGTGAGAGTCGTGTACAACAAGGCTCTCTCGTACATATGTAGTGTTCAGACAGCAATCGATGTTGGCGAACCAGATTATGCCATTGTGAGACGATTTGGCGGCTTCGCGATTTGGGTACCGATCGAATTTTCCAAATTCATAGAGGAGCGAAGACCAAGAGCCATGGTGGTATTGGCTCACTTTATGGCCTTGTGGGTACGCTATGAGCACATCTGGATGGTCGGTAAAGCCGGGGAAATGCAGATTAGGGGCATATATAAGATCATGCCGTCGGAATGGAAACCGAAGCTTGACGGCCTGCTTGCAAGATTTAACCAGACGGAACCGGGTAAGTAGCGATTGTTCATTACGGGTTGGCGGGTTGCAAATATACCAGATAATGGGGCATGATCAAAATATGTATTCTATTTCTTTTTTGGCTTGAAACAAGCTGTAACCCCTATCCTACCTACGTATGTACCTGCCCATATAGTTTATATCTAACGCCACAGCTCATGGGGGCTATCGAGTAACTTTGTGTAATGTTATGTCTACCCAATCATATATACCTAAGTATTCTCTTTTTCAACCATATACTACATAGGGAACACTTATGGTTCATAATCATACCTAGGTAGTCAACGATGCGTTCAAGGGTTGCTTCGCCTCATTGCAATTTGATCTACTATATTGTGATCTTATCACACACTAGTAATATAAGTGCAACTCGTTGTTTTTCAATACATATTAAACATATCATTATTCGTCATGATGTTAACTGTAACTCCATATTTGTATTGCTTCTTTAGACAGTGGTCATTTTATCATACAATCAAACATATCCGCTGTCACCTGTAAGATGGTCTTTAGAGAAAATGTCTAGAGGAGTTCGTACCTGAGTAACTGCACATGTGTTACGGATATAGAGAGTGGACCTTAAGCTTCGAGCGGCCCGCAGCGGCCAATTGTGGAGTTAAGCTAAAGAGCCCTGGGATGCCCCGCATACCATTTGCAGCTCTCTAACATAGTAGCTGTAAAGTGCAACTCTCCGTAGCTTCAGCACTTCTAATTAATTCCATCTACGACTACGTCCGTACCTACGTAACTCACATCGGCCATATGTACCTAGATTGCTACGATACCATTCCCATTCTACAGACTTTACCAGTATTATCTCACGCAAATTTCACGAAATGGTCAGCCCACGGCCCTTCCATATGTCTAGAAGAGCGAACTAACAATCCTCCAATGACGTAGCCTCCCAAACGCAAAGCCGCCGCCTCCTCCTCCGCCGAGCCGAAAGAAAAACAGTCCAAGCTAGCGAAAGAACACAACATCTCGGCGCGCGAGGAGCGCGAGATCAAAGAAGCCTTCGCGCTGTTCGCGGAGCCCATGGAAGGCGAGAAGGAGGGTGTCATACCGACCAAGGACGTGCGCCGGGCCATGGTGTTCGTCTCCCCCTCTCCCTTCCCTTCCCTTCCCTTCCCTTCCCTTCCCTTGCCTTCCCTTTCTTCCTTACCGCCGCCCTTCCCCCCTTACATCCAAGCGCATGCATAAGCACCCGAGAACACGGAGCTAACTCGACCGCGCGCGTGCAAAAACAACAGCGCCCTAGGCCTCGCTCCCACGAAACCCGAACTAAAAGAATTCGTCGAGATCCTGGACCCGGACGACGAGGGGTACGCATCGTACGAGCCGTTCGTCGCCATCTGCGCGCTGAAGCTGCACGCGCGGTCCGGCGGCGGCGGGGGCCCGGACGCCGACGAGGTCGACGAGGCGTTCCGGCTTTTCACCGGTGGTAACGGAGGCGAGGACGCGAAGCTGACGCTGGCCCATCTCAAGCGCGTGGCGATGACGCTGAAACAAGATGTGGATGAGGCCCTGCTGAAGGATATGATACTCGAGGCGAACGGCGGAGCCGGCGTCGGCAAGGGCGTGGGCCGCGCTGAGTTCGAGGAGGTTATGCGGAGGGCTGGGGCTTGGAAGTGAAAGGGGTAAAGGTGGCGTGGATGCTTTGTATGATTCGGGAGATGTGTGTCCTGTGATGCTGGGTTGGAGTTGGGTGTTTGATACGCAACTCGCTAGGTCCGAGGTCTCAGAGCCTTTGTGGGAAAGGCCCGGAATGGTGTATACAATTGCTAACTCATTAGAGTAAGGTAAGCATGTCCCCTATATAGCGCATCTTTCTAACGCTCTTCTGACCAGCTTCTAGAAAGGGAATAAGCAAGGCTATTGCCTGTAAAGATAAAGATGAGGAATTGGTTGTTATGGGGTTGAAGCTTAAGCCTAGAGTAACTAGAGGTCGGCTTGTCTTTTTGAACCAACAATATACTCATTACAAAGGGGCCACTTATGCTTGTGGCATAATACTAAGGTCTAGATATATCCAACACTCAATATATAGACTTCTACAGTCAACCTGTGTGTCTGGGAATCATGATGGTTTTTTTCAGTTATCTGTTAATATGAAGCCAAGTTGTATGTATAGTTCCTGGGAGCGAGCGTGAAGTGTCACAAGCTTTCCATTGACCTTCCAAATTCATATTATGAAGCTCTTAGACCATTGTCTTTTCTTTGAACCATGAGACTTCAATTCTGTTGTATCTGCACCTAAGCTAAGACCTAATATCCTCGAAAAGATCAGACACCCATTCATATCTTTGACAAACGCCCGAAAAATGCAACCATGCCTCGAATGATTTGTAAAGGGGAAAGGGGGGCGAGATATCAACTGTGATAGTAAATCCCTCCGATATTCGCCCAATGCGCATGCATAGATCCCGCAGAGTATCAACAAACTGGCTTATAACCTGAGCAGACCAGCTCTACGCTTTCAATTTAAACTATCCTTACTCCTTACTTACGATACCTTCCGTACCGCAAGAAGCCACCTACTCGGCCGGCGCAGCTTTCACGCTATCATTCTTCGCCGCGGCAGCTTCTTGCGCTTTCTTCTGCGAGTCCAGGACGGCTTGCAGCTCCGGAGGCGGGTTGAAGCCGGGATGGTCAGAGTGCTTCTTGTAGAAGTAGTTGTCGGGCTTGGGCTTTAACTCGGGTGGCAGGTCGTCGAGGACGGCCTGTAGTATGTTGTCGATAGACTTCTTCTTGGAGGCGTCACGATGCCAGATAGAGATCAGGTGCGAGTTAAAGCGCACCGACAGACCAACACCACAAATGGTGTCTCCTTCGTCCACGGCCTCCTGCAGCTTCTCGCCAATGGCCATAAGCTGTACTCGGGTCCAGAAGTCGGGTCCGGAGCTCTTGGGGACTCGGAAAGTCCAGCTGCCGCCTAACACGTTGCGACGGTCCTCCCAAATAGGTCGGAACCCGCTCTTGAATAGATAGATGGATTCGCGCATCTTGATCTGGTCGACGGGGGTATTGTTGTTGTACCGCCAGAAGTCTTGGACGGACTCGATCTGCGTGCCTAGCTGCTCGAGGGAGGCCTGGTAGGCGCTGTCGTCTTCCTTCTTCTGGTCCTTGGCCTGTCTACATCAAATGTCGGTGTCAGGGGAGAACCCAATAATCCCGTTGCGAGAGCGCGGAAACGGTAGACTTACCTGTCAAAGTAGACGTTCCAATAGTGCTGGGTGGGTAGCGGGCGCATGGTCTTGAACAAGTTGCGCTTCGCATCGTCTCGCTGCTCGGCGGGCGAGCTGACGCTGGGCGAGTTGGCGTCGGTGCTCTGGGAGAGCGAGGAGAGCCCTCTGGTAAATAAACTCGGTCGCGTGGCCATGGTGAACTACGGTTCAACTCTGTGATTAGCTTTGTAACCCCGAAGTAGAATGTGACTGCTCACTTCTAAGGTTCTAGGGATTATTTTGGAGGAGGGGTTGGTGAGCTTTGGATGTTGGTGATGGTGATGATGGTGGGGTTCAAAGTTGCCAAGACTTCCTGTTCCTGGCCGCAGCACGTTGCTGCTTGCTTTAGTGGTGTTGTAGTGTGTTGTAGCTGTGTTACCTACAGCCTCAGGGGGTGGAAGGGGTAAGGTTCATTTGGGGGCTAAATAACCTTTGGGACATTTACTTACATTACTATAGAGGTACTTATCCTAATAGTAGACAAAGACAAAGACTAAGATTTAGACTTGACAACCCTATCACACGAGCAATTCCGAGCCGACTAAAAAGAGGGACGAGGTGAAGACTAAAAGTGAAAAAGAACGAGAAAGGCAGACATTAAGAGATCAAGAAATACTAATCGGCTATAGGTACAGTTACAATACTACACTACTATGGTACAGTTAGTACCTAATATGAATCAAGGGGGTTTCCCAGCCATTGGTTCTGAAACAGGAACCGCTACAGGGCTATGTGTCTGATCGCTAAGGTGCCGCCGTCTGACCTCATCAGCGAGCAATATACATCTGATATAGGTACCTCGCGGTATTAGTGGCCGAATTAAAATGTACTCTTTTCTTTCTTTATTCAGTGATTTTCCAAACAACACTTAAGGTTTTCTTGAGAGGTATTCATTGGATAGAAAACTCAAATTCTAAGCCAATGAATTACAAATATCTTTAATGAGAAAAGCCAATCTAATTGTTTCGTACCAACTCTGTCTTATGTTTCGTTAGCAGTAAAGCTGAACCAGGAAGCTAACGGACGCTAAAATATAAGTGACCTCCAGCGGGGCCAACCCACACCTGTCTTAAACATTAGCGACATCCAAACTCGCATCTTACTAAAGACATGTGAGAACCGATCGTTAACAAGGGCTGGGCCATATGGAAACATAAGAGTACCGTTTCTTGTTGAGGCGGATTTCAACCGACCTCAAATCTCGAATGTATACTGCGAAGAAAATCCTTCGTCCCTGATATTTAGGTAAGATAAACGCACGGCACATGCTTATTACATCGTATTGCTCAAACTCATAGATCCTGCGTCAAAGGATTTACTCATGCAATGTGTAGCCTCAGACATACAATATGGGTTCAACTACATGTTTTATCACATCCTAAGCTTAGGGAGATCAATACTCAAGGCTTACCATTGTTATCTTTAAGTTAACTCGCAAAATGGATGGTCATTGGTTAAAGGGTATAGTGACGTGTTACTGGCTGGATTCCTCCCTTGAGGATTGAAAAATCAAATAGGTATGAACTCGAGTGCTCGTAAAAAAGAAATCATTGTCTAGTGTCTTTATAAGTTGATGGCAGGAGCCAAGTAGCTATCGTTTACGGGCTATGTCGTGAAGTGAGCTCTTTTGTCTCTTCTACTTACCTACCTACCTACCTACCTAGTAGGTACCTATAGTCCAATCATCTATTATACCTATCGAAGGTTTATATGGAAACGCTTAGAACTTTATTAAATCTTCAATCCAAATATTAACAATTCATAATATACGAATTTAGTTGTTGATTAATTGTGTCCCGAAGTGGTTCCTGTTTACTAACATGAATTATTAGAAGCTGAGGAAAAAAGGGGTGACCCCTTAAACCCCCATTCAATAACTCCCAGACTTCTCCGGCTAACGCGTAGAAGGCCGGGTAATTATTATGAATACATCAACTATTAGGTATATCAAGGTTCACATTACACCAATTGAAGAAGAAATTCACTCAAATAATAAAAAAATCATCATACGTGTGGAAATTTTTCATGTTCAAATGTCTATTTCTTAACCAGTAGTATATTGAACATATCTTCCATAGACATGCCAGCCCCTGAGTCCATAGTAGCAACCATATATACCGAACAGTCATTAGGTCATTTAACACAAAGAATTATTGCGATTGAGTCATCGAAAGCTTACAATGAAGCTATGCCTAAGGTTCCCAGACTTTAGATTTGAACGCACATGAGATAAGACTGCGAGTATTACCAATACAAACCACCTCCCAGCCAAGGGAACTTTGTCATATATTGTGAGCCAGACACAGAACAGCACAACTCATTTTTTTAATAGGGTCATTCTACTAATTGCTAACAAGAGATCAATCAAGTCTAACTATGGTATCAGGACATGAGTATTATAATAGAACTTATAGATATGCGATGTATTAGTAGACGGGCCGTAGTTTTGCTTACCATGTACGTCACCTCGCGCCCACCAGAGCTCCCAACAACCGTCAGCTTATAAAATTCTATACACCGACTCGGAATCAGCTGGCCTGATCTGACGTAGTTTAGCATGATCTTAACCTGAACAACGCAAGCATTGATCTTCGACGTCTGCTACACGCATAATTCAGTATTACCAACCATTCCGGTAGCTCCGGTCAAACTTCTACTTTGACACACTAGGAAGGTACATCCCATACATGACATGATTTGAAATTTGTGACTTGGTTTCATTGGTCTGGTAGCTATAGTAAAGATACAAATCGTAGAGTTTGGGTTTTGACAGGTGACCTGCCTTGCAACTATTCGTACGTAGAACTCCTATCAGGTTATGCCTGTTCCTTGAATCGGCTCTGCCCGGGTGACCGTGACGGAACTCCCCCGTATCTCAATCGAAGCTCTCGAGGATACTCAAATTTGGAGATCGGTTGACTATTACCCTCCCCACACCATCTCACCGGTCACCTAGAAGGCTGCCTTTGTATAGTAATCAATGGAATCCAAAGACCTCGACAGAGATCGATATTGACTTCGACGGTTTCGCATCGGAGTCCTAGAACGGCACTTCCTCCACCAATGAACCTGCTGGGATCCCAGAAACTAAAGAAATGAAGAGTACGAGCAATCCGACACTGCCGAAGCAGCCTGCTCGATGACACGGACAAGTGGTGGCTGTAAAATCTAGCTATGGTACCCGTCGAGAACGAACCCCGGGGGACTAGATTTAATCAACATCACCCATGACCATCATGATATTGACCCAAACTGTATAGGCTCCCACGGAAGCCTGGGGCGGCTCTCTGATGCGTCGCCGCATCTAGTCGACCGCCAATGTATGGAACTTTTGAGAGCAAAAGACATCCGCCTGTCGTAACAATCCGTTCGATGGCGGCGAGCAACAAAGGAAAACCGTAATGCCGGACAAAATCAATGGTATCAGAGCAAAGACGCCATGTTCGTGCTATGCTTGCTTTCGCGATGCAATTCAACTCATGAAATAAGTTGACAAAGTAGACATTATGCTGAGAACGCCATATGCGAAATGAGATGACGCGGAATCTGTGACAGAAAACGTGGTCATTGCGAAGCGGCAACGCACCAGTGGCGGTGGTACGCCCAGGCGCTCTTTTGACACTCCTTGCTGCAGTACTTTGTTCTGCGGCACCGGCGGCACTTAGCAAATTGCCGCGTGAATTCTTCCCATTTACCACACTGGTAGTAAGCACACTGTCGGATGCCGCCGCGGGTATCGTCCTTCCGGCAAAGGTTGCGCATCACGACCCCGGCCCAGTACTGCATATCGGTGCTATGGTATCGTACAGTGAACTTTTCAACCAAGGGGAATATGTTGAAATCGTTTGGTAGAAGATATTCTTCCTCATACTCCTGCGGACCTAGCGATTCCATCGTTACGTTATCCCCGTCAAGTAATTGTAATTCCTTCCCTATTTGCAGCCGGGGTACCAGGTGACTCTTCTGGAAATATGATCGGAGATTGCAGTATTTCGAGACGTACGCGAGCAGCTGGAGTGACATCAACACGTCCTCTTCTCTGGGCATTGCTGCTAACATCTGGGGATTCGGGGGCGTGGGTCGGTCTAGGAGATAACGAGGTACACTCGCGTGAGTGGGAAGGGAAGGTTGGGGAGTAGGCACAATAGGGCGGTTAGGTGACAAGCCCATGGTTGGTCCGGGGGTCGGCGTGTTGTTCGGAAGACTGCCATCCATAGGAGCTCTGTGTGTTATGTTGAACGTCCCTGCGTCTGGAATCTCGGAGACTGTAGGTGTCGTTAGGTCGAGGGCCGTGCCCGCCAATGTACTATCGCCTTCCTCCATGGCGATGTCCTGGAAACCAACCGCGGGTTGGATATCAGCGGTACCAGACATCTCGGCATCCTGGGATTCGTCGGATTGCACACTATCAGTTGCATTTAAATCATCTGTGTCAGTGGTTGAGTTCTGATGACGTATCGAAGGACGGCGCCTGGGACGCGAGTTTGGCGCCAAGACCGATGTTGCCCGAACAGTTGGCGAGTGAATTTGCGGCGGAGGTAAAGGTGTCGTTGGTGATGTCGGCTGTGAAGGTAGGCCTGGATGGAAAACGGGAACCATTGATGGGAGCCGATCGATATCCCGAACAGGGCGAATAAAACCATCAACTGCCTCCATAGTTGGAACCGCACTCGCCAGAGGCTGGATCACCTGCCGCGACGGAGACACAATACTCGAGCGGCTTTCGTGTCTGTGATGATGATGATGGTGATGGTGGTGGTGATGATGCCGGTTATTAGGGAAAGCAGCGCGGTCTGGAGGGGTTGTAATGGGGAATGATGGAATAGTTGGTATGGCATCAGTATTTCCCTGCGGAGCCGCCGCTGCAGCCGCGGCAGCAGACGTGCTTGCAAAGGAAGCAGCCGAGACATCGATGGACGGCGGAGGAGCCTGTCGGCGGAAAGCTCTTTGCTCGAGATCTAGGCGGGTAGACCTATTTGTGAAAGTCGATTTGAATGGTGGCTCTCGATGGCTGTGACTTCGGTGGCGCTGATGATGATCGGCAATCTGCTTCTGCTTCGCTTCTTCTGCCTTCTCACGACACTTCTCGATAACTTTAATGTAGTTGTCGAGTATGGTTGCAATGACCGGAACCATATCGGCCTCAACCACTCGAGTCCTTACGTTCTCGGTTCCGCGAACACCTATGTTGACCACGCACTGGAAAGCGAGGTTCCATTTCCACATATCCATCATATCTTTACTCCGTCCTTGCTTTAATATACATACCAACCTCTCGATGCCTCCATCGACGGTCAAGATATCGCGAATGCGAGCTGACGATGTGGTGAGGTAGGCGAGATGGTTAAGCGAGTTGATGAGGGGAAGGGTTGAAGTGCAGTCAAGTGCCCGGCGATCATATAAGGCGGTAGTGATGCCCACCGACGCCTTATTGACGTTCGGGATACTAAAATTGACCTCCCTCATATTGGTTTATATCAGAATCAGGCTTTAGGTATGGATGACGATGACGGAAGTGATAAGGGGGATGATACGGGAACGTCTGCAGGTGACCGTCGTATGGATTACAATAGAGACTTCGTCCAAGTTAACAACCCTTGCCAAATGTAAGGCAATTCCACTTTTTTCTTCAATGGTTTTATGAACGCGTTGGATGTAATTCGAAAGACCTTATTGGAAAGAACGAAGGATGGTAATTTTTGTACGATGATGTGCTTGAAAAATGCGTAATAAGTAAAACCAGGCTTTTCTCGGCGCAATTGTCGACACTACAATAGAACCCGGTGATGTATTGGGACTCGGAAGATGGAACACGATGTCGGTCGATGCCTTTGTAAGTGCCCGGCGCGGTTTCTAGGATGTCGATGAGAATAGGATTAATTGAATCTGAAATCGTGAATTTCAAGGTTCGATAACGATTCGAACTGCTGAATTAGCCCAAATGCCTCAGACCGCCCCCAGATGCCTTAGGGTGCCTTGGCTCACTGGATGGGATGATAGAGGGAAAAAAAAGAAATGGAGGCCCGAATCTCCAGCGCGGCGGACTCTATGGAAAGATGGACGTCTCCATCCAGATCACAGAGATAGGAATAGAGACGAGAAAATGATGAGACAGAATTCGCTGTGCTAGGAGGAGGAAGGCGGCGATTCGTTTCGGGGGTTGTGAGAAGATGGGTTGGTGTATCGGGAGAAAAAGATGACTACAGTGGTAGCTTAGACTAGAAGACTAGGGGGTAAGAATTTCAGTGTGGAAAAAAGGGAAGTGGTTCCGCTCCGGGTACAAGTTTACAAGATTGCCCAGGTGTTGCGAAAAAAAGAGGCGAGTACCCTAGTGCCTAGGTACCTCATTCAGGCGACCGGGTTGCACCAAGTTAGGGGGCTGCCCACTGGTCCCTGCCAGGGTTGTCAAAAGTGTGTTATCCACTATCCACCACGACCACTCTTTCCTAGGCTTTTCCTAGTCATGCTCCAGTGTGCTCCAGTGCTGTTGCAGTTGCTGGAAATCTCATGGCTGCAAGTAAAGGCACAAAAGGGACGCTAATGCTGTTAAATTCTATTAGGGCATACTTGTGTGAGTTTGTGCCCCAGTGAGCCCAGTGAGCCGGACTGGGCTAGCCGCTACGACTTGACTTGCCTTGCATTTTTTCCACACAGGGCGCTTCTATGCCTTCTGCCACAATCACCCTTCTTCAGTACCGAGCCACTGAAGGGTTTTCCAGCGAGCTGGGTCAAGACTGGAAAAGAAAGTTGCGGCGGATCCGACCTGACATAATTTCATCGAATGGAGCAACTCGGAATTTCTATACTTAGCTTAACAAGTTTCCTGATCATTGATCGTTCTTAATTTTCTCAGTTTAAGCTCTTCAAGCCTTTCTCTTCTTCCTCCTAAATAACCTCTGCCGTTATTTAACTGTATTACATTGTGAAGCTAGAGTTAAAGGAAGTGCTATGGAATACAACAACCGAATCTATTTTAGTGTAAGTTCCACTGACGCGGGAGCGCTAATAACTCTACTCCAGGTACCTAGGTTTCCACTTAAATACGTGATAATATTAAAGGGTTGATATATAATTCGATCGCTTTGACTTTTTATGACAACTTAGTTTTTGATTGGATAATTGAAAAAGCAGGAGAAAGAAAAAATGTAGTCCCTATATCATAAGTATTATTATAATCCGCAAAGCTAGGAAATTTTCAAGGACCTCGATTATCGATCTGCTGTTAAACGCGTGAGGGTTACAGGCATGGCGGGTTCTTGGCAATTTGATATAAAATTACCAGCCAGAAGGGTCAGGAGGATTAGAAGGGTATATCACAACGCGCTAACCATCGCTTCGAATTACGAATCTTCATACCATACACGGGTACTCTATTATTATTGAGAAACTACTATCAAGTTCTAATTACGACAATTATGGTAGATATACCGCGTTAAGCGATCCTTTCTCAATCATGTTGTCGTGGCAAAGAGACTACCCTAACTCAGAGATCTTGGAAATCTTACACGTGCGAAGGCAAAACCATCCGACAAGTCACGTTGCGACTTGCGTGTCTATTCTCTTTGAGACCTTTGCAGCAACTATGTATTAACTAACATGTGTGTAGTAGCCAAGGGGTGCCAAAAGGGCGAGAACTCTCCCGAGTCTCTTGGCATCTTGGTTACAGCTATATCATCTGGCTTGTGCTCGAGAAGCAAAGCTTGTCTGGATAGAAGAGTATATTCTGTTGACGATCTCCTACCTAAAACCCAGTGGCATAGACTAGGGACCTAGTAGGTGCGGATTCGGTGGCTGACTTACGCTGTATGGATGGCATGCCGAGCCCGTCCCCGCTTCGGGTCATCCTTTGCGATGAAGACTCGGGGACAGGACACGGCCGAAAAAGGAGGTTGGTAATTTCTCCATTAGGTTTACTTCGTGGCCACCCTGTTCAATATTGGGTAGTAATAAGCCGTGAAAGCCGTATCATATTATTATATTTCGAAATCCTCTACATGTTTTCCGTCATAAATCCGTGTCCGTGCTGGCGGGTTCGACTGTGCGTTTTCTATGCGTTTTCTGTGCGTTTTCATCAATGATCCTCGGACAAGTTGCCGCCTGTGCGGTGTATAGGAAAAGATCATAAGAGGTCCCTATTTTCATTGGGCTGACATGCCTTAGCTTTACAAGCAAAGACCTCTTGGCTCCCCTGTCTCGCTCATCAAACAGAGATTCATCGATTTATCGCCCTCATGGCATCGCAGGCATCGTGATCATCAATTATGCTTATTACCGATATGGTAATAGAGATCTAATTTTTCAAAACGCCTCTTGCCTCCCCCTCATACCCTCATACGTAAGGGGGCAGGTAAAAGGTCAGTTGGTAGCTCTCTTTTCGGTGGCACTACTGCACTTGAGGTCAAGCTTGATCAAGCCAATCGTCAACCGACCTTTCGCTTGAAACGGCGAGACGGGCCAAGAGTTCGGAGGGTGGACCGGGGTCTTCGAAGTTGAGAAGGCGAAAAAAGGATAGTCTAGAGCATCGAGTGCAGGCCAAGGTTACATCTAAACACATACTACTGCATGGTACTGTATGCGCGTTGAATCGCGTCACGAATTGACCCTTGGCACGGACTGAATAATAGTGGTTCGAAAGGAATCGGAGTTTCCGTTGAAGAAGCTAAGGGGAGCAAATCTGAATTTTGTTTTCGGCGGTCTTCGGTTCTGCCTACGTAGTTACTTGCCTATTAATTATTTCTCTCGACGGGTTAAGAATGTCTTGTCAATGCTCAGGAGCCGTGGTATGCATCTCATTTTAAAATTCGGTACCTGCATCTTACGGAGTAGAGAGGTGGGTAAGGTATATTTGATATACTCATGTCTATTCCCGACTCGTCCATCATGGAGCATCCGTAAAAGTACATCGGCCCTATCCGATCCCGGAAGCTTACGTTTTACTTAGACTGGCCTCTACATCACATTGATACTTCTAATAGAACCTTAGTAGACACCTTGAGAATGGTAATGACTAAACCTCTGAAAGAAAGGATTACATGTCCTGCTCTACGTAGACTGTCCGACATGTCTCAAGCCTTGAAATACTTACAGAAGTATGCGCGGTTGAAATAATGCAGCTACCCAGCCACTGTCTTTAGAAATAGCCGAATTCCCAGATTACCCAACGCTTCACCTTATTAAAATTCTCCCAGTGGTTCGCTTGACGCCTGTATATATCGGCTAGTAAGTTAAACCGTTGGATTTGTGTATGGCGAGATGTTCGATCCTCCTGTTCATTGAAACGATTGGTTCCCGACAAGCATCTTTGCCGCACCCCAACGTCCTTTTACGGGCGCTTAAAAATACATACCTGCTATGTAATCCGCCTTTTTCTCATTAAATGACGATTTCATCAGCCGCGCCTTGGCTGGCAACCTTGGAAGTGAGACCACGAACTTAACCCCAGCCATCCAAGACAGCATATCTTACCAGTGTCTTTTCTGACGTAGGTGGCACGTCTTATTCAGCCCGGTTCTCCATGCGAACGAGGCTGGCCATTGAAAACGCGCTCTGTGGTTCTTCGTGGATCTCTTTATGCTCAGTGCTTTGGCCTTTTCTGTTTTCTGGTACACTAGTGTGATGTCGACCTTGACGTCCGACACTTGGGGATTTTCGGGATTGGTACCAGTTAATAACAAGGTTGGCTTAAGCCAGATAATAAGAGAGCCAAGACCCAGCAAGCGACGTTTCACGTAATGATCCAGATCTGATGTCGTATTCAATGAGCCTCCTATCGGTCACCGAAAAAAGAGCATGTAGGTAGTACATACATATGTAAATACTAAATACCAACCATCTAAGATCTATAAAAATACCTATGGGTGTAAGTAGGTACGCTGATGACCGACCCACTAGGATTTCAACCATTCATACATAACTATTTCAATATCATTTTAACGTGCTACTAGATTTACTAGGAATGAGCACAAGCCACCCCTTGTTAAGAGATCTCTTCTTTAATTCAGCCTTATAATTTTTCAGCGTTGCTAAAACCATGATTTTGAATATTACCCCCTTATGCGTTCTGGGGTAAGGCTAAGTTGTCGTGGGTAGGATGAAACACCGCCTGTCTCGATAAGATTACTATGACATGAAAACGACGACAAGGTGCACTACATATGATCTTCGCAGCTTCGGCACCGGCTTCCGATTTGATACGCGTCCTGATATCCCGGAGTGAATCTTTCAATCATCTAGCCATCTGTTACGATATGAGGCGACTATTCGTGATCTGATCAACGAGGTCGATGAGATGAACTGTCTTCGAGCACACCGCTATGCTGAGCATTGATATTCTCCGTTGCGCATGAAGAGTGTAGACCAGCAGTTCTCGGATGATGCTTTATGCCGACTTAGAGATCTAGCATGAGATCTCATCATGGATACTACTATTAAGACACAAAATAAGTATCGACTCACTAGCTTACTAGGTAATTTGTCTAGAGACAAAGCGGGCTCCAGCAGTAATCTCAAGTTAGCCGTTAACAACCCTGCCGTCCTTCCCCCTAGCCCCTTTCAATCCCATACGATGACGACGCACCGCATTGAGATGGTAATTTTTTGAATCATCCCCAAATTCATATTTTGCAAAGGCATAATTTCTCCTAATACACCTGGTTAATACAAAGTTTATCATATACGACTCGTTAATTTCTAGGTGATGCTCAGAAGGAGTTCCAAGGAATGATCTAGTCGAATACAGTATGGAGTTCGTAGGATGTTTCTGTGCGACTAGAAGCGCATGTGAAAATCATCAGATAAGTTTCCTGGTATAGTACGTCTGATACCTACAGTATGGGAGTGCCGAGACTCAACTTTTGAGACACCCTTTCTAGATAAAACCGTAGGCCTCGTTGATGACAGACATTAGATCCATCTGATTTTCCGAAGACGCACAATAACAGATCTTTGTTCAAACTGTTCAATTTTTGAAGCCCAATGTAGTGTTGAGCGAAGCGTGGATAGGACTTGATATCCCAATTAGCGTCAACAATATTGTCTAAAATTTGTTTAATTCATTAGGTATCATAACAAGTGATTAGTTCGTAAGTTACACTAGGTCGCGTCGCTCCGAGGCTCAATCGCCGCTCATTTTTGCATGTCTAAAGTACTTCATACCGACCCACGCGACAACAACCCAGACCCAAGCCATGATGCATGTTAAAATAAGTAACGCCGGGTAGTACCCGACTATCGGCAGCGTGGGGTCGTCTTCCAGCTCCGGGGGCGCGTACGGGGTCGTCCCTACATCCCAGGCCCAGGTCCAGACGTTCAGGCATGAGCCCATGCCTATTATAAAGACAAACCACGTCACGGTTAGCACTACCCATCCCCACCACTCCGTCTCGCTATAGTCGTGATCCTCGTGCGCGGCGGGAAGCGGGCTGGCTGTCAGCCCTTGTAGGGACAGTGGTGATTTAGCATGTTTAACTGACCGCCGCCGCTGGATAGAAGTGCTTGGCGCGCGGTTCGGGAAGTAGGAATCGGAGCCAGAGGATAAGGAAGAGAGGTCCGGGTTTAGGGGCGACGGGACGCGGACTGGTAGTGAAAGTATATCCTCCTCGTCTGTTGTAGAGGTATATGATATCGTAGGGCTCGTTACCTGCGAGTCGAGTTCGATAGGTGACGGAGAGGCTATCGGGACGGTGTCTCTCCTAGAATAGCCATCCATAGAAGGGCGCGGCGTCAGATCTGAGATCCCTAAGCCGAGGCCCTCGCTCGCCACCATAGGTTGCGGCTTAAGCGTGTTTCCCGGCTCGGCGGCTGGTTGTGTGGCCACCGACGTATCAATAGCTAAAGGCTTCAGCTCCCGCCTCTCTCGCGCGGCGCCGCGACCCAAAAGTGCGACTTTCCGAAGAGACCCCTTACGCTTTCGGGTCTTCTGCTGTTGGGAAATGGCGGCGGCGAGAGCGCGGGGAGGTTTGCTGGGAGGATCTAGGTGGGTGCCGGCGTGTCGCGATTCGTTGAGGCTCGACTTGCTCTCGGAGGTGCGCAGAAAGGGGAACTTTGAAAGGATGCTACCCCCAGAGCCGCTCCTCTTGCGCCCCCCTATTGCTATATCCGGCGAAGATCCATTTTGGCTCTGTGGCTGGGTTGGAGGTACGTTCTCCATCGTGTATCGTTTTTCGGGATTTGCTGTCCTTCAAGTTGGGAGAGCGTCGTGAGCCTTCCCATCCTGCCTTATCGAGCCGGAGAATACATCAGGATTAAGTAGTCGTCTAAAGTCTAGTGTCATTTGTGTTGGCTTGAAAGTTCTCTCGCATGGAGGAGAGTACAGTTTGGGGCGTATCCCCTTTACGAGGCGTTTCAATTGGCAATATCTCCCCGTGGCGCAAGGTTAATAGAAGTTTGGCGATGGTGAGGGGAGTCCATAAACTCAAAAAACGCAAGAGTCGCGAAGTTCTGGTGAAGCGCGTGGCGGCTCTTTGACTGCCCTGTTCGCGGTTTAGCTTCCCCGTAAGGCTCAAGCTGCTGCTGCCGCAACTTTAAAACACGCCAATGAGATAGTTACGTGGCACGTGCATCTGTCAGAGTACATTGGCGATACTTAGATCATTGCGTGATATTCCCGTCTCCATATGTACTATGTTGTACATCAATTACCAAAGGTAACACATTTTCAAACTCAATTCATGCGACGTCAATCGATTCGATCCTCCGCATTCCAATTCGATTATTGAACCGTTTGCGCCTCCCAAACGGCGAGCGCAGCTCCGAACTTTTTTAAGACAAACTTATCCAAAGAGCGACAAAAAAAGCCAAAAGCCGTCCCGGTTATGGAACCGAGATGAGGTCGATTCTCCATCTCGCCTCCAGTTATACGGGACTACATTACCTACCTAGGTAACAAAGTAATTCCCCGTTCCATTTATTTATTCCTTCTGAATCGGGATAAGCGCCGAATTGGTTGGGGATGGCTCCCACAAGCCGTTTACAACCACCGCCTCCCATATCCGTCACTCCCTCTATTCAAACTCCCGACGATTTCGACGATCCCGACGCCGACATTGCCATTGACCTTGACGACGACGGACGGGGAGCCCCTAATTACACAGGGTACGGGCGGAATAGCCTCCTTTCGCCAAACCGCGACGCCTTCTACGACCCCAATCGATTGTCTCCCGTGGCTCCTACTTTCCAGAACAACGACTTTTTAAGTCCCAACCTCAGTCCCAACATGGCCTCCAGCTCCGGTGGTTTCGGCGAGAATGCCTCCCCTATCGACATACCCAATGCGGCCAACGGCAACGCCCCGAACCCCTTCAACTTCCAGACCCAGATAATATCTACGTCCCCCGTCAAGCCAAACGTGGGCCAGCGTCGTGGCCACAAGTACAAGCACTCGAGCATCAGCGCCCAGCACCAGATCTTCCAGGAGCCGCCGCCGCGGCCTCCCCTCGCCCTCCCTCGTGACCTGCCGGTGCCCACGGTGAACGAGGCGTGGAAGTCGATGTCGAAGGACCAGCGGCGGCGGCTGTACTGGTGCATGTGCCACCTGCTCATCGCGGTGTCGGTGTTCCTGTCGGCGCACGGGTCGCTGGCGATGACGGCGCTCTCGCACCTCGTCCTCTTCGACGTCGGGTCGGCGCTGATCTGCGTCGCCGTCGAGGTGCTCGGCAACTTCGAGGTCTGGCGGCGCAGCAGCATCCGCCACCCGTTCGGGCTCGAGCGCGCCGAGGTCCTCGCCGGCTTCGCCCTCAGCATCTTCCTCATCTTCGGCGGCTTCGACCTCGTCAGCCACAACCTGAAGCACGTCCTCGAGGGCAAGGGCGGCCACGCCCCGCACCACCCGGACCCCCACGACGCCGGCGGAGAGCCTAGGGTCCCCGTCGGCGGCCTCGATATGGCTAGCCTGGCCGCCATCGCCGCCACGCTGGTGAGCGCGTACGGACTGAGGAACCACGCCCGCATCAGCAAGGTCATGCGCGTGAGCTACCTGGCTAGCTTGCCCAGCGTCCTGTCCAACCCGTTCCATTTCATGACGCTGTCCACCTCGTCTCTCATGGTCGTGCTCCCGCTCCTGTCCATCCCGATCGGCATGCTCCTCGACAGCGCCATATGCGGCGTGGTCGCCGTGGCCATGTTCGCGCTCGGCACGCGGCTCGCCATCGCGCAAGGACTCATGCTGCTCATGAGCTACGGCGGACGCTCGGGCACCACCACCACCAGCAGCGGCGTCATCGGTGGTAGGAACAACAACAACAAGGACGTCGGCGTGGCGGACGTGGTGCGCGAGATCGAGGCCGAGCACGGCGTCGAGAAGGTCGAGGAGGCGCAGTTCTGGCAGGTCCACTACGGCCTGTGCATGGCGAACCTCAAGCTCTCCGTGTCCAAGGGCGCGGACGACGCGGCGCTGAGCCGCCTCCGCGCCCGCGTCGCGAACCTCATCCAGAACCGGCTCGGCGAGGGCTACGGCAAGGGAGGGAGCTTGAGGTGGGAGGTTAGCTTGCAGATGGGCACGGCGGGGCGGTTTTAGCCGGAAAACAAAATCTCGTTACGGCGGTGTATCTGGCGTATTTGCGGGGTAGGAGAAGGAATGTTCACCAAGGAATCGGCGTTCAAGGCTGTCTCATTAATACTTTGCTAGACCTAGGTGACCCTGCCTAGGTAGGTAGAGAAAAACTAGACGTATGTAGGTTAGACGAGGGAGGCCGGCACAGACAGCACTTATGCTTTTACCTAGATACGCTTGTTAGGTAGATAGGTAGATTTGGGCCTTCGGTGTACATCTTAAAAAAGAGCTTTTGGCGTGGGTTTTTTGTACATATATATTACCTTGTTCACTGTTTAAAGGGGGTTAGGTGTGGGGAGGGCAAGGGAAGAGGATGGAGACTTAAAAGGCTAGGTAGTTTATGTATACCCTAAGAATAAACGGAATTTGGAGTATACGGTTGCTGTTGCTGTGAGTTGAATCGAGTTGTGTTTTGTTAGGTCATGTCATGATGTAAAATGCTTTTTATATCCACCGGTTGTGTATAGTGTTTCAGGGAATATGGTGTAGGTAGGTAGATAATAGATCATGGCTATATGAGCAATGTATTCTAAGGATGGCAATTTCATAGCTTGTACTAGGTATTGTGTAGACATAATAAAACGGGGGTGGCTTCGTATATAATGCCTTTTCTTACACGGGGTATCTGGACACTGAAAGACGTGTAGGTAGTCAGACCACTCATGTATTATGGCATATAATGTGATATCGTGTAAGGTAGTGGATCTACCAAGTTAACCATATAAGCAGCAGTGGCTACAGTTACCTACCTACTTTAAGAGGCTCGTTTATGGAGAACAGCATATAGCCAGCTTCCTTTCATTGCCACTATAATGGTTCAACTTGGAAGAGAGGGGGAAGCTCAGGTCCTTCAACCTTGATGGTCAAGATACTCGGCATATATCCGAAATCGCTTAGTTCCTACGGTGTACTCTATTCTAGGTAGTCTACGTAGTCTCCCATCATGCTGCTGAATAAGAAGACAAATTCGCTGGTTTGGTATCAGTACCTACGTAGTGAATACAATACAAGCTGCTTGTTATAACGCAACTCATTTCCAACATGACAGCTTTATAACTCCGCTGTATGCTCCGCTTATACATATCCCGTTATCGAATGGAGAAGACAAGTTTAATACCGACGACGCCCCCTTTTTCATTGAGTTACCGAAACACCTCTCATCTATTTAGATAGATCAACCCACGAAACACCAACCCTTTAAAACCCCCCTCGCATTCCCGTGTTGTATTTCTTCTGGATCTCACCGTTGACGAAATTCAGCAAACGCCAGAAGGAGTCCAGTTGCTCGTGCATGGCATCCTCCCTCTGAGCGCGGAACTCGAGGGCAACCTCGTTCAGCTCGATGAAGCCCTCGTGCTGGCGCTTGAACTGCTCGAGCATTGCGATCAAGCGATCGAGTTGCATGTCGAGATCTTCGAATATGGCTTTGTTGACCAGGATAGAAGAGTTGGGGAACTCGGCCTCGAAGTAGTCGAAGTCTTTGTGGAGCCCCTTGATGGTCATCTCGATGAAATTGATCCGGTCGTCGTCTATGGCCGATGCAATGCTCTCTTTTCGGAGGTTGTACTCGTCGAGGGTCTGCGCTCGCTGGTTGGGGTTGATTTCTCGAGCTACGCGCGTCATGAACTTAAAGTTGTGGTGCTTGGGACGCTCAGGCAAGTAAACTCGGAGCGCGAGTTCGGCCATCTCTTGGGCCGGAGGCTCGTCGTCATCGTTGGCGTTGTTATTGTCGCTTTGATCTGTGTTGGGCGGGCCTTGTGGGTCCTCTTGCTCAGGTAGATCCTCTTCGTCATCCTCGTTTAGTAGTTCTTCAAAAAGTCTTTGTTGCTCGGCGTATGCTTGCGGGTTGTAAGGCCGATCGGAGGATTTTTGGGAGTGGGTATCGGTCTCTGTAATGTAGCTTTGGCAGTTGAGGGTAAGCTCTTGGGGCAGGATCGTGACACCCGGACGTAGGTGGTTATGGGAGATGACATCGCCGCATCTGTAGACGAGCCAGGTACGGCACATGGGACATCTGGCGTGGCCGTCGTGGAATGTGAGTACGTCGTAAACTTGGGTCCAGGCGAGAATACACTTGTTGTCGAAGCGATGGCCGCAGGGCAAAGTTGTGAGAGAGGCGATGGGAAAGTTGCGGAGGCAGATGCTACACTCTACTGCGTCTGGACCGTTCGTAGAGCTTGGGCTAGGGGTCTTGCAGAGCACGAATTGGTCTTCCTCTTCATCATCATATTCTCCATCCTCCTCGCCGTTCTCGTTCTCGTTCTGATCCTCTTCTTCCTGCGCTCCTTCTTCTTGCTCTCCCTGTTCCTCAATATGCCCAGCGGTAGTCGTCTCGATATGCTGCTCCATCCCATTCCCAATCTCCGTCTGATTCTCCATCGAGGTACCCGTCGGGTCCTCCGTCGGGTTCTCCGTCAGGTTCTCCATTTTCTTGTGATATATAAAGTTTTATTAAGAAAGTAATAAGAACCAGAGAAAACCAGTCGAATATGTTGATTTCATGTATAACCACGAAACCAATGACCATGCACAAAACGAATGTAGATGGCTCCATAGAGATGGTAATGAAAATAACGAAACGATTGGACTGATGCTGGATATGTAGACTCAGGTGACGATGTTGGTTAGGTTGGAAGTACGCAGCATTTTTGACGTCTAGATATTATAAAGAGCCTCTTAATTGACGGCCAGGGGCGAGTCGTGAGAGACGTCAGTTGTAGATACCTCTTTCTATAGTTTTAAGCATGTGAATAGAAAACGTCTGGTAGTTCTGCCCCTTTTCTACTATTTCTAACATGTCGTCTCTGCCATACTTAGAACGATTACTCGTTCCTGCTGCTCTATCTAGGGATTAGTTGCCTCATTTGAAAAAGACGGCAATCGCTTAGTTTGTTGTTATTGCCATATGCTTATAACTTTATGTTGTTGCTGCTCTTGCATGAGTGGTCGGGTTGCGAAGGTCATAAGATACCTAGACAAGGAAACCATTTTGAATCTTACATACATTCTCATTGCAATTATTTAACGGAACTTAACTCTATTTAACAAAGCAACCGCCCGAATAAATGGGTACCTCTCATCTAGTTAATGCTTTAACTCGATTATCACACATCTTCAATTGATGTTAGGCTTGAACTAGAGTCTATTGTCAAAGGCCAATGAAAGGACATGGCTCGACACAATGATCTAGCTTCTGTATATAAGTCTCAATTGTCACCGGACATGAGTACAAGATGATAACCAATTGCAGCAAGCTCGGCCACCGTTGAGAGAATCGTTCTTCGATGAATTCATGCTATAATTCGTACATCGCTAGAAGATACCATTGCCTTGCAAATACCCTAGGGATTTAAATATAAAATCTCAATGCCTCCTACTAATAGATTACCAGCGACTTATAACTTGACGTTGAAATTTACGGCCTGGATTAGACTGAAGGGAACGATTTGTCAATACCTACCTACATGCATCATGACATGAGCTTTAGACATACACTCGTAAGTGGATGTACCCCCTGGCCGTTATTGCGGGCATTGAAATCGCGCTCGCCAATGCTCGTATACGATTTACACATCTTCATCGCGAGAATTGGCGTTTTGTCGAAATCCGCTGACAACACCGCCGAAGAAAAGGTCGCCAGAAATTTGTTCATGTGCAAAGCTTCTAGTCAGGCAAATTACGTGGCGTCAGGCCTGGATATCAGTGCGAGTGTAATCCGACAGGTGGAAAATCCTGCCGAGTACCATTTTGCAAGGGCCCGGCGTCTTCACATGTCGACGTCTCGATACACTGGAGACTGTTACCGGAGCCGGGTCATCTGTATACCGGATCAATTCCACGCAAACATCGGACGCGAAATCACACTCCTCCCCGAGAACTTGTCACGGTTGTTCAATCGCGGAGGAACATCGTTCGTGGATCACAATCTCCTCTTCAGCAGATCCGAGCCTCGATCTCCCTTACTTCCTATCAGATGTGGCCTGCGTGCTATCCCCTTTAAGTCTCCCGGTCTGCGACGAAATTCCTGCCGTGTTTCACATAAAAGGTCGAATAGGATGAAAATCTGCGAGACATTATTACAGCAATGGTACCGCATTTGGGTCTCGCTTTCGGGAACGCTTGTTCATGACATGGCATGACAGCGTCTGCAACGTGCGACAGGTATGTATATAACGACGGGACACGGCACATTAGATGAGAGATACAAGTCTTGCTTTTGGCAAGACGTAGCCGCAGAAGTAGAAGTTAGGCACAAGTTACTGTCCATGGTCACCGCTGATTCGAATGATTTGGGAAACGAGTTGCATTCGTATCTTGTCCTGTAAGCGATGAGATCCTATGGAACTGGTAGCACATAAGGGTGTGATGGATCGATCCAAGTATCACGCGATTGAGTAGCGGTCAAACGATACCCCGAGGTATTAATTGGTATCTAGATCTGACTTTGCAAATTCGGAGATTCTGTTATTGGTTTCACAATCAGGTGATGGCTGAGTGATAAAGTATGTAAAAGGTGGAGGAGTGGAGGAGCGGAGGAGGAAGGGAGGAAGAAGGCGATGTAGTGGAGGTGTAAGTGGCGTTGATAGCTTTCTCTCTTGTGGCTCATTGATTATCTTATCCGAGAGCCCCTAAAGCTGAGCTTCTACATATCACTAAGCCTAGGTAAGATTCTAAGGACCAGCGATAGTACTTGTACTAATGCAAGGAAAGCTCTTATTCGAATCCTCCCCCTCCCCCCTTAACCAAGCTTGGATGTGTTAACCTTGCGTCGCTAAATAACGTGGCACGGCATCGACGAATATGAAGAAACTCGTCTGTGTTGGAGCTTGCTATCTTGATACTATCCTGGAGTGAGTCCGCCCCTTGTTGCAGAATAAGCATGGCCTGACTCAGATCCATCTCACGCAATGTAGCGTGCCTCACTACCCGGGCGAGGACTCTAAATTACGTGCCACCAATTTACAAGTGCGTCGTGGCGGCAACTGTCCCAACACCCTTCAGGTGCTTCAGCAGCTCCTGAGGGAACAACGGCCTGATGGTCATAATAACCATGGCGGTGTCAAACCCTACCTGATATCTTGTCTGCCTAGCGCCGATGCACCTGCGACAGCAACCGTAGTGGACTCATTTGGACCGGGAAGCCTCGTCGACTTCACGCGATGCATCTTCCGCGCGAATCACAGGGATCCCGCGAGCAGTTATATCATACGTAGCGAGGCAACCGGGAGTCGTACCCTCGTCAACTACAACGACCTACCTGAGATGACGATCGACGAGTTCGTCACTGCTGCCGACGAGGTCGGCGACGATGCTTGGTTCCACTTTGAGGTACGCCGCTGGTAACCGTCGTAGAGCTAGGAGATCGTTTTTTTCTTTCATTCGCTGTCATAGGCTCGATCTAGAAAGGCTCACCCCAAGATAATACATGCACAGGGACGGATTCCTGAGACGACGTTGCAATGCATTCGGTACTTAAGGCGGTCGTTCCCCAGCACAAGAGTGAGCGTCGAGGTCGAAAAACCGGGCCGATGGGGGTTAGAAGACCTGGCGGCTGAAGCGGACGTCGTGTTCTATTCGCGGAGCTGGGCTGAAGTGAGTCACCTTTTTTTTTCCCCTTTTTTTCTTATTTCCCCCCACTTCCTAGTTCCTCGGATTGCGAGGATTAGGACGGCGGGCAGAGTTCCGTAGCAGTAGCAAGCAGAGAGAGTTAATAAGTTGACGGCAACCCGGTTCTCCAGAGTAAGCGGTACGAGAGCGCTCAGCAATGCCTGAGTGCCCAATCGGGCGTGGCCCGGAAAGCGTGAGTTGCATTGGAACCCAGTCGCTAAATGAATGAATGCAGCGCAGCACAGCACAGGCGGGTGCGCTGAGATACTAGAAGTAATGTTGCTAAGTAAAACCCCGTTGGTGCAGAACCCTCCTGCTATGTACGTGGGGATCGGACGGTGCATCGTGTCTATCACTTCCCAGCGCGAAGGCCGTGTCTTGCCCGGCTACCTTGCCTGGGCAAACCATTTCCGTAGTGGAGTATGTCAGACCGCCGGCGACCCAGAAGCCGGGCTCCTCTGTTAGCTTCTCGAAGAAGCGCCAGAGTGAAAAAAAAAAGACAGAAGACAACATTATGTGTGTGTAGGATGGGCTAACGATTATCTTATTATCCCTGCGTTAGCACCGTGGGAGCAGGTGACACCTTCATTGCCGGGATGCTATTCGGGCTGCTGTGCCACCACGAAGACTGGAACACCGAGAGAAAAGTGCAGTTTGCTGTGCAGCTTGCTACGTGCAAGGTGCAACGGGACGGGTTCGACGGCGTTGGGGCCGAGGTGTTGAAGCATTTTGGAGTGGCGTCGTCTCAATGAAACTTGGACGATCGGTTATGAGATGAGATGTAACTAGCGAGCCGTGGTCGTGGTCGTGTGACAGGTGCCTCTTTTTCCTTCCTTGTTCCTCTTTATTTTTTATTTTATTTTATCTTTTCTATCCCTTCCCTTCCTTTCCCTTCTAGCCGGCACGGTGTTACCAACCTAGACGCTGCTCTAAGCCTAGTAGGTAGATTTATTAAATAACCCTCGGGCGCCTATCCTGGGTTGGGTCTGCCGAACGCGATAGGTTTTAGAAACATGCGGAAATGTGTGTAGTTCGCATAGTTCGGACGCAAAAGCAGGAAACCTATCCATTAAAAGGGCTTGCATGGATCGATGGGCTCGTAATGGGACATATCCGGGGGGGCCCCATCCCTTGGACTTGGTAGAGCGGTGTTATTATTTTAGCATGTATCATCCGTCGTATTGTACCCTACATACCTACCTAACACACTATACATACCACATACATTAGGGACAATAGGGACAATAGGTACGAATAGGAGGGCCGATGCGCCTTGTCGTTAGGGCTCGGATGGGCTTGGATGGGCTTGAACAGAGAGAGGAAGGTGAAAAGACCGGCCGAGACTGAGGACGATCGTTCTGCAAAGAGTTCCTCGAATGAAATGTCAGCAAGTAATAAGGTACAAGGAGCGGTGAAACTGTGGATCGCTGATGTGTAAGATGGTTGGCCCGTGTTGGCAATTCCTACAGTTGTAACAGGATAGGCAGGATAGGGGCCATACCTGCTACGGTATGTAAAGGGTGGCTGGTACGGGTAATAATCCGTCAAGATACTGTAGATAATATGTAACACTGGACAGACTGGGGATGACGATGATTGGCTCTTTGTCTTGCCTGCCCGCGCTGTTACTGCTACTCGCTGCTTCGTACTTTACTCTATCGGTAGCACACACCAGTACATAGTAATCGTTTATGTGTATGAACGTACCTATGTATTTCGCCGGTGCTGTATAGTACTATAGTAGCGTATGTCCAGGCGTTGTTTGTCTACTATATCTGTATATCTGTCGCTCTGTCGCATCTTATCCCACCTTCGGCATCCATACGAAGGCCCTTGTGGACGCCGGAGCCGCCTTCCCGTTCTCCGCAAGTCTGGACCGCCCCGTAATTCGTTCTTGAATGGGGGAATGATGGGAATAATGATGGCACGATGCGTCGTATCGAGAAAAGTTGCTCGCTCTTTGACGTAGGATTTGGACGTCGCAGAGCTGACACGAGCGAATTCATAATCGGCCCACGGGCCACTTAGTCCACGACGACTCCCTCTTTTTTTTTCGATGGATCCCCCTAAATCAAATACATACCTAGCCCTGTCCGCCACGGGATGTTTGGATGTTCTCGAGTCACATATTGCCTCGAACCTATTCCACGGATGTTGAAAAGCCGCATCAATACATACTCCCGGGTTAGGCCTCATGAGTGGCTAGTCTAGAAGCGCCGTCACGGTTGGGTTTGAGCGGGCTTATTGTATCTGGGTACCGAAGATCACCTCGGTCGGTCGAATCTAACTTATCCTGCTAATCCATATCAACATCCCCCATATGAAGCATGTATGAGGTTTCTCGATGACTTGGATAAGATGGATGGTTACACCTTTAGCTTTACCATATGCAGACTAAGCTGTTATATTATAGTACCTCTAGGTAGGTAAGTTTTGAGTACTATTGGACTTAGGTAGCCTGCGCAATGTTCCGGAGGATGGTTAGCCGTCATCACGGGCATTGTTTTGCCTTTGCGGATATGCCTCGATAGTCCATGACGCAAACTAGTTGTCTATTTGTCCTGTACGGTATTGAGGCTGCAAATCATTCGTCAAGTTCCATGTAATCGTGTACATGACAATCATACATAGCCAGGTGGGCGACTCTACGCGTTCGACGATGTGCCGCTGAAGTGGTGATCAATCATCCAAGAGGAACCCGTCCGGCAACTCGTGTCTAAGAGCTCGGGCGATTCGGCTAGCGTCGACATTGTTTTCCTGCGAAGGGGAACCCCATCTCTTGAAATCGGACGATTGGAAAGTCGAAAAGCGCAAAGTGTCTTTTCCCACAGCACAGCATACATATTGACTTGTACGATGGCCGATCCTGTAACAGCCTGGTCGACTTTGAGACCTCGTTTACCTATCCATTTCGAGGTGGGATACGGCGAAGCTGATGTGATGTATTCGGAGATATGTTAGGGAGTATTAGATTCCTCCACCCACGTACATCTCGATATTGGTTTGCGCGAAGATTAGATTACCCCTACCTTGGAACATGCTGACGGTGCCGGGAGGTGCAGGAACGCTCGAGTTTGAATGTTATTAATTGCCAGCCTTGGAAACAAGTCCGTCTTTCATAGTAAAGTGCTGACCGGACTCGAAGCCTGATCCTTTCCGGAACGAGGTTCTCTTATTAGTAGCCGAATTCACAGTGTACGTAAGATACAAGGGCGTGGGTAGACAATCGGTAGTATTGTCTCTTGGGATTACGGCAATCGTGCCTTCATTCGTCTTACACACAGGATGCTCAGCGCTATGTGACGAGGTTAATAGAATGGTGGTTCAGGTATTATTATTGTCTAGCGGAGAATAGGTCCTTCTTGGCTGGTAATAGATGGGCAGGATGGGTTAGGCTACGCTAATTAAGTTGCTCCGAGGCTTAGCTATGGCTTGGGAAGGGGTCGAAGCCATGTAGGGACTATACTATTATACTACTATGTATGTAGGTCAATGCTTTGCGAAGCTACACTACTGCGTAAGACTCTCACCAATCAAACATTGCCGATGGGTGGCCACCGGTTAGATTGGCCTGGTTGGCCTGCTAATAACTCACCTCGGAGAGTTTCGTCAGCCTCCTTTCAATAAGGGGTGTCAGGTTACTGGAATATGGAAAATTGTCTTCGTCGAAAATGGCCTGCAAAGCGGCATGGATGGACCCATCCGCAAAGCTACGGTGGACATTGGACAGCAAAGCTCATGAATCCGCTCACCGGATGCATGCCGTGACCATTGGTAGTGGCGATACGCAGCAACAAGCAGCACATCTAGGATCCAAGGCTCCGTTATTAATGCGCCTAATTAACCATCCTTTATGGGGTATGGAGAGTATGGAGTCGGAGCTGGGCTACCCTGAGCGCGGGCTGAAATTAGAGCAAGGGCACTGGGATAGGAAGTCGAGGTCGAACACAGACCTACCGCCTAGGATCGGATTTGGAACATTGGGAACCTCGTCACATCGGAACATGGCTGAACCCGAAAGGCCTTAAAGTACATGCTGTAGCCTGTCGACGGCCTGTAAGGATCCTTCTTGGGCATTGGGATGATGGATGCTTTCGTAGAGGGATGTAACCTTCTGGTACGGCGAAGTCCACGGCTGTTAGCAGTCACAGGCGAGCTTCTCGGCGTTGTTATTCGACCCCCACAGCGAGATGGATGGGCAAGTCATAGCCAGGGATCGATTGATAACCCCTACCTTGCCAGATCTAAATCAAGTTGTTATGTACTATGTAGCCCAGTTCCAGGCCGACAGGTCGGGTGGAGTTTTACTGTAAAAAGAAATGGAAATCTTCCAAAGAGTTCCCTGCCGTTGTTTCGACCAATTCCGGGATCTCTACCCATAAAAACCCCATCCCATCAACTTTGACGAAGATCTAAACTGCGCATGTTCGTGGCCGACGTGTACCTATGTATTTCACATTTGTACACACTCACACACACCCCCCATACACACTATACGAATCCCATCATACTTTACGCGTTTGCGTGTGCCGCCGAACATGACTTGTCGCAAGCACCATTCACTACGTTCGGTAGGTAGTTGCTAGTAAATATAATCATCTGACTTCCGTTGTAAGCGTGGCACGAGGATCAGCATGTACGTACTCTGCGTACAGTATTCTTAGATGGTGGTGGTGGTAGTGGTGGGATGGGCGCTTTAAGCACTGACATCGACCGGTCACATTTTGAATCGTGACGATGACGATGGTGGAGTTGGTCCTTTACAATGGAGTAAATGCATGCTGCACAACCCTGAAGAAGTGAACGCCTCTCTCGAACCTTAGGCCCCCTGAGCGCCGCGCCACAGGTTGAACAGAAATTTATGAAAACTGGATTAGCGCCGCCCCCGGTCGAAAGCCCACGCAGCTGACGATTAGCGGCAGTCGGACGGCACGAGGGAACCGTTCGAGGCTTTGGGATTGCAATTCGGCCGCACAGATCGCCTCCGGGCTTACCTTAGGTAGTTGGACCACTCAGTTGGCAACGTAACCACGCTTGGATAAGTGGAAACCCTATCGAGACCCTGAAGGCCTGACGGCGTCGCCATGATCGTCACTTGGCAAGAGTTGGCTGGCTTTCTGCACCAAGGTTCAGTGGAGTAGCTATCAGAGTCCGACCTGCTTTACTACACTCTAGGTACTTACACGATCCCGCTAACTCAGCGTTCACTACACTAGAACATTGCATAGAACACGGATGTCAAAGTCGGTTCGGTTCGGAGCTCTCAAGGGGTCGTAGTTACATAATGCCACCTTACCCATCCCCAAGGGATCGATAAAGGGAAAATATCACCAAGTTCAGCCTTTATGTATTCATCTCATGTGATGATTTCTGTATGTTTTATTTGGCTGTCCGGTTCTACACATGCATGAGGCCACATATGGGTCTAGTTTCACCGAGGCTCTTTTTAATCTCGTGGGCTCCTACTAATAATGTGACTTGCAACCTAGAATGCAGAACTTTTTTTTTAATCGATCCCGCCACGAAACAGTAGCCTGCAGGTAAGCTACGGATGGTTTCGTCGAGACGGACGACTGGATGAGTGAGCTTCAGGGAGGGTGGGTTTGGTAAGGTTCTTGGTGTGGGACTGCAAGAATGGCAAAATCACGATCTCTGACTCGCAGAGTGCTTGCATCGGTCTTGATCAATGTCATCCATGTCCACGACGTTGGACGGGGTCCTTCTTTTTAATAGGAATAGCGTTGCTGACCGAGGGATATGGATGCGTGGTGAATTGCCGTAGTCCCACCGCCTTGACATTGGAAGATTTGAGAGATTAGAACCTGTTTAATGGAACAAGGGAACTCTCAAGGGAACTCTTTACCCTTTACGCCTCGTGCGACGTCGAAATCCTATCTTAGATGACGATGATGCTTCGTCCATGCCGGGAAGGTGTACATACGCATTGGTTGATCGAAACTCGTGGATCGTATGTAAGACCCAGCATCAGCAATCCCGGGTTGAATCCTTGGAAGAGATTTGGTTGGTCGAGACATGTTGCGTTGTAACTCATAATACATAACACATAGCAAGACCGGCAGACGCTTCGTCGATGGAAGGAAATTGAGATTGGTAGATTGGGCAGCTTGTTTCCTTGGAGACTAGGATCTTTCCACCTGTTTGGGGCCTCAAGCTAACGGCTCCAGGCATGGAGGGTTTCATTCTGCGCGCTACCCACGCATATCGTGTATAGACAATACACATTTGACTTTCAACTTTCGGGCCAGAGGCTAAGAAAGACCTTGAAATATGATGATCGGTGGCTGAGTACTTCGTGTATGTACACAAGACAGACAACACCGCAAACCCACGAAACCGCGGTGGTACTCAATTGCGACGCTGCCCGCCTGCGGCCTCGCGACCCTGCGGTCCTTACTGACAACGCCATCATGTATCGTCACGATGGTTCGGATCGACCCAGCTTGTACCGAGCGGCAAGAAGGTCCTTTACCGACATAAGAATAAAACAGATGCAGCTAGCCACGACTGCTGTGTCGGATACAAGTGTGACTGTGATGTAGTGTAGTCCTGGTAGTCCTAGGTCCTGGTGCCTACTCCCTACTCCCTACTCCCTACTCCCTACTTCCTAGAAGGCCGCGTATTAATAGGTCTAAAGTAATCCCCAAGAGCCTAAGAGCCAACCAAATTGTGTCCAAGGGCGCTGTGATCTGCATTTGCTAAATAATATTTCCCGTGGGCACTTTTAGATCACCCATAATAGCAACCCATGTGCGATTTGCGGAGTGAGCGGATTACGGATTGCGGATTGCGGATTACGGATGTGCACTGACTGAATTGACAGACTTAGAAGTTGTTGATGTTTGAGATTAAGAAAGATTAAGAAATTCCATCCAGTGGCATCCACAACGTCCATTAGCTCCAAGGTTTATTACCCACAATAATGGATAAATAGTAGAAGCTTAGATCCATGAAACTTGATGTAACCGATCCATTTCAAAGTACCAAGGTATCTCTACCTAAGTAACGGACTAGTCAAGTTTGTCTTAGTCGCTTTAACTTTTCGGCTATTAGAAATGGTAGTCAAATAAAAGAGACTAAATTACTATTAAGGCTTCATCCATATGCAGCATTAAACACTTAAATGACACTAGAAAGAATTATCGTAATACTAGGAAAATACTAGCAATATCGGAAACATTTAGTAAGCGAGGTGCTCAAGAAACAATAAAGCCATCGCGAACAAATTGGTGAAGTGGAGTTTTCAATACTTCAATACTTTACGAGATATCGTCTTAGCGAAAGGCTCGAGACTCCAGACTCAGGCTGCATGATAGTCCGGATATTGTACGTATATGTAAGGAGCAAGTTATGGATATTACCTTACTTACACAATACCATCCACGTACTATGTAATAAGGTGCAACGGCCCATCACGCCCATCGAAAAAAGAGGCGCGGCGCGGTGTAATAGATGATGTACTTAAGTACGTCGGATGTCCCTGTAAATGCTACTGTACCTTGGTACCTACTAGGTAGGTCCTTTCGTGGTCTAAGGGGAGCGCTTCTTGAGGAAGGCAAGGACAGCTGGAGCACACGCATGGGAGGCCACCGGAAATGTCCCCTACTGCGCATGGCTAAGCGGGTCTTACGTCTGGTATTGCAATATAGTACATAGATACATGCATCATCTAGTGCGTACATCAACGTGTACATGATGTATGTATGTATGAATGCTAATAAACCTTGCTATCCTTGCTCGCAAAGAAAGACAATTCAGAACCAATCATCATTCCGAAGTTAGTCCATTTAGATGGACTCAAAACCCAACCATCACAGGTACGATCTCGGCCAAGTCAATAATAAAACTAGCGATGCTTGCTTCGCCTACGAGTAATACTATACTATGTAGTATCCATATCCATACTCATGTCCCTTGTACGCAAGCTACTACGCATACATAGCATGTACTGTCGAAACCTGCAAAGAGCCATTGTTCAAATGTTCAATGTATCTACGTATACATATAAAAGTATTCATCAAAGACAGATGATATGTCATACAAAAATATCACAAAGACCCTTGTTTTATATAGAATCTTTATGTACATGACCGTCACGATTTTCGGCCAATGAGATACTATCGTGGATGTGAAGGGGTGGAAAATAACCTCTAGCTGAGAACGCTAATTCGTTGCTTGGTTCGATATCAAATACCTTGAATTCTTTGCAAGGGAAAAGAAATAGGGAGCAGGAAGGGTCTAGCTTGATTAAGGTACACTATGGGTGTGGTTAGGAATGTCGAATATGGATGTTCATGTCCAAGTCATGTCCAAGTGCAAACATCAGTTCGCCTTCGCACACTCCCCACACATTCCGCCAAATCCCACCCCCTTTTTTCCTCCCATTCCGTCCTAAGAAAAGCGTTTCATGTCTTGGCGCGGTAGCCAATTTTGAGGCCTGGGTAGGAAGCCTGGTCTGCGTCGAGGTCCATGTCCATGGACCACCTGCATGGGCACGATCCACACGCCGCAGGCTAATAGTAGTACCATACCTAATAAAGCGGCTATGGAGTACGTACTGCGTATTAGTCGTGACAATTTAACGACCCCCTCGGGTTCGACTAGCATCTTGTTAGCCTGCCGTCCAGGCCATCTTTGTGCCCTCCGTCGGCAGCAACCCTCTCTTGCAGGGGTAGGCATAGCACAGTACAGTACGTGTGCCTAGTATGTAATTATCGAGCCAGTCATCTTGACGCTGTCCAGGGATACCTTACCGATGGAACCGCCTTGGATTCGAAGAAGCATCTGTTGGATCTTACCGGAACGGTTAGCTCCTCTTTAAGGTCTATGGTCTTTGGATCCCTGTAGTCAAGCAACCTCCTAGTAAAAAGCGATTAATGAACTGGCACGCCCCCTTTTGCCGTCTGACATCCGCACACACACCCTGGGACACAGCGGCGTATTGAGCCTATCAATGACAATCGTCAAGCAAAAGCCTTCCTGCCGAACGCTAGGATAAGCACACATCCTTTCCCTATGCCAACGCACCCTTCCGTCAATTTCTGCTCACGTTCTACAAATCCACACACCCCTTCTCCTTTCTAACACCCCCCTTCCCCTCCACACCGTAGAGCGCAGCACGGAAATGGTAAGGCGATGGGGGCCAAGGATTACTGCTTCAGGCGTCTAGTACCTTTGTCCTTTTTGGACGTCGTTCGTGGTCGAAACCCGTTCCTTTGACCGCCCACCCACTTGGAATATACCTTGCAGCAAGCAAATAGGCAAGTCAAAGACTTTACAACCTAGTCTAGTACACTTGCACGCCAACGTTGCCATCACCGTCCGCCCGTCCCCAGTTTATCAACACAATGAAGGATCCCTTTTTAGACCGACCAGATCCCTGCCGGAACCATATGACGCAGGAATAAAAAATAAAACAACTAGGCGGGAACCGTCATACAAGTGAAGCAGATATGCGCAGACACGCACTTTACATGCATACATAACATACACATGCCAAACCGGACCATGTCTCTAAGTAGGTATTGTTTCTCGGCCCTACCGCCCCAATATATCCATCCCGTATACCATCTCACATAGCAACTCTCCCCACGCTTTTAGTTTGATTTATCCTTTTTTAATGAACCCTTGCCTTTCTCATCATACTACATTCTTAGACTAAGTAGCCTAAGTTGATCTTTGAGCAAACTTCATATTTTATCTGGCCGTCCTCCCACCTCATGGTCTATCTCCTGGGACCTCAAGTCTTCTTCAACTACCTCAACATCTCTACGCCTTTCCACACAACACCTCATCAAGATGATGCCCACTCTCTTAGGGGCCAACATGCCCCACGTCCCTCTTCAAAACTTCGCCTCAGACCCAACTTTCGCCGAACTATCACGGCAGCTCGCCATGTCAGATTCGATGCGTAGGATATCCCGTGGTTCGGCCGGACAACGATCTCAGAACACCATGCGTGTTGTAAAGCCCAGCAGTGCTAGTAACAGCCCACAGGCCATGATGGCACGCCGGAGGACTATGATGAACGATAGCAATCTTACCCGCCGACGGCAACAAGTTTTAGACCAGGCTGTCATGCAGCAAATGCAAGACTACACGTCCTATTCAGCACCTGTTGAAGACCCCATCAAGAGGAGTAACCGGCCAGTTAGCTGGCACCCGAGCTCACATATTCAACAACAACAAATGCATATACCCATGCCACAACAGCCAGACTTCTCACAATATGTCGTCCCGACGCCTATGGCATACCATCAACAACCAGATATTTACTCTGGATACCATAACTTACCTCCAACCCCTGCTATTTACTCCGGGCAGACTTCACCTATATCCTCCATGTCTCCACTATGCCTGCCATATACAGCATCTTCTCAACCGCAAGTTATGCCAACATACATCTCGCAAGAGGCGTGGAATCCCACGCCGCAATACAACCCCAATTCTTACACGACGAGCTGTAATCCCGGAGAAACGGAACCTTTCCCGTCATTCACAAATCAAGTCCCATTCAACTGGGGAGATGGCCTTGCTGCTCAGGGATTCAATGTTTGCACGGCACCTCCAACGCCGGATGAATTCCAGGCCGCCCAGCAACCAGAACCGGCGGTTCCTCCTGAGGAATCCATACCGTACCAGCCACTTGAAGAGCCAGAGGAGGAAGAAGGGGAAATATTGGTAGGAATGGGTCTATATGACCCACCAAAGACAGAAACGGACCCAGGACTAGATAACTACCGAACAACGACTTCGCAACTATTAGGAACAACCTACAGAAGAGGACAGGGATGGAAACTAGAGGAGGCTTGGGAACCACCAGCATCAGACGACGAAGATGGCGAGGGAGACGAAGATGAGGAGGACGCAGAAAAGGAGGATAAAGAAGAGAAAGAAGAGAAGGATAAGACAGCAGAGTCAGCCGCGGCCGAACAAAACTGGATCTAGTCCAGCAGTGTTTTCCAGGACAATCGTTTGCACTCATATCTGGGTGTATATAGAAGACAATTGGTGGCCTTTTGAAGACTACTTGTGCTAAAGAGGGAGGTATGCACAGCATAGATAGACCATTATCATAAAAAAGACTTGATATTTAGGTCATAGTTAGTGTACAGATGAGGCACTCAACTTTTGATCCGCTCAAAAAAATCAAGAAAATGCCATTTGGGAATTTCACTCAACTACAAGCATGAAGCGTGAATATGTGCAGTACATTATAATGTGGAGTGCTATATTCGCTATAGCTTGGACACACAGTGACATTCCAAAGTAGCTGGAAAGGCAGAAGGCTGTTTGATACTTGGTTATTGACTCAACCGATTCAACAAACTCATGTGCCCAGCCCAGGGTTCATCACGATGTTGAAAATACGTACCTCGCAATATGTTTAAGTACCTTCGTACCTTTAAGGATCTAGGAACCGGGGCTGCTTCTGGTAGGCTAGACCAAATTTACGTTTGTCGATGTGCAGGGGAGCAGGGGGGAAGGATTAAAAAGCTCAGACCAAGCGGGTCTCCCAAGACAGGGATCTCCAACGTTCTATTTGGGGCTCTGCGTCAAAAACCGCAAAATCGCCAAAACCGACGCGCACATTGCCAGACAATTGCAGGAAGGGTACGTAGCTACGTTCTCTCTCCTTCCGTGCTAAAAGCCCTAGCGCGTACCCACGCCCTGGCCCGAGACGGTCCCATGTGGATTTTACCCCACTGCTTAGATCCAAGTGGGGCTCATGGGCGGAGCTGTGGATCTGGCACCCTGCAGCAACGCTTGCGTCACATGTCACTCTATCAGTCTAAGAGCCTTTCCATGCACGTTGGATTTTTTTATTCTTTTTTTCGTGATGGATGGGCTGGATCATGATGGATACGTACATACATCTATTCTCCACACAATACATCCACCGTAGCACAATACACTAGTACTTAATAAATAAGGTACTAACCACTTGGAGCTTGAATGAGCCAAGCAATCTTTTCTTACACAAACCACGCAAACCCCCCCCCAAGCCTCAAAACCCATCACGAGATATCGATGTTTCCGGTTAACCTAGGGGTTGCCTGGGTATACGTTTCTATAACCACGAAGATTATGTAGAGCTAGGCTACCCTTGGCAGCTAGTCGCCGAACGAATATGCTTCGTACATTCATTGTAACATCAATGCGATGGTATACGAAATACCGGCCTACCTAGTAACTATCTAGGTATCTTTAATTGGCAAGACGTTTGCCGAATTTACTACTCAGCAGAAAAGAAAAAAAAAGCTTGCTGCAAGACATTAATAACGTAGATATCATATTTTTCATATACATACATTTCCATGATAATTTACATACTTGCCAACTTGTCATATTACTACTTGGCAGCAAACAAATCAAAGTGCTAGAGGGTAAGATTCGTGGCTTTGCGAAAAGGAAATGGTAAGGTTTCTCTTTCGGCATCAATATTTCGGCTCTTGCTCGATCTTGAGACTTGCACCTGCACTTGCGCTTGCACCTTTAAAGTCGCTTACGTCGGCGCCAGGCGTGTCTAACAACATTGAATTACATATTACCTAGGTAGCAATTATCGATGTAGGAACCCCACGTACCTACATACGGTACATATCTACCTGGGTACATGCCTAGGAGTATCCGTACCCGTACCCATCCATCGACCCCTCCATCAGATAAATTTTTAAACTTCCCTTGGATGCTACTTCGATACTACACCGAACCATATGCCGCATCTAGTTGCATCGTTTGATTCTCAGTACTCCCTTCGCCACCCATATGTGTACCTTATGCATCGAAAGCATACCTACATGAGTTGGCAGCATATGGAAAGCCTTAACCGCTTCGCCAGTTACCACTGCTTTCACGGATTATGTAAGAAGGCATTGGCGCCCACCTCCTAGGAGGATATACCAAACCCCTCTCTTTCTCGGTGTTGAGGACGAGAAGGAGCTCGACATCCGGATTCGCAAGCCTGATCCGGTTACTAGCTTGGTTCCCAACAGGTTGGGTGCTACCTACTGCCATCAGGCTTAAAGATGGGCTCAATATTAATAAGAAAATATCGCCACTACGAGTTATATATCGTCGGCGATCAATGAATCGAACCGGCAAGCCGAAGGCCATAATAGGATAACCGAGAAGGTTCTTATGTTCATACGTCCATAAGGCTGGAGGCAAGATCTTGACCTCCCTGTCTCACGCAGGTGGCCTACTGCGGAATATTCGGATAACACTCGATCTCTCTCGGAGTCTTCTCTCCTGGTCTTGAGGTGCAGCTAAGCATTACGAAGCCATTAAGACTGTTAAGGTAAGTGATGGATATATGACATAGAATAATTAAGTGGATAGATACTATGAAGTTGTAGTTATCCTACCTACTACCTACTAAGTAGTAGTTTTTCCATCTTCGTCCCGCGCTTGATCCCTTCTAATTACAAAGCGATTCATCATTCGTCCAAGGAACCTTAAGGAGTATCCATCAATAGTGTGAAATTTCGGAGATACATCTTGCTCCTCAATGTTGAGACCATGCTTAATTATTACCTAAGATCTTAAAATGTCAGCTCATGAGGGAAGCGCAAATTGAAATTCTCATAAACTAGGACTGGTTCGAGCCATGGCCATGGATGTTAGTGCATAAAGTGAAAGGTACTCTGAAATTGGTGTTTTTTAGTTGGCGGGGCAGAGTACTCCTCCGTGGGGCCTCTAACGGGACCTTGCAATTTTCTTCCATGGATGCTTCAAGGTCCATGAATATTATTCAAGAACACCATTCATTCCGCCAGCCCGTTAGGAGTTAATATTGCATACAACCTTGGAAAACCAATATCATTTAATAATAAGTTAAATCAATTAGGATAGGTCGGTTTCGCCCTCCACTATCATTTTCCGTAATGGTTCAATATTTGCACACGCCATGGCGGGACCGCGCCGAGCTATTGAGGGTTCGAGAACAATTCTATCCGTCACCACCCACTAGCGATCCTCAACGCAACCAGAATGCCGGTGACGATGGAGATAGCAATGGCAGAAGCGACGAGGAAACGGTAGAGGAGGAGGCGGCGAAGCAGCACGCCGTGTCGCGTGTCTCGATGTGGATGCAGCGCGGCGGCTGTCCCCACCTGGTCGAGTCGACGGCCCTCCTGATGGCTGCCATCCTCAGCGATCTCCACGAGACCAGGGCCCGGGCCAACTCCTCGTCCTACGCTCTCCGAGCCGCCTACTCCGCCGCCTTTAGCCGGTACGTAAATAGTACCCCTTTCTTTTCCCATGGTCCATGGCCGCGTGACCTAAGCCTTTCTTTCCCCTAACCTCGTCGGTGGAGAACTATGCATCCCTGGCTGGTATCTAGTTAAAGGCTCTCGGCGATATGTCATGTCGTAGTTATTGGGGTTCATGCCGGCTCGCCTCATGTCGCGGATGGCTTAGCTCACGCGTTTTGTCACCCGGATACGGCCCAGCATAATAAGAACCCACCGAATTGTAATCAGCTAACGATGACAACGTCTAATTCTAGCTTCGTAACCGGCCTCTTAGACAGCCAGCAGGACAAGCAGCGCAAGATGAGCATGTACACCGTAGCCAAGACCATCGGCCTTCCAGCGACCTTCGTGGAGCTGCGGCACCAGGCTACTCATGAGCAGCTACCCTCGCTGTTGAAGTTGCGCACTGCGGCTAGGAAAGCGCTTGTCTGGATCTGGGACTACTACTGGAAGAGCCTGCCAGGTGAGGGTGACGACACTAATTACAACGAGGAAAAGCCAGACGCTTGCCGGGATTGGGTACTACAGTATTTAGGAGAGGAGTCTACAGCGCAGAGCAAGACGCTGCGCGAACAGTTAAAACGGTGGGACGAGGCGGTTCTGCTGCGGAGCCTGGCTGAGATAGGGGATTCGTCTGAGGACCCTAAGATCATTTCCCGCTCGATACGGCTTTCGAGGGAGATACTGGGCGGGGATTTCTCGTCTGAGCCGGGCGCGTGGAAGGATACTGATCGCGTGTCTAAATCGAAGGACTTGGAGACCGTCAGGGCGGAGATGCAGATGTTGAATGGTGAGCTCGATGCTATGGATGCTGTCGAGCCCCCGCGTCAAGCGGTCGAAGAACGGGCTGAGGCGCCATCGACTCAGGTGAAGGGGTGGGTGAGGTATGAAGGCCCATGGAAGCCAAAGCCCATTGGTGTGGTGTAAAACAATGTTACAGTACTATTCCGATGCATTATTCGGGCTTCTTTACTAGACTACGCGCATATTGTGAGCACAGGTGAACTATTAGTTAATATATCTCCCTAACTGGTAGTTGTCTACCCTGTCCTGCGGCATGACAGACAGTTAAAGCGGTGGAGTTTCAATTACAAACTTATGGAAATTCACGGTAAATCCCCCGGCCGTCTTCACTTTTAACTATGAAAATGATATAATTTTATCTGAGAATCGACACTCGATAAAATTGAGTACCCAGGTATTTTCCTAATATTATAATGACATTCTGTACTATGACAAATTGAAGCAATTTGATAGGTCGAATGATGAGAGTTTTTGCTATCTAGCAGTTGGCAAATAGTATTGCCGGACCGTCTGGCAGGAAATCGACGTCATGGATAGTGCCATCGGCTTCTTATTCGGAATGCCGAAATGCGTTTGTAAGCGGGAGGAGGCGCCCGGAGTAATAGTTGTATCACGAATTCGGGGTATAGTTAAACCATCAATTGTTATTATCACCACCTACATTTCTGAAAATACCTTATGAATTACTTTGCGAGAGCAAGACCTATATTTGCTACCCGAAGAATAGGCACCTTGACAGCGGCTGTAAGCTTTCTTCTGATGGTGTGCCATCAGGGTGCTCGCTACTAACTCCGCTATAGCTTGCCAGAACCCGCGCAATGCATATCCAATCAATTCCCATGTGTAAGTCATACTAGCTATCCATATAAAGTATCTAATGGATAGCAACATCAAAACTGGTTTCAAACTGAGACTTTATAGGGACGGGGGGGCATGACAATTATGCCTACCTACTCATCGACGATAAGTCCAAGGATGCTGTTGTTGTCGACCCCGCCAACCCCGAGGAGTAAGTTAGGACTCAATATACATGAATGTATCGTCCTAAAACCATCTGACTCCTTGGCGGCAGGGTTACACCCATTTTAAAGGAGGCCATCCAGAGTGGCAAGATCAATCTCACGGCCATCGTGAACACACACCAGTGAGTGTCACTTTATGCCAACACTAATTTACTCGGCGCTGATACCTCTTTAAGCCACTGGGATCATGCGGGTGGAAATGATAAGATCGTTAGTTTACCATGCCTACATACTTCCATATACCTACCTCTTCAGGCTCTCCAAATTCTGACTCAGATGTCTGATAGCGGAGCGATTTGGGCACTCCGAACCTTCCCATTATCGGGGGCAAGGACTGTCAGAGTGTCACCCAGACCCCCGCCAACGGCGAAGGCTTCAAAGTCGGTAGTATTGCCGTGAAGGGCCTTTATACCCCGTGCCACACGCAGGACAGCATCTGCTGGTTCGCCCAAGACGGTGATGACAGAGCTGTCTTCACCGGTGACACCCTATTCCACGGCGGTATGTATTTTATACTAGCCCAAGCTCTACGAAAATTCGTAAAGATCGCTGATGAATCTTAGGTTGCGGTCGGTTCTTCGAAGGTACCGCGGCAGAGATGATGGTTGCCTTGAACAAGACTCTAGCTTCTCTGCCGGACGACACTAAAGTCTATGTAAGTACTTACTTCAGGTCGGCCTCACGCTTTGTTATACGATTTCGAGCTAATAACAGATAGCCCGGCCATGAGTACACGAAATCCAACATCAAGTTTGGCATCTCAGTACTGCAAAATGAGGCGACCAAGAAGTTGCAAGCCTTCGCCGAGAACAACCGAGAGACGCAAGGGAAGTTCACGATTGGGGATGAGAAGGTAAATAATCATTGTTATCACGGTTGAAGTTTCACAGCTAACAAGAATGATATAGCTGCATAACGTATTTATGCGAGTAGAGGTAAGTAATTCAGGTTCATGATTATTGACGAGCAATTCGGCTATGAAGCTAACCTCTCTTCCACAGGACCCCGTGATTCAGAAGGCTACGGGCAAGATGGACCCCATTGATGTGATGGATACACTGCGGACGATGAAGAATAACTTCAAGTGAGTAAGTAGATCATGTAAGTCCGAGGTTAGCTTCAAGATGTGTTCTGTGCTGACGATCCAAGACCACCAAGTGAAAGCAAAATCTAGATGTAGGGATACAGGCAGGATAGGAAAGAAAGTACCTAAAACTGGTGAAAAGTACCATACTGTCATTAGTGTCTGAATTACAATCTCGTCACTTCAAACTCCATCGAACAAGAACTTGATAGGCATCCTGATAGGCATCCAAATGCTTCTTCCGTATCATTGACTATTGAACTATCAACATAAGTAAATTTCTCCAGCAAGCACCAAGCTTCATCCCATCTGGAATATGCTGGATGCAATCAGGTACTTGCGGAACGCCGACTCTATGAATCGACGCGGATTTTAATCTTGCTTCACTGTCCACACTTGCGCGCTGTTTGTGAATCAAAACGGCAAGCTCTAGCATAATTCGAAGCTGTTGATAAAGACTGAATAGTTCTGCCCTGTCCCGAATGTGTCCTCGCAATCCATAAAACCGTTCTATCTCGCGACAAGCCCTCTCACCTGTCATTGTGAACCGACCATTTTTCTGCACGATTCATCGCTTGCGACCAAATCAATCGAAATGAAATAGGTGCCGTCGTTTCGGTCAATGGGTGTCGCTCGATATCTCCGGCTCATATGGACTTCTTTTTCCTTCTCGGTGGTTGTTGTAGAAAAATAAAAGTTAGTGTAGAAAATTTTCGGCAATTTATGTTCGCAGGTTAGAAAGCGGGTGAATCTCGGCAGCTGTCGGCAGCCGCCAAGAAGTGATAGGCTAATGTGGATTCTACTCCTTAAGCCCCTTAAACCGTATTTCATTTTGTCACAATGGGACCTCCGTACTTCAATGTTCGAGAGACTTTGGATATTACGTGCAGATCGGTTTGCAATATTGTATGTAATGAAGTTCTCGTATAATACCCCTTAGGCATTAGGAATTGGATGGAGTATTCCGGGTTGGTATAATTTGATTGGCACCAACTCATTAATCGCCAGAGCCCAGCCCCCTTATAGACCCAGCCTACAGGTATGTGCTCACCGAGACTTCTTGGATCTTCACTACACTACATACCGCACCGGTGAGCCTAAATAGCTCGCTTGGGGGTAGGGGGCCATTACTATTCATCCCGCTGTGGCACCTTTGGGACAAGCCACCAGCTGATCCCGCCGGCCACGAAGAGCGCCAACACGATAGGCTGCAGAACGGCCACGCCCGCTCTCGTCGCTATCAAACCAGTAACAGACGGGAAAATGGCGCCTCCGGCTTGCGCTATTACGAATATCAGGCCTAACAACGCATCCATCAGTTGCCAAACAGTGCATAGGTGTCCAACCTCTAGGGTCGTGATCTAGACCTCTTACCTAGCGCCGCAGGCTGATCTTTCCGAGCGAATAGCTTAGAGGCGACAGACATGCCCTGCGTAGGCAGAAACGTGTCAGCGCCCCCAACAAATCTAGAACAGCTAACTATATAGAGACATCAAATGAAGCAAAACACTTTTCGGGAAAAAAAAAAAAAAGCAACATACGGTAGCAAAAAAGGCCCGATAAAGAAGCCGATAAAGCTCAGCGCGACCGCGCTCCCGACGATGGATGTTGGGCTGCAGCCAGAAGACGAGCTGCAGGGCGACGCACAGCGTGCGCCGCTCGCCGCACGGAAACATGAACTCGACCAGCAGCAGGCGGCCCGCGAGCATGCCGCCGTACATGCCCGTCGGCACGTAGCCCGTCGCGCCGAGGTCGCCGCCCCGCACCGCCGTCATGCCCGCGCCCAGCGTGAAGAAGTAGAACAGGCCCAGCAGCCAGAACGTCCGCGTCCGCAGGATGCGCGCCATGCCCTTTACGGCGTCGCGGTTGCGCTTCTTCGCGCCGCTATTATTATTACTATTACTACTACCGCCACCGCTGCCGCCGTTATCGTTATAGTTTTCTTCGTGCCGCGGTCTGCTACTGCTCCACAACGTATCCCTGAACGCGACCGCGACGCCGGCGACGTTAAGCACGCAGATCGCAATCATCACGAAATACACCCTCCTCCAACCCTCCACCCCTTCTCCCCCCCTCATTACCCGCCATAGCGACCCCCGTAGCGACCCCCGTAGCGACCCCCGTAGCAACAAGCGGTCCCACGAACAAACCAAGCGCGTAGCAAGCGTGTATGAACCCGAGCCAGCGGTGCGGCACGCGGCGTAGTCCCGCAACGAACGCGTTGCTGTGCGCGTCCTGGAGCGTCATGCCGGCGGCCTGGGCCAGAAACGCGGCGAGGAGCCAGCCGGTGAAGGTTGTTGCGTAGCTGTTTATGTTTGTGAGCATATATATATATATATATATATATATCTGTGTGTGTGTGCGTGTGTATAGATTGTATTGATATACAGATAAATGTAGGTAGGTAAACCTCTAGGTAGATAGATAGGTCGCTTACATGATAGCAATCTCGCCGGTGCCGATGCCGAAGCTAGACAGGATATACGGGATCATGGGACCCAAGGTGCCATCGTTGACGCCGGCGCAGAAGAACGAGTACCAGCTTGAGGATGGGCGTGGCGGGTTCGCTCCGGACGACCTCGGTCTCGGCCGGGGCTTCGTCTATTGCCGGAGCTTCCGCGTCCCTAGAACGGAGCCGGCGTAGCTCGGTGATAGAGGGAGATCCGGCTTCGGTGGCTGCGGTCTCGGTCTGCGTCGCTGACATTGCGATTTACTTTGCCTAGTTTACAAGAACAAGTATTTCCAGTCCTCGATGGACATTCTATTATCATATCACGTAGTAGACGACTGATATCTATAGTTTATACTCAAGCTCTGTATCTATGGACTTCTTATCCCCCCTTGACCTGCCTCTTCATATCCTTGAGCTCTGTCGGTAGAAGATCGGCAGAAGACTGGAATTTCTTAAGTGAAGAGTTGGGGATGTTACCATTTTGGGATGCTCCGGACCGCTTCCCCGAACAAAGCAATCCTTCGCCAACACCAATTAGATAGCTCAATCTACACCCTTATGGACATGAAATTTAAAAGATCAACGTCGTGGGTTGCTCTCTGTTACCTTCACGCATGAAACATGCATATTTGCACCCCAGGTCTCGTGTAATCTTCGGATTATTGTATGACTACCCCTGTCCTTGAATAGGTACCTAGTATACGTTCGATCAACATCCGAACCTCGGGTAGATACAGCTTATAGCATTAGACCATTCCAGTTCGATAAACCATAAAGACCACCAGTGACAAATGAGCTGTCAATTTCGGTACCCGAGCACTAAGCAGGCTGTGCGTATGAATCCCTTTCCAGACAAGTGACACGAAGTGAAGACTAAACCAACGCCTTGGGCCCATATCACCGTAGAATATGATGGAAGTGTGCTCTGTACCATGTTTGTTGCTTGATTACTTCACTCTTTAGCGTCCTAACGACGCATACTATGTGCCACGTTGCGGCGGTAATCCTGGAGATGCCGGAGATGCAGGTCCGCCTCGTAGATTGATAGACCCGATCCTCGACACGATATTACTACCCACGGCGTCCACCGCTCCTCGGGGCGATGTTAGCGTCGGTCCCTGAGCTGCCGTTTCCTGCACCTTGAATAGCTTGATTGCCGTTCCATTCCAAACGCCGACAGTACCCCTCGAGACTTGCATTTCGCTAGCAAATACAAAACTCCAAACCAACGATTCGTACCAACCTAGAGCGAGCGGTGACCATTCGAACGAGTGTACTCTAACTGGAGAAGGCTCAATGGCGACTAAATCAGCTTCTTGGATAGCCTTTAGGGTCGCAGACGATGGGACTTCTGCCGTCAGACCTTGGCGGTTGATTAAAGCTGTCAATTGCTGGATGACAGTGAGGATCGTGTGTAGGGGAAGTTCCGGAAGCCAGCTTTCGATCCAATCCGCCGAGGGCTCAAAGGAAGCTACAACAGATTGCCCAGCTGCTGAATAGCTACCAAGACTAGTAGTACTGTTCTGTCGGGAGAATGTCCCCACGCCCGCAGGCATCTTTCCTCTGGCCTTCTCCGACATCCCTCTTAATTGTGTCGGCACCGCATCTTCCACGTCGGCAACGGAAGAAGCCCGAGAGGGATTCTCACTCGGGCTCGACTGCGCCGGAGTCGGCCGGTCGTCATCGTCACTCTCATCTTCAGCGTCACCAATGGCAAATGTCGTATCCTCTTCCGGTACGTTACTAAGTGTCGGTGTCCTCGGCTGTGTAATTGTAGGGCTACGCAAACTCTCGACCGAGCTTCGCCTGGAGCCAGCATCGAACGGATCTAACGACTGCCCATTTTCCTTCCTTTGACGGTTCCTTCGCTCAAGTTCCTCTTGACCACTTTCGAGTGTGAAGGTTCGCAGGGCTTCAAAGCGCTTCCTGTTCTTCAGCACTAAGTAGACAAAGTGGGCGTTCTCTGTTTCGTTGTTAAAATAATATAAACATTACGATCTGACTGATTGCTTACTCTTATATTGATGCTCGATAATGGCGTTCAGTGATTCTAGGAGCGATCTTAGGAGGTCATGGTTGCTGTCATTGGCAAGAAGAAAAGAAGGAGACGACATCGAGTTGTACAGCTGTAGTAGCTTTGAACATGTGGTGCCATTAATGCCTTCTAGGTAAGCGGCGATGTTGTTAATTACGGCGAGCAATGCCGGGTAAATAGCCGAAAGTTTGCCCTGGCTTCTCGTGATGAGGTTATAGATTGACTAAAATGGGTTAACTTTACGACCTTTTAGTATTACGCGAGGTACTGACTTGTATTAGGAAGTCGGCGTATGTGCCCTTGAAGCCGGGAATCCTGATAACAGTTGGTAGGGTATCCTGCCCTTCGAATTGTTTGTTGAGATTAACACCAAAGTTCTTCTCGACACTCAAAGTCTGTAACAAGAAAGCGCACATTCGCACGACGCCTTGCTTCGAGGCATCCGCCTTGTACTCGGTAGCATAGAATAGAATGAGTATAACAAAGTCATGAGCTCGTTGCGTGTCGATCATGAAAGACCTAAATCGCTTGTTACATTGAGTAATCTCCCAGAAGAGCATGATGATCTCTGGAGAGAACCTAGTCGTGGACTGCGTTCCAGGAATATACGAGATGTTAGCTTGGATAGGCTGGTTCAGTATTCGTGTCATGCCATCGACGATGAACTGGAAATCTTGAGGACGATGTAGTCTCCCAAGGAAATGGCGATAGTAGTTCTTCGGAGCAGAGCCAGTGGCAGGCTCGGGTATCGGGTACAAGAGAACAACGAGCAGGAACTGAAGGGTATAAGTGACAAGGATCTCTTTTGGATCCTTGAACATCAAAGTATTGTAAGGCACACGCCAGCTTGCTGGATTGTATTTAAGAGTCTAGAATCATTAGCGATTAGACAGCTTAGATAGATTCGTTGCAAGGTTAAATTACCGTATTCAGTAAAGAACACAGGACGGATAAGACTACCTGCTTATCCGGACATGTGCAGATATATGTCAAAGCCTTCGTACCCTTGGTTGGTAGTATGTTAGGGGACATGTACATGCTCTGACTTGCCAAGGTCAAGAGTAGACGAAGTATCTCGCATCGGTTACTCTCGTATTCCTTGGTCGTAGGCATGGCGGTATTGCAACCCACTCCGCTTTGCCAAATGGCGTATGTGACCTTTGGTTTGCCATGGGGTTGTTTGGGAACTGTTAGGTCTGAGAAGAACAGCAGGTCGATTAGCGTGTCTATGAGCTCCTCCGCCAGCGGCTTGGCCTCCTCGAACTCATCGGCGGGTGGCTTTACATCTTCCTGTGCTTCATCGAAGAGGACCTCATTCGCAATGACGGCCCGTCTCGTTCGTTTCCTTCTAGACCCCCAGAAGAACTTATCTTCCCAGCGTTGTAGGTTGTCTACCTCATAAAGGTATGGCAGAACGCGGGTCAAGATGCGAATGCAATTCAGGGCATCACGCTCGGGTGCGAATTCGGGGTCGGGAAAGGAGGGGTGATGTCGCAATATGAACAGTCGAGATGTCACTGCGAGTATAAGGGTCTCTAAGTTCTCAATAGCTCTGTCACGGGTTCGGCGAATATCTGCAGGCGCAAAGAGGCTGAATATGTCTTCAGAGGACTCGGGAAGCTCCCAAAACTGTAGACAATTAGTTCCTGTAGAATAGAATATCAACGAATGGGCAGGGAGCTGGTGCTCACAGAGGTCCAATAGGGGTCATCGGCGGGTATGTGTCGCTCTTCCGATAACCTGAAGATCCCCTTCTTGAAGACTAGCTTGGAGTCGCTGGCACCCATCGCGACGAAGTCATGCCTCGTCTTACATTGAGCGACGTAATTAGATCGAGGGGACGATGATGATGCGCCGGGAATTAGTAAGGAAATATAATTCTAGAATTGGTGTGTTGTTAGTGGTGTTACAGTTTAGTAAGTAGAGTTGTACAATTGACGGCAAACGGTAAGTTTCTTGAATTCTAGATGCTTGTCATGGGTTAACGAGGTTGCGGTTCACGGCGTTGCATTTCTGTTATTAACTTCAAACACGCTACCTACAGTTAAATCTACCTAGGTACCTCCATCGTATATCTGTACCTTCACTTTCGCTTATCTCCAGGGCTATTCCTTATCGGTACCTAAGTACTTGGGTACTTTCTATCAATAGCTCCACGTTGTGACCTTCAAGGTTGTGTACCTTGGTACTTTTTATGAGATGAGATCAAATGACCTCCCTCCAATCATATTCACATTAATTCAATTTACAGTTGAAATTTCCTTCTCTGATCGAACGCAAAATCAAGTGCCACAAAGTCTTTACCACAACAAGGCTAGTCTCCAAGCAAGCTACTGTCTTCTCAATATGAGAGCCAATTTCGGTCAAAAATTATGTGAACATTGTTACATTTTGTTGGTAAGATTGCTCATTGTGATGGGTTGAGCACCTACCTAAGGGTTGGTAACAACTTCTGTGCATCTAGGGAGGGTCTTATGCGGTAACCATTGAGAAGAGTTCACTCGATGATCGACTCTTTTTTACTCTTATTTGAAGGCTAAGGAGAGCCCCAGGTCCTACATCGTATACTAACACTCTCAGAAGCGAGACTTCGCAATTCTCAGTGTTAGTTTAATATCTACCAACAAACTCGGTGTGGGCGGACAACTATTCATCGTGAAAAAGGTTGGATTTGACGATGGCTAGTTTTCATCTAACCAAATGTCCATGTGTGTGACATCAATCGAAATAGGGGTCATACCTAGTATATCGGGTACTGTTGGTGGTACATTTCGCATACTCAACCCAGGCAATTGCTTCATCCATCAGTGGAATACCACGGCTCATGGTTTTCAATCAGTAGCATATGTAAGTCCCTAACAGTTGATCTTTCTCTCCGAGTATTTCATTCTAGCTCTCTCACTTTGAAAAACATATTAATAGCATCGGCTGCGTGATTATCCAACATGTAATAGCTGATACGGATAATACGACATACTAGCCAGCAGCAGAAGCTCTTTACGGAAAAGCAGATATGACCTGTCCTTTCGTGGTTTTTATACCTGCCGCCCCGAAGGTCCTCGCCCGGTCTAAAGTAATTATCCAAGCGGTCCACTCGTTGAAGTTATGGGGTTATCCGAAACAGCAAGACAAACAAGCAAGTCCAAGGGACGTTCTACGACTCAGAATGGAAAGTACCACAATACGGAAGAACGCCAGACATCACTTATAGAACATGTATTGATGTCATGGGAGATACTATGAGACGGATTTCGCCTCCCCTGAGAATGCTAGGCTTGATAATGGTAAAATCGACTTAAGGGGTATCTTGCGCACCACTACGTTCACGACATAGACGACAGATCTCCGAAAGATCTAGTGATCAGCAGTTCATCCGCCAGCATCCATGGATGGATAGTCATAAATGATAACCGGTCTAAATAATGGCTTATAGTGGCTTGAATGCTGTATCTTGAATTGGAATTGAGTCTATTGGTATCGTGGCGGTAGCGTCATTCTCCTCCGCTATAAATAACCCCTTTCGCTTCCATTAATGCAAGCGAGTTTCCCAAATGTTCATCATCGCAAGGTATCGTTAACATAAAAAAAGCGGAATATGAGTTATACATCAATCGTCCTCCTTATCCGACTAATTCTCAAGTCATTATAACTACTAGCGTATGGTATAACCAACTATGTCCTAAGGAGATTGTTGCCCTTCTTTATCCGGCTGCTCTGCAGCCGTGTCATCAACGGGCGGTGCAAGATGCGCTGGATTAGGGACTTCAAGTCTTGGGGAGCGTGCTCCTTCGGCAACGCTCTCACTACTTGCAACCGCGGTCTCCCCACTGATTGCCCGATGTGGATGGCCTCGCTCTTCTGCAGCAGGTGGTGGCGCTAGAAGTGCCAGACTTGGTTTTGCCGGTGAGGATACTGGCTGCTCACCAGCTGCTGTATCACTCTGAATAACAACTTGCTCTAGGGGAGCAGTTGTTGGTGCCGACGACGGCCGGAGTCGGGGGTCCGACTTCAAGATTGAAGTAGCAACCCCCCTCACACCCGCGGCTATAATTTCTGGTCGTTCCCAGGCTAGAAGCCCTGACCTCCCAGTGGCGCGATTAGTATATATTACTTTATACTTCGCATTAGCCCAGCTGGGACAAATATAGGTGTCCTTGGTCTCCTCCTCAACGAACTCGCCGGTCTCCGCTTCTGCTTCTGCGCTCTCTTCAACACTTGGTTTATCCCCTAAGAAGACCGTGATTCCGACTTTCGGCCTTGGGGTCACTTTTTTCACCACTTCCTCTGGATGCCTTATGCAATATGCCCAGAATCTCAGCGCTGCTTCTGGACCAGGTAACCAAGCGAGCTGGGTGAAATTAATCACCTCTGTTGGTGTAAATTCCTTCTTGGAACTGAGTAATCGAAGAGTTTTCAATATGAAGACCAATAAGCCTGTCGGAGAGTCGCATAACGCATAGGATAATGTATTAGGTTCCCGGAGACTCAATTGGTTTAATCCGAGCTGGGCAGGCGTTGGCGCTTTCTTTGACGTACGAACATACCCATTCTGTTCAAGAGCCGAGAAGTCTTCACTGCGGTATCCAAGAATAGGGGCATGTAATAAACTGGCAATAGACCACTTTGCCCACTCAACTGGCGCTTCTCGGAGTCTCGGCTTTGCCAACGGGGGTGATATGAGATGAGCGCCCAGACAAGAATTTGGATGATAGTTTATTAGGTGATTGACAAGCTTAAAGTCGATCTCAGCCGGTGAGGCCGACCCGGAACTTGCATTCGTCACTAGATAATGAGGATATGAAAGGCGGCTCATTAATGAGTTTAGAATATCCGCAGTGGATGAGATAACAGGGGTATTGTTTGGAAGCGCATCGCTGAACGCTATACCTGGAAGAGAAGGTATAACTAGATGAAAGGGCTGAGTATTTGCAGCATCTTCTGGTTCTGTGAACAGTTTGATAAGGTGTCCAAATGAGAGACTTGAGAATGGGAATGGGGGTATCACAAGAAGGGGTATCGCGTTAGTATGAGGTGAATGAGCGTGGATGAAGTGAATCCTGACAGTTGCTTCAGAAGACGGTATTGAGAATTCGGTACGAAACTGAGGTAGCTCTTTATTTAAGAGATCCTCGTGTGTTCGCCAGGAATATTGTTCAAGCCTGTGTGATGCTTAGTTTGGGACCATAGCTCATATAGGGGCTCAAGGTAAAAAGGAAGACATGAATATCGTATAAGTCAATTTTAGACTTAGACAACAAGATATCATGAAAACCTACCAGAAATCAATGAGTGGCTCTACTTGAGATTTTGGCTCCCACCAATCTTTCGATTTCGGTTCTGAAAGCTCATGGGGTAGCCTGGTAGTTTCGAGCTTCTGTTTTGTGATATCTAGATATTTCGATGAAAACTATGGGGAAGTCAGAATGTCAGCCACGCACCCTGTCGGTTTTTGAGCGAGAATTAGGGACTGGCTTACGTGTATCTTGTAAGGCTTGACCTCATCCGTACCGCCAGAAACAGGGTGCTCTTCAACCTCAGCAGCCATCTTCAAAGACAAGTCCTTATCCAACATGTACGGGTATTACGTCGGATAGCAGCACGACATCTAGTGGGGTAATGAATGTACAAAATAATAAGTAACGAGAGACGTAACAAAGAATAATAAACCAGAGATCAAATTTACTTATTCATGTTGTCTTCAGGCGGCGCCATCTTGCCCAAGAGCGAGGCCTTGTTTAATTATACATCGTTTTAAGGGACTTGGGTGGCTTGACCTCATGTGGCTAAAAGCTTGGAAAGCACATCCGAAAACAAGGCAGGAGTTACAGGGATCATGCCAGTTTTAGGCCAATTGAGATCGGAGCCGACCCCGAATCTAGCATAACAGGGGTATCGAAGGTCGAGACTCGCGAGGAACTCTCAGAGAATTCTTAAGGTACTGTACAATACAAGTGGCGGTGCACACGTAGACCCCTTGGCTGAGCGGAAATGATCGACCCAGGGTATCACTTCTGACCTGCCCTAGTGGTCATCCTCGATAACTTGCTTTTAACTCCCAAGGATACCTATACATAATGCTGACTTTATTGCCTCCTTGGGTTGCATGAGCGTCTACCTAACAAACTTGAAAGGCCTAACTGTACCGAAGAGGTGGAAGAGATTTTCTCACCGTACGAGAGGCGCTAACGCCCAAAGCCTTTCCATCGCTAATCTTATGAAGCCTTGATAAGCTTAACAGAGCTCGGCATGGCACGAGTGGTGGCCCAACAACGAAACTTGGCAATACCCGCCGGATGAGTCGGCTCAAGGGCTTGAATCGACCTGTTATATTGATCACCGAAATGTGTATTGGAACCAGTGAGATGAGCGTTTCATCTTCACTCATAAATTCGGAGGAAGATTCAGTAGCACTATAACGAGAGGCTTATATGAGCTGTACCATCTCATCCATATCGCCACACTGCAGCACAATACTAGCGACCCTTCCAAGAAAGTTCTCACTGAATCGGAAATTTCTTCATTCCTGAAGCCGGGATAATTTGAATTGAGCGGTGAATCTGCCCCTCTTAAGGCATCGATATGGTACAAGGTGTTGCGTTTTGTGGAGTAGAGAAGCGGTTCTTTGGCTGATTCCGAAGAAGACGGGCTATATTCAATTGACTTTATATAGCCCGATGAGAACTTAGGGCGGAACAAGGCAGAGCTCAAGCCTTGTTTTCTGACTCGTCATTTTTAGCGCCGGAGCGCCAACGCCAAACCCATTTCATCCAGAAAATAGTCTCTATCGTTCCGAAGATGCTTAAAATCACGACGACCGCGATCTTGGTGTTTCGACCCAGTCCAAGTCCTTCGAAGCTGAATTCCATAGGCGGGGGTTCCTCGGGTGATTTAGAAGGTTCCTCAGTCAACTTCTTCGCTGCGAGCCTGGAACTAAAAGTCGAAAAATTGGACACAATCATACCAGTAGACGATTGTGGTATATGTGAGTCGATTATAGATTTATTCGGAGAGACTATCCGCCCTCGGGTAATAGCGTTGGCGCTATTACGTACGGCCATTGCAAAACGAGGAGCGGACATCTTAACGCTTGAATCCACGATTAATAAATAAAGGCACAGCGTAGATAAGTGAAAGCATCGACAATGATAATATCGGCTGAGATGTCAAGGATGAAAGCGCGAGGTACCAGAAATATAAGAGTAAGACTTCGAAGAGAGTGAGGCGGGTTGAGTCACGACGAATCACAGCCCGGCAAGGGTTTGTAAGACTGGCGGGTTGAATACGGCGTTTATGCAATTGCCTTATTTCCAAAATTCTCCCATTCTCTGAACATACCTAGACAATTCAAAAATTGAACCGGAAGTTGAATTGAATGGTATTAGTGATCTTTGCACCTTCCCATTTCCTTCATAAACGATTCGCAACGACTTCCTAGGGGGTTTCAATGCCAAGACTCCAACAATCTAGGATCTAAGTATGTGAGACATGAGATATAAGGTAATATTTCCGGAGATTTCTTCAAGCTTAATAGCACTAATGGGGTAGTGGTAACCTCGGAGTTTCCCATCTTCTGAAGATACTACTCTGGCCCCGTGTTCGATTCACGGTTAGTGCAGAAATGCGGCCCATTAGAGACAACTCTATGATTTCCTTTTTTGTGCTTTTGGTTAATTCTTCTTGCATGTTTTGGTATGGTTGGTGCTCTTCCGAGTATCGTAGATTTGTGCAAGAGTAACTATGTAAACTTTTTTTTCTATAATTGAATTGACTAGAGACATGTTATTAGATGTGAAGTATAGGACCTAGGTATTCATTGACTCGTTCTGTGCTGTTTAATTCCAACCCAATGGAACCAGGTACCTATTAGAATGGTGGGGTAGTTGTGCGAGCTTGGACCACCGTCAAACGTCAGTCGTATAGTGTATTCCAAACCGAGCACCCAAATTTCTGAGAATTACATCACAATGTATCCCGCCGACTTTCTATATTTATAACCTCCTTAACCGACAACAGCAACTTTCCATGTTATAGTCGATACGCACCTAAAACATGGCTGGCAAAGGCGACAAGATCGAGAAGATCATCGCCCGCCTGCAGGCGCGGATCACCGAGGGGCAATTCTACGAAGCTCAGCAGCAGACCCGCGTGGTAGCAGCACGGTACACGAAGGCGTCTAACTGGGACGCCGCCATCAGCATCCTCTATAACGTCGCGCAGTCGCTTCTCAAGGCAGGCCAGGGCGGGAGCGGTGGCGACCTCTGCGTGTTGCTAGTCGACATCTACAAGCAGGCGGAGCTGAAGCCTGACTCCGCTACTAAGGGAAGGCTACTCACATGTCTGCGGTTATTCGATAGCGAAGAGCCTACTCGCAAGAAATACATAGGGGAGATGATATCGTATGTTGCGGTCGCCCCTCTGGGCTTGTGTAGAACTATCTGCTAACTACCCTCTGTTCAGATGGTCCTCCAAATTCGGCGAATACCCCGCGGGCGATCCCGAGCTCCACCACGTCGCTGGCTCTTTGTACGCTGAAGAGCACGAACCGTACGACGCAGAGAGACATTTGCTTCTAGGTACGAAGGATTCCGCAGAAGTTTTGGGTCGTCTAGAATATGAGTGGTTCAAGGAAGACGATGCGCACACAGCCGCCTTATACGCTGCCCGAGGGGTTCTGCCTTATCTTCTGACAGGCAACGTCCGAGCAGCCAACACATGCTATCGACTCTTTACCAGCGCTCTGAACCAAGACAAGCAAAGTCAGCTTGGAATTCAAGACGTCAGCAGCGCTAGCGCCGACATACGAATCTACCCTAGCATACCCCTCCTCAACTTCTTAGGCCTCCTCTTACTCGCCATCCAGAGAGCCAACGCAGATCTGTATAAGCAACTGCATAATAAATATGCCACCCTTCTCGGAGAGGTAGAACCATGGCATGAATCCTTGGAGATGATCGCCGAGATGTACTTCGGAATCCAGAAGCCTCGGCAAAGCAACCCTCTGATGGATATGATGAGCGGATTCCTCGGTGGTGGCGGCGGCGCTCCGGCAAGCGGGGGTGCGAAGAGACCGGCGGTGAAGGCTCCTACGTCGATGCCGGCGGCTGAGGGACTGGATTAGATACATAACCACCTAGACAGGTAGTTTTAGAGCTACGTAGAAGCAGCAGCATCGCATCCACCTATTTGCATAGCTCGAGTAATCAGACCCCTTTAGTAGTTCCAACTGATCATTCACTGCATTCGTGGTTGTTCCTCCGGCTCGTACATCCAATTGTCTTCAGATAACGCAGCAACTTTTGCTCTCATACTGGCTCGGAGTGTTTCAAGAACCTCTTTCTTCTGTGTGAGCGGAGTCTTCTTCTGTTTTGTTTTGGTCTCACCTTCAGGATGTGCAGGGGTGCGGTTGTGGTTTATTTGATGGTGTTTGACGGCCTCGGCCAATCTTTGCCTCTCGCCTGTAGAGTATCACGTTAGCTACCAGTATGGCTTGTCGCAAACCTGTCGTTCAACATTCTATCCTGAATTATGCAGACAAGATAGGTTACCACGTACGTTGGCTCTCCTGCGCATCATCCAACCCACCATCTTCTTCTGGGTCGTCCGGAGGGGGGGTAGGCGGATCGCCAACATCGAATTCGCCGTTCTTGTCACGGATGACGATATCGGAGGTGTCCGAAAGCACTTCGACATCTCCCAAACGTAGTGTCTCGGCCGAGGCGTTGGATGAAGTTGTCGTAGGTGTGGGGCGTCGCGTTAGCTGACCCTGGAAAAGGTTGCGACGAATACCAGTCGTGTTCTGGCCCGCGATCCTATTAGTTCCTCGGCGGACGTGCGGAGGTGGTCGGTCGGCCATGGCTGATGATTGACAGTTAATCGTCTTAGATTGTTGTTGCAATCAGTTGGATAGTTAAATGAAATAACAGTGAAGGTAAGACTTGGGAGGTTTGATGATGTTGATAAACAATCAGTGTGCAGTAGATATCTTTAAGACTTTACGGACTAAGTTGATGATCACCGGTAAATTATGGGGACTGCGCTTAAAGCTTATTGGGGGAGCACGGGCTGCACTTTCTTAGGTCTTCAATATTGTGGGGTATCCTTGCATTAGGTGGTGACATGGGGGGCATGGGTGTTCCTACCTTGTCTTGAGCTTCAGTTTATTGCTAGACATACCTCCCTACTAATATATATTGTCAACCTAGAGCCTAGAGAGTTTGCGCTTCCTTTTGAAAACATACGTTTATCTTACCTAGTATCCAGATGACTCTTATACTCAAACTTGGGAGTCACAACATAAAGTCTTCTCTACTATGGCAAATACATTCAACATCCAACCCGTCGTCCGTTTCGATGGTGAATGCGAAGCTGTAAAGAGACCCAAGGTATCCACATGTTCTATCTATATGTTTGAGCAACATAGGTCCTCTTTAGGCATAGGAAATTCTAAAAGAAATGTTTAGGAAATAGCCTGCTTCTCTTATGACGACAAGCGTGAATTTCATCTAGACGATCGCTCGTTACAATGGTACTATCCTCCAGAACTTGGTGCCGACCTGTCTGGAGGGTTCGATCAATTCGACAAACATGATAACTCGAAGGATGAGCACATCGATAGTCTACTTAAAACAATTATGGCATATGAAGAAGAGGAAGGGAAGAAGATCGACGTAGAGTTTGTTACCTGGCGCGGCATGATGACAAAGGTACGAATAGCCCCATTGAGGAGGTACAGTTTGTCACAAGTCCATTAACGTTTATAGATTCTTTCAACACCGTTTGAAGATCGAGATGGGTATGTGGACGTATCGATGATATCGGTTGAAGGTGAAAATCTAATGTGATGCAAATCTAGCTTCGAGATGAATGCTACATTTTACCAAGTGCGTCCATTCCAGTGCTCTTCCATGGAACGATCTTAGCTGATTATTTTAAGGGCTGCATGTACGGCAAAAGTACCCTCATCACTCGTACGTCTACTGATATCATACCCACATAGCTTCATCGAGGAGAACCATGCCTATGGGCTAGCCTTGATGCAAGAGCAACAACAAAACCAACGAAAGCCACGACGGGGCCAGATGTCGCCAGATGTGATGACATATTGGGGTAAATGCAGAGTGTTTACTTCAAATGCCAAGTATTGCAGCTAACCTCTCTGCAGGGTACAAATTCGAGACGTTATCCTGTTTGCCACGTCCTTGGGGAGAGGTCAGCAGAGCCTTCATTGAGAACAGGGACAAGGAGGTTGTCAACAACAAAGCCCAATACTGTTCCGTTGTTCGCACTGGAATTGGTAAATCAACTCTGTGCATAGGAGGTGAGGTTGACGCTAGTAAGTTGATATCGTGCATCGATTTTGATTGTTTCGCACTCACGTCGACATTTAGTCTGGGATTCTAAGCCGGCAGAAAAGGGAGCGCCTATCAATTGGATTGAACTCAAGACTAGTGTCGAAATTCGCGATGATAGGACCATGCAAAATTTCGAGCGCAAGCTGATGAAGTTCTGGATCCAATCATTCTTGCTTGGCGTTCCTAAGATCATCGTTGGCTTTCGCTCGCAGCAGGGTATTCTCACGAAAATCGAAGAAATCCAAACGGCCAAGATCCCCGAAACGGCTGCTAAGCGGGGTGTAAGAACTTGGAATGCGAACGTGTGTATCAACTTTGCGAGCGCTTTTCTAGAATGTGAGAGACCTAAGTCATGCTGCTATTTTTTTTATTTTACTAGGTACTAATATAATCTCAGGGCTAAAAAGCACCATCAATGATGAAGGTGTCTGGAGGATAAGGAGACGTCCCCGTTCAGGGGTCATTGAGGTGTTCAAAGTTGAGGAAGTTGGACATGGAAGAATTCTCACGGACGAATTTATCAACTGGCGCATTAAGCTGAGTATGAACAGCGCTAGTAAGTAGTTTCTGAGATGATATTCGCAAGTAACCTTTACCATCTGGAAACACCGATTCCATTCTATATATCTAGATACCCAATTATGAATCCTATACAATTCTAGGTCGCTGTCTATATGCCATATGCTCCAGATCTTAAACCCGCTCATTGGTTTAATTTCACATACATTTTTCGCCTTATAGGGTCGAAATTGGTACCATACATAGGATTTCCCGAAGTTCGCTTTCCGTTAGCCTCGGAGTTTATGCTGTTGAGGTCTATCTCAAATGCCATATGGTTGAGAAAGTTGCAGACCTACGAAAATGTTAGCAACTAATGACAACCCGGATTCAAGATACTGGATATCTTACAGGTTTCCCGTGCCATCGTCCTCCCCCGATCTCAAACCAGCCTAAATGGCCACCAAGAGATGTGGTACAGAGAACGGTAAACGGATTCGTTGAGGCTTCGGCGTAGGGGATGCTCAAGTTCGAGGCGATAGGATCATCCACAGCGTTGATCGCAAGGAGCGGAATACGCACGGCCAGTAACGAGTCCGAGCTAGATGCATCTCTATAGTATGCCTCCTCCGTAGGATATCCCCAGGTAGGACATTGATAGGCCCTGTCAAACTCGTACAAGAACTTCTGGCTGAATAGATTCGTTGTATCTATGTTAGTGTACTTCTCAAGCTCGTCCTTGTGCTTCATTGCCAGGGCTCTCATGGAGTCTAGAAATGAAGTTTAGCTATATTCCTATGATCCGGTCCATATTAATTGTCGGAAACTCACTGCCTAAGACTCGTTGATACACGTGATGTCCGATCAATGTGCTCTGTAGCATCTTCGATGATATATGAAGAGCCCAAGGATTGGCAACTACAACGGCTGCTTTGAGTGGAGTTGCGGAGCCCTCCTCACCGAGATACTAACATAGAGTAAATATAGCTACTTGGATGCTTTTGGCTACTGCGGTTACTTACGTTCGTCATGATGCAAGCGCCTAGCGAGAAGCCCAGCCCAAACAAGGGCCGATTAGGATACGTCTTCTTGAGCCACTTGACGGTCTATGTACATCAATGTAAGCCGAAAGTCATATGGACCAAACAGTAGCAAGACATTAGCTTACTTGTCTAACATCCCATGTGGCACGCGCATTATACAGCAGCCCCGTGGTGATCTTGCTATTTGCGCAACCTCTCGAGATGACAACACAAGCCTCCCATTTGCCGCTATCGATGAGCGGCGCAATCGCGTGCCGGAGATAGACCTCGTGGGAGCCTCCCGACAGCCCGTGCAAGACCACGAGCATCGGCCTCTCGTCGTCGGAGCCCATAGCCTCGAGCTCGGTCTCAGAGAAGTAGGCCGTCCGCGGCGGCAGCGACTCGTCGGCCTCCTCCTTCTGAGCGGGGTCAGTGACGGCGAAGTCCACGGCGAAGCTGCCGTTGAACTCGGCGTGGTCGGCTTCGAAGATGCGGCGCTTGTACCGCAGCGGCGGGCCGTGGGCCTTCGCGGCCGTCCACATCGTCTGCGCGTGCCCGTTGAATAGCAGCGGGTTCAGCTGGCATGGTGGCACTGCTGATTGGCATATCTTGAGTAAGTTTGTTTCTTCGCCGTCTTTACCTTGCAGACATAGTGACTTCGGCGAGGTCGTGAAGTCGATGGCGGCTCGTCCGAACCACTCCATTAGGATAGGTGGCGGTCTAGTATTGCTTTTCGTTAAAAACCAATCGCCTAATACCTAAGTGCTATCAATGAAACGGGTAAAATCGATTGCGCTTCGATTGATTAGAGGAAAGTCTATATCGCAATTAACTGAAGAGTGTTGAAATCTATAAATTTTCATCAAACTGAGCGACAACGCCTCATTACGAAGACAGAGCCTTGGTACCATTCAGGGGGCCTCGCTGCATTACTCCCCACTTGCCTCGGCTCGTGCCGAGCTATCCAAAGCAGCGGAAGACATAAATGCAACTAAACATGTATATGCAGCAATTAGAATGTCTAGAAGGTTTCATTAAGATTCTAGGAATAGTGGTTTCTTTGAGCCGCAAGTGCATTCCATTCGGAAAATTTAATGACTACATCCATGGATGCGTATGTAGCTGACTGACTAGGCTCTAGCAATAATTAGTGATTCATGGATAGGTATGTCTTACATTAACAAAGGGCTACAAGTCACTATACCCTTGTACGAACCGAGTTTTTTTCGGGTTACATATGTATTTCAAGGAACTTTATTCGTGTCGATCTTGGACCTATAAATAGTATTAACTTTTTAATGAGATACCATGTAAAGTCAAATATTTGGTGTTATAATTGCTAACACCTGATAATAGAAAGTCTTTTAACTTTAGTTTGCTATCAGACAATGGAATTAAATACATATTCTGCAAAATACTATTATGCACACAAAGCTCAAAATGTGTTAGTCTCATCCATGGATACACCGTCCCTTCCGATGATGTAAGATTCGAGGCATCCACGTGTGCCAAGCCCTGGAAGGTCAGTGCGGTCCGCACTTAGACAAATCACGTGATATAGATTCTACAACCTACAACGTCGCGGCACGCGTGATCGGGTTGACTCTACAATCTTAAGACATCAACGTCAAGAAGCGGTAACATATTCGACACTGGTGAGTTGGCTGTCGACAAACAAGGAATTGATGGGGATGGTTTGCACGACATCTGGGCACCTAGTGCAATGAAATTATGACATATCGCGGTCCTACGCCCCATGGCCACGGGTCAGGGTTCAATGGCCAACAAAGTCAATATCCCCAGGTTGTTAACAACGTTAATAATGTTAATAATGGCTATGATGCCTGGGGAAATCCTCAGTTTCAACTGAATCAACCTTATCAGAATAACGTCTTCACGCCCATACCGTACTCTCACCCTCAGACGCAACCTCAGCCTCAGCCTCAACCTCAACTTCAACCTCAACCTCACCACCAACACCACCACAATGCGCATCAACAAATCCATTCGCCGCAAAATGCGAACTACCAATTCCAGTCCTACGATCCCTCCTTCGATCAACGGCCCCTTCAATCTTTGCCTCGGAACGGTGTAAATGCGCCAGGTCAAATGGCGCACGGCATGCAACAAACCGTCCAACAAACTCCCCATCAGCAACAATATGTTCAACAATCCGACTGGCAACACATGCCACCTCCCATGCCTATGCCTTCGCCCTCTTACCAACAACCTTCACCCCAGATTCCCACATCGGTAACGCCACAAGCTATGTCCCAACCGCCACCGCAATACCAATACCAACATCACCAGCAACCACTACAGCAACATCAACAACATCACCAATACCAGCAACAGCAACCTCAACATCATCCGCAACAACACCAACACCAACGTAACATGCCGCAAAACATTATCAGCTCGCCTGCACCCGTTCAGTCCCCTCAACTACCGCCTCAGTTTACGCCGACCCCTAGTAATAGACATACAAGTACAGGCGCACGAATGGATCATATGAACCGTGTCTCTGCAAGTCCCCGACTGAGTACACACGGCATTGCGAGAAGCCCGAGCGTGTCATCAGCAAGATCGCCTGCTCCGACACCAGGCCTCTTGCCGCATCATGCGGATACAAATTCCCTTCTGATCTGTCTCGCCGAGGAGTTCTTTGCTAAGGCGCGGAATGAGTCGGTATCTATGGTGGATAATGTCGATGCGCAGTGCCTACATGAATACCAGAAGCTTGTCGCCACGGGATTAGGCTGCCTCGAAGTGGTTTTGGATAGTCCAAAGCTGGCGCCGCGGCTAGAAGCTCAAGTACGATTTCGTTACGCTAGCATTCTGTGTGAGGAAACAAATAATGTGATGGAGGCAGAAACTGCTCTAACCAAGGGAATTACCCTTTGCGAAAGAGTAATACTACATTCAATGGCCCCTTATATCCCCAGTTGTATGCTAACTGCAATCTTAGAATCGATTTGCCGACTTGAAATATGCTATGCATTTCCTTCAGATTAAACTTCTTTTTGCGCAACAAAAGGTCAAGGCAGCCATGATCGCCGTAGATGGTCGGATACGGGACGCCGAAGTGTAGGTGGTCATTTAGACTTTATTATACGTATACTTTCTAACCGAAACAGAATGAAGCACTACAACTGGGTTTACGCTTTTCGCTTTCTAAAGACTTCCATGTATCTACAGTCTACTAACCCGGCGGAAACGCACGCCCTCGAAAATTTGAAGGCGATCGCCAACCTTGCCAGTCATAATAATGACCGTGCTATATTCGTAGCCGCCTCTTTGCTAGAGGGTCTGAGTCTCCTCAAGACTATGAAGGACGATGCCATCGTTCGTATACAAGCTTGTATTGCGCAGGCTTTGAAGTATCAACTCGAGGATTCGTTTCACATTCCGCAACTCCATATTCTGGCGCTTATGCTTGACCTCGCCTGCAGTTTACATCAAAAGTCGGTTCAGGTAATCAGTCAGAAGTCCAAGTGTCTCCAGGATCACATAGATGCCTCCATGAACGACAAGACGTGGCGCCCTATAGACGCGGAGCTGCTGCTCCCTGTTCGGAAAGGCAATCCGCTGGTAATTAGTCAGGATACGTCGGCTGTACTGAAGCCTGGACGTGACGATAGCCCCTACGACTACCTCGCCATGTCGTTCTGGACTAAATTGGAGGCATTCACTGTAACGTAGGTGAACTTGTCCCTGTCCGCTCTTCTCTGCTAACAGCATCCCTAGGTATACGTATAGCGGTCTCGCGCTTTTGTATCAAACTCCTCGTAATGATAGGAGGATATTTAAGCTCTGGGAGGAAGCTCTAACTCAATTGTTAAAAGGTATGTTACTCTGATATAGCACTGCAATACTATTTCTAACTCTTCATGTCAGGAATTCGACTTCAAGGACTTCCTAATTCTCTGGCGGATGCTATCACGAGATCGGATTGGCAAAAGGAATGGATGTGTTATCTTTATATCCTTCAAGGTCTACATCTTGCAACGCACACTCGATGGAATGAAGTAAAGCAGTGCTTGACACATTTGGAGGCTATGGTCAAACCTCCGCTCGAAGGTATCGTCGTGCTGTATTCGACATACCTCTCAGGAGTATATCACCAAGGCACCGGCGATCTAGAGACCGCCAGCATGATCTACGGTAATCGGATTTTTAGCCTTGACGATGGCAACGACAGAAATGGGAGTCGGAAAGCAGCCGAGATCGAGGTCTCGTTGCTGGCTACTTTCAATCGGATCTGGATCATGCAACATCCGGATTATAGAGATCATCGATTAACACTAGACCTCCTGGAGCAACTTCGTCCGCTCTGTGCCGATCACCCGAACCTGGAGATTCGCACGGCGTACAACCTAGTGCTAGCGGCAGTACAGACAAACCCGCCGATCCCGATGACGGCGGTCAAGATGCACATATCAACGGCACTAAGCAACGCGCAGTCTCTAGGCAACGTGCAGACATTGTCTATCGCGCTCAACGTCATGCGAGCCAAGCTTTTCCAGGATATCGTGGGTGATCAGGCGCTGAAGAGTGCGAAGGCAGCTTCGAACCAAGCCAAGAGGAGTGGCAATACGCTCTGGATGAGCGTCGCTGACGGCATGCTCGCACAGAGCTTCGACGTTCAGGGTCAGAGTCTGGACGCGCGGAAAGCCTGGGAAGATGCGACGCAATATGCACGGCAAGCATTCGAAAGGGATGGGAAATGAGAGCGCCGTATAAAAAATGGGAGGGACGGGGGGGTGGTGGCAACGGAGCGCAGTAAATCCGGGTCTATCTGGGACTGTTTATGTATAACACCATGGCATTGCATCGTAGGATTTTGCGCACGGCTCGGCAGGTTGGTATCGAAACCTTGACATTTGAATTTGGGGCGTTGATTTTGTTCCGGTCACAAGGGGGAGGGGAGCAAAATTATTATCATGTGTTGGGGCCGGCTCGGACGGTTTCGACAAACAACAACAATATACCCTGTTTATCATTCGAGAGAGAAAGACGTATACACAATTGTTAATGTTTGACAAGAAGATGGGGAAAAAAGAAGAAGCTAATTCTAACGCTACACGGCATTTGATGAATCTTGTTCTAGGTTCCCTTTTTTTTTTTCTTTCCCACAGGATCTATGTGCGAAGTGTGACCGGGTTCAACGTTACGCGGCATGATGGAAGAGCCGCCCGTGTTCGAGACCCTGTTCCGACGGATCTGTGCGCGAATCTCTCCGGCGTAGGAACCAGAATTAAGCCGGCTCACCTGAAGGAGACCTCAGGTTTTAGCATGGGCTTGCCGGCGCAGCACACCTCGTATTAAGATAACTGTTGCACGAATGCTTATATGTAGGTAGGTAGGTAGGTATGTAGGTATGTATGTATGTAGGAAGGGCGTCATGCCCCCCATCCCCATTCCCCACCGCTTTGCTGTTAATCTTACTTACTAGGACGGTTTTGTACGCTTTGTGTGCTTATTGTCTTGTTTCGCCGCATTTACTCTCTTTCTTGTTCTCTGGTAATTGTTTATCTGCCTATCTATCGTGTTTGAAGTCAGGAGATCAGCCAAAACATATTCTTTTCCGTCTAAGGAAGGGCTTTTAGCGAGGGAGGGAGCTTCGGATCCCGAACCTTCCTTTTTAGGCAGTCATCTTGGTTGTTTGTCTACTTAAGCTTGTCTTCTTGTTTTTTTTGGCGTTGGGGGGACACAAAGAGAGAAAGCCCAGCCCTACTGCCGAGGTCTTTTGAGCTTAGGTAGTTACTTGCATAGCTTAGTTTTTAAAGTGTGTGTGTAAGGTAGATGGGCAAGATAGATGATGGGAGCCCAACCGAACGCCCGGCGTCGCTGGCGTTACACGGGTGGGAGGTGGAGTGTGGGAGCGTCTGAGACACTACAATGGGTTTCGGAAGGGCTGCCGAAGGCGAGACTATAATGATGTATTCCTATCTTTTTTTCTCATTTTTATTTACGTATTTATCTAGGTACTTATCATTGTCAATTAATCCAAATTTTCTTTTTTTTTGCGGGCGGACCCGGCCACGGACGAGTCAAAGGCCGGCATTGTTCACGATGACGCTCGTGTGTGGTGGATTTTATTTCCAGCCCCGTGAGTTGAGTTAAGCTGAGTCTAGCTGAGTCGAGGCAGTATATGCCCATTAAAGTGTGCGCGTGAGTGAGTTTGAGTGGAGGACGATGACGACGCAGAGTATACCATATGTAGACATGGAATGCGCGAAGTACTCGTTACTTATAGAGATGTATGTAATCCCTAATGTATGTATGCGGTCCTATTTTGCATCCCACGCGAGACCCTCCAGGCCCACTCTCTCTCTCTCTCTCTATACATACCTCGATACTCAATCTACTACCCAATCCGCTCCGCCGGCTCGAAGTCCCGACCGCGATCAGGTAATCAAGTTGTAATCAAGCGAAAAGCACGATGTTTTTATATACCAGTCCCCTGGGTCCCCGCAGTGCAACCTCGTTCTTCTCGGCGCTTTTATTGCATTTTATTGATCTTCGTTATGTTGTGGCTATTATGTTGTTATATGCAGCCTATGGTGGTCGTGTGTATACTCTTACTCTATGGGGCCTTACTAGTTCGTGGGCCGCTACTTTATTTGCCCGGTCGAGATATTAATTAATACGTACTTAGTTTCTTTTCTCTTTTTTTTCTGGGGACGCGGTAGTGGTTGGTGGGGGCGAAGGGGGGGTATACTGCATACTAGATGTGCTTATTCTCGGCGAGATACAACCATAAGACGTAAGCATGGAAGGGTCATGCAGTAGGGTACCGTAAAGAGTGTGTGTTTGTTGTTCGATCGCTCGTTCGTGAACATTGCCTACCTTGGCCAAACAAGCTGGGAATATCTAGGGCCGCTGAGGATGGGTATCATGGTATCATCACGTCCACCCACACTTACCACACTCACCACTCATACACGCCCACCCTGCGATTGGGAACGGCTTAAGAACCAAGATCCCTCAGAGTACCGACTTAGGGGTTCTCGAAGTGGTGTGGATTTCTATCGCACCTCACTGGCTTTGTTGTCACCAATAACTAGGTAGTCGGCGGGGTTTCATCGGCATCTGTCGTATTTTAGGAGGATTATCATCACTTACTATGACAATGTAGGCATGTCTTATATAATTCCATGTCCACAGGACGCATCGAGCGAATGGCGTGAGGGGAGACAAGATAGTCCCAAGCCCGCTCTTTCATCTACCGTAGGTAGTGTGACGCATCGCAGTATTTTCGAGACACACACCGTAATAGCTGGCGGCGTCGTGCAACGTGGTTTTCGGCCTGCAGTCAGCCTACCTGGCATATTATGTACATGAAGTCCCGTTCTTACATGGATGACGAACGTGGGCACGGGCGCCGTAAGTAACAGAGAGAGGGAACAAGGGAAACAAGAGCAGGAACAAGGCTATCCAACCGGCCGAAACAGGGTTCTAGGCGTCCAACTTTTTCGTATCTCCGAATGGGCTTTATTTCCATTTTGGTCCATATGTCATGGGTTATTATGGTCCCCTGAATGAGGAGGCGGCGGGTGAGAAACCCTTTTCGGATCCATGCCCGCAACTTATTGATGTAGATATCGCAAAAGAGGAAGGGGAGGTCATAACAACTGACTCTGTACGTACAAGAAGCCGGGAATTGAGAAGGATCATTCCTTTCCTCGTACAGAAGAGCATCACCACCCGGCCAAGCGACATCCCGGAGGAGGGTGAACACGGGCATGGTGGCGTTGGCCATCCGCGTGGCATTTCAACAACCGAACCATGATCTGACGGGCGGCAATCTAATCGGAAGACTCAGCCTGCCTATTTCTCACCTATCCAACCGTCGCACAGAGATGTTATGTCTCCCCTTCAGGACACCCCTATTGGATCATACGGCAATTGCAGGCTTCAAACCCTGACCAACATGCTTTTCTTGATTACCTTTGTCTTTGTAAAAAGGACGTGATCCACCCACTATCAGAGCGCCCGAAGGATTTTATTGATGTAGGTTTATGTAGTCGGTGTCTCAGGTGAAGCTTTATTCACTTTGTTGGCTCGTAAAATATTGGTGACGAAATTGCCGGTTCAGGGGCTGCCCAGGGCAGTAATCTTCTATTCGAATTTACAATTGCCCCTCTTCATCCGCCTTAGTCCTACTTTGCTATCCCATCCCCATTTGTATGCAATGTTAGGCTATAGTACAGGGTATTCTTGTAAATAATAGACATGAAACTGGCAACCGTTTGTGAGGCTGCAACTAAAAGTATGGGATGAAATGCAAGTAAAGTAAAGAGACGAGTAACCTCCCAATGCAAAAACTAGGATATCTGAAACTCATCCCCGTACCTTCCCTCCCAATGTTTCAAAACGCTCAAAAGGACATGCAAGTTGAAACCAAAACGCCGGCCAAGATGCTCCCCAAATCCCAAGTCCGTAAGGATGCGGACATCCAAGTAGATTAAATATAAACAGTGAATTTGCAACCGTAAGATTCGTAGAAATTATCGTGATGCCGGTAGTCGTGGGGCTCATTATCACGGAGATTCCGTCGTTATCCACGCCACGAAGAGACTTTCGGATGTTTCCACGTCTTCCAAGTTAGCTTGGCTTAGATAAAAGTGACGTCCGAGAATAGGTAGCGGGGGAAGCTTCCTCATCCAATGTCTAAAACGTGCCGAGCCCTCAAGCCGCTCCGCCGAAGATCCCACACTTTTCCCTAGCGGCCGGAGAAGTTTAACACCAATGTCATAAACCTCCGGGTTAAGCCTAGAGCTGTCCTAAATTCGGACAAATTTTCGGCACGGCTCTTTGAATATAGCTCTCGTGGTTTGTAACAGCACTCGTCCTTCGCTGGTTTGGTACTCGGATATCTTCTCACGCGGACTTCTTAGGTTGGCTTCATTATCCAACCTTCCCCGAAGCGAAAAAATATTCATCGTAATGTGTTTGGTCGGGAGTGTGGCGTATATAGTCATCGTAGTGACTTCCGTAGGTAAACCATTTGGGTCGAATCCAAGTAAGGAGTGTCAAAATAAACACCTAAGATTCCTCCGTTGTTCGTATAATAGAGTATACGGAATATAGCAACTCTGAGTTAAGAAATGTACTAGTTGGATATCCGGGTAATTATCTGGTGAAGTCCTTCGAGTTGCGAGATACTAATTATAGATTAAGACGCTATACCCGAGTATGAGGTCTCCTATAATAAATGTGAGCCTTATGATCATGAAAGTCTTTTATACAGATATGATTATTGGGGTTTCGTTAGGAAACAAAGTGTAACATGATCGTAGTTGTAGGTACAAGTACTCAGGGGTTAGACATACGGGTCTGATGGCCACGGCCTGCAAATATCACGGGGCAGGTTATGGTGCTGCCAGGCCGGCATGCTACCACCAGCCACCCGTTTAATTTCTGGGATGGGGATCATAGCCGGGAGGCGGCTTGCTGGGGGCGGTGGGGGCGGTCTCGGATAGTCATCGTATGAAAACCTCATCCTCTTTGCAGGTAGACCCGGGAGTAATTCAGGAGAGGGGCGGCTGTGGGTAATCTTAGTAGTCCGGGGAGACACTGGCGTGCTCGAGGCGCTTCTTGGTCTTCCAAAATCTATTGCGCTAGGGTGCGGCCCGAGTTGTCTGGGTATTTCGTGCTCGGCCGGCGAAGCCACCGGGGAGGTGTTGTGGCCGCCACGAGGGCTAAATTGGAGTTAGCACACAAAAACGCAACACTTCCAATGTAGAAATCACAACGTACGCATTCTTGAACTTGCAAACTCTTCCGAATTTTTCGCATTGGACACATCGAGGGTAGTCCGGGTCACACTTTATCTTCTTCTCCCGACATGTGAGACATGCTATTGCAAGTCGCTTTCGGGGCTTTCCAGCCTTCGTAACACCCCAATGGGCATTAACAGGTTCTCCGTCAATGACAGTCTTGCAATGCGTTCCATCATCGTAGAAATAGCACAATCCTTCCCCGGGTACCTCCGCCTGCTTCACGAAACGAGGTAAAAAGTGCGTCCCGGTCCAGATCTTAGGGCCTAGTCCATCTTTCACCGGCGCTCCTTCCGGGGCAACAGCGTTCGCTAGAGGCGGCGAGTGATTCGGCGGCTCCAAACGCATTGGGTTCTCTCTCTTGAATGGTGGGCTTGATTCAAACCCTAGTCGCTGACTTGAAGGGGGAAGCGGCATACGCTCGGACACTGGCCTAAAGGGGGGAGTTGGCGGTCGAGATTCGAACACATACTCTGCCCGCCTTGAATCCGGATGGCTCATAGGAGGCCATCTTCCAGTAAGGGTAGGTTCTACCCGTGGTACATGATGCAAACGCTCGAGTTCGTGCGTCGGAGATTTGAGGGGTCCAGGAAACTGGGCAGAGACCGAGGGAAGCGTAGGTCTCTCGGGCTCCAATCTCGGCTCGTAAACACTGCGTGGTTGACTTAAAGATGGCGAGACGTTCGGGAAGTAAGATGAGCTTCTCGAGTCTGGTCTATCCATGGGAGAATGCGTGTTATGGAGCGGACTTGGTCGATCCGGAAGAGGAGAAAGTGCTGGACGGACATGGTGAGGAGGTCCGAATAAGCTACTTAGGGGTGGAAGTTGCTGTCGAGCCGCACCATGCAGATTGTCTCTTCGCAACTGGCCCTCTTCAGGGTCTTTCGTTGCTACCATATCTGGTCTGGTGCTCGGATCATAGCTAGACATAGGAGGAGAAATGGGTACGATAGTAGGCCAAGTTCGATCCTCGGAAGCCCTAGGAGTGTGAGTTGACGAGGAACTTGGGCTCGCCAGACCTGGAGGAGTATCAGGAATGGCTGACGGGTGGTGAAGTTCCAGTCTGACTTGTATCCCCATCGAGATCGAATGCAATATTGGATAATTTCTTATAACATAACAAGCCGAAGCCGAGTAGTTGCTTGGAAGTTTCCGGTTGGATTTGCAGGAACCAGAAAAAGAACCAGGCGTAGGGAGGTATATACACTTAGTTGTTGTGTTTTTGGTATCTGCCGGGTAAAGGTCGTTCGGCGGCGCAGCTAGCAAGCAAGCACACACACCACACACATATACACCCTCCAAGCTGTAAGTCCTCGAGCCGAGTCGCTGCGAGTGGTCAGAATCCCGGGTAATTGGCCGCCGGTATTTTGCGTGCTGGCGTCTAATCCAGACCGTTTTTTAATCGGGTTATTTAAATTACTGAAAAATGTCGAAAATAGTCTACGTGTTGACAGCTTAGTCCAAGACAGCGAACAATGTCAGATGTATATAAGCTGACGGAGGCGAAAGTGATAGAAGCGGTCTCGACTCGTGTGACTGTCAAATTTTAGAAAGCTGTATGATGGGTGAGTTCTCGCGAGTTAAGCAGCGTCTTCGAGACAAACAAGTGGCTCAGCGTCGCTCAGTTGAATGTACAAATACAGTAAGTAATATGTATGTGTCGGGCGTGTTGAAGAGGAATTATGATTCGAGGAGAAGAAGAGGCACCAAAAAGAAAGGAAACGAGAGGATGAGGTGGTGTATGTATGTATCTGGTGCTAGTGACTTGACCTGTCACGTACTATAAAATAAAGGTGGGCTTCCTGTTACTTGCTTGAATTCCCGGGGTCACCTCGTCAAGAGAAGATCGATGTAAGGAATGAATAATAGTGTAGTTAAAGCGACTTAAAGGACTAGATCTTCATACATGTACACAAGTAGCCACAACTGCCATGGCGAGTACGAGCGAACCGGTAACTGTCATTACCCCGGTCATAGTTCAATTGAATTGAATTCAAGATGTGTGTGCTCTTTCCCACTTCTAATGGGCATCGGCTCCAACGGCATGGGTATAATGTTGGCTCTTGCCCGCGGGAAAGCACGTACCTGCCAAGTCAGCTCAACGGCCGAGTATGCCTCTCCGAGTCTAGGTAGATCGAATATGAAAGTACATACATCTTTGGGACGGCGGCTCGAGCAGTGAATACCATGGTACATACTACGTAGTATGTACTCGGTAAGGGAAAGTGAGGTCACGGCCAGGGTAAGGATCATGTTCAGGGTCAGGGTCATTGGTTAGGGACTTCCGATGTTGTTACGGCGTTGCGCTGATACCATACCTACATGCCTAACACTAGGCCTGTACGTAGGTTTGTAGAGAAGCTGAGATCATAGATCATAGGGCGAGGCACCCCCCGGAGATGCTATGCAAGCATGGCGATGAATTCGGAAGTGCAGTACGCGAGATAGTCGGGAGGTCTAGCTAGAAACTTGCTAGTACCGTGGTCTAGGTAAGTTAAGTTGGTAATGCCCCTAGGTAGCATGTAATGCTTAGGGGGTTTGTGGATCGCGGATTGTGGATTGTGGGAAGAGACATGATGTCGATTTCAAGTGGGTCGGTACATTTAGTCGACGGAGCTGATCGACGAAAGTAGACAAGGTATCTAGACATGTATCCCCGTAGTGTAATCCGTGTAAGCGGTACCTACCGCGTTGTATCGCTAGTCGGGGGTACGTACCTTGGTCCGTGGTCCACTCGATTTACCGAAGTGCGCGTTTGTCAACCTATCATCACAGTTGCATGCTTGTGAAACGTGCTCTACGTATATGGGGTAATTATCAAGCATAAGCGAAGGGGTGCTGTAGCGTGTAGCACTAAATAAGAATCCCAAGTGAGCCGTCTGTCACAAATCCATGGATGGAATTGTTACCTGTCGTGTATTTTATGTAGGTATTCTAGAAATGGTCAAAGGGGGACATATTCAACGGGGAGACGCAAGAGACCACCGCCGTGTTACCGAAAAAAAAACTTACGAAAAAACAAGCCTCGCCGATATAATCCTCAAGGAAGCGCCTGACACTGAACCAAGAAATCGGTTATTGACTATTAACTTTTAGCGACTTCCTATACCTGAATATATTAAGTGCATAACGTATGTACGGCGATACTACTTAATTGAGAGCTAGGATAGCGTATAGTAAGTCGCTGGTATTACTGACGAAGAGAACTGGTTCCAGACCGCGTATACACATACAAGGCAATTTCAAGAGTTACGCATCTTCTTAAGATAGTATCTTGTTTATGACGGCTAATTAGTAACAAAGCAGCTCATGCGCCGGCACGTAACTGTCTAGTGTGATACCAACACTCTGGGTGCACTAATAGTAGTAAACTTGTTTAGTCTCCTGAATTTCCGCAATGCTTGCCTGGTGCTTGCCTGGTATATCGGCTTCATCTACCGCGAACGGAATGCATACTATTATGGTACGTATAGTTAGTTGTTCGCGACTGCATGGACCTTTTGCAGCCGTGACGCTTGTAGCCGCGCACTAAGGCTCAAAAGAGCCTAATGTGTAGGTTATTGGTGTTGGGAAGTCTCGACTCTTGTTATTAAAACTAACTATCCCCAGAAATCTGACTTCCAAGAAACTACTGTCTAGCTAAAGTGTATTCAGGCAGTCTGGGCTGCTTAGTGAGAAAAGTTGGAAGGCTCATACGATCAGCAGCCGAATAAATCTTGGAAAGTTCGACTACTAGGCCATTCCTGGGCAGTTTTGCGGGCGATATTATACGTCTCCTAAGATGATTCCCCACCAGTTTCCACATCATCGACCCTTCCGCGGCCTTTTGCTTGGGGGAGGGAGGAGAAAGTGGAGGAACGAACCCGACAATTATTTTAGTGTTAAAAATAATTCTTATCGGCCGAGAGGGTAGGAGCCGCTCACGTATTCGCCCATGTACTATATTAATGCCATGCTACTAGCCCTTGTATTCATCAGCCAGTTTTAACCTGGTATGAATGGCTTCCAGATTACTTCACTCCTGGTGTTTAATGTTCGATGTACTCCTGGACCTACTACCTAATAGGTCCCAACTCCCTGGGCAAATACATTGGATTATCCACCTAGTACTGTCAATGTACACATATAGGTACTTATCCCGCAAATTCGCAAATTCCCGCTTCGTCTTCCAATCCCCGAACCCACATCCTCGCTAACTTTGTCCTGCTAGGGAATGGGCTGATGGAGCTAGAAAGGGAAGAGGAAACTGGGGCTTTTTGCTTCCAGCCCCGCCACACACCTATGTAATCATCACCAAGAGAGACCAAATGGCGTTTTTTTTCTCTTGGTTTTCGCCTTGTCGACCAGACTAATTACACATTGGCGTTGCTTCACTTCACTACCGCTTGGGGCTGACAACGGCATTGCAGCCCATACCAGCCCTCCAACGATCTAGACAGAGGGAGTCCCTCAGTGATCAGTTCGGCGGTATTCGTAGATCGTCGAAGATGCCGGCAGCCAATCCGGCCGAAAAGACCGGATCCAGCTGCCAGGGAGGAAATCAAAAGCCGACAACTTGTGGAGAGACACTACCCCCTCCAATAACAGTAGGATGGCATAGGCTTGGCTAAGCTATCTTGGAACGATAGGCTGCCCAACTGCGACCGGCAATTGTTTTCTATCACCGGCAGCTAACTCGCAAACTAAATTTATCATGCAAGGGTATTCACATACCTTTCAACAACTCGTCGCAACTGGAGAGAGTTTCTTATGGCAATTGAGCACATGTTGTGACGCCTATGACACGGCGGGTTGATTGTACCACTTCGCACAACGCATTGGGAGCCTCATGAATTCGGGCCCATTCGCAGTTCGGGAGTGTACTTACATGTCTAGATGTTGCTTAACCGATGAGCCTACGGCGGATCTATAATAAGTGAAAGCCTGCGGGAAAGTCGACGGATCATTTCGTGTTCTGTTCGCCACCAACCATGGCCTCGGCGGAGCATGGATGGATGGGGCACGAGCTGAGCTGCCTGGCAGGTACCCAAATTCCATACGATTTCGAGACTGAAAGGCTCCTCTCACGACATATTTGTTGCTTCTAATGTTTAGCTTATGTCGTGCTCCCTAGATAGCCGCCTGGCTATGGGTTAGCGACCATCTTGACTTGATCCAGCTGACCGGATTAAAGCGATCAACATTTAGATACGGTTCTTTCCTGGCCACTGGCTGCAATGTCCATGTGACAAGCCCGACTGTCGGAGGAAAATTTGCTTTGTGATCTATCGCAATACCAATAACCTAACGACCCTCGGTCAGACTAAGGGAGTGCAAGGCGAGGGTAATCGACAGATTTCTTCTACGACGATCATAAAATAAAGTACTCCTAGGGTGTTATCCTTCCTCATTTTGTAGTCAAATCTAAGTTGATATGGCGATTAAAAAGACCAGGCAAGCCACGAGGCCATCTAGCGTCGACTTTCAACCGGACAACTTCAGTCGTGGAGGCCCAAGCTCTTTAAGGAACAGAAGGCCATCTTGATCTAGTCTCAACGATCAAGCCACGTCTCATCATCCCGTGTGTAGCTTCTTTTCCTGCGTCATCCCATGTGGTACAAGGCACATACAGATTAGCGAAATGACACTCGTGGCTGAGCAAATCCACAATGCCGAATTGCTAACCCCTGGCCGGACCTACTATGATCGACAACCCCCGGACGTAAGGGCCACCGCTTCCTGCCCGTATGAACAAGGTTCTCCTGCGGGACAGGCAAGGAAGATCACCTACCCCTTGAACCAGCCCGTACCAGTATTTTATGATCGTTCATATCTCTAGTCTCACATAAAGCACGGTGGAAGATGTGCGTAGACCCATACATGTCTCATGCATTCCCGTTGAGATGTCGGATCTATGTACCGCAGTTGCGGCTCAAACCTTGACCTTCCGAAGCAAACATGGATCGCGTGATTACTAGTATTCTATATCCGATGGAAGTAGTGCCGAGAGCAACCTTTTTGACTCTTCTTTTAACGAACTAACCTCCCTCCGAAGAGGTTTCGGAAGGTCTTTCAGGGGCTGACGAGCAATCCGATTGCGAAAAGAAGAGTGGTGAAACATATACAAGCAACCTTCCTCCTACCTATGCTGCTAGGAGCTCATAGTAATCATGGTACGTAAGTAAAAGTCGACGAAGCTGATAGTAGTAATAGATTAGCTGGGCTGAAAATTGGTGCGCATTGGCGTTCAAGGAAGACATCTTAGCATGAAGCGATCCTTGGGACTCGTTCGGCATTTACACAATTGTCCCCTCAATGATCCGTGCCCACGGGCACTAACGAGATATGGGTAATATCTGCATAGTATGTCACTTAGTACTGGGTAAAGAAAAGCGCCGGTGCCTGGGTCTCGCTAGACCAAGAGAGTTGTTTAGGGAATAGGGGTTTATTTTTCTGACGTTCGCAATAATAAAACCCACCTGTTAAGAACTGAGGATCGGCTGTTAGACAGGGCCATGTGGCTGGGTCGCACTCTCAGCTCAAGCTCCTTAGCGGCTGCAGATGCTTGCCGGGCGGCGCCTTGCATCTTGCCCCGTGCGTAAAGTATGTACCGGGAAGTACTGGTTACTCGGCTCGATACTGCACGGTACTTACCTGTCTCCATTCAATGCTCTTCTAGTGTATCCAGTTTACGGCAACAACAGGTTCCTTTATGCACTATCAAGAACTCAATGCGATTTTTATACATGATAGTACCCATTGAATATATTCTAGTGCAATTCAATAGAATATTTCGTATTTCGTATTTTTAAATATATACGTACCTACTTATGTGCCACACATGGCTTGCTTACCTACCTATGGATGTAGCTACAAATTACAAACAGAGTAAGTTGCTACATTTAGCACGAGCTTGGTTTGACATGCTTGTGCCGAAGTAACATGTAACATCCACATCTTCGTTTCGAGTTACACTTTTTCAACCGGTAATCGCCACCAGACCAACTACTTCTGAGGAAACTGAGCGAACTCTTAGCTACATTTGATACATATGTGCGCATGAACCGTTCCGGTCAATAATGCAACTCTAATGTGCCGAACAGGTAGATAAATCATAAACAACACTGAATTTCTTGAAAAATACGAAATGTTTGCGCGAAGCGTCGTACAATAAGCGAAGCTAAAGCACCTAAACCCTGGAAGTACATATGTACTGAGGTACATGCTCGGTGGTACGTACCGCATATACGTACTATAATCTGATAAGAATGGGTCAGATCGGTAATCACTTGAAGCTCAGACCAATAGAAGCTTAAGAAGCTTGTTTCGTGGGCTTCTAGGCTTTTTCTAGAAGTATTCGACAGACCGGAGCAGCCCCGGAAACCGATCCCGAAAGTACAGGG